CATGCGGTTGGTATATCAGCCAAAACTCCCAATGTAACTCAATCAACTTCAACTTCAACTCATAATTCATCAAATAATAATAATGACTCAACCACTAGAGATGACTTGATTGCTATTAATAAATTCTTTTTACCAATTGGTAATGGTTCAATTCAAGATTTACCAACTATTTTAACTAAATATCATCAACAAAATGTTTCAAATGGTTCTAAAACTTTAAAAGATATTAATCATATTATAATACCAAAATTAGAAGAATTAAGAAAAGATTTATTAGTTAAAATTAAAGAAATTAAAAATTTACAAAATGACTTTAAAACAAGTTTAGGTAAAGAAATTCAAGAATCAAGAACTTTATTAAGTCAATATAATCAAGCCATTGAATTGTCCAACAAATTAGATCATGGATCTTCTTCTTCTTCATCAAGTTTACCTCATCATTTAATTGAAAATAATAGAGATGTAGCAAGTGGTAATACTGCCAATACTAGTGGTGAACATGGCGGTAGAACTGATCCTTATCTTATTAAAATCAAATTAGAAAGACAATTAAAAAAACAATTGGCTGAAGAAAGTTATTTATATGAAGCATATCTGAATTTACAAAATTCAGGAGGGAAATTAGAATCAATTATTGTTTTGGAAATTCAAAGTTATTTACAAATGTTTTTAAATTTAGTGGGTACCGAAAATTCATCATTTTCAACCATATTATTCCCAAATTTATCAAATGGGTTCCTTTCAAAAGAAGCAAGTTTTGAATGGGATGCCTTCATTTCAAGAAATTTACCATCAACCGTTTCATCTACAGTTTCAGCAGTAGGTAATTCATCATCAACCATAAAGAATGGAACTTTTATTGATCTTTCAATGGGTCAAAGAAAATTCTCTGATTTAAATATATCTCATTTTGATTCAAATTTAAATGTATCAGTAAGAGAAGGTTATTTAGAAAGAAGATCAAAATATTTAAAGAGTTATTCAAGTGGTTGGTATGTTTTAACTTGTAATTATATTCATGAATTTAAAACTCCTGATCGTAAAAAGGATCAACAACCTGTTATGTCATTACCTTTAAATACTTGCACTGTTTCAGATCATTCAAAAGATGATGGAAAGGCAGGTGGTGCTTATAAATTCATTTTAAGTTCAAAGCTGACCAATGGTTTGATTCATAGAAGTCATAATTTAGTATTTAGAGCTGATACTTATAAAAATATGATTGGTTGGTATAATGATATTAAAACTTTAACTTCATTACCGACTCCATCTTCAAGAGCTAGATTCATTGCTAAAAGAGGTAAAAGTGCAAATGATAAAGATTCAGTTAATAAATTAACTACCGTCACTAGTGGTTCTAAGATTGCTTCATCATCATCAAGTATTTATTCAGGTAAATCAATTAATACTGCTGGTTCTCCAGCTAGAGATAGTAATGCTTCAGTTAAACAAAGACCATTATCTCAAGCTACGTCAATCTTAAATGCTAATAGATTATCATCAACTTTCTCTCAAAAGAATAGTCAATCTCCAAGATTAGCTAATATGATTAATAGTGATGGTACTATTATAACTCCAGTTGAAACTTTTGAAAATGGTAAAGTGAATGAAAATTCAAATAATAATGATCAAAATAATCATAATAATATTGATGGTAATCAAAGTATTCGTTCAAGAACTCCTCAATTACAACAATCAATTCAAGGTGAAAGACAACCAAGTGCCAATCTCAATAATGTTCTTCTTCATCCTCAACAATCATATCCTCAAGGTCAACAAATATATCCCCAATTAACTCCACAACAACCAATTGCATTCAATCCTCAACTGCAACAACAACCATTTTTAACTCCTTCCGGTTATCAATATTATATTCCTCAACCAGGTCAACAACCTCAACAATTTTATGATCCAATTCAACAACAATATTATACTTTAACCCCAACTGTTGCATCTCAACCTCCAGCAAATCATCCTCAACCTCAATTTTTCCCATCATCTCCAACTTCAAGTAATCCACCCCAATTCAATCAACAGCAACAACAAGGTCAAGGTCAAGGTTCACTGCATCAAAAACAACCACTGCAATCCCAACAACAACCAGGAACTCCAAACTATGCCATCAATACCGCTAAGTATTTCCCTACTTATGTTCAACAACCTCAAATCTATGGTGATGCCTTACCTTATCCAACCAGTCATGCCCCAGTTGAAGCGTATGGTTCAGTTACTCAAAGTCGTACCCAATCATTACAAAGTGGAGGTGTTCAACCTGTTGCTAATGATGAATCTAAAATCAATCAATCGATTAATGGTGATGATATTTCAACTTTACAAAGTGGACCAGTTGGTGGTGTAACTCCAGTTTTAGCAGTTAATAATGAAACAGGACTTGAAACTACCAATACTAATGGGCCAGAAGGTGAAGGTGAAAATGGTGATTTGACTGCCAGTGGTGGAGAAACTACAATTGAAGGTGATGAAACTAAAGTTGAGCATGAAGATAAATAAAGAGGTTAGATCCTTTTTTTGCATTATACGAAGAATATCTTTCTTTTAATAGGATTTCTTTGATTTATCTCTCTACCTACTTTTTCTATATCTTTTTATATTTGCTTCTATCACTGTTTTATATATATATATGATCTTACTTTTATACTATTTATATGTTTTACTATTACAAGAAAAATAAATAAAAATTAAAACTTATTTCTCGATATTATTACTATTATTTTTATAAAATGATAATGTATATTATTAATATATATTTATATTTTGATTATTATGAAACAGATATGAATTTAAACAATGATAATGATGAAAGTCTTAGACAACAACACCAGAGTTTGAAGCAATACGTGGCCATAAATCAGCACATTCTTTAGCAACTGGACCAGTAATGGCAGAACCTTTCATTTCACCCTTTGGATTGACAATGACACCGGCGTTATCTTCGAAATATAAGTAAACACCATCCTTTCTTCTCCATGGTCTAGATTGTCTGATGACAATGGCTGGCATAACTTTCTTTCTTAATTCTGGCTTACCTTTTTTAACAGTAGCCATAACCATATCACCGGCTGAAGCAGCTGGTAATCTGTTTAATCTAGCACCTACACCTTTGACGGCTAAGACATATAAATTTCTAGCACCAGAGTTATCAGCACAGTTCATGACAGCACCGACTGGTAAAGCTAACTATAAGAAAATTAATTGTTAGTATATTTAAATCTTTAATTAAAAGGTTTAGCAAGTGAAGTTCTAGAAAAGTAAATCGTTATGTAAAAGGTTTTGAAGTGAATAAATTATTGAGAAGATGACAAGTACGTTTGAGTTGGATTGAGGGATTTGTTTATTCGATTTCAATGATACTCTTTATGATTTTCTTGTAGGTTAATGAAAATTAGTGATGGATGATTTGTTGATAAATCTTACGATGAGATGAAAATATTGATGACATCTGACTAATATGATGGATTCAAACATGGATTTGATGGTTTTTCATTCTGATTTGCTAGTGTGGTTGGCGAATGAATGGATATTGTTGAATTACTTTGAATAAATCATTTCACTATTTAAATCGTATTGAAAACTTATTAGTGGTAGATGTTGGATTATTCTTTCGTATTATTGATATTCCTGAATGACTCTTCTACAATATTTATTGAATTTATTCTTTCTCTTCATCTCTTTTACAGTTATAACTGTCATTATTGATGGACTTCATTCTCTCTTCTCGTCATTTAAACATTTCATATTTCACATTTTGACTTTACTTCTTGAACACTTGATTGATTCATAAATTATGATAATAAATAAGGGGGGCACACATACAGACATACGGAATTTGTTACCGGAAGCACCTGAACCAGACATTTTTGTATTGTTATTTAGTTGGTATGATGTAAAAAGGTAACTGTTTAAAAGAAACTTCCTTTAAATTTTTTATATTTTTGTTAACCTCAAACTAACTAGGCGATACATCTTTGAAAAAAAAATTTTCGTTACTATGAGAAGAGACATTTATTTAGAATGGAGACATTTATTGTGTACGATGTCGTACACAATTTAAAGTGCGCACTACATTTAACTATGTAAATGTATTGGGTTTACCCGCACTGTTAGGGCTCTAGACCCGCACTGTACTGTTTCCACGTGATCGATTTTTACAATTCTTGGTAATTTATATGGTATCGTATTACTAAGTTAAACTAATATTAGTTCATGGTCAATTGACGGCAACGTTACAATTGATATCTGGAAGTTTGAATTTTGTTTAAATATGGTAAGGTAAGATGATATAAGACATATAATAAGGTATTCACTATTTGCTAATATTCGTTGACAATGGGAAGTTCGGAGTTTTCTAGCTACATGGCGTAAATATCAACTATCCGTAATCTTGACTAGCCGTCTAAAGAAAGCTAAGCTAACTGTATTAATCTAATCTTTCTTACTTAAACTGATTGTCCCTCTTAGATGAATCTAAATTGTGATTTATGTAGATCTTTCTAATTGGAAAAAATTCAAATTGTTAAAAACTTGAAGGAAATTGAATTGACCCTATAAAAATAGTAACAATGATAATTCTGAACTACATTCCCACAAACTTAAGAGTCAAAATTGGTAGTTCCATATCAGTTGTAATCAATTACCAGTTACATTTGCCGACAACGGGATGGTCAGTGGAAACGATATACCAAACTTCACATAAAAGGAAATTAAATCCCTATCAAGATAAAGAAATGCGGAACTCGTTGCCCACAGAACTCTCAATTGAAAAGCGAAAGGGAGAAAAAAGGGATACTATAACCTCCACATAATGAAACATAATAATAAAAAAAGATATTTTGTGAGCTGTGTTCCTGTGACCTGGAGAGATTTGGTTCAATATTTATACTCTTTTGTTGTAAATTTTAGTTGTGAAAAATGAGTGTGGAATATTTGCATTAAAAAATTTAAATTCCGCCCCTACCAAGTTATATACAGGTTTTACTGATAAGGCACTATGTTTCTACACCCCATACGAATGCGGATAAGAAATCAAACATATTTTGATTTACGGGGTTAGTCTGAAAACAATTAAATCCATTAAGATAAATATAATTCAATATTTCAAATTGAATTCAAACCAATTAACTTTACCATTCATAGAGACAGATACACTGATAAATATATACATACAAATGACTGTTCCTAAAACAAATTATAAAAAGATCGCCGCTCAAAAGCTTAAGCAAAGAGACGCTAAATTCATTTCAAAATGGTTGATTCCTGAATCTGCCCTTCCAGCAAAGGATACTAAGGATGTCTTACCATGGATATCTAAATCAGGTTACTTGACTGACTTAGAACTTGAGATTACTGAATCAACTGCAACTAAGATTCTTGAAAATATCAAATTTAAACAATGGTCAGCTTATCAAGTTGCTTCAGCCTTTTGTCATCGTGCTTCAATTGCTCATCAATTAACTAACTGTCTTACTGAAGTATTCTTTGAGGATGCTCTTGAAACTGCTACTGCTTTAGATAAACATCAAGAAGAAACAGGTGATGTGATTGGACCATTACATGGATTACCAATCTCTTTAAAGGATAATTTCAACATTAAAGGTCAAGCTACTACTATTGGTATTGTTAATTTCTGTTTTAATCCAGAATCATTTGAAGAAGATGCTGTATTGGTTAAATTATTGAGAGAAAGAGGAGCTGTGTTTTATGTTAAGACAAATGTTCCTGTCGCTATGATGATGCCAGAATCAATTAACCACATTTGGGGTAATACAGATAATCCCATGAATAGATTACTTAGTGCTGGTGGATCCTCAGGAGGTGAAGCTGCATTAATCAAGTTAAGAGGTTCAATTATCGGTGTTGGTCTGGATATTGGTGGTTCAGTACGTATTCCAGCTTCATTTCAAAATTTATATGCTATAAAACCAACTTTTGGTAGGTTCCCAACTTATGGAGCTAGATCAGGTTTAGCAGGGCTCGAATCAGTCAGTAGTGTTAATGGGCCATTAACTAATACTTTGGAAGATTTGGAATTTTATTGTAAATCAGTTGTTGATTGTGAGCCATGGTTATATGATGGTAAATGTATTGAAATTCCATGGAGAAAAATTGAATTACCAGAGAAATTAAACATTGCCATATGTGCTGATAATCTTATTGTTAGACCAACTCCACCCATTAGAAGAGGTGTTTCCATGGTTAAGGAAGCTTTAATTAAAGATGGTCATGATGTCATCGATTGGGATCCAACTGATCATTTAAGATTATCTGATATTATCACAAGTTTCTTCTTAAGTGATGGAGGTGTTCATGTTATCAAAGAAACTGAAGCAACGGGTGAGACTTTATTTCCTTATATGGAAATGTATGGTACCACTCCAGAAATGAAAGTTTCAGAATTATGGAAATTACATGTAGAAAGAACTACTTTGATTAAAAAGTATCTTGATAGATGGTTAGCTACTGCTGCTCTTACTAAGAATGGAAAACCAATTGATGCAATTATTACACCGGTCACTCCATTTCCAGGAAATCCAAATGGTAAATTCCATGATAGTGTAGCTTATACATCACCATTCAATTTATTAGATTATTCAGTTGGTATTTTCCCTGTAACCAGAGCTCATAAAGATTTAGATCCAGTTGATGAATCAAGTACTAATTATTGTGCAACAGATAGTAAAGTTTGGAAAGATTATAATGCTGAAGAAAGTCATGGTGGTGCAGTTGCTTTACAAATTGTTGGAAGAAAATTCCAAGAAGAGAAACTTATTGAAATGATGAAAGTTATCGATGAACTTATCAATTACTCTGATTAGATAGTTAATTACTTAATAATGTTTAATACACAGATATAATCAATTTAACTTAATCAATTTGTAGCCAATCTTACTACGGAGAGTTTGCTTCTTCAAAGATAGGACGTCGGAAATAATTGATATAGTTCCGTGTATCTTTGAGTTAAAAGATTAACTGTAGATAGAGTTTAAATTAAACACACCACCGGTGACAAAACATGGGGTGTCAAAATTTTATTTTTCACAGCCATTAACGGCGACGGAATGTGAATTATATTTTATCACACAAAGCCGCAAGAGCTAACTATAACTACGCAAATTTTATTATATGCGGGAAACGACGTACGAATATAATGTATGACTCTAAGATTGGGATTGTTTAAAAGATAGGAATGATAATGGTTTAACAGATAAGGAGGGTGGGGGTGAAAAGGTTATCATATCAGAGATAATGGTGATTGTAAGATTTCTCCCTCGAAAGTATTCTTTAGTTACTCAAATTAGGTAAACTTATCTGTATTTGTGTTTCGTATTCATAGCATCTGCATAAAATAATTTCAAATCCCTATACGAGCAACTGTATAAATAAAGCCCTAAAATACATCTCAACCTATATCATTTTTTGAAACTCATCCTTGGTTTGAAGATTAAGCGGTAGTAATTGTTCAACGAGAGATAGAAAAGAAACCATGACGAGTGCTTTTCAAAAGTTAAAAATCAGTATCTGGGGTAAAACTCCTGAAGATCCTAAGGAAGCCAAGTTATTATTCAAATTAGATTGGTTTATTTTAAGTTATTGTTGCTTGGTATATTGGATCAATTATTTAGATAGAACCAATTTATCCAATGCTTATGTTTCAGGTATGAAACAGGATTTAAATATGGTTGGTGATGAGTTTAATATTATGAATACTTGTTTTACAGTTGGTTATGTGGTTGCTTTAGTTCCTCATAATTTGATTTTGTTAAAGATTAGACCAAGATATTGGTTAACCTTTTGTGCTTTTGGTTGGGCAGTTTTAACACTTTCAATTTATAAAGTTACGAGTGTTAGACAAATTTATGTTATAAGGTTTTTTACAGCTGTATTTGAAGCTGTCACTTTCACCGGAGTTCATTTAATTCTTGGATCTTTCTATGAAGAAGATCTTTTGCCATTTAGAAGTGCAATTTTCACCAGTTCAGGATTAGTGGGTTCGATTTTCTCAGGATTTTTACAGTCGGCAATTTATTCTAATATGGACGATTATAGAGGTATTGCAGGTTGGAGATGGTTATTTATTATTGATTTTATAATCACGATGCCTATTGTAATTTATGGATTTATATTTTTCCCTGATCCACCTCAAATTAGAAAAGCTTTTTATTTCACTGATGAAGAACATGAAATGTTACTTGCTAAAATTCATAAGCCAAAATATGATAAATTCGATTGGTCGGTATTTAAACGTTTATTTGCTAATTGGCATTTTTATTTCTTTTCATTTTTATTCGCTATTGGTGGTGAAAACGAATCATTCCCCATTAACTCTTTGTTTGCCATTTGGTTACAATATTATGATTATCCGGTCTCTGATAGAAATCATTATCCAATGGGTGTATTTGGTACTGGGATTTTCTTTACCTTAGCTTCGGCTGTTTATATTAATGTAACGGGTGGTAAATATCATTGGCATATTGGGGTTTATATTATGGCTATTATGTTATTATCATCAATTCTTTTATTAAGTGCACCAAGTAATAATGCAGCAGTATTTATTGCCCATTATTTAAGTGGAGCAGCTTATGCTGGACAAACAGCTTATTTCGCATGGGCAAACGTGGTTTGTGCTGATGATTTACAAGTTAGATCGATTGTATTAGCATCAATGAATATGTTTAGTAATGCCGTTAATGCATGGTGGCTGATTGTTTTTTATAATGTTGATACTGCTCCTAAATTTGTGAAAGGGTGTATTGCTATGATATGTACAGCTACCACTACAGGTATAACTTGTTTTATAATGAGATACTTACAAAAGAGAGATGAGGCATTAGCTGCTGGACTTGATGATTTTGAAGAAGTGATGGGAGTAGAGAAGAATTCAATTGATTCTTCAACTGGTGAAACTGAAGAAGTTATAGGTGAGAAATCTAATAATGTAATGGTCAAGGTTGCATCTGATAATTCTCATAGTGATTAAATTTATTATGTTATTTATAAGTTGGAGTTGTATTTAGTTAGTTTTGGTTTAAATATTCAGATTCTAATATATTTTTGTTTACAGTTAATTTTTAATTTCGCAGTAAAAATATAATTTGTTGAAAGGTTAAAAAATAATTGCAGCAAACAAATTAACAGTTGTAGAGAGAACAGTTCTAATGAAGTGGATATTGAGAACATCTTTGAGTGAATATCAGTATCTTTTAGGATGAATGATCTTTAACATCTAGAAATCCACTATCTTTCGTTAAGTCCAACCAAAACAAACAAAGTCTACAAGTCAAGTTCCTCGACGCAGGTTTATGTCAAAGAACGCAACCGAAGCGACAAACATGCAAACCCACAACAATGCAAAACAACCATAACAACTTAAATCTAGAACTGGTTGTAAATCGATATCTTGATTAGTGTAAATTTTACCCTAAGTAGATAGTTGTTGATATTTCAGTTTGAGTTAAATTTCAGTTATTTTGGCGAAGATGATACACGCTTCGAGAGAGAATTGATCTTTAATTCCTTATATGTGCGATATCGCCTCATATTCACCGCCTTCTATTTCCAAGACTTTAGGAGGTCTAACCATTGCTTCCAGATCGAATTTCAATTTCAATTACTATTCCTTCTACTTCTTCTTCGAGAATAGCTTCCAAATTTCAGACACGAACTTACACATTCGATGCTATTACTGATTGGCTTTGATTTCACATGTTATTCACGCTCTCTCCTCTAAATCATTTTGGAAACTTTACTTTACATAAATATAATATTATTAACTTAAGTTTATTATTAATTTGGAATGACAATTATACACACATTCATACATACATACATACAACATGAGAAATTAAAATTAAAGAAGTAAGTAGAAAAATAAAATTAAAAAAAAAATAGTAATAATAATAGTAGAAAAATTAATTTATAAATATATGCCTTAGAATTATATCCCGTTCAACAGTATTGAACTAATTAACCTCCAATATATAACGAATATTGGGAATCTTTTTTTACGTCTTCGTAGTATAGAAATTTTGATGTTATATTAGGATGGGGGTGGGAATATAGTAACGTTAATACCCAAAGATTAAAATAAAAAAAGAACGATGATGAAATGCTATGATGATGATGATTTTTGTATTTTTGAAATATTTTGTAAAATGCTAATTATTGACCACTTTTAATGATCCTGGTTGTCTGGCAATCATATCTGGTAAAGATCCATTACTTAATCTTCTTCTACCATATTCCGGTTGTTGGAATTGATGTTGGATTTGATTATTTTCATCTCCTAATACTGGAGATCCCATACCGGCAATAGTTGAATTTAATGATGGATCATTGCTATGATTAATTATTTTTGAACCTGATCTACTATGTTGACCACTTCCACCATTATTTATAATAGCGAATCCTTGATATGAATCATGATCTTCTGATTGAGTACCAGACAGGGATGAATAATTATGTTGATGATTTTGATTTTGATCTTGACCTTGTTGTTGTTGTTGTTGTTGTTGAGAAGTATCAAAATGATTATAACCGGCTGATAATAAGAATGGATTTGGACCAATCATAGGTGGAGGAGGAGGTTCTAAACCACCAGCCTTTTCATTCATATGAGCTCCAGATAATGTATATTCATCATCTTCATAATCATCATCATCATTATTTCTTCTTCTTCTCCAAAGGAAAAAGATTAAACCACCGATAAGTAATCCTAATCCGATGGCTCCACCAACAGCAGCACCAGCAATACCACCAGCAGATAATTTACTTCCACCATGTGATGCAGATCCTGAATGGGATGAGGATGGAGATGGACTTGAAGATGACGAAGATGTTGGGGTGGAGGAAGTACTTGATGGAGATGAATTTGAATCTGGAGATGATGATGGATCAGCAGTGATGGTTTTATAAACAATTGATTCGATTGGACTTCCTGATGGATCTGTAGTAACGGTTGAGAAGAGGGTTATTTTATTTTGACTGGTAGTTGAACCTGTATTTGTATTTGTGTTTGTATTAGTAGTAGAAGTGGTTGGTGATGAAGTAGTTGAAGTTGAAGTTGTTGAAGTTGAAGTAGTTGATGTTGAAGTTGATGTGGTTGAAGTTGTGGAACTTGATTCGGGAGAATCTTGGACATCAGCATTAACATAAACCATATAATAACCATTACCACCACAATTTTCATATGGATATCCTTGACATGGAATATTACAATTCAGAGATTGATCAACTTGATTGCTAATATCAGGAGCATCATTACCACAATAACAATTCTTACCTCCAATCAATGCTGCTATTCTTGAATTGGGACACTGTTGTTCACAATATCCTGAACTTTGGAAAGTATAATCATTATTATAAGATATAGCTGATACATCTGATGATGGATAACAACCTGATAAAGCCCACGAAGCTGATATGGAAGATTTGGTTAATATTAGAAGCAATAAAGAAGATTCGAGGAATCTAGATTTATGATTGAGTAACATTATGAATTACTTTGGTATATGCTATGATGATGAGTTTTAATTATTTAGTGAAGTTTTTAAAATGGGGGGTTTAAAAATAAGTAGTGCTGGTTTGGGGTGCGAGGGAAATTAATATGATGAGTAACACTAATATGGGATGATATTGAATTGAATTGAATTGAATTGAATTGAGGTTGATGAAATGAAAAGTCTATGAAAGGAACGAGTGAATGATTAGATGAATGAATGGAAGGAAGGAGTAATTATAAATGATCGTATGGACTTTTCCCTTTAAAACTCAAAAAAAGGATGATAATAAATAAAAAGGAGCTTGTGGGTAAAAATAGAAATAAATTATTTTGTCTTGTCCCTTTTTTTCTGGTTAGGCTTTTCTCACTAAAAGATAAATCTCTCACTGTGATTTTTTAGTCAGATTTTTTTACAGATGACGTTAAAAAAATGAATAACGAGTTATTTGAAAAGAAGAATAATAAGAAGTTATAGTAGTGAGTAATTTCTACTAACTTTTGAATAAGTTGGATCGATTCAAGTAGGTATATATAATATGTTTGACTTTTTCTTTGTTACCCTGACTTTGTAATTGTTTTGTAACAGGGGGATCCTTTAATTTGTTTTGTGATACTGTTTTGATGAGTTCAGATTGGTAGTGATGGAATAGAGCTAAAAGTAATGAATGGATGGGGATGATTCAAATTATCATACACCTTGATTAATATGATTATACAAAAGGACTAAGTAAACTATATAAAATCTCTATATTTTGGAAATGTAAAATTATATATACTTTTTCATTCACCAACAAACATCCAAAATTCCACTACAATTACAATAGTTTATTATGATACATAATTATTTATCTGAAATTTTAACTTCCTTTTTTTTTTTTTTTTTTTTTTCCTTCGAGCAGCAGACAAAAATTTCTTTTTATTTTTATTTTTTAATGTTTCAATTTTTTGTGATTCGTTTTGAGAATTATTTTTTGGCAAAGCTCAAAACGGAAATTCTGTTAACAAATCAGGTCAAGATTTATCCACATTTTTCAAATAAACAATCAACCTCATAATAATAAAATAACAACATTATTAATTAAGCAATTTATCTCCACATTATATTCAATTATTATTTTACTCATTTGATGTGTTGATTCCATTGATTCATATTCATTAACCTTCTCTTACTCTTTAATTGACATTTTTCCATATAATATTATTAGTCATTTTAATCGAATATGGCTAAATTAATAACATCTATAATCCAATCGAGTTAGGTACGGGTAGTAATTATCAACCGAATACCATATAATTCCATTAGATTCAACATGGATTCATGATAAGAAATAGGAACCTTTTGGCGATATATAAGATTTTAATAACAACACACCCCTACATGGGTAGAGGGGTAATACTTTATTAAAGATTACATATATATTTTTTGTATGTAGTAGCCCTTATCAGCAAAAAAAAGGATACGTAACATACTGTACATCCCCTACTGAGAGTAAACGGAAGGGGACCTTAATTGCTCTACTGAACTCATTATTTTATAATACTATTGAATTTTGGTGATGTATTACATATTCGATAGAAACGCCAAATCTGATAATTTTCATTATAAATAAACAAACATATCTTATCACTATAACAACCAACAACTCAAATCCTATAATAAACAAATCTCCTGCATACAGAAAGGGTCTAAATCAAATTAATTTATTACTCGTGCCTCAATCGATGGAAAAATTAAAAGTAACATGTACATATTAATTATATACACTCCTCACGTCCACTCCATCTTATGAATTATTTTATTCACTTGCAGCAACACATTTAGGTTTTGAGAGGTGTATTATATACAGGTTGTGTTTGATTTAAAGGATCTGTTTAAATCATATGAGAATAAATTATGAATAAACTCAATCTTGCGATCTACTATGAATTATTTCACACTATCAACATCAACAATGATTTGATCTACTAGTGTAAAAATATGAAGCATCCCCTTACCAGACCATCTCCATACCCTCAATCTCTTCCATTTTTAATATTGGTTTCATTTTCTTAACTTGTGACGTATAATCTCATCTTGGCAAGAGTTTTAACCATAGGATTTAAAATCTTACTATAATTAATTAGTTAATTTAAACGGACGATTCTATCAACGTTATAGGTAAATTCAAACTCATCGCAACCTACATCACCATAATCATAATATCATGAAAGGTGATGATGATGATGATGATGATGATTTATTGTTCTTCATCTAACATGCCACTTTTCCTCATCTCATCTACACCTAAATATCTAACATAAATGAACTAAAAAGCTTAACTCTTTAATATTCCGTTTCAGGAGTTACTTCAACCTAAACTAAAGCCAACCCCATCACCTCCCCTCCATTCTTCAACCTCATCTTTGAAACCATTATTAGTCTGAATATTATGATACGATACTTTTAATGGCTTAAATATTTTAAAGGTGCGACAGAAAAACAAGTAAATAGTCAAAGCTTAATTTTATATGGTAGCTCACCATTAATGTTTGATTACATCATTCTTATTAGTCCTGTATTGGCAAGTAAGAGGTGGATTGAGTTTTTTGAACAGTTAATTGAATAAATATCACGATTGGTATCAATATATCCATTCAATGAAGTACTAAACCAAATTCATTGCAGTCAAAGAGATCTGGTTCATCCTAACCCTAATAGTTAACATTAAGTTCTCATCTTCTCAGAAAAAAAAAGCGACAAAAAATCTCCACCACAAAAAAACAAATAGAAAATTTTTTCTACTTAGAGTAAACCACTTCTCTTCTTCTTCTTCTTTATGTCAATGAGGATATAAAGGGAAGACTTATAATTTTTGAGTAATGATGTCAACATTACTGAGAAGACCTGGTAGTTTGTACCTTAATCCTTAGATTAAGAATCCCTTTTCGCTAACCACGATCATTTTTAAATTGAAAAATATTTATTCCGTAGATCGTTGTTTGATAGTAGTTGGGCTAACATTCTAATTTGTAATGATAATGATTCATGTTTGAATTTGTAATTGATATATTAGTAGATCTCTCTGATACAGTCTGATATTGTCAGAGTTCGTACTATCAATCGTACTGATTGTCTAATGACCGTAGCCTTCAACTTTTTGATAGATTTTGCTAGGCCCAAAAATATGGCAACAGCAAAAAAAAAAGACAGGTCAATCAAAACTTTTGATACCGTTGTCCCCCATAATCAATCAAAACTACATAGACCATGACCACATCATCAATCAAGTCAATCCAATACACGTTGAATCAATATGATCAACAACTACGTGCGTTACCCATACCGAATCTTCAAACTTATTCTGCCAAAGATGTTTGTCATACTACATCAAGTTTAACTTCACCATATTTATTTAAATTTAAATTACATCAATTATCTAATCATATCAATAATCTATTTGTATTGTTTAAACAGATAGATATCAATCATACCAATAAAGCCCAATACCAAGAATTATCAAAACAATTCAATTATTTGATTAATGATTGGTTAGATGAACGGTTATTCATCGTTGATAAGTTAATTAGTGAATTTGAATTATCAAATTCACCCACCCCAATCACGACCCCATCCACATCTCAAGAAGAGGCCATTAAATCCACGAATACAGCGACTTCCAATATCTCTTCCACCACATCAGTCGCTACAGGTAGTAAAGCTAGTGAAGGAGAAGATTTAAACTCCTTACGTCAAAGATTACTTTCGAATAAATCAACCAAACTTGATGAATCAGGTACAACATCATCTCATAATGACTACCACGAATCATTACAATCAGACATCATAAATGAATTATCCCAATTAACTTCATCGTTACGAAACTCTGCATATACTTTAAGTTCCAAACTTCTAAATGAAGATATGACAACGTTAAATGAATCTCAAGAGAATTTACTTAAAAATATGAGTTTTTTTAAAGTTGTAAGTCAAAATTTAAATAATTATTTGGGCAATAAGGATAATTCAAGTATTTCTATTTGGTTCTTGTTGAAAGTTACCGTTGCTATTGTTGTTAGTTTCCTTTTTATAATTTTGATAATTAAAATTATACCAAGTCTTTAAAAGTGAAAAAAAAAACTGGAGATAAACTGATTTTACAAGATACTTTATAACATCAAAGAAATAAGTTTTATTAAAGTAAATGATTATGAAGAAGAATAATAAAATAGTGATAGATAAAGCTATGGACAGAAAAGAAAGGAATATAAAAAATTATGATAAAAAATGGTAAGAATATATATATATAGAAAGGAAACATAAATACAAAAAAAAGAAGAAAAAGAACAATAATATATATATATATATATAATAGTAATAGTAGAAGGAAAGAAATACTTTAATAATAATAAATAAATAATAGCATAGCAAGAACATTAATCATATTTGTATATTTTTTTTTTATATTTTTTTAATATAATTGAAATCGATTGGATTGAATGAAGTTTCGTTATAAATAAATTTTTTTCTTCTTTTAATTTTTAAACTGTGTATTGTTTTATTGGTTAAACAATATAAATATGATATTACGTCTTTTCTTTTAGTCTGTTCTGTTGTGTTTTGGTTTTCTGTCATATACATATATCTTATGTATGTATGTGTATATATCTGTGATAAAAAATAGTCATTCTTCAAATGTAAAAATAATATGCTTTCAATGATGGGTGCAAGGTAAAATAAATGGAACAAAATAATATTAAAAAAGGAAAGGAGGATGGGGAAAACAATATACCATAGGAAAATTAATTAGTTAAAATGAATTCAATATAAAAATGCCAGTAAATGAAAATTGGTGGGGTCGTAGGTAATAAATAAGTAAATAAATAAGCCAACATACAAGTGGAATATGGAAAAACAAAAATAATAAAAGCAAACAAAATTAATGAATCAAAGATTAGATTTCATCTCCAATAACACCACCAACATTTGGATCTTCACCACCAAAATCATTATCAGAGAATGATTGATTAGATCCATTATCAAGACCATTAAGTAAACCTTGTGGTTGTTGTTGTTGATGTTGTTGATGATTATTATTATTGTTTTGATTTTGGTTTTGGAATTGTCTTGGTAAATTACCACATCTATCCTTACCAAAATTAATCTTTAAATTTTTATAATCTTCAAATGATTTAATTCCATCAATGGCTTTAATAGCATTACCAATATTAACAAAATTAATAAAAGCACAATTCTTTTCTTCTAAATAATTAATTTGTTCAATATCACCAAATTTAGTAAAATCATCTCTTAATTTTTGAGGATTATAATATTCAAAATCAATAATATTTCCAATATAAATATTTCTTGAAGCACCATTAGAAACAGCTAATGATAAAGCATTTGATAATGGACCAGAATGTTTACCCCAACCAACTTTAATTCTTCTATTATGAATGGTTAAACCATGTAATTGACACATAGCAAAGAATTGAGCAGCTGCAATTGGATCAATAAAAGTAATGAAACAAACATGTCTTTCTTTTAAAAATCTAATACTTTGTAATAAACCACCTCTAACCACATTACAAATTTCTTCAACTGAAGAATCTTGATGTAAATTACCTAAATAAACCGTTCTATTACCTAAATTATTAGCACCACCAGCTTGAGTTGCAATTTGAGCAGCAGCAGCAGATTGTTGAACTAAAGCAGATGAAATAAATTCACGATCAGCAGCAGTAACAATATGTTCCATACCTGGAGCTAAACCTAAATATTGAGCTGCATTATGTTGTTGAGTTTTAGTTATAAATGCACATCTATCTTTACCATAAAAACATTTTTTATCTAAATATTTTTCTTTTAATGGTAAATTTGCTACACATCTAATAGCACTTAAAATTGATAAGAAATGAATAAATGCAATTCCCTTTTCTGGAATGATTTTAATACAATCAATAATTCCATAACATGATAAATCTTCTCTTAATTCCGGTTCAGTAATAACTTCCCCTGTAACTGGATTATTTAAATTACCAAGATAAACATTTCTAGTAGCACCATCTCTTTGAATAGCTTCTAAAACTGCAGGTAAAATTGGAGAATTTTTTCCCCAACCAATTCTAATATCATGACCTTTAATATTTAATTTTTTTAAAATACAATCAGAATGAAATAATAAAGCAGATTGATGATCAATAAATGAAATAAATGCACAATTTTTAGCTGGTAAGATTTTAACACTTTCTAAAATACCGGATCTAACATAATCTAATAATTCATTTGGTTGAATATCATTTGGAATATTACCTAAATAAACAGTTCTTGAAGGAGCAGCCGAAATATTACCTTGTTGAGAACCAGTGGTTGAACCATTAGCTCCAATACCAGCTCCTGGAGATCCCACATTAAGATTACCATTGGCATTAAGATTATTCGAACCTCCATAGATTAAATCACCTTGTAAACCACCATTAATTGATCCAGGACCAGAATAAGAAGGATTATTATTGTTATTATTATTATATTGTAATTGATTAATATCACCTCCATTATATTGACCATTTGATAAAGGATTAATTAAATTAGAAGCTCCAGAACCATTATTAGTAATGAAAACTCCATCTTCATTATAAAATTCATTACCACCATTTCCATTTGAAGTATCAAAACCAAATGCATTAGAAGAATCAGGAATTGGAGCTCCTGGAACTGAACCATGAATATTGTTAGAAATTTGTTGAGGAAGACCATTGGCATATTGAGGATAATCATAAGATGAAGGTCTTGAATCAATGGATGAAGCTTGAACCGAACCACCTAAATTAGCCATTAATTGATCATCTGGAGTATGAGATTGAGGTTGGGATTGTTGTTGTTGTTGTTGCTGGGATTGTTGTTGATAATATTGAGGATAATAAGGTTGACCAATGTATTGTTGGCCCATACCTTGATATGGATCGTAATAAGACATGATTTAATATAGTTTTTTTTAAAAAATATGTTTTTTTTTTGGAATGAAAAATTTTTGTATGTCTTTATAAGTTATTATTATTTTTTTTTTAAAAAAAAATCACCAATTTGATAATATATAAGACCCTTAAATGAAAAAAGTAAAAAGTAAAAATGGAATAATACTAGTTTTTTGATTTTGAAAAATGAAATATGTACAAAGAAACTAAACCGACCAACTAGGAAATAAAATTAAATTGAACTGTGAAATAGTTGGTGTGTGAAAAATGAATTTAACTTATAAATTAAATTAAATTAAATTAAAGGAACACTCTAGATGATTTGATAAATAACAAAAGCAAAGATGAAATAAGTTTTGTTGTTGATGTTGAATTGTATATTGTTCTTAAAAACTTTTGCAATGTCTTTTTTTGTTTGTTTTGGAATAATCTATTCTTTTTTTATTTAAAATGTTTTAGTTTTTGTATAATGATAAACACTAATGATAACCCCCAAAATATATTATTATATAGGATAATAATAAATGATAAAATGAAAAGGAAAGAAGTAAAGAAACTATCAAAAAGGAAAGGAAAACAAAGTAAAAAGAAAGAAACAGTATTAGCCAAAAAGGGAACAAGGGAAACAAAAAAAAAAGGTAAAAATGAAACACGTCAAAACAAGAACAAGGAAATCAAAGTTGTTGTAATATAAATGATTATGAATGAAAAGGAAACAAAGTTAAACTGAAAAGAGAATGTCTTGTATCGAGTGTGATGATTGTTTGATGTAGAATGAAAGATGGCAAATTATGATGGATGGGGTTGTGAAACGAAGATGCGATCGATCGGATGAGATGGAATGGAATGAGTTGAAAATGAGGTTTTTTTAAAGGAATCAAACGATTGAAAGCTTTTGATGAATGGATCTATTCGCTTCTACTTGATATGAATCACCAGTTAATCTAACTAGTCAAACAGTAAAATAGGATCCTAAATTTAGAGATCGATCAGAAACAGCCTAAAAAGCAAAAAAAAAAGATGATCTGACCTTTTTTAGCGGCGGGAAATGAAAAAAGAAAAAAGGGAAAGATATAAGTGACACACTAGTAGTAAGACGTATCGTATGTATGAAATGAACTTTAATGAATTAGAAACACTTAACTTAATAAGCACTTCTCTAATGATGATTTGATTGATTAGAAAGAAGGAAAGGGAAAGAAGAAGAAAGAAGAAAGAAGAAGAAGGAAGAAGAAGAAAAAGTGCTGTAAAAAAAGTTTTCCTGTCACTCTCACCACAAACTCTCAGAAACTCTCAGAAACAGAACTTCACTTTTTTCACAATACACATCCTTTTTTTTTAATTTTGTTCTGTTGGATTATTGTCGTACCAAAATATAATTACGACATAATGTCTCCATACTAAATAATCAAATAAATAGTTAATGTGAATGGCTCCCTCCATCACACGACCCATTTTTCATTGTTAACTTGCTATAATGAAATATACAATACCCTCGGGTCGGACTAACTCTAAGGAACAATGTATAGTTTACTTTTAGTAATTGTATTAGTTTACTTTAATTGACAGCAATCGACAGTGGACTCAGGGGTATGTACTTAGTAGTATCATTTATCCTAACTACTGTTCAGTAGTCTTACGCACGGATATACTTCACTACAAGTTATAATGAATCTAGATTCATTATAACTTCTAGTATAGTAATGTAATATATTATATTCTATCATAAGACTCAAATCCAATTCTAAACTGACTAACTTCCTTTATAAACTACACATGTCACTCCGGTACACTGCCAATAATACTCTCCCACCTTAAAAATTGTTGGCAAAAAAATATAAAAAATGCGGCAAAAAAAATATATTTTGCAGCGGGAAGTCAAAAAAATAATGAAAAACCAGGCCATGAATTCAAATAGATCTCATGATATCGGTGTAATCTGGAGTTTTTATGTAAAATAATCTCCCATATAACTGTAATAAATGATTCCGTGATGTAATTCATCATATGTAAGTGTAGTGCCTCATAAGAGCAAAATATTATAAAGTCACTTCATTATCCCCTCCATTGATATAACCCCATACCTCAAACCACTCAACTACCAAAACAATGTCAATTCCAACAACTCAAAAAGCAATTGTGTTTGAATCTTTTGGAGGTCCTTTGTTATACAAAGATATCTCTGTTCCTGCCCCTAAGCCAAATGAACTTTTAGTCCATATCAAATATTCAGGGGTTTGTCATAGTGATTTATATGCTTGGAAAGGTGATGTTCCATTACCTATCAATTTACCTCTAATCGGAGGTCATGAAGGGGCAGGTGAAGTAGTAGCCATGGGTGAAAATGTATCTGATTGGAAAATTGGTGATTTAGTAGGAGTTAAATGGCTTAATAGTTCTTGTTTAACATGCGAACATTGTATGAATGGAAGAGAAACTGTATGTCCTAATGCTGACATAACTGGATTCACTCATGATGGAACTTTTCAACAATACTCTACTGCTGATGCAATTCAAGCTGCCAAATTCCCCAAGGGAACAGATTTAGCTTCAGCAGCTCCTATTTTATGCGCAGGGATAACCGTCTATAAAGCTTTGAAAACAGCTGATATGATCCCAGGTCAATGGGTTGCAATATCTGGTGCTGCTGGTGGATTAGGATCTTTGGCCGTACAATATGCCAAAGCAATGGGATATAGAGTAGTAGGTATTGATGGTGGAAAAGAAAAAGGTGAATTTGTTAAATCCTTAGGAGCAGAAGCTTATGTTGACTATTTATCATCGAAAGATGTAAGTAACGAAGTTAACACAATAACCGAAGGTGGTGCTCATGGTGTACTTAATGTATCAGTTTCAACTTCTGCCATGCAACAATCTTTAGAATATGTCAGAGTAGCTGGTACTGTAGTATTGGTTGGATTGCCGGCCGAAGCAACTATCAAAACATCCGTATTCGACGCCGTTATTAAAACCATCACCATCAAAGGTTCAGCAGTTGGTAACAGAGCAGATACAGCTGAAGCCATTGATTTCTTTAATAGAGGATTAGTCAAATGCCCTATTAAAATTGTGGGATTATCTGAAATTGCTCAAGTCTACAAATTATTGGAACAAGGTAAAATATTAGGTAGATATGTTGTTGATACTTCGAAATAGGATTGTGTATTCATAATATATACTTTTGTTTTAATCTTCATCAGATGAATAATCTGTTTCAACCTCTTTTTGACTTATATCAATAGCTTTCTTTTCATTTTCATTGTTTTGATCCTTTTTGTCTGGCTCTTCCTGATCACTTGATCCATAATCAGTTTCTAGTTCTTCATTTTGACTAATATTGGATTTTATTGAACCTACACCAGCTAAACTATCTTCAACCACTTCATTCGATGATTTATAACTCTCTGAAATCTCGTCATTCTGCCTTTGCTCTTCGTCTAGCTCTTTCTCTTGTTCTTCCATCTGTTCTTCCTCCTCCTCTTCGCTTGGGTTATACGAATCATAACCTTCATCTTTTCCTTTATTCCTATTTTCTTCAAATTCATCATTCTCGTCATTTTCGTCATCATCTTCATCATCTAAAACATTATCAACAATCTCTCGATCTGCAAATCCTAAAGATGATTTCGTCCTGCCAGCAGGTTTACTTAATGAACTGTTCTTCCCATTATCATCCAGTTCTTCAATATAAGTATCATCATCTCGGAGTTCTAAAGAATTAGGTTCTTGTTTGATATTAACTTCAGTTGAATCTGGAGATAGTATAGGACTATTACCAAAACTATTATTTGCCTCCTTTTTGATTTTATCCAAGAACAGATAATCTTCGTCATTATCAGTTGCTTCATGATACTCATCTTTCTTACTTTTCTTCTTACCTCTTATGGTTGGTTTTCTCTTTTTAGTAGGAGATCCATTCTCAGTCTTTACAGCAGACCGACCTCTCTTCTTTGGACTTATATATTTATCATCAACTTTATCTGCTATTTTACTTTTATCAAGATCATACAACATATCAGGCTTCAAATTCTCATTCAAATCAGATAATTGGTTCAATGCAGTGAATTTACCGTTGCCACCTGGTTCAGCTTTCCTTTCTTGTAATAATTGCCATATTTTATCCTTCTTAGAATTTAACACTTGATAGAATTTATTCTGCAAATCATCGATAATCTCTTTATTCTCAAATTTGGATGATTTATAATCATTAGTTAATTCATAATTTTGATTCTTCAAATCTTCAATAATCTTATTCTTTTCAATCAATTGATCCCTAACATCCTGATAATTCTTCAATAGTACATCAATCCAATTAAACAACACTGATTCATCTTTGATTTCCTCTTCATGATCATCATCTTCGAAATTAATCGGTTCTAATTTGATTGACCCAACTAGTATGGGAATTCGACTCTGTGTTCGTATATTGATTGTTATGGGTGATTGATTCGGATCATTATCTTCTTCTATTAAATTTTTGCTTTCCTCATCATAATATTTCGATAAAGTGACGATCTTGACATCCATGACTAATTTCTTTTCAATGGTTTCTGGGTCTTTGTCTGCTTCTTCTTCTTCTTGTTGCTCTATTTCCTGATCAGAATCAAGTGGGAATAACTTATTAATAATAGATCGTTGCTCACTTTCACTGCTGACCTTGTTAAAGATTTCTTTTATATTGGACTCTGTGACATCTGTATGGAAACTTCCATCTTCATATACTCCTGTTATAGATATATTTGTGAACGTTGGATCATCATGATTCAAAATAGATGATTTTCGAATATGTAAATATAGTTTGGTACTCTTGATCAATTCTCCTTGTTTGGTGATAATGCTCAATGGTATCGATACGACATTTCCATCTAGTTTATTAAAGCCTGCATCATCTTTCCCATTAACTTCTTGACCTGACATAGTCGTCTGTCAATTGAATGAACTTCAGCTCTATAGCATCCAAAGGTTCAAATTAATTTTTGTGGGATTGCGTTGCTTTACGCGACATGATTTTGTTGCAAATAAAATTATTTCTACAGAGTTCAAATGTTTAAATCTATATCTATATTTATATTACTTACATAACTTCGTTAATAGAATGGACACCATCCAAAATAGATAAGTGCCAATTTATGAGGATCAGTGGAATCTTGAATTAATTCTCTGACTGTAGCTTCAACACTTAAACCTCCTGCAATAAGCTTCTCTTGAACACCAAATACTGCTCGTCCTGCTTCTGTACCATCTTCTTGAGGTTCAATTCTACCTAAACCACCACCACTCGAAACTTCAGATGCATCTTGTTCTTGTAATCTCTTCATTTGCATTGGTGATAAAGACCACGAATATAATGGATCCCATCTAAGAACATCTAATATGGATAGGATATGATCTTTATTAGAACGAAGAACCCGGAAAGTATGTTCACTAGACTTCCTAAACACTCCTTCAACTCCTGTAACTCCAAATCCATCAACTATATCTCTGGTTAATCTAAATGGAACTGTTTCGGGAATTGGTAATCTTCTACCTTGATCAAACGAAACTCCTAAATCAATATGAATTGGTTCTCCAGTTGTTTTATCCAATAAGATATTATTACAATGTCTATCACCCAAACCTAGAATATATCCCACAATAGAAGTAGTTGCAATACCCCGGGTATATTTAATTTTACTATCAAACCAGGTTTCTGGAGTTAAAAACGTATCAAGGAAAAACAATCTTAATACAGGATTAATCTTTTTGGTGATTTTTTCATAGGCCTTGAAACGTTTACTGGAATCATCACCTTGACATTCTTTCATCATCTCACGAGCCTTTTCAATTTGCAATTTATCATGCTTATTATGATATGGACGAATTATATCAATCAATGCAAGGGAATTAGGAACAAACTCAATTATTCCAGACTGTGGTCCCAATGGAATGACCTTGTAAGTTTTGATATGTAGCTTTCTTCGTTTCGTTTCTTTATCCTTTTTGAAAATAGTGTTCACTTTCTCAAATACTTGTTGCATAATTAAATCTTGTCTCAAGTCATCTGTACCATGTTTCAATAACATTGTATGCTGTGTCCCATCAGTTAAAGTGAATTGTGCAATTTTTGGTAAACTCAAACCCGAAGTGGCAATGTTAATCTTATGTTCAACTTTGATTAATGCTGGGACTTTGTCATACTTTTTGGACTGATCAATAGCTAATGATTTAGTTGGTGGGGGAATAGTGGGTAAATTTTCTAACCAAAAATGACCACAATCTACCTTGTCCAAGGTCAAAGGTTTACCTCTGGTGGCTTTGTATGCTGCAAGCTTAACTGATTCATCACAGTAATTTTCAATTGGTTTTAAAATATCATCAACATATGATCTATCCTTATTTGAAAGAATTTGCCAAATATCATTGGCAGCATTACATTTAGATGCCAAAATAATATTGCTATCACCTTCCTTGCTATGATTCTCATGCATTCTTAAAGAAATCAATGAATATAATGTATGATGAGGATGGTCGAGACAGAAATTAACAATCAAGTATTGTAATGTCCTTTGAAATGTGGAATTGTTCTTAACTAATCTTGAAATTAATTGAGTACACCAATCTACTAAACAATAGCTTGGAAGGTTAAGCACATAACTTTGAATGTCAAGATTTAACTGTTCATTCTCAGAATTTTCCAACCAAAGGGCAATGAATTTATCAAGGTCTTCATTTTCGGAATTGGCCAATGTACTTTTTAAATAGAATTCTACTGCCTTATTAGAAAACTCATTCTTATTCTTAACTAATTCTTCAAGATCAGTTGTCTCAGCCTTCATTTGGTTCTTTAATTTAGAATAATATTTTTGAACAGCTTTCTTCTCATCAACTGGAACTGCAGTTCTTCCGTAATAAGCTTTCATTTCATCAATCTCTTTGAGTTTATCAGATACTCTCTTCTCAAGTTTACTGATTTGTTCCAGCAATGATTTTGATTTATATTGAGTTTCACAAAATTTAGCAAGCGACAGAAACACCTGAACTGATTCACTAGAATCCAATAAACCGTTTAACATATCCGCAGTAGGAAGGACATAATTCTGCATTATGTTGGATGCAATATCCTGTCTTGATTCTACCAACCAACGTACTAAAAGCGAGTTGACAACTGCACTATCTACATTCAAGCTTCTTAACGGTAACTGAATTCCACCTTGACGTCTTAACTCTTGCAAAATCAATACAGGAGCACTAGTCTCACCTTGTGACCAAAGTGTGCATGCAGTTATAAACTGAGAAAGATTACCGAGATTCTGTTTTAAAGTACCCACTGAAGAATCAAACTTCAGTGACACAATTTCATTAATCAAAACTGAAGAACTTACCATTTTTTGACTTTCGAGTACATTTCTTGATATTTTATTATATCTTGCTAGTTCATGGACACCACCAATCCAAAAGGATTCGGGATTTAACTTTGTCAAATCACCAGGGGAATTCCCAAACACTTGCAATAAAACCTGTCTAGACTTCAAGATATTTTCTGATTCCGATATGTCATTAGTTTCAAACCAAGAAGTTTGCTCATCAAATTCTTCAATAGACTTGATGAATCTCAGATCTGTGGATTCTATCTGCAAATCTTCCAAACCTTTAAGAACAGCCATCGACTTATACCACGTATGCGAATTATTTCTAAACTCTTTTGGTCCCATATCTCTGTTTAGTAACTGAAGTTTATTCGAATACAGATCTAATAAGGCATCTGCAAAAATGCCTTTCTTATTATAGGGATAGTCGTGAACTGATTTTAGAGCCTTATATATAATCTCACTCTCTGTAACGGCCTGTTTTGGAGCTGGAAGTTCCCATTTGTTCAACTTCCACGCCCAATCAAATGCAGCATCCCCATGTTTCTCGTCAGTTATACCCAAGCTGATTAATCTTGAAATACCCATTAAACCATTATTCATCATTGATTGTAGAATATCAGTATCATTTAATCGTGCATTTAATGACAATGAAGCATCAAACTTAGCACTTTCCAATGCCAACTTCTTAGTGGAATTGTCACCTTTGGATAACGCATAATCGAAAGAACTTCTTTCAGGTAACCCATAAAGTAAATCTTCTTCATTAATAGAATCATACACTTGCAGAAGATCTTCAACATCCAAGGACAGAATTACAAACTCATCGTAAAATTCTTGAGAATCTTCAAACATCATCAAAGCGGTTTTGAATTTATTGTCTTTAATACACTTCTTAAAAAGTTGCTTTGAATCTATATTATCCCAAATCTGCTTAAACTCTTTAAATTGATTCTTTGCTCCAATTCTTATTAATAAAATAATTTTGGTAAATACTGAAATAGCTTCTTCGTCATCAACATCCGAATTTACGAAACATTTAAGCAAGTTAACTGCCTTAGTTGACGCAACCGAACCCTTGACACTTACATAAAAGCAGAATATTGTGGGTAATACCAAGGAGGAAAATTTTGGTGCTTTCATGACAAATGTAGCAAGCAAAGGTGCTATGCTAGTCACAACCGCTAATTCATTTAATAAAGATAACAACAACTTAGTAGTCCATATTTCATAAGAATTGGAATCGATAAACATTTCTAAGTGCTGGCAAATATAATCTATGGTATAATCCGAGAAATCCAAACTATCATCATCATTCAATATTACATGACTGTGAAAGTCGATTGGTAAAATACAAGTTAGACGTGATAAATAATTTTCGAAATTTATGAACTTTTGAATTTCTTTCTTTGATTTTTGATATTTGTAAAGTAAAACCCCTAGAATGCTCTCCACACTCAGAATGTCATCATTATCAACTCGCTCAGAATATGAGATCAAGAGCTCAACTAAACTATTTAGTGATTTTGGATGTAACACAAAGGAGATGGAGTCTAATTCCGAAAATTCCAGGTATTTTATAATATCACCAGTTCCTTGAAGTAAACCTCCTGACAAATAATAGTTTCCTAAGTACCGAGCTGCCCATACCCTGAACTCTTTACTGAGATCATTTAGCTGGTTCAGTAATAAAACAACCACATCTTTTACATTGCCCTCTTCATCAAATGTGTCGACAAGTGGAAACAATAATGAGATAAACTGTAACGAGTACATTTTATCAAATTCTGTATAATTTTGCTCTACCGTGGTTAAGAATTGCTCTACCAAAGATGACTTAAACTTAACTTTTGCACCCTTCAAATACTGAACTCCTACGAAAAACAATTCAGACGAACATTTACCACCATTTAAGACCTTTCTATATTGATCGAGTTGATCAATAATTTCTCCGGGTATTGCTTCCCCAGGCAAATGGAACAATGAAGCGAATATTACAGCAACCAATGGAATGGACAATTTGTCATCATATCGATTAAATGTTTGAATCTTGAAGGTCGTAAATATCTGAATAACGTCTCTTGTGACTTCTATATTCTTCATCATGATGGGAGCCAACTGACGTATAACAAGACTAATTAAATCAAGATTGTAAATATTAGAACTTCCAAGAATAAATAGCAATTTAATCTTTCTTAAAACTAAAATGATTGACGTTGTGGAATTAGAAGGGATCAGTTTTAACAATGAAGTTAATTTTCTAATTAAGAAGAACATCTCCTTTGGTTGCCAGAAACTCACATTATGCTTTCCGTATTTACCTATTAATTGTTTCAATAAATCAAGACTAGAAGACAATGATACTTTTAAAAGAAAGGGATGATTTAAGTTCATAGCTTTATCAACTGAAATTAAGGAGTGAGAAATTACATCATTTTTAAATATGTCCAATAGAATCTTTTCGTCTCCTAAGTCTGTGAATTTAAAGACCTCTAAAATAATTAGAATCAATTTATCTTCAAACTCGTTATTGTAACCCTGGCCAAGGTAAATTGGAAGTACTTCAAATACTTTATTTCGAATCCCTCCATGGCAATATGCAATTGGGATAATGTAATGCAAACTTAATGAAACTAGACCTTGTAAATCATCATTTTTCAAGGCTTTCATTCTAGTCAAAAATGTATCCTTTTCATTCACATCAGTAGCTATAGCCAAAGCTACAAGCTCCTTCGAATAGATTGTTAACAATTCATCGACGTGGTTGAATTCAAATAAAAAATAAGGGAAGTTTGACATAGAGTCATATCTCCACCAGCATTGGAATACTTCATACTTCAATGAATTCAACAAAGCTCTGGGCGACGCCACCTCTGCAAACATGCAAAAGTTGGTTAGTGATACATCAATATACTTAATGAAGAATGGAAATTTTGAGCACTCTAAAAGATTGAACAAAGATGATATTAATACTTGAGAAGATACCGATGAAATATTGCTAACGAACAAAGAATAAGCTGCACTTATTTCTACTTTCTCTTCAACTCCATAAAACCCTTGAATCAATTCGGTATAAAATTCAGACTGTGATCGACTGTCCAACGCCAGTAAGGCATTCGTTAAATTATCCACTAAATTTATCTTTGAATTGTTGGATAATGATTTAAATAGTTTGAAAAATATAGATTTCAACTCTAACAGGTTGATCGGAACATGATCAGAGTTTTGTAAGAGATCTAACACAAAAGTACAATATGATACCAATGAGTGCTCAGACGTAATTAAATTCTTTCTCCCACAATCTATCATATATAGACTCATATCATTGAAGTCTTTTTTAAGACTATCGTTTATGCGGTTATCAAAAGTGTAAGCTACTTTTCCCAAGAGCTTCGAAGCGATAGCCAACGTTAATTCCGATCTTTCTACTTCATAGTTTTGTAAAATGGTTTCTCCAAACAAACGAATCACCTTTTTCAATAACAGTTCGTCTGCCTCGGAGAACATAAGCTTTGGATGATTCAAACAGTTAGTGAACATACAAAATGACACTAATAGATCCGTACCTTCTAAACTTTCAAGGTAGTTGACGATCGTACTGAACGTCCAATCCACGGTTTTGTCAGCTACTGTAGAATATTGTATGATAAAACCTATTTTACTGTTTTCCAGTGAATACCCATGAATTATCTCAGAGAGACTTAAAGTATGGTTTGAAGTAGACACGGCAGTTTTCAATGTATTAAGCCGCGAGACCATAGGTTTATTGAAAGCTTCATATTCATGGAAAAATCCAGAACGGTCATAAAACCCTGGTTCATTATCATATTCTGCCGCAGTATCATAGAACTCTCCTTGACGTACAGTATCTAATTCTCTGTGACTAAAGCGATCTTTATCTTCCAGTGACATGCTTCTCAAACACAGTTCAAATGAAAAATTTGTCTTCAAACTATCTGCAGAAGTTTTGCTTAAAGATTCAACTTTGTTGAAACACCTTAGTATGGACTTGATAGAATTACGACTCACAACCCGAGCTGTCATCGATGCCATAATGAACTGATCATTAAACAGAGTGACATATTCCGAAAACTTCGGCATATTTTGAAAATAGCCAACTAATTGTTGTGAAATAAAACACCACTCAAATAATAGTGCAGCTTCAGACTGGTAGATTTGATTACCAGCTTCTATTATCGATGGTAATAGTACTTGTAAACGTTTATTTTCACCCATTTCAGAAACAGTACCAGGATTCAGCTTCAGTTGTAAATGCTTCTTCATTACGATGAAATTTTGAAGCTTGCTGTAATTATATTGTAAAGCTATAATTTCACTAAACTCACCTTCATATATGTCATTAGTACAACAAGGGACTTTAACACAGATAGAGTTACCACATATCCATGAAATAAATTCAGGCAATGCTTCTAGAATTTCAAAATTACCCAATGAAATACAATATTCAATTGCTTGATTCCATTTTGATAAAAACCAATCTTGTGCTCTTGGTAAAATCTCAAACTTTTTGGGAAGATTCAAGTCTTTCTCAACCTTAAATATAGAATACCAAAATTGAAAGCTTTCAAAGCAAATGGTACTAGGACCATTTATTTCCGATAAATCGATCAAGTTGTCCAATTGAGTTGTAATTGATGCATCTATGAGCTTTGATAAGCTATCATCCGATCTTCGTGAGATTATCGTGTGAATTAAATTAGATGGAACCTCAAATCCAAATTTATTGACTAGATTTAAATTTAACTTTAGCAATTGCAGCACATATCTCAAATTTAACTTCTTATCAGTGAAATATTCATTCAACAGGACTGACCCTTGCAATAAACATGTACTTGATAAACTTGACCAAAATGAGATGGCATTGTTCAGGAAAGTTGATAATATTCCTTGTAGAAGTAAATTCTTATCAAAAAGTCTTTGGTCATCGTTTGAATTCAGAGGAATATCAAAAGTAGTATTGTCTCCCAATACGGTATCATTGGGACCTGAAATGACATCACATGATGATGAAGTTGACGGATCCCTTTCATTACTCTTTGTCGAAACTGTAAAATTATCTCGTTCAATGTAAAAGGTCAAAAGTTGCAATCCAGTTAACTGTAAGAACGCGATATCTGACAGGATAAGTTTATGATAAAACTGAAGTGAGTTAGTCGAATCCTTCAAGAAGCTACTGACACTAGTAGTCTTTTGCCGCTTTATAGATCTTTCATGAGGACTTGAGCTAGTTAGTTCGAGCTTTGCTAAATAATATGAATCAATTAATTTAGCTAATCCTAATCTCAACATCCAAGGAAAATGATTATTTGATTTTAAATATATCGATTTTAACTTAAACCAACTTAAAAGATGGTCGTCAGTATGAATCAACCCGATATCGGAATCAACCAATTTATAATCCATTGATGTCATTCTATCTACTAACAACTGAATCACAGCACCAATTCTAAGAAGAAACGCTTGATCAGTATCACCTGGGATAAATCGTTTAGCTTTCTGTACAGCCTCTTCTATATCTGACGTTATTGATATTTGATCGTGCTCCATTGAATGTTCTTCAATATCCATGTCATCATCTAATATTGAAGCAGACTTACTAGTAACCTTTGGTAAGTGGTTGATGAATAAAAAGTCATGGGTAGCATTTAAATTTAAGAATATTAAGTATTCATTTCTCAATTTATCCCATTGAGTTGTGCAAATAGATAACGTTATCTTCACACCAAGTTTTATTAATTTATTTACAAAATGGAAATCTTCTGTAGCAGTTGTAATAATCAATTTGTTAATGATCTTGAAAACGGTAATGATTAATAAACATTCTTTAGGTATAGATGATATTGTTCTTGATAATAGGTCTTCCAATCTAAGATAATTTGATTCATTATATATATGAGTATAACTAACGGAGACTGAAGTATCACATTGTAGCAAATTTCTTAAGGCTAGATACGTGTCCGATAGTATTTTCAATTGATTGTTTCCATTTCCATTATGATAATTTGAATCATTGGTCTGGTTTTCATTTGAATTTGGATCCAACGATGAACTTATAATTCTCAATAAGAAATTATATATATTACTCCAATCTTCATACACCAAATGTTCTTTAAAGTAATTCTTTTCCAATATATGGGTTATAATCCATAAATAATCCATGAAACATGGTACGAAGAATGAATCATCAACAGGATCGAAAAATCGGGATATTATTCTCTCTATAGTATCTAGATATGCTTTGAATTTTATCTTTAGATTCTGAGATTTTTCAAATAATGATCGTATGAATGATGAAGCTTTTCTTAATCTTTGTTCAGCTGTGCTAGATGGATTTCCGACGTAAATCTTAGTTTCAATGTCAATTAGATCAAACAACGATCGTATGAGAAGATTGAATACTTTGGGAGTTAAATCTAAATTATGGAATGATATTTGTTCCAAAGCATTCAAGGACTGATTTCTTAATGAAATTTTTGGTGAAGTTAAGTATTCAACTAGTTTTAAGGCATCAGGAGAACCTCGCAGTAGTCCTAGATCAGACAATGGAGTCAATTCTCTCATGCCTCGTCCTGAATATGATGCACCATCCATTAAGGTTTGAAGTAGCCTTTGTAGCTTAATTTTGAACTGTCTATCGCTATACCAAAAAAAATAGAGATATTACACGCTAATTTTTTTTCATTACCACAAAGTGCATAATCCTACAGATTGCAATTAAACTATTTGCAACATATTTTTATCAGGTATCAAAGTTATATTAGAAATTAAGCAAATACTAATTATCACAAATGACTTTGAAGTCTACATATATCCGAAGAGAGTTGTCATAATTCATATCATACAACGAAATACAAATTTGTTACACGTCTTAATTAACTTTATATATACTTATAATAACCTACTTAACGCGTCAATTTCAATAGGAAGATATCACAAGAAACTAAACTACAAAGCTATATGAAACCTAATGGAAACAATTATCTAACTCGAATGTTAGGTGTATGGATATAAGCCATAACATTAAAGTTTGCACTACCATGTGTTACTTTTTTTTTTTGCATTGTCATATCCCAAAACGGAAATCATTGTAAAACAACCAATCAACACAACTTACAGAATGGCTGCAACAAGAAACAAATATAAAGATGAAGAATTAGACCTACTGATTGAAGTAGAATTAATCAGTTTTCAATTCAATATCCCTTCATCATGACTGTCATAATGTTGAATCCTGCCGTATACCAATTGGATTCAGATATTGAATCGAATCCTGTAGAGGAAGATCATTATACTTCCAGATCTAACAAATGCAGTTGTGAATCTTGTGAATTCATTAATGATAACTATCAGAAAGCTGTTAAATTGTTGGTATGGGGGATTTTATTCCCACCGTTGTGGATATATGGATTATGGATATTAATGTATGGTTTAGTTTGGAAGAGTCATGCTACTATCAGATACGACCAATTTATCGAAGTATTTAAATCAAGAATTTTCAACAGAGACGAAGAAGCCCAATATGACTTAGAGAGGAATATAATCAGTGGTGATGATATGTATATTAGATATCATGACACATTGAGAGATAAATTCCTGACTTTAATAGGATACACACTACTTGCAATTATCATTTCCAATATCATTGTCGTACTTTTTGTTTTTGGTATCAGAAGTGAACATCTCAAATATATCAACGATGTTAATTCAGGTTTAACTAAAGATACCAGTCGTATTAACTATGGAAGTTAAAGTCCTGTGATATGTTTTGGATACGTCTCCCTTTTTTGACTTCTATCGCAACCAACCAAAATGTCAGATACGAGTCAGAAAAACATTTTAACTCTGACACAGATTTTCTTTTTTCATGTGCAGAGTCAAATGGTCCGTGTTTAGAGAGATGTAAATTTATATATACCAGAGAATATAAGGTTTGATTCAAATTTTTCAACATATATTTAATTCTTCTTCTTTGTAGTTGTTACTCTACTATTTCATATCATTCATTAATCAATTCATTCAAAAAATCATGTTAAGAACCAGCATTAACAAAAGATTCTATTCTAGTGCCTCAGAAACCTTACTCAAAACCCCATTATATGATGCCCATGTACAATTAGGAGGTAAGATGGTCCCATATGCTGGGTTTGAAATGCCAGTGTTATATAAGGATCAATCTCATATAGAAAGTCATAATTGGGTTAGATCCAAAGTTGGTTTATTCGATGTCAGTCATATGTTACAACATACTGTAATTGGAAAAGATTCTAGTAAATTATTACAAAAGATTACTCCTATTGATTTATCAAGTTTAAAACCTTTCCAATTTTCATTATCAGTATTATTGAATGATAAAGGTGGTGTTATTGATGATTGTATTATTACCAAACATGATGATAATCATTATTATGTCGTTACCAATGCTGGATGTAGAGCTAAAGATATTGCATTCATTAAGAAAGAAGCTTCACAATTTAATGATATTTCACATGAAACATTTGAAAGTACTTTATTAGCTATTCAAGGTCCAAAAGCTCAACATGTATTACAAAAATTCACTAATGAAGATTTATCCAAGATTTATTTTGGTAATGCTAAATTTGTTCAATTACATAACGGTCAATTAATCCATTTAGCTAGATCTGGTTATACTGGTGAAGATGGATTTGAATTATCTATTCCATCAACTACCCCAGAAGATGCCAAATCTGCTCAAGACTTTTTCCAAACTTTGATCAATGAATATCCTGACTTAGTTAGACCAATTGGGTTAGCTGCTAGAGATTCTTTAAGATTAGAAGCCGGTATGTGTTTATATGGTCATGAATTAAATGAAGATATCACTCCAATTGATGCTTCATTAGCTTGGTTAATTCCAAAATCAAGAAGAGATGATGTAAACATTCGAATCAAAGATGGATTCAATGGTGCTTCTACTATTTTACAACAAATTAAGAATAAATCAACCACTTCAAGAAGAATCGGTATAACCTCTAAGGGTCCATCCCCAAGAGATAATAATAAAATCTTTAGTGAAGATGGTACTACTGAGATTGGTTATATTACCTCGGGATCTCCATCTCCAACCTTAGGAGGAAATGTTGCCCAAGCCTTCATTGATAAGAAATTTAAGATTGGATCTAATGTGAAGATTGAAATCAGAGGTAAAAAGAGAGATGGTGTGATTACTAAATTACCATTTGTTGAAAGTAACCTTTACAAGCCATAAAGGAACTTATAGTCTAGATATAGTGTAGTTAATACAGTTTAAATATATTTATAAATGCAAAAAAACTATAACGCGAAATTGCAACAAAGGTGATGTGTAACATGGAGTAATCGTCATGTTGCAAGACGTCATAACAAGTAGTAATAGAACAAAATGTTTTACATAAGATACTACCCAAAGGAGTTAAATGAAGACGATATTAATAATCTCGTCAATTGGTAATGGGCTAAGTCGGTTCGGTTAGTATTTAATATTTCCTCATACGCGTTAAACACAGGCTACACGAAAAATTCAAAATAAACAGTGCACTGCTAACAAAAAAAAATTAAAGTATGGGGAACTCCAGAAAAGACTCCTTCCAAATAAAATCGTGATTGTGTAAAATAAGAAAATTTTGATATATCGTTTGTATATAGTTTATATATCACTGTATTTCTATAGATTTGAAGGTTTCAATTGATAGTTGAGTTCATCCACATTCATATAAGAACACTCGTTATAGATACTATGTCATCATCTTCAAATACTTCATCACCTACTAAGAGATTCGCGTTATCTCCAAGACCATCAAATGTATTGTTATTATCACCAACTAGAAAATCTCCTTTAAAACAAAGTAACAACAATGTTAATAGATTATCTCCTTTGAAGAAGTTTGTATCGACTACATCATCATCTAGTTCTCCCGTACCATCTAAAAAGCCTAAATTAAACTTCACAATCTTTGAAGATAATCCAGTATCAACAGAGGATTCAACAGTAGACCAACAACTACAAGAAGAAGAAATCACCAATAAATTAAATCATAACGATCAAGAGAACATCTTACAACCAAGCAAACAAATCAAATCAAGATTGACTCCTAAGAATGTGTCTTCAAGTTATAGAAAACCATTATCTAACTTGAGTATTAATGAATTCCCAGGTTATATAACCACTATGAATGGCTCAGCATCCATCACAAATGCATCATCATCATCATCATCACAATTAACTGAATTATACCAACCCATAAGCTTCAACAATGAGTTCAAGTCATTACATAAATTCCAAAATATACCAAGTTATTTAACTCCATCCAGAAGAAATAAATTTTCAGCAGCTGCTAATAAGTTCTTATACTATACCAACAATAAAGTATTTGAAGATGATAATGATGCTGAAGCCGAAGTTGATGATGACGTTGAAGTTGATGAAGTGGAACTCCACTTACGTAATAAGTATAATCATAATCATATGAGAAAACATAAACGTTCATTCTCTGTAGGTACTAATGATTCAAAATTGAATTTAATCAAAAAGAATAACTTCACCATCTTATCTAATTGATCTTTAGTATCCTCTTTTATATAATTTTTGCATTCATCTCTTTCTAATTTAGTTATACTCTTTAGAGTATTGATACCCTTCTTTTATTTCACTAATATATATCATGAATTTAAGCCATTTGAATTGTATAGAAATATGATAGTTTGTCATTGCTTACTTATTTTTTTGCAACAGAGCCGCACATTCCTAATTTGGAACCATAACCTTTAAAGTGCAAAATTTAAAACTATAGTGGTTACTGACCAGATTTTACTATAAATACATCGATATATCTTCTACAAAACAAGGTTATGACTTTCAAAATATTCTGAATATTACATCTATATACTGTGGAATGAATTAAACTAAACTATTCAACAATCAATGCTTTTAAGCAAAAGCCTTTTCATAATCAGTGAAGACAAATCTATATCTGACATCACCATTGTCACATCTAGTTAAAGCGGAATTACAACCAGCTTCACTGATTGGAATTTCTTCAACCCAAGGTTTAACACCTTTTTCAGCAGAGATCTTTAACATTTCAAGAGCTTCCTTTTTAGATCCTAATAATGAAGAACCAAATGAAGAACCATGATGTAAGAATGAAAATGGAGAGATTTCAAAAGTATCTTTAACAGGTGGTAAACCAACTGAAACGAATTTTTGTTGAACTTTCAACGTACCTAAGTAATCAGATAAATTAATACCATCAATACCAGAGGCACAATTTAAGATGAAATCAAAAGTATCAGCATATTCAGTGGTCCAATTTTTATCTTCAGCAGTGGCAATGAATTCATGGGCACCTAATTTTTTAGCTTGTTCCTTTTTAGATGAAGTTCTTGAGAAAGCAACAACTTTGGCACCTAAGGCATTAGCATATTGAACGGCTAAATGACCTAAACCACCAATACCAATAATACCAACGGTTTTACCAGTGGCATCATAACCAATGTTTCTAACTAATGGAGAGAAAACAGTTAACCCAGCACACATTAAAGGAGCAGCATCAGATGAAGATAAAGCTTCTGGGATTGGGAAAACAAATTGTTCATGGGCAATGGAATGAGATGAGTAACCACCTTGAGTTTCATAATTGTCAGCTTTAGTATCAACAGCATTATAAGTACCAACACCATGAGTACAATATTGTTCATTATCAGATTTACATCTTGAACATTCAGAACAAGAAGAAGAATAAGCACCAATTCCAACTCTGTCACCGATTTTGAATTCAGTAACTTCTTCACCAATAGCAATGACATGACCAACGATTTCATGGCCAACAACTTGATCTTTTCTATTGAATTCACCCCATGATGATTTTAAAGTTAAGATATCAGAACCACATAAACCACAACAGACATTCTTGACGACAACATCCTTTGGATTAATCTTTTTTCTGGCATATTCGACTAACTTTGGTTTATTCCAGTTTTCTGGTGAATCAACACCATAACCTTTAAATGTAGCAGGAACAGTTTCAACAGTCATTGTAGTTTGAATTGATATAATTAATTTATAAAACTAATTGAATAATTAAAACAAGAAGAAGAACTAGAAAAAATTTTTGAATAATTATAAATTAAATTTATCCAGGGGGGGAAGATAACTTCATTTTTATAGTTTGTGTCCCACCACTCGCAACGCAAACCGTTTTTTCATAATTGTTGTCAAATTAATTGCTGCTGCTGCTTATATTTCCATCGTTAGTTTTTGTGTTAGGGATAAATTTTGATGGGAAAGTGGGTATAGTAACTAAAAATTTATTTAAATCGTTCCGAGAGATTTTACAATTACAATTCTATAGCTAATCTCATCTGCTGCTGCTTAACAATGGTAATTGCCATGGGATATGAAACAGGATAAACTTCTCAAAGTGCTTCAATTGCTTTACTGATTAGACTTTTATCGCATATAATTAGTAGGCAGGCCCCTAGTGAGAAAAATGATCCCCCAAACTTTTTTTTACTAGCGATTTGTTGGAGAGCTGGTGGTTGTTACTGTAATGTTACATAACGTTTACTAATCAATTTATATTTTATTATTTGACTATTTATAGTTTAACCCTATTTTTAATTAACAAGAAGTTCTACCCAGACAAATTTGTTCATCTTCCTCTGAACTACTCCGCTTTTCGATCTGATCCTTTTAAATTCTGTAATTTTACGTCCGCCTTACGTATGTCCACTTGATTCAATTATTCCGAGCATTATCTATCCATGGTTCGGTTTCATATAATTGATACCCTGGTTACTCTAGATACGAATTCATTCATCACAATCCCTGTTGTCCAATAATTGCACATGGAATGTCAAAGAATTATTTCTCCTATCAAATTTTATATGTCTCAAATGGGGCAGCGGCTTGTCTTGGCTTGTCGGAGAACTTTTTTTTTTTTTGAGACGATCGAATAGGGTAAAGTTTCCAAATTAGGAAGCGTAGCCCCCACCTCTGATTTAGTCGGCTGCCCCACTGAAAAGGCTTCAGGACAAGACAATAACGGAGGATTAATTAAGCTATAACAATGGTTCCACTTCCTATAAATCGATTGCAAATGACATGACTAAGTAAGAAAGTATAATTATTTGGCAACCATTTAATACAAGTATCAAGTATTGGGAAGTTTACCTAAATATTGATAACATTTTAACTGCTTCAATTCGAGTCCGATTATATTTTTAGCCTAATTACGACAGTTTCACAATACAACGGCTAAACCATGATTAAATTAATAATATTGTACATTACTATTAAAACGGTTTAAAAATGTTTTATATACTGACTGAAATCATCGTTTACTTTTTACCCTTCTTCTTCTTTTTATTCTTACTGCTACTAGAGGTATTAGTGGTAGTAGTAGAAGCAGAAGTTGGAGCAGGAGTAGATGCAGCACTGGCAGTTGGACTTTCAACTACACCTTGATGACTACCTTTCTTTTTATCCTTCTTACTTGGTTTATAATAAGATCTTAATTTCATAGGTAACCATCTTTCGTCGTCAATGGTGAATTGACCTTCTGGTTTAACCACTTTTGTTGGACCAAACTTAGCTGCCTTCTTCTTCTTAACTACTTTATTTTCATTAATCTTTCTTGATTTTGTAGTGGCTGAAGTAGGTTTTGGAACGGATGAAGTGGATGATGGTAATAATTCTTCAATATTAACTTGTAATAAATCTTCAATTGAAGTAGAGTTGGTGGATGATTGACCTGAAGCGATTAATTCTTGAGTTGATAATAATGAATCAGTTGAATTTAATAAGATGGAGGAAATTAATTTATCATTTTTAATGATTTCATTCAAGGATTTAAATAATTGAATTGAATTTTCTTGTAAAATTGGATAATTTAATGATTTAAATGAAATTAACTTTATGAAATTGAAATAATTCAAATCTTGTTCAATCAATTTTGGTTCAGTATTTAAAAATTTAGTAATTAACTGATTTAAATAATCGACAAGTTTCTTTTGATTATTATTCTTTGCACTATTTTCTAAAATTTGAATTAAAACACCATGTAAAGCAGGTGTCAATACTTGTTCCTTTTCAAGTTCAAGGTTAATCACTTCTTCCAATATCAATAATGATTGATCGAAATTTGAGGATTTATCATTAACGAATACTAATAATAAAATAGCAAGCTTTAACTCATTGGATAAATCTTGCACTGTTTGTGATTTAATATATCTGAATAATTTCTTACCAATAGCTTTCCATTTAGTGGCATCATTTAAATCCTTGATTGATATTTCTAAATCAAGTAATATCTTATACGCTAATGGTAAATAATCTCCAGGATAATCTTTAATGTATTGATTAATGAATTTTGAATTTAATTGAGAGGTTGATAAAGTCCCACTTAAGTATCTTAATAAAAGATTATTCTTATGTAATATTTGATATTGAAATTTAGTTAATTTACTATTCAATTGTTGTAAGTTCTTTTGATAATTTATTTCACTATCGATTATATGAGCATTTTTAATTTCATCATTGGATAAAGCATATAAATTATTTCTAATGGTAAGTTTGATAATAGCATCATTAATTGAACTATCGAAATTATTATATTCGTGCAAGATACTTAAACTTTGTTGATCATCTCCTTGTAATTGATAAATGAATGCAATGGTTAATTTGATTGGTAATAATTCAATCAATAAATCAGATGATGACCATTGAGAATTTTGGTCTTGACATAATTGTTGTGATTGTTCAAGATATTTCAATGATTCTGATAAATTATTATTAGATAATTCAATCAAAGCTTCATTAAAATATAAATCATAATTACTTTCGATAGTATCAAATTTAGATTTTAATTGTTTATTTGAATTGAAATTTAATTGTGAAATGACGGCTCTTTCATTAATGATTAAATCAGATTGACTATCATATTTATTGGCTTCAAGTAATTCATGATACAATTGTAATGCGTTTTGATACTCCCCGATCTTATAATAATTCTGAGCTAAGATATGATTCAATCCAAGTTGAATCCCTTCATTATCAATCTTATTCTTTTGATTGGCATATAATTCAAGTAAAGCATCAGATTTACCTAATTTATAATATATGTATGCAACTTCCAAAATCGAATCATTGATTAATTCACTATTGGTTTGATTCACTTTCTTAATGACTTCAAATGCTTTGAAATATTTATCCAAATTAATCAATGCTACTAAACATGATTTAAATGATCTTAAATCGTTAAAGTTCTTAACTCGAGATAAATACTCATATGACACCGTATAAATTTGTTCATGGTCGGACGGCTCAGCACTAGGCGAAACATTCAACTTCTTAAATGCCTCAGCTATAGAGTTACTCATCTTGCTAGCTATGATTCTTCACAGATCTTGAACCACTTTTGATACTGTTAATTTTCATCTTTCATTTTTTTTTAAAGGTTGTTGTTCAGTTAATGGTCGTGTGGAGATTGAAAATTTTTTTCCTCATAATGTCGACAGTTGATCACTTTAATGTCGGACAAGATTTTGTTGATGTCGCACTTCGATCTTTACGTCACTATCAACAATCACACTTATCACTCATATAGTATAACTACGTTGTTCAATGTTATTTAGTAAAAGACATATTATTTTACATTAATAGTTTCATATAAAGCACTTTTTAAATATTTATAGAGTGGATGACTTTTGAATTACTTTTTTATAATTGTTATAATTTTCCTTGTGTAAGAAAGGTATTAGCGTCTTTTGACCAGTCATGACCTTTAGTACCTCTAATCATGACATTCATTATAGCATAATCTTGACCTTCAACTGCATTTTTAACATTTGGATTTCCTAATACGATATCTTCATAAACTTTGAATCCAAATCTTTCATAAATTGGAATATTATCAGGAGATGAACTTTCTAAATATGAAATATTATTATCACTAACATCAATATAGTTATTGAACATATATTCAAACATGGTTCTAGCATTACCTTTACCTCTGGCTTGTAAAGTTGAACCTAAGTAAACTAAAGTCCATACCCCTTTATGTCTTAATCTTGAATCATTGGTAAGGATTCTTTCACAAGAATCATGCAATAATGGTAACATTCCATAAAATATTTTATCACGACCTTCATCTCCAAATAAATTCCAAACTTTATCATAACCAGATTGCATTAAATTTCCAAATGAATCTAATCCTCTTTCAACTGATGTTGGAGTTGACCAAATAGCTACAGTTTCAAATCTATCTTCAGATTCATTTATACCTAAACATAATCCTTTTGACATATGTTGTCTGAGATATGCTTCATAAAGAGCTAATTCACATCTATCTTTTTCTTCTTGAGTTGGAATATGACAAACTAATAACTTAGCTAAGGAATCGGTTCTGAATGAATCAAGTAAAGTTATAGCAGCTTTACGAGTATCATTAACATTTAATATTCTTATAGTACTTTTTGACTTGGTAGTGCTTATCTTTGTGGTAGTGCTGGAAGCAGTGGAAGTATTACTTTGTTTTGTGAACAGTATAGTTTCGGTAGACATGATTGATATATATTATATTATATTATATTATGATTTTGACGTGTTTATTTGACTTTGACTATGATATATAACTTATCATCAATAGAATTTCTAGTGTATGTTGATAGTTATGGCTTTATCTCTTTTTTCTAATCTGTTGAGGAAGATAAGGAATCAAAATATTGAATTGGTTTTAAAACAAGGTTGGTTAACTTTGTATAAATATAAGTATAAGTTATAAAAACTTTTATTTAACAACGATGGGATCCTATATAGTATTTGTAGTGTCCTTTCAACTTCCCTTTCAATTGCCTTATTCAAATAACTCTAAAAGTGGAACAGAAAGCGGTTAGAGATGAAAATGGTTTAAAGGACGCATCAGACCCTTCCCGATCAGGTAATGATGCTTAGTGACCGACGCAAACCTATGTTCCCGATTGGGATGAATGTGCGCATTGTCTCCACTTTTTTTAAGCTCTAACTTTATCAGGATTTTGCGCTAAGACTTTTATAGTAAGTTACTGTTTCACATTTCTGATTCTGTTTATCTATCTTTAAGTATATATATGTAGAAGGAGTGTCTCGGTTTCATTGTTAAAATCCATTTTGATGGCATCTCATTTCTGGGGAAAGGGGGAGATAGAGATCATATCCTATTTAGAACTTAAGGGTCGGCAAATAAACCAATGTGTAGATCTGCAGAACTGTCTCAAAATTTGAATTGAAGTATATATTTATTTTTAGAATACTTTGGGCATGATCCTTGAAACTCCTCTTCTTTACGACAAGCTTTCACCCTTGTTAGCGGATTAAGCTTTAAAAAGTTTTGGTGAAATTGATGATGTTCTATTCTTTATGCGCTCAAAATACCGTTTTAAGGGACTGTGGTGTAGGTCTTTACAGATCCTCACTGTAAATTTTATTCAAGAGGAGAAACCCCCTTAAACTGATTTGAATAACTAGAACTTTATACTTGATGAGCGGATAACTGATTTTTCTTTATTGCTCCAAATAATTACTTATAATTCAAAGTGAGAAGGTGCATTTCATAGAATTTTACTGCAAATTAACTGTAAAAAGTGCTCTTTATCCAATCAATCAATTAAGCAGTTTAGCAGATTGATATTTATCATGTTGTAAGATTTAGTTACCTTCTAAATTCCATATCAATTGGATGCTAGCTTCAATCCGATAAGGTATAGATTAAACTCTTGGTGTAGAAGTCTTATAAATCAGTTCAAATTACACAAAACTAAAAGGTAGCACAAATAAAAAATAGAAAAATATATCAAAATATCGTAATCATCTACATTGATACAACAGTATAAAGTATAGCTCCATATCACAATGTTCAGTTCACTTCTACCTCCACCGAAGCATTCATCATATACCAGAGATTCGAGTTCATCTCTCATAAAAATATCAAAACCAAAAGCAGATAAATTATCTCAAAAAGTGCTAACATTACCACAATCATCATCATCTACCTCATCAGCCATAATACAGACAAATCAAGAAGATGGATCCATATCAAAGCTCGTGATTAAAGATGACGGATCTATAGATTATAGTCAAACCATAGCATTGGCAAACAATAAGGATAATCGATCAGTACAGACCACATATGAAGATACGATTCCATTGAAGAAACGATATCCCAATTTAAAACATCATTTTCCAAGATATACTTTACAAACTTGTCCTGATGATTCAATACAGAATTGTGTTGATGAAACCAAAGATGTCATAACTAATATAATGAACGCCAAACTAGGTATAACCAAAGATAAATCCAAATCAGATGTGAATATTATAAAATATACTTCAAATGATGTATTAGGAATTAATAATGATGAAAGAGAAGGTAGACCACAAGAACGTATAATTCAAGTTCGAGAATATATGGAAGATCCAATGTTACCACCTAAATTCAAATTAAGAAAGAATAGACATAAGAATCCTTCACCACCTCCGCCAATATTAAAGAATGTCAATGCTTCAGAATCAAAAATAACTAAAGAAGATCGTGAAAAATGGAAAATACCAGCCGCTATTTCGAACTGGAAGAATAATCAAGGGTTCACCATATCATTGGATAAAAGAATCATTGCTGCTAATGGTGGAAGTGAGACGGAAATAGCTCCTGATGCAGTTAATATTCAAAAATTTGGTGAATTATCAAATGCATTAGAACAAGCTGATAAACAAGCTCGAGAAGATTTAATTGCTAAACGAGAATTAGCAAAGCAAAAGGCTATAGAAGAAAAAGCTCAAAAGGAATTACAATTGAAACAATTAGCATCATTATCTCAACATGAAAGAAAACGTCATCAACAATATGATTCTTATGAACCTACAAATTACAAGCGTCATAAATGAAATATAAAAAAAAAGAAACGACTTTATAGATTGAATTAAATATATATATATAATACAGATTATTTATAGTTATAGTACAGATGTGTTAACGTTTCGTACGCTTTGAATGTTTTGATTTCCATTTATCACCACCATCATATAATGATTTATCAAATGATTCTAAAGCCTTTGAATTAACCCATTCCAATACTCTTGATAAATCTCGTTCTTCTCTTTTTTCTTTTAATTGTTGATGTAATTTAGATGCAAATTCTTGTAATTGACTAATATCACCAAATTCAACTACATCATTGACACTATTAATCTTTTGCTTCTTTCTGGGGGTGAATTTTCTTCTTAAATTACGTTTTGGACCTGGAGATATATCATCATCATCTTCAATTTCAGCTTCTGCTTCTTCTTCATCTCCTCCATTTTCAATTGATTTGATCTTTTGAACAATCTTCTCAATATCATTTTCAATATTAACTTCCTCTTCAGGAGTTTTATCTAACCATAAGGCTTTTCTACGAGCTTCAATAGACAGAACTATAGCATCTTTAACAAGAGCTAATTCTTTCTTTAATTGAGATTCACGCTTACCCCAAGGATTCAACCATGAAATCAATTTTGAAATTTGATCTGGTTTATCATAGAATCTCCAATTAGACCCATTAATTAAAGGATCAGAATATTCTTCAATAGATTTTCTTTGAAATGGTGTTAATATTTGTGATTTTTCATATGATATTAATGCACCTTCATGATCAATAATTACTTCATCCCCTTTTAAAATTTGATTGGAAGTGAAATTAAGATCATATAATTTAGATACAGTTTTGGTGAATGGGACAGGTAATTTAGTGAAATCCATGTGTTTAATTTGAGTTTTTCTTTCTTTTGGAGGAGAATTACTCGAATCACCATCAACTGTTGGTTCTTGTTTAACATCTGATTTCTCTTGTTTGATGGTTTCTTCTTCTTTCACATCAATTACCTTTTCATCAATTTTTTCTTCCGCTTGTTTATTTAAATGCTTTAAAAATTCTTCAAATTCAAAATTAGAAAAATCTTGATTGAATTGATCACTATCTTCATAATTAGTTTTGAAATAAATTCTTAAATCATCATCAGATGGACCTTGAATCCATAACTTACCCATTAAATAAGTTTCTTCCAAGACTTCATCTTTACCATCATCATCATTAGTATCATCAACCTCTTTTTCCTTAGTTTCTTCTTCATTTTCATCTTCATCGTTGGTACCACCATGTAAGGTTGGTAAACCATTATTTTCAAACCACCAATACCTATTAAATAAACGATCTTTACCTAATAATTTAACCCTTTGACAATCCAATTCAGTTAATTTCTTTTCGATTTCTCGTTTATCTAATTTTAATTGTTTTAATTTTAATAAAGAATCAGTTCTTTCATGCCATAATTCTTTAAAAGTAGTATTTTGTTCAGAAAATGCTTTTTCAATCTCAGTCATTTCAAATGCTTGATAATTTAATCTTGGTCTTCTATTAATTGTATTACTATTTGAAGTTGTAGTAGTAGCAGTTGTAGCAGAACCATTTTCAGCAGCTGGAACAGGTGCTGGAGTTGGAGTACTAACAGCAACTTCATCAGTTGATTTATTATGTTCATGTAACATATCAACCATGATAGCATTCACTCTTTGAGCATTTTCAAGACTAATTTTATAATCTCTGATATTATCTAATCTATTTCTTCTTAAATTAGTTGATGCATCCAAACATTCATCAATATAACTTCTAACTTTAGTACCACTAATTAAAAGGTCTACTAAAAGTTTTAAAACTTTAAATTTTAAATTTATATCAACTTTTTCATAAAATTGATTTAATACTGTAGAAGGGGTAGCAGGTAAATCTTTTGGAGCTAAAACATGATATAATTTTTCAATGATTGGTTGATAAGTTGGAACATATTCAACTTGAGAAAGTAATCCTAATAAAATACATTGCCAATTACCATCTTTAAAATTTCTTTTACGAAGTCTATCATCCCAAGATGAATTTCTATGATTCATAACGATATAAGCATTGTGATCAACATCATCTGCTTGTTCCATATCTTCATCTTCATCTTCATTGTTTTCTTCATTATCTTCATTTTCCTCTTCTTCTTCCTCTTCATCTTCACCATCGGCATCTTCATCATCGACATCAATGGTTTCTTCTTTCTTTGTCCCATTCAGTGATTTTGATCTTGATTTAGATGACTTTTTAACAGTAACAGTATCTTCCTCATCATCATCATCTTCTTCTTCATCATCTTCACTCTTTAAAGTTTTTTCTTCATGTTCACTTTCTGAACCTCTTTCATCATCATCATCTCCTTCACCATCTAATTCCTTTTTAGCAGTATTTGGAGTTATAAATGAATCTTTAGGAGGTAAATGAATTTGTAATCCAAAAATAGTATCTTTTTCTTTAGCAGCTGCCAATTCTTTACCAGTTGGTAATTGATTTGACATAAATGCACTTAATATAGAACACCAAATTTCATCTAATAATTCACATCTCCCTAATTCATTGAATTGATCTGAATTCCATCCCATAGCATAAATAAAATCATCAAAGGTAAATGTATCCAAATTTAAAGCTGAATGATATACATTGATAAATATCCATGATTGTAAAGCTTCTTGAACAGCACTTACTTTTGGAGAACTTAAAATTTTAAGATCATTTAACGCTTCAGGAGTGAAATTATTAATATCAAATTCATCATCATTACCAAGTTTAGTAGTTATTTTTCGATTTGGTTTAACATCCTCTTCTTCTTCATTACTATTTTCTTCTTCTTTATTATTAATTTCATTAGTTAATTCTTGAATTAAATGTTTATTCCAAGATTTAGCATTTTCAGGTAATAATAAAGCTTGAGGAGAAGGTTTGGGATTTTGAATATCAAATTTAATTTCCAAATCATTAGTTATATGTTTTTTAGTTGGTTGAAGACTACTTGAATTAATAACATTTGAAGTAGTAGTAGTTATAGCAGTTCCACCATTAACAGTTGGAGTTGAACGTTCAGATATAAATAAATCATCATCTAATTCAAGATTTTCAGGTAAATAATGAGCTGGGAATTTCTTTTTAAGTAAGATTTGTTGTTGTTGTAATTTTTGTTGTTCTTGTTGTTGAAATAATAATAATTCCTTCTTTTGCTTTTCTTTTAATTCTAAAGCAGCTGCTTTTTGAACAGCAGCAATTTGTCGAGCCGAATTTGGATTAACTCTTCTTTTACTACCAGCTTTTGGCCCAGGCTTTTTCCGAATTTTTTTATCTTCATCACCAGTTTCTTGTTGAAAAACATAACTATGACCATTTTTACCATTTTTAATTCTCAGATTATTTGGATGATCTTTAATAATATTTTCACCTGAAGGAGTTGAATCAGCATATTGAATTAAATCTTCAGGATAAACTTGAGGAATTCTATATTTTTTAGCAAATTTATCTTTAACTACCCAAGGAGCATTTACTTTATGAGATCTTGCCATAGTTAATTTTATAAAAGTTTTAATTAACCATTTTGTAAAATGATTTCTATCTCTGGCGATTTTATCCGGAGTTACAATTGATTGTTGCATATCATTTAATCTAACTACTAAATATTTAGTAGTTATTGAATCACCTAATCTTTGTTGAACTTTTTCTCTAACCACACCTCTTTGTTTAATTAAGGGTTGATTTTCTTCATCATGTTCAATTTCATCCGAACTTTGAATTTGAGGAGGAGGAGGAAGAGGATTATTATTACTATGTGAATCATTAGTAATAGTAATATTTTTCTTTAAAGAATTATAATCAGTTAAAGAACCTTTTATAAATATAGTTTCACCGGGAAAGAAATCATTTTTAAATACCAGATAAACTTTATCAACTAATTGATCTAATCTTGTAATTCGATTAAATTGTAAGAATCTTAAGATATGTTCTCTTAAAGCTTCAGGGAAATTTCTTTCAACACCTTCAATTTCTTTTGCTTCTGATTCTAAAGCTTCAAAAAATGTAAGACAAGAATTTCCAGTTATTTCACATACGAATTTCTTACGTTTAAAATAATCCATTCGATTTAAATAATCTTCATAATTAATAAACCATTCTTTAGTTTGAGGGATATAATAAACTTGAATTGAAGTATCTTGAGGTATTTGAGGTGAGGAAAGAAAACTAACTGGTTTTCGTTTATATAACACCATGATAATGATGATGATATACGATGAGATATAGTTGATTTGATCTTAGATAGGATTAGATTTGATTGATTATAGTTTGTCTATTAGGTATAGATTGTTGTGGTGGAAAGAATAATGAAATATTAATAGAAAAAAAAAGTTATCGATGAATAAAAACGATAAACCTAAAAAGTGGATATAATTTAAAATAATTGACTTTTGTTATAACTTTTGTTGTTGTTGTTGTTGGGGATGAAAGAAAAAAGAAAAAATAGCTATACCGTACCGTACAAAAAATTAATTTTAGCGTATAACAAATTGTAAAAATAGTTCCGTACCACAAAAAAAATAATATTCAAAAAAAAAGCGTTATAAATATTTGGCTGTAAATAAGAATAGTGAGGTCTTACAACAATGTGAAACTAGTGGAGAGTAACAGTATTTTGACCAAAGTAAGTGGAATCGATCTAGAGATGATAGATTAGTAGAGTGATCCAATTTATTTGATGATTGTTCGTCAAATATTGATTGATTAATCAGTATGAACTAAACAGTTAGATAAAAAAAAAAATTGACTGCTAAAATTTTAGATTTTGCGCTTAGCAAGATGATATAAATCGGGAAATGATCTTTTCAATAATCGATTGATTGATTGATTGATTGATTATTGATGCTAGTTCAATGGATTAGATTGATTCGATTGATGGGATGAAACAAAGCAAAAGAATCGAATCAAGGGCTGTAAAAAAAACTTAGAAATTGGGAAAAAGAGAAAAAGACAAAAATTGGTGAGAGGAGGAGGAGGAGGAAATAATGGAATGGAATGGAATGGGAAGAGAGAGACAGACAATTTAAAATTTACGCGCAGTTTTTGGTTATATGTTGCAAATCATACTATATACAGGACACGGGAAAATTTCTTTTTTTTCTGGTTAATTTCCATTTTTGAATGGTCTCTATGGACTAATTCAAATAAACTAATTTCTATCACTTTTAAAAAATTTATCTAATTTTCATTAAATTTCATATGGGTCAATTCACACCATATTTATTTTTTTAACAGACTGATCCCAATCAATCACATAGATGGTTGTATCATATCAACCATATATCATTGATTATGTTATTAATATGATAAATCTCCAATTTCTTGCATCCAAATCGGTTACCAAGATTGCAAAAAAGTTGGCCACCGTTTTCACTGCATAGTTAACGAAAAAGACGATCCTGCATATAATCCACGGGTTATTATCACAGCCTTAAAATAGCTATAACAAAACACATATTAATTAAAACGATTAAACTACTCTATAAAAGCACACATACATATGTAGTTTGTTATATACTCCTATTGTCAAACTAAAACCACCCTAACAAATACCAAAATGTTGTAAAGTAGCAAAAACCCAAACTGAAAATGGATTTGGTTTAATTTTAATAATTTCATCTTCTTTAACTATAGAACTAAATTTATCATCATCATCTAATCCAACTTTTTTATTAGCATTTGGATTGGTGATCAGTATAAATGTATGAAATAACCAACTTATAAAGAATTGTCTATAAGTTAATTTAATTGATAAATCTCCATTTTCATCATAATATTCAAAAGCTCCACTACCAACTTTAGATTCATCTAATGGATTAACTTCTGATTCTTGTTCAAGTGATAATTTATGTTGATACATTACATCAGGATAATCACTTATAACTCCATATTCGGGTAATTTGGCCACTCTACCAATTGAATTCACATAATCAAATTGTTCAGTAGTATTAATTGTCCAACTATAAAACTTTAAATTTTGTAATTTTAAAAGGGGGATAAATTTGGTTAAGAATTCAGTCGACCAAGTCAGGAAATATAATAATGAAATACCAGTGATTTTAAAATAACTTCGTTCTTCCCCTCCCTTTTTAGCTTTTAAAGAATCTAAATAAAAATTATAATTAATATATTGAATTGATCTTCTCCAACTTCCACTAATATTAATAATATCAAAATGGTTAAATCCATATTTATTATTAAATTCTTGATTATAAAAAAGATCTTGAAAATATGAATCTTGATTAAAAAATTTGATAAAATTTAAATCCCAAACTCCAAATTGAACTTTATTTAACCACCAATTTAAATCATTTTTAACTGATAATAAATCCTTTATAATAAATCTTAATATCTTAGGTGGATTCAATGGTTTAATATCTAACATGATTTTAAATTTTTCATCAGCATCAATATCTTCCAGTTCATGTTCAATGAAATTAACATACCAAGTTAATAATTGTTTAAATGTAATTAATGGTTGATTACCTTCAATGGTTTTTAAATCTTTTAAATCTTCATAATTTTGTTCAGGAATAATAAAATTAGTTTCATTACCATCTTTATCAATGAAAACTCTCTTAGTACTAATATCATGACTAATAATAAGAATTTGATCTTTGGTTAACCAAGTATCTGTTTCAACTATAGTACCTCCATTTTGAAAACATTTGCCAAATCCTAAAAGCGTATTTTCAGGAAATTTAGCTTTAAATCCTCTATGACCACAAATAACTGGTGAAGTATATGGCATGGTAAAATATGGTAATGAAAGTCTATTTTTAATTTTTCTTAGCGTTATGATTGACAATACAGGAAGTCTATTGATAATCTATCACCTTGTTTGAAATATCTTTTAAAAATAAATGAATGAATAAATAATTTTTTTTGAATTTGCTATTAAGTTCAAATCAAGGGGTATTTATATATACACTTGCAAATAGGGATCAAATAAATTAAACTATCAAACGTTCGTTAGATTGTTAGATTGTTAATTTTTGGGTATGCTATTTTTTATTTTTATTTTTATTTTTATGTTGAAAAACGTGGAGTCAACGTTTAACTATTGCGGTATGGAGTTATGGTCAATTTTGGGTATATCCTCGCTTTATGTAAGTATTAACAAACTATGGATAATAGAACCAGTGCTTGACTCAATATTATGATTCTTGGGAGTTGGTCAGTAATCGGAATAGTACTTATACCCTCTTACTCTACCTCGATCGTCAATATGTCCATCGGCATAGTGACTTTCATTAGCTCAATTTAAAGCCTAGTACTACTATCAATTCTGTTCCTCCTTTCTTCCTCGCTCGTTTGTTCACTCTCGCTGTTTCTCGTCCGAACAAAAGCGGTGTTAAGAAGTGGAGGAGCAGTCTTGTGACTTGGAGCGCATGATCAAACTTATAAGTAATACTATGTAACTATGTATGGGAAAGAGGGTCTACCATATAGTTCCTGGGAGAAACATTTGAATCAATCAATAGTATATGTTGCTTAAATTATATGAGGTCAATAACTACATTGGAATACATTTACTATCATAATTCAGATTGATTAATGTGATATATGTTATGATGTTCAAGTTTGACCATTTAAACAAATTTAAAATTTGTGCTGCAAAAAAATTTAAATTCATACCACTTTTACACCATCATCCATCAATGTCAGTACTGCAACAATGTATATTGAATAGCTTGAATGAGATCAATCAATTGATCGTTGATGGAAATCTAGATGTTAATCTTATCGTTCAGTCTCATCAACCTCCATTATCTTGTACTGAATCATGTTTAAATAAGAATGTTCATAACTTTGTATCCCTTAGTTTTATATTATGTCATTTTGATAAGTTATACATTCATACAAATATCACCAAAAATCATATATCTCAATCATTCTTAACTCATACTGGGGTTCATAACCAACTTATCCAAGTTTATAGATCAATTATTAAATGTATTAAAAATTTCAAATTTGCCGCTTATAGTCCCAATCCAAAATTTAATACCATCATTCGAAATTTAATTAATTTATCATTTGTTTTGAAAATCCCAACCCTATGTGATGAAAATAGAACTTATGTTCATGATAGTAGTGAATTCGTTATTCAATTACCCCCTGATTATCATTCTATCAACCTTTTATCATCTCCAAGAATTCAAACTTATAATGGTAGAGAATTGAACTTGGCCAAATATTATCATCAAATAGTTCCTAATGTGATTCAAAAGTTTTATAACAATGAATTACTTTTTGATGATTTAAGTACTCATTTATCAATAACATTAAATGATTTATCAAAGGTTCATATTCCATTTTCTGTTATCAAACCATTTTATTCTTATTCTGATGTTGATAAATATACCATTATTTACAATCAATTGAATCCTATAATTATTGTTTTACAAGCATTATTTCCAACTATGAATATAACTCCTGTTAGATCCTATCGAATTTTATCAAACAAGTTACAATCAGATTTACATTTAAGTTTTATTTCACCTCATGAAGATGATAATTATATTCAAAAATATACCATACCAATTCAAATTAGATCATCTACCATCTTATCAAAGACTTGTCCTCAACTTTTCAAATGTAAAACCACAAAACAATCTAATCTTTATTTAGCTTCCGAAGTTGGCCTTAGAGATTATATTAATGATTGTTTATATCAAATCATATTAGGAAATACAAATATGGGATTTATAATTGATAATACCAGTTTATTGATTCTTGAAATTCATTTAAAAGCTTATCGTTATTTGGAAGATTATAAAGGTTTAGATACAGAAGCTACTACTTTTAAATTAATTAATTGTTCTATTTATTATGTCGATTTAACCAATTTTAAATATAATCTTCCAACTGCTTTATTACTTTTTCTTAATTGGTATTTCAAAATAATATCAGGTACAGAAATGCATGAAATCAATACCGCTAATAATAGCTTTGATTTATTATTAGAATTAAAGATGAATAAAGAACAAATTAAAGCCCATAATGCTTATAAAACTCATATCGTTCAAGAAGTTTGGGAAAATTCAATGCAGAATTTTCGATTCATGGTACCAGAGAAATATGGAGAGCCAGATAATCGATTAGGATTTAGATTTGATTTAAAACAAGATTGGAATGCTCATATTAATCAATTACTTCAATTTAAAGATTATACCCATAATGTTCGCCATATTCATGAGTTTAAAATTATTCAAAAGCAACATTATGATTTTTATCTGATTTTTAAAGTTCAAATAAAAGATCATGATAAAGGTATTACAACTCCTGTATTGGATTTAAAAATCTATAATATTATGGATCAATCAATTTTATTCAATTCATTATCGGATATTAATTTTCTCATAAATTTTAATATCATTACAACTATGTATTTAAATGATTTATTATTAATGCATGGTATAAGAGAGAATAGAATAACTTTAGAACAACATGCTAAAATTCTGACTCAAAATCCTAAGTATTTGATTGATATTGAAAAATCTCTTCAAGGATTTCCTTTAATTGCAAATTGGTTTGAAAGTGGGAAATTACAATCAATTAAGAATAATTATGTGGGGTATTATATTTTAAGTGAAAGTATTCCAAGTAATGAAGGTCAGTATATTAATGTGAGTAGAAAAGTTAAGAATTCTGTATTTCTATTTCATCTGAGGAAAATGACATTAGGAAGAGATATGAAGAAATATATTTATAATAATGAAAGAGATCGAGTCTTTTTTAATCAATTAGAATTATCCAAGTTACACTATGATAATTTTTTCAATTGGAAGTATGATCTGTACTTAGATAGTAGAATTTTATCAAGTGTAACTAAAAAACTACATCGTGATCATTTGTTTAATTCGTATGATTGAATATATAATCGTATTTAAAATTAATCTAATACTGTAACGTTTTTAAAAATTTATAACTTATTATCACCATGAACATGAGACTTTTCAGCAGCTGCTTGATCAACTACCAATTTAATTAATTGGAAAGCAACTGATTCAGGCATTGGAATTAAAATTCCATCAGGATTAAAATCTTCATCAGTAAGATTTGCTTCATCAGGATAAACCATTTGTCTAATGAATTCAATATCAAACCATTTAGCATCTTCTAATTCTTTATCATGACCTAAATGAATAACTTCATTCTCCCCATTGAATTGAACTACGGCTAAACATCCAATCATTAAATTACCAGGGAATGGCCATGGTTGAGTCATAACAATTTGAATTGATTTACATCTAACACCTGTTTCTTCCCAAATTTCACGTTTGGTGGCGATTTCAACGGTTTCGGATGGTTCCATGAATCCAGCTGTACATGCATACATTCTTGTAGCAGCATGTCTTTTACCTAAGGATAATAATACTTTGGTTTTCTCTTCATTGGTTATGGCAGTTATTACTACTGCATCTGTTCTTGGGAATGTAACATTAGAAACACTTGCTCTTTTAACGGGACATTTACTCTTTTTAGCACGATCTTTATCCGTATCTGATTCTTTAGGATCAGCCACTTCTTCATTGGTACAATATAATTTCCCACCAGCATGGATAGGAATCACTTTATGACCACATCCTGGACAAAATTTATTACGATTTATCCAATCCAAATACATCTTACCATGAGAATATAATGAAGCTTCAGTATTAGTGAATGTAAGGTAATGTTTTCTTGATTTGGTATAGAAGATACCATTATCTTCAATTGATTTATCAATAGTGTTTTCAATTAAGTTCACTCTATCATTAACGAATGATATGATTGCTTCGGATACTTTAGGACTATCAGTTAAATCAACGGCATAATAAGGAATACCTTGATATCTACCTTGATAATCCAAATATCTTTCATCTTGACTTCCTTCTTCATCAATTGAAATATCTTGCATTTTCAATTTTAAAAGATCTAAACCAACACTTTCATCTAATAATCCTAAGAATAAGAATCCTGGTTTACCTTCATCTCTTAATCCAGCATCTTTGGTTTTGTTATCATGTTGCCAGGTATTTAAAATCTGACTCCAATTCAAACTTGGAACATTCAACAATCCCTTGGAGAAATGTTTATCATTGGTATCGGAATCATTAGCAGCATTCAATTGATTTGATCCATTGGTTAATATTACTAATCGTTTAAATAATCCTTTTGCAATCAATGGATCGGTTTCTGAATAAAATATGAATCTGGCAGAAGGATGGAATATACTCTTACTCACGAATTCTGAATCTTCTCTAAGAAATGAAACTCTGTTAACTACTTCACTTCCAAAGTAAATATCATTCTTTTGATCATCGATACTGGTATGTATATCGTGAGACATGATGAACTTTCCTAAATTTGATGAATTGAACCCTGATTTTTTGATAATTCTATCAATGCTATTGATTCTAGTTCGCTGGATGTTATGGATAATGGTAAAACTAGATATCAATCGTTGAATTATCATTCAATTGAAAGAAAGACATATATAACAATTGACAAATTTGGGGGAGAAATGTCAAAAATTTTGAGAGTCTTTTTTTTCCATGTTCAAATTTACATTTGATAAATTTCTTATCATCGGTTTTATGAACTGCCGGTGCGATTGATCTCCACATTTAAAATCTTACAATATATAACTAATGTAATTATACCCATTAAAGTTGTTTATTTACAGGTTTATATGGTATATGGATACAATTACCGATCCATAATACTCATCAATATATACAATTATACCCTATATCATGAAGAAATATCATGTAAAAAAGAGGTTTAGACTCCTAGACATATTCATTGTTAGTATTATGATACTTTTCAAAAGTGAAAGCATTACTTGTCTAATACATTGATTGAATTCAATTTGAAATTATCTAATGAATCAGCTATCTCAAGACGGTATCCTCAATAGTATTTCGGAAGTCTAACGTCTAAAAAATCTTTTAAATCATCATAATAATCAGATAATTCAAATTTAAATCCCAATCAATGAAAGACAAAACATGTTAAAAATAATTGACATACCCTTTATTTGTTAATTAAAAATACAATTTGCTTAACCAATTGGCATTCCTTTTAATACAGCCCGAGGAATACCAACTAATTTATTCTTTGGTCCTTTCTTATCGACAATAATCAAGACTCTACCCGATTGACCCATTCTACCAGTTCTACCTATTCTATGCACTAAATCAACCGAACTATTAGGTAAATCAATAATAATGACATTCTTTAATCCATTAAAATCAACACCTCTACCTAATAAATCAGTAGTAACTAAAACTTTCATTTTAGATGCTTTTGGATCTTCTTTATCAAGTTTTTCAGCTGGTTTTAAAAATGGATCTAAGATCTCTAAACGATCTTCAATTGAATCACTTCCATTCAATCCAACAATATCATCTGCTGGGAAATGATACTTTTTAGTCAAAGCATGAATCACCCCATTCACTAAGACTTTCTGATTGACAAAGATAACAGCTCTTTTAACATATCCTTCTTCAGTTCCATCTTTAATAATGGAATATAATGCTTGTGCACAACATCTCATAACTGATCCGTTATATGGAGCTAATCTCGCATCAATTACACTGATCTTTACATTACGTGATATCTTATGTAATGAAGGAGTAACAATCTCAATGATTGAATTAGCTTGAGGGAAAGTCTTGTTCAAATTATTCTTAAACTCTTTAGTAATAGTAGCAGAACAGAAAATTAAATCAGTGACACTTCCAAAAGTTCTAACTACTCTTAAAGTCTCATCAATCCAATTTCTATCAAACAAAGTATCAGCTTCATCAACCACACAATATTTAACATTTCTTACGACTCTGAATGGATCTGATTCACGATCAAGATTTTGAAGTCCTGCAATCTTACCGGGAGTAGTAACCATGATATCTATTCTACCCGTTCTTAAGGCATGGAATAATTTAGTGTGAGGATCACCATGTTGCCATTTAAATAAACGAATGTTCAATTTAGACTTACCATCTTTATCTTTAGTTCCATCTATATAATTCTGGAATGATTTTGGAACGTTTTTCAAATCAAAGTCGATTTTATTAGCTCTTTCAATAACCTGTGAGATTTGCTCGACTAATTCATGAGTAGAAACTAATATCACTGACCGAATCACTTTTCGACATTTTGCATCTTCAAGTCTTTCAGGATCTTGATCAAATAATTCCATATCATCTTCCTTTAACTTCGAGAGAATCGAAGCTAAATATGCCCAAGTCTTACCTGAACCCGTTTCTGAAGCTAAAGCAAACATCTTCAACTTGTTCAATTCATTTTGTTTCTTATATTCAAAATCAATTTCTTCTTCAGTTGTCATTGGTTCGCCCACTCTTTTCAAGAAGTTACTTGTTATTCTGGGCTGATTCACCTTCCGTACCACCGCAATTTGACATGGGGTAGGTTTGATCTCAAGTTCTTCTTTAGAACTATGACGAGGACCTTTTAAATTATATTGCAGTTTAATTTCTTGAATCATAGCTTCCCTGACAGTAGGAAAGATTCTTAAATCATTGAATGATTTAATACTGTCCAATCCAGTTGATGAAGTTTCAAAAGTCTTTTTTGAAGGATAAAGCAAATTCAGAAAGGTACCTACCTTATAACTTGGATTATGAGCATTGGGATCTTCTTCAGTTAACCAACCTTTTCTTTTCTTAACTTTCCTGACAGTGGGTGGTGGTTTACGTGGATTATGTTTAAACCGTATCCATTGTACCGGCACGCTCGATGACTGTAACAAAAGAGGTCTGGACCAATATGTATTTATCAAGGGATTAGTCAATCCCTTGTTTATTAATGACATTGGTTGTTATATGGGAGACATATAATACTGTATAGTTTTCACTTGATGAATAGCTTTCATCATCATTTCGAAGAGGTTTTATAAATTTTTTTTCATACCAAATTTTTTTTTCAGTCGTGTGTTGAAGCCCAATCGAAATTTTTCTCAATTCTGAAAGTTTACACCATTTTGAAAAATTTTGAAATCATAGTGTACGATCATATAGTTGTTGATTATCCCTATATCAATTCAAAGGACGACAATGTTAAGATTAGCGGCAAGATTGTCCAAGGTGTCAACCTCACCTTTGGTGATACCAAGTAGTAGAAGATTATCTACTTCTATGGTTCATTTATATGCTGCCAAACCAGCTACTCCAGCCGGTAAGAGGAAAATGGCATTCAATCCAAAGAAAGGACCTCAACAAGCTAAGGCTAAGAAGGGAGGTATGACTCATTTGGAATTCGATGATGCTGTTCAAAGTTTAAGTTTTGAGAAGACAGCTACTAATTTAGGTGAATTGGAAGTACCATCTTTAAACTATGAACAATTAGATAATTTAAAATCAAGAGTTGTGAAATATGTCGATAGTGATGAAAGAATTTTATCTAATTTAAGATCATTCAAGAAATTCCAACATAATGAATTATACAGAAATCCAGTAACATTAGTTACTGAAAATACTACCAAAATAAATGAAGATTTCGTATCTAAATTAGATCAATCATCATCCAAAGAAAATAGAATATGTTTAACTGGTACCAGAGGGGTAGGTAAATCCACCTTATTATCTCAAACTAAAGCCTTAGCCTTAGAAAAATTCAATAAAGACGTTATCTTATTACACATTGATGCTGCTGAAAATATCGTTAATGGTACTAGTGATTATATTTTCAATACTAAACTTGATAAATATCAACAACCAATGTTTACCAAAAGATGGATTTATAAATTACGTGAAGCCAATGAACATATACTTAAGAAATTAAAATTATCGAGTGATATCACATTCACTTACAAAAGAATTGAACATAATTTAAAGAAAGATACTAATACTTTATTTGATTTACTTAAGTCGAATCATGATTTTGGTAAAGTAGGACAAACCACTGCATTTCAATTTTTCCTTAATGAATTGATTCATCATTCTAAAACTGTCCCAATTTTACTTTCCATTGACAATATAAATGCCATTTTAGATTTCCCAGTTTCTAAATATAAAAAACCAGATTTTACTCCCATTCATATTCTGGAATTTGAATTAGGTGATTTTATACTTAAATTCCTTAGTGGTGAACAATCATTTGCTAAAGGTGGTGTTATAGTGGCTAAGACAGGCATGATTGGTGCTCATCAAAAGACCATGGATGTTGGTTTAAATATTGAAGAATATGATCCATATGCCAAACAAAGATTCTTTGATTTAGATATTGCTAATTCATTAAAGAAGAATAATGGAGTTAAATCGTTTGGAGTGGAAAATTTCACTAAACAAGAAACCAAAGATTTATTACAATTTTGGAGAAAAGCTGGTACTTTACAAGTTAAAGAATTTTATACTAAAGATGTATTTGTAACTAGTGAAGAATTAGTTCAAGAAAAGGCTAATCAAGCCCAAGATCAAGATGCTGTTGAATTCAATCCAGAAGAACAATTTGAAAGAATTGTAAATAATCAATACGCTATTTCATCAGGTAATCCTCATTATTTATTAAGAGCTACTACATTATCCTATTAGATAGACCCTCATGTACAAACCATTTTATACTATGTAAATAGAAATCTTTTATATTATTAAAATAAAGTAATATACACAAATGCAACTATAAAATGATGATACCATCTAAGTAAATAAAGTATCTTCTTCTCTTAAATATTCTCCAATATCACCTTGTCTAAATGCAACTATAGCAGTTGGTTGTAAGTTTCTTGCTTCGTTAGTTGATTTGGCACTAACACCAAATCCTAACGGTATATCATTCATACTATACACTATAACCCCAGCATGTTCAGGAATATCATCGGACATTCTTCCAATATGAGCCTTTAAGACATGATTACCATATAAATAAGGCATTTCACCATTTTGTTTAATCCAAACCTTATATTTGGCATATTGACTTAAATAAGTTAAAGCAGTGATGTGTAATCTGAATTTACCAGTCTTGGTGAATTTACCAAAACAAACACCCACTGACATTAACTGGGTTCTGCTTACTGAAGTAGCAAATTTTGATATTTTTTCACTTATATAATAAACTCTATCTTTTTGTAATCTGAACACATGAGGATCAGTTGGATTATCAATTAAAAATGTAATGTTTCTTCCTATGTAGTTGGCTAATTTCTCGAACACCACTTTGGTTTCTTCTTCTGTTAAGGATCTCATAGTGGTTATGTGTGGATGTAGTATATATATATAGATCTAAGGACTGGTTGGTTAGTATAAGATGGGTTTAAATTTTCAATTTTTTTAAGCAGCGATTTTTAAATTTTTCAAATCACATGACTAGAATTTTGTAGTAGATGAGATGAGCGATAGTTGAAGTGTTGATATTGATAGTATACCGTAACATCTTAGTAACTAGTTTATCTTTTGTTGATGTTTGATATTCATATAGTTGAAATCAATCAGTTTGGTAGACTTTTTTAGAAGAATCTTATAACTTGATGGTAATATGGTATATGTTATAAGGCATATGGTAGCAATGGTAGCGCGCGATGAGTGTAAGAAAAGTATTATGTGAAAAAAAAAAAAAATAGGCCATAACCAGAAATGGTTGAAATTTTCTACATATCTTATTCAAAAAGAGTGAAAGAAGAATAACAACTAAGAAATATCAATACCATTTCCATAGTTACTGATTTCACTTACCCTCATGTCTGAACCAAGTAACCCATCCAAAGAATTTGTCAGTTCAAATTCAAGCGAACAACCATCAATTGAAGTACCTACCACCTCCGAACAACCAAATCTTCAACATGATTATCAAGTCAATGACTCCGTTAATAAAGGGAATGAAAAGAGTAAATGGACCAGAGCTCGTTCTGCTGATAACAAAGATGAGAATGAGTCCAAGAGATCAAAGAAGGTTAATCTCAATGCAGAAGAAAGAAGACAAAGAAAAACATATGATACGACGTAGGTATGTCCTTTTGGAACTATAAGTTATAATTATAAGAATTATTTTACTAACAACCATTAATTTATAGAGAGTTTATACCTATGGTAGATGAAAATGGGAATGAACTTCCTAAATCTGAAAGAAGACCAAAGAAGAAAGTTGCTTGTATGATTGGATATTGTGGAACTGGATATAATGGTATGCAATTACAAAATGATCCAAAGATTCCAACTATTGAAAGAGATATTTATGAAGCTATGGCTCGTGCCGGTGCTATCAGTCCTGAAAATGCAGTTGATATTAAGAAATCTTCATTCATGAGAGCTGCTAGAACTGATAAAGGTGTTCATGCTGCTGGTAATGTTATCTCATTAAAGATGATTATTGAAGATTCTGATATCTTAACAAGAATCAATGAAGAATTACCTGAACAAATCAGAGTATGGGGTATTCAAAGAGTTACTAAATCATTTGATTGTCGTAAAATGTGTTCTTCAAGAGTTTATGAATATTTATTACCAACTTATTCTTTACTTCCACCAAAACCAAAAAGTACTTTACTGGAACTTTTAATTAAAAAGAATGAACAATCACCAGGATATTTACGTTCAGATGAAGAAGGTATTGAATGGTGGAAACAAACCAGAGAATATATCTTAAAGGAAGGCGATTTAACTGAACAACAATTAGACGTTGAAATTCCAGCTTTATTAACTAACGATGCAGTTAAGATTTATAATGAAGATGGAGAAGTTACTGAAGAAGGTAAATTAATCCGTAAAGTTAAACAACTTGAAAACAAATGTCGTAGAAATTATAAAGTATCTGAATCTCGTTTAGATTTATTCCGTCAAACCATGAAACAATACGAAGGTACCCATAATTTCCATAATTTCACCATTGGGAAACATTTCAAAGAACCATCATCAAAAAGATACATTATCTCCACCACCGTCTCTGCTCCATTCGATATCGAAGGTACACAATGGGTATCTATCAAACTCCATGGTCAATCATTCATGCTTCATCAAATCCGTAAGATGATCGCCATGGCCACTCTTGTCATCCGTACTGGTTGTCCCGTTGATATCATCTCTCAATGTTTCCAATCCCGTAAGATTAATATCCCAAAGGCTCCTGCTTTAGGTTTACTTTTAGAAAATCCTGTCTATGAAGCATATAATCAAACTCTTGCCAAGATGGAGTATGATGATATTGATTTCAATAAATATGAGAAGGAAATGGATGCATTTAAATTGAAATATATTTATGATAAGATTTATGCTGAAGAAAATAAAGAGAATGTGTTTTATGGTTTCTTCGCTTTTATTGATACTTTCAAATTAAATGATGAAGATAATAGACCTGATGGAACTCATATTTTTGAATTCTTAAATTCAAATGACGATAAAAATACCGTTGAACCTATTGTTGAAACTAAATCAACTGGAAAAACATTTGATAAACTTTCAAATGATAACGTTGATTAAAATAACTTGTATAATAATAACTCTTTACAAAATATAAAAATTAGATTTTAAAAACTAGTAAGAACTTGTAATATTTCTATAAAAATAGACCAGATAACTTGAAGTCTATACTAAAATCAAAGAAAGAATATCTAACCCAAATTAAAACACTATAACCCTCATAAATCGGGTATTTAAGTATTAGAAATTAATAATCATTAAAGATAAGTATTTCTTAATGATATGCGAAATGAAATAAGTAAGATTAAAAATAAAGAAAGTGTTGAGTTGCTGGGAGCAGTAAACTAAATCCAAGTATTATTTTGTTTTTGGGGAGTCTGTTGTTGTGGAGCTGGTCCTTGGTATGTAGATTTATCAGTAGGAGTTATATTATTACCAATCTTCGTACGATTGACCTGAAACCCTTGATATTGATTGTTATCATACTGAGGTTGTTGCTGTTGTTGCTGTTGTTGCTTTTGTCTTTGATAAAGTTGAAGATCAGCTGGACCTTGTTGGGGAGATTGTTGACGCTGTTGCGGTAATACTTGAGATACTGCTGCAACAGCTGGTAGTGGAGGTGCTGGTGACGGAATTATTTGCATTGGAAGTAACTGGGATACGGCTGGGATTTGTCCTTCATTATCTTTACCACTGTCGACATTAACTTTACTAGTACCTTCACCATTTTCAACTTTACCTTGTTGTCTTTGTTTTTCTTGTTGAAATTTATATAAAGTCCAATCAAAAACATAATCATAGCGATAATTTTCTCGCTTAAATAAATCTCTAAATAATTTTCTTAAATATGGATAATCAGGTTTATCATCAAATCTTAACGATTTCACATAATTCATATATTCTAAGAACTCATTAGGTAATCCCGTAGTTAAGATATTATTTGGAGTTGTCATTTTCTTTTCCATAATACGATCATACTTTTGTCTTTTAGTAGCAGCTTTTAATCCTTGCCATGGTAATGATCCACGACAGAAATAAATCAAAACATATCCTAAACTTTCTAAATCATCTCTTCTTGATTGTTCAATTCCTAAATGAGTATTGACACTAGCATATCTGGCAGTACCAGTTAAATTTTTATTTTCACGATATGGAATATGTAAATGAGTTCTTGGATCTCTATACTTTTTAGCTAATCCAAAATCAATCACATTAACTTGAGATCCTCTTCTACCAATTCCCATTAAGAAATTATCAGGTTTAATATCACGATGAATAAAACATCTGGCATGAATATATTCAATACGACAAATTAATTGATCTGCTAATAATAACACCGTCTTATAACTGAATTTCCGGTTACAATAATTAAATAAATCTTCCAACGAAGGCCCTAATAAATCAATAACCATGGCATTGTAATCACCTTCCGTGCCATACCATCTCATGAATGAAATACCAACACCACCACTTAAAGCTTTATAAACCTTAGCTTCATATTCTAATTGAGGATGTTTGGCCTTAATACTTTCTAATTTAATCGCCACTTCTTCACCACTAATGATATTGGTGCCTAAGTAAATATCACCAAATGATCCTGAACCAAGTTTGCGGCCAATACGATATTTCTTACCCACTCTTAAATCCATATTGATGATATGTAATTATCAGTGTGAATGGGGCTTGAATAGGATATATTATAGGGACGTTGAGATGAACGGAATGTGGGCAAAGACAACGGATGGATATAACTTAACAACAAGTCATACAAAAGTCTAAATAATCACTAGGGAGATAATGGGGGGTTGTTGTTGCAGTTAAGCTTTGAACGGGACAAGCGGGGGTTGGAATGGGTTGGAATCAGGTGAATTATCAGAACAACAAAGTAAAATCAATCAGTTAGGATGATAAATGATTAACGAACGAACGAGCTAACAATCGTTCAGTTGAACAGATTGGCTTGATGTGAGTTATGAAATGAGATCAGATCAGATCAGATCAGATCAGATATCAATAAGGTCCCCATTTCATATGATTATTACCAAAACCGTACTAATCGGATAAAACGACATTGTTTGAGGAGACATTTTATTTAAAAACGACATCTCATGAATTATCAATTTGTTGCAAATACTTAAAATAGAGTAGTATATGAATGATTTTGGATTCTGATTCATCAATACTTTGGTCTGTCATCAAGTAGAAGTACATCTGAGCAGAGTGATCTAAGTATACTCATGCTTTTGCTACTGTCAATATATTTCCTTTTCTTTCATTTTGTACTTGGGTAATCAATATTTCTGAAGTTTTAAACTTAAATTTACATAAAATAAATTACTCCTACAATATTAAATTTTAAAAAACTTTAAAGAACTTGTAATATATTTATATAAAAAATAACAAACAAATAAAATAGAAGAATATGCAAAATGATAGACAGATAGATAATTTAACCCAAAATAAAATAATATACACCCAATTACACTGGTATATAAATATTAGAAATTAATAACCATTAAAGATAAGTATACCTTAATGAAACTGGGAAATGAAATAAGCAAAATTAATAGTATATAAAAAATAAGGAAGGAAAGACAAGGATAAGGATGAGTTGAGTTAAATTAAATCCAAGTATTACCACTATGTTGTTGAGGAGTTTGTTGTTGTTGAGATTGGTATGTAGCTTTATCATTAGAAGTTATCTTTGTACGATTGGCTTGATAACTTTGATATTGATTATTATCATAATTAAATTGTTGTTGTTGTTGATCTTGTTGAAGTTGTCTTTGATAATGTTGAAGTTCAGCAGGAACTTGTTGGGGAGATTGTTGACGTTGTTGTGGTACTACTTGAGATACTGCAGCCACAGCAGCTGGGGGAGGTGGTGGAGGTGGAGCAGCTTGGGCTTGAAGTGATTGCATTTGTGGTTGTTGTTGCTGTTGTTGTTGTTGTTGAGTTATGGCTTGGATTTGTTGTTGATTATCATTATCATTATTATTATTTTCACCATTTTCAACCTTACCTTGTTGTCTTTGTTTTTCTTGTTGAAATTTATATAAAGTCCAATCAAACACATAATCATAACGATAATTTTCTCGTTTAAATAAATCTCTAAATAATTTTCTTAAATATGGATAATCAGGTTTATCATCAAATCTTAAAGTTTTAATATAATTCATATATTCTAAAAATTCATTAGGTAAACCTTTAGTTAAAATATTATTTGGAGTTGTCATTTTCTTTTCCATAATACGATCATACTTTTGTCTTTTAGTAGCAGCTTTTAATCCTTGCCATGGTAATGATCCACGACAGAAATAAATCAAAACATATCCCAAACTTTCTAAATCATCTCTTCTTGATTGTTCAATTCCTAAATGAGTATTGACACTAGCATATCTGGCAGTACCAGTCAAATTTTTATTTTCACGATATGGAATATGTAAATGAGTTCTTGGATCTCTATATTTCTTAGCTAATCCAAAATCAATCACATTAACTTGAGATCCTCTTCTACCAATACCCATTAAGAAATTATCAGGTTTAATATCACGATGAATAAAACATCTGGCATGAATATATTCAATACGACAAATTAATTGATCTGCTAATAATAATACCGTCTTATAACTAAATTTCCGATTACAATAATTAAATAAATCTTCCAAAGATGGACCTAATAAATCAATAACCATAGCATTATAATCACATTCAGTACCATACCATCTTACAAATGGGATACCAACACCACCACTTAAAGCTTTATAAACCTTCGCTTCATATTCTAATTGAGGATGTTTGGCTTTGATGTTTTCTAATTTAATGGCTACTTCTTCACCACTAATGATATTAGTACCTAAATAAATATCACCAAATGATCCTGAACCAATCTTACGACCAATACGATATTTCTTTCCAACTCTTAAATCCATGATGATGATGATGATGATAGTATTAGTTGGGGATATGAATCAATATGAATGAATGATGATGATAGATTGGAGATATATTGGAGATACCTTTGGGTTAAAGATATATGATGAAGAAACGATAAAAAAAGAGTATAAACAATCACTTGAGCGTTGAGTGAGGGTTAATTATTGTTTGTTGTTATTGTTATGCTTAATAAATGGAGGAAGGGGTGAGGGGGTGATAGGGTTGACAAGTATATAGTAGAACAACCCAGTAAGTCAGTGAGATGGATGATTAACGAACGAAGCTATTGGGAACTGTTCCGTTGTTAAACAGATTATGATTGATTTGATTGATTTGAGTTGGGGAAGGAGGGTCAGGCGGCAAGAAGGACAAGATGGTTTTCTTTTTATTTTTATTTTTTTTTGATGTTGGTGTGTTAAGAAGAGAGGAAAAAGAAAAAATGTGAAACCATCAATAACCAAAACAAAAGAGAGACAGAGAGACATTTACGACATTCCATATTATATTAATTGACAATCTGTTATAGTTACTTAAAATAGAGAAATAATTTAACCGAACTATATTGAATACACGAGTAATTATTTGATTAAGGTTGGTCGTCAAACTGATTAATTAGAGGGTTGGACAAGACAACCTTAAATTGATAAATTAACCTTTTAAATTAAAGTAACCCAGCTCTTCCTCTCTTCTCTTCTCTTCTCTTCCCTCCTTGTTATATATTTATAGTGTGTGTGGTTTGAGTGTTGTATTAAAAGTTTTGGTGGAAATGACACGACTTCTTCTTCTTCTTGTTTTTAAAAATGTCTGTCTGACAGTTTCAGAATTTATGTCACAAGAGATAATTAAAGCAGACAAAAAGACAAAAATAAAGTCATGTGCTCAAACTATGTTTATATACAGGCCATGTCTACCGATGTAAGATGAAGTACTTAACCAAACAGATATAGATATAAATAAATAGATAGATATCATGATGACAACTTAACATTCTAATTTAATACAACTGTCATGATTTACTCATAACGCAGGATTAATTTCATAATTAATAATAATAATCACAAGTTATTGTTACAATCATTTATTATTGTTAACTAGTTTCAAAACAGATGTGATGTGATGAGAGTGAGTGGGGGGCACGACACCATACTTAAACAAACAAGGTTCAACGGGCAGTGCATCAATTTCAATTTCAATTTCAATTTAAGGTAAGGGGGGAGTGTATATAGTAGTAGTACTAATTATATTTTTTTTGGTGCTGCTGGTGGGTTGCGTATCTCTTTCTCTAGTTGCTAATTACTCTGACTCTTTTTTTATTTTTTTGGTATGGTAGCACTGTGGTTTCCTTTCTCTCCTTCTATCCTGCTTAACCACAGTTTTAATATGATACCAATTAAAATATAAACAAACAATCAATCAACTAACTACATAACATTCTAAAATATCTTTTGAAGTAAAAGTGTATTAAAAATTAAAAAGGATAAATAGTAGTAGTAATTAAAATAGATAGGTTATCAACCGTAAAAATATATAATAATAATAATAAAAATAATAATAATAGAAACAAAATACATTTAGATTAATAAATAAAGGTTTACTTTATTTATTTAGTAGCAACAGCAGGTTTTTTAAATCTAGCCACTAATTTCTTAAAGAAATCACTTCTTTTAGCTTTATCAACTTTAGTAGCAACATCTTTAACTTCAGCTTCAGCTTCTTTAGCTAATTTATCAACCGTAGATTCTTCTTTTGGAGCTTCATCTTTAATATCAGTTTCAGCTTCAGTTTCAGTGGCTTCTGGTGCGGCTTCAGCTTCAGCTTCAGTGACATCTTTTTTAGCATCAGCTTCAACTTCAGGAACTACTTCAGTTTCAGTAGCAGTTGGTTCTTCAGCTGGAGTTTCACCTTCAACGGCAGCTTCAACTGGTTCTTCAACTTTGGTGGCAGTTTCAGTTTCAGTAGATTTGGTGGCATCGGCTATTTTAGAAGCATCTTCAGAAGAGAAGATCTTGGAAGCTCTTTTAACTGTATCTTTAATACCCATTGTATATATGTATAATTATATGATTATATGAAAATAATTGAATTGAAATATCAAAAGAAAAATCAATTATAGCAGATTAAATAAATTAAATAAAATTTGAGGGAATTGAAGAGATATTTATATGATTTTAAAATATTTACAGTCAAAAAAAGAATTAACAGAAGCGTAATGAAAGAAGGAGAGGAGGAGTAAAAACAAAAAAATGGTTTTGTAAATCATAAGATTCTTTTTTTTTTTTTTTTTTTATTATTATTTTTTTTTATTTTTCTATGAGGTTCTTTTTTGTTTATTTGAATTATTCCTAAATTAGACAATTTCAAACAACTTAAGACGTGTGACAATCAATCAATATGACTAACTGTAACTGTCTAATCTAGATATAGAACTACAACTCTACATTGGAAAAGATTAACCAATTCATTCTTACTTTCTTACTTTGCTTAACTGATGTACTTTCCCTTGTTCAGATCAATTTATAAATACCGTGTTTTACTTTACTTGCTATTTTTAAACCGTCAAAGTACACATACACACACTCTCTCTCAGAGACATTCTTCTTCCCTTCAATTCTATCTTATAGTAATTTTTATGATTGTGATTTTTTATTTTTATTTTTATTTTTATTTTTATTTTTATTTTTATTTTTGGGAAAGTCATTCATTTTTTAAAAATATTACACAAAATTAACGCCGTGTCTCTCATATAATTTTTGCGCTATTGCTTTATTCGTATCACACTATTTTTATACCAATTCATCATTCATTACAAGTTCATGATCATGATCATGAACTTTCATCAACTCTTGGATGGTTTGGCAATTGGTTACAACCTTCCTTCCTCCAAACTTTTGTAATTAGTTAGTGAGTTCGAATGGTATCGTATCTATATCAATATTATTAATCATATCTCATTTTTGGTTTATTTGTGTCTGTTGTCGTGTTTTTAATCGGTTGTTATTTACAACAGAATTATATGGCAAGTATTATGCAGGAATCGATGGGTTCTTTCTGTCGGTTTCAAAGATTTACAACACAAATTTCGTCTGACAAACTGACTGTGCCGTCGCTGCTGTCTATCAGAAAATAATTACATTGTTACCGATATCAATATCAATTTTTTTCATTGACACCACAACAATCTGTCATATCCTACTTAACTTAAGTTAAAAAGGTACGTCCATACAAAGATATTATTACACGTTCATTTTATTTAGTTCCCACTGTTTCATTCATTCATTCATTCATTCATTCATTCATTCATTCTCTTTTTGTTAAACTGTTATTTCATTTCATTTTACACGATTGACAGTTACTATTTTTGTGTATTATTAAGAGGGGCAATTGGCTAAACTTTTTTCTTTTTCTTTGCCTGTTTGTTTGTTGTCGTGTCTCTCAGCCGTACCGTTCTATCCGTCAAGCCTCTTAGCTTTTTGAACCATCTCCATTTACATATTTATAGTTTTTATACTAAAGTACACGACTCACCTTTTCTATTGACTTGGCCACGACCTTGTCTTTGTTTCTCCATTTCACACGACCTCGACCTCAACTTCTTTTTTGCAAAACTGATGTGGTATCAACCAATTTGTAAACAATCAAGAAAGGTCTATACCAAACAAATCCAAATTTAACCAGATTCAGTTCATATAGAAGTTCAAGTTACTTCTACCACAACAACATCATACTAAGGGGATCATGTCACCTATATCAACCAATCAACCATTGTCATCCATCACATCTTCCACCGCCACCGCCACCTCCTCTTCCTCATCAATAATCAATCCATCATCTTCATACCAACTAAAACGAATTGAATCGCGCTTAGAATTGTTAACTCAATCATTATCAAAATCATCGTTGAAATTATCATCATCATCATTATCTACATCATCTACATCATATAATCATCTGAATCATAGTAGGAATCCATTGTCTAAGATTCATCTCAATAACTCAAACTCAGATATATCATCTTCAAAAGTATCTAAACCTACCATACCTAATCGTCATTATACCAATCATAATCACAACCATATCCATCATGGTATAACTAAATTAAAAGATACCATATCACCTAAATCTAATACTACAATCTCATCGACATCATCTTCAACTTCTAATTCAACCACCTCCCCTCCTAATAATACTTCCAATTTCCCAAATTGTAAATTTTCCCTTCAAGATTTTGAATTAGGTAGAATTCTAGGTAAAGGTAAATTAGGTAAAGTTTATTGTGCAAAACATTTAAAATCAGGTTATATAGTTGCTTTAAAAGTTATGTCAAAACAAGACCTTATTGAATTAAAATTAGAAAAAAATTTAAGAAGAGAAATTGAAATTCAATCTCAATTAATTCATCCTCATATATCAAAATTATATGGATATTTCTTTGATCATAAAAATATTTATTTAATTTTAGAATATAGTATTGGTGGTGAATTATATAATCATTTAAAATTAATTAAAAAATTTGATAATATTAAAAGTTCTTATTATATTTATCAATTATCATTAGCATTAAATTATTTACATTCAAAACATATTATTCATAGAGATATTAAACCTGAAAATATTTTATTATCGGATAATAATATTATAAAATTAAGTGATTTTGGTTGGTCAGTTATAACTTCAAATCAAAAATCAAAAAGATTAACTATATGTGGTACATTAGATTATCTTTCACCTGAAATGATTGAAAGTTCTCAACATGATTATAAAGTTGATATTTGGTCATTAGGAATATTAATTTATGAATTTTTAATTGGTAAACCTCCATTTGAAGAAATTGATAAAAATGCAACTTATAAAAGAATTGTTAAAATTGATTTAAATTTCCCTGATTATATTGATCTCGACGCTAAACATTTAATTATAAATTTATTACAAAAGAATCCAAAATTAAGATATAATTTAAATCAAGTTTTAAATCATCCTTGGATTTTAAAACATAAACCATATTGGCCGGTATGAAACAAAAAAAAAAGTATAAAATGATACCCCAAAAATATATATAATATTATATAAATATATAAAAAGTAATATTTACGTATCTATTCTGCATTATTGTATAAAAGTAAGAAAGAGAGAAAAAAAAAGACTTAAAATCATTGATGAACCACTGTAGATGCATTCTGTTGAACCGGTTGAGCTTGTTGTGTTTGTTGTTGTTGTTGAGCTTGTTGTTGTTGTTGTTGTTGTCTTTGTCTCAATAATAACATCTGTTGTTGTTGTTTCTGTTGTAATTGAAAAAAATGCTTTTGAAAACTATCTTGTTGTCGAAGATTATATTGTGCAGTAGTAGCAATGGCTCTCAGGGGAGCTCTAACTTGATATATTTCTCCTGGAATTGAACTAAATGTTTGACTTGGAGAATCATAATTATTATTAGGACTGGCATCAACATTAATTAATGCACATCTGCCTTGTAAACCCCCAATTGATCCTGAGATAGCTTGAGTAGCTAAATTTTGCAGTTCCCCAGCGGGTCCACTTGCACCACCTGCCCCTCCTGCACCAGCAGCATTACCTCCAGAACTATTACCACCTGATGATGATGGATTGTTTCCAGTTCCAGAATTATGAGTTGGAGCTTGATTCGGTTGTAATTTAATTAAAGAATTGGCATAAAATTCACGACCTGATAAAAATCGATGACGATATCTTACCGGTAATACAATTTTTCGTTCTAATGGAATTGGATTATTCTTCGATAATCCTTCCAACACTAAATGAGTTTCTTCATCAGGATCAAGAATCTTATTATAATTTAAATTACCATCTCCTCCCATATCTTGACCTCCACCATGGAAAGCAGCATTTTCTCTTCTTTGTGCTGCTAATGCATTATTAGCAGCAATCTTGGCTTGATTCCGTTTTTGATATTGTTGTAATAATACATCATAAGGGGCACTTCTCCCTAACACAGCACGTTTGGCTCCCATAGGATGGGTTTTACATGTTAATGAACGAGCACAAAATCCTCCCGACGCTAATGGTACACCACATTGTTTTTCAACATCAACTGGTCCCTTTGGCTTAGCAACTGCTTTTGGTTTTGGTTGTTTCTTTTTCTTCTTATCTGATCCTGCAGCAACAGGTGATTCAGTTTGATCATTTTGAGAACCACTTTGATATGCTGCAGCAGCAGCGGCAGCAGCTGCATTGGCAGCTTCCTTTTCCTTTTGAGTTTGTGATTTCTTATATTTTTTCTTTGGTTTATTAGGTATAGCTGATGATGATGATGTAGCTCCATTTGATGGAGTACCAGGGATTGGAGTTGTGTTTCGAGATGATTCAACAGAACTGGTTTCGATATCTAAAAATTGTTTACCTCTCTTTCTCTTATTGATCATGTTATTATTAGTATTATTAGTACTGGCAATTTCTTGAATTTGAGCTTCTTGTTCTTTCTTTTGTTTTAAAGCCACACACTTGGTATAATGATTTGCTAGACTTGTTTCTCCAATTGGTCGATTACAAGATTTACAAATCTTATATTTGATATTAGTTGATAAATATGATAAACTATCAGGAATGGATAAATTATTATTATGACTACTATTAGTTTGAATGTCAATCTTCTTATCTAAATAAGCCCCTAAATCTTTCCAAACTATAGGTTTCTTAGTTGAATCTGAAGCAATATTTGAATTATCTGTCGAATTATTAAGGGAACGTAATGAAGCTAATGAAATTACTTGTTGTGCTCTTGCAGTTGTTGACATATCTTTGGGAATAAATTTAAAAAAAGGGAGGAGGTTGAATATGGCGGAACAATGATGTTGCAGATGAAGATGATGATAATGACTGACAGTTGACAAATAGATTACTATAGATTCAAAATAATGAATGAAATTAAGATAGTGAAAGGTTTGATGTGGTGGTGGTCAATGTGGTCTAGTGACTGAAATATACCAATTCCGGATATGAGGATGTTGGTACTGTTTACGCTGTCTTGATTAAGGATAAGATTTTGGAGATTGGGTATGGTTGGGATGAGAGTGAGGTATGGTCTGGATCACTCTCTTGTGCTTTGATTAGTTTTGATTGATGGAAGTAGTTGGTGATACTGTAACACTATCACAAAATACACATTTGTGGATTTCTTTCGGTTTCCTGATTTTTTTGGGCCGCACTGGTAAATTTAGAGTAAGATCAAAATTATATTGATTACAGTAGATTACAGCATATTACGTTACCTCAATTTCAATCAATCCATACGATGTTAAGAAGACCAGCTACTACCATCAGATTAACTCCTGAAGATATCTTAGAATATGATGATACTTTGGCTCAACAACAGCATGAAAAGCAACAACAAGAGCAATTGCAATTGCAACAGCAGCAGCAACAACAACATCATGATCAACAGCAGCAACTCCAACAACAAGAACAAATAAACAGTTCTGGTATTGACTTGAATCAAAGTTTCAAACCTCCAGCTTCGGATGCTAGAAATTCCAGAATCGGAGTTCAAAGAAAGGTTTCATTAAATTAAGGAAATCGCTACGTTGATCAATAAATTATAATGTTACAAAGTATATATTAATTATTAATAAAGAAAAACAGAAAAGGAAACAAGAATGTAAAAGACAAGAAAGGAACGTTCAGAGAGGATATCATAGGTTTGTAAAAGACTAGTCCAAGTTATGGTTGTCATGAATTAAATTCAACCACTTATCATTTGGATATCCTTGGGCAAGAGACATCATCATTGCTTTTTCTTCATCAGGAAGGAATTCCTTGATTTTTCTTCCTCTATTTTTAAGTTTTGGAATTTGAGAAACCACTATATCATAAGATGAAGTAATTGGACCATGATCATTCTTGAAATGTCGATAATATGAAAGGAGTGCATTGGTTTTCTTCTTCCAACAAAATACTTCAAATATTTTACTACAAACAGGACATGCAACGGCCTTTTTCACTGATATCAGCTTGACATTAGCTTGTTCTAAAATCGTCTGTGATATATGATCATTCACAGGTTCTGACGCTGTTCCATTTTCATTGGCAAGTTGGACAAGTTTCCCTTTATCGTTAACAATCCCTAATACTCTACCATTTTCATTGAAGACTGCCAGTAATGATTTATCATCTTCGTCATCTTGTTGGTCTACCATATTTGTATTAGTTCTGTTGATATGCGAAGCAAAGTTGTTTCCAGCATTAGCGACTGGATTATCGTCGTGATCAGATGCATTTCCATTCACTGATTCCGAATTTTTCTTGTCGGTACTTGATTTTTCAATATCATTGACATTATAATAACCATATTTTACAGGTTCAGGAACAAGATAACTTGAAGCAAAAATACCATGTTGTAAAGTCAAATGGGATAAATAACTTGAATTCTTAAATGGTAAGAATTTAACTTCTTCACAGTATGGACATAGTCCTGATGCAGTTTTATTCAATCTTACACCATTCTCATCTTTTTCGTATCTCATATATTGTGGTTCATAGGGGTTTAGACCGGAATATGATTTGTTGTGAACATATTCAATATAAGTAACAACATTTTTGATTTCTTGAATGGTTCTGGTATATTTGATTCTAGTTGGAAAACATTTCATAGTAGTTGAGATTGTTAATATCGGTCTTGTATACGTAGATCCAGGATCAGGTATCATATGATGAGTTAGATGCTTTTCGTTACCTCCAACCCTATGAATATGACCTTTGTAATTGTTGTACTCCATCTTAGGAGTATTTAAACATTCAACTTGTTTTTCAGAGTGATTGAAGGAAACAATGGAATTAGCCACGATTTTAAAACGTTGGAACACCTTTTCTTCGAATTTTGGAGATCTTGCAGTTTTAGATCTTCTAATAATTTCATTTGCAATAGTTTGTTCACTAACTTTCTCAATTCCTTTGTTAACTAAACAAGGATCAACAATTACATTAACTTCATTATGAGATGGAGTAGCCTCATGTACATGAATAACTTCAGGTTCGACAGGTTCAGGTGTTGGAATCAAATTATATGACATGAAAGAGTTCGAATTATCAATAGATTCAACAGGAACAATTTGTTCTTGTTGAATAACTTCGTTATGAATTTGACTGATTTTCGAGTTACCAGTTTGTGGTGAAGTAACACTTTGACGTTCCTTTTTATGTTTTTTGATAGGAACAATACTATCTTTCTTATGACGTTTAACAGAAGCGGATGATTCATTATATGATAAGATCTGATAGTTTGGCATAGGAATCCCTCTGAAGGAGGTTTTGGAAGATCCTAAAGGTGATACTGCCTTAGCAGACAGAAGTCCTCTAAATACATTTCTCGGACTGATTGTGATCTCATTGCAGTTATTATCACGATTTTGATTAACTTCTTGATTTGGTTTTAGGTCATTATCTAGGTTTGTTTGATTTTCAGAATGGGTTCCAAATAAGATTGGTTTAAATAACTCGTGGTTTACTGACCATTCATTTTTGTGGGGTGGAGGCTGGTGTACATAAGTCAATGAACTGTTTCTTCTTAATATCTTGTTGATTTCATCATCATTTGCGTTTGGTTGCATAATGCCTGGATCATTCCGGCTAGAATTTTTGACTGAATTGAGATAAGTATCGTAACTGAAAAGTAGATCGGCCGTTTCGTGGGAATAATTCTCGAAGACTTCATCTTCTAACTCCGGAAATTCCTCAATGGGATTATTGATTGCTCTGGTGATATCCATGATGTATATCTGGTTGGATAAGAAAGGTTTAGAAATATGAAAGGATATAATTCAATTGAGTTATCCAAATATTACTACATAATGTATGTTATGCTTACAATGATCTAGTGGTTCTGTTTAGTTTGTTCTGCTAGAATTGTTCTTTTAGATTCTAGATATTTTGCAATATCCTATTAAGTTAGTTCGTATTTACATTACAAATCCCTACTTGATAGAAACATACTATGTTCATATATAGAAAAGTATATACTCAATACAATTAATCGATTACAGAAGTAAGTAAGATGTTGAATCCATCGTAATCTCTAAGATTTTAGGTTATTCCATCTCATAATGATAAGATATCCATATAAATAGTAATAAATTATATGCTTACAATCAATCCTGTATGCAACCCCCATCTTTTTATTTTTTTTTTTTTTTTTCATCGCAGCCATTAGTTTTTTTAAACAGACTTTAAGCGTAACAAGAGAGATATAGTAACTAATCGACCTTAGTGAATAACACAGTATGGCAGGTAGTGGAGTAGTGATATTTACCATTTGTAGTTTGTTCTACTTGGTGTCAGGTGGCCGTTGGTCACTTGTGATAGCTGCTGTTGTGTCTCTGTTTGTGTATCAATACGATAAGAAATATCATAATCATAGTAAAGAAATTTCACCTCAAGATGATATAAAGAAAGAGATTACCAAATCAAGAAAGGTTGTAGCTGAATCTCCGATTTATGCCGTTGATTTCACTTCATCATTCACTCCTTCAACCACTACTCAAATTCCAAGATCAGTTCCATTACTCAGATCAAGAGCTAAAAGATCACCAAGAGTAATTAAAGCTTCCAAACCAATTCAATTAAGTGTTACTTCCAATGAAGCTTCATTAACCAAATCAACTATCAACTTATTGGAATCTCAAATTTATATCTTTTATACAACTTTAACAGGTTCATCTCATAGAGTTGCTAAGACTTTACAAGAAAAGCTTGAAAATTTAGAAGATTTAAAAAATAAACCAAAGTTATTAAGTTTAGATGATGATTTAGATGATCTTGAAGAATACTTCTTAAAGACTCCAAATAATGGTAATAATAAGAATATTTATTTATTAGTATTGCCATCTTATGAAACTGATTCTCCTATTGATTATTTCCTTGAACATTTGAAAGATACTTATCAAGATTTCAGAGTTGATAAATATCCATTGAGATCTTTATTAGGATTTGCTGTGTTAGGTTTAGGAGATTCTGAATCTTGGAATGGTGAGAAATTCTGTTATCAAGCTAAATTAGCTGATAGATGGATGGGTAAATTAGGAGCTAGAAGACTTTTCCCAGTTGGTGAAGTTTGTATGAAATATGAAGGTGAACCAAAAGCCAATGAATGGATTCAAAACTTTGCTCAATTACTTTCTGATGATGAACCATTCTACATAGATGAAAACGATGATGTTGATGATAGTGATAAAGAAGATTCCGAAGAAGGAACTGATGATGCTGATACATTAGTTGATGTTGAAGATATGGGAGATATAATAAGAAAATCAGGCACAAGAGGTTTAGCCGGTAATAGTACTAACGAAGAAGTAAAACAAATGGTAGCTAAAGATTCACCAACTTATAAATCATTAACCAAACAAGGTTATACTATAGTTGGATCTCATTCTGGGGTTAAGATTTGTAGATGGACCAAAAGTGCATTAAGAGGTAGAGGATCATGTTATAAATTTGCATTTTATGGTATTAAATCTCATTTATGTATGGAGACTACTCCATCATTAGCTTGTTCTAATAAATGTGTTTTCTGTTGGAGACATGGTACTAATCCAGTAGCTAAGCTGAATTGGAGATGGGAATTAGATCCACCTGAAAAAGTGTTTGAAGGTGCATTAGCAGGTCATTATCAAAAAATTAAGCAAATGAGAGGTGTTCCAGGTATTCAAATGGATAGATTCCAAGAAGCCTTTCAAGTTAGACATTGTGCATTATCACTTGTTGGAGAACCAATTTTCTATCCTCATATTAATGAATTTGTGGGTATGTTACATGAAAAGCATATTTCATCATTCTTAGTTTGTAATGCTCAACATCCTGATAATTTAGCTAAATTACAAAAGGTCACTCAATTATATGTTAGTATTGATGCTCCAAATAGACAAGATTTAAAGAAAGTTGATCGTCCATTAAATAGTGATTTCTGGGAAAGATTAATGTCATGTTTGGATATTTTAAGAACTATTCAAAAGCATCAACGTACAGTTTTCAGATTAACTTTAGTGAAGGGATTTAATATGGGTGATATTGAAAGTTATGCTGATATGGTAGCTAGAGCCTTACCATCCCAAATTGAAATCAAAGGTGCTACCTTCTGTGGTTCATCTAGTGCTAATGGTAATCCATTGACCATGCAAAATATTCCATTCTATGAAGAATGTAAAGAGTTTGTGGTTAATTTAAGTAATGAATTGAAATCAAGAGGTCTTAATTATGATATTGCTGCTGAACATGCTCATTCATGTTGTATTTTAATGGCTGATACCAAATTTAAGATCAATGGTAAATGGCATACCCATATAGATTATCCTAAATTTTTTGAATTATTAGAAAGTGGTAAAGAGTTTGTGGATTTAGATTATGTTAAGGAAACACCAGAATGGGCCGTTTGGGGATCAGATGAAGCAGGGTTTAATCCTGAAGATACTAAATTTGATAGAAAAGCTGAAAAATTAAAGAACAAACTTGCAAGAGAAGAACAATCTCGTCAAATTATAGAACAACAAAAGAACTTTTAAGTTTTCTTGATTTTGTATATACATATATATGCATTTGTACAATAAATAAGTTATTATCGTGATAATAATATGTATAGTCTGATGTTTTGGTTGAATATTGCAGCCTATGACATTTTTGGTGAAGTGTATTTTTTTTCTCGTTATGCGTCTTGTGGTAGCAACAATTTTTAGCAAAAACACGAGGAATCAAAATTATGTTGATAATTAAATCAAAAGAGTCTGATCACCCCCAATTGATTTATACCCACTGGTTACTTATACCAACATATAATTGTCATTAACTACAGTATGTCAGACATACTGGTGAAGAAAAGTAAGAAAATTGCATTTATTCATCCTGATTTAGGGATTGGAGGAGCTGAACGATTGGTGGTTGATGCAGCAGTTGGATTACAAGAACTTGATAATGAAATCATCATATTTACATCCCATTGTGATAGAACCCATTGTTTTGAAGAAGTTAGTAGTGAATTATTGAATGTTGAAGTGTTTGGAGATTTCTTACCTACTAATTTATTTAAAAAGTTTCATATTTTATTTGCAATCTTAAGACAATTATATTTAACCATTCGATTGATTTCAAGTAGTAGAATCAATGATTATGATTATTTCATTGTTGATCAATTATCATTCTGTATTCCATTATTAAGCTTATTCAGTAGACAAGATTGTCAAGTTTTATTTTATTGTCATTTCCCTGATCAATTATTAGCCAAAAAAGGTGGTGTTTTAAAATCATTATATAGAATTCCATTTGATACTATAGAAGAATGGACTACAGGATTCAGTGATAGAATAGTGGTTAATTCAAATTTCACCAAGGGAATTTTTCATCAGACATTTAAGAATTTAAATTATATTGAACCAGGTGTGATTTATCCTTGTGTCGATACTACCATCATTGATCAAAATGAAGATGTTGAAGCATCTGATAAAGAAGTTAAGACTTTCTTTAATGGCAATAAATATTTCTTATCCATCAATCGATTTGAGAAGAAGAAAAATATCGAATTAGCCATTAAATCATTTGCTAAATCTCGAAAACTTTTACGAGGATTAACTAAACCAAGATTAGTCATTGCAGGAGGGTATGATGCAAGAGTTAATGAGAATGTAATTTATTTAAATGAATTAACTAATCTTTGTGAATCTTTAAAATTGACAAGTTTTACCATAAGAGGGAAATTAATCATTATGCCCCCTGCTACTGATGTATTATTCTTACCATCGATTAAATCATCTTTGAAATCATCTTTAATCAAACAAGCCGAATTATTACTTTATACTCCATCATTTGAACATTTTGGGATCGTTCCAGTTGAAAGTATGTTATTCAAAACACCCGTCTTATGTGTTAACAATGGTGGTCCAATTGAGAGTGTGATCAACTTCACCGATGATAACGTGGATAAGGCCACTGGATTCACTGAAGAGCCAGATTATGAAAAATGGGCTAAGATAATGATTAAGTATTATAATGAAACCGATCAAACCATAAAGGAAAAGTTAGGACACAATGGCTATGACAGAGTAGTTAATAATTTTTCAAGAGAAGAAACAAGTAAAGCATTCTTAACCAATTTAGAACAAACTGTTTCAAATGATCATTATAAAAAGGGTATATTATATTATTTATTCAAAAATTGGAAAATCAATGTGATTGTATTATTTATTGCTATAATTGTATATATATTTGTATCATAAGCAATCAACCGATCAAAGTTTCTAATTTTTCATAGATTGCATAAAGTCGTTGTTAATAGACAAAATTTTTATTTAAATATATCTTTAATAGCTTTCCATAAATGTAATTTATTATCGACTCCAGGTCGGGTTATATACAAGGGAGTTAAATTTGCTGATGATGATGTTCCATATGTGGTATCATCATTACCGAATAAATTCAACATCCCACCTGAAGAAGATGATGTTACTTTCTGATTTGATTTTGCTAACTTATGCTTTTCGAACCAAATTGTGAAATTCTGAGGGAATGTATGTAAGTTATTTTTAAATGATTGTTTGATTTCAGTATCGAGGAGTAATTTAAATTTATGTAAGCTTGAAGATGGACTTTGTAAATTATAATTCCTAATGTTAGTATTTATCAATTTAATCTTTTCTTGTAAGTAATTATAATCCGAAGTTAATAAGAGATCCTTATTATATTGGAATTGACCATTCAGAAGTTTATATTGGAATGAATTTAATACAATCTCCACTGTAGAAGTTTGATTTTCAATGGTTGGAGTTAAACTTGATCGATGAACAAGCCATTTGAACCATAATTCATCAACATCCTTCCTAAACGATTGAATCATTCCATTGAGAGATTGTTGAGATTCAATCCAGGGTGGTAAGACTTGTTGATTATTCAATACTTGATTCATGAAATAATTCGAATCGGTGCAATTCTTTAAATGTTGGATATCCAATGGTTTCCCTCTCACATGGATCATATCGGGTGAATCAAATTGCCCTGTTGATTGATTTATAGCGGCGTTGATCTTATTACTAGCTAAACTATTAACCAAATCAATCGTTGTACTAGGATTATTTGTATTTATTAACATTGTAGGTCCTAATAATCGTTCTTTATACATTTCACGGAAATTATCTTCACTCTCTTGACTTTTATTATCTTTTAGTTGTTCTTTCTTTAACTTATAATCAAAACTAGATTCTTTAGCATTGAGGACTTTCTCTCGGAATGATACAGGAGGAGTAATAATCGTGGGTGATCCTCTCGATCTACCTTGTTTAGAAGGGGTTGATTTCGCTTTAGGTTTCAGATCAATAATCATTCTTAAACTAGCATCGAAATCGGATTCTTTTCCCTTCCAAGGCTGTGATTCAAATATATCTCGGGCATGTTTATTCAGTTTTAAGAGTGGTTCACTTTTGATATATGCTTTGGCACGAATTATCTGATCTGAATTTTGGTCTTCTTGTTTGTATTTATTGTATAATTGTTTTAAATGAGGATCTGAATCCATGATTGATTTGTTGGAGGTCGTACTTGTGAATGATGAAGATGATGATAACTGTTCATCTAAGATCTGTTGGAATCTCTGTACTATAGCATTATTACTATCATCTTCAGTTTTGGGGGAGGTGGTATCTGATGAAGATGATGAGGAGGATGAAGGGGGTTTAGATGAGTTGAATCTAAGGGTCGGGAAGTTTACTTGAGACTGTATTCGACTAATGGGAATTGATATGGTTGGAATCTTTGATCTTATCATGGACTTGAACGTAGTTGTATCTGGTTGCTTGAAGAAGGTTGATTTGTAACAATCTTAAACTTTCAGATCCTCACATTTTATATTTTTTTACAGCCTTTTAATTTTACATACTAATTAATTTATGATGATAATAATAATATCCATATTATTACATATATAAACTACTATATAAACATACAACGGATATGATCTAAACCATAACGATAAGAGATATAACAAATTCAAAGAAAAGCAAACAAAAAGAAAAACAAGAATCACAATGGATCAAAAAGAACTAAAAGAATATATATAAAAAACCAAACCATGAGTAATTTAACACTGACAACAGTCTAATCTAACCAACCACGCAACTGACTCTCCAATCAATAGAACGAACGAGACTCTCTTATAATGCATAAAAGATCAAAACAGACGATCCAAACACAAGCAACATAAGGAATAAAAGTTTTAAAATATAACCAATAACATATTCCTTCTTACCACCAGCACTTATGATCAATTGTTTTTCAATATCGATATCTTCCATTAATTTGACTTTCCCATATTTCTTGTTATTGTTACTGGTTTGAGGTTTGAGATTATTATAATAATATGCGTAATATGGGTTGGAGGAATTATGGTTAGTATCTTGATTGATTAAATTGTTTAATGTTACTGAATTTACAGAATCTATGGATGTGATTGAGTTTATGGAGTTGGAATGATTTCTGGTGGGTATGACGATGGGGATTTGGGATGATTGGGATAAAGTATTTAATTCAACTGATTGAGGAGGTATAGGGAAATGAGAAGTTGATACTGATCTTGATCTATTTAAATTTGGTTTTGTAGATGAAGGATTAGTGGTGGTAGAGGTGGTATCGGGATGATGAAAAGATACTGCTGTGTATCTTCTTTGAGAATGAGATGGAGTTGAGGTTGGAGGTAAGTGTAAGTTAATACCTTGATGATGATTATTACTATTGTTCAAGATTATACTTGAAGTTGAAACATTTTTATGAATGGTTGGGAAAGTTGATAAACCAATAGTACTATTTACGGGAGTTGAGGTTGGAGTAGTAAGTTTTGGTATATTTGAGGAAGATGAGGATGAGGATGATGAGGATGATAAGTCCTCTTGAGAAGGTATACTTTCTAAAGAAGTATTCTTCTGGTTGAAGTTATTTGACATGATATGATAGTATAATATCAATCTAAGGAGGAGGAAGTAATTATACGAGGAAAAATTTGTTTGCTAAAAGATTAATCCACAAAAGGTAAGATACAGTTTTTGATAAGGCGAAGATAAGGATAACACTATCTGTATAGAACACCAATAGCAATGAATGACTAAGGAACCAACTGTTTGTAGATGATAATAGTTGGAAGTAGCAGAAGAAGGCAGAAGAAAATAATTATAGGAAATGATATGGATATATATAGTTGTTATTTTTTAAACTAATTTAATGGGGGAACGAGCTTAAACAGAACCAGACAGATTTCAGGTGGGGTGTGACAGATTAAAAATAAAAAATTTCTTGTCTATTTTAAATAATTTAGTGAGAGATATCATTATTTGTTGTGATTTATTTGTAGCTATATACTGCCTGGTTGATTGTTTATTTAATACTATGATGAAGGAAGGAGTAATTAGATGAATATGGCCTATTTATAGCTACATACCAATATAGAACAAATCACTTTAATTAACTTATGGATTGATTTAGTGATACTTAATTAAAATTATGACACGGCGCTCATTTTGTGATTAATTACGCTAAAAATAACAACAACACATTTTAGATTAAATTACCGTTACAAAATTTCAGCTTCATTTTAAGGCATAAACACTCCCAATTACTGGGGATAATATATAATATCTTGAAATTGATTACTTGGTATGAATGTTCCTATACTAATCATATAGTTAAAATTAGGATCTATTTAAAGGTGTAATTATAAGTACTAATTAGTGTAATTAGATTAGGTGTTATGATTTAGAGAAGACTTAAGGGGCGTGTACTTTTACTTAAAAGTTTTAGGCTAAACTTTATCACGGTATAATTTTTAAACTCTAATGAAATGATTAGTTAGGTACACCGGAGTTGTCAGTGGTTTTACCATTTGAATAAATTGATTAATATTCACATTGTAAATGGATATTCATCAGTGCTTCTTTAATACTCTAATCTTCATTTAGATATATAGTAGAACTTTTTAAGATATCATTTAAAATTATAAATTGTTAGGGAATATTTGTTTTCTAATTCAGGGAGATTTATTGCAAAATTGATTGACTGGTTTAAATATAGTATAATTTTTGTTCCCATTTCTTGTATCAGTAAACTGACTGTATTTATGTAATCTACCATATACAATCTAATCACTATATATCTTGAAAATACCCCATTACATTAAACTTACACTTGACCAGTCAATCATTATCCCTTCCCTACGGTCTTGTGGTACTGATTTCCATTAAGGAATTATAAGGAGCCAAAAGGAAAAAAAGATGGACGTGGCAAACACAACTTCTTTTTTTTTTTTTTTCATGTCGTTTAGTGAGTGAGAGTGAACTGAACTGACATTGAACTGACAGTGATAACGACGACCAATTATCATTTGATTATATATCTCTTTTAATTATCATCCCTTAATATATCGCATAGACTCACGAATACTATGTGGATTATTGATTGGTGTATGTATACCTCAACTAACCATAATTATCATATCGTCATTCATATCATTGGTTGATCGATGGTGATACGCACATGATTCACATGTTGGCCATTATCATCACCATCACCATCACCATATATGATGAGATCAAATGATTCAAGATCAATCAGATCTAGTTAATACTAACTACTCATATCATATAGTTCAAGATGTTTTATCCTCATTAGGATTATGGAATAAACATGCTAAATTATTATTCTTAGGTTTAGATAATGCTGGTAAAACCACTCTTTTACATATGTTAAAGAATGATAGATTAGCTACTTTACAACCTACTTTACATCCAACTTCGGAAGAATTGGCCATTGGTTCAGTTAGATTCACTACGTTTGATTTAGGTGGTCATCAACAAGCTCGTAGATTATGGAAAGATTATTTCCCTGAAGTTAATGGGATTGTATTTTTAGTTGATGCTGCTGATCCAGAAAGATTTTCAGAATCAAAAGCGGAATTAGAATCGTTATTTAAAATCGAAGAATTAAGTCATGTTCCTTTCTTAATCTTGGGTAATAAAATCGATGTTCCAACTGCTGTTGGTGAAATGGAATTAAAATCAGCTTTAGGTTTATATAATACTACTGGTAAAGATACTGGTAAATTGGCTGAAGGTACTAGACCAATTGAAGTTTATATGGTTTCAGTGGTTATGAGATCAGGTTATAGTGAAGGTTTCAAATGGTTATCCCAATATATTTAATCGATCCCTCCTTCCCCCACCATCTTCATACTTTCCATTTTTCATGTCATACATCAATCCAGTCTAATTTACGTTATTTCATCACTACAACAACAACAACAACTTATTATTATTATTATTTCTCTTTGTTATATTTTTATCTTATCTTATTCCATTCATAATGATTCCAATCTTTATAATCATATATAGTTAGATTTATCATGTTAAAAGATTGTTTGATTGATCATTCATTCATTGTTTATATAATAATTATATACATCCATTCTATAATATATTTCTAATTGATGTAATCGATAGCTGTAACTATCCCAACTACCTCTCTATCATCTAATTGATCATAACTATCCATTCATATACTGCTATCTTCTGCTTAACAAATCTCCACCAATTCACTCACGTGACCCATTTTTTGCAATATTTTTTTTTTTGCTTAGAGGCATCGATTTGATATTTTTTTTTATGTTAGTAATATCACTATAACTTTAAACAGATTCAACTTACCATTTACATATATTACATATACTTACAACAACCATGAGTGAAAATACCAATAAGGGAGCTCTTCATCCTGACCAGAAGAAATGGAAAGCACCAAAAGGTCCTAAGGCTGTCCATCATAAGAATAAGAATTTAATTGGATTAGGGAGGACGATTGCAAATCAAAGAAGATTAGAGAATAATGTTGAATTTTTACCTGATGGTGAAATGAGATTCACAACTGATAAAAAGGAAGCAGGATGGGTTAAATTAAGATCAGTGACTCAAGAGAATTCCTTAGATGAGTTTTTAAATACCGCTCAATTGGCTGATACTGATTTTACAGCTGATAAAGCTCAACAAGTTAAAATTATTAAAGTTGGGAATACATCTATTGTGAATCAAAATGGGTTATTAACGTCGGAAGAAATGATTGAAATGAGAAAGAAACATCAATTATTTGAAAATAAATTAACTATTCCAAGAAGACCCAAATGGTCTAAAGATCAAACTAAATTTCAAATTGAAAGACAAGAAAATTTAGCCTTTTTAGAATGGAGAAGAGAATTAGCATCCTTGGAAGAGAATAATGATTTATTATTAACTCCCTTTGAAAGAAATTTAGAAGTTTGGAGACAATTATGGAGAGTGGTGGAAAGATGTGATTTGATTGTTCAAATTGTTGATGCTAGAAATCCATTATTTTTCAGATCAGTAGATTTAGAACATTATGTCGATGGATTAAGTAATCCCGATGAAAATCATGCTAAAAGGAATCTTTTATTGGTTAATAAAGCTGATCTTTTAAATAAACAACAAAGATTGGCTTGGGCTGCTTATTTCAGAGTTAAAAAGATTAATTATGTATTTTTCTCTGCTGCTAAAGCTAATGAATTATTAGAAAGAGAAAAGGAAGAATTAGAAAATGGTATACAATATGAAGATGAAGAAGAAGATGACGATGAAGAAGACGATGAAGAAGAACTTGATGAAGTAACTAAAGAATCAATCAGAATATTAAAGATCGAAGAATTAGAACAATTATTCTTAACAGAAGCACCACATTTTGATATTGATCCAGAATATCCAGATAGAAGATTACAAATTGGGTTAGTAGGTTATCCAAATGTGGGTAAATCATCCACTATTAATGCTTTAGTTGGATCTAAAAAAGTTTCAGTTTCAGCTACTCCCGGTAAAACCAAACATTTCCAAACTATTAATTTATCTCAAGAAGTTGTGTTATGTGATTGTCCTGGTTTAGTATTCCCAACTTTCGCATATACTAATGGTGATTTAGTATGTAATGGTGTATTACCAATCGATCAATTAAGAGAACATATCCCACCTGTATCATTAGTATGTCAAAGAATTCCTAAATATTATTTAGAAGCCATTTATGGTATCCATATTCCAATTCAAAAAATTGAAGATGGTGGTAATGGGATGTATCCAACTGCTAGAGAATTATTAAATGCCTATGCTAGAGCAAGAGGGTATATGACTCAAGGTTTTGGTTCGGCTGATGAACCTCGTGCTGCAAGATATATCTTGAAAGATTATGTGAATGGGAAATTATTATTTGTAACTCCTCCTCCAATTTATATTGACGGAGAATCATGGGATTTAGCTGATTTACAAGAAAATAGAGATTTTAATCAAGATATCTATGGATTACATAGTTTACCTGAATCCAGACAAAAGCAAATCTTACAAGCTTTACATGATAAATCAATTCCAATAGATGAATTTGATCTTGCTAATGATTTATCCAAATTGAATTTCTCCATGCATATTGGGGAAAACTCATCCAAGAAAGAGAATGCCGATGGAACTATAGGAGGAGCTAAGACTTTGTTTTATGGTGGTAAACAAGCAGCTTTAGAAAGTGCCGGTGATGATTTAGATCGTGAATTTTTTAAAATGAATAATGTAGAAGGGAAATTCAATACTCCATTCCATAAAAAGGCCAGTGAAGATGGTAATAAGAAACATAATAAGAAGAATAAGAAACAAGAAAAGAAGATTAGAGTTGTAGGTTATTAATGAAACAAAAAACATCTTATAGTATATACTTTATTATTTTAGCATTTTAATGAAAAGCAAACAGCATATTTTATTTACAAATTTAATGAATTATTATTTTTTAAATTAAAAGAACTTCAATGTATTATAAGAAAGCTATTTAAATTATATTTTATAAACTATTATGTATGCAAATTATTAATGAAAATAATAAACTAAATAAATAGCTTAATAAAGTTGGAATTTTGGACCCATAGTAGATTTAATGTATAAGGATCCAACATTTTGCCAGTTTTTCTTTAATAAAGAAACTAAAAAGTTAGCAGACATTAAGATTTGGTTAACTAAGACATCTTCTTCCATTTCAATGTTACCAACGGCGACAGCTAAACATAAAACTTTCTTTAATTGGAACTTGATGGTAGATTTAACATCTTGAACTTTACCATATAAATCATCATTATGAGAAACTGGAGTTGGGAACTTACCAGCTTTAGATAAAGTTGGACCTAATAATCTTGGAATTTGTTTAATTAAAACTTCAGAAGCAATGAAAGCATTATATTTCTTAGCTAATTTTTTAATTAATTTTTTATTCTTGTTTAATTTCTTTAAATCATCAACAGACATGGCTTCAACACCAACTGACTTAGCTCTATCGACATCAAAAGCATCACCAAAAATACAGATGGTCATGTTTGGTCTTGGAACTTGAGGTAATTTCAAAGAACCAGAGAAACGCTTATCTCTTTGAGGATCGTAATTCTTTAAACCAACTTGTAATTCAACGGTTTCTAAGAAGTTTCTCTTCTTAGTTTCGGTGGAGAATTCAATTAATTTCTTAACGTTTTCACGGACGTGAGAGTGAGTGATTTTAGACATTGCTGCTAGATATGATCGTCTCCCAAAGGTACTTGGTAAATTTAACTGATTCGACGAGGATAAAGAGTAACAAGTATCAAGATATTTAAATTTTAAATTTTCACATTTTTTATTTGTCTGTCTGAGACGTCTGAGCAGACCTTTGGTAAGAAAAATTTGTTAACTATATAAAAATTAGGAGTGCGAAACTGGAAATCGCATCACGTGTGATTTGAAGTGGTGAGGGATGAAGCCCTAGAATGTCTGAAAATGGGAATATGTCGCACATCACCCTATTGCGACATTTATATTCGCGTGGATTAATTTTGTATACAGATATGGGGTTGGGTTGCAATTAGACGTGTATCAATTTAATATAGATAATAATTGGAGATTATACATTTATATCAGGTCAATATCATGATTAATCATCGACTACTACTTTTAAAATGGCCTACTACAACTCTCACCTTCCTTAGAAGTGTTTCAATTTCTTCTCGAAGACCAGCTAGAGGGGTTTCTTATGGTAATAATGATGTTATACCGACACTTAAATATAATAAGAAATTATCAAGACAACAAAAGATAGATCAATTAAATGAAAAAACTCAATCGAAATTAGTTAAATTAGATCATCAGTTTAAAATATTTCATAAAGATATCAAAAAAGTCATCGATGTAGGTTATATGCCTGGAAATTGGACTCAATATTGTAAATTTAGACTCCGACAAATTCATCATCTTGAAGAAGATAAATTTCAACAGAAATGTCATATTTTAGGCTTTGATATCTTATTTGGAACTCCTCCACCCGGTATATCCACCATTCAGGGGAATATATTCTCTAAAATGGCTCATAAACAAATTTTAAATCATTTTAAAGAAATTGAATTAAGAAATATATCAATGAATGCAATTAAATATATTAAGAATAGTGAAGATCAGGATTTTCAAAATTCGTATTTTTATAAAGAATTGAATGAAACTTTATTAGAACATGAAGTTGAACGATTAGAATCATTAGTTAAAGGTCAAAATTTACATAATCAACGAGAAATTATTAATAAAATATTAAAAAATGTCGATTATAGAACTGATTTAGTATTATCAGATTTATCAAAACCATACCTTCAACAATCAGGATTCTATAGTCAAACTTATACACGTCCATATTTAAGATTTAATGCTAATTCACCTTTAAATCGTCCTATCACTGATCCATTCAAAGCATCGATTGATTTAGCTGATGCTGCATTAATGTTAGCATGTAATGCATTAAAGCCTGGAGCTACTTTTGTGGTCAGATTAAATCCAATTTACGCTTATGATGGGGAACTTAAACTTTATCAAGATAAACTTGAAAAAGTGTTTAATGATGTGGTGGCATGGCATCCTGATGATGAAGTTGTTGATGATACTGAGGTTCGTGAAGTGTTCTTTATATGTCAGAATAAAAAGAAAGATGATGATTATGATGTTGATAACATATTTTAATTTAGAGTACATGTAAATAGAGATTAATGTAATTAATAATGATAGTATTCTACACATGTAGCAATTTAATTCGTAATAATGATTTTATTTAAATGGTTAAAATAATATGAAATGTTAAAAATAAGTATTTAAAATGAAATAAAAAGCTAAACTGAAATATTTTGGTTAATAGTTAAAAATTAATACAGTAAATGCCCGCCTACTCATCTTTACTATTTTCTTCTTCTTCTTCGGCATCCTCTACTTCTGGCTCCTCTTCTTTTTCTTCTTCTTGTTCTTCGTCACCTCCATTAACTTGCACTTCTTCTTCTTCTTCTTCTTCTTCTTCAGGTAATTCTTCTTGTTTGGATTCAAGATCAATCAATGGTACACTACCATTGGTATCAATCTTTAAATTTGAGAAATCTTCTATTAATCTATCACTGACTGATTTCTTTTTATCAGCGTTTAATTTATTCTTCCATAATTCAACAGTTTCTTTCACTTTACCATCATCAACTGAATAATTAGCTCCAAAGAAGGCACCTTCAGTATATCTTTCACTTGTAACTAATAAATCTAAACATTTATCTTTATTACCAGTTAACCACCAAGCTTGAAAAGCTAAATTATATTTACCACCAGCCTCACACTGTATAGCTAATTTTTCAAGTTCCTTTTGATTATTGGATGATGATAATAATAATAACAATGAAGAATAATCATTGGCTAACCAGAAACAATCTTGAGCAAGTTTAATATTCCATGATGATAAAGCTAAATCACCAAGTTTTTTCCATTTGGATGAATTACCTAATGATGATGAAAGATTATTCTTTTCACTGGTTGAAAGTAATTCATAAGCTTGAGGTAAATTACCAGTTGCAAGAGATATTTGAAATTTAGAATCAAAATCTTGTGATAAAGCAAATGATAAAGCTAAATATCCTAGTTTTTCAAAAAATCTTGATAATTGATTTAATTCAGTTTTACTAAAACTTTTAATTGATTTAGAATAATCTTCAGAAATATTTTCAATAGTAATACTGGCTAAATCTGGAATATCTTCACCAGTTTCTTCATCTTGAACGGTTTTAGATGCAAATTGTTCAAGATCACCTCTCATAACTAAGGTTTGTAATTCCAATACTTCAGAATTAACATACCATGAAATAACATTAAATGATTTATCAATTAAATATAATTTACCTTCTTGAGCTTTATAACCAATGAGATAATATTTATGATCAAAATGTCCCAAATTAATAACTTCACCCCCAACGAAATAATTTAATCTATTGGTAGTAGCAGTAGTATATACGAAAACATCACCAATAAATTTACCTGATAATATAGATTCAGAAGTTGGTAAAGTATATAAGACATCAAAAGTAGATTCAGCTCCTTCTTCGGCATCGATTTCACCTTTTTCATAAGCTTCATCGAATAATTCTTGATTATAACTTAAAAGATAAGTTTCATCACTCTTTTTTGAGCCAGCAGTGGCTTCACCACTTGATGTAACAATAGCTAATAATTCACCATTATCAGACCAAACAACATCTTGTATATCATCATCTAAATCAACTCTTCTAACTAAGACACCATGTTCCCAATCGTAGAATGTAATACAACCTTCCAGTTTAACCCCTAATAAAGCACCATCAAAGATCTTTTCAGCTTGATAAATAAGATCAATGGTTAAATATTCTTGGAAATTTTTGAAGATTTTGACGGATAATTGTGATTCTCTAACGGCATAGGATGAATTATTTGATAAATCAGAAGTATTCCAAGCGAAATCTAATGCTTTACCATAAGTTTTTGATCTCCATGCTAAAGCAGTATAAATAATATATTCTCCATCACCACAAACAGCAGCATATCTACCATTTGGAGAATGAGTTAAAGATTGAGGGAAAATTTCAATGGAACCTAATTCTCTTTGTTGTAAGGATAATTGTTCACCATCTTTCAACCCTTCAGCTGAAGTTGGTTTAATGATTGATTGGAAAACTTCCGAATTTTTAGAATATAAAAGTTTATTATTTGAATCCATTGAGAATAATGGTTCTTCATTACCTAATTTAACAATAACGAAACCGGAATCAAAACCACAAGCAATTAAATTTGATTTATTTAATAAACTAAGACACCATACTCTTTCTAAACCATAATTAATTGATTTTTCTAATTTAAAAGTATTTGAATTCCAAAATCTGATAGTACCATCTTCAGAACCAGATATTATTAAAGGTAATTCTGGATGGAAAGAAGCAAATGAAACATTTGATAAATGACCTTCTAAAGTAGCTACACATGCTTTAGTTTGATAATCCCAAATTTTAATAGTTTGATCATCCGAACTACTAATCAAATAAGGCTTATCAGCTTGAGGATAATAATCAACATAATTGACTCCTTTTGCTTCATGGGTTGGTAAAGTGAAATTTGGAACTGAAGAACCTAATGACCAAATCTTAACGGTTGTATCTAAACAACCAGATGCAAAAGTATTTGGATCTTTTGGATTAAAATTAACACTCATAACATAATGTTGATGACCTTCAAATACTTGTTCAACTTTCCAATTATTTTCCCAATTCCATAATTTGATAGTATAATCATCTGAAGATGTTAAAATATAAGGTTTAGTAGGATGAACAGCAATACTTCTAATATAATCAGGATGAGCTTCATATTGAGTGACTTTTTCACCAGTATTATAATTATAAACTCTAATTTGGAAATCATCAGCCCCAACCACAATCCAATTCTTACGAGCAATGAATTTCCCAGTTCTAACGGGTAATTCAGTCACTTGAATCGATTTAACTAATGTATTGGTTAAATATGACCAAATTTCAATCTTACCATTATATAACGTAGTCAAGATCCAAGGTTCAGAAGGATGGAAATCAATGCCCTTCACACGATCCGAACGAGTGGAGAATTGTTTGACAATGTCCAACTTCATGATTGTTAGTTACTCTATATGGCCAAATTGATGATGTAATGGATTATAAGAGTCCAATTCGTCTTTCAATTATTTGGAAACTTGTTGACACGGTTGACAACTGAATTAGAGCGGTGAGATCAAAAACTTTTGTTGTTGTTCGAAAAATCATAGTGAGAAAATGGGACAAGGTGCACGACCATACTTTTAAATAAAGTAGTATAACCTCTAATTATATTCTATATTCTACAATAGGGTTTAGATGATGATGATTATATATTAAGGAGGATTATGTACAAGATTACGACTAATAGACCATACCAACTTTATCTCGTCTTTCTTCTCTGAATTTCTTTTCTAAAGATTCTAAGCTTGATAAATATTCAATCCATTGAGCATCAAATTCCTTATTGGAGAACTTTTGCAATACTAATTTCGAACCATTTTCTCTCATGGTGGATAATTTAGTGTCATTGACGAGATCAGGGTTAGTGATGAATAATTCGGTTAAGACAGTTTCCAAAGTGGGGAATTTAACCACTGATGATTCTGGAGAGGTACCTACTTCAAATGATAAATAATCTGAACTTTCTTTATCTTGAATAGAAGGATCAAAATCAACATCATCATAACTCTTAAAGAAGAATCCTGTATCATTATACCATGAATCATCTTGAGATTCTTTATTCCATCCAGTGACGATATCTAAATATGGACCCGCCGAAGCATGAACAATCGGTATCACTCCTCTTGCTAAATATTCCACCACCCCAATTCCAAAATGTTCATTCCACATCGCATTTAAACCGAATTTACTTATTGATAGCCAATGGATTACTTCTTTATAAGGTTGATCCACTATGAATTCAACATACTCGTCCAAATTTAATGTTTCAACTTGGTGTTTTAAGGATTCTAATACGGCTGTATCATCTGGTGTACGACATGATCCAAGAAATACTATAGTGGGGATAGATTCACTTTTAGGAGAATTAGGGAAGTTCTTAGTTAAGAATTGATGATATTCTGTTAAGATTAAACCATGACGTTTTTCAGGTCTGAATTGAGCCACATATAATAGTTTATTGACTCTAGTAGATATTTCAGTGGTGTTTAAATCTTCTGTTCCACATGGAGGATATAAGATTTCCAATTGATTTCCAAATGCACGATTGAAAGCCCAGATTGATTCTAAATGATTGAATGTCCATGTCCCATTGGCTAATGTTATATCAACTCTTGACCCTAAGAATGAATAAAAGAAATATAATAAACTCCAATATACCAATTTAAACAATTCGATATAATCTCTTGGTTTGGATGGAGAGAATTGAGTTAATTCAGATAATTTCAATGATTTAAATTTCAATTTATTAAACATTTCAGGTTGGATGATAGGATAATGAACATAGGCCAAGATAGGGATTTTAAGAATAAGACTTACTGGCCAATAACTTCCTGGTAATCCAATAGTATCAATCCATACATCAGGGGATAATTCTTGCATGGCTTCTAACGATAATAACATGGATCCGATTAATTGACCTACTAGAGTGAAATGTTTCCAATAATTCCCATCGATAAGATTATTGAATCTTCTTAAATAAATGAATAATACTCGACTTGAATCCAAGTTTTTGATATCAAACTTGTTGGATACATTTTGTAAGATTTGTAATGGTTCAACATCAGTATTGGTAGTATAGATCACGGCGATATTTTTATCATCAGCTAATAAGGTTGCCTTCACAGCTTCCCATAATACTCTTTCACCTCCACCACCATTATTTGCATAAGGATGGAAAAATCCATAGATGATTTTTCGATTGGGATCATTAATATCTCGTTTTGTCATTTCATTTATGAATTCATTATTGATATTTTGACAATCTTGAGGTTGAATTTTGATTTTATTATTAATAAAGTTTGTATAAAATGATGGTTGAATACTAGCTAAGATTAATCTTCTTCTAAAACTTGAACGTTTCGATCCAACTTGAAGATAGATCGGTTTATCATGATTAATGACTTTTATAATTTTATCTTTCCAATGTTGAGATGGAACGAGGAAATGATGAGGTAAAGCATTAGTTATAGCTTGATAAATGATATACCCTATTAATAAAGTAATAATAATAAAGTACATGATAAGATAAGTTAGTTACTATCAATTAAAGAAATGAAGTAATAAATTTCACCAATAGTCAATTGGGAGCTACTTATATATCAACTTATTTATAATCAAAAGTGAAAAATTTAATTATTTGCAATCAATTGATAGATAGATAGATGATATTGAAATATTTCACTTTTACTGATTTGATAACGGTAACTTCCGCTGTCTTAATTAAACGGAATTTTCCTCTCTCCCTTTGAGTTATATACAGGAATAAAGGGTGCTACCATATCGATAGTATTTTAAAAAGAAATTTTTTTATTGTTTATTTTCAAGGCGTTGATGGAAGTAGTAATGATGGAACAGACCAATTTATTTATGATATATAGTATAATTCATACGTAATTGAATGGTAAGATTATAACGTTTATGAGGTGTTATTACTAAATATACCATATAGTGACTATGTAAACTATTAATCACCAAAGAATCACGTCATAAGCTAATTGTATGTAATTTAATACTTTGACACAGAGATACGCGAGTTGGTTTAATTATATACATACATCATATTTAATGATATAGATAGTAAGTAATGTCATTGATAGTAGTTATAAAATGTAAACTCAACTAGTTGAAGTCATATACTATAACTACATCATTTAATAACTTTCTATATACTATATAATTAGCCTTCCTAATTAGGATAAATTACTATAATGGTACAAAGAGTATGAAGAAGGAGCAGCTTAACTATTAAAAAAAAAAACGCGTGTAATTAAAATAAAAAAAAAAAAAAATCTTTTTCTCAGTTGGGATTAATTACTTGCAAGTGAAAGAAGAAGGACAAGTTAAGGAAGGAAGAAGAAGAAGAAGAAGAAGAAGCAACAAGTAACTGCTACAGATCTTTCTTTTGCCTCATAGTTTATTATCATTCATTCCTACATATCACTTTGTTAATTTGACCAAGTCTATTCTACCAGCGGTTCATTCCATATCTTGTTATTCATAGAGATAGTTTCATTCAATAAGGTTATAGCTTTTATTATTTTATAGACACTGGCTACCCCCTTATCCTCCCTTATTCCTAATGAAAACTTTAGGTGAAAACAATACTTTAACATCTTCATCATCTCCCGCATCATCAATGAAAGAAGAAACCATGTCTCTTAATACTTCAACCATGGGTAAACCTACCAAACCAAAGACGCCTTTAAAAAAGGAAGAATTAGAAAAAATTGCATTGGAATTAAAAAAGAAATTATCAAGAGCTTCTATAACTGCTAAGAAATCATTATCCCCTAGTGATCCAAGAGATTCATCTACTTCATCTAATACATCTTCATCCAATTCAAATCATATCCTATCTCATAATTTACCAAAATCAAGTCCTTTAAAAACTTATATATTAAGAAAACAATTAGCATCTTCTCCTATTAATAATAGTACTACCACTGGATTCTTATCTTCATCCCCTAATAACTTATATTCTCCAAATGGAAAATCACCTACTCATATAAGAACTCCTGCTGCTATTTATTTATCTTCATCTCCTTTAAAAAATGTCTCGTCTCATACCGTAACCAATAATGAGGAAGATTCTCCTACTAAACGAAGAAAACATTCTCATTCTAATAAATCATCTCCCCAAATGATTTTAGAAGAAATATCAAGGCCTAATACTCCTTCAAATCAATCAAGACCTTATCCCGCCGTATTGAAACCTTCTCTTGATTTAACTTCAAATGAAGATTCAAAATCTCGTCAACAAAATCATCAATCATCATCACATCCACTGCAAACCACTCCAACATTATCCAAAACAGAATTGAATACGAGTAATTCTACCAACATATTATTACAAACCCCTAAGCAATCAAGACCAGGAACAGGTGGCAATGGTAATTACAATGACGATGAAGGAGCTGATCTTTTAATGTATTTGGCTACATCTCCATCACCTGCTAAACCATTTTATTCCGCTAATACTCCTCGAACATCAGCTTTATTACAACAACATACTCAATTACAAAATGGTGGTACTGCACCAACCTCATCCCCTTCATCATCAGTACCTTCTTCTGCAAACTTATTAGCTGTAACTGGTAATAATATCAGACAAACAACAACAACAACAACCATTAATAATGCTTCATTCATCGTCCCACCTCCACCAGCAACTCCAAAGAGACATCATAATGAATTAGGTAACACTTTAGCCAATGCTAAAACCCCTCAGAATAGATTAACTCCATCCATGAATCTTTTCAATACTGTTTCGGCCAATAATAATGGTTTACCATCTCTGGGATTAACCTTAACTCCCAATGGATTCAATATGAGTGATTACGTCAATTTCTTCACTCCATCACCAGGATCAGCCAATCTTGGAGCAGTAAGTGCTGGAGGAGTACCATCCGGTTCAAATTTAACTAAGAATCTTTTAAAAACACCTGATTTTAATAATCTTTTATCGGGTTCAACGCCGCATATTTTGGTGGATGGGAGATCAAGAGTAGATGGGAAATTATTGAATTTTAATAAAGTGTTGTTTAATAATAATGCTGCAAGTCCTTCTTCTGCTACTAGTTCTGCCCCCATAAGTAATGGATTACATTCTGATGGATCTAATAAGGATTAGATCTGTCAGTTAGTTTTCCTCATTTCTTCATGTATATGGTTACGTTTTTCCCCAGGGGGTTGGTGGTGTTTTAGTTTTTTTTTAATGGTTAAAGAAGGTAAAGTTGACTTTTATGTTCTTTTTCACTGTTTTTGTATTACTGCATATTTTTTGTTTTATTTTGTTTATATATCCAATTCTTCATGATTTCATTTTTCATTGTTTATCCTTTTTATTCTAAACCTTTTTGTTTCTCTCATGAATCTTGTTTTCAAAAAGTTAATGTTCTCAAGTTTATAATGTTATCATGTATCTAATACATAACCCAATTTTAATAGACTTTCAAAACTCATGAAAAATTCAATAAATACTGTATGCTATTTGTGGTAGCGCCTAATAAAAGTGTGTGTGAAAAAAAGTTTTGATCTAATTTTTTTTAATGAGCGAAAAATCAATGACGTCTTCTCATATTATACGAAAGAGTTATAGATTCATATTATACAGTTAGTGAATATTGAACTTCAAACAATGCCTGAATCGGTAGATAAACCCCTTGAGGCGAAGGTCAATGATTTGACTATCACAGGTGCAACTCCGTCAACTCCCGAAGTGATTCCAAAACCAATTGTGGAGGATGAAGATGAAGATGATGACGATGATGAAGATAAACCTACTGAAACTGGTGAAAAGAAAAAGAAGAAGAAAAAGAAGAGTAAGAAGAAGAAGAAGTTGACTACTATTGATTCCCTGTATCCTGAAGGTGTTTTCCCTGAAGGTGAATGGCAAGAATATCCTCTTGATATTAATAGTTATAGAACTACTCTGGAAGAATTACGATATTTAGATAGACAACAAAATAATAAATGGGAAGATTTCAGAAAGGGAGCTGAGATTCATAGAAGAGTAAGGAATAAAGCTCAATCATCAATTAAACCGGGGATGTCAATGATTGAAATTGCTAATTTAATTGAAGATTCCGTTCGTACTTATGCTGGGGCCGATCATACTTTAAAAGCTGGTGTTGGATTCCCAACTGGATTATCATTAAATCATGTTGCAGCTCATTATACTCCAAATACAGGAGATAAATTAACCTTAGCCAAGGATGATTTAATGAAAGTTGATATTGGAGTTCATGTCAATGGTCGTATTTGTGATTCAGCATTCACTATGTCATTCAATGATACTGGGAGATATGATAGTATATTAGCAGCTGTTAAAGCAGCTACTAATACTGGGATTAAAGAAGCTGGTATTGATGTTAGATTGAATGATATTGGAGAAGCTATTCAAGAAACTATGGAATCTTATGAAATGGAATTAGATGGAAAGACATATCCTATTAAATGTATTAGGAATTTAAATGGTCATAATATTGGAGATTTTATAATTCATTCGGGTAAGACTGTTCCTATTGTTCCAAATGGAGATATGACTAAGATGGAAGAAGGAGAAACTTTTGCTATTGAAACGTTTGGATCAACTGGTAATGGATATGTTTTACCTGAAGGGGAATGTTCTCATTATGCTCGTAATCAAGGTACTGAAAATATCAATCCCCCATCTAAAAGTGCTAAAGAATTATTAGGGAGAATTAATGAAAATTTCGGTACTTTACCATGGTGTAGAAGATATTTAGAAAGAACAGGTGAAGAGAAATATTTATTTGCGTTGAATCAATTGGTTAGAGCTGGAATAGTGGAAGAATATCCTCCTATTGTGGATAAAAGAGGAAGTTATACTGCTCAATTTGAACATACTATATTATTACATCCTCATAAGAAAGAAGTTGTTACTCGTGGTGATGATTTCTAAGATGACTTTGTTTCTTTTTTGTATATATATATATTCCTAGGAATGCAAGATCTTATCATTATGAAGTTGAGAAATTAGTAATAGTAAATGTAGGGTAAATTGAAAATGGCATAGTAATTTGCAACCATGAAAAATGAATGAACTGATAATCATGTGACTGAGTAAGTTGAATTCATATGATTGAAGTTTAGTTCTTAATTTGGAATCATTAACGATCACAGGTTAGTTATAGACTATAATAGAAATATGGGTGATTACATAAATGATGAATAGGTGAATTTAAAAAGCATTTGTGGGATAAGCGCTCATTTTAGATTTACCTAATTAGGCTAAAATTTTTAATCAGTAATTATTTCTCAGTTAGGTAATTTTTTTAGGTGAGACAGAGAACAGATAATGATTAACATGCTATTTATTGATTAGAATGTGGTATTGCTATAAAGGTATATGTGTCTTTTGGTGATGTAATGATTTTCATAATAGGTTGGGTTGCTTGAGGAAATAAGAGTAATTTGGTTAACCATTATAATAGTTGATGATAGTATTTGACTGATAATAGAAAATGTCTACGCAGTAAAGAGTTGTTGTTCATGTAGCTTAACGCAACAACGACAAGCCAACCACCATACACTTTAAATACCTAGAAATAGAAACTAATTAGAAGATATAGCAGATTTATTAAATAAAAAGAAATAAAATGGTTGCAATCTCATATGTCAAAATAAGAAAAAGTGGGGTTAATCAAATCTTAACCATCCATCCATCGGTAAATGTGAAAATGTAATTGTGCTTATGATTTAGGGAGAATTTATACTCCTCCCTCCCCTAACGAGTCTCAGTAAAAATTGGCCAACGAACAAACAAAAGACGGCGGCGCGCGCGCACAATTGAAATAAAAATTTCATTTGAAAAGGGGAACGAAAAAGGAGAAAAAAAACAAAAAAAGAAATTGTGGAATGAATCGAAAGAAGCCTTTCCTCTCCCAATATATATAATCAATTCAATTTAACTCTTTTTATCAATTTAGAATTGATTTTTTAAACTAAAGTGTTCTTAGATCATCCTTAGTTCAAGAAGTGTAATTTGTGGGATCCAATCCAATCCAATCGAATTCAATCGTCTCGTATCATATCGTCTAGTTTATAGATCACTCGGTATCATAAATTTCATCAATCCCATCCATCCATTAATCCATCCATTAATCCTAAATTTCATAACCAACCGCTGTTTACAAAAATTGTTTCAATCTCAATTTAAACACTCCATTCATCTATCTCATCTATCAGATCACCCTTATATATCCTTTTTTTTATCAGTTCAAGTCATCAATCATGGAAGTTTCTCCTCCAACTTTAGAGTTTACTGGTATGTTCATCCAAACCACAAAAATGGCATTGCCTTGATTATTCAATCAGGCACCAACCATATATTCAATGCAATTACTAACATCTTCTCTTATAGGTACCTTTACCAAACAAACCACAGAGTATTTATCCTTGAGTAATACTACCGATGTTCCTTTAGCATTCAAAGTTAAAACTACAGCTCCAAAATTATATTGTGTTAGACCAAATGCTTCTATAATTAATCCAGGTGATAGTCTTAAAATTGCTATTATCTTACAAGGGTTTTCTCAAAGTTTACCAAAAGATTATAAATGTAAAGATAAATTCTTATTAGTTTCATTACCTTGTCCTGAATTACAAGATGCTTCAAAAGTTGGTGATTCTTGGGCTCAATTAGAATCAGAATTTAAATCAGAAGTGGTTTCAAAAAAATTAAGAGTTAATTATGTCGTTACTGATAATGATAAAGAAGAACAACAACAGCCTTCATCTAATGGTGGTTATAATGATGAATCATCAACCACAGAACCAATTGTTAGTCCACGTCAAAGAAATCCTCCTGCTCCTGCTATTGTTGCTCCTGTTTCCGAAAGTACTCCTTCAAGGGCTCCAAATGGTAATGATAGTGGTTATTCAAGTGGTGTAGCTGCTGCTGCTGCTGCTGTCGGTGGTCTTGCTGCTACTGGTGCTGGTGTTGCTGCTCTTTCTTCAAGAAGACAACCTCCTGCTCAAGAAGATATTCAAAGAGAATTAAATGAATCAAGAGCTCCAGTTAATAATTTAAGTGAAAGATTAGATTCAAATGAAAAATATGATTCTCATCCTCAATCTCCTCAACATCAACAACAACCTCCTGCTGGTTATCCACCTGCTGGTTATCCTCCTGCCGGTTATCCTCCAGCTGGTTATCCTCCTGCCGGTTATCCACCTGCTGGTTATGGTTATCCTCCAGCTGGTTATGGTTATCCACCTCCACCTCCAGAAGCTTATGGAGTTCCAAGATCAAACTCTACTACTTCAATTCCTGGTAGTGAAGTTAAAACGGTGGCTGCTGAACCTGTCAATGGCATTTCTTTACCAATGGCTATTCTTTTAATGCTTGTTGCTTTCCTTATTGGTTGGTTAGTATTTTAAATTTGATCTGTTATAAAAAAATAAAAAAAAAAGGAAGAAGTTTAATCAATGCTATATAACAACATAAATAAAATGTGAATAAAAACAGAACCTAATGTTCTTAATGGAAATGGTATTAACAATACATTGATAACTTCTTATTGTCTTATATTATTACTTATTTATTTTTCTTATCATTCATCCTCCCATCCGTTATCGTTATTTAATATTAGTATTATTATATTCATTCATTCATTCATTCATTCCCTGTGTAAGTTTCCCATTTATAATATTTTATATAGCATTTTTTTAGCCTTACTTAATTCACTTTTTATATATATACTTTTGTTTTAGTGTTTATTAACCTGTACGCCTTTAAGTCTATATAGTCTGATTATTATGATTAAACTATAAGACCATTAATTGTAAATCAAATCAACTAAGTATCCCCCACTCACTCTAAAAATTAACTTTCCTGTATATAATAAATCCCTATTAAAATTTTTATTATCAACAAAAATTTTAAATGACAATTTTGAATTATAAATAGTATATAGAATCCTTCTTTCAAACTGATCTTGCAATACATGATTATAATAGTATCTTATTGAAGGTACAAACTAGACATTTAATTTGTTTGTTGTTAATTTGAATATTCAAGGGTTTGGAAAACTTTCAATAAGAATTCTTACGTTCATTGATCTATTCATTCATTCATTCATTCTTTTATTTCATTCGTTCATCAATATTCACCATAAATCTATAAATAAACCAACGTAATCATGGGTAGAGCTACGATAAAGTCAGGTACAATCAATCTTTTAAACACTATCATAGGAGCCGGTATCCTTGCCATGCCATTTGGATTGAAAAGTAATGGGTTAGTATTTGGATGTGTATTGATTGTATGGTCATCTTTAACTTCATCATTTGGATTATATTTACAGAATAAAGTAGCTAAATATACTCAACAACAAGGGGCTGTTTCCTATTTCAGTCTTGCTCAATTGACGTATCCTCAATTATCAATTTTATTCGATTCCGCCATATCAATTAAATGTTTCGGAGTTGGGGTTAGTTATTTAGTCGTGATTGGGGATTTAATGCCAAAGATTATGGAAAGTATAAATGTCGATCCTGAATCATTACTCATGCAAAGAAACTTGTGGATTACGATATTCATGGTGGCTCTTGTGGTTCCTTTATCATATTTGAAGAAATTAGATTCATTGAAATATACTTCGGTAGTGGCATTGTTTTCGATCCTTTATTTAATATGTCTTGTGATTGAACATTATGTTGCTAATGATATCCCAATTGAAAATAAAAATATCGAAATCTTTGGTCCAATCTCTTTAAAAGATACTTTAAAATCATTCCCAATTTTCGTTTTCGCTTATACTTGTCATCAAAATATGTTTGCTATAATCAATGAATTAAAACCAAGTGATACTGATGGATCTCAAACTAGACAATCCAATTTAATCATTAGAAATGCCTTAACTACTGCTTGTTCGTCTTATTTAGTAGTAGGGATCATTGGTTATTTAAGTTTTGGTGCCACTGCAAATGGTAATATTATCACCATGTATCCAAAAGATTCAATTCTGTCGTTGATTGGTCGTCTTTGTATTGTGGTAATGGTTGCCTTTTCATTCCCCTTACAGTGTCATCCATGTCGTGGATCCATCAATCATGTGATCCATTTCGTAACGGTGGGTATCAGTACTTCAAAAGTTAGACAATCTCAACAAAGAGAAGGTTATACTTCATTACAATCCGATATAGAATCATTGAATTCAATCTCCGCCGAATCAGTTCAAGATGAATCATTCATTTCTACTACTCCAATGGAAGGAGCTCAAGATACTGATGGTCATGATCCAATCATTGTTCCATTAACCTCCAAGAGATTTTATATCATAACGACCGTAATTGTGGTTGCTTCATATTTAGTAGCTATAACAGTCACTTCATTAGAACATGTGCTTGCCTTTGTAGGTTCAACTGGTTCTACCTCAATTTCTTTCATCTTACCTGGATTATTTGGTTATATGTTGATCAAACCAATTAATGGAGCTTCTAAATTAAATAAAATTGAACTTTTTAGTAAGTATGGTGGATTGGCTTTATCTATTTGGGGTGTGATCGTTATGATTGTATGTTTGAGTGCTACGTTGTTCTTGGGTGCTACCCATTAGAGAAACTATTTAAAATCTCAATATAGTTGTATATTATATATTTAAAAAAAGAAAAAAAGAAAATTATAATACATAGATTAACAGTTACTTTTATTAATTATTATGTCTAGGTAAATTTCAAACTCTGTAATGAATGATTAGAGAATAATAGATTAGTACCTAATTTATTAATCATTTCTCGTTTCATTAAACTTTCATCAACTTCTAATTTCGATCTTTGTAATTTAGCCGTTATCTCTAATTTATGATCCTGTTTGGGTAAATCAACAAAGGCAATATTACATTCAAGTAATAATTTAAAATCATTTTCAAAACTATAATATCGTATTTCGAACTTGATACTTTCTTCGGAATATAAATATGTGATGGGGTGTTTTAATGATAATGTATAAAGATCTGAATCTAATTTCTTCAACGCATTCCAATATACTTTAAAACTCTTGAAATTATCTATTATAGTTGATCCAGGATTTATGGTAGTTAGTTTCAATGCATACTTGTTGACTAATTCCTTATTGTGAAAAGTAGTTGTAGTAGTGTTGGTATTCAAGGAGTATACAATATTGGAATGATCAGATATATCTTTGAAATTGAATTTACAAATGATTAATTCATCAAACTCATAGGATAATTCACTTTCTTCAAGTCCTAGGTATTTCAATTTAGATAATTTTTGAACAAAACTAAACTTTTGTTTTAAAATATCAATCTCATTTACTTCATATTTTCTATTCTTGGTTATTATTTTCTCATCCACCGAAATATCGAGCTGCAATGTACGAATTGATTCATTTATGTCCAGTATTTTCTCTTTCAAAGCAGTCAATGCTTGTTCTTTGGAATCAGATGAGGCTTTCAATTCTTGTAATGTCATTTTAGATGATATTAAATCAGATTTAAACTTTTGCAATTCATCTACGGAAATACTTGATATTTGACCTTGAATTGATCTTAAAGACTGTAATTTTTGCTTTGCTGTAATTAGTATTTCCTTAGCAAGATTATAACTCTCGTCCAACTTTTGGATATCTGATTTAATCTTCTCTTGATCTTGAATTAATTGATCTCTTTTATTATCTAACTCAATGATTAAATTATTGGTTAATTGAGTTCTCCAATCATACCATGTTTTCTTCGATTGGAATCGAGTATGATCTTTAATTAATTGTAATCTAACATTCATTAATGATTTATCATCATCATCTGAAGCATAATACTCTTTAAATAAAACAGGATTATTAACTTGGATAGTTTTAGAATATTCAGAATACATCTTTCTTCCATCTCGGATGTTGTTACTTAATTCATCACAACTGAACTGATATAATGCAAGTAATTCTAATTTTGGAAGTGCTTTAATATAATCTTCTAAGGTATTATCAGTAAGATCAGTAGTGCTACTGATACTTAATCTTTCCATTGAATTCACATCAATATCCAAATCATCATAAAATTTAACTCCTATATCTTCAAGGAAAGTACTAAGGGTTACATCTTCATAATTTTCGTCCGTATTGGAAACATCTTCAATGGTGGATACTTCAGCTAAGGGGATCTTTGTAGTACTGATTAATCGTTCTGAAATACTTGCAACCGATGAATTTGGACTCTGAGGTAAGGTTTGATTCTCTTCGGTGACTTCAATTTGTACATTGGAGATAATTGTACTATCGACTTGAGTCAATTCCATTGGTTGACTACCTTGAATATCTTCAACCAGTTCGGCTTCAATTTCAACTTCACTTACTTTCTGTATTGTAGTTGGAACTTGAGTTAATTCCATTTGTTGAGTATCTTCAATTTCTTGTTCTGTAGTCGTACTTATTATATTTGATACTTGAGTTAATTCCATCTGTTGGGTATTTTCAATATCATTAGTTGAATCTTCAATCTCTTGATTTCTATGTATTATCTGGGGACCGACTTTAGTAACATCCATAGTAACTTCAGCTTCCTCTTCATTTTGTGGAAGTTTATTTGAGATATTAGTGTTGGATTCTTGCAGATCCTGTTGGGTACTAGTTTGTATTGGACCAAATAATCCTAAACTGTGTAAATTTCCATCAAACTGAAGTGGCTCTTGTACCAGCTCCGTTACATTTTGTGATTCAATATTATTAAGGGTAGGATCTTGTGAGCTTTCTTCACTAGCTTCTGTTATCACTTCTAACACAGGTGGAGGTAATGTTTTATTATATACTTCAGTGATATCCATCGTTATTTCCATAGTAACCTCTTGTTCTTCTGGTTGTTGATGATGACTTGCAATGAAGGCTTGTGGTCCAGTCAACTCCATATCAGCATTCTCATCATTATCAGATTCATCATCTGATGGGAATTCAACGGCTGCTGCTGCTGATGATGTTGTTTGGGTCATGGTGACAAGTGAAGATAATGTTTCTTGAATGTGATCATTTATATTTTGTATTTGACCAGTCAATTCCATAGTTTCTTCTTCTTGATCTTCTTCAGCTTCTGCTGGTTCCACAAAGCTATTACTGGGGTATTCTGGTATCACCTTTTCAGGTGACTCTATATTCTCAATACTATCAAGCAGTGATTCATCTGAACTATCTTCAAGAACTTCTAATCCATTAACATGGATTTCATTATCTATACTTTTAACAGGACTATCGAATTCTTGAGACAGAGGAATTGAACCTGAAATAGTCTTTCTCCTCTTTGAAGTACCATTCTCTGAAGTAGGAATGAAATCAAACTTATGTAAAGTTACTTCTGGAGCAAATGAAACTCTTCTCTTGTCATTAAGTATTGGTAACGTATTATCTCTTAAAATACTCTTTGAAGGATGCTTGAACGATGGGGAAAAGGGTCCAAGATTGATATTCTCCTTATTAGAAGTCGGACTCATCTCTTTAGTGGTAGTTACTGAACTTCTTCTATTATACTTGCTGATGTTGTACCGTTAAACAAGGTTAGATCATCTAATGAATTCTCATTTGTTTACATATTATGGGGATTGATCTTCTACACAAAACCAAATCTCAAATTTTGTAAACAAAAAAAAATTTCAACGCGTCCAAATTTACTGCAAAATGACTTTATAATGCAAATGTAGCTTATAATTAAATAGCTAACTAACTAACTAATTCTATACTTAACCTGTTACGTCTCATGTTTAGTAAGTCATCAGATTCACGTTCTCCAAGATTCTCTAAATCAAATTCATTAGCTTGAAAGATTTCATTCCATTCATCTTGTAATTTAGCAAATTTCAGATGGATTAATTCTGCAACTATAAACCTATCGATGAATCCACTCATAACTTGACGATTATTACTATCCATAATGATGAGATAGTTTAAATGCATTTTTTCAAATGTTTCAATTAATAATATAGCGGTAGTTAATTCATTAAAGATGATTATTGATTTTTCAACGGTAAGATCAACTTGTAATAAATTTGAACTGATTGATCTTTCATAATGTAATTGTTGAGATAATGCAACATTAGGCAAATCATTAATTTGAAAACTGATGTAGGAGTTTGTATCTTCTATAGTGGCAAGTTTGGCCAATAACTCTTGTTTATTTACATATCCTAATCCAACTGGATTCCCATAACTAAGAATTACAGGATATCCTTCATGAACATCGTCATTGGTAAATTCATATAATGTATTCACAGTATAATGCACTTCTGGAACTAAGCAAATACATTTGGTTTTATTGACAGGGACCATTAATGATTTGACTGGAACATCAGGTAATTTATTCTTTATAATAGTAGTTAATTCACTGAAATTTACTAAACCAGGACCTTTACCTTGATTTGGATCATTTCCAGAAGCACCTTCTCGATTAATGGTGAAACTTACTAAAGTATCATAAATATTATCATTGATTAACCAATCATTAACAAACTTCAGTACCATAACAGCTAACATAATGGGTAAAACATAACTTACTGCACCCGTCAATTCAAAGATTATAACCACAACACACATGGTAAACTTAGTAACACCAGCCATGAATGCTGCTGCTCCGATTACGGCATATGATGAAGGTGAAACAAGACATGATTTAGCTGTACATGTTGCTAATGAATCCCAATTGAATTTAGTTTGTAAAGCCTGAGATATTATACCTAATAATCTACCGGTAGTGGCACCTAATACTAATGATGGAGTTAATATACCTCCAGGTAATTCAGTTCCAAAAGTATAACATGATAATAGAAACCCTTCGATTAAAATGAATGATAATTTTAAAATTGTCACCAAGTTTGAAGTACGACAAATGAAGTTATTTGAAGTTGCTCCTGTATCACAAGCTGTGAATAATAATTTCAAATAGGCATTAAGTGGTAATTTGGTTAATTCAAATGGGAAATTTAATAATGATGTGATTATTAAGACCAATAATATTTCCAAATATTTTCCAGTTTCAGGTGGAGCTCCGAATAATTTACTTAAATTCAATTGTAAATTTCTTCTAAATGATGAAGTAGAGAATTTGGCATTTAAACTAGTGAATAAATATCCATAAACACCACCCAAAGCCCCTAAGATAATAAAAGGAATGATTTCTAAGAATAACCAACTAAAATTCCCAAATTCCACCAGAAATAAATCTTGTTCCACAAAATTTGTTCCTTCAGTGAAAACTTTAAATCCAGTAACGACAATAACGGCAATAGTAGCAATGACAAATGAGTTCCACATGATCTTAGTGGGCATGAAGAATGATGGCATACTTTCTAACACGAATAATACACCACCGATAGGAGCATTGAATGCGACTGAAATCCCAGTGGCGGTTGCAGCTGTTAATAATTCTCTTCTAACAGCTTCATTTTCATAATAATCTTTAAAGAAGAATCCGAATAAGATATTTAAAATACAACATGATACATGAACCAAAGGACCTTCTTTACCTAACCATAAACCTGAACTAACCACTAAGATTAATCCAAACGTTTTATACATTAAAGTTCTTAATCCAAGATACTCCGATAATTTATAATTAAATCCAGATATGATTAATTTAATTTCAGGAATACCGGATTGTTTAATCAATGGATCCTTTCCAATGGTGATATAAGCAGCAATTAAGGTCCAAATGATTGCAAATGTAATATAAATAGGAAAATTAACAAAGATATTAGTTACCACACTAGTGGAATGGAAGAATATACGAGACCAATTATACCAATCATCGACGGGACAAGTTCGATAAGGATTTAATAATGACCATTTATCAATCTTACTGAAACATAACCCTTTCTTCAAATCATTAAGCCAGACTGAAGTTAAATCTATAAATGTAGTTATATAGCCAATTAAGATCGACAGAAGAATCACCACCACCCATTTCTTAGTGATGAATACTGAATTATTGGGTGTTAGTATTGTCTCTCGACTCCAATCTATATAAGTATTGTTTTCATAATGTTTTCGAGTTGTATTTGATGAGTTTATATTATGGTGAGGTTGATTTGATTCGAGATTCCGATATCGCAATATCGGTATATCTTCTTCGACGGAGTATATAACTTTTGATCCTCTAGTAGGACTGAATTGTTCCATAGTCTAATCAATGAACAATCAACTAATATGAATCCTTGAATGATATGATATGGTCTGGGTTTTAAGAATATTTTGGAACACCATAGCCAAAATGCTTAAATATACAGTTTAAAGTCAACTTTCATAATAATTTACAGTTTACTCGTAATTTTCATACTGCACACATTTTTTTTTTCTTTACTGAGAGAAGTTCACTGTTTGATTTATGAAAATATCACTGAACTCAAACCTGTTGAAGTTGAATAAGAAGGGTTATATGTTACAGGAATAATAAGATTCCACATCATATTATCTATATCATATCTACCAGTGGTGTATACTTCATTAATTAATCAAAAACTTTCCAATCCAAATACGATTGAGAATCAATTCATATCATCAAATCAACAATCCAAACAACCATCATCATACTAGTCATTTAATCCACACCATTCATGTCATTTTTATCCAATTCAACCAGTTCGGCAAGCACGCCATCAAGTGCAGCCAATGGGAAAGAACTAGTGAATGATATAACCATTAATAATGGTCCTGAAGATTCTATATCTGATTTATCATTCTCTCCTAAACAAGATTTATTAGCAGTGGCCAGTTGGGATAAAAAAGTTCGAATTTATGAAATTGATCCTAATTCAGGAAATAATCAAGGTAGAGCCTTGTTTGAACATGATGCTCCTGTGTTTTCAGCCAGATGGTCATTGGATGGTACTAAGATTGTTAGTGGTGGAGCTGATAAACAAGTGAAATTATTTGATTTACAAACTCAACAATCACAACAAATTGGGATTCATGATGGTCCTGTTAAGGCAGTTAGATATGTTGAATGTGGACCTAGTAATACTCAAGCTGTTGCATCTGGATCATGGGATAAGACTTTAAAATATTGGGATATGAGATCACCCCAACCAATTGCAACTATTCAATTACCAGAAAGAGTATATGCAATGGATTCAAGTCAAAAATTATTAGTAGTTGGAGGAGCCGAAAAACATATTAGTATTATTGATTTAAATAATCCTCAACAAATATTTAAAAATGCACAATCCCCATTAAAATGGCAAACCAGATCGATATGTTGTTATCCATTAGGGAATGGATTTGCCATTGGATCTATAGAAGGAAGATGTGGTATACAATATGTTAATGAAAGTGATCAAACTAAATTTGGATTTGCATTTAAATGTCATAGAACTGGAGGAGCAGCTGCTAGTTCAGCATTAAGATCAAGTACAAATTCTCCATCTCGTGCATATCCCGTTAATTCTATATCATTTCATCCAACTTATGGTACTTTCAGTACTGCTGGATCAGATGGTACCTTCAGTTTCTGGGATAAAGATGCTAAACAGAAATTAAAGGCATTTCCAAATTTGAATTGTACTATATCAGCTACAGTATTTAATTCTACGGGATCAATATTTGCTTATGCTATGAGTTATGATTGGTCACAAGGATATCTGGTGAATAGACCAGATTATCCCAACATAGTTAAATTACATGCTACTAAAGATGAAGAGATCAAACCTAAAAAGAAGAGATAAACTAATCATAGTAGTAGCTTAAAAAAATAAAAGCCATTTGTATAGTAGAGCTAATAGTAGTAGTAATAGATGATAGGGGAGGGGGGGTTAAGTACTAATAAAGTAATTTAATTTTATATCTTTCTTCGCAGTTTGAACCTAATTAGATATTCACTCCTTTAACTATGTAAGCAATTAACTCTAATAACAATGAAATTACGCAAACTTAATATAAATAAAAAAAAAGAAATTTATAATAATGTTAAAAATTACATTTAATATGAGAAAAGGGGGTAGTGCATTTAAGCCAGTTGAAAAATTGATAATTACCAATGACGAAAAAGAAAAAAAAAGGCCTGACAAAATTGACCTCAAGTTGAACAGGGTTTTGTTGATTTTATATCTTTTACTTTACTATTCATTAAAGAACATTTTAACGGTTTAACGGCATCATATAGTGCTAGACTTGACTGGACTAGACTATTTTGTTTTCTCTATTCTATCCTCTAACTTCTACTTTCTATTTATTCATTATTCATCGTTCCCATCCATCATTTTGTTTTATTCTTCTATACTGTATTTTGCTTATATTATTATCAAAGGTTGGTTTCATTTTCAGTTTTCATAAAAAATTATAGGGTTCCTTTCATTCTTATTCATTATTATTATTAGTACTACTTTCCATTTTAAAAGAAATTTTCATCAATAATGACATCTATTCCAAAAAGACAACTTGTTAGTGAACCATTTGTTCATCAATTAGATATCATCGATAAAGCTATTATTGAAGCTCAAAATCAACCTTCATCTCCTTATATCAATAATAGTAAACCTAAAAGAAGAGTCAACTCCTTGGTAAATCAACAACAAGTTCAATATCAACAATATTATAAAATGAAAAATGATTCAATGTATTCAAATCAATATTATCAATATCAACAATCTTCTTCGCCTCAAGTATCTCATTCAAGACCAAAGAGTCAAGTTCCATCTCAATACTCTTCACCTTTGGTTAGCTCATATGTTGATGTAAGACCTCAACAACAACAACAACCACAAATTCAAATCCAAATTCAACCACCTCAAGCTCCAACTAATGACTTTGGTCGTAGAGTCAGTGCAGTTAGTTCATCATCATCATCAACCACTCCATCTTCATCGACTCATTCACTTTTAGCCCAAACTAGTACCACAACTTCAACTACTAGTTCAGCTAAATGGTCATCTAATTTATTTGATCCTTTTAAACCAGTTGAATTCAATACAACTCCTTCTACCACTACTACTACTTCAACTAATTTGGCTTCAGGTGCAGGTTCAACTACTACTGTCGGTGGTAATACTAATATCTGGGGTACAGGTCCTTCAGATTCTCGGTTGTTTAATAATACAGTTTGGGCTTAAGCTCATTCTATGGTGAGGTTCCTGGTTTTATTTTTTTTTTTATTTTTCATATTTGTTTTCCTTTCCTTCCTTTAAATCTTCCTTTTATTTTATGTTTTTTTGTTTTTTATTAGTTTAGTTTTGTTCTTTAGAGTGATTTGGTTCAAGGCGGCGCTGGTTTGAAAGGTATCGGTCGTTTCAATTTAAGAGATGGTGTGGTGTGGTGTGTTAGCGAATGAACAATGTTATTTGATAATTCATTCGTTCGTTTGGTCGGTTTGTTAGTTCGTTCATTGATTTATTCATGGAGTCTTTCGTTCTTTTATTCATTCTTTCTTTCATTCATTCATTTAGAAACCTATTCAGGAGGTTTTATGTTTTCAAAAAAATACATGGTAGACTTTATTTCTTTTTGTTTTTTAATTATTTTATTATATTATATTATACTTTGTGTTGTGTTGCAAAAAAGAAAAGAAAAAAAAAATTTTGTATGGTGTGAGCAAAAAGAAGAGCCCCATGACAAAAATCAATGTGTCTGTATTTGTGCAAAGGTGATGGTTTTTTTGTTTGTCATAAAATTATTAACGTTAATAATCTATATATATATAAATGTGTGTATGTTGTCCTTTTTTTTATTTAGTTATAATATCTGTCTATTATAATATATTGTCTTTTAAAAGTGTTTATTAAACAAAGTGTTAATTATAAAATCTGGGGTTTTAATTAGACAAAGTGGATTTTTATTAAAATTTTTGTCAATTTCTATTTTCTGCTCAATTTTTATCCAAATTTCAACATTAAAAAATGTCGAAAATTTTAAGACAGGTACTACGACCGGAAATATTCTGAGAGCGCTCGGAAAAATTACTTTGAATAGATACCGGTGGTAGAGCTACCGAGCATTAACTTGACCATCGCTCAATATTTGTATATGTATAATGAAGAGACAATTAAAGCTCAATTGAATATCTAAAGTGTTGTTCAATCAGATTTTAATCAAAGTGGATTAGCTCTTTGGTATGAAAAACTATTCCAATATTAATGATATGAAAACATGTCTCATTTCGAGGCAATCGATGTAACCATTTTGAAAACTTTCTCGAATGAACATAACAACAAAACGGATAAACTAACCAATTTTCCAGAGGCTGATATGAATTACCAAAACAGTTGTGAGTATGATTGGATTAGGCATTATAATAACAATGATTAATTAATGAATGAATGAATGAATGAACGATTGATTGATTGTCGTACCACGGCGATTGGGGCGGTCCATGTCAAATATTGAACTAAATTGATCGTTTCTCTAGATACGAATAATCACATGAACAATGACACATTCTAAATCCTTACTAGATCTAAACGTTTCCTTGTTTCGACTTCCAATTAATGAAACATGAAGTCAACCAATACAGAAGACCGCTTTGTTAGACCCTGTTTGACAACACTATTATTTATGCGCTTAAAAAGAATAAATGTCAAAAAAAATTTGTCCCACCCATCCACACGTTTTGTGATCTTCATTTCGGAATATTGTTTCCATTCATTCATCACATTCATTTTGTTCGTCAAACCATTTATTACTTATTTGGTCCCGGGAAATAATATCAACATTATTATTGGTTCAATCGGTCATTAAGCCCATTGCAAAATGTCACCATTGAAAAATGCAATTCGCTTGCCATTGACTAATAGGCCTCCCTATTATCTATGTTGGTTAGATGTGAAAAATTTTTTAGATCATTTTGATGTCATTTTTAATTTGGGTGAAAAAAAAAAAAGAAGAAAAATAAAATAAATGCATTTGAGATGAACAATCAAATTATTCTTACTAAGCATAACTACAAGGGGGTAAAGAGTTCTTTTTACTGATAGGGTTGAAATGTGGAGATCGACTAGCTGATATCATTTTCATGCCAAGCATATAATAGGCTCTTATGTCAAATCTCCGCATGCCAAGCTTGTCAAACAAGAATAGAATTTTTTTAGACTAGATAGATGTAGGTAGGTGAACAATGTAGAATTAGGGAGGTAAACTATTAACCCTTCTCTTCATAGCTTTTGGTCCAATAGCAATAAAATACTTAAGTTGAAAAATAGGGTGAAAAATGGATGCATATTTCAACATATAACTAAAGAACGTGCTCCCCGGTTTTGAACCATTTAGCAATTGCAACAAAGGGGCTGTCTAACAAAAAGAAAAAAATTGCTATTAATAAACCTTACTATGGTCTAGATGCCGGATTGCCATAGAGAAACCGTACCGACTCACGGAGATGAAGAGCCTTATTGTTAGAAAGCTAATACAACAATGTATAGAAATGTACCCTAGCGCCAGTGCCCCCTTCCCACCTCAAAATGGATAACATTTCCACGTTCTTTGTTATTTTATTTCCTGTAATTGAGTTTTATTTAGGTTAAACTAGACAAATAGGGGAGAAGTATAGTTGCAACCCCCAATAATAGTTACTTTATGGAGCGGGCCGGAATGATGTTGCCTACCTTACAGTAATAAGTCGTCGAAAATCTTTGACCTAACTTATGTTTATGACATTCTCTCATAGAAACGTTCCCATTATATCATTTTATTGACCTCACTAAATTAGTGATTGCCTTGTTTCGCGGTAAAAGGGTCAAAAACTATAAAGCATAATTTTTCGCGGGGAATGTGATTGAGAAGACAATTTTTATCCCATTGAGTTTATTTTGCAATGGAATTGTGTACTAGGGACATCACTTGATTGGATAATGATACACCGTAATCAATTGATTTAATTAAATTAAACTCAATTGTGTGTGATAATAATAATAATGAACTAGCGATAAATCCTAACTTTAGATTTATAGATTGGAAACTGAAAAATAAAATAAAATACTAACAAAAAGGCAAACCATAAAATATTCCTAAGCCACAAAGCCAATATTTATAGGAGAGGCCAATCGTCCTCCTCCCCCCCAGAATATGCACTTAATTAAACTTGAAAAGGATGTAAACTTCATGCTATGTAAGTTCTGAACGTGTGTTATGATGTTCTCAAAGAAGTAACAAATTTCACTCCTTTAGGACAAATTATTTACAAATTCAGTCGAATACCCGATCAGGTACATAGATGAGCTCATTTTCAATATTTCGTATATTCGCAGCTAACAATTTTTGGTAAATAATTTGAAGATATATCCCCTTACTAAAGGCCGTAAGTTAGATGTTGCATTGTTCCACGTGGAAATAATGCCCTTTAGTTAAGTTTATATATATCAATTGAATATCAATAGGAGACTACACGTGTAGTTGCAGTTCAATTGAAAAGTTTAATATATATATAAAGAAGATTATCTTCAATTGTTTAATATTTTGATTTGAAAAATTCTTTTTTTTTTCAGTAGCGAAGAATCATCAAATAACAAAAATGTTAGCTGGTAATATTGTTTCGTTAATTGCCATTGCTGCTTCTGCAGTTGAAGCTTTTAGTAACGGTGCTCCATCTTTCCAAAGAGGTCAATTCACTCAAGAAGTTTACGATGCTTACAATCTTTTAAAACATTTTGGTGGTAACGGTCCTTACATTGATGGTGTTGGTTATGGTATTGATACCTCTGTTCCAGATCAATGTGAAGTTTCTCAAGTTATTATGATCCATCGTCATGGTGAAAGATGGCCTGATCCAAGTGTTGCCACTGGTATGGTTTCCGCTTATAAAAAAATTCTTAACACTAACCAAACTTTTACTGGTTCTCTTGCTTTCCTTAACACTTGGGAATCATTTTTAGATACCGAAAGTTTATGGGCTGAAGAAACTTATTCAGGTCCATATTCTGGTTTATTAAATGGTTTCAGAAGAGGTGTTGAATACCGTGCTAAATATGGTCACTTATGGAATGGTGAAAATGTTCCAATGTTCTCATCTGGTTACGAACGTATTATTGAAACCGCCAGAAGATTTGGTCTTGGTTTCTTTGGTTACAATTATACTGATAGTGTTTACCTTAACATTATTCCAGAAACTGCTGATCAAGGTGCTAACTCTCTTACCCCAGTTTGTTACACTAACCAAACTACCACCACTTATGGATTAAGTAACTTCACTCAATTCACTGCTGCTGCCAGTAGATTAAACTCTGAAGTTAAAGGATTAAACTTATCTGCTTCTGATGTTTACAATCTTATGTTACTCGCTCCATTCGAATTAAACGGTAAGCCATTCTCCCCATGGGTTGATGTTTTCACTCTTGATGAATGGAATGCTTTTGGTTACTATAACGATTTAGGTTACTACTACAATGGAGGTGGTCCAGGTATTAACACCTCTGTTGCTGTCGGTGCCGTTTATGCTAATGCTTCCCTTACCTTATTAAACCAAGGTCCATCTGCCGGTAAGATTTTCTTCAACTTCTGTCATGATACCAATATTACCCCAATCTTAGCTGCATTAGGTTTATTCACTCCAGAAAATGATTTACCAGTTGACCGAATTGCTCATGACTCCGTTTATAAATCAACTAATTTCGTCCCAATGGGTGGTCATTTAGTTCTTGAAAGATTAGTCTGTAACAAGACTTCTGTTCATGCTGCTGGAACTTATGTTAGATCTCTTGTTAATGAAGTTGTTATTCCAAGAGTTGACTGTCAAGACGGTCCAGGTTTCTCTTGTCCATTAGCTAACTATACCCAAATCATTAACGAACTTCCAGATTTCAAGACTGCTTGTGAAGTTCCAGCTGAATATCCACAATATTTAACTTTCTGGTGGGATTACAATACTACTAACGCTCTTAACACCCAACAAGGTCCAATTCCATACCAATTAGGTGCTACTACTTGGGATGATCAACCTCTTGGTTCTTAAACTTAGTGCTTAATACCCCAAGCTTCTGGCTACATTTTTTTATCCCTTTATCTTAGACGTTTTAAAAATATGTTATACCATAAAAAGTTGCGATAGTTTTCACACTTAAAAAATATTTTTTATTTCTTCGTTATCATTGTTCAAAATGGGGCATCGTTATTGCTCCTCTTTACTCATTCATCTTTTAGATGTTAATATAAAATTTTTATTAAATCAAATTTAAGATTAACATAATTGTAGTTTTGTAAAATAGTTGTTAGAAGAAACCCCAGATTTTTTGAAGAATTTTGGTAATAGCTATTTTTGAAAGGTAGTGTGCTGCCAAGGTTTGGTGAGTGAAAGCTGCAAAGAAAAGATCTGCAGGTACGCACTAAGAATTTATAGAAATATGTACAGCAAGTATTTTATAGTGTAATATGGGTCTACCTTGGCTTAAAGACGATTCAAAATATAGTTTAAATTATGTTTATAAAGACATTAGATGTGAAATAGGAGCATATAGATGAGAAGGAAATCAACGATATAATTTCTTTTTAAGTTTCATATATATGTTTCTATTTCATTTACAATAGTAAAGGCTGTATTGATATTTGGAAGGATTCAAATAAATGTATTAAGGTAATAAAAGAGTAATTTGATTAACTCTATTGAAGGCAGCATTACAGAATATTTTCTTGAATAGTTTTCCAAATATTTATATTATAAAGGATTCTTGGTTCCTTTCAATAGTTGCCCTTAATAATTTGAAAAATTGCTAGCGCTCGGTAACAACAAAATGTCCGGAAATTGGTGCGATAGAAAACCCCCGGTTGTAATTTGGACATTTCCGAGCAGAAAAATAAAGAGTACTCACATTTTTATATATTTCTTTCCAGGATTGTATATTGGCCTAACATAATACAATTTCCATGTAGTATGTATTAGAAAAAGAGAAGATATAGATAGCAAACGTACATTAAATCAATCGCAAAATGTCAACACAGCCATCATCCAATTAACAAGCACAGATAAGGAAAGAAATATATCACTTGTACTGAATTGTCTCAATATTTTTGGATTCTCGACATATTACAAAAATCCTCTTTCCTATTTCGGATTGGATGGAAAAAGGTTTCCAAGCCGACATCCATACCACAATACATAGATAAAGGATTTTTTTTTGTCTGATTTTGTTTTAAGAATTGCGTTTTTCCTTTTTTTTTTCATTGTTCAGATAACAAAATGTTATGGTTTGTATTTTTGACCATTTTATCTACTAAATGTATGTCTGGTTTAGTTGGGTTAATCGGCTTAAATTTCATATGGTGTATATGAATTATTTCACCCACCAGATGTATATGTTACATTTATCTCGAGAAGAGGTAATGAATTTCACTGGACAAGGCAATACCAGACAAAAGTAAAAGCAGAGATGATGATGGTGATGATGATGATTAAAAATTAAAGTGAATTACAAATCCAAGTAGATCTAGATTAAAAATGCAGTTGAGAACCTTCTATATAATACCATTAGTATTTTAGGCTAGGTTAATTTTACCTAACTTAGCCTATCTACGTTGACTTACATATCACAAAAAAAGGATTCACAAAAAAAAAAAAGCAGGTAGACAAAAATAAGTGTGGAAAAATAAGATTAAGTAGACTGCCTCGTAAACCAATTTTTATCTTTTTGATGTAATGGAAAAATAATGACGATGATGATCTTTATATAGACAGGGAAAATAGCGGAATATGAGTTGATTATTAGCTATGTCTGAAAATTGTCTGTTATCGCATCTAAGAAAATAGAAATTAAGAATAGGAGTAAGTGGAGACAGAGTCTTTAAGAACGTTGACAGGCGAGAGTGCGTAAATATGTATGTATGCAATTAATTGTGGAAAAACGTTTAAAAGGTTTTCAGTAACTATGTTATATATACTGTCTGTTGATGAACAAGGGTTAATTTAGGAAATATAAATAAAAAGAAGAGAAATAAGGAAAATTAAAGGGAAAGTGGAAAGGACAAAAATAATAAAAATAAAAATTTAGAAAAAAAACGCCGTGGAGATACTTTAAAATTCATATTTTCGTCACTTTTAATCTTTTATTTTTGTTTTTGTCAGAATTGTAAAAGAGGGTCAAACTAAAAACAAAATAGTTTGAGCTTATGATTTGAATAAATTCAATGGTAGTTACACTTGCTTCCAATTAGACTATATAGTTAAAAACAAAAGGTAACATCAAACCTATTCTAGTGAACCTCGCTTAGATATTAAAGCAATGATTTAAAATAGTTTAAATTGAATAATTTTGCACTTTAGTTCTATATAAAATCATTTCTTTGTGTAATATCCTCAAATCATCCTAGTTAAAAAAAAAAAAATAAACATTCATTTTCGCAGGCTAATTTTTAGTGACAGGCGCAAGATGATAGGGGAACTGCGATGACATGATATATATGCAATGAGATAGAATGTCAAACGGTAGTAGAAGAAGATCTATTCAAGGATCTTTGGAAGGTTAAAGATTAAACTTCTTTCTTTCTTTCGTTCGTTCGTCATTCATTCTATTTAATTATAAATCGATTAATTCTAAAGTTATTTTTGTACTTTTTATAATTAATATTTTACACCACCTATTTTTGTTTTTGTTATGATTCTTGTAGATTAAACTCACCTCAAAAATTTCGCCCATTGAATCCGTTAGATCTTTGTATTGATCCACGTATATCTAACCGTTATTTCCATTCAATATGAAATTAAATGAAATTGATTTAACATAAATAAATAAATATATATATATATAAATAAATAAATAAATAAATATAAAAAAAAAAGAAACCAATTATCAGTAAGACCAAATTTACGATACGCTGCTGGTGAAGTGGAAATTTTAATCCACAATTAAGCCTAAATAAATAAAAAGAGACAAAAAAATCAGACATAAAGAAAACGAAGAAAGGGAAAGGAAAAACAAAAAATCAGACAGAAAAGTAGTAGTGTGCAGGTCAGTGTGTCTATCTAATAACAGTTAATGAAGACCATCTAATATTAAATAAAACCATTGATTATAGTTAACATATCAAACGATGTAAGACTTAATTACTTCGCTTATCAAAGCAATTATTAAAACGAAGTTAATCTAACTAAGATTACCCCCCACTATCAGTACTACCACCACTTTTTTTAATTTGCAATAATTTTTGAGAGTTCTCCCCTTTTTCAAAATTTTGTCATTTTCCCTCAAACTCTCGAAATTACTAAAAAAAAAAAAAAAAAAAGAAAAGAACCTTAACGTGTGACAAAATTTACTGAGGAAACGGGAGATTTACTGAGCAAAAATGAATAAAAAAAGCAAAAACTTACACAAAAAACCTGTCAGCCAAAAAATTGAAAGGATATATAAAGCTAATTTGGAAAGTTAAATCTCATGGCATAAATGATAGATTGAAGTTCTATGTAACACGATTAGATAAGTTAGCCCCCCATTGCTAGGAGAAGTCTAAACTTGAAATGAAATTAAACGTAAATGGCAAGAAAAAGTGCTGAAATTAGAAGCAAAGAAAAAGAAAAAGAAAAAAAATTACCTGAGTGTGAGTGATTGAGAGAGTCAGTGTGTAAATAGTGTAGTTAAAAAATAGACACACTGAAATTGTCCTGACAAGTTGAGTTAACTTAGTTACGAAAAATTTTTATAGTTAGTTCATCGTACGTTTAATCAATCAATCAATCAATCACTCTATTTGGCTTACAAGACTTCGAGATCATTATTATAACCTGGTTTTTATTAGTACGGCAATCTCAATCTGTTAAACCACGCATAGTTAGTTACCTAACTATTGTCTTCAGGTATTTTGATTAAAGGACATTTTTAATCAGACAAAAAAAAAATAGTGACTGACAAAAAATAAAAAAAAGAAATTTATCTTTTCAGACAGACAGACAGACAGACAGACAGACAGACAGACAGACAGACAGACAGACAGACAGACAGACAGACAGACAGACAGACAGACAGACAGACAGACAGACAGACAGACAGACAGACAGACAGACATTTCTCACTTTAATTCTGTTCTGTTAAGTGTCTGACTGAAGTTTCGGTCTTTTTTTTTTGTTTCTCGCACTGTAAACTTTAAGTTTTCTCACTAAAAATAATAAAAAAAAACAAAAGCATATTTTCTATCTCTATCGATTGATAATTAATCAACCATTCTTATAATCTATTTCAATATCAAATTACAACCACATCTCCAATCACACACCACATATATAATTCCTCACGAGTCGACATACATATACACGTATATGTACTTATACATTGCTTCTTAAATACCTATCATGAGTCATCATAGTACTCCTCATTTGTACAATAAGAGAACTCCTGGGTCTTTGAATAATGATGGAGGTTCAACATCTTCAACTTCTGTAACAAGTACAGGTTCTGCAAATGGTAATCCAAATAGTAATGTCGGTGGGGCCAACAACGGTAATACCTCTAAAAAACCAATTATAATGGATTCTACAAGAAGTATTACTGATGCTCAAGCCACAAATGCTAAACAACTTTTAAATGCTTATGTTTATGACTTTTTAATTAAAAGTAGATTACCTCAAACTGCTAGGATTTTTGTTAATGAAGCTGAATTACCATCTGTGGAAAACTCAAATAAGAATTCTCCTCAATTAAATTCTAATGCTAATGATAATTCATCAAATTCATCAAATTCAAATACACCTCAATTTCAAAAAGAAAATAATCTCCCCAATTTATCAATAGCTTTAGATGCTCCTCAAGGTTTCCTCTTTGAATGGTGGCAAATCTTTTGGGATGTATTCCAAGCTAAAAATAATAAATTCCAACCTTTTAATAATAATAATAATACAAATTATCCAAATGGTCCTCCTCCTGCTTCAGGTCCTCCTGGTTCAGGGGGTCCTCAAATGTTTCCAGGGGGTGGTAATGGTCAACAAAATCAAAACTTTGCTTTACAATATTATCAATTACAATTATTAAAACAAAGACAGAATCAACAATTACAGCAACAACAAGATTTACAAGGATTCCCCGGTGCTATTCCTCAACAACAACAACAACCTCAGCAACAACAACCTGGTCAACCTCCTCAACCTGGTCAACAGCCTTTCCCACCTCAACCAGGCCAACAACAACAACAACAGCAGCAGCAGGCTCAACAACAAGCTCAAGCTCAACAACATCTTATTCAACAAGCACAACAACAAGGTCATCCTGGTATTCCACCTCAAATGATACCTCCTCAACAACAAGTTCCACCCCAACAACAACTGTTAGACCTTCAACAACAACAGCAACAAAGAATAATGAATATGATGATGATGAAACAACAACAGCAACAGCAACAGCAACAAGCTGCAGTGGCCAATCAACAACAGCAGCAACCTCCTCAATTAGGTGGTGCTATAGACCCTCAACAACAACAACAATTAATGGCTAATATGGCAGCTGCAGGTGCTAATGGTGGACCTCAACAACAAATGTTCTTGGCTCAACAACAGCAACAACAACAACAACAACAGTCTCAAAATAGAATGCAACAATTGGCTCAAAATCAAATGAATAATTTAAGACAACAAGCAGCCGTTGCAGCTCAACAACAACAACAAGCTCAAGCCCAAGCCCAACAACAGCAACAACAAAATGATGGATCCAGTCATAACTCCCCTGCCAATAGATTAAATCAAATCAGTCCTCATCAAGGTCAACAAGCTTTACCATTACAACAACAACCACAAGGTCAACATCCAATTTCTATCCAACAACAACAACAACAACAACAACAATTTGCAGCCGCTCAACAGGCTGGTGCTGCTGGATTAGTGGCTAATGGACCACCTGCACCATTTAATCAACAACAAGGTCCTCCCCCTCCTATGAATGCCAATACCGGTTTAATCGTTACTAATGGTACCGCTAATGGTAAAGTACCTCAAAAGAGTCCAAATATGAATAATGGTCTTAATAATAATGCCAATAGTAATGCTAATTATATCACCACTACAAATTCTGGAAATAAAGTGAATGGAACTGTAGGAGTTCCAATTATGGGTGGAGCAAATGGAGGAGCTGTGGGTAATAATCGTAATCTGAATGCTTTACAAGATTATCAAAAACAATTATTAATGTTGGAGAAGCAAAATAAGAAGAGATTGGATATTGCTAGAAATAATGGAACTTCAGATCAAGCTATGCTTACATCTGGTGGTCAACCTCAAACTCAAAATCAACTTACTCCAGGTGGAAATCATCAATCACCATTACCAACTCAACAACAACCACAAATCAAAAACCAATTCAATCAAAAACCATCCCCATCTACTGCAAGTAATTCACCCGTTATTAATAATAAACCATCACCTGTGATAGGTAATAAGAAGAAAAAAGAACCTGCTGCTAAAAGAGGTAGAAAATCAAGTACTGCTTCTAATGCAAGTGTTTCAAATGCTGCTGCCACCGCCAATAATACCACTAATAATAATGGTGCTACTAATAATTCTATACCTGTAACTAATCCTAGTACCACACCATCATTATTAAAGAAAGAATATTCGACTCCTTTAACTCCTGCATCTGAAAATGATGGTAAGAGAAAGAGAAAGAATACATCTGTATCGGAATCGCCTAAGAAACAATCAACAATTGGTCCAATTATAATATCTAATTCTACATCCCTCAATACTAAAAACGCTACTAAGAAAGAGAAAACCATCAAAGAAGAAGAAGTTCTTTCTACTACGAGTGAATCAACTCTTAAGAAAACTTCAGGTCTTATACTGGAAGATAGTAATATGCCACCTCCTGCCCCTACCACTACAACATTTGCTAATCCATTGGAAGGTAGTGATCCAATGTTTGATGATATGTTGGGTAATGGAAACAGTGATCCTAGTGCATTTTATCAACCTTCTAATAATGGTAATGGCGTGAATGGAAGTGGATTGGATGATATTGGATTTGATTTTGATCAATTTTTAAATAGTAATGCTGATGGTAGTTTGAATGATAGTATGAATACCTTCAATTGGGGTGTTGATGCTATTGAAAATGGTGAGTGAGTTGATGAGCAGAAATAGATATTATCTTATTACATTATATTATTATTATTGTTATTACAATTCGGTTTTCGGTTTCATTATTAGTCACATTATTATTCAAAGTTGACAATTAATTAATTACTATTATTCTAATTCTTATAGTCTTTTAAAAAGGCTAATTGTTTTTATATCTTGCTTTTATTTTTATATATTCTATTCTTTTATATAATCTTTTCGACATAGTTTCAAATTTATTTTGTATTTTAGTATCAACAACCAACTTTATATTTTATTTTACTTTTACTTTTATATTTACTTTTTTTTTACTTATTTATATAGTATTTTTATCTTCAATGTATTATACATTATTACTAAACTAAACTACTAAGTCTCCATTTTAACCTCGTTTTCCGTCTTAGTTTCTTTTTCTTTTTCTTTCAATTCATTTACATCAGGTTTAATCTCAAACCAGATCTTTTCATTACTCCACACTCCATACAAAGTAATAGACAAAGTACCAACCAATACGGCAGAACTTATGGCACTAGCAGGATACTTCAACCAGGTCCATTCGTGTACGATCCAAAGCAATCCACAAACGATCACATTATATCCAGTAGAATGTAAGAGGAAAGGAAATTGCCAACAATACCATGATAAGAATTGATAATGTAAGGAACGGGAGAATAATACTCCAATAACGTTAGATGTTGATAATACCAAGAAGATTAATTGGGGACCTATTTTGTGATTTAAAAAGAGATTTTGAGGAGATATGGTTGATATTGGTTTGAACGCGTCTATTATAAGTTGACGGAATGACTTGTGAATTATTTTGGGAGATAAGTATCTTGTGAATGTGAATATTAAAATGACAAATAAATGAAGAAATAATAAAGAAGCGGCGAAATTATCACTGGAGAAGATTACTTCAGGGTTAAATTTCCAATTGACAGTCCATTGATACAGGAACTTTCTCTTGAAATTAAATGCTTGATTGATATAGTTCCATCTTATCAGTTTTGCATCTTCATCATTAAATAATGGTAATAAGAATTTCCAACCCGTAAGGACTTGAACAACAGGGATAACGGCTAATACAACGATCAATTTCAAGACATTTTCTTCTAATAAGAAATAACTAACCACTAAGAAACCAGGTAAATAAAGTAAAGCATTCATTTTAATGGAAATGGCAATACTGAATAAATCACTAGCTAAGAAAACCAAAAGAAAACTTGCTAATGAACTTGTTTGATGCCAATAAGAAGCTTGTTGAAGGAATAAGGTTACTCCTACCATGGCAAGGGTGGTGAAACAATCATTGAATAAACGTAAGACATAGATTGACATTAATCGTTTACTACCCAATAATAAATATAAAGGCCAAGGACTAATATGATCAGTAAAAGTGTAAATGATTAATACCAACAAGTTTGTAACCGTTAATACATAGCTAAATACGACTTGACCAGGTAAGATATTTTTACCTCCATCAGTTACATAACTTAAGAATTGAAAAATTTGGACAAATCCAGCAGGATATACAATAGGACCAGTATCACCAATCACTTGAGCGTAATCGATTTCTCCTTCATTGATAAGTTTAATTTGTTGCATATAAGTTAAGAAGTCAATTTCAGTATATGGAACGAACGATATGACAACTTTAGCTATCATTGAAGTTAAACATACCATGACTGGGACAACAATACGATTAACTTGAGGATCAAATATTAACGCGTATATAGCATCAACAACGTCACCCATAACATTCTTGAAATTGAACTCAGGTAAGTCCTTCTTCTGTATGTTGGTTGCCGATGTGTCTGCTTCCATGTCTTTCATCTGTTGGTTGGTTTCGGTAGCTTCAAGGTGTGTGATTACTTTCAGCATCTTATGATGATGATATGGCTTGAATTATGATGACGTTTTGGTACCTGTTCGTTCCGAAAAAAATTTTATTTTCTAATCTGTCAAATTTATTTTTTTTGCACTCGCCACTCGCTGGTACAAATTGACAATTGAAATTTCACTGTCATCGTTTAAATTTAATGCAATATGTATATATTAAGTTAGAGTCTCTATATAGTTGATACTTTTCTTGATTTCTTCTTAAAGGCTCTAAGAACATCTCTTCTACGTCTTTTACATTCTCTTGATAATTCACCTCTCATATTCCAAAACCATTTCTCGTATAATGTCTCTTCTTCGTCTGCTTGTACTTCTTTGTCTTTATGGTGAACTTCAGCACCTTCATCCTTACTAGCATCTAATTCAGATTCACCCGGTAATTTAACCACTTCATTTGTATTCCCAATCTTATTAAGTTGAGATTGGGTTTGTAAATATGGTGAATCAAAATGACCCCAGAATAAGCCAACTTTCTTATTAAGTGATTGTTGTTTTTGTAATTGTTCTTGTTGTTTTAATTTAATTTGATTTAATAATTCAAGTTGATTGGTTATGTCGATATCTTTGGATTCATCTATATCTTCATCATCTTCAGAAAGAGCTAATTTAAATCCAGTATTGGTATTATCACTGGTGATTTTGGCAGTGGTGGTGGATGATGGATTGAAAAGGGATCTTAAAGTCTCGGTATCGTTGATTTTAGGTGTAGTTGATCCAAATGTAGGTATGAATTCATCTTCAGATGAGTCTTGTTCTTGTTCTTTATCCTCCTCCTCCTCTTCTTCTTCTTCTTCCTCTTCTTCCTCTTCTTCCTCTTCTTCCTCTTCTTCTTCTTCTTCCTCTTCTTCTTCTTCGTCATTTTCTTCTTCATCTTCTTCTTCTTGGTCGTCTTTTTCATCTTCTACCAGCTCATCTACTGTAACTTCCTCCTCGATTTCCTCTTCATCTTCCTCTTTGTCTTCTACCTCATCTACCTCTTCTTCTTCTTCAATATCAGAATCACTTTCAACTTCGTTGTCAACTACTTCTTTTACATCATTGTCTTCTTCTTCATCTTCCTCAATGGCATCTTCAACATCACCTTCGAACTCACCTTCGGCTTCATTCTCCGGCTCTTTGGCTGGCTCATTCTTCACAACTTCAAAATCATGTTCAGCATTATACTTTTTATTAATAGCCTCCGTGGTATATTGTTGACCCAATAAATCCAAATCAAGATCATTACCTTCATCATCTTCAGAATAATATACTATATCCTTTGGTCTTTCGTGAGTTTCAGTAAACGTTTTAATAATCTCATCCGCTTTAACGACATCAACTTTAAATTCATCTTCCTCGTCGTCTTCATTGTCATCATTTTCTCCACCTTCAACTTCATAATCATATCTCTTTACCTTTCTTCTACCTTTACTATCAAAGATAATATCTTCTTTATCTATACCAAGAGTATCTTCTTCTACTTCAACTGGTTTATCGAAGTCAAACTTATCAAATAATGAAGCAAGTACAGATTTATTCTTTAAAGTTTCCTTATTAATGTCGACACCTTCTTCGCTAATTTCTTCTTGATCAACATTAGCTACTTCTTCCACTTTTCCATAATTCACAGCATCCATACCTGAAATACCACAAGGAGGAGGCTTTAATATCTCTATATTATGATCATCACCACTCTTCCAAACACCATTATTGAATCTCCAAGTTAAATCATTAACGGTTTTATTCTTCTCTATCCCCCATAATTTCGTCTTGAAAGCTTTAATCTGTTTGACTTCTCCATTAATTAAGATCCTCATCGTTTGTAATTTCTTAATAAATACTGATGCTGAACGTTTGGTAACTCTATGACGACCTTTGATTAATTCAACTTTACCTGATACATTTGAAAATCGAGAGTTGATCAATTTCGTAGGGATGGTATGAGCTGAATATGATGTTAACCCTTTTAAACTATGGGTTGGAGGTTTATGTTTGGTGTTTCCCGATAGGTTATTGAAAGTATGTTCTGATTTATGATATCCTGATACATTTGATACTAAAGGATTGGTGATTTTCATTTGAGTTATAGGGTTGATAGGGTATAAACTTTGAGATTCGGCGATTCTGACATTTCTGGCCCTTTGGATATTCTCTTGTTTAATTCGATCATCTTTCTTACGATCAACTCTTTTAGCATCTCTTTCCCATTCATGTTCGAAATTCCCACGTTTAGCAAGATTAATATCTAATTTCAATCCCATGAATAAAATCCCATTCAATGATCGTTTTAAATTCTCCCAATTCTTTTGAGTAAGTTCCATCGTCATGAATCCAAAATAAAGATCATTCAAAGGTTTGGTACGTAACTCTAATGGAGTTACAATCTTTCCAAATTTTTCAAATCTAGACGTTAATGATTCTGGTTTATCGGATAATTTGGGGGAGATGTTACCTATGTGGATTCTCTTTGATGTGGGTATGTCATCTTTGACCTTGACCTTTGATTTGGCCATCTTGTGTGTGTGGTTTGATTAGTTAGTTATATGAGTTGGTTGTGAATATCATTTTGAGAAGAGCTGCTAAATTTTTTTTTTGTAGTGAGAGAATTGAATTTTTGTGAGAATAAATATTTAACCACACTGTTTACAGTTAGAAATAGAGCCAAGTGCTATTATAATTAGTGATGAATAAATTAGAATCATTGAATAATAGAATATGGAAGTCATATGATCAGTCTAAGCAATTACATGATAAACTTCGACATAATGGGAATGGCGCGATAGATGAAGATCAGTTATTGAATGATGGTGTTGCTAATGAAGAGGTAGATGTGGAGATAGGTGATGAAGAAGAGGAAGAGAGGGAGGATGATGGTGAAGGAGATGTCATAATTAAAGTCACTTCCAATGACATACCGAACTTACAACGAATCATAACTGATTCTAACTTTTCCCAAGATTTACAACTTGAATTAAAGCAATTACTTATGAAAACTTACTGGAAAGGATTCTACAAGGGTTTTGAACATGGGTCAAATTACGCGTCTGAAACCACTACTGAAGAAGAGCAAACTAATGATAATGATAATAACGATAACGTTGATAATGATTTAATATAATGGATAATATAGAATAAATAATAAATAAGGGTACATAATCATATATAAGCATATACATATACATATATGAAACTGAACTATATAATCTAAGTCATCAAAATGGTATATATGGTTGGATACTGGATGTTTATGGAGTCAGTTCCCATAAATCTTTCAAACCCATGACGGAAGTGATCACACCGGCTAAACCAATATCACCTTCAGTGAAATGTAAGATATCTAAAGAATTAAGACAAATGAATGAATCTAAGAGATCCCATACTAATTTTCTCTTTGCAGAATAAAGTTTTTGGGCAACTTGTTTAGAATCAACTTGATCCTTTTCATCTTCAGAACTGGTAGTGGTTGATCTTGATAATGAATTAATGATATGTAAGGAATTGATTATACCTGAAACCAAACCTAATAACCAGAATCTTGAAGCCCATTTACTTATAGTTGGATATTTCTTGGAATCAATGATTCCTAACATTTTAAACCAAGTGATGGAATCTAAGGTTAAATAACCAGCATAACCCAAGTTTCTAATGATTGAAGTTGATTGTAAGATTGGATCTAATAATTTATTATCATAAATCTTTGAAGCAGCTTGTAAATGATTTAAAGGTTTTAAGAATCTTAATCCTTTTCTAATGAAAGTGAAATGTTGTTTCAAATTAGCAAATAACTTAATCGTTTCAATTGGATAACCTTTTCTTTCAGCATAATAAGCTAAGAATCGAGATAAATATGCTATTAATCTAAATGATTTTTCTCTCTTTGGAGTACTATCTATAAAAGTAATTAACTTGGTAACAGTAGGATGATAAACAATAGTATCAGCAACCATTTTGATTTGATCTTTAATTGGGGTATGACTTTGAACTGGAAGAAGAGGAAGGAAAGAAAGAAAGAAATCAATATTGATTTATAAAAAAGATGAAGATTGCCCTATGATATTTATATTTATGGTTTGGGGTAAGCCAGTATTGTATACAGGACAGTCTGAATACGGATAAAAGGGACCGAGGAATTAAACCAATAATTCCAATTCATATGAGAAATAAGATTATGATTGGTTATAGTTAATTAACTATAACTATTTCCTAGATTAGGTTAGATCAAATGGTATAGATAGGTTTTGATCCGGATTAATGATTTTCACCAAAAATGATTATCTTTAGTAAATCATAATTAGATCTTTAGATATATAAGTTAATTTACTATGTATTCATCAGTATGTTCGGTACTTCTGGATGGACCCATATTTAACCGAAACTAAACTGTATTCCTATCAATTATATGTCATTTATATCTCTAAATAATATATAGTATGGTAGTACTACTACTATCATATCCCCCATTCCTAATAGCCATTAAAATTTCTTCAAGCTGGTTAAACTTTCTTATGTGCTGCGGTGTGGATGTAACGGTCTAAACTCCATATATAACCCCCAGACCAGATAAGATACATAACCATCAAATTTTATATATTTCAATGGTTGTACGGATTGAATGATAGAGTGATAACTGTAACTATGACACAGTCCAAGTTTCAGTTAAGTTCGTCCAAGGAGATACCTTCTCAAAGCAACATTAATGGGATATTTGTCGATGGTAATAAATTATCTATCAAATATGGGGATGGGATAATTATTAATGGTGATGGTATACGAGTAATTAGTGTAACTCATGAACATGACACTTATGGTTGGTTTGTAGATTGTGATGAGAATGATAAGTATACTTTGAGTTACAATTTGGACTTGCAGAAGTATGTCATAAGTGAAAACGTTGAAAATGATTATTCGGAGTCTAATCACATAGACACCGGACTTTTAAATGATGATATCACCATTAATGATATAAGCTCCCTATTGAACAAGAAGAATTCAAACATCATACCCATCAACTCCGATGTAAATCTCACTATAGAAGATTCAACTGTGGAAGGAGAGGTTGAAGAAGAACAATTTCAATTAATTATTACTCAATTACAATTATCATTCATATTTCTTCATCAATTCAAATATTCTCAATTCGAATCTATTTGGTTGCAAGTACTATCACAATTAGGTGATATCGAAATATACCAGTACATGGTTCATAGAAATTATACCCTCAAGATCTTAGATAGTTTGATTTTACAAATTAAATCAGGTGAGAAGTTTCTGGAATCGGTCATGAATATATTAGATTCAAAATTTACTAGAGAAAGTTGGAGTAGACAACCTAGTTGTTGTGGAAGGATGAAATTGAATGGATTGATATTTGAGAAATATCAAACTTTTAAATCATTTATTAAATGAATTTGTCTATATACAGATTTTTAATGATACAAGTATTGTTTTTTTAATTTCTTTAGTGTTATTTTTCGTCAATTGTAGTGTCATCAGGTTGAACCTGTTCTTCTCCTTCAGCAAGACCAGCTTCAAGAGCTTCCTTTCTCATTTCTTCCTTTAGCTTTTTCTTTCTGAAATGAGTTCGTTTATAAGTACTCAAAGTTTTATTGACTATTTGTTTTTCAGCTAAGTCAATAATTTGACCTTTATAAACATCTTTACCAGACTTTAATAAATCAGCATATTCTTGACGATACTTATTCTTTTCATCTAAATTGAAAGATTTCCATAGAATAGCGATTTCTTTCTTTGCAAGTTTATAATCCATTTCCGATTCAGCATATTTTAATGAAAAGAAATAATTCCAGGCATGAGTAAAATTAATCATTTTTTTAACTTTCTTTTTTGGAGTTGGTGTTGGTGTTGATGACTCTGTAGATGACTCAGCTGATGATGATGATTCTGGAATTTCCTCAGGAGTCTCCACATCTTCTTCAATCTCAACATCGATATCTCCACTTAATTGACGACGATAAGTTTCATTTTCTTTGATCTCAAGTAATTCCCTTTTTGTTAATTTTTTAATCTTAGGTACATCACGACCTCTTAAAGAGTATAACCACTCATTAACTACTCCAGTCAATTCAGCTATATCCTTACTCTCGGGTTGATTAAAGGTTGACTCGATTACTTCTTCGATTTTTGGTACAGTCCAACCATAACCATAAAGTTTAATGGGTACAGCAAACCAACCATATTTAGTATATACTGATGTAAAATCATTGGTGAATTCATCTAATGATTTCATAGGACTTCTCTTGTTTTTCTCGAATTTGGAGATATTATTCTTGAGTTCATCATCATCATCATCATCTTCTTCTTCTTCTTCTTTAGTCTCTGACTCTATTTCTGATTTTAAAGCATTGAATAATGGTGATGAATAATGTAAACATCGAATGGCAATCGATTTATGATGAAAAGGAATGATATTAGTAGCGTTGTGAAAGGTTATAGACCGTATAGGTAGGACATACCTTATACTGCTATTTACCACATGTTTAAACATTCAACTGGATTATAAATGAATAATGCTATGAATATCAGTTTGGTTGTAAAATTCAGTTTTAACTAAAAAGAATGAAAAATTATTTTTAAACATCGCACACACATTAATTTTTTGTTTCGTTAACTATGTAAAATAGATCGTATAATGAAGATCGTACCATATCATGGATAATATTGTTAGGAATAATGAAATAAATCTAACTTTAGAGTGTGAATATGATTCTAATGGGGTATACTATTGGATTTATATTATTAAATTGAGTGTGATTTTACTTTTTGTCGTACTTATAGTAAGCCAAAGTAGTATAATCTATGTATAGATTATTTTGAAAATATTTGTTTCATCATAATCAACCACACAACACCCCTAAACTTGAAATAAAAAGGGCTTACCTTGAATGAATTACTTCTTAATATTGGTTAAGATGATTAAATCATATGTATGTCTCTCAAATTACTCTCTTAACGGTGGTTTTACAAATTCATTTTTAACCTGATGATGTTATTTGTACTTTTATGTTGAATTTTGTTGAAATATTATTCAAAAGTATGAAAACACTTACATATTAAAAACATCAAATTATGTCCATTTACTCACTATTAAAATATTTCCAACGATTTATACTAAAGTTTAGGACCATTTACCTTGAATTCATTACTGTAGAATGAGAATTACTACTTGAAAAATTATACCATCATACATGGTAGCACCCGTTTAAATTATCTTTTTTTGTGTGAGGGATCTCGAACAATATCAAACTCAAAAACCAAAAACAGATAGTGACAACCACACGATAAGATAAATCAAATCACATCAATTGACAGGTTAATCATCATCAGCAAGGAACTATGGTTTGGATCAATTCTTGTCCTCTGGCTCAGATACCGTTGCCATTCAACGAAGAGATCGTTAAGATCATTCATGTCCCTCATACTCCTTTATTAGTGGTCTTAACTTCAATTGGAGTATACGTGTTTGATCAATTCACTTTATTGCCTATAACTTCTCATGTTAGAAATCAAGAATCAATTAATCAACATGGTCATAATGTTAACATCAAGACCAAACACGTATCGGTCAATACGGCTCAATTACAAAAGTTGAATTCGATTAATTTCTTCGTTCATACTACTGAGAGTTATCTTATTGTTTATCATTGTTCTATTAATTATACTACTTCATTATTTGAAATATCGAATAGTAAAAATGATGAATTGATTCAAACTGGGTTACCATTAAGTGTAACGTCTCAGAAGTTTAATTTCACTGCTTTCTTTAAAAATGCCACCAGACACATTATTCAAGGTTCTCAAGAGATTTCATTCAATTTAGAAAACATTGAACATTTCAATAACAGCTCCATTGAAGATGAATTAGGTAATTTCGAAATTGAAAATGCCAAAGTATCGATATTCAAAATCCTTAAGATTGGTATTGGTTTAAATCGATATTGGTTAAAACAGAATTCGCATAACTTAATTGTGTTCAATACAAAAAATGAAAGAAATAGTAGTGTTATTGAAGAAGAAGGTAATTCAACAGTGGCTGAAGATAATTATTTTCAAATTGTTAATATGCAAACGTTTAAGAATGAAGTTTTCCATTTATCGGAATATGCTTGGTATGAAATAGCTCAAAATTCAAAAATCATTTATATTAACTATAATATATTCAAGAATTATTTCATCTTTTTAAATGAATTAGGTCAATTATGGTACTTTAAATTTGAAGTGCAAGAAGATAGAGTATTGCCCGTGGGTTCATTATTAACTACTTTCCCATCATCAGTAGATTTAAGATCAACATTTAAATTCACCTTCAATCCTCAATCTGATTTAATCTTATTACAAATTGAAAATGATTTAAAACTTTATAAAGTCACCAAGGATTCGTTAGAACATGTTAAAGATATCCAAACTAACCCTACTATAAGTCAAAATACAAAATTATTGTGGTCGTCATGTGGAACATTCTTTATCGTATTAGACAAACAAAGTTCAGAATGGACATTATTTACTAAATTTGGAAGTGATTCGTTTAATAGCTCGGAAATTTTAAAGGAATTAGATGATAATTATGAAGATAATCGTGGATTCTTAAAAGCATCCAATATAATCATCACTCCAAATGCAAATGGTTTAAATATTCTCAGTGATGACAAGAAAACTTTATATTACGTCAATCTTTTAAAGGTTATCGATAATGCTTGCTTTTATGATAATGATTACATCAGTATCATTCAAAATAATAATACATTTATAAAATTCCCTATGTTACCAAGATTCAAACGTATCTTAAGTCGAATTGAGAATTATAATGGAACTTCAAATAAATCATTAAAAAGTGTCAATGGAGTATTTAAAATAAGTCGAAATGAAAGTAACCAATTAGCGATTTCATATGGAGAATATCTTGCGTTATCTACACCTTTAACTTCAGGAGGGAATGAAATTAATCATGTATTATGGTTTAATTTTAAGAATTATTACTTAGACACTTTGAATATCGTCCATCAATTTTGGTTTAACGATTATTTAATCATCGTGAATAGGAAACAAGGTGTTGAATACGATACCGAAGAAGAACTGAATGCATCTTCCAATGATGATAAACATCTTGTGGATGAGATTATCATTTTCGATGCAGCAGTTACGAAATATGGTGCTGGTGGAGCTGATATAAAATTTGATAATGATTTAATGTTATGGAAATATGATTTTAAAACCACTTTGATTGATATCCAACCAGTTAAATATAATGATAAGGTGACTCACTTAGTCTTGATTACCGATGATTTTAGATTAATTATCATTGAGTTAAACAATAGTAGAACTATTGCCAAGACTACATCTTCATCAAATTTACAAAATCCATCCACACAAAAGAACTATAAGATTTTTATTGGAGTTAATAAAACCATCCATTTATCATCTATTAAACATAGGTTTGCTATTAGAGATATCATAAAGACTAGTATGATTGATAAAAGACATTTCTTATTCCTTTTGAACTCAGGTGATCTTTATCTTTTAAAGAATCAGACTTCAACTGCGTCATTTGCTAATCCTGTTGATGCTATGAAACCAAGTAACATGTATGATTTGATCCGGATTGGCACTGGAGTCGAATTCTTCAAATTTAAGTCAATAAAATTTGATGATGATGAAAAAACTATTAATTATGTATATCTTTTCAATGGTGATACATTATTAATCTATGAGATTGAAGATTTAATCTCAAATTCGTATGATAAGGACAATGCTCCTGTTCATGGTGAAGATGAAGTTGGTATTGAAGATCATGATATTGACCATCATACTGAACCTGATCCTATCAGAGTTGAAATTGATAATTATCAACCTTTAATATTGGATAGTATTATAAGTGATGATTTAACATCATTTAAATCGATTGATTTGATTGGGGTTGAACATTCGATTGTGAATAAACCTTCCAGTGGGGGATTAATCATTAAAAATAGAATCTCCCATAAGTTAATCCTTAATAATTTCATGGAATACGATTTAATTCATAAACAAGACATAGAATTACTTAAATCATTTAAGAAATTTGAATTATTTAAGAATTATCATTACTGTTTAGAGTTATTGCTATTTAAGTACCTTACAAGAGATGAAGAACATGGTACGTTGAGGAAATTAATCAAATTAATTGAATCTACCCATGATTCAAATTCAATTTATATCAATTGTTTAAGAAAGATCGAAGTTGGTTATTGGGATTCATTCTTTACCATCTTAGAAACCACCCCATTAAAGTTCATGAGAAGGTTAATCGATAGTGACAATGTTGAACATTGTTATAACTACTTAATCGTTTACCTTAATTTCAAAAAGGAAGGTGAAGATGATATTACAAATCCTGCTGGTGAACCTGATTTTGCTCTTAATAATAATGATAAAGAAATCATTATCAAAATCATGAACATGTTAGATAAATCTCAGAAATGGGACTGGTGCTTCGAGTTATGTAGATTTATTAAACTACTCCAACCTTCAGGTGATTTATTAAAACTGATAAAACAATCTCTTGAATAGTTATTACTTTATAGATATTATAAGAACTGTCCTGCATACTAATACACACTATTAAAAAATTTAACCAACCAAATTTGTTCCTTTCGTAACAAACCGAAAAAAAAAAGAGTATAACCAGAAGAACATCAATTAAAGGTTACAATTCATTCATTTCACAGTCAATTAAACTACTATCATGACATTAGCTACCGAGTTTGCCGAGACCACTCGTCGTTCAGCCACCCAAGCTGATTTACATAAGAGGGTTTTACATTTATATCGTAAATATATGAGATATTCTCGAGAATTTTGTGATATTTATGAATTAGATATGCCAGTTGCTAATGTTAAAACTAAGATTAGACAAGAGTTTGAAAGACAAAGATATGTTAATGATTTAGATGTTTCCAATATCTTATTGGCTAAGGGACAAATGGAATTTCAAGAATTGATAAATTTCTGGAAACAACAATGTCATGTTATGAGATATTTCGATGATCAAAATAGATATAATGTGGTGGATAAGAATGATTTCGTTAAGAACTTCTTAAGAGGTAACAACTAAGGAAGTGATCAGGGTTAGATCATTTCAAAAAATCATATCAGTTCATCATTCACTGTATTATAGAGTAGAGTAGATTTCCATCCAAACAAACAAAAACAAAATACATTCACAAAACATATACACATTTTGCATATCATAGTTTGCCCTTAAGATTGATGGACGTAACAGTGTCAAAGCATCAGGTCTGGTCTATCATAGCAAACAACAGGTCAACTATTTAATCATTTTCTTTTCTTTTCTCCCTTCACTATATACTTTTTTTATGTTTCAATACATATATATTTTCATTTCGTTATAATAATCAGATTAAAATTGTACAATTAATTTATTCACATACATCATAAACAAAAACATATAAACAATAACTGTAGTACTGCGATTTCTAAAACAAAAGAGAGATAATTGAGAGAGATAAAGAGAGAGAGAGGGGGTATGAATAAAAAAGAAGGATAATTATATATATATATAAAGAAGCAAAATTAAAACCAACAAGATAGAATTAAATCATAAACAAATTAATAAAGAAAGATTAAAAAAAAAATAGATAGATAAAAGCATTTCCCAACAAGACAATAAAAAATTAATCAATTATTAGTATGATTTCATTTAATTAACTATTTCTTCACGATATTCTAATGGGGCTTCACCAGCAAAATCTAATTCTTCTTCATCAATTCCTGCTTCTTGATATTGTTGATATTCACTAACTAAATCATTCATATTTGATTCAGCTTCAGTAAATTCCATTTCATCCATACCTTCGGAAGTATACCAATGTAAGAAAGCTTTTCTTCTAAACATAGCACTGAATTGATCACCAATTCTTTTAAATAATTCTTGAATAGAAGTTGAATTACCAATAAAAGTAGCGGCCATATCTAAACCCTTTGGAGCAACTGAACAAACGGCAGTTTGTACATTATTTGGAATCCATTCAACGAAATCAGCAGCATTTCTGGTTTGAACTTTATGCATTTCATCATCAACTTCTTTAACTGAAACTTTACCTCTAAAGAAAGCAGCTACGGTTAAATATCTACCATTCTTTGGATCGGAAGCAGCCATCATATTTTTGGAATCAAACATTTGTTGAGTTAATTCTGGAACAGTTAATGATCTAAAAGATTTTGAACCAATTGAAGTTAATGGAGCATAACCAACCATAAAGAAATGTAATCTTGGGAATGGAACTAAATTAACGGCTAATTTTCTTAAATCTGAATTTAATTGACCTGGATAACGTAATGAAGTTGTAACACCTGACATAACTGATGAAACTAAATTATTTAATTCAGCATAATTAGGTTGAGGTAACTTCAAGGTTTTTTGACAGATATTATATAAAGCTTCATTATCAATACAGAAAGTTTCATCAGATAATTCAACTAATTGATGGATTGATAATGTGGCATTATAAGGTTCAATAACAGTATCAGAAACTTTTGGAGATGGAACCACTGAAAAAGTAGCCATCATTCTATCAGGAAATTCTTCTCTAATTTTTGAAATTAATAAGGTACCCATACCAGAACCGGTACCACCACCTAAGGAATGAGTGATTTGGAAACCTTGCAAAGAGTCACAACTTTCAGCTTCTCTACGGACGACATCCAATACTGAGTCTACCAACTCAGCACCTTCAGTGTAATGACCTTTAGCCCAAACGTTACCAGCAGAACTTTGACCAAAGATATAGTTGTCTGGTCTAAATAAATTTCCAATATGAGATGATTTCACTCCATCGATGGTACCTGGTTCTAAATCGACTAAAACGGCACGAGGAACATATTTACCAGAACTTGCTTCATTAAAATACACGTCAAGTTTGGATTTTTGAATATCATCAGCACCGTGATAATTACCGTTATTATCTAATCCATGTTCTCCACAGATGGTTTCCCAAAAGGCTGCACCCTATAGAAATTAGTTAGTATATTGAATGATTTGATTGATTTGCAACAAAATCAAAAGTTCGAGACTCGATTTGACTAAAATCGAATCATGATCAGTTTGAAAGTTGAGTAATTGTAATAAAATACATACGATTTGATTACCACATTGACCAGTTGATAAATGGATCTAAACAAAAGACAGTTGTTAGTAATTGTGTTGAATTAAACGGATAGACAGCACCGCGTTGGGGTTGGATACCTATCACCATTACGGCTGGTGATCTGTCCTCACCAAACAAATTGATCAGATACATACGATTTCTCTCATTATAATATATTAAATCCTATGTCAAACACCTATTCTCGGATAATGAATGCCCAACGAGATGATATATACTTGTTGATGATGATGATGAAGTGGTGTTGTTTGTTTAAACTGTGTTGTCAGGTTTTTTTTTTTTTGTTTTATATTTGTTTTGATTTTTTTTTTTGTGTTTATTTTTGATTTCGTCTACAAAAAATTTAAATTGGATTTGGGACACGACTTTCTGTTTATATATTATCCCAATTAGGAAAGACGATCGCGTTACCATATAAACCTACAATTTAAGGTTAACATTAGTTAATTAATTGTTGCAAAAAAATATTAAACCAAACTGATCGAAATGAAATAATATTTAACTATCTAATATGACATTCATCAATCAGAATACTATATACAAAGCTAGAAAAGTTTTAATATAAGAAAACTTTTACTATAATTTATAATATTTATATACTACTACTTATACAAATGTTACATACTTTATAATCTTTTATCTGAGCTGAGAAAATCTCTTCGGGTTCTCTTTATACTCGACTGAAGGATCACATCAGATAATTTATTGATATCACTTTTAGTAGTTGATGTGATTTCTGAAATTGGAGTTAGGTAATTAACGAAAACTGATCTTGCAGTCTTTAATCTTAATGAAGAATAAATTATGGATGCTCCTAATGTTTTGGCCGAATTATTTGCTGTGAAGAAAGAATCAGGGATGGTTTCCAACTTCTTATTAATTTGACCAAGAACTTGATTTGACATAATTAAGTCTCTTTTATTTAAACCTTTTTTAATATCATCAACAATTTTGATCACCTCTCCTTTCATTGGATTAATTCCACGGCACTTTGTACACATGGCAGTCAAAATAACCGACTTAGAAATTTTACAGAGACACCGTTTATTAATTTGCCCTACTCCAATCATTTTTTTGCACTTTGTGCAATTCATAGAACACTTTGGCCTGTTATGTTCCACGCAGTAGCATTTAATAATCACTGGGTTAAGAGGCATCTTTAACGATAACACGATAAATAACTTTATATAAATGAAAAACGACTTGTTGTAGATACAGTTGTAACTTTATTCAAATGAAAATGGAGTAGAAGTAGATAAACAACTTTATACAAATGAAAATGGAGTAGTAGTAGATACCTTTATTCAAATGAAAATGAGGTAGTAGTAGATAAATAACTTTATACAAATGAAGAAGGACTTGTTGTAGATACAGTTGTAACTTTATTCAAATGAAAATGGAGTAATAGTAGATACCTTTATTCAAATGAAAATGGAGTTGTTGTAGATACAGTTGTAACTTTATTCAAATGAAAATGGAGTAGCAGTAGATACCTTTATACAAATGAAGAAGGACTTGTTGTAGATACAGTTGTAACTTTATTCAAATGAAAATGGAGTAGTAGTAGATACCTTTATTCAAATGAAAATGGAGTTGTTGTAATAGTAGTAGAAAAGAGAAGAAATAACATTGTTAATTTTATTTATTTCTGGCGTTTATTATTTATATTGCAGTTGAAATCTATAGCGGCTAAATTTATTTGATTTTGCAATTAGTTAAAGTTTCACAAACGTGATCACGTGAAATATTTATTTATCAATCATGAATTGAAAACGAAAACATACTCAGTTACCAACCTTCCATGTTTTATGGTCTTTCAAATCACAAGTGATTAATCACTGAATTGCCACCCCTTGCACTACTTCATTATTTGGAACATGACGGTCAGTTTACAGAATATGAACAAAGTTCAACACGTGATCAGTTGAATTGCTCTAATCAAAAGTAAACTATTAAGGTGGGTATGATTTGCACTTGGAATGAAACGATCACATTGCATGTTGAGTTTTCATTCAGGTAGCAATGGAGTTTGAATTGAATTAAATTAAATTCAGTTCACCACATACTCCTTTTTTTGTGTTTCTACTTTAGAAGGTACACTACCATATCGGGTTTAAAAATGATCTGAAAGCCGATGATCTGAAAGCCTATATAATCATCAATACTTTCACTAAATACATCCATCGAATAAAAATCCTTTGATGGAAAGTTTTACTGAGGAGGGTTCCTTGGAATAACTCTCATGCTATTAGATCTAAGTATTTTTATACGTAGAAGGCGTTTAATGAAAAGTTATGATATACGATAAAGACAAAAACGACTACAATATAAGGTGCTTATCGTTTTATTTAGATGTTTTGTTGACAACAATGCTTAATAACTGTAGGATAATAACAGTAGGTTGATAAAAGTAAGTTAATAACGGTAGATTTGATAACTACGTTAATCCGTATCAAGTCTTATGATCTAGCGTTTCCTGTTCAGTCCATAGCTTATTGTTAATAAACCAAGAGCTCGTTGATCCCACAAATAAAATAGCCGCTGAATAATTTATATGGTTTATAGTCATTTATCAAGTGCTAAAGTTGCCGTATGATTGAAGAAAAAATGGATAACAGCTGTATATTATGATAACGTCTTATTGAGGAACAAATAATAAGCAGAATATAATTTACGCAGATAAAAAATGTTGATTTACATACATAACTTGACATATATAACTCGCTACCAAATTCTTGACTTAACTAGTAATTCATCTAACCTCAATCAGCATTAATAGAATTCCTATAATAAATATTGTTTGAAATGGAAGAACCGGAAGATCAATTTTATAATGATGTATATGTTGCAAAATTCTTTAAACTTAGATTTCCTGATTTGTGTTATGACTTGATAGTTGCGATATTCAAGTTGTTAGATACTCTGACGATAATTTTTCTTCAGTCTTTGATTAATGATAAATACATCAAGGGAATCCGAATTCAACATAATGGTAAGAGAAGAATATATATTCCGTACTACAAAGACCAAAATTATAGGCACGACGAATCTAAAATCGAAGAAAAGCTTGACAGTGAACAATCGTGCAATATTATGAAGGAATTAATCAAACACAATCGACATAATGTCTATCCAATTAACTTAAGTTTCAGGGAAACTACTCTATTTCCTGTTAGATTTATCGATCAAATGTTGGGTAAAACGAAGAACTTTGACATAAGTTTAACTTTTGATTCGCTTGATTATGCACAGTATCACAAGTTGAAATATTTTAGAAGATCTTCTGAAGTGACTGAAATAAGTATAGCAAAAATTCTGAAACCAAAAAAGAAGAATTTGTTTGATTTAGATCTTTCGAAGTATACAAACTTGAAAAAATTTTATCTTGAGAAGAAAGAACATATCAGGAGTATAAATTTGAGTTCTTCATTTGAAACATTAGTAGAATTAGACATTCCTGATATTTATGATGAAGGTTATTTGTTAAACTTTGTGAACCTAAAATCACTTGGTACTAGGTTTAGTGGAACGTTCAATATTCGAAATCTTCCAAGAAATATCATATCTTTATGTCTAATGTCAACAGAAGAAAGCGAGCGACTTATCATTCCTTCAGACTACGTTTGGCCACAGAAAATACGCAAATTAGCTTTACAATTTTTGGATGATTTTATTGTTGAAGGTTTCAAGGACAGCCGTTTATCACCAAGTTTAAAAAAATTAAGAATTGTTTCAATTTTACCAATTGAAAGTTTACTACCAAAACTACCATCATCTTTAAAAGATTTAGAGATTAATGATCTATGCCAAGAACCGGTTGATTTTAATGAACTATCAAGTCCAGGTCTTGAAGCCATGACATTATTCAACATAGAACTAAAAGATACAGAATTAAATTTTGTGGAATTTCCTAAAATGATGAAGCATTTCTATTACAGTACAAATCTACTTCTGATCCCACTAGACAAAATTCGTTTTGAAAATGCAAAAGATAATTTAGAATCTTTAACAATTATGATTGAACATTACGCCCACGAGTCTTCGAGGCTTGATTTTAGTGAATTTTTGAATTTGAGTTCAATAACGTTAGATGGTTGTAATACAAAGTTAGCCAATATCAAGTTACCTCAATGTTTAAAAAAATTAAAAATTCTGAACGATAATCTTCAATCAGTTGATGAACAATGTCCATTTCTTTCTGATTCACTCATTTATCCAAATTTAGAAAAGTTAGCATTTTCAAATTGTAGGATAGATTACATTTCTTCAACAATAAAGTTCCCAGTAAATCTAATATCCTTATCAATTCCTTATTACCGAAATAAAGACGTACTTTTAAACATATTCAAACATGAATCCTTAACAAAACTTAAAATTGACAGCATTAGCAAGCCTGATATTTTTGATGATTTTGTACACATTAAACGTGTCAATAGAAATAAGACAAGTATCAAACATTTAACGTTAACTTCAATTTATAAAATTATCAAAAAAAGTGCATTGGAAAAGCTCTATAAGTCTGTTCGATTGGCAATGGGAAAAAATTATGTGGAAGTAGAAGCTAACTGGGATCGTAAATTTGTTTTTGAATTTGACTAAGTGAATAATTCATGGGGTGGGAGTATATATATAATAACCTAGTTCTAATTATATAACTTAATGCACATATACCCTACTAAGGAAAGAGAATTAACGCATGAACAAATACGGACAAGAGTAGTATAATAAGCAGAATATAATTCATGCAGATAAAAACCTTTGATATATATAATTCGCTACCAAATTCTTGGCTTAAATTTTAATTCGAATTCTTCTAACCATCTAATTATCTTATTTCAACTTCATTAGAATTTCTATAATAAATATAGTTTGAAATGGAAGAACTGGAAGATCAATTATATGATGATCTATATGTTGCAAAATTCTTCAAAGTTAGATTTCCTGATTTGTGTTATGACTTGATAGTTGCGATATTCAAGTTGTTAGATACTCTGACGATAATTCTTCTTCAGTCTTTGATTAATGATAAATACATCAAGGCAATAGGAATTCAATATAATGACAGCAGTAGAATACATATTCCATACTACAGAGACCAAAATTATAAGCATGATGAATCTAAATTCGAAGAAATGATTGAAAGTGAACAATCATGTAATATCATGAAGGAACTAATCGGATATAATAGATACAATGTCTATCCAATTAACTTAAGTTTCAGGGAAACTACTCTATTTCCTGTTAGATTTATCGATCAAATGTTGGGTAAAACGAAGAACTTTGACATATCTTTAACTTTTGATTCGCTTGATTATGCACAGTGTCACAAGTTGAAACATTTTAGAAGATCATCCGAAGTAACTAAAATAAGTATAGAAAAAGTTGGGAAACCAAAAAGGAAGATTTTGTTTGATTTAGATCTTTCAAAGTATCAAAAATTGAAATCATTTCGTCTTACTAATGGCGATAACATAAGCAATATAAATTTGAGTTCTTCTTTTGGAACTTTACGAGATCTAAAAATTGCTTTTAGATTCGATGAAGGTTACTTGTCAAACTTCGTTAATCTTGAATCACTTAATATTACCATCATTGGGATATTCAATCTTATGGATCTTCCAAGACATATCACTGATTTATATATAAAGTCGATAGATGAAACTCATAGACTTATTAGTCCTTCAGATTACGACTGGCCAAAGAAAATAGTGAACTTAACTTTAAACTTTGATAATGATTTTATTGTTGAAGGTTTCAAAGGTAGCAACTTACCACCAGGTTTGAAAATATTAACAATTTTTTCCGATCTACCAATGGAAAGTATATTACCAAAGTTGCCATCATCTTTAACAGAATTAAAGATCTTTGATAGTTACATAGAATATGCTGGTATCAATGAATCATCAATTCCTATTGATTTCAGTGAAATATTAAGCCCTGGTATTGAAACCATGAAAGTAATGGGAGTGAACCTACAATATGAAGAAGGAAGTCTTTTGGAATTTCCTAAACGGATGATAGATTTCTACATCAACACAGACCTGTTTTTTGTTCGCTTAGATGATATTATTTTTGAAAATGCAAAGGACGATTTAGAATATTTAGTCATAATAATTCAAAATTACTCTTATACATTTTCAAAATTAGATTTTAGTGAATTTACAAAATTGAGCACCGTTACATTGGAAGGTTGTAATATTAACAACTTATCTAGTTTCAAAATTCCTCAGAGTTTAAAAAGTTTGAGAATTAGGAACAATTGTTTTAAATCAATAGATGAAAAATGTCCTTTTCTTTCTGATTCAGTCAAATATCCTAATTTAAAAAAGTTACACTTCGAAGAATGTAAAACGAAGAATATTTCTTCAACTATAAAGCTTCCAATAAATCTAACCTCATTAACTATTCCATATCACCGAAACAAAGAATTGCTTTTAAACATATTTAAACATGAATCTTTATTGCTTTTTGAAATCGATAGCATGAGAAAACCAGACATTTTTGATGACTTTAAAGAAATAAATGGTGTCAATACATATAAGACAAATATCAAATATTTAACGTTAAGTTCAGAACATAATATTTTCAAAAATAGTACTTTGAAAAAGATCTATAAGTCTGTTAAACTCGCAATGGGGAAAGGTTATCTGAGAGTAAAAGTTGGCACATATTACGAATATTATGAACTTTGTTTCAATTTTAATTGAGTAAAAGTTTCACTATACTTCAATATTATCAATTGCTGCAATGGCTGCTAATTTAATTATATAATTATTTGTTTATAAAATATATATACACTATATACAGTACAGCGGAATAAACATCCTCAAAAGTGAGTCAATCGCTTTAAATTGCCCAATTAAGTTCACATTTCCTTGTGTTATATCGCGTCTTTCCTAATTAAGACATTGCTAGTTAAATTTTTGTCTCTCCTCATAGTTAAAATTAACTATGATAGATTATAAGGCTAGTATATGAGAGTTAAAGATTAAAGAGTCAAAATAGGTTAAGACGAAACGAACTGGATTATTAATCCAATATTATACCACTTTTCTTTCTAATTTTATGAGTTGAACATCATCATTCTATTATTTTTAAAGCAATGTATCTCGTGCTTGATTCCACTCTAGAGACGATTGAATTTACGGCTGATTCTACTGTCAATGGTCCACCAAATCAAAATTTACCCCAGGCGAAGTTAATTCAAACTGAAAATATCGTGGTAGGTGCTTCCAAAAGATCACGAAATGGATGTTTGGCATGTAGACAAAGAAAGAAGAAATGTGATGAATCTTATCCAACATGTGGATCATGTAACCATCGGAATGTCGAATGTATTTGGAGAAATAATTCAAAATTTAAAGTACAAAAGTTATATTCATCACCTAAGGATTCAATTATAATTGAAAAATTCACTAAATTCAAAAATAATATTATTAATACTACCAATGTAGTATCATCAAAGACTTCATCTGATAGTATAACATCATCATCAAAGCCGAGGTCATTGCCATCAACTATGGTGGCATCTTCTTCATCCAGTTCAAGTACATCATCATCTTCGCCTGAAGATGACGACTTTGGAATAAACTTAAATAACATGGATGAATCAGTTCATCATAATTATTTTGAATTACAATCCACCACACCACCTTATGCCAATGGTAAAAACAATACCGAACTCTTAATGCTCGATATACTGAATTATTATCCATCACCGGTAACCAATCAAATATTCAACCCATTTAAACATATGGATGAAAGAGGTACTTATTTCATTGATGCCTTTGTTAATAAAGTCGCTACTAAATTATGTATTGGCCCTGCATCATGTAATTACTTCCTCAAGACATTTTATCAACTTGCTGAAACTGAAGAAAGTATTCTGTATGCGTTATCATCATGGGGTGGATTATTTGTGGAGGGATACACTGAGGGAGTTAGATCATATCTTGGAAAGGCATTCCAATTGATTAAGGATCGTTATAATACATTTGAAAATTTACCGAAAGAAGATATTTATATCTTACTTAATTTCTTCCTTATTGGAATAGGGATTCAAATTTGTGCGGGAGATGTATCGAAATGGAATATATTATTTAAGAAATGCATTGAGATGATACAACAGAATGGTGGTATTACTGAGATATTCAAAATGTTTGATTATTCAAATGATGTTAAATGGTTAATTGCTGATGTTGAATTTCATGATGTAATGAGCTCGGGAGCTTTTACTAGTGGGACATTATTACCAATTAAAGAATATGATACTATTATTAATCAACATAAACTTTTGGAATTAGGTGGGTATGGATTAGATCCATTACAAGGATGTATACTGTCGATGTATTTATTATTTGGAGAAATAGCTACTGTTAATGCTGAATTAAATGAAAAGAGACAAAAGCTTGATAAATTGTTAAAACGAGCCGAGAAGAAGTATGAACAACAATCTAAATTATCAACAGGTCAAACAACTCAAGTGATTATTCTTAAAGAAGATGGAGAAGAAATTGATTTACGTAGTACCAGACTTGATTATTATCAAGAAGTAGAAGATCACTATAATCATTTAAAACAAAAGATTCTTGATTGTCAACCAAATGTGGGACAAATGCTGCATATAATAGATGATAAAACTGAAGTTGAATTTCATTTAACTTTATTTGAAGTATATCTGTTTTCATGTCAATTATGTTTAAATTATCAAATCAAAGGTACCCCACCTGCATCTAGTGAAATGCAATCCATCCTTTTAAATGCGTTGAATTCGCTTGATATATTAGTAGATACGAAAATGGTTTCATCATTAGCTATGCTGCTTTTATTATGTGGTATTGCATGTTGTACACCATTAGATAGAATAGAAATGGAGAATCGATTCACTAAGATAAAACTGCATTATGAAGTAGCAAATGTGACTCGAGTGTTGGATATTGTCCATGAAGTATGGAATCGTAATCAAAATGGTGAATTATGGGTTGATTGGATTGAGATTTGTAGAGAGAAGAATTGGGATTTATGTGTGTGTTAGTTATGGAGGATATTTGTGGTTTATTTGAGTTTTTTTTTTCTTTTCTTTGTCAAGATGGATATAGTTAACATTGATTGTTGAGCTATAAACCATCTGTTTTAAGTATTTAATAGAGTTTACGTAGATTTTAATAGAGATATTCATTATAGTTTAATTGCAGCCATAAATAAGCTCATCCTGTATATAGTTTCTAGAAGAAAAAAAAAAGAAATTAAAATTTTGGGTGTTTACAGTCACGTTCAATATTTTTTTTAAAAGAGAGAGAGAGGCACAGAGCCAGAAGATTGAAATTGTGTATGTGGTGTTCTTATCAGACCAAACGATATATAACAAATCACATAACTATTGCCATCAAGCATATCCACGTCGTTATCATTAGATACATCCATATCACCCTAGACCATTCTGGTAGTATATCCCCATGTCACTATCCATACAGAACAGAACGTTTGAGTTCCAACAATGTGTTACTTCATATGATAAGATAAATCGAAAACAAAATATTATTCCAAAAGCAAACTATAATAATGGTAATGTAATCCCAGCTAAGAAATCAAAGTTCAGTGAACAAGCCAGTATAATAGCTAGAGATATTGTTCATGTCACTGAACTATTGAGTAAGTTGTCATTATTGGCGAAGAGAAAGCCATTGTTTGATGATAAACCAGTTGAAATAGGAGAACTTACTTATGTTATTAAACAAGATATCTTTAAGATTGAACAAAGTATACAAAACTTACATAAGTTTGTTAAAGGAGATAGTAGTATTCAAGTTGATTCCCAAATATCGCAATTTTCTAAAAATGTATTAAATCTTTTAAATTCCAAAATGAAGAATGTTAGTGGAGAATTTAAAAGTGTATTAGAAATTAGACAAAAGAATGAAATCATGAATAAAAGTAGAACTGAAAACTTTTTATCATCAGCTAGTAATCATCGTACTAGTAATAATCCATCTCCAATGGTGAGTGAATCTCCATTATCAAATTTAGGAGAAAATCCTTATTTACCAAGAGGTAATCAATTAACCCCCTTACCTTATGATGCAGATATGGATCCTGATATTTCGGTACCTTATCTTAATGGAGGATCTGATGGAGGTCAATATTTATCTATTCCAAATCAAACCCAACAATTATTATTATTAGAAGAACAAAGTGGAGGTCAATATTTACAACAAAGAAATAGAGCAGTTGAAACCATTGAATCCACCATTAATGAAGTAGGTAATCTTTTCCAACAATTGGCCACCTTAGTCAGTGAACAAGGAGAACAAATTCAAAGAATTGATGAAAATATTGAAGATACCAGTTTAAATATTACTGGTGCTCAACGTGAATTATTAAAATATTATGCTCATATAACAAGTAATAGATGGTTGTTTTTAAAAATCTTTGGTGTATTAATAATATTTTTCTTACTTTGGGTCTTAGTTAGTTAGCCTAGTTTAGTTTAATTTCAATCTGCTAGCATACCCTATACTTATAATGTATATTTTATTCATAGTTAATAATAATAATAATTGTGTTATGCTTGGTCTGGTCGTGTGAGAGTGTTCAAAATAATCCAAAAAAGAAATTTCTGATGATTAAAAGGAAACCACGAAACTTATTAGCCATATCAGTAATCTTATACCAAATTCAAGTTAATCATCAATAGATCATTTGATTAAGGATATATTATATCAATTACTCCAGTTATATAATTGATATCACTCTGTTTCGTATAGTAGAACTTCTAGTTTTTTGTTGTATCGTATAATTACTAGAATCCATCATCACCTTTCCCACCACTCACACAATCTTTATCTTTCTAAATTTGAGGGGGGGCAACAACCATAACAATTACATATTCCATCAACCCGTTATTTAATCTTACTACTGCAGTATCTACTTTACTCACCATCGTCATATTCATTCAACTATTTTAACTCAAGATGTGGAATTATTTTTTTGGAGGTAATCCTCAACAAAAGAAGGAACTCCCCAAGAGAGCCATTGTGGAATTAAGAGAGCATATTCAAGTTTTAAATAAAAAGAAATCTCATTTGGAACAACAAATGAATGATCAAGATGCTACAGCCAGAAGATTCCTAAAGACAAATGCTACAGCTGCTAAAAATGCTTTAAAAAAGAAGAAAGTTTATGAAGTTAATTTAATGAAAATTGAAAATCAAATAGAATCATTAGAAACTCAATTAGGTGCTATTGAAGGTGCCAACTTAAACTTGGAAACTATGAAGGCCATGAAACAAGGTGCTGCTGCCATGAAACAAATACATGGAGAATATAACGTTGATAAAGTTGAAGATACTATGGATGATATTAGAGAACAAGTTGAATTGGCTGATGAAATATCAGAATCAATATCAAGACCAGTTGGTAGTGAATTTGTTGATGAAGATGAATTAGAAGCTGAATTGGCTGCATTACAAGAAGAAGAAGCTGAAAAGGAACAAGGTGCTAAGGCTCCTGCTGTTAAAGCTCAACCAGTTGAAGTATTACCAAGTTTCCCAACCGTTAATAAAACTCAACCTCAAGCTGCTGCAACTGAAGATGATGAAGATGAAGAAGCTTTAAAAGCATTACAAGCTGAAATGGGATTATAGAATGATTTTCCATCTTTCAATTCATAATAATTTCATATTCATAATTTTTGCTTTCTCCATGATACGTTTCATAATTCTTTGATGTCAACTAGTCTTTTTCTTATCCTTTTTATCCATCTTCCTATCAAATAATCTTTACTTTTTGATTCTATATTATATTTTTATTATACTTTTACTTATTTCTATTCTATTCTATTCTATTCTTGGGTTTTATCTTTTATTTAGGCATACTATTTACACATAGTATTATCTTTTATTATAAACATATATTATATAATTAAATTGCCATACTTCCTCTGTATCATATCACCAGATAAGATACATTTATAATACTATAACATATCATAATATCAATCCTTCTTCTGTAATAGTTCCATCTCATACACCCTTAGTTCTTCCTCATACGACTAGATTTACTTCCTTGTACCATTTCCTGCATACACCTCATCTTTTATTTTTTTTTTTTGATGTGATTTTTTTTTTGCAAAATTTACCTTTACAAAGGATTATCAATTATATTTGTATTCGTTAATTTCTAGTTTGAAAAGTCATACGTTAAGTTGTTCTTCTTGCCCTTGTATCATATCCCTGTATAAAGACATTTTCCCAATAAGTAGTAGGGCTCGACAGGATGTTATCAAGAAATGCTTCTCGAATAAGAATAGTGCAAGCTGCTGCCAGTATAAGGATTTGCCATTTACGATATATATCTGCAATTACAAATTCTTCACCATCAGCTGGTTTAACTTCAGGAGGTAATTTTCCTATCATTAATACTATATTGGAGGACTTGAAGCAAAAGAGACACGAACCAGAATATCCTTCCATTCATTCCAAAACCTTTTCCGAGATAAATCCTAAGGATTTTGAAAATATATCAGATGATCTTAGAGTTGAAAAAGCATGGTCTTCAGATTATGACCCAGTAACAAGATCACCTCTTGCTAAGGATGTATCTCATTTACTGTCACTTTTGGATGGGTTATTATCAAGTGGGAATTTCGATAGAGCATTCCGAGTTTTAACTTCCATTTATCCACTTTTATCAAATCATGATTCATTTGTGGATTCTGTAAATAGATATATTGAACAATGGAGTGTACAAGAATCAGTATCAATCCAAGAAGTGGAATTATTCTTAAAAGATATTCAAAGAAAATATAACATCTACTTGAATGATAGAACTTATGCTATTGTGCTTTCCAAATATATGTCAAGTAATGGATCATATATCTCTTATTTAAATAAATTTAGTAATCAAACTAAACAAAAAATCTTTTCTCATGTTGAAATATTGGGTATAGATGAATTATCAAGAATATTCGAAGATCCTTCCATAACTGAAAAATGTGTGCCTATAGATTTAATCGAAACTTATAGAGAAGTGAATAGAACTTCAGTGGATGCTGAAAGAGAAGAAGCTGAAAGACCTCAATATTTCGAAGGTGGTAACAAAGAAGAAGCTCCAATCATTGAAAAGGATGCTACTAACTTATTACCAGTTGACTCATTTGGGTTAAAAGTTATCAGACATACTCTTTTAGGGTTAAAAGATCAAGGTGGATCCATTGAAATTGAAAAATTTCTTGAAAATATTGAATCAGATTTAAAAACTCATTTATTGCATAACACATCTAATATTAAAAAGGATTACTTTGAATTTTATAAATCATTAAAGACATCAGAACAACAAAGAGCTTTTAATAAAGGATTAGATTTGTTCAATGAAGGAAGACAAAGACAATTGGAAATCAGAGGGGTGGATGGAGCCAGAGAAAAATGGAAACATGAATTTGATTTAATGCAAAAGAGAGGTACCGTCAACTTAAGTAAAGGTTTAAATGCTCAATTATATCAATGGTATAAAGATTTATTACCATTAGTTCAAGCCGAAGTGGAAAAGTGTAAACTATTATTGGGTGAAATAGAAAGTGATCAAATTCTTTCTAAAGATGATATCAAGACAAACAAGGATAGAGAACATTATGCTCCATACTTTGTTCTTGTCCCACCTGAAAAAATGTGTGTGATAAGTATTCTTGAATTAGTCAAGTTAAATTCGACCGGTGGTATTGTTAATGGTATGAGAACTGCCAGGGCTCTTCTTTCAGTTGGTAGAGCTATTGAATTGGAATATAAATCACAATCGTTATTACAATCAGATCGTAAAAGATTCTCCAAAAAGTTAAAGACTACAAAACAATGGAAACAAATGCTTAGAAGAAAAAATCCTTCTAGTGCATTAGAAGATTCAGAATGGACCCATTCAGTTCAAGCTAAATTAGGTGGTGCTTTAATCCGTCCTCTTATTTCCGTTGCCAAAGTCCCAGTATATGGTACAAATCCAACCACCGGTGAGAAAGTCACTGGTATTCAATCCGCATTCCATCACACTTATCAATATTTAAACGGTCAAAAATTAGGTGTATTGAAGATTCATAAGAACGTGAGTGATCAATTAGGTGGTAATAAATTCTCCAACAGTGTCCAACCACAACTTTTACCAATGTTGGTTCCACCTCAAAGATGGGAAGGTTACAATCGTGGTGGTTATTTATATACTCCTTCCAATATAGTAAGAGTCAAAGATTCTCCAGAAACACTTGCATATTTAAGAGCTGCTTCAAAAAGAGGTACATTAGATGATGTTTATGATGGTTTAAATGTCTTAGGTGAAACTGCTTGGACTGTCAACCGTGAATTATTCGATGTTATTTCTCATCATTGGAATACAGGAGAAGAATTCCTTGATATCCCACCAGTTACCAAAGATGCTGAACTTCCAGATGCTCCTCCAGTTGATGCTGAACCAAAAGTTAAATTAGACTATCAAAGAAAAATGAAAGTCTTATTAAATGAAGTTGCCAGTATCAAATCGCAAAGATGTGATATGAATTATAAGTTAGAAATCGCTAGAGGTTTCATTGGTGAAAGAATCTTCTTCCCTCATAATGTTGATTTCAGAGGTAGAGCTTATCCAATCTCACCTCATTTCAATCATTTAGGTAATGATTTAACTAGATCATTGTTTTTATTCTGGGAAGGTAAAGAATTAGGAGAAGTTGGGTTAAGATGGTTAAAGATTCAATTGGCTAATGTTTATGGGGTTGATAAAGCTCCATTTGATGAAAGAGTTGAATTTGTGGAGAAGAATCTTGAAAATGTATTTGAATCCGCTACCAATCCATATAAACCAAATTCTTGGTGGCATAAAGCTGAAAAACCATGGCAAGCATTAGGTGTCTGTTTTGAATTAAATAAGGCATATAAGCTTGATGATCCAACTAAATTTGTCTCCCATATTCCAATTCATCAAGATGGTACTTGTAATGGGTTACAACATTATGCTGCCTTAGGTGGTGATTTTGAAGGTGCAAAACAAGTTAATTTGGTTCCAGCTGATAGACCTCAAGATGTTTATAAGTATGTGGCATCATTAGTACAAAAGAGAGTAGACGAAGAAGCTGACAGTGGTAATAAGTATGCCGTATTCTTAAAGGATAAAATCAATCGTAAGGTTGTTAAGCAAACTGTTATGACTAACGTTTATGGTGTTACTTTCGTTGGTGCAAGTGCTCAAATTAAAAAACAAATTGATCATTATTTCCCTAAAGATGGCGAAGAAGATCCATCAGAATATGCCAGATATTTGACTCTTCATGTGTTTGCATCTATTAGAGAATTGTTCGAAGGTGCTCATCATATTCAAGATTGGTTAGGTGAAGCTGCCAAAAGAATCAGTAAGTCTGTGAGAATGGAAGAAAAGCCTGGTGATGTCAAAGTTAATCATTTATCTTCCGTTATTTGGACTACTCCTATAGGTTTACCATGTGTTCAACCATATAGAATTCCAAAGACTCAATTAATCAAAACTAAACTTCAAGATATTTCCATCACTGATCCATTAGGTATAAATCAAGTTGATCCAAGAAAACAACAAATTGCCTTCCCACCAAACTTTGTCCATTCTCTTGATGCCACTCATATGTTAATGACATCAAAAGCTTGTGGTGAAGCAGGTTTATCATTTGCTGCTGTCCATGATTCATATTGGACTCATGCTAGAGATGTTGAAACCATGAATGCAGAAATCAGAAATCAATTTGTTAAATTACATTCAAGTAATTTAGTTCAACAGTTGAAAGAAGAATTCGAAGCTCGTTATAATAACTTTTTACAAGTCATTCATGTCCCAGTTGATCATCCAGTGGTTAAAGAAGTCAAAGACATAAGAAGATCAATTGTACAAAAGATTAAACGAGCTCTTACTATCGGTGATGAGATTCATTTAGAAAAGCAACGTCGTATAATGCTTGCTTCTAATAATCCCGAAGCAGTCGAAGAAGGTAAGAACATGGAAACTACCATTAGCGTTACCGAAAAATATGATTTATATTCTGTCGCTATTGGTACAACTGGATTCCCAGTTTTAGTACCATTAAAATTCCCAGACATACCCGAAAGAGGTGGATTTGATGTCGAAACAGTTAAACAATCTCCTTATTTTTTCTCATGAACATCACGAACAATATCATATTATCTCCTTGTATATAGATTACATTATGTTGCATTTTATCAAAAAAGCATAAATTAGAAAGTTTTTTAACACTATCACAAAATTTTATTTTGATTGTATATATGATATGTATATTACAAAAAGTACACGTTTCATTCCTAAACTAAACTATTTTACCTTGTTGCTCTAAATTCGCAAGTAATGGTGCTAATGGAGCCAATTCATTTGCCTCGATTAAATTAAACTCTTTAACGAAACTGATGAAATGAGCAAAAAATGAATTCCAATGTGCTTCAAGGGAAAGATGAACTATTTTATCGAAGTGTTGATAATATATATGAGCAAATATCCTAAACATTTGTCTGGAAATGTTTTTACAGTCCTTTAAAAAGTTAGGTGGGAATGCTCCTCCACTCTTAGTGGGGAAAACAGATTGATCATTTATCTTACCTGATATCCATGTAATAACGTAGTCAATATATTGATAGGCAGGTAAATTTACGGTTTGTCCGTTTCCATCTACCCATAAGTAGTTGGTATGAGGACCTGCATTCATTGTTGGATATGCTTCTGGAGTTACATAGTCAGCAATAACCCCATAAAATTGATTCAAATTATTGAATAATTCAAAAATATTTAGAGCTAACCATTCACCTACGTCAACATATTTTGGAAGTTGGACAATGGTTTTGAAAGAACCTTTCACCAAGGCAGTTTTAACAAATGGTTCACATAAGAATAATGGTAACTCTTGAGGCTCTTTCACTATTTCATCATTAGTTGTATGAAGTTGTTGATGTTGACGTTGTGGCAGTTGTCTTGAACTTTGTTGTGATGTTCTATTTCTTTTGGTTGGGGACAGGGTATGAGAATTTGAAAATTGCATTTGATTATTAGGGTTGGTTCGTTGCTTAGTAGGAGACACCTTAGTTGGTGATTGTGTCCTCCTTAACAGAGTTCCAGAACCATTTGGAAGTGAATATAAAGGTGACAGAGGGTCGATATCTTTCTTAGTCTTCTTAGAACTTCTTCCTAATCCTCGTATGGTATTTAGAAATGACATTTTCCCCTATTATAATTGTAAATGAGACGACGATATTAAAATGAAAAAGTAAACCCTAGCCCAATATGGTATCAAATCTAGATATATGAACAAAGTTGATATTTCTTTCATTTGATTCAGATCAAAGATCCAGAGAATTAAAAAAAAAAAAAAAATTCAAAACAAACAAAAATCGGCACGTGACCGACACGATAAATTTTTGTTTTAGAAAAGGGGGACTTATAAAGTAGTAGTATGGTTAAGAAAATCACAGTTTACTTTTATTTTTGTATGTTTATGTATAGATGTATATATATAATGGCAGATAGCCATATAAGAAGAATTGAAATAGCTAAGTGAGTTGTTTATTCAAAATGACCTAATTGTTGACCCATATTGACCTTTTGACCAAGTTCTAAATCAAATTTAAAGTTATCAGGAGCTTCGAAAATCAATACAACCGTTGAACCTAATTTGAACCCTCCCATTTCTTGACCTTTAGTCAATGGATATCCACCAAGTAAACGACTGGCCTTGGTATATGTGGCTTCATAGACAGTATTTTTCTTTAATCTTTTCTTTTTCTTTTCAGCATCTTCAGCACCAATACTGAGAGCAGCCACTTGATTGGATAAGTGATCTTCAGCTAATAATGGAGTATTTTCATTTAAACTTGAAGTCAGATAAACTTCATGCTCGTAAATATCATTTGTCTTCAAGTTCTTATCGAAATTAACTACGATACTACCAACATTGGTTGCACCGACTGGAATCATCGAGAAGAATCCATGTTTCCAATAACCTAATAAAGCAACTCTTTCATTTAAGACAAATAATCCTTGTAAAGTCTTTTGAAAGAATGGAGCCACGGAAAATAATTCACCAATGAAATGACGTCTTAAAGTAGTTACCCAATTTACTGGAGAATGGAAATGATGATAATCTCCTGGAGCTAAGTATATAACAGCAAAAAAAAGTTGCTTGGAATGTAATGTATCAAGCAGACTAGATGCTAAACTTTCAGCAACAGTCAATTCTTTTGAAAATGAAGCTTTTGAACCTTCTGCAGTTCCATCATTATCATCTTTATAACTTAATTGATTCATATGATAAGTACCTTGACTATCACCACCAACTAAATCATCCACAGTATATGATATACCATTTAATTTAGCAAATTCTTCATCTCTTTTCATTATAGTAACATCATCGTATTCGTGTTCGAAATCCAATGAATGAGTTGGAGCAGCTAAACTTGGAGTTGAAATACCCAATAAAGCATCAACAGAATAAGTCATTCCCTTCACTTGTTCAATTTCACCATTATCAATAACACCGAATTTCAACACTTTCCCATCTGATGGACAAACCAAATCTGAATCAGCAATTGGTCTCACACCCGGTTTTAAGTTTCTATAGAAGAATTCAGAAAGATTATTATAAGTAGTAAGATCTGGTTCTTCCATTTCTTCCAAGTTTACACCAAAAAGGGTGGAATAAAGACGATATGATGGACTTCTTAACCAGATTGGTAAGTTGATAGAATTAACTTGACCCCATAATCTTGAAATAGCTTTCAACGGTAAAGTTGAATAAGCATAAAGTTGCCATGATTGTGGTTTAATACGATATTGATTGACATATTGAATATCTTCTTCTTCATACTTTTCATAAGTAACTCTAGCAGCAACTCCACCTAACACAATAGTTAAGGAAGTGATGGTCCACCATCTTATAAATCTTCGTTGTTGCTGTCTTCTTTTTCTTGCTTCCACTGAAAAGAATCGTTTATGGAATCTTTCAGTCTTGGCTCTTATTTGTTGATTTGCATTTGAAAGCAGTCTTCTTGATATTGGTAAACTTGGGAATTTAATATTCTTTCTATTAGGGAATCTTGGACCCGCAGACCATGTAGAATAATATAACACATTTCTCTTAGGACGAGGGATTTTTGGGAATTGATAATAGTAAGTAGATAAGTTTCTTCTTTGTTGTCTTTGGAATTGCTTCTTTTCAGCTTGTTGAACAGCCAATTCAGCTACAGTGGTGGCCCTTGATAAAGGATGATTGATATTCATCTTCTGAGGACCAAACATATATGAATCCTTGGCAAACTTCCTCATACCCAAAGTAGGGTATGAGTAGGGGAATGGTGGCCTTACTACCATGACTAATCCACACTTATATACTTCAAGATAGAACTTGCTGAACTATAGCTTTTGAATATCCGATAACAGGTAAACTATAAATTTGATTTAAACGAGAGCAAAATGAGAAAAATTGATTGTTGTGGTTATTTTGAATAATGATCGTGTGCGTGATAATGTTTTCATTTTCTAATTTTGAAATCCCGGATATTTATTTGGTCTGGATCTAAATTTACGAGTACTCTATTTAATGGGATAACTTCCATGTGAGTTGTTTAAGTTGTTCTATAAACTCCACTGATAAATAATGTAAATCATTTTTGTAGAGACTATCAGTAAATGCAAATAATAACCTTAAATTCCATAAATCTTCAATCGATTTAGGGTTTCTAGCCATCTTCTCTAAATCTAGATTATCATCGATGATCTTAAAGAATGATAAATCATTTTGAGCAAATAAATATTTATCTTCATTCTCACTACTTTCATACACTAATTGTTTCCTTTCAAAATCACCGAGACTACGCATCACATCAAGTTTTAACAATTTGGTCATATCATCATTGATAGAGATCTCTCCATTACCAACTTGAAGTGCTTTATTTTCATTCTTGATAAGGGTACTCACATCTGGTTGTAATAAAGTATAATTCTTTCTTTTATACACCAAGATGGTTAATGATTTTTTAAATGCTTCTAAATATGCTGAATTTAATTGGAAATCAATTTGAGTATTGAAGTAATCAGATGACTTGGTCTCAATAGCTTCAATATTATCAAGATTAGGTAACAAACATGGAGACAATGTTTCAATTACTTGACCATCCTTTAACAAAATTGTAACTGGAAGCTTACAAGGTTTCTGAGTATTGACATCTCTAATGATTAAACACCTTGGTTCAACTGATAATGACCAGAAATGACGTAAAGCTTGAAGATGAATTTCAATTTCTCCTCCATCATTAGGAAATATTGGATATAATGAAACAATTAAACATGCTATTGAGAAATTGGAATTACTAAATGCAAATTGACCACCTCCTAAAAAGAGGAATCCTAAAGCGGTATTGATGGCCATATAATAACCATAACCAATTTCTTTGCTAGTATCATTATATAAAATACGAAGTCTTCTAAGAACTTCTAAATCTCCACTACCTGCCATAACAACGGATAATGATAAGGCAATAATATTTTGAATACAACATGCCGAATGATAAGCCAGCTTCTGATCATATCCATCAGTTTCGTTCGAAGTAATCAACATTAACTTATCCAAGTAATGCAACAATGTATTACGAGCTGTAATATCATGAGTAGAAGCATATTTAACTGCTATTGATAAACAAGTACCACCCAAAATATTAAAATATGCCAAATAATCACTATCTAATTTATCCACATTTTGGTTTAATGTAGGAGGGAATTGAGATTCAACCCATTTCACGTTATTCGAAATGCTACTCCACAAAATTAAATTCCTAGATACACATCTTAAGAATAATAAGTCTGGTCTTATGTAATCTAATAGTTGTTCATTCATTGGTACTCTTAATTTCTCAGCCATTGCAATATTCTCAGTCTTCATGTAAATGAAACCTAATGCTACAACTGCTCCGCAACACGATTTATCTAGTTCTTGAACTGGTTGATAATCTTTCATTGAAATTGCGAGAGACAACAATTTATCAACAACATGTGTATCATTTAAACCTCTTAAATCATCACCTTTCCCAAGATTAATAAACCCTAAAGAAATACCGGCAGCTAATCTATAACCTTCATGAATCTGTTCAGTATCGTTTTGATAAACAGCACTTGTAATTTGAGTTAATAAAATTTCACTCATACGACGATGTTGAGTTTCTAAATATAATAAACCAATACCTATTAACCCAGCGGTTTGCACTACTATTGGTACATTTAAATCATTAGCCCCTTGAGGTAATAAAGCGACAGCGTGGACCGACAATACCTTTGTTAATTTATTATCCATTGTTCCTCTTGAACTAGCTGCCATACCAATAAGTAAACCAACACTAGTCAGTGGATGTTTTGGGCCAAGATAATTATAGATATGCCACTCTTCCAATTTTTTCAAATGCCCATTCAAACCAAGACCCAACAAGAAACCAGCATGTTGAGCATTTAATTCAGGTGGTTTGTTAAAGATAATCCAACTTCCGGATATACCTTTAGCTTCTTTACTTATACTTAATCCCGATGAAGCACCATTATGGAAATGACCCCATTCAGAAACTCTTTGCGGAATCGAGCTATCTTCGATAACTATGTTTTTCATTTGTGGTGCAATTATAGTATTCAAGTTAAACTTTGGTATAGGGAACTTCTCCGTTAACAATGGCTTTCTTCCAGAGTAAAACAAAATAGCTCTACCAAGAGGAATTGTTAATGTTCTTAAGGCAATTAAGGCTGCCAACTCCCTTTGTTTTTCTGTCAAAACAAATTCGTTTAATTGTCGAACATCAAGAAGCAAGTAAGCAGTCTGAAGCTTAGTTTGATGCAATAAGGTAGTAATCTCAAAGAATCTTCTATCAAAATCAAAAATCAATTTAGTGATACCAATCCGATCAGCTTCTGATTGGCCATCCCAACCAGACAAACCTTCATTGGGACTCAACACACGTGAAAGAAGTTGATTTATATCTCGTACTTCATTTTCTGATATAGATGAAGCAACCTTTACGCTATGACCAGTTAAACTTAAATCATTTCTCCCAACCAATTCCAACTCCTTGTTAGTCCATTCAAAAGATGGATTCTCTTGACATAACAGAATTGCTTCCTTTAATGGAATGGCAATACCTGGAGGGTATGTTTCTAAATCTCCCTTAGTTAAGCCGTATTCACACATCATGTCTACAACTGCATTTGGACCATAATTTGATGATACGACAAGTTCAAAAAGCTTAAGAATATAATATGTTCTTGGAGTGATCAAGGCATCGATCGAGTCACCTTCTTCGACTAGTTGAGAAAATGTCACATACCTGATAATATTATCACCAAATAAGCTGGCTAATGATTGAAAAAGATTAGGAGGATTTTCGTAAATTAAAATCAGTAGAAACCTCACATTGGTATCTATAGATTTGATATCAATCATATAGTATTTGGTCCAACTATCTGGCCATCCCATCCATGTACATAGTTGTGTGAGTAAAACATTGAAACCATGTAAAATTGACTTACTTGTCTGATCTAACCTGAGTTCTTCTCTTAATAAATGCAAAGAAATGGTAATATATGGTATAAGATCTCCAAGAACGTAATTGAACTGGGACATTTGATGCAAGAATTTAGCTTGTGGAAGAAGTTGTGTGATTTCGTTTTTGGATGGAACTTCCTCACTATCAAACGGGTAAATGAGTGATAATAACGTTATCACAAATGCTTTCCATTCATCTTTAGTCTCTTCCACCATTACAGCTGTTCGCCATAACATCCAAATACTCTCATTAATTTTTGAACCTGATAAGTATTTGAAACAGTTCAAACAGCTAGCGACACACGCATTAGTAGGCTCCAATGCTAATCTAACGGAGTAGAATTTATTATGCGTATCTGTAAGTATAACTCTCTCTTCACAAGAAGTTCGTAAACTCTGCACCGATGAGGATAGATCAAGCCTGGTTGATATAATATCTAAAAAGGGATTCACGATAGACAACGACTTGCTGGTTTTTAAAACAACTATATATCCTTTATACTTTGAATTTCTTAATGGAATACAGTCATTACAAGCTATAGAATAGAATGTATGAGACCTTGATACAATATTTTGTTTATATATATACACTTTTGCTTCTTTCTCAATCTTATTAACAACGACAATAGCTTCTTGGTCTTCAAATGACAAGCCATATACTTTTAAGGCTGATTTACTTTTTACCGAGACATTCAACACATCAACTTTAGTAAAAATCATATCCTTTCTTAATTCAGGTATTCTGAATTTATTTGGATCATGGTCACCACTCATTCTAGCCATTGATGACGCATCTGATAATAATGTACTAGTTCTCTTTTTCTCCATATTAAATGAAATTGCATGTTGATTACTGCTGGTGGATCCTTCAAATTGTATGTCTTCATCAAGGATTCTATTAGGGTTAGGTGTTGATAATAATGAATGCTTTCTCTTTGAATATTTATTATGTGAAACTTCTGGCTTTTTAGAGGCCCTTGAAGGTGCCTTGATATTATAAACATTGACAGTATGATCTTGCGGATTATAAGTAGCACATAATGATGATGTTTTATTGAGACCACTTATCGGAAACGTCATCAATTCTTCATTGTTAGATATGATTGAAGTTGAAGAAGTTGTTATGATTCTGAAATCACCAATTGGATCAACTAAAGTTAGGAATTTTGAAGAACTTAATTGAGGGAATGCGGAAGTTTGAGGATAATGTTGACTTTGATCTTTTTCTAATATAAGACCTGATTCAAATGGAAATGCTGCTTTTAGTATAAAAGGAAAGCTTACCACATATACCCTTCCACCATCATAAAGTATCCTTGCCGATTTCAGAAAACATATCACCAATGCATCATCTATGTTCTTAAATGATGTATAAGTGGCTGATACCACGTCATCATTATAACTTAGTCGTTTAGAGATAACTGAACCTATGACAACGATAACCTCTCTCTTAGATACAAAAAGTTGTCTATTATGGGAGAATGTGTATACCTCATACCCTGAATCTGACTTGATTGGAAAGTCAATCTCATTCTTGAGATCCACGAACGGGAACTTCAATGATTTATTCGGAATTGACTTCATTATATAGCCATTCTTGTTGATTGCAGTCAAATTACCAGATCAAAAATCAATAAACTATCACCAAACCAAAAAAATTATAAACAATAACAATTGCGCGTACATAGTAAAAATATTTAAACAGTAACAAAAATGTTCCAAAATATATTAAACAAGAGATTTTTTTAAAAATATCACTATATACAAAGTTAGTGGGGGAGTAAGGTAATCTATACTATATATAAAGTTAACCGGAGCGAATCATCTATTCAAGGATTCTAGTGATTAAACCAGTACCAACAGTTTTACCACCTTCTCTAATGTTGAAGTTTTGACCAACTTCAATTGGTGTAGCTTTGATTAATTCACCAACCATTTCAACATTATCACCTGGGAAGATCATCTTGGAGTGATCTTCACCTTCTGGGAATTTGAATGAACAGGTAACATCAGTGGTTCTGAAGAAAGCTTGTGGTTTATAGTTTTCACCGAAAGATGAGTGACGACCACCTTCTTCAGTAGTTAAGACATATAAAGAAGCTAAGAATTTCTTGTGAGAAGTAACACTTCCTGGTTTAGCTAAAACCATACCTCTTTTAATTTCATCTCTTTTGACACCTCTTAATAAGATACCACAGTTATCACCAGCAATGGCTGAATCTAATTCTTTCTTGAACATTTCAATACCAGTAACAGTACTCTTGAATGGTTTATCAAAGTTACCGACAATTTCAATTTCTTCACCTTTCTTTAATTGACCTCTTTCAACTCTACCAGTAACAACGGTCCCTCTACCAGAAATGGAGAAGACATCTTCAACAGGTAATAAGAATGGTTTTTCTAAATCACGAACTGGAGTTGGAATATATTCATCAACAGCATCTAATAATTTTAAGATAGCTTCAGAACCAATTTCTGATTTTTTACCTTCTAAAGCACATAAAGCGGAACCCATGATAACTGGAGTGTTATCACCATCGAAACCGTATTTGGCTAATAATTCTCTCATTTCCATTTCAACTAATTCTAACATTTCTGGATCATCAATAGTATCAACCTTGTTAACAAAGACAACTAATTCACGAACACCAACTTGTCTGGCTAATAAAATATGTTCTCTAGTTTGAGGCATTTGACCATCAGTGGCAGCAACAACAATAATAGCACCATCCATTTGAGCAGCACCAGTAATCATATTTTTAATATAATCAGCATGACCTGGACAATCAACGTGTGCATAATGTCTTTTTTCAGTCTCATATTCAACATGAGCAGTTGAAATAGTAATACCTCTGGCTCTTTCTTCTGGAGCTCTATCAATAGAACTATAATCCAAGAAATTGGCACCACCTCTTTCTGATAAAACTTTGGTGATGGCAGCAGTTAAAGTGGTCTTACCATGATCAACATGACCAATGGTACCAATGTTAACATGTGGTTTAGAACGGTTAAAAGCAGCATAAGATCTGGTTAAACTTGGACGAACACTTAAGGTGTTACGACCAATGGCACGGAAATTACCAGCAATGTTTTTAAACATCTTTGTATATGATTCAATTGATAAATAGCAGAGAAGATTTAAAATGACCTGAGAATACAAATTGAATTTTTCAACTTTTTTTTAGTACATTTTTTTGTCGAGACATCGTTGATTCGTGGGAACAACCAAAAAAAAGCTAAAAAATGTGTATTATATAATCAATTGCATGTTACATGTTATATATATATATATTTTAATATTACTATACATCTATTCAAGTAATGGATCTCTACTACTAGTTCTTAATTCATTATTAGTATTGGGAACAGTATCATCATCATGTAAATTTTCTTCTATTATTCTTTCCACTGCTCTTCTTTCTAACTCTTCAGCATTAGCACCGTCTTTAGCAAAGTATTCATAATAAATACAAAGAGTTAATAAAGCTCCTTGCATTAAAGCTGCTACTAAATATGATACCCAAGAACTCCAATGAGATCCTTTAGTAAAGAACAAAGTAGCAGTAAATATAAACCCACCTGGGGTTTGAATGCACATCATTCCAATTGATAAAGTACCTGGATGTTTCAACACATACGTCGTATGAATTTGCGGAACATATTTCACCACAGTTAATAATGTCGATAATAACCCATTCACACTGGCAATGGAGTAAAGTATGTTTTTGTTGGATGATAATCCAATCACAATTTGAATAAGTGAAAGTATTCCATGAAGTGTAACGAATTTACTCACCACGATGATTCTTTGAAACTCTTCTTTATCTTGTTTTAATGAATGTCTAGTTATTAACAAGACAAATATCAATATTAATATGGCACATGTACATTGTATGCCTATTTGGATTAAATTAAGTTGGGAATTAATACAATTGAATCTACTTAGAGCTCCACTAAAACAACAATAACGAGCAGTAGAACTTACCAATATGATATTAGTTAACGTGAATATGGCAGAACATGACCCTAATAATAAAAAGTTGGTTGATAATCCTTCTGATGTTTTCTTTTGATAGATTCTATGATATTGAGGCAAATAACTAACTATGATACCGATAGTTATAAAGATCAGGAAAATTAAGTTGACAGTAGATGCTCCTTCGAACACCGAACAGGTATCCTCTTCTCTGGAGTATAGGTTTAGAAGTGAGTGTATCATCATGTGTATGTGTGATGAACGAATGCAATGTTAGGAATGTAAGACACTTATCTCATATGAAGGGTCATTATCTTTAAACTTACCCCAACTCAATTTTGAAGAGAGGAGAAAGTTCGTGCGACAGTAAATACAAAACAAACCACCAGCCAAATTATCATCACCATACACACTTATTTTCACAGGAAACACCACTTATATAACTCTGAGCTTTCAAAATGGAAAGTTTGTGATTATTAAGTAGTTGTGATTCTCTATCCAATACATTTAAGCTAGGAGGAACTGTTTTTCAGCCAAACACTTCATTGTTCATGACACTATCCCATACATAAATATAAATATCCTGCACACAGTACTATTTACCATTTAAACAATCGCGTTGTGAAGATTTATTATACTTGAATCAATTATAGCTTAAACTAGACAACTTAATACATACATGATTCAATGAGTTCTCGACTGTGGGCCATCAATGCCGTCAAGAAGAGTAAAACTCAACTAGTCCCTGGATCGTCCAAGTGGCTTTCCAAAGAGATGTCTGCTCATTATGAAAACGTTTTAACTAATAGTGAATCACATTTTCATGATTTTCAACTGTATCAAGATGATTTGAATTCATTTATGAAGAAAGTAATGCAACTCAACGATGATGAAGAGAAACTTAATGATTTCATACTGGATCGGATTTCCAGAAATACATCTACATTCTCACCTATACGACAAAAGAAAGAAGAACAAGATCAAACAATGGAAAGCATTAATGAAGACAATTTGGCTGCTGAAGAGGAGGAAAAAGAAATGGAAAAGGTTGTCGAAGATATACTGAATTTGGAAGTTCAAACCACTGTTTCAAAAACAACTATTCCAGTTGTTGATACAGAACCAACCATTGAAGATGGTGGTGCAGATGATTCATTTCAAGCTATCAGTAAAGCTATACGGAAAAGTATTGCTGATAAGACCGCTCTTGGTAATACTTTCTTTAAACCAGAAAGCCAACTAAGTTCAGAAGATGAAAACAAGAAAGAAGAAATCATACCAGAATCAATCAACAAGTCATATACTTCAAGAAAATCAGCAATCACACCAAAGAGAAGTTCATTATTTGTTTCTCTTCCTGCTAGAGAACCAATCACTGTCACTGCTACATCCAAAAGAAAATCGGTTGGTCGTTCAAAGAATGGCAGTCTGAGAGTTTATGATAGATTGGATGTTGAATCAAGAATGGAAACTGCAAGTATTGTTCAAAATGAACCTGTTGAAATTAGTGCAAAAGCCAATGATAAACAACTCACTGAAACTGAAACATTAGATTATAACTTTTCCATGTCACCAGTTAAGATTCCTTTATCTAAAAGACCATTTGCTGCAGGATCAAGTAAAGAAGAAACTACCGAAATAGATATAAAAAGTGATATACTATCGAAACTGGAATCAAATCAATTAAAATCATCACACCATGATGCAGTAAAATCAAGCATTCCACAAATTACTGCTTCACTGAAAGAGATAACACAACATTCTAAAACGTTATTACTGGAAAGTAAGATACCAAGACTTCTGCATCATGAGAAGATCAAAGTTGAAACAAATGTTCAAGAAATAACAAGTCCGGAAGGTTCATCTACTCCTATATCATCAAGATTAACTAGCAGAAATTCACCAACAAGTATAGGTACTTCCAAAACTAGTAGACTGAAATCTCCTGAGTTTAAATCACCAATATCGGTTCCAAGTAGAGCTATATCAAGATCTAGAAGTATATCGCCATATAGAAGCAAATCTTCTAGATCGCCAACAACTTCGCTTGAGAGGTATTCTAGTTCTCCAGTGAAGGAAGAAGAAATGAATTTAATTAATAGACTAAGTGCTCCTACAAGTTCAAGCGCTGCTAAATATAGATCTCTGATAGCTACCAAGAATTCAGAATTGAAAAAAGCCGAGCCTGTGAATACTAAGAACAGATTCTTAACTACAACTTTAAATTCATCAAATCCACAATTCAAATTACAGAAACCACCTCAACTGAACCGAAGACTACCATTATCTCATGCTCCATCCCCAGTAAAATCAGGATTACTGAACTTAGATGATGGATCAATCCCAAAATTGGATTCAGGAAGTATTCCATCTTTAAAGAAGAAATCTCTTATGGCTGAAAGAAGTGAAGCGGCAGCTTCAAAACCAAGACAGAAAATACTCATATCAGTAAATCATACTGCAAAAATAGCGTCATTAAAATCAGATACTCAACCTAAAGAGAAACTAGACTCGGTAGAGCCAAAGTCAGCTAAAAGAGTAAACGAAAAGGCAAGTGCTAGAAGGGATATTGGTAATGCAGTTGCTTTACCAGATGCTGCAAGAGGATATAATATCAAACCCACTGATAGTTCAAAGAGAAGAAAACTTCTCAGAGAAGAGAAAACCCCATCAAGAGTTACAAGCAACAAAAAGCAAACATATGATAGCAAATCTTCAGCTTCAGAGAGAAGAACCACTTTCAAATCCATGCCGATTTTATATCCACAAAGTAATCCACTGACTCCTAGAAGAAAAACGTACACAGCTGAAACATTGCCCGATATTCTTACTGATGAAGAAGATAATTCGTCAAATAAGAGTAAGAAAATTCTTCAGTCCTGGGGAAGTACACCTGAATTACGTAGGATTGTACTTCAAAACAAGGAAATCAATCCTGCCACAGTGTTTGGTGAAGTACCGAAGCTTGTTATAGAGGATATATTCGATACACAGGCTTCAATATTAAGAGGCAAACAATCTCCCGATATGTCGCCGGATGAAAAACAACGAAGGAAGGAAGAGAGAGAATATGCTATAGAAATGGGATATAAATAAATAAACGAACCTTATGTATTATTATGTATTGAGTAATGTGTAATCTATAATATTTACTGTTTACGCTTAGCTAAAGCTGCTTCTTTTGACCATTTTGAGAGCCATTCTGCTGATTCTGATTTAGGAACCACAAATAATCTTAAACCATTATCGAACAATGGAGCAACTGGTTTATCATTCATTAAAACATTATTGATAGCCATTTTCTTTCCTACTTTGATTAAACCACCAGTTTGAGTTTCCATATAACATTCCAATTTCTTTACAGTGAAATCCTTATGTTTTGGATCTTCAAACCATTCACGAGGTCTATCCAATATCATTTCCAAGATTTCAATTGGAGTTGATAATTCACTTATTTCAGCTATGTAATCGAATTCATCAATAGATGGATATATTAACATAGCAGGGAATATTAATTGGGATTCATGATCTAAAGGATCTTCTAAACGTAACTTGGCGTCTTCTAACATTTCTGCTGGTCTTGATGATTTTATAATGGTGAAATGTCTTAATTTAATGGAATTTTCTAATATCAGTTGTTTCATTTTCTTTTCCTCTAGTTCTCTTTCTTTCTTTAATTTTGCTTCCTCTATTTGTTTTTGTTTCTTTATAACAGTTTCCAATAAACCTTTGAAATCTTTATTTTCAGGATCAAATGATAAACCATACTGTAATATTTGAGATGCTTCTTCAGATCTATTAACAGCAAAGAAAGCTTTACCAGTTCTGAAACATGCTTTCACATTCTTTTCATCGATTGCTAAAACTTTCTTACAATCCTCTATACATTGTCTGTAATTCTTCAACTCAAGATTACAAGCTGCTCTATTAGAATATAATGCAGCGTTTATGACTTTATCATCACAATCAACTTCAATACCTTTAGTATAAAATTCAATTGCGACTTTATATTGTTTGGTTTTATAAGCATCATTACCTTGATTCTTAAAATTACCAGCAATTTCATGAGGTTCCCCATCATATGCCAAACTCTTCAATGCTTCAAGTGTAGTATTCTCACCGCCTTCACCATCAGTTTCATCTAATTCAGTCATGAAAAATGGAAGTCTATTCAATTCTTTCATCACATCTTCAGTAGTCTTTTCTGCAAAGTCAGATAATTGTGGAGGTAAGGCTGGTTCACCAGCTTTAGGGGTATATCTTAATTTTTCCCATTCAGATATAAGCTTATCCTGAAGCTCATCTTCTGTAAGTCCTGAAGTACTCATGGTTGAATATTCTGTTAGCTTATAAACATCTATTTGCAATTAGCGATCTGTGAAAAAAAAATTTAAAATAAAAAAAATTAAAATGAGATGGTAGAAAATATCGGTGAATCACCAAAAATGGTTCCAGAAGAATCTCTACAGTTGCAAAAAAAGAAAATACGTTAACACTAATATTATCTATATCTACATGTATCTATAAATTTCTATTCTATTATATGCTTTATACAAGTTTACTGCTTTCCGTTAGATCTTTGGAGTACTAAGGGAACATGTAAATTAATCTTTTCATTTGCTTGTGTTTTCAAAGTTAATTTCAAATAATATAACCTTGATAAACAACAAAATTGGAAATCTGGAACTAAACAGAACTCACTTGAACCTGGTGTGGAGGAAGGTGCTGGTATGGCATCAGCAATATCTAGATTTAAGTTGAACTTTTTGAAATGACGTACACTCAGTTCTGAAGATGAATGCAAATTTTCTTTCTGCCATGGGATTGAAGAAAGCAATGTGTTATTAACATTCGAATCAGGAGCACTATATGAAACGTTCGGTAATTTTAATACATCATATTTGGTGGATAAATTAGCTAAACATTTGAGATCATAAATAAGATCTTTTTCAACTTGTAATGATTCACCGAATTCTTTAAGTAATTTGGAAAGATCCATAGCGTACTTTTGAAATCTTTTAATAGTAATCACATCAAAATTATCTGATTCCTTTTGAGAATTCTCAAATAACATTTCTGGTAAGAATACCAACGGTATAGGTAATCTCTTTGACTTGATGGTTAATATCATTAAATCAACCGTGATCTTTTTAAATTCGGGTATATTATTCAATGATGAACCAGTAGGAACATAAGTAATTTCCAATGGTATACTTATCTTAGATCCAGACAGTAAAGGCTTATTCGTGGTGTTAAATTTTGATAATGAAGTATAATCCACTCTATATGTAGTTTTCCGAGTTGTGAATGCAATCAACCCTAATACTTTTGAAGGTCCAAATACAACTTTTTTTCTATGAGGTAAAAACACTTCATAAAACCCATTATTATGATGACCATTTGCTTTCCTGATTTTAGAATAATATGACTGCTCCATCTTTGAAATTTCTAATGCACTAGCAGTTGGTTCTAATGGAGGAGGAGTTGGACCTGAAAGTCTTTCTTCAAGTGGAATCGAGGATAATTGTTTTCCTAATTCTAATTTTTCTTCTATTCTTTGTTTCAAATTAATATAAAACAGTTTAGCTTCTTCATCAATCATAGAACGATTAAGTTCAAATATTGAATTTGTAGACGGTATAACTCTCAAATAACAATAATCTTCATTAGCTACCACATACTCATCTTCATTGGCATTTATTATTTGTTGCTTACATAAAGATTTATAATCAGAAGCTTTACCAATGACTCTAGCACTTATACTATAACTTATGGAAGAATCAGTAGGAGCAAAATCATTAGCCAAAGAAGCAAATCTATAAGAAGGATGATCGGGATCTAAAATAGGATTAGGTGGTTCATTATCTTTAGATTTCCACTTTCGTCTTAAATTCGTTATTATTTCATATCTTGAGATCCCTAATGTTGGTGGTAATTGTAAATGCTTGACGAATCCATGATAACAAGTACAATCAAGTAATTTTTCAGGTAATTTAAATGTAAAGAATTTTTTATATGTGACGTTTGGTTGAAATATTTTCTTATGATTTAATTGAACGTAAGTGTTATCCACCGGATCAAGAGCATTCGAAGGTACATAAGGATTATTATGATCAGTAATCAATCTATCAAGATTGGCATCATTCCAAGATGCATTAAAATCAAACATAGTTAAGAATCTAACGACATGAGAATTTTGAGACACGATATTATTTCTATTACTATTGAATATAGCACATCCTTCAAGAATGACCGAAAACATATCAAATGGAATATCCTCGTTAGTCTTGTTGGTTACTAATACGTAACCATAAATGTAGTCACCTTGTTTAAATTCACATGATAGTGGATCTATTTTCTTCGGAACTTTACCAATCTTCCCAATGGATTCAGTCAATACAGTTTCTATTAGTAAAGATTTTGATATTTCTTTATTGGTTGAAGTTAACCTCTTTAATTTATGGGCATTTTCAACTATGGTATTTGACCAGTTTTCATCATCATTATCATTATTATCATTATCATCATTATGGGTATGGGTATGGTTATTCATTGCACTATCGATACTGACTCCAGCACTATCCATGGGAAATCCTGCAAAAGTAGGAGATAATTCAGGAGTAGTAGGTAACGAAACTCCTTCGAAATAATCAACCACTGACGAGTTATTAGAACTTTGAGGTGCTAATTCATAACTAGGAGGATTACCTCTTCGATCTTCACGGGTAGGAGTTAGATTTTTCGATATCGTGGATTGATACATATGATAAGAAGGTAAAATACTCAACAAACTCTGTTCAGCGTCATCCATATCAATATTTGTACCATTGTTGGAGTTATCTTGAACACGTTCGTCAATGTTGCTACTACTACTATTAGAACTTCCATCCCCTGGTTCCGAGTCGGTATTTCGTATGGATAAAGACGAAAGTCTTAGATTGAATTTATTCCTATCATCCATCGTTACCACCTTGATCTATATCGATGCTATTGGCCTTGCTGATGATGATAGTGATACAGCCAAGTGATATTCAAAAGATTAGACCATTCGGTTGGGTGGGGACTTACAAAATTAAATTTTATGGGTCACATCCAAATTGGGCGCGAGTTTTATTCTTTTTTTTCAGCCGCTCGTTACATTTTATTTTCTAAGCCAATAAATATGTTTATAACGTCTAATTGTTTGGTCTATGTATGTATATGTATATAATATCTAATTTCTTTCAATTGATAAGGGGACATTCACAATCAAGGATTCACCATTCATTAACTTCACCGTGATTTTAAAATAATATAATCTCGAGATAAGACAGGTTTGGAAATTAGGTACTAAAGTAAGATAATCAAATCCAGCTTGATTATGTAAAGCTTCCATACCTTTTAAATGACAATTCGATAAATCTAATTTAATTTCAAACTTCTTAGAGTAGAGACTATGATTATTGACAGTTGAAGTGGTTGAGTTGGAGATTGTTTCATGTTCCCATGGGATTGTTTTAATCAGTTTTTGTAATCCAAGACTAGTATTATCATGTCTTGAAAAAAGATCAAAATCAACAATTGATAAATTAATGTATTTCGTTTGTAATTGGGATAAGGCTCGGATATCTTTATATAATTTCGTTTCGAATTTGATTAAATCATTTCCTAAAGTTTTAATAATATGACTGATCTTAGTGACGTAGGTATTATATTGTTTCGTAACGATATTATCGAAATTATCAATCTCTTGATTTTTCGAAGATGAGATCTCACGATCTTTGAAACATAAATCATGATTGAATTCGATCGGAATAGGATACTTCTTCGATTTGATGGTGAGTACCACCAATTCCACATGTAATGATTTTATTTCTGGGAATTGAACTTTACTTGATGAACCAAGACCGCTACTACTTCCACTTCCACCAAGACTTTCAATCACATAAGATAACTCTAATGGAATGGTTATTTGTGTACTATATGTTTTAGCTGGATCTCTGAATTTGATCGGTGGGATATAATCTACCAGATATATCGTTTTAGGAGATGATAATGATAATACTCCTAAAATCTTAACATTCCCTGTTAAAGACTTCTTCTTAAACGGTAATAAATATTGATAATAATCATCATCGAATTGTTTATGATCTGATTTTTTCAATTTAACATTTTCATTTAAATAATTGATATCGGCAATTTGATATAATTGACGTAATTTATGAATATTCCCATTGGAATTCGATATACTTGGAGTTAAAGAATCTCTTGAACTTTGAGGGGTTAAATTGAATAATCCACCTCGAGATTGAGTTGAAACATTTAATAAATCTTCCGCAAAATCAACTTTCTCTTTAATTAAATCATGAAATGCCTTATAGAATAATTTTGATTCTTCATAGATTGCTTTCTTATTATAAATATCTTCATTATTAGTAGGGATGACTCTGATGGGACATACGGCATCCTTAGCAATGATATATCGATCCCGTTCTTCCATTAAATAATTATAATCATGAGATCTACCGATGATTCTCGCATCAACACTATAAGTTATCGCACTATCAATAAAAGTTAAATCTCTAATTCGAGACTCTTTATGAGCCATTAATACTGATGCTGGTAATGAATTTCTTGAAATTCCTAAACTAGGAGGTAAATCACAATGTCTTATTAATCCATGATCTTCACAAATATCATCTAATAATTTATCAGGAACTTTAAACGTGAAAAATCGTTTATACGTAACATTCGGTTGAAACAATCGTTTAACATCGATCGATAACACCGTATTATCATAAGGATCAGTCTCACCATCACACCAATCATGAGGATCACCATTATCAGTCACTAAACGATCAATATTAGCGTATGACCAAGATGCGAATAAATCTAACATATTCAAGAATTTAAACACTGACAATGGTTTTGATGTATCTAATACTCCATTATTATTATCAAGAATGGTTAACGTTCCTTCAAATACGACATATACCATATCGAAGGGGATGGGTTTATCTGATTTATTAATGATGGTGACATATCCATGAATATAATCTCCTTGTTTGAATTCTTTATCGGATATATCTATGATGGTTGGTTTTATCCCCTTTTGACAAATTTTCTCAGTAACGGTTATATTTATATCTAAATCTGCCGTTGGACTATTTTTTAATTTGGAAATATTGGATAATTTATGGACATTAGCAAGGATGGTGTTTTCCCAAATCTCAGCTGAATCTTGATTGAAAGTTGATTCGTCATTTGGATCAATTGGATGTTGATGATGATGATTTTGATATTCTGATTCTTCGGGTATGGACGGGAATGGGAAATGATCAACACTATTATTAGATGATTCAGTGGGGGAGATTAAATCTGATACTGATAGTATAGTTGGTGTAGCTGAAGTTACCGGAGTCATTTCATACATAGGAGGTTCGACATTAAAATTTTCATCGGTTAAAGTTAAATTTTTAGATACAGTTGATTGAAACATATGATATGAAGGTAAGATATTATTAATTAAATCATCTTCCTTTTCAGATATAGGAGGAGGAGGAGAAGATGGATGGGAATAACTTGTAGGTGGTGGATATGCTGAGGGTGATAAAGGAGGCCTTGGGTATTGAGAACTATGATAAGTTAATGAAGAAGCTGATTGAGCTCGTGGTAAAGGATTTGGTTGATACATGGGAGCATCATCATTATGATCAGAAGGATTATTATCGTTCAACTTTGAAGATGAATTAGTAGTATTATTCATGGTTGACGATATATCATATACTAATTACCATTTTCTATAAAACGAATGAATATAATATCAGTTGATAAAATTGATATTTTGAATATATGCCAAGTAGTTGAATTACGTTGTACAAATTAATTACTATAGACAAAAAGAGGTGATGGGTCAATAAAATTTTTTTTACGGCAATACTGAATTATGTGCAGGACTAAAGGCCAGCCGTAACATTATGTATAATAACAAGTATAAATATGTTTAAAAAATTGTAGGTTATTAAAGTTAACAACGAGTTAATCTATTGTAATGGTAGATGACAATCAATAATTGTTTATTTAAATGGTGTATTATATTATTAAATATGATTATAATTGATAATATGATATGTTAGTACTGCGGCGTGGATCCTTTATCTAAAATGCTTTAAGTATACACTGTGGATATAATATAAAAGCCATAGTCCATAGTTTATGATCATATTGATTGATACTAATTTGTGATATATAGTATATATGTGGTATGATATAATAATATAGACTATAGTTAATATAATAAATATATAAAAAAGTATGGGGTAATATCGAATTACACTATATAATTTAAAGCTGTTGTTGTTGTTGTCACAAGAGAACAATCAGACAAAATAGATAAGAAAGAAAGAAAGAGAAAGAAAGAAAGATAAGAAATCAGACAGACAGACAGACAAAAAAAATAACAGACAGATTTTAATTTCCTGTCAGACCAAAAAAAAAGACGACAACATTTTAAAGTATCCACAGTTTTCAGTTACATCATTACAAAGCAGCAACTACTACAACGCAACTTTACACAGTTTAAATAGTATACAGTCCACAGTATAGTTTAAACTACTATTCATTTATCAATTTTTCAGATCTATCTATCAACAGATCAATTATCCTATTCTATGTCATACCTTTACTGATCTAACATGTCTCAGGAAAAGTCCTTATCATCTCCATCATCAATTTCACCTAGATCAATTAGATCATCCTTTAAAATCATCTCCACAGTATCAATCCTTGCATTAGTAATATTTCAACTTTATCACTTCAAATCGTCAACACGTCCATTCAATGATATTTTTACTCAATTAACTTCCATCAATGGTAGACAAGATCCTTATCTATTATTCCAATCGATCCATACTACTGAAGATCCCTTATATGATAGAATCGGTGTCCCCACTCTAAATCCATCATCTGAACATTTGAAAGTTGGATCAAAAGCAATGGTTGCAAGTGATATCCCCGTCTGTTCAACCATGGGGATATCAATTCTTTTGAAAGGTGGTAATGCAGCTGATGCAGCAGTAACAGTCGCATTATGTATTGGAAGTATTAATTCTCATTCTTCTGGGATTGGTGGTGGTGGATATATCGTTAGTAAACATGGGGATGATTATATTAGTATTGATGCCAGAGAAATGGCTCCTAAACATGCTTTTAAAGATATGTATGATAAATATCCAATCTTAAGTAAAGTGGGTGGTTTAGCCGTTGCTGTTCCTGGTGAATTACATGGATTATATAAATTATTCGATAATCATGGTCTGAAAAATCTTACTTGGAAACAATTGATCGAACCAGTTATAACTTTGAATGAACAAGGTTTTGTATGTTCAAAAGTATTTGAAAATGTGGTGATTAAAGAAGAAGAATTAGTTTTAAATCGTATTCCTGCTTTAAAGAAATGTTGGGATTTCATCTATAAAGATGAAGAATGTACCACCTTAGTTGAACAAGGTGATATTATTGCTCGTCCAAATTATGCTCGTACTTTAGAATTGATTGCTAATAATGGTTCTTCTGCTATATTTTATGATCCCAACGGACCTATAGTTCAATCTTTGATACCTATTATTCATCAATTTGGAGGGATTATCGAAGCTGAAGATTTCGCAAGGTATGATGCTGTGGTTGAACGCCCTATAAGTACTGAGTTCTCCTTGAATGGGAAGGATAATTATACATTATTCACTTCAAATGGAGCTTCCAGTGGATTAGCCTTAGTGGCAGGACTTAAATTCTTTGAACTGGTAATTAATAAAGAAAAGGTTGAAGATGATTTATTATATAATCATAAATTAATTGAAAGTTTTAAATGGTTAGGTAGTATTCGAAGTGAATTTGGAGATGTTAATAAAACATATGCTCAGTCTTTAATTGATAAATATACTGATACAACTTGGATTGAAGAAGTTTTACAACAAGGAGGTTATTCTGATTCTCAAACTTTCAATTATACTCATTATCAACCAAAATATGATCTTGTTAATAATCAAGGTACATCCCATTTCAGTATTTTAGATGAAGATAATAATGCCGTAAGTATGACTACAACAGTTAATCTTTTATTTGGATCATTAGTATATGATTCACATACAGGGATTATACTTAATAATGAAATGGATGATTTTAGTCAACCCAATATATCAAATGCATTTAATTTAACCCCTTCGATATTTAATTTCATTGATAGTTATAAACGACCATTAAGTTCTACTAGTCCCACCATAATCATCAATTCTACATCTCATACCCCCGATTTCTTAATTGGAGCTGCGGGTGGATCCCGTATCACTACCGCAATCTTACAAGCTATAATCAGAGTATATTATCAAAAGTTGAATCTATTAGATACGATCAGTTTTCCAAGGATTCATCATCAATTGATTCCTGAATTCATCATGATTGAGAATTTAACCATGTATGGAGAAGAATTCACTAATCTGATAGTTGAAAAGATGAAATCTTTAGGTCATGAATTTTATATAAGTGGTGCAGTAACTGCTATGAATGGTATAAAACGAAATATTGAAACTGGATTGATTGAAGGAGTATCTGATTATTGGCGGAAAAGAGGTAAGGCTGATGGATATTAGAAGGAGAAGTATGCTCTTACAAGAATATAGGATAGATTAAAAATTTATAGATAAAGACGATAACAATTAAGATTAGATAGTGTAATAAATGACACCATAATTTATTTTTTTTTTTTTTTTTCAGTACAAGCGGTTGTACAAAAAGCGATTTGAACCTTAACGCCTTTGATCCGGATTATTGATAATAATTATGATATGTGGTTAACCTAGGATACTTGTATCCGTTATCGAGACATTGTAATTGAGTTAAGAACCATAATGAAACACATATAAAACAATTGACTTATAGAAGGTTTCTTAAGTTAGATAAAGTCATCACTTCAAATTGGACTTGATTTGGTCTAGTCTTAAATTTGAATTTGTCTTGATTTGATTTGTCTTGCCCTATCCTGTCTTATTTTGACCTGTCCTGTCTTGTTTAATTCAATTTTAAGGTGGTACAAAAATAAAATAAAATACTTAATTTGAATGATCTTAAAATAAAATTTGTGGGGGATCCTTTGCCCCACTCATCCATGGAAACACTAAAAACAATTAAAAAATTGTCTGATTTAATTACGGTCAGACAAATAAATATTTCGGAGTTCAAGAAAAAGAAATTAATACATAAAAATTTCTCGGAGTTTTGTTCATACTGTAATTTACTGATGTCCTTCTGCGTAACCGTTCTTTTTTTTTCTCTCCCTTGTTCCACTCACTCATTTTTTCCCACTGTACCCGCTAAATCTTCTGTAAGTTTGCTCCTTGTTTTGCCCCAGATTTTAATTTTTTTTTTCTCACTCCCTAAATACTTAAATTTAATTGGCTAAATTAAACTCCATTAAAAAAAACATTATGATCTTTGCCCCACAAAATAACAGTTACATAGTTACATAGTAATAGTTAAAAAATGCTTAGCTACCACAACCTATTCCGGAGTTTTTTTGAAATTTTTAATTCATTCAATATCAAATTCAACTTTCCTATTTAAATAATCTCATATCCTTGTTCTAGGAATATTTGGTGTATTTCACTATATACATTTACCTATTCTTACTTACTTACTCACGCTTTGCTTTTAATTTTAACTACTTATAAAAGTTAGACCCTTTAGTTTGTTGTTATACTTGTATACTCCTTACATCTTCTATTAGACTATTATTTCATTCACTTCAAACCTCCATACACACAGACATAACTATCTATCATGACAACTTATTCTCATCAAGGTGAGTTGCAAAAATTACCTATACCAGACTTAAATGAAACTTTAGCCAACTATTTAAAAGTTTTAAAACCTTTACAAACTGATATCGAACATCAAAGAACCATTCATGCTGTGGAAACTTTTCTTAAAAATGGAACAGGGAAATATCTCGATGAAGAATTAAGAAACTTCTCCAAGACTAGAAATAGTTATATTGAACAATTTTGGTATGATTCTTATTTAAATTATGATTCTCCAGTGGTATTGAATTTAAATCCTTTCTTCTTATTAGAAGATGATCCCTTCAATAATGATAATCATCATACTGATCCTCAAGTTAAAAGAGCAACCTCATTAACATTATCCTCCCTTAAATTCATTCAAGCTTTAAAAAATGAACAATTATCACCCGACGTCTTAAAAAATGGTCAACCTCTTTGTATGTATCAATATTCAAAATTATTTGGGGCATCAAGAATCCCAACTCATAATGGTTGTATCATGCAAACCGATGCTAATTCAAATCATATTGTCGTATTATCAAAATCTCAATTTTATTGGTTTGATGTATTGGATCTGCAAAATAATTTAATCCTTTCTGAACTGGATTTATCCATTAATTTCACTTCTATAATTCATGATTCTTTAACTACTGATGCATCTGATATTGCAAAATCTTCATTTGGAGTCTTGACTACTGAAAATAGAAGAATTTGGGCAGGAATTAGAAATACTCAAATTTCAAATAATCAAACTAATAATGAAATCTTATCCATCATTGATTCAGCTTTATTCATCTTATGTCTTGATGATATTGAGATTAATGATTTATCTTTATTATCCAAAAATATGCTTTGTGGTTTATCAATCTTAGATAAAGGTATTCAAGTTGGTACTTGTACTAACAGATGGTATGATAAATTACAAATCATCATTACAAAAAATGGTAAAGCCGGAATCAATTTTGAACATACTGGTGTAGATGGACATACCGTTTTAAGATTCGTCAGTGATATTTATACTGATTCAATTCTTTCCTTTGCAAAATCAATCAATACAAATTCTCCATCACTTTGGAAAGACACTAATAATAATCCTGATAGACCAATCTCACCATCAGAAGAACCATTAATCACAGTTCCAAGAAAATTAGAATGGGAATTGACATCTGATTTATCATTAGCATTAAGATTTGGTGAAACAAGATTATCTGATTTAATCAATCAAAATGAATTCAAACATCTTGAATTCAAAAACTACGGTTCAACCCAAATTAAAAAAATGAAATTCAGTCCCGATGCTTTCGTCCAAATGGCATTCCAAGTCACTTATTACGCCTTGTATGGGAAAGTCGAATGTACTTATGAACCAGCCATGACTAAACAATTCTTCCATGGTAGAACTGAAGCTATTAGAACTGTAAGTTCTGAATCGAATTTATTCGTGAGAAAATTCTTTGATTCTTCCGTATCTAATGAAGATAAATTAACGTACTTGGCTAATGCTTGTAATCAACATAGTCAACAAACCAAACGTTGTTCAGTTGGGAAGGGGGTTGATAGACATCTTTATGCTTTGTTCTGTATTTGGAAAAGATATGTTGATTCTCATGATGATGATGATGATGAACATATCGAAGCTACTGAAATGAATACCAGATCGTCGATTTCAACCTTAGTGGAAGATGATGATACTAGTTCTTCCGATAACACTATAGTTAATAGTTCATCCAATGGTAAAAGATCATCATCCTCGTCAGTATCAACCGCATTGAAACAATTACCTTCTGTTTTTGCTGATTCAGGATGGGATAAATTAAACAATACCGTCATTTCTACTTCTAATTGTGGTAATCCTGCTTTAAGATTATTCGGTTTCGGTCCTGTATCTGCTAATGGGTTTGGTATTGGATATATTATTAAAGATGATTCAATCTCAATCTGTGCAAGTTCCAAACATCGTCAAACACAAAGATTCTTAGTCACTTTAGAATCATATTTCAATGAAATCCAACAAATTTGGAAACAAGTTAATATCAAGAAAAAAGCTGCTAAAGTAGCCAATGACGCCGCCGCAGTAGCCATCACTAAAGCAACTGTTACCACCGCTACTTCCACCACTATGGAAATCTCTACATCTTCATTACAACAACCAAAACCTCAATCTAATTTATCTACTCTTTTAGGGGGGTACGGTTATTTCGATATGGGTGAAGATGATATTAAATCAAGAGGTACTTCTCCTGAACCTCCTTTCTTGAATAGAAATAATTCAGGTTTCTCCATAAGAGAAATCGGTAAGAAATTAAGATTATCTGAATATTAATCTATCTATGTTTATGTCTACTATTTATTTTTTAACGTCATGACTATTTATTAAGTGGTTTGATACCCTTGCCAACCCTTTATTTATTTATTTTATTTATTACTACTTATTATTTTTATCTATTTATTCGAGTTATTTATTTCACTTATTTATATACATAATATACATTATAACAACATGAACTTCTAATATATAACGTAACTTATTATTAATTATCAAACCATATAAAAAGCTTCTATAAAAAGACAACTATTTACTTTTATTTTTCATTATATCCCAAAACTACCTTCGATAAACGCAGCTCTTAAACTGGCTTTATTATTTCCTTTATTTTTATTAAATTTAGATGCAGAGGGTATACCCATCATCATAGCATTATTCCGGGCTTGGGGTGGTGGACCACTTGGATTCCTACTACCTGCAGCAGCATTAGGATCGTATTGTTGTGGTGGTGGGTAATATGGTTGGGGTGGATATCCTTGAGGTGGATACCCTTGTGGTGGTGGTCTTGAGGCTGGCGGATAACCTTGTGGTGGGTAACCTTGTGGAGGAGGAGCATAACCATGAGGTGGATGAGGAGCATATCCTTGTGGAGGATAGCCTTGTGGTGCTGGTGCTGGAGGGTATCCATGAGCTGGTGGAGGGTATCCCTGAGGGGGATAACCTTGCGCTGGTGCAGGTGGATATCCTTGTGGTGGATAACTTTGAGGATGATAACCCTGAGGTCCTGGTGCAGGTGGATATGATGATTGAGGAGGATATCCTTTTGGAGCATGTCCTTGTGGTGCTGGTGCTGGATAGCCCTGTGTCTGAGGTGCTGGTGGTTGAGAAGTACCAGGTTTAGGATAAGGACCACCATTGTTAACTGGACGTGGTGGGGATCTACCTTGTGGTCTAGCAGGTAATGGAATTCCATTGGCGTTTGGACCTAATGCATTTGAAGTAGGTTGTTGATGTGGTGGTGATACCTGTCTTTGTTGTTGTGCTGCTTCAGGCGGTGGTGGTGGTAAACTAGTAGGATCATCTCTCTTACGAGTTGGAGAAACCGATTTATTATTAGGAGATCTCTGTCTTTGTTGATATTCAGGTGATTGAAATCTACCAGGACTTTGATTTGGTCTAGACGATCTACGTTCACGAGGTGGAGTTAAAGATTGTCTATTTGGATTCCTTGGTGGAGGTGGTGACGCTGGTTCATTATATGATGTTGGAACTGGTAAACTTAGATGCGATCCATTATTCGGGGCAGTGGTAAATGATGGAACGGATGAACCACTATCTGTTGCTGGGGCGTAATGATTTTGACCTTGCGAATATGATACATTTGGATTAGAAGTATTATAACCAGCACTTCCTCTGTAAACATTTCGTGGTGGTGGTTCATCAATTTCATTAACTTGAGGTTGTGGTATTTCATGATGACTAGGTGACACTTGTCTTTGTTGAATAGGTTCATTGACTTCATAAGGTTCAGGAATTGGTTGTGATTCTTGTGATTGCTCTTCCTCGGGTAATGGAGTTCTTTCCTTATTAGGCGATACTGATCTTGAACTTCTCTTCTTCTTGGTTTTCTTCTTCTTCTTCTTTTCACCTGATTCAGTAGATCCAGTAGATTCAGTAGGAGATGTTGGAGGTTGGCCAAAGAATGGTGGAGGTGGCATACCAGGTATAGGACCAGGCATCATACCAGGAGGGAAGAATCCGAATTGATTTGCAGATGGGAATCCTGCTTCTGCTGCTGCGGCAGCGGCGGCAGCCATAGCTCTAGCTTGTTCTTTCTCTTTCTTTTTCTTTTCCTTCTCTTGTTTCTTCTTTTTCTTTTCTTCTTTCAATCTCTTTGCTTCTTCAGGATCAACTTCTTGAGCTTTCTTCACTCCATCATCACTTATAGGAGACTGTAATTGTGCTTGTCTAGCTTTATGAACATCATCAGTTTCAATTGGAATATTATCTCTAGGAAGAACAACTTGACTTGATGATCTACGATTTTCAATTTGTTGTTCATACAAGGCATAATCTTGATATGGATCTTGATTTTCAAATTGATTATCATAAAAATCAGTTCTTTCAGAAGGTGGAGTAGGTGGTAAATCTCGTTGAGCGTTATTTGGTTGAGGTGGTATAAGGGGTAATTCATGATCATTATTTCTTAATTTTAAATTTTGTAATGGTGGAGGTCTTCTTCTTTCCTCTCTTCTGGCATTTCTTGGAGGTGGGCTTGGATCAACAATTTGAGCTTTTTCTTCAAAATCATCACCTAAATCTTTAAAATCAAGATATTCTTGATATTGTCTATATTCATCTCCTTCACCTCCATCATCTACATTAAATTCTCCAAGATCAAGTTTATAATCTTCATCTGTGAAATTAATATTTGGTAAAGGTCCACTTGCTTCTTCAAGTTCATTAGGTAAGGGAGGTAATGGCATTTCTTTAGTTTTATAACTTTCATTAGAAGGCACTCTTTTATGAGGCATGATATGATTAATTTCAGAATCTGTTAAATCAAAATGTTCAAGGTATTGTTTTGAATCCATGGTGGTTTCAGTTAAGATAATCCATTTTTGAAATCCTTTAAATTGAGCTTCTATAACAATTGAACGGCCGAAAAGATGTTTGAATTGGGAGATTTGATCCGATCCTAATGTAGATAACCATGTCCAAATATAATAATCTTGGATAGTAACGTCATTAACGGCTATTTGAGAAAATAATGGTATATCTTTATCCACACTAACAGTATTTCTGGTCCAACCAGGGTATAAGGCATATTTTGAATCGATCGGTTCTTCAGTTAATCTATTTAAAACACGACGAGATTCATCTGTTAAAGTTTCCACGATTTCTTTAGTGGATCCTTTTTGGAACACATTTTTAAGAATAGTGAAATTCTCCATTGAATGGAAGGAATCTTTCTTTTCAAAACTTAAACTGTGCCTTATCTTTGATATCAATTCATATGGGTTGGAAGAAGGACGAGTTGATTCTATACATACACAAGGGATAGTTATCATTGATTTCAAAGCATCATCTTCTTCTGGTGGAGGATAAGTATTAGTGATAAGTAATGATTGTAAAGTCTTGGGTAATTTAAGAGTTTCGGAATCTGATTCTGGTAACATGGCTCTTAAAAATGATAATAATAAATGAAATAAAGCATTTGAAGAAGGCTTCCAAGATTCTAAACCTTGACTAAAATTGAATTCCTTATCGACAGTAGCATCATAAAATGGAGATTTAATTAACTTTGACATCGGATTGAAAGCCCATATAGATGCCATCTTTGTAATTTTTCTACCACTTAAGTAATTATATTGAGAATTAGAAGTTATACTGATTAATAAGTCAAGGAAATCATATACTATAGATGCATGCGCCGGAGAAGAAAGACATTTGGGCATGATTGATAAAAAGGCATTCTTAGGACATCCAGCTTCTTGTTCACGTCTTTTGAATTCAAGATAAACATCCCAACCTATGATTTCATTATTGGGTAATCTTGTCCAAAGATATTTCAAAGCGCAGATCAATGTGAAATCATCAGTTGATTTCACAATTCTCATAGCTTTTGATTCATCATCATTTTCTATATCGATTAGTTCACCATTTGGATATACCTTTGATAAGAATAGTTCGAGGTTCTCATCATTGATCTTGGATCGGAATGGGAGGAAGATATGAGGAGTCTTTGTACCTCCTCTATTCTTTAATTCGATCGTTATAAGATGTAGTATTGCTTTTAATTTCTTCTTTGAGAATTGATCAGGTTTGATGATACCTGAAGTTAGATTATATATGATATCATTATTGATTTGATCGGGTAGTTTGGGAAGATCAAACCTATCAGGGAGAGGTTTTGATTTCGACATATTGTTATGGTAGTTTTGTTGTTGTTGTTATAGTTTGGATGTAACTATTGATTCATCTGGCGAAAAATTGCAACAATTTGATTTGTGGTCTGACGTGATCGGTGAGATTTGTTTGTAATGAATAAATGAAGTGTTTGACACGGTTTAACAAGGTTCAATACACGTAACTACACAGATATAAGTCCCTTCTCTTCCAACTTCAACTCAAACACGAATTGATGATTGTTTTAATCTGTTTAAAATTTTTCTTTGTGTGATATGATATTGTTTATGGGTGGTGGTGGTACCTTTTTATTTTTTTTATTTTGTGTTTACATTTTAATTGAAAACACTGGTCCTGTATATAAATAATAATGAATGGGAACGACATTTAAGAGGCGAAGTGAGACATTATCGGAGTATGTCGTGTTTTTTTACTGCGGATCAGAATTAAGTGTAGTACGATATAATTAATATGATAATAAATATATTTGCAACATTCTATAATAAGGGATTTGGTATAAGACACAAAACATATTATTACTCTTAATAATAATATATCGAAAGGAGAAGAATAAAAAGAAGAAAAGAAGTAAAGAAAACAAAACTAACAACAAAGCAACAGTAAATCAATACGTAAATGGTATACAGACACCAGAAATCAAACAGACAAAAAGAAAAGAAAAGAAAAGAAAAGGATAAATGTAAAAGTCAAAATCAGAAGTAAAAAATGGTTTGGTTTCATAAGTTTATTCTAAACATTCAAGCCATTATAATGAGCAGCAGCAGCAGCAGCAGCTTGATGATGTTGTAATGTCATATCAGTCATACTATTGACTGGCCTAAGATTATTATAATTAGGTGGTTCAAGTTGAGATTGTCCTTGTGGTGGTGGTGGTCCTTGGGATAAAATTTGTGCTCCGCCTCGTACTTTAATCCCTGGATTAAGACTTTGTAAGTTGGTCATACTATTCACTAATCTTACTTCGCCATTTCCTGATGATGGTAAACTTATAGGATTTGAATTAGTACTATTAGGATCATAATGTTGACCTCCATTTTCGGGAGTTTCACTTGCACTAGAAAGTAATTGGGGTGGTTGTTGTTGAGTTGGAGCTTGAGGATGATCGACATAACCTTGAGCAATTTGATGGACATGAGGTGGTAAAACAGGATGATTAATTGATGGGACTTGATGGACTATATTAGTTTGTGGTGGTGGTGGTGGTTGAGGGATATTTAAAGTAGTGGGGATAGTTGATGGCATGGATGAAACATTAGTTTGAGCTGATGCACTCACTTGAGTTATATAATTTGCTTGTTGAATAATATTATTTAAATTATTAATACCTCCCACTGATGAAGCTAATAATGAACAATCTTTATGACCGACAATTATTCCTTTTAAATTTATAACTTGATCTCTTAATTGATTCACTTGTAATGATAATTCACGATATCCTGTAGAATAAAATGCTAATTCATCTTCCATCTTTTGAATTAATTGCTTCTTACGTTGACGACATTTAGAAGCAGCAACTCTATTTCTTTCAAGGAAATTCTTACGTTTATCTAATCCTGGTTCTCCACTATTATCATCTTGTGACATGTCAGATGCATTCATGTCGTTCTGTTCTTCAGCTTTAACCTTTTGAGCTTCTTTCTTGGTTGATTTCCTACCTCTTGTAGCACCAGTGTTGGCATTAGAAGTTTTGGTATTGGCATTTGTTACATTTTCTAATTTAGCTTTCTTAGAAGTAGGAGCATCATCCTTTCCTTTTCTCTTTCTGCTGGTGGTTGTAGCGGTCGAGGCTGAAGTATCCTTTGATTCAGTAGGTTCTTCAATTTCCAAAGTTGAAGGAAGAACATTAGCAGGTTTAGCCACACTATGATCTTGATTATCATTAGTTATAATGGGCACTCCATTTTGAGCAATATTTTGTTGTTGTTGTTGTTGAGCTTGAGGTTGAGGATTTAAAATAGGAAGGTTTGGAGTGGTACCCATATTAGAAGTATTAGCCATACCTAATAAACTCGATAATCCAGGAGTCATAGGACTATTTAATAATGCAGATGGAGTAGTTAACCCTGGAATCAATTGATTATTGAATGAAAATTGATGAGTTAAACCACCAGGGGTTAATCCTGACCTTATATTTGATTCGTTCGGAGTTAATCCTGTTTTTCTTAAAGTATTTAAAAATTGATTAAAGTTCGAATTTGAATTCATAGGATGTCCTAAACCTGGATTAGCTCCATTAGAAGGATTTGAAGAAGGATTATTACCGTTGGGATTATTATGATTATTGGTGGCTGATAATAAACTATTCCATAAATTTGTAGTAGGAGTACCTGGATTTGAGATTGCTCCTGAGGTATTAGCATTGGGAGATAATCCCAAGGGAGGTAATCTTCTTCCACCTGGAGTGAATAATGGAGGTGTTATACCAGGTAATTTACCATTAGATTGATGATTCACACTTGAAATATTAGGGATATGTAAATCTGGTTTTTGATGATTTTGATGATTAGTAAGACTATTATTATTATTATTATTATTATTAGCACTGGTTGAAACGCTAGAAGTTATCGATGCAGTGGTTTCCGAATGAGCTGAAGTAGTTGAGTTTGCTGTGTTATTAATAGATTTGATACCTCCTGGTCCAGTGGTACCACCTAATTTACCCACATTGGCATCATTTAATTGAACAATGGGGATGGATTGATTGGAAGAATCCTTACTAGCAAATGATCTTTCAAAGGGATTTGGTTCTAAATCAAACGTTGTCTTTATCTAGATAATGATAGTTAGTATATCCTATATTGCTGAAATAATTATGGTTGCTATAATAGTTTGTTGATGAATGGTTTCAATATTTACATTTATTTGTGTTGAACATGACGTAATTTAGCTTTGTCTAAAACAAAATGGGGTATTTCAAGATTTCAAACCAAAACATGTAAATCAACTTCATCAACAGTATCATAACAATCCACTTTATCAAGTCTTACTTACTTCTCCCGACATGATTGATGCCATATATTAAATAGAAAAAGCACTATCTAAAAGAGTTTGATGATAGTTTTAAAATTAAATGATTTAATCATTTACAACAAAACAAAAAAAAAGTTGATGTAATAAAAAAATTCAGGGAAAAAAAAGAAACGAAGTTAAAATGTCGTGCCATGTCTGAAATTTCAGACACAATGTCGTAACATTTCTCGTAAACCGAAAACTGTGGAATTAATTCATTATACAAATATAATACTACTATTTATGCTTTCGTTTATTTGTTTCACAAACTATAAAATCGTATGTATATAGATATAAATAATAATCACAAGTATACAAAATAAATCTCTATCAACCCTAATTAATATCTTGAATAATCTTATTCAATTTGGCTCGTTGTTCTTCTTTACTCTCTTCTTTAGCTAATTGAGGATTCTTCTTAATCACTTCTTCAGCTTCCTTTTCAACCGATTTATCAACCGGTTGAGCTGGAGGTGGTTTTTGTTTATTCACAGGTGGAGCGGCTTTTTGCACTTGCTCTATTTGTTGGATTTTTTGACCTTGAGCTTGAGCATCCGCTTGAGCTTGTTGAATAATCTTGGGATCAACTTTCTTAACTTGATCTTTATTCGAAGCTGGTGGTGGTGGAGCTGCTACTGCATCGGCAGCATTGGCGGCAGCGGCTGGCCTTTGTGGTTCTTTATCTTCAATAAATCTTCTCCATCCTGTCTTTAAATTATCATTCAAATCAAATCTTGGGAATGGATGAGCTTCAGTATTAAACACATATTTATCTAATGGAATCTTATTAGTATCATCAAATAATAAATATAAATATTTCAAAGTTTCAGCCCACCAGAATGATTCCACATTATCAGCTTTTGGAGGTGGAATGATAGTAACATCATCTAAACAAGTATATGAAACTTCACCTTTAGAATTTGTAATCTTAGAATGAGCAATAAAACTTTGTAAGATTTCATAACCCCAAACTCTATATTTGTCATCCTTGGTTAATCTATACAAGATAAATAATGATTCAACTGTTTCTGGTCTTTGTAAATTATGTCTATCTAATTGACGGATTGAAAAATCATGTTCTTCATTTGAATCAGTATTGAACACAGCAATTTCAGGTGATAATCCAGTTTTAACATTAGCATACATTTTATAACAAGTTTTAGTTAATTCAGCTCCTAATTTAAAATCATCAGCTTTATCAGAATTCCAATCAGGTGATAATTTAGCTTCTTCTAAAGTTAAACCATTAGTAGCACCAAGAGCTAATAATCCACCATAGAAACAAACTAAATGATCCATCTTAGTAGATAATGATCCACCAATACCTCTTTCTAATTCTCCAATAAAAGTTAAACCATTTGGTTTTGATTTACGGACTAAATGTTTTTTAACTCCTTCCACTGATTCATGATATAAATCCCAATAAATTGGTTCTTGTTCATTGGTTTGTAAATATTGTTTTAATAAATATTCATAATATGAATCACCTCTTGATCCTAATCTAATTAACAGACCTTGGAATTTACCAGTATCAGGATTAACATAGATTGGAACTAATCCATCTTCAGCTTTATTAGCTTCTAAAACTTGCATAACTTTTTCAACTCGTTTCCAATATAATGATTCACCAGTTAAATGAGCTAAATATTTAAATTCTAATTGTAAAGTTGCAACTTCAGCAGTTGATGAAGCACCAGCATCAACATGATTTTTAATTCCTTTCCCTGATTCTAAATTAACTGAACTATATGGAATACCAGTTTGAGTATTAAATGATCCTTCTAATGCATTAGCTAAATCAACGGCTTTATCTAAATAAACATCATCATTAGATAAATGGAAAGCAGATAATAATCCACCTAACATTCTAATTGTGGTTTCAAATACATTAACATTATAATTAAATCTATAATCCAAATCATTTTTGATCCATTTTTTAGCTCTTTGAACTTCTTCTTTTGCATCCATTATCATTAAAGTATCTAATGAATCAACAATCATCCATCCCAATGGTTTTTGACCCATATTTTTCCCCTTTTGTTTAATGGGTTGATAAGTATCATAACCCCAACCATATTTTTCATAAGTATGCCAACTTTCTAACATTACATCTTTAACTTCTTGTTGAGCAACTTTCCAATCTATATTGGAAGTATTTGATGATGATGATGATAATGAATATGAAGAATTTGAAATGACATAGGAATAGATGATGTATACCCCTAAAGCACCTATAAGCCCTTTGAAGAACATGATGATTCGTTTTGATGATTTACTACGAGGATTATTTAGATTAATAAAACTTGAAGGAGGTTTATCTTTATAATATAATGGTAAAGATGAAGGTTGAGTTGATTTTGCTTTCCAATTTTTATTATTATTATTTATATGATGAACTCCACCTACACCTATCCCACCACCTTGATTAAATGGAAATGACATTGATTGATATTGAGTAAGTGTAAGAATGTATCGATGTTGATTTAATGATTTAAGAAAGAGAGCGTTGAATAGAAATTTTAGAGGACGTGTTCTATTACCAAATTAAAATAATCCTATTTTTTAAAGGCTTTGAAAGGTGATTTATGAATGATCAATTGAATTGAATGGTTTCAATAGATATGATATAGTGATGATGGATAAGAAACACGTATAATCTTGAATAGTTAAAAGAAATCAATGTAAATGATTTAACCATCCCATTCAAGAAGTTACAGCATTTTACCAAAAAAATTATATTTTCCGGTGTTTAAAAAATAAATTTTGTAACAGCACTGTGTGTGTAATATCGTCTACAATTACTATCAAACGGTTATGAACAAAGAAGTCAAGGCCAAGATATTTCTTCAAACTGTATGATAGTTTTCTTTGGTCTACTTCATTTGTAAAGTCTAGAAAAATATTCACAATTAAACTATACGATTAAAGTTGATATTATGATGTTTGCATGTATGATTGGAAGCAATTATAATTATCAAATATTAAAAGATAAGTTTACGCGTTCAATGAAGTTATTGAAGCAATTAAGATTTCGAATTAATTGAATGTAGCAAGTCCCATCATCTACTCTTACACATTCCATTTTACAACTTAGTACTCTATTTAGACGATATAAATAAATTCCTGTTTTTTTTGTCGAAAACGTCACATGACTTTGTCGAAAATGTTCTCATGACAAGAATTAAATTTATGACATAAATCATTTCTTTTTGTTAAGAAATCGTTTAGCCGACCGTAACAACCGATATCAATCAAAAAAAAAAATATTCTTATTTTCAACTGTAATTGCAACGTCTTTTAAATTCTATTATAGAATTGGCTTAAATAGTAATGAATAAATCTGTGAATGACGTCTCTATGGTTAAAGATTATGAACTTATTCATTCAAATTGAATCATTCAAATGCAAAAGCAAAAAGTAAATAATGACCTTAAATTAATCTGTATAATCTCCCCCAGGTCATGGTTTAATTATATCATTTGACCTAATTTTTAACTATTTTTATGAGCTAATTTCCCATTTTATACCTCAATTCAGACTTATGTCCATGATTATGATCAGCCATACCTATACCAAATCAAGATATTGAAAGTATCAAGCAGCCTTTCCCTTCGATTCTGTTCGGCTTAACCGATTCAGACTTTTAACCGTTTTGTGCTTACTTTAGAACAGTGTTGGCTTTGCAAATATTTGTCTGGGGTCATCATACATCATGATTAGATTAATTGTATATAAATTATCATACATAAGAATTATATCAATTCAACTTTTTCACTTTATAAATACAATTCAATATTCATATCCACGACGGATTTAACTGGTTTATAATTGCAAATAGTTAAAATACTAGTTAGTGCTATTTCCATCAAATTAGCGCCTTTTTTAAACCGCTAAAAAAAATTTTAGACACCAGACAGACAAAAATCAGACAGACAAAAAATCAGAAGCAACAGACACTAAAAAAATAAAGAAAAAGAGAGAGGAACGGCGGACAGCGGCACTAGCACCATCTTAGCAGCAACATCAAACAGTAGCCAGTCAATAGCAGTATCAAGGTCAAGAATCACCCTGTCAATCACTAGATATCATCAATCTGACACTATTCCAGGTAAACCGATACACTGATACGAAAAAGATTTAAAACCAAACAAGGATTGATTAGTTGAATTATGACAGAATTAAGATCTCCATCCATGATTCCGTCAACCGATTTATCACCTATATCGTCATCTGAATCAACACCAAATAATTCAAGTCAACCACTATCATCATCAGGGATCCCAGTACCTCATCATTCATCATCTTCATTGTCGTCTTCATCATCCATGACTTCCAATAAAAAGAAATCAACTAGAAGATCTGTAGCTTGTAAAAGTTGTCATAGTTTGAAAGTTAAATGTACACCAGCTGATCCTCAAAATCCAGGTGGTACATGTATTCGATGTCAGAATGCAAATAGAAAATGTGAAATTGATTTGAATCAAACTAGAAAAAGAAGAAAAGCTTCTGATTTATTATCTTCAACTTTAAGTAAAGAGAATATAACTATAAATAGCAATGATGAAACATCTAATATTTCAACTATTACAAATACAAAAGTCAATTCGCCTACTTTTAATAATGACAATAACAATGGTACCATTTATATCCCTGGAGTAAGTGTTCCCATCAATCTGGAAGTCAATTCTGACTATGATGCTACCGCTAATAATAATAATAATAATAATGGGTCTAGTCAATCTACAACTAATTCAACAAATACTAGTCCTAAGAAAGAAGAAACATTAGCAAGTTTAAGAAAACAAATCAAATTATTAGAAGCTCAGGTGAAATCTCAACAACAAGAATTACAACATCATCATCATCATCATCAACCACAACCAATTAGACATAATACAAGTAGTGATAGCATATCTGATGCTGGATCACCTCCATTCATTTCTAAAATTGATTTAGAAAGAGAAATCAACGTACTATGTGATAATGCATCAGTATCGAAATTAACTGATTTAACCGATAATTTAAAAATCATTAATGGGAAGAGAACTCAATTATTAAATGATAATAGAGTAATAGATGTTCTTACCTTGGGTATTTTAACCCTTGAAGAAGCTGAAGAAAGATTACAAATCTATAGATCGAAAATTTATGATATTCATCAATTAATTGAAATTCCTCAACATGTTACAGCTCATGAATTAAGTAAACATCAACCATTTTTATTCAATGCTATAATGTCAATCACAAATACTGTTTATCAAAAGGAGATACCCTTAGATAAAGCTTTAAAGATTGATAATGCAGCTTTCCAAACCATTTCTACTGAAGTTATGGTGGCAGGAACTAAATCGGATGAATTAGTTAAAGCATTATTATTATTATGTATTTGGTATAATAGTCCTGAATTATTCAGACAAAGAAGATATCATTTATTAATCAGCATAGGAGTTACCATGTTGCATGATTTAGGTATTGTGGCTAAACCTTATAATAGTTTTAAAACTAGTGAAGCTGGAGTTTCAGTAACGGATAATTCAAATAATAAGAAACTGACTCCTCATTATCAAAGTCTTGTATTAATAACTTATTTCACAGCTGTTAGTATTTGTCTTATATTGAAAAGAACCATTTATGTGAAATGGACTCCATATGTCGAAGAATGTTGTTCAAGTTTGGAGAATCAACCAGAAGCAAGATGGACTGAATTAGCTTTATTTGCTAGATTAACGCATACTTTAGATAAAATTCATCATGTAGTTCATGCTCCTGAAATTGCCGAACGGAAAATCTCAACTTCACAATATATCATTCATGAATTTCAAAAGAATTTATCATTAATAAGATCGAATATTAAACCTGAAGATCATGCCACTATGGCATTTTATTATTCAGTTGAAGCTTATCTACATGAACCTTGTTTATCGAATATTTTCGTGGCGGATGCTGAACCGGATAATACAAAATTAACTGAAACTTCAGCTAAATCAATTTCAAATTGTACAAATAGTTGTTTGAATGCTTTAGATGAATTTAATCATTTAACCCCTGAACAAGTTGCTTCTATTCCATTATTTTATGGTTCAAGAATTATTTATACTGCTGGTATGTTATTAAGATTAAGATATCTTATTTTATCGTTACCATCTCATATTGAAAAGGATTTAGTTCCATATCATGCTATAAATGCCATTCAAAAAGCTAATAGATTATTAGATGAAACCAGTAAACTTCATACCGTGAATCATTTCTTAAAAAAGACAAGATTAGTCTTACAATTATTTATTCAAACTTATGCTACTCAAGTTCAAGAATTAATTAAAAAGAATGGTGAAACCCCTCAAAATTTCAAACCGATAGTAATGCCCAAGAAAGTATTGAATACTCTTGATAAATTAACGGCATTTTATCGTGCCCATCATGGTAATGCTCCCAACACTCTTATAAATGATGATATTGTTAATTCAAATCCTCCTATTGATGTATTTGGTTATGGATCAACATTCAGAAGAGATAATAAAACTAGTAATATTCGAAAATCTCAAGCAGATAATTCAACAGATCGTAGAGCTTCAAGTGTGGGTGGATCTCCTAGATCGGATAGTTTTGCAATTGATAATAATGGAAATGGTACCAATACTCATATTAATAATAATCAACCTTTTAGTCCATCACCTTTAAATCAACATTCTGGTATAAGTATTATCCCACCTTTAGTTCCAAAGAATTCTTCATTAGCAAATAATATTCCTATAACTTTACCACCCCCAAATTCACAAGCTATGATGAGTTCAGAAAGTACAAATATTCCTATAATTCCACGGAACCAAGCTGGAGTTCAATCATTTCCTTCCATGTATAATCAAATTGATAACAACGGGAACAATAATAATTTGATGGCACCTCCATTCCAAACCAATAACGTAAATCAAATGTCATATAGACAACCATCATTATCAGGAGCATTTCCAAATGTGGCTAATCTTGCTAATGCAGATCAATTAGAAAATTCATTCTTAGCTTTGAATGAAGAATTTTGGGTTGATTTATTAAGTTCTGAATCAGATAGAATCTATTTCTCAAATAATAATCATAATAATGGTCAACTGAATGATGAGGTTTTCTTTATGAGTTAGGTTTAAAAAGTCTTTATGTAGGTTCTTAGACGCTTTAATATTTATTTAATTCAATTCAATTCAATTCAATATATTTATTTATTCAGTAATAATCCATTTTGTAGAAGTTGTTGCTAAATTTTTTCAAAAATGCAACACAATTTAAAATTACCTGTATATAAAAAGTACATCGTATATAATTTTTCAACAGTAATATCTGTCTACACGTATTTATTGAATTCGTCATTAATGATCTAAAGGATGGCAGGGACAGATTCAAAGAAGCAAGTTCATGAAGATCGAGCATCGTTTGGATTGATAGATATCATACGTGTTCTTGGAGGTTTACTTCTTTTAAATGCCTTTTTTTCATGGTGGTTCACATCTTCTTCACTCTGGGGTTATGAAGGTAAATGGCTGAATTTGACTTATATCAATTTCCAATTATCACCATTCAGTCAGTATGTTAACTTGACCCTTGATGAATTGGCTATTTATGATGGAACTAATCCTAATGTTCCGATATATGTGGCAGTTAATGGGAGTGTTTTTGATGTTTCTAGTTCTCCAAAGATTTATGGTCCAAAAGGTACTTATCATAAATTAAGTGGGAAAGATAGTGCAAGAGTCTTCGTTACAGGATGTTTTCAAAAGGATGATGAGTTCACTTATGATTTACGTGGTTTAGATGAAACTGAAATAGAAAATGATATATCTCAATGGAAGCATTTCTTTGAAGATAGTGATAAATATTGGTATGTCGGTACTGTTCAACATGAGCCATTAACTGGTGAACCACCAGAACCTTGTGAACATGTAAAATTCCCAGGATATCATAATAGAGGTAATAACCACAAACATAAGCATACATGATAAGATTTAAGAATATATTTTTCCGTTAAAGAGTGTCTATATATATATTTATTTATTAGATTTATAAATTTATGATGATGAGGCAATGTCTAAACTTTTTTGTAAAACATCTAATAATTCTTCTGGATCTTCTAACCCAATACTGATTCTAATTAAATTACGATCAACTTCCCATTTAGCTACTTCATCTAATTCTTGATAATGTGCCAATATAGCATATGGACAAGCTAATGTGAAATTCGTTCCTAATGAAGGACCCTTATGTAAATTTACTGCATTAAAGAAATGAACTGCGTGATCCGGATTATGAAAAAGAAATGACATTAAACCACCATATCCTCCATTTGGAGTCTTAATAGCTTCATAATAAGGTCTGGTACTTCCAATATATGGATGATATACTTTAGAAATCAATGGACTGTCTTGTAATAATTTTACAACTTTTAATGAGGTTTGATCAATTTTTGCAGCTCTCTCAGCAAAATCTCGAGAATTTCTTTCTAACCATAATGCATCTTCAGCCCAGAATAAATCTTCATATTCTTCATCAAAGAATTGTTTAAGGGATGGATATAATGGAGACAGAGGATTTAATACAATAGAACCAGCCATTACATTTGAATCACCTGAAAATACTTTAGTTAAGGAAGATGCCACAATATCTGCAAATGGTAAGACATGAATATTTAAAAAGTTACCCACAGTTTCATCTATAACAATGGCAAACCTATATTTATCAGCAAGACTTCTAAGACGTTTTAAATCAGGAGTCTTTAATAATGGATTGGATGGACATTCACAGAATAATGCCATAATGTTGAATTCCCCACTTTCTAATTTTTCTTCTAATTCATCTAATGAATTATCATCCCCTAATCCTAAGAAATGAACTCCAGGACCGAATTTTTTAAGAATATTAAGAGTATCAACATATGGGAATCCAAAACAAACGGATTTCTTAGGTCCTTCTGTACTAATTTTTAATAATGCATGATGAGAAAAGAAAATAGATGCCATACCAGAAGGGAATAAATAAACATCAGTTTCACTAACATTCTTACCTCTACGAGCCTTTTCCATTTCTTCCTTTTGACTATGAGATTTATCAACTTTACCTGAAATTCTTCTTCTCAATGCAATCTTAGCTTCTTTAGCAAATTTTAAATCTAAAACTCTACCATATTTTTGTTCAATAAATGTATTGAATTCTTTTTCAACTTCTTCATGAGCAACCATACTTGATGATCTGAATGATGCAGAAATAGATGGTGATTTCTGTTGAATCCTTTGAGCTTGAACTTCTTGTCTTGTAGCCCCTAATTGATTATTAGAAGGTGGAGAAGGACTTCTTGTACTATCAATATTATTAAATAATGCTTTTAACACATACTCACCCATTCTTGAACTTATACCTTCACCTGAATGTTGCCAATAGTTCTTAGCTAATGGGAATTGACTAGCTGGGAAAAACACTACTCCAATAGTGGATTGTATAATGGTTGATTTTTCTTCTTCATCAGCAGGAGGTGGAGTACTTAATTGCAAAACTCTAACAAATAATCCTTCTAAATCACTCTTTGATTTTATAAACTCTCTGCATCTCTTGGCTACTTTATAAGAAGGGAAGATCATACATCTTTCGCCTTCTCTACCATATTTGGATTCGATCTTTTGCGATAATGTCTTAATCACAGCATGAATGAAAAATCTTGGATATCCGGTAATCATCTTACTTACTACCCAATCTTCTCCTTCTTCATACCCCACAGTGGCTTCCCAAGTTGGTAAAGTGACAGAGACAGCATGAGGGATGTTTGGGATTGGTAACCCTATTTCTTGAGATGGCATTCTGGTCTTTATATGAAATGTCTATCTGTATCTATCGTAATTTTAAACTATGACAAATATTTAAAGATCTCCAATCTTTTTTGTAGTGAACAAAATTTGAGTCATGGACGGTTGAAAAAAAAAAATTGCGACATCAATTTAAAGATGCTACAGATTATTAAAACAGTTTCAGTAAAAGCCTGTAGAATATATTTTTGGTATTTAAATAGAATTACAGTAACTAGATTTATCTATAAAGGAGTGGATTATATGCAAGGTATCGTTGTTAATAAAAATAGCAAATTTGTTTGTTCGAACTAGAACACTAATCATCATGTTTGATATGAGTTAGTTATTATTATTGATGAATAGTTATAGTTCTTTGGTTTTGATTTATGATCTTTATGTTTAATTTATTTTATTTTTTATGATATTGAATATGTTTTACAATATTATGATTTAATACAATTTATAGCACCTTCCTTAAGAAGCTCTATATCAGTAGCACCAACAGCTTTACCATTGGAATTACCATTTAATTTTGTTGAACCATTTGGAGTGGCTGAAGCAGTAGTAGTGATAGCAGCAGTAGCAGTAGTAGCAGAACCATTCGAAACTGGAGCTGGAGCAGCAGCAACACCACCTTTACGATTATGTTGCATATGAGATTGGACTAAATGACCAGCAGCTAAGGCTGAACAAAGAGAAAGTTCAGCAGCTAATACAGTAGATGCAACAATACGAGCAAGTTGTCTTGCATTATCACCAGGATTAGTTGGATGTGGACCACGAACACCTAATAAATCTAACATAGCACCTTGTGGATCTAAGATAGTACCACCACCGATAGTACCAACTTCAATAGATGGCATCGATACCGATACTTGTAAATCACCATTCACATTATTCATTAAGGTTATACAATTTGATGATTCAACATTTTGAGCAGGATCTTGACCACAAGCTAAAAATACAGCAGTAACTAAATTAGCAGCATGAGCATTGAAACCACCAATTGAACCAGCCATAGCAGAACCAATTAAATTCTTACTAATATTTAATTCAACTAATGCATTAACATCAGATTTAAGAACTTTTTGAACCACTTCAGCTGGAATTCTGGCTTCAGCAACAACAGATTTACCTCTACCTTCAATCCAATTAATAGCAGCTGCTTTTTTATCAGTACAATAATTACCTGATAATGAAATAACATCCATATCATCCCAACCACATTCTTCAACCATATATTTAAGAGAATATTCAACCCCTTTTGAAATCATATTCATACCCATAGCATCACCAGTAGTGGTTCTAAAACGAATGAATAATAAAGTTCCTGCCATGGCAGTTTGAACATGTTGTAATCTGGCGAATCTTGAAGTAGAATTGAATGCTTTTTTAAGGGTTTTTTGACCATCTTCAGAATCAATCCAAAGTTTAGCAGCACCAGCTCTTAATAATGAAGGGAATGAAACACATGGACCTCTAGTCATACCATCTTGAGTTAAAACAGTTTGAACCCCTCCTCCAGCATTAATAGCTTTACAACCACGCATAGTTGAAGCCACTAAACAACCTTCAGTAGTAGCCATTGGAATATGATATGGTTTACCATCAATTAATAATGGACCAGCCACACCAACTGGAATTGGCATGAAACCAATGACATTTTCACAACAAGCTCCAAACACACGATCATAATCATAATGTTCATAAGGTAAACGATCAGTATCTAATACTGGGGCATTACTTAATTTGGCAATAGCTTTTCTTCTTACAACCACAGCTCTAGTATTATCAGCTAATTGTTTTTCTAAAGCATATAATGGTAATTTTCCTGCTACGACTAATGATGAAACTTCATTATCAGTTAATGATTTAACTTTACCTTCTTTTAATTTGGCAATACATTCATCAAGAGGAAGTTGTTTACTTGGAGCAGAGATAATCAATTCATCACTTGAACTATCATCATCTTCAACCACAATTGTTGATGAACTCTTTGAAGATGGGGCTTTGGAAGATGCTGATAATGGAGTAAGTGGGGTGATTGGAGATGATGGAGATGATAATGAAAGGGTATTTTTTCTTGATTTTGGTCTTGAGATTTCCTTTTCTAATAATTTATTATTGGCTGAAACTTGAACTCTTGAAGCATTTAAGAAATAAGCATTAGTACTAATTGAAATAGCAAATGCAAATAATAAGAATTTTGAAATTAAACTATCTTGAATAGCATGACTTATTTTTTCTAAGATGAAAAAGATGTTTTCTTCAACAATGATTAAAGTACCTAATGGCATATAAGTTCTTGGTGATAAAACGGTAACGATAGTACCGTTAGAAGATACAGTTATATGTTTAACAGCTGATTTTGATAAACTTGGGGAATTGGAAAAGATTGATTCAGATGGATTTGAAGTTGAAGAATATAACCATGAACTTCCAAACCAGAAAACATGAATGGCAAGATAAGTTGCAACCATGGCTACTTTGAAAGATACAATGGAAGAATCAGTCTTGGTAAACATATTTGAATCATGAGGATGAGAAATACTTGAAGCTTGATCGGCAACTTTTTGAGCCACTAATGAAGAAATACCTTCTTCTTCTAAAGCATCTTTTAAATCTTCAGTTCTTCTTGCTCTATTAATTTCAATCTTTAAAGCTAAAATAGCACTGAAAAAAGTATAAACTAATAATAAATCAATTGATAAGATTAAGGCTCCTAAGATACAGAAATTCTTTAAACCAACTAAATGAGGAGCATAACCAGCAATAACAATTAAAACCCCAATAACAGCGACATGATCTCTTAACATACTTACAGTATGAGAAGTAATAACACTTGAAACAATGGTTTTAACATCAAGAGATGAATTTGAAGCTCTTTGAACTTCAGAAGCAATAGAAACTTTATGTTTGAAACCAATAATAGCCACTAAGAAAGGAATACCTTCTGATAAACTAATTAAAGGAACTTTAATTTCTAATATTTTAGTAGTTGCAACCAATGCGAAAAGAAAAGCAAAAGTTGATGATATTATAGTTGAAAATGCTAACCAAAAATTTGAACCAACTTTTCTCATATCTAAAAATACTTTTATAATAGTATACCACATTGAAAGATATGCTACTGTTATTAAAAGAATATCAAAACTTTCAGCATTTTTAATTAAATCATTAATTTTAACAATGGCATTCTTAAGATATTCATAATATTTGGTAATAGGATTATTATTTCTAGCTTTCCAAGTGATTCCCTTATAAGTAATGGTATTTATCGATTGTAAATGAGATTGAATTTGATCAGTTGGTAAAATTAAGATTCTTTCATTTTGATTTAAACTTTGATAACTATGATCAATAGTTGGGATATTTTGATCATTATTATGAACTTTTCTAAATCTTAATGGAGCTATAGTGATTTGATTGGCATTAGGATATTGAGTAATATCATCAATTTGAATCCAATTTTTATAGTCTGTTGAACCAGGTGGGTGATAATAATTTATACCTACTGAAATATTATTTGGGTTTGATAAATTTTCAGGAACATATTCATCAACCACAGATAAATAAGCAATGGTGGCTAGCAAGGCTGTGACTATGATGAAATGTATAGGTCTATGTGCTGACGTAGTAGCCAAGGCACTAGTTGCTTTAGTAATGAAACCAAGCATGGTTATGGCGTTGTATCTAAAATGTGAAACCTTTTGAATTTGGGCTGTAAAAAAAATAGAATGAGTTAGTAATGGCGATCAATGGGGTATAATTGCCTTAAATGAAAGAAATTGGATACTGACCTGTTTAAGCAGTAGATACGTATGACACCTGAAACGTAGAAATGGCCCTATAATCAATCAATCAATCAATATGTTTCAAAATAATAGAAATTGTCAAGCTTTTACAAATGACGAAATCTGTATTTGGTAAAACCCAAAAATTCTTTTTTTTTTTTGTCGTTCTTTTTTGATGCTCATAAATAATTTTTTTATACGACAGAATCGTATAACAATTTTTAGACGCGCCTCACCAGTGGGAAGGTACAACTACAGCTGTTAGGTTATGAATTAATCATCATTTACTATGTGTGGTTTATTTTATATATATATATATGTAACATTATGAGAGAGTATAAGTAAGTAAGTAATAAAAACAATGGACTAATCTAAACATGCCTCTTTTTTTTTTAAGAATTCTTTGTAGGATTCAATCCTGAAATAAATAAATAAGTAATTAATTAACTCTTAGTAACTTATTTTAAAGAAACTAATTTAATATCAAAGGTTAATTCAGAGTTGGCTGGAATACCTGGAAGAGCTTGAGATCCATAACCCATCTTGGCTGGGATAACAACTCTTCTTTCTCCTCCAATGGCCATACCAGCAACACCTAAATCAAAACCTTTAATACATTCACCTTTACCTAAATTGAATGAAAATGGTTTACCATTGGTGTTTTTATCAAAGACTTTACCATTCTTTAATTTACCAATATATCTAATCCCAACTTTATTACCACCTTTGGCAGTAGTACCTTTACCGACTTTTCTATCTTCAGTAACAACACCACCTAAAAGAGTTTTGGTTGGATATTTCTTAGATTCATCTTTTTTGGATTCAGCTTTCTTAGATTCAGCTTCAACTGGTGCAGCTGATTCTTTCTTTTCAGCAGCGGCAGCAGCAGCCTTTTCAGCCTTTTGTCTTTGTTTTCTTTCCTTTTTGGTTTCTTTCTTTTCAGTTAATGATGAACCAGTTGGACCTTGTTCTAATTCTTTAGTGAATTGAACGGATTTTTCCTTTTTAGATTTCTTTGGTTCTGATTCTTCTTCATCATCATCTTCTTCTTCTTCATCTTCTTCAACTTCTTCAATGGATCTCTTTTTACCATTCTTAAGATCTTTACCAATTAATTCTTCAATCTTAGCCACGACATCTTCTTCATTTTCTAAATCTTCTAAATCATATTCTTCCCCATCGATTAATTCATCTTCATCTGGAGTTAAGTTATATTCATCATCTTCATCGTCATCTTCATAATAATCATCTTCATCTTCATCATCTTCATCAGCTGGATGTTCGACGTAATTACCACTTAAATGAATTGGGTATGAACCAGTAACGACAAAGTAAACTTCTTCATCTGGGTTAATGGTGATATCAATGGTTTGTTGGAATTGAACTTTTGGAGATAAAGTACAAACAATGAATTCAGAAACACCATCTTCCTCTTCATCATCTTCTTCATCTTCATCATCTTCTTCTTCTTCTTCTTCGTCTTCCTCAGCTTCTTCAGCTTCCTCATCTTTAAGTTCTTCAACTTTCTTGGCAAGTTCTTCATCATCTAATTCATCTAAATCATCTTCATCATCTTCATCTTCATCGTCTTCATCATCAAAGTCATCTTCATCATCATCAATGAAAGGATTGGTTTTCTTTAATAATCTTAAAGTTGATGGTTCAGCTTTATCATCAACAGCTTCAGGATCAACAGCAGCTAAAGTGATTCTAATAGTAACAGGATAGTCATCCTCAATAGCTGGGATTGGGTTGAATGGCTTAAGAGCCAAGTTATAAGTGGAAATAGGAATCAAACTAGCCATTGTGATAGTTATTTCTTGTGTAATTGCTAGAGAATTAAGAAAGAATTGGTCTATATGAAACTAACTCTATAATTTTTTTTTCATTGCAAGTCATCGCTCACGTTGGTTATTTTTTTGGTGTACTAAATTTATATGCAGCATATTTTTAGTATGTGTATAAGCTAAATTGCAGCCTTTGCAAGGTAGATGATATCATTTGGAGGAGGAACATTGCAATAGTAGATGGTACTGATTATTGATATGCTGTTATTCGGGAATATTGATCGAACCAGATGAACCTTTACAATGGAATGTCTCGGTATTATATGAAGAACTGCAACTGTAGGGTGATGAGTAACCAACTACTCCAGATTACACTTCGGAGTCAGTGATAGTGATATCACCTTCGAGGAAGACTATCAGTCTGTGTGTGTGTAAGCCTTTAATCGTAAATCCAACAGCAACTTTCTATAACAGCCTGATAAAGAAACAACAGGTGAAGTAAATGACTTATCTAACTTAATATCACATGGTTCAAATCAACCACCGTTTCACGTACTACACCATCTACAAGGTTAAAACAAAGTTATATTATCGTTTGAAATGTATTAAATATACAAAGAGAAAAAGATGATTACACCGCCATTAAATAATATTAACAAAATGGACTTTATTTCAAAGAAACATTAACAAAAATATCCTTTTATGAGCGATATATATATATATGGATTTGTATTTGAAGTTTGGAGGGGGGATGGGGGGATTTATTTAATTAAAAACTTTAAACTAAGTAGTTATTATTATCTTTTGATTAATTTAAAATTTTAATAAATGAGGACGATCACCGTTCTTTAATGAGAAAGAAGCAGCTAAATATTGTTTTAATAATGGAGTTTTCTTAATTTCAGATAATAAAGCAGCATCAACTAATTTTTGATCTTCAATTCTTTCAGCTTTAATTTCTTTCTTTGGTTGAGCTTCATTAAATAAATCAGCTTCAGATTTTTTAGATCTTGGAGTTTTTTCTCTAGCGAAATATTCAACATTGAATTTAGAGACATCAACACCTTCAACACCAACCTTGGTAGAGGTGGCGATAACGTATCTGGCGTTAACTCTTCTTAATGGGACACCATTGACTTTGAATGGACCAGAAACTAATAAAGTGTTATCTTCTAAGTTCTTTAAGTAAACAACTCTTTTACCTCTGAATCTACCAGCTAATAAAATTAAAACGGTACCTGGAACTAAAGAGGCACGTAATTTTTGTGGACGAGAAGTCTTTCTAGTTTGTTTTGGGACTGGAACGTCTTCGGTGTTGTACCACTTTGGAGCCTATAAAAAGTAAAAAAGTTAGTATAATGGGTTAAAGTAAAATTTTATATGAAATATTCTCATCACTAGGTTAAATACGGTGGATATGAGTAGTTGGTTGCGGATGGAATGATTTATGTGAATGATATGATAGTTAGTTTGTTAGTTAGTTAGTTATATGGTTGAATGATATTGAATTTGAATGGTGGTGGATATGAATCTCTTTTGACTGCATCGATAGTGGTTTATAAAATGGTTAAAAAATGTTTAAATCGAAAATGAAAAGTTGGAGGAAGAACATAGTTGAAATGAAATGATGTTAAATTATACCATTAAACTGTAGTAGTGTTGATATTCATTCATTACTTAAATGGTTATGATGATATTCTTATGATTGTAAAATTTTATTGATTGATTAATAGTTGAGTTTCAAACGATATGATAAATGGTTAACTCTGATTCTTGAAAGGATATAACCTAGGGGTATCATTCTAGTGATGGTAATACTTCATTCTTATAAGCTATAACATACAATTTGGCTCATTTTGATCTAGTTTATTGGTGATATGATTAACAAATTATGTAAAAGTATATAAAAATCACTTTATAAATTTTTTTCATTAATGGTATTTGGAACTCTCTCATTCTCTCACTCTGTCAGTCTTCATACTGTTTCTCTCAAAATTTGTTTCTTCTCCTGTATATAATCAGAGGTCTCATAGTTAATTTATGTGGGAGTAGTGCGCTGGTTAGATTTTTATTTGTCACGTGTCAGGCGAAAACAGTCACACGTCACATGGCTCAGATTTCGGTGGGTCTCGTCCTGTATGTAACCGTCAATTTATATACAGGATATGGTTCTGTAAATGGTAATTGCACCCAAAAAAACAGGGTCCTCAATCTCTGTCTCTCATAATTACATAATATATATATCCCTAATTTACATCTCTACCCATCAACCATTCTTACACAATTAATGTAAATTAAAAACAACTAAAAGACTTAATAATAAAACAAAATAAAATAAAAATTATACAATTAACATAAAAAAAAAGAAATCAGAAAGTAAACTAAGAGAGTTACTTCCCTTTTTTTGAATTAGTTTCGATAGGGTTTGATCTGTGTCTCGAAATAATAATAATAATAATAAACATAAACAAATGTAAAATAATAATAATTCTCTCCACTAAGTATAATACTTAATGTTCAAAGTTAAAGTAGCATTACCGATTTTAACATTAAGATTCTCACTCTTATTAAGAACTTCTTCTAATGGTAATGTGGCAGTACCTAATAATTGACTCTTACCAAAAGTATGATGTTCCTTTAATTGAAATTGAAGTTCTCCTTGAAGAGTAGATTTAAATGGTACACTTTCATTCCATTTTAATACATCACTTCCCTTTTCAACTTTAGTTGGTCTAGTTTTATATAATTCTCTTTCACGAGTTGATGTCTTTAAAATGGCTTTAGCTTCAATTGACGCTGATGTAGATAATCCAGAAGCAGATATAATACTAATTCTACCTGGAATAGCTTCTGGCCCATTGATACTAGCAACAAAACTCATAGCATCACTTGATCCACTGGCATTTCTACTATGATTGAATGATGGTCTTTGAGGAGCTGTTAAACCTTCAGCAGCTAAACCAGCGGCAGCAGGGGTTGGATGTCCTGATCTTAAACTTTGTAAATCATTAGCATATTGTGATTTAGGTGTACCTGGTTCAACCAATGTACCTTTACTACTCTTGGATGGTGTAGTGGGTGGTATACTTGTCACTGATGAATTATCATTAGTACTATCAAAACTACTATTAAAATCATCAGAATCATCTCCATTCAATTTCTTAGATGATGACTTTTTCAGTCTACCAAATCCTCGAAGAAATGATCCTCCTTTATTAACCCCATCAGTTGCAAATCCCATCCCCTTGGTAAGTCCATCAGTAGCTAATCCAGCTCCAGCTCCTAAGGCATTACCTGCCATATCAGCCGCACCTCCAACCATTTGTAATGGAACTCCAGCAACTGCTCCCAAATTAACTATTGAACCCTTGGCAACACCTAATTTTGGTCTAATATATTCGGGTTTGAAAGTAGCTTTTAAATTCACTGTACCTTGAGTATCAAGTTTAACTGGTACATTGGTAGTAGTTAATGGAACAAGGTTAGATAAATCAATAATACCTTTACCTAAACTACGAGAATCATGAGTTAAATCCCAATCAAATAATTCCACAATCAAAACTTGTCTTGATCTTGATAATATTGGGAAATTGGTAGATTCATTCCAAACTGGATCCAATGTTTTCTTTTGTTTATCAGTCCTGAATACTTCAATCGCATCAAGACTAATCACAGCAAATGGATCGGATTTACCATTGGAATCAACCGATTTAATACCATTAGCACCAACTACATCAAGTTTAACATATCCAACATCTAATACAGTATCAAATGGAGCTAATTTAACATCGGATGGAGTGAAATCAAGTTGAACTTTGATGGAATTAGTTTCATTGATTTTCAATGTGATTGGTTGAGCATATGATTTCTTTAAAATATCAAGAGTATCAAATGATCTTTCAGCAAGAATATCAGTTTGATAATTAACTTCGGATTTAGTGGCAATTCTAAAGATTAATTTAGAATGAGGTAAATCTCTGACAAATCCTTCCCCAGTTGATGATGAATCTAACACTTTACCATTGGATTTAGTAGACACAACGGAAGAATAAGCATGATCATCGAATAAGGCATGAGCGATAACATCAGCCTTATCGAATCTACCTCCTAATAAATGAACCGTAACGGCACCAGCCCTATATTTAATAGCTTCTTCTAATGACATTTCTTTCTTTTCGGGTTCTGGTAAGTTATCACCTTCAATGTCAACCCATTCATATTCATTTGGTTTTTCTTTAAAGAGTTTTTCATCAGCTTCTTTCTTCTTTTGTTCTTGAAGTTGTTTTTCTTTGAATTCGGCAATATAAGCAGCTTTATTAACCAATTCACTATGAGTATAAATTGGAATGGTTGGAATAAAAGAAACAGAATATGATAAAACACCAGTTGGTGTTTTGTTATAGATAACTGGTTGTTCAATGATTTCTTCTGAACCATCATAAGCTAAGAAATAACCCTTTTCGTCTCTCTTTAAGAAATCATTGATATTAATAGCTGCAGTACCTAATGATCTATCCTTACCTTCTGGTTCAGCATCCATAATTTGAAGTAAATAATGTTGATGTTCATTGGCAACTGGTAAGAAATAAGTCGAATTAAACACGGGATCAGTAGTTTCGAGGAACGTAGAAGTTCTGGCTCTTAATTTACCATTTAATAACACTCTAACATATGGATCAACTTTACCGACTGCTTCTAAATTCTTAAGAGACTTGGCGGAACGTAAATGTAATCTTAAACCACCAATAGATGATCTATGACGGGATTTCACAACGGAATCATCAGTCATACTTAAGGCTTTCCAACCAGCTGTGATTCTAACTTGTGGCTTAACCCCATTTTCTTTAAGTGGAGGAGTTGTAATCCATTCTTGACCTCTATTAGTTTCAAAGATTAAATCTTGTAAATTAGCATCTAATTTGCCGACAATATTATTATCAACTGAATCTTTAATTAATACTTGAATATGAGTTTCTGATTGTTGAGTGATTAAACTTTCAAATCCTTGATCCCATGAAGGTTCATTAGTTTGTCTTAATCTACGACAAGTTTTAACTAATTCATTATTAATATAAATTTCAGCATATGGATTTAATAACCCAAGGAATGATTCAGAAATATCTAAATCTCTAGCTTCATGTAAGTTCAATTTCAAAATACCAATTTCAGCATCAGCAACAGGTTCTTTAGAACCATCTTCTAATTCAATAGGAGGTAAAGTTGGGAAATATCTGACATCAAATTCAATCTTACCCACAGCTTTACCACCTTCAGTGATATTTCTAACTAAATCAGTTTGGATTTCTTCTTGTAATAAATCAGCTAAGGAGAATTCAGTATTACCAATCAATTGATCATCAGCTTTATCTTCAAGTAAATGGAATACATTGAAATTAATCTTATTAGCATTTAAAGCATTCACTAAAAGATATTTGGTTTCATTATAAACTGGATCATTGATTAATTTCTTAACTTTAGTTCTTTCTTCAATTTCATAATTATTAGCCACTTTAATTTGAACATATGGATTAATACTATTTGGTTTAGTAGTTGCACCTGTTTTTAATTTAGTTAATCTTTTAATAGTAACAGCCACTACCCCAATTGAATCATTTGATTGTTGAGCTAAGATTTCTTCTACATCGACATCAAAATGATTTGGAGCGTAAAACATTGGTTTTAAAGTACCATGAATAATACCATTAACAAAGGATGATAAACCTGGAATAAAAGTCATAATATCAATACCAAAGGTATCACCACCAACTGGTTTGAAACTATAAGCAATGGTTGGAGCTTCTAAGAATTGAGCTGAAACGATTTTAACATGAGGGAAATTTTGAGATAAAGTTAATTTAATCTTTAATCTACCCACACATGACATATCTTCCACTAAGAAAGGAATTGATTTGGAAATAAAAGCTTTACCAATAGTAACCCCCACGGCAACTTTTGGAAGAATTTGTTTTTGAATTTCATTTTTAGTCATATCACCAGTATCATTTGGAGCAAATGAAAATGACCAATCCATTTCAATAATATCATTAGCTCTTTTTGGATAAGATTTGATTGCATTAATTCTTGGAGCTTTTGAACCTAAAGTGAATTCATCTAAAGATACAGCTTCAATACCATAACCTGGAGCAGCACCTTCTAAAATGGCTTTAGCTTGAAACATAACTTGTTCAGATAAAGCAGGCATATAAATAACCCAAAATTTATCCAAGAATGAATTTAACCATTCCATAGTTTCAACTTCACTATCAATACGATTATTAGCATGGATTCTAGTTAAATCATCTCTTATATCTCTATTGAATCTTCTGAATTCCAATCTATACACGGAATTAGTGACTAATAACACAATTCCAAGTGATAAGAATCCACCACCAATTCTGGCCACAAACCAAGAAAAGAAACAAGTTCCGATTATTAACGAACAATTCCAATACCAATCACCATAGAAATGATCAGTGATATAAGTTTCAACATTCTTAATGTTTTTTAAAGAAGCTTCTTTATCTGAACTTGATTGAACATCCCAAGGACCCACATTTTCCCAAGAGAAAGTTGCATTATCTCTTATTTTAGACTTTTTGATAGGTGGAGGAGGAGGTAAATCCTTTGGAGATTCAGTTTTGATATCGGTATGAGGTTTTAAAGCTTGAGGTTTTTCACTTTCAATTGGTGGTTTTATGATGTTATTCAAATCTTTCTTCACCTCAGCGTTATGAGCTTGAGCATCCTCTATAGCATTTGGATCTAGAGTTGGAACTACTGCTGCCCCATTTCCATGCGGTTTAACTTCTGACATAGTTGACAATCACTAGAAGAAGATATAGTTAGTATAAGAAGATTGATGATAAATGGTGTGTGTCAATGGCAATGGCTGTCAATATGATTATTCAAAACCACCTGGGGGGAATGGAATAACTGAAATTTGGTGCGAGATGGTATATTTTAGACAGACAGACAGCCAAGGCTGGAAAAAGGGGGACCACCACGCGATTGAATACATACGATAAGCAATTGATCAGTTTAATGACAGTTAACTTGACAATTGGAGATTAAACCAACAGTTAAGTATACCAAAGATTATCGAAATCAAAGTAAAGTAAAATAAAATATAAATTCCAATTTGGAATGATAGTTTGAATTTGAACTGAATTGATTGTTCTTTTTGGGTTTGTTATTTTTAGTGTCAGCCCCGAGAGAAATTACAGTTTACATAAGGGTAACTTGTAAATCTGGCCTTAACCTGTAAAATGTTCCCCCTGATTAACTCATCAACCTGAAATTCGCTGCGTCGTTATGATTTAGGGGGCCCACAAAAATAATACATCTGATGGGTGAATTTACAGGTTAGGAGGATCGATTTTTATTCTATTATACGAAACATCAGTTGTTGTTGCAAGAGCAATTATTTGATAGTAGTAAGTAGTTACATCTATGTGTAAATGTTATCTATGTATCATTATTAAGTACTTTTACCTCTATATTATCTCCCCTATGCAATCATCAGTATCAGGTTAAGGGATAAATTTTATAGTTACCTTACATAATTTGATTTCAGTTGATGCGAAATTATGTCAAATATGCTTTTTGGTTAGTGATAACTACCATAAATTATCAAATTTACAATAATTATAGCAAACAACCAACGTAAACATTGGTATACCTGTATTATATAAACACTACTATGTATCCTGAAACCATAGAGTGAAATAAGTGACAAAATTGTAAAAGTATCCATTAATCAAAGGTTCAGAATCAGCATCAAAGATGTATGGCAAGAGCTCAAATAATACGCAACAAACCCACAACTATTTGCTACGAAGATATTGAACCAGTGTTAAACCATCTCAATTCTCTGTCTAATGATACCAATCCCATTTTTCAATCAATAATAGATGATTACTTTGCCAATACAGATTTTAAAAACAATCGATTCTTACTGATCTCACTTACGTTGTATCAATTATACACTCTAAGTCTATGTTTACAATGATACAAGGTAGAACAGGAAACTGTTTAAAGAATGGACTTAAAAGAGTTCAAATCCCGTATGCATTTCTTCATAATGCAGGTAATGATACTTATTACACTTTACTATTAGTGATGCGAGACAACTGCTTTCACTTGATGAGATGAAATCATTAGAAATTGATCAACTTATGAATAATCTTTCTTTTGAACCTAAAAAGCATAATGTTGGCGATTTAATAAAGGTAGCTAAATCTGAAGAAGCAGCAACTTTAATGTTTTCTACTTGTTAACTGTTTTTTTATAGTATTATAACAATATGATAAAGTTGTAGTTGTTTGCTCATCTAATTCAATTGATGCGAAATTATGTCAAACGTTTGTTTTTGGATTTAGTACACGCCAATTATTAAGTTTGCTATTAAAGAACTATAATCACTAATTACAAGACTTATCTAGTACTATATTAACTAGTTACTACTATGATTCATTTAATCTTCACTTATCGATTACTCCAAACCATTTGATAATCACACTTATAGAGATAATCGCATAATTCCATATAATCAGTTTATAAAATTTTTTTTTTCAATTGTATATTACACATAAAAAGAAAGTACAAGATAATATAATTTATATTATTATAACTTTATATATTTAGTTTTATTATTTTTTTAAAAATAAGTTTTATGTTTTAAAAATGCTATTCATAGATTGTTTTAATTGATTTGATTGAAAATAAGAGGAAGAAAGAGTACCTCTTATTACCTTTTTAAAATACTTAAACAGTTTCTAAAACAACATCTTTGAAACCTGAAGAAACTTTTTTACCTTTTTCTTCAGATGAACCTTCACCATGTAAAGCTAATAAAGCACCTAAATCGAATTTTGGTTGTTTTAATAATTTAACTTTTCTAATGTGAACATTTTGTAATGGGAAGATAGTTTGAGTTGATTTTTCAATTTCACGACCAATAACTTCTGGAATTAATTTTGAAGTTAATTGAGCTAAAGTAACATTTGAAACTTCTCTTTGCATAATTTCAATCATCTTTTTTCTAACTTCTCTTAATTTTGAAGATTGAGCATAAGTAGTTTTCTTAATTTGATTAGCTTGTCTTTTAGTAAAAGCAATAGCGAAAACTCTTAAAACGTAATCATCAGCAGTTTTAACAGTAACGTTAGCTTCAACTAATGATTGCCATTTTCTAACTAATGATCTAACTTTATCAGAAGTGAAATCTAAACCATGGAAATTGGTTAATAAATTTTTACCTTGAACTTCATCAACTCTTAATTTAATTTTTCTATAAGAGTGGTCTTCAGAACCTTGTAAATCAGCTAAACTGACTTCAACAACACGTCCTTTTAAACCATCGGCGGCATTCTTTAAACCAGTAGATTTGTTAATTAAAGTTTTACCAACAGCTCTATTTTCAAAAGTTGATGGGGCCTTGATATCAAACCATTCTTTTCTGGTGAATGGATCAATGACCTTCTTCTTTAAACCTTTTTTACCCTTGGATAATCTCTTATTCTTACCGACAGCCATGTTGGAAACGTTTAGGTATATAATATGATTGTTTGTAAAAAGCTATATGTTAAAAGAGTTCTTAAACAAATTTACCTAAAATTTTTTTTTTCTCCCTAGAGAATTTTTCGTTCTTGAACTTTGTCTGACTATGTTTAGAATTTGTGGGTAGTAACTCTGTCAGTGTGCGATGTATGGAATTTTTCACGGTTAATTAAAATTTTGTATGACAGAAAATTGAGTTAATTCGCACGACCATAATAAAATGAGATTAACTATGAGAAATGGGGTAATGTACTGTGGCATGGATGTTGGGTTGAATGGACTGTATATTGTCTGATCACATGAAATGGTGGAGAAGTGAGGGCTGGTACCCTAGCACCAATATTTTGTGTCACTTTTAGGATCAAAATGTAAACAAACCACAAATACCAAATCCATAATTAACGAGTTATAGTATCCATTTGATTTAGATCCCAAACTAACGTGTCAATCCATTGCATATCATATCATATCAGATCATATATATACAAACTTATTCCAGTCAAACCATGAATGAACCTCATCATAATCATCAACAGGATCAAAATAACCAGTAAGTAACCAACTAATTCATCGTCAGATCACGTCTGATCTTATACACGTATGATCAATTTACTAACTATAAACACTATCTAGAGTGGCATTGAAAATAGGCCTAATAGGTGACTCCCAAATCGGTAAAACATCCTTAATGGTCAAATATGTCGAAGGTTCATTCGATGAAGATTATATTCAAACTCTTGGAGTAAACTTTATGGATAAGAAAATACAAATCAGAAATACAACTATAACTTTCTCCATTTGGGATTTAGGAGGTCAAAAGGAATTCATCAATATGCTTCCATTAGTATCCAATGATGCCGTCGCTATACTATTTATGTTTGATTTAACTCGAAAATCAACTCTTAATTCAATTAAAGAATGGTATAGACAAGTTAGAGGATTCAATAAAACTGCCATTCCTTTCTTAGTAGGAACAAAATATGATCAATTCATTGATTTATCTTATCAAGATCAAGTTGAAATCACTCAACAAGCTAAGAAATTCGGTCAAGCCATGAAAGCTCCAGTAGTATTCTGTTCAACATCTCATTCTATTAACGTTCAAAAAATATTTAAAATCATATTATCAAAAGCTTTCGATTTACGATTGAATCTAGATGAAATCATCAATATTGGTGAACCAATCCTTATCTACAAACAGTAATCTGTTGTTAATTAATCCATCCCATCCTCTATATAGTCATGACATTCAATTCTATTCTCCACCGTTTTAAACCGACAAGCAAAACTAGACTTTTTGTTTCTTCGTCATTATTTCATATCATACATTTACAAGTAATTCTCTTCTCTTCTGCTTCTTATTCTCCTCTTTCTCCTCCATAAATATCGTATAATCTTTATACTAATTTAATCAACGTAAACTTTAATCATCTTTATAGTCCGATTCATCACTTATTTTGATCTCATTGTGTGTGCGTCCCAATTGGGAAATTTGACGTTTTTGAGTCGCGTTTTACGATTTGTGTGGAATATTAAACATCGAATATCTCCATCTTGACCTTAAATTGACTTGATTAACAGATCAACAGTTTATCAATTGATGAAACAATGGCTGCGAATCAGAAAGACTTTGAAGGATGGGAATTTATATTTGGTGACGGTGGAGATCAATCAAATTCTCGTCCTAGATCAAGAAGAGGGGTCACTGAGGAGTTATCAGTTAGAAGAATAAGTGATGGATTCGAATTAAAACGAGGGGATACAATATTAATCCATCAAGATCGAGATGAATCTACGGAAGTGGCTTTTATCAAAGAATTCAGATTATCTGCTTCTAAATTTTTAGAAATGATTGTTATATGGTTTATACGAAGTAAAGAAATTGATCATCGAAAATTATTGGAAACAAGACATGATACAAGTTATCATGAATATAGAAAAAATGAATTATTCATAACAGCTTATACAAGTGAAGCATATCTTAAAGAAGTTATCGACAAGGTTAATGTGTTATCATTAAAAGATTTTAAAAAGATAGTATTGGATGATTCAACTGCAGATCTGACATATTTATGTAGAAGAGGAAGTGATGGATATAATGATGTGTTTTCACCAGTATTTGATTATAATAGGTTAACATCAAAATTAAATTATGATCCAATTGAGTTTATGAATCATTTAAAATCAATTTGTCTTCCTGAAGCTAGGAGTCATTCTTCTAAAATAAAAAAAGATGAACCAAAAAAGCCTTTATTGAAGATCACTCCTAAGAAAACTGAAAAGGAGAAACCAAAACTGAAATCTAAACCTGATACAACCGCAACCACGTCCAAAGAATCTGAAGTTGGAGGGACAATGAAACAAAAGGAAAGAGGTAAAGAAAAAGAAGCAGAAAAGAATAAAGATAAAGATAGTGAAATAGAGGAGGAAAAAGATGACGATAAAGCTCCAGAAGAAGCAGAAAAAGAGGAAGAAGAAGAAGAGGTTGATGATGATGACGACGAAGATGCTGATATCGATGAAGAAGTGAACGAAGACGATGAAGACGACGAAGAAGAAGAGGAAGAGGAAGAGGAAGAAGAAGCTGACTTCACTCCAAATACAAGATCAAAATTAAGATCAAAGACTAGAACCAAAAGGAAAAGTCCAAGTCCTAAAAAATCGCCCGCTAAAAAAGTCAAACTTCCAAGTGAAATGCTCGAGAGTTTGTTATCACCAAGAAAAGTTAAATCTGGTGGATCTAAACCAGCACCTCTGTCTCTTTCTCCTAAGAAAGGTGGGTCTGGAAAAGTACTTGGAGTTGATTCTACTTCACAAGCCTTTAGGGATATAAAGAGTAAATTACATGCTTCTCATAGAATTGCATCTTTACCAGGAAGAGAAGATGAATATGCTTCACTTTATTTAAATCTTGAATCTGCTATCCAAGAAGAAACTGGATGTTGTATTTATGTAAGTGGTACACCTGGGGTTGGGAAAACTGCTACTGTAAGAGAGGTCATTGCTCAATTAGAAGATTCTACTAAGGCTGGTGATGTAAAAGAATTTGATTATCTTGAAATCAATGGGTTAAAATTATTATCCCCTAATGTCGCCTATGAAGTTCTTTGGCAAAAAATAAGTGGATTAAAAGTAAGTGCATCAAATGCATCTATACTTTTAGAAAAATATTTCAGTGAAAAGGGTGATAGAAAACCATTAGTTATCTTAATGGATGAACTTGATCAAATCGTCACTAAAAAACAAAATGTGATGTATAATTTTTTCAATTGGCCTACTTATGCAAATTCAAAATTAATCGTCATTGCCATTGCTAATACCATGGATTTACCAGAACGTATTCTTTCTAATAAAATATCTTCAAGATTAGGGTTAAGAAGAATTCAATTCATAGGTTATACTTACGAACAATTAGGACATATTATAAAACATAGATTAAGTGAAAGTCAAAAAGTTAATAGAATGAAAGTGGTAGTGAAAGAAGATGCTATTTCATTTGCATCTAGAAAAATTGCTAGTGTTAGTGGTGATGCCAGAAGAGCATTAACTATATGTCGTCGTGGGGTTGAGATCGCAGAGTATGATTTCTTACGAAAGGAAGATAAATCAGATTCAGTTTGTCAAGTTCAAATATCACATATATCAAGAGCAATTAACGAAACGGTTAACTCACCAATAGCAGCGTTCTTAAGTTCATTATCATTTGGTGCGAAGTTGCTTCTTGGAGCCGTTCTTCTTAGAATGAAAAGATCAGGTCTTGCTGAAAATTCTCTTGGTGATATCATTGATGAAATGAATATCTCTATAAAATATTTCATCACGAAAGACAGTAATCATAAAGACTTGGAAAATTTCAATACAAGTTTAGCTGATTTACTTTACGGTAGTGGTCTTGTATATGAAACTGAAGCAGGAATTTCAAATATTAGGATTTATCATTTCAAACAAATTCTAAATGAATTGGTTGAAAATGGTATATTAACCCAACAAAATATATTGAGTGAAAGATATAGACTGATCCATCTTAATGTATCTGAAGAAGAAGTCACTTCAGTATTGAAAAGAGATAAAGAGATGGTGGGATTTTTCTAAAAACCTTAAAATTTCGACAATGGTAGCGCGGTGATGATCTTTACGCAAATTGAAAAATATCAAAAAAAAAATTGATTAGCATTAGGTAAATAGAGTAGCCATTTATAGATAACTAATTACAATACATAATGAGTCATAATATAGACCCAACAGACTACGTGGAGGTAGAATCTGGATCATTAAAATTCCAGGATGAAAGTCAACAAGCAAAATTTGAACTTGGTGTTTGTATGGCAGTTTACAAATGGGATGAATTGAATACAGCCGTGGAAAATTCCTGGGGTGGAGCTAACTCATCAGAGAAGAGAGATTGGATATCTGCTATTGTGATAGAGTTATTCGATGAAAAAGTGGTTGATATACAATTAATCGAGGAAACCTTGTTGTATGCTATGGTTGATGAATTTGATACTGAAGTGGATAATGATTCAGCGTTAGAAATTGCTGCTATAATAATGAAATTCTACAAGGATGTAGGAATCAAAAATTATACAGATATAGAGTTTCTTTACAACAAATATCAAGAAAAACAAGCTAGAGGTGCTTCAAACGTTGCAAAAATTCACATAGAAGAAGATCCAAATAATCCAGATGTATCTGATAGCGAAGAAGACGACGAAGAAGATGAAAATATTCCAACCTTGCATGAAGATTCAATGGATATTGATGAAGAACCTAGCGGTCCAATAGTTGATGACGATGGTTTCGAATTGGTTCAAAAAAAGGGAAGAAAAGGACGTAGATAAACTTCTATATTGGAATCATACATAGACATATATAATATACAGTATCATTTACATGCTAATTGAATTTCTTGGTGTATTACTTCGTGACCGATTAAGGGTATTCAACGAATGAAGACTTGTAACTGAATTCCTACTAGTTCTAGAGAACATTGCTTCTTGTTCTTCAATAGGAGTACTCAATCCTGATGAAATACTGGTCCTACTTGAATTATTTATTCTGAAATCACTGAGTCTTCTAACAAGATGATTTGCCATATCATTGACTCCACCTGGGGTACCTGGAACGGCATGAGTTCCACTCAATCTACCAAATATACCTTCATTATTCGAATTTTCTATCTTGAATAGAGTGACAGAAGTTTGAGACCATTGATTGATAGGCGTAAGAGCATTACTCACCCATTCATTTACCTCAGTATTTTGCTCACTGGTATCTTGTCTCATAAAATAACTAGTAATTTTACTCACTGATGCTATGGAACTTGAAATATTCTTCATGATTTTGCTATTATTACCAGTATAAATCCTAACACTGTCAATTGAGTTATACACTGTAGAATATAATAATGACATATACCAGCCAAGAGATATATGACTCCAGTTGAATTTCAAGGCTTCTAAGGGTGTATCTGGCAAGAAGTCAAAGTTGATTTGACCCTTGTGACTATTTATCAAATCATCAAAATTGGTCTCTTCAATATGTTTTACGAGGACAAAACTATCGATACTTGAACCTTCTCTACTAGACCAAATCTCTTTTAACACAACCTTCAAATGAGGGATTATTATTGTCAAAATAATTCTCAACGCATCATTACCACCCCATGTCCTACTTAGAGGACTCTCCATAGGGAGTTTTTCTTTTGCTCTCTCAGACATACCAGTTGGTGGTCGTGATCTTAATGCTGATGAGACATCTTCAAGTTCAGCATCATCCACATTCCCCACATTTGCCACATTTGTAAATGAAGGGGTTCTAGATAACTCAGGTTCACTATCTGTGAAGTCCACTATTTCTTCTTCTTTATCATCAATTATATTTAATGTGTTCCCATTATAATAATCATTACTAAATCCGTAAACTGTAGTCCACACTTGATCATATACTTTTTCATTTTTAAGTATAGAAAATAATAGCATTCTTGAGGGTTTTGGGTATTTTATAATAGCTGTACATACCGCTCTTATTAAGAACGCTAACAATTCCGGATGCGTTTTCTTCTCTGAAAGAAATGGTTTAGTTGAAAGCTTAGTTATCAACAGTGTTATAGCTGAACAACTAGAGTATGATAACCCTCCCCTTGGGTTTGGATTATATAACTTCTTTTCATTGTCGTTTGGATGGGGAAGTTCCTCATTTGGTGATACCTGCTCGATGAGGTTGTAAAGGATTTCGACATGAGTAGTAAGGAGAAGATTGGAAATATCATTGTGACCACCATTATTACTTAGATTTAAATTTGTAAGAAAGTTGCAAATATGAGTCACTATAAAATCTCTTGTCGTTATTGGAATTGGATTGGTTCTGAAATTGACTGGAAGAGATTCATAAAACTTCAAGTCTATAGGTTCAAAAATCTTTTGAATCAACTCTGGATCTGACGATATATATAACATAAAATAGGATGAAATCCTTACTAAATCCTTATGAGAGGGAATATTATGATAGCTGATAACATTAAAAACACAAGAAATCATTATCTCAGGAATGAATCTTTGTCCCAATGACAGTTTAAAGTTTTTATTACATTGAATTAATTCCCAAATTAACATTATCGTTTCAGTTGCCCATAAGGATGGAGGATTGGTACTTGTTGATTTAATTAAATTGAAATCAGGTTCTTTTATAACATATAGTGGATGTTTTACTATATTAGTTAAGCATGATCCTAGAAAAATCAATTCTTTTTCTTTATGTAATTTCCCCAAATACAATCTCACAGTATTGTACGGCTTTGATGAAGATATAAGTGAATTTGCCACAAGGAATTTGGTATTATCTGAACTTGGAAGGGGATATACTGTCATCATGGTTAACAATTCTACAGAGTAAGTGACACAAAGGTGTCTCATTTCTGTTAATTGACTATTGTTGACAAATACCAAAACATTTTCATCTGATGAACTTCTTGATGATCTACATACTAAGTTCGTCAAAGAACAGACCAAAGTCAACAATTCGATTCTGGGAACACATGTCACAAATAAGGTTAAGAATTTCGACCCTGACGAAACAATATGTGCAGTAGATTGATATAATGAATAAGAACAAAAGGTTAGGATTAACTTCAAGATGTCAGTTCTATTAGAATCTATGATAAGGTTGGGTGAATTATATTTTGAAGCGCCTCCAATACCTGGCTCCCAAAGATCAATCGTTTGATCTCTATCTAAAGTAAATCCTCTAATAAATAACAACTTCACTAAAGCACGGGATATTTTCACAGCAATGATTTCATCTTTATTGGCGGGAGTGATATAGCTTGAATCTTTAACACCATTTATAAACTTTAATGCATTGAACTCAACATTCCAAAAGATTTCAGTTTCTATTTCTTTTTCATATTCTGGTAATTCATATAAGAAAGGGATTATCTTTGTAAGGAAACGAGTACAAGTTAATAATTGAATTATTTGCAATTGAGATGATGGAAACCCTTCTTGATTGGAAAACTCAACTATTTTCTCACATAGCACATATATGAATGTCAAGAAGTTTGCTCTATTCTGATCTCGTATGGTTTTAATATCAAATGGAGTCAATAATTCAAAGATATCATCAGAATTTTGGGGGTCCTTCCATAATGTATCCCAGAAATCAGTTCGATCCGCCGCAATAATACGACCTTGACCTAGTTTGAAGAAATGACTCTTATAGCGCTGTTTCTCTTCAGCACTTTTCATCTCTATATTGATTGTCGCCACAATCCTTCTATGATGTAGTGGGTTGAATTCCTATCTATTCAGTCCGATCCCGTTGAAGGCTATTTGTTAACTTTTCTTTACAGTGTGTGCGCGGCGCTTATTAACTTTAAACCTTTTTTCTTTTTGGGATTTTGATAGTGGGGAAGAAACAGGAAAGGAGGTCTATACACTTTTATCTACATATTAATGATTCATATTGATTCAAACCAACACAAGTTGCAGTTGTTTGCTTGTATATTACAATTCTAACTTTTTATAAACCTAATTAACCCTTCTTGCTTTTGTGGATGATATAGCATCATCTTCTCTTTTGCGTACTGTACCTGCTATAGATGCAAAACCAACATCAACATCCATACCTGCCACAAACTGTGCATCTTGAGGTTCAACTATATCAATTCCTAAATCATCTGCATCTCCTGTCACGAGTGCTTGAACATTATCGTCTAACCATGCTTTGGGCATCTCAAAGGCTGGTGTTCGTATATCAGTGTCTATATTACCAAACTCTTCAGAGTCAGACTCTTCGTCATCGTAATGAAGCGCAGAGCATTTAGATAATGATTCGTAAACTTGTTCTATACTTGGATCTATTGTGCTGAATAATGGGATGATCTGTTGTGCATATGCTTCGTTCTTTATGATATTCAATTCAACTGATGATATAAATTCTGGGTCTTCGTCGCCTGAATTCGATATAAACTCATTTGAAACGATCTGTAAATATAGTTGAGGTAATGGTACCACTGAAGCTGTCTTAATAGCATGTAAGATAACCATCTGATACGGTATTTCTAAACCAACATTAGAATTATTAAACCATATTATTAATGCTGTGTTCAATACAAACAAGGAAATGGCCGAGAAATCAGCAGACATTAACTCTGGACAAAGAACTATCTTACTATATGAGTCTTCATCATCTGGTAATCTTATGGAGAAGGATGAACCTCCTCCATATAAAACAAACTTATCTTCATCATCAAGAGAAAACTTTTCTGGAAATGAATTTTGATAAACTGAGGACGGTATGGTGTTCTCTATGTTGGGTGGTTCAAATAGTAATCTTGGCTTCGGGCTCATCTTATCTAATACTCTATATTATACCAATCCTTATCAATTCTTATAGTTTAAAGTTTTGATGTTGATGTTTTCAGTGTGGCATTTCTTAATTAACCGCTAATTTTTTTTTTTCATGAGGGTCGTGCGTTTTTCTGCTTCAATTTAAAATTAGCTATTGGTAGCGCATATATACTATTAAAATATGAAATGGTTCGGAGTATATATTGCTGAAATAAATAAATAGATAAACTACATATATGTATAAAGAATGTAAATAAAAGTTTTTTAGCAGTCGCTAACATTAACGATTGTTTATTGAATTTTGTGACAAACGTCTTATAAGTTTTTGAACCACCGGATTTGATTGTCCATGTTCGATCTCTTCTCTCACACTTTCTGATCTTTTAAGTTCTCTTTGTCTAGTTTCTTCAGCAGATGGAGGCATGGCTTCATTGATAGCATCGGCCTTCTTAACATCTTCGAATGATGTAAGTGTTCTTTGTAATCCTTCACTACCATGTAATAAAGAACCTCTTGGTAAAACACCACTGTTCAAATTCTTTAAAGTCTTAACATTTTCTGATTCATCACGTAAAACTTGAAACATTCTCGACATTTTACCAATAGCAATGATCTTATTACGTAATTGTTTTCTCTTCTCTTCCAATGTCATTTCTTGTTCTTCCGCTACACCACCTGGCGATGCCATTTCTTGATCAATGGAATTACTATTTTCAATACCAGGAGTGAATCTTTTTAAAATAGAAGATGAAGCAGCTAATGGAGTATCTTCTTCTTCCAACTCTTCTTCAGTACAGATATTCAAGATTGCTAATAACATATCAACAACCTTTTGACCCACGAAAGGTAATGACCAAGTGAAAACATCTTTAAAGTCTGGTAAATAATAAGGATGGGGTGAATTTTCAAATTGTCTAATGTTCATAACTTTTCCATCATATTTCAATACGGCAGCTTTATTATGATAATTATCACAATAATTAGGAGCACTAAATAATGTCAATACAGAAGGAAACATTACCTTTTTAGTTCTCTTATACATACGATAACCAGTACTTTGAGCTTCATGAGCTCGAATTATACATAATAAATTATTTCTTTCCAAGAATTGACATGATGCTTTATAAGTGTATGAGTATGAACAACCTCTCACCACATTTTTTACAAAGTGATGATTACTGCTATCATCATCATATTCTTCAATTGGATCAGACCATATTAAATCACAAAAGAGACCACTATGAGGGGGTTCTTGGAATCTATCGATTCTTTCTATATCTTTTAAAGTCTTTAAATCTGGAGATAAACCACCATGAACACAAAAGAATTGTTGATTCATAATGGCTGCTAATGGTAATGTATTGAATGAAGCTAATGAATCTTGATAAAAGTCCAATGAATATTTATGAACACATTCGGATTTATAAGTAAAATGTTCAGTTAAATGTTCACATTCATGATTTCCTCTTATCATAAAAAGGGTATCAGGATAAGTGATTTTTAATGCGTATAAATAAAGAAGACATTCACAAGAAAAGAATCCTCTATCAACATAATCACCTAAAAATAAATATCTAGTGGTGGCTGGATCTCCCCCAACTTCAAATAATTTCATTAAATCGTAATATTGACCATGGATATCACCACAGACAGTAACAGGGGCTGGAATGTGTAATAAATTTGGTTCCTGACTAAGTATTTTACCGGCCGCTTTAATAATTTTGGTTGCATGTTTTATATCCAATCTACCTTGACGGATGAAATGATTCTTTATAAAGTCACAATTAGGCAATCCATTAGGTAAAAACACTTGTTCTTCAGTTGGAATATAATCTACTGGGTATTCAACATCTTTCATATATCTTTCCTTGGTGGATTTTTCTTCTCCACTCTCCGTGATATACACGTCGTACCTTCTATTGTTATTCGCAGGTTGTTCATTCAAAGCATCTAATGCATTCTTGATCTGCTGTGAGTCAGACACTTCTCTTTGGGGTGCCATTGGATCTAGTCCTGATTGAATGGATAAATATAGTGATGGGTGTTCAAAAAAGTGTCGATCTTAACGTTGAGATGGAAGTTAAAATTTAAACTCAGTTGATCAACCAAAAAAAAAAGGAATTTAACTTTTTTCTCGACTTACTAAGAATAGAGATAACGAAATTAACAGGGCTGATAAAGTAAGTGTGTAGGATGATAGATAAAACCAAGTTATTTCATAAGGAGATGATAATTTGGGAGATATATATGACTGGACTTAGTAGAGTAGATGTAGTATAAAAATAGCAAAGTAATAAAATATCAGTAAATATTAAGCTTTTTCGGGTTATGTTAGATTTCTATTTTAAGAACATTTCTAAATTTAAAATATCTGACAGGCTTCCTAATTAGTGTTATCATCATCCTATTCATTGCGAATGACTTTGGGGTATTTTTAAGTGGAAGTAGCTTGGCGAATAATAATATAGTTACCAACCATTCCATATTGCGTCACATATAATGCATGTACATATAAATTAACTTTTATTTTTACTATTACTTTTTATAGATTCTATACATCTATTCATTAGTTTCAGATGAAACGTAAATGATATGGGCTTTACCCTTGAACCCGTTGAATGAAGTAGTTGCAGCGGAAGTATAGGCACCTAAGTTAGGGAAATAAATCCAATCTCCAACAGCAACATCATGGGTTAATTTAGTTTTAGTTGAAACACAATCTAAACCATCACAAGTTGGTCCCCAGATTGAGAAAAAGTAGCTATCTTTTTCTGCAATTGTCCATTCTTGTTCTGGTTGTTGTTGTTCGTAATAAAACTTTTCTTTGTGCTGTAAAACAAAACCTTGTGGATGTTGATGGTCGAATAAAATACAATTCATATTTCCATAAACACCATCATTAATATAAACCATGGCTTTAATGTCACTATTGACTGACTTATCAATATCTCTTCGAGCAATGATATGCGTGGCTAAGGTGAATGCATTAGATACCATAAATCTACCAGGTTCAGCAATAAATCTAATATTGTATTGATCAATGAAATCGTTTGAGAAGAACTCTTGTAATGATTCAGTAACAACACGAGATGATTCTTCAAAGGTTTCTAATTCAAAACCACCTCCAATATCTAAAATGTTCATGGAATTGTCGAAATGATACTTTTCAATCCCTTGTTCAAAGATTAATCTTGCATCTCTAATAGCCTTATAAATGGAATCAAAATCTTTAGCACCAGATCCCACATGGAATGCGACACCTCTAACAGTAAGGCCTAATTCCTTAGCCAATGGTAATAATTCATTGATTGCATTGTCTAAACTACATCCAAATTTTGTAGATAATCGACATTGAGCAGTTTCATCATCAGTTGCAATTCTAATTAAAATACCACAATCAGGATGGAATTGCTTCAACTTATGCAATTCTTGAACATTATCGACAGTAGTTAAGTTCACGTTACTTTGTCTAGCATGTCTAATAAATGAATTGGTCTTACATGGATTGGCATAAACTATTCTATCAGGGGAAACACCAAGACTAAGAATAGTATCGATTTCATTTTTAGAAGCACAATCGAAATTGGCACCTAATTTGTTTAATAAACCAATAACTTGCATGTCGGTATTACACTTGACGGCATAATGAGGATGAACTTGAGGTAATCTTTGTTTCCAAGTTTGAAATGATCTAGAGACTTCACCTAAATCACAAACGAAAAATGAATCTTCTTCACCTGCTTCACAGACTTCATGATCAATATCTGAAATATGATTGATTAAAGCATCATTGATTAACTTGGTTTTGTTGTTTGATTTTTTGAATCCAGAAGGATTGATTGCTTTTTGAGCAATTGGACTGGAACTAACAATGTTAGTTTCGTCTAAAATTTGTGCAGTTGGAGCCATTTGATAAATGGGAATATACTAATAAATTCAAAGGTTATTGAATCACACTCACTATTCTGGGGACACAATTATATGGACAAATAGCAGAGCTAATGTTTATAATTAATGAAAAGTGAAATGTTGAAAGAGGGGGATGCTGAATGATTGGCTCACAATAATAGTGAGTTACTTTCGAACTAACTTTCAAGCGGCAGCTCTCGTGGTGATAAGGATAACTTTTTTATGGGGAAGGTAATGTATTCAAAGTCAATGATTTAGATTGACACTTAAGAATATATAACACTTTTAATTTGTAATAAATGATCCTTGATTCAAAAAGGAAAAGAAACTAAATAGAGATCAAATTAAATTCTAAAAAGTTTTTCATCTGTGATATTGCTGCGATGAATTGTACTGGCTCAAAATCTCTCTCTCTCTCTCTTTTTTTGACTTCGCTTTTTGCAGTTCCGTATGCAGGAAAATTATAAATGGCAGCAAAAACTACATTTTCTAATTACATTATAACTTAACACATTCAATTTCATATTAAAGCCTTTTCTGCCAATAATAGAGTTGCCGTGGTTTGTTCTGCCCGTTCTTCTCAAACCAAAAGTGAAGGTACCACTTCAAGATTATTAAGAGCAGCCGATTTAGCTAATGAAAATAAAGATTTCCAAAACTTATTGGATGTCATTGAAGAAGATCACGTCAACAATGCCAAAGAATTCATTGTTCATAAACCTGAAGTATTACAAAAATTAATAGAAGATACTAAACAGGAATTATTCCATGCCCGTGAATTATTACATGCATGTCAAGTCATTGGAGAAATAAGTCCAAGATCCTTAGATTCAATCATGTCTATTGGAGAAAATATAGATATATATATCAAACTAATCTATAAATCAATCAATGGCTCTGCTTCAGCAACATATCTGGGTGACTTTCTTTGTTCTTGTCTATCTTCTTCAAAAGATGATAATACAGGTAAAGTGGGTAAATCCAGAGGATTACTATGTGATTTATCGAAATTATTCTCAACATTTTCAATATTTGGGAATCGATCTTCAGCTCCATCAAGCATGAGAGTGGATGATTTAGACCTGATTGTGTTACTTCCTGTTGGTTGACTATCCAGAAGTTCTTCCGGTGGATATGCAGGTCCTTCATTGAGTTCACTACCTAAATACTCTGCAGGAGGATATCTAACATAAGCAGGTTGGACTTGTGGTGGGTAATCTTCAGTAGGTGGTTGTCTCGACACTTCATTTGGTGGATAACCTCCTTGAGGATATGATGGTTGACCATATGCATAGTTGCTTGGAATGCTTTGATTTGATCCTTCTGGAGCAGAAGCTTGTTGTTGTTGCTTTTGATATTCATCATTAACTGAATCTGCCGAATATGACTCTGGAGGATAGTTTGGATAAGAAGGAGCACCATACTCGTTTTGTTCTTCTCTTTCAAACGATGGCTCTGAAGGGTTGGAATACGGATCTGATGGATATCCTGTGGTTTGTCTTGGAACTGGTTGAGATGGTTCTGAAGGATACCCTGTACTTTGTCTACCGACAGGTTCTGATGCGGCAGGGCCATATCCGGTAACTTCTTGAGGAATAGAATATCCAGTAGGTTGTTGATTATTATACCCTGTTGACTGTTGATTTATTGGAGCATTGTTCTCATATCCGCTAGTGGTTTGTGGAGCAGTAAATTCTTGATTATAATTATTTCTAGGATCATAATAATTTTGAGAAATATGATGATTTCCATAAGCAGTATTTAACTTAGCTTCCAAGAATTGATCATATAATCTAGTTATAGTTGAAATTTTATTATTCATTTCTAAAAATGCTTCATATCTTTCAATTGAAGCTCTTAATGATTTGTTAACCTTTGGTTTCAATTTAATAACTTTAGCATGCAATTCAGCCAAATCAGTATCATATAGAATATTGGCTTGTTTAACAGGATCACTTTTCAAACTAGTTAATAAAGTAATGAATAAATTGATCTGTTCTTCCTCTTGTTCAGATAAGTCTTCATCCTTTTGAGGTTGATGTTGTTCGATATGCTGAGCTGGTGAAACGTAAGCTTGTTGTTGTGGTTGTTGTGGTTGTTGTGGTTGTTGTGGTTGTTGTGGTTGTGATTGTGGAGCTGATTGATAGTTTGATAATGGAATACTAATATTATAGAAATCAGATTGGTCTTGTTGATATGCTCCAGGCTGTTGTTGTCCTGGATATGATGATTGTTGAGATTGTGGTTGAGACTGTGTTGGTGGCTGAAATTGTTCTTGATGCTGTTTAAAGATTTTCTCTTGTTCTTCATACTCTTTTAAACTAGCAGCAATGGCTGCTTTCATTTCTTCGTCATCTTCTTCACCTTCTCCTTGACTTTGAGTATTATTGTTATAGATTGGGGGCGAAGTCTCAGTGATGGTTGGTGGTTTACCAGCTGGGGCTGTGAATTGAACACCAGTATCTTGTAAACTTAATTCTATAGCTCTCTTTAATTCTTCATCTTCATCATCTCCTACTGGAGCTCCATGTGATCCTGCTGGGTGATCACCAGTATGCTTCTTATGTTTACCTGATTTAGATTTTTCTTTAGCATAACAATTATCACAAACTCTTACAGCTTCAGTTATTCCTAATGATGGTAATGGAATATTATGATTAGAATGGGTTTGACAATAAACACCACCACAAGCACGACAATGATGTTTTCTATTAATCATAGAAAATGGTGTATAACAAATCATACAACTATCATTATCAACCCAATCTGGAGGAACCTCTGAATCAACAAATGTACTATTTAACAGTTGAGAATTTCCTGTTACATCAGGGAATTTATAACCTTCATTAAGTAATTGTTTATAACACTTCTCCACATAATTCAATTGTAATTGATTTTCAAATACTATTGACCACTCTTTTACTAATGATAATATAAAATTACCTACTCCAACTTTTGATTCATTTTTAGTAACTTCAAAATCCTTAGTATTATAATGAACTTTAAATATGAAATCGATTAAATAATCTAAGAACTCCTTTGAAGCGATTTCAACTAAGAAATGAAATCCACTATTCTTTACACATAAATCTATCAACTTTAAAGTTGAAGTCAATAGATTAGGATTAGAATAGATCAAAGTTAATCGTTTCTTTAATGATCTCATACATTGCTTGGCAGGAATCTTCTTACTTCTAATCAAATCAGTGATTTCTAATGCAATTGATAATTCAAGTTCTCCATTAGGAATTGATTCAGATGTTGCTTCTGATATCTTGTTATCTAACTCTATCGTAGATACGTTATTACCACTAAACCAAGCCATGTTATAACTTGTATATATCTGTCTCTAGTTGATCCTTAATGGTCTACTCTATGTGATGAATCCAGATGATGATGACACTACTTGATGATATATATGAAGTTGAAGTTGATTTGATTTGACTAATTCAAAAAGGGGGAAAGATCCTTTTTTGATACTGGTGTGTACGCCATCCTTCTTTTTTTTGATTTTGCCTCGTTTTAGCAAAAATAGAGTGACGGTGGGGAGGGGGCTTATATACAGTCTACAGTTAAAAATAGTATATGGAAAAGGTTAAAGACTGCAAAAAAGACTATAAAAGTGTCATTTATTAAAGATATATAGTAGGGCAAGGTAAACTTTTTTTTATTTTAAAACTTTATAACGGCCCAAGTGGCTACTACAGCTAAAACGGTGGAAATTAAAACAGTAAAGTTTACTATGAATTTTTCAAATCCACCAACTTTACTACCACATAATTTCAAATAGAATAAACAGGGTAAGATAATGCAGATGATAAAACAAATTGATGCTCCGAGTATTCCTATGATTCTATCAAATTCGGGAAATAAAATAGCTAATATTACAAATGTAGCATTAACAAAGATTCTAATCAAAAATTTACTACTTGATTTGAAAAATGATGATATCCAACCATCATCTTCAGTAGGTTCTGAAAGTAAAATATTATCCAAGGTTGAAATGATTGGTTTGGCATTTAAAGGGGTTTTGGCCAAGGGGATTAAACAGATTAATCCACTGATTAATGGATAACACCAACTTGGATATCCTGGAGTTAATAAAAGGGTATTAGTGATTTCATTATTACAATAATGACCAAACATTAAAAAACCTAATACTCCCATTGAACAATCAGTCAATAAGGTTATAGCATAAGTTACCTTTAAAGTTGAATTGAATTTATAAGGATGTCTCATATCACTCTTTAAATTTGGAAAAATAGCATGACCACCAAATGGAGCCATTAAAATCCCAATGGCTAATAAAGTATCAGGCCAAGATTGAGGCCAAAGATTAGTTGGCATGATTTGTAATAAGGATCCAGGAGCATCTGGTTTTAAAAATCCACATACCATGACTAAAATAGTAATGGAAATGGTTGACATGATACCAAATAATGAAAAGATGGATAAGATTGGTAAAGGCATAAATGTGAATGGAGTTAATACGATAAAACTAATATATTTAAATCTTGTTCTTGTCCAAACTTCATCATCACCTAATAATGCAAATAAAGAATCACTGAAAAGAACAATTAATGCCACACCAGCTCCTAATAAATCAATGGAAAATAATAAAGAAATGATTAATTTTGCCGTAGCTCCATAAGCAGCATAACCTAAATCAGCATATGTCATAATGGTACTATCAGTATCCATTGATTTAGATAATAAACTGGCAGTCCAATAGGTTACAATACCACAAAGCACAAGTAAAGGTACACCAATGATCCAACCTGCTTTTAAAATACCCACTGGAAGAGCCAAAAGCCCAACTCCAATTAACACATTGATTGAATTAAAGATAGTTTGAGGAGCTGTTGATTGACCTGCTAAGACCGTAACTACATTACCATCTTTATCTTCAATTTTTTTCAAATTGAATTGAGATGCAGTGGTGGCTAATGAAATACTTGATCTAAAACTTGAAAATGATGGGGAAACAAATAATCTACTCTTCTTTCTTGGGCCTCCTGTAATTGGGATTCCGCCATATGAGTTTTGTCTTGACCTTGATTCATTTAATGCATTAAGGACATCATCATGATAGAAGACATCGTTATTTGGTGACATGTTATTATCAATATTATTCATGAATAATTGATTTCTATTACTTATATCATGAATGACAATACTTAATCTTTCACCATGAGATGATGGAACCATAAGTTCAGGATCAAATAATTCATCATCTATATTTCCATCTTCATCATCATCGCCTTCACTAACGAAGAAAGATCTCTTTTTATAAATATCATTATCAATTTTAGAAGCAGCAAATGATTGAGCTCTTGTGAATGAACTAGCAAAATTATGAAGAGAATTAGGTCCTTTAAATGACCCGATAGGGACATCTAAGAATGCATGAGATTGTCTTCTATTGGCTATCAATGAAGTGAATTCGGTTGGATCGTCTTCACCAATGTTAGGGCTGGCCATATCAGATGACACTATCTATAAGTTGTTTTGCAATTAAAAATGGCTTTGAAATGAAATCAAAAAAAAGGGAAACAAAAACAAAATAAAAAAACGACAATGAACTCAAGCTTCTATGCTATGGATATGCTATACGATGCTATACGAGAGATTGAATTATCTTTAGATGAGGTATATTAATGAAAGTGATCTATGAATGAACAAAGAGAGAAGAAAGAAATAAATAAAAATGGGGAAACTAAACTAATTCAATTTTCAAAATCCAATGAAGGTTAAATTAGGAAAGGGGACCAAGGCCCGATGAATTTTTATTATTTTATTATTTACCTTTATCCATTATCAAAATTAGCTTAAATTACCCACAACGAGCATATAAAAAAATGTTATCTCTAATTTTGTGAGTTGAGCCGTCGCCTGTCGTTCGTCGTCTGTTACTGCTTTTTTCTAATGTTGCCGCGCTCACACCTGCCAATTTTATAACCATAGAAACCAATCATTAACGAACAGTTAACCCTAAATACCAGTAAGCAATTCATCAACCTTGGTAACATCATCATAGATAGCCGATGTAGCAAACAGTTCTCGTCTCTTTTCACTGGTCAGCTTCTTTGCTACCGTCTTATAAGTATCTAAATCCTTATGATTCCTCATGTTAGGGTCACAATATGCTATGGCTGCCAATAAGGTATAATAAGCATCATTAGCAGCATTATGTAACACTCCATGAGGAAGATCAATAAGCTTCAAGATACCCTTTAATGTGCCTCCTATCGATCTTGATATTTGATATAATTTAAATGTATCCACTATTTCGATATCTTCTCTGATTTGGATTCCCATTCCTTGCAACCATCTAATATCACCTCCTATATTATGACCCACAAATGCACCTTCTCTTTGATTGATATATTTTTCAATGATTTGTTCCATAAATATCTTACTATCAGATAACAGTAACACGTTGGAAAGTCCTCCTATATATTTATCTTTACTATCAGGCACGTATCTACCATTAACCAATTCAATATGTTCTGCAATTATGATATGAAAAGTCTTGATAATAGGAAATATTGATCCTTTCAGTAAGTCTGGATCATATATCACGATCCCTATCTCTGTTACTTTCTTCAAACTTCTTTCATAAGCCTCAAAATCAATGGCTATCAAGGGTTTCTTATTTAAATACACTATTTCCATACATCGTTTTAATTCTTGTAATGATGCAACTTCTTTATCTTTTGCAAAAGTGAATTTGCCACTTGATAAATATTGTTGTAATATAGTTTCTCTATCATCGGGGTGTTTTCTATGTATTGGATGTATTGAATTTGGATTTGATTTGGCAGCATCTGGAGTTAAATCCAACGGTACCACCAGATTAAATAGTACTGCTGAACTCAGAAGATTTCTTAATGATCTCCGCACTGAGTTGTTTAATAGTATTCCTCTAATCATATCTATCTGATTCAACAACCTCTTCTTAACCAGATTCTATCTGATCTATCTATGTATCTATTTGACAGATACTGTCTTCAGAGTGCTGCTTAAATTTTTTTTACAGTCTTTTCTTGATTTAACGCGATTTGAAACTACTTTTTTAACCAAATTTTTTGATTTATGCTAAACTATTTAGATATCTAGAATTAGCAACCAATATTAAAGTCAATGTCGGACAATGTTGATTGGGATAAGAAGATTGATTCGTTAAAGCGACAACCTAATGAAAATGAAATCAAATCTATTCTAAATCATTTCTCAAAAAACCCATCTGATAAAGTCATTTTTCAACTTATTACCACATTACTAAACCATACTATACCTGAATCATATAATTCACTTTCAAAACCTATACAGCAAGATATAATAAGGTTATTCAGATCACTTGTTGGATTGGGGAACTTGGTTACTAAGATATCAGTATTAACATCTACAGATCAAAATCATGTCCTCGTTAAACTATACCTTGAAATATTACTCCAAGTATTTGACAAAGAAATTGTACTTGAATTAATCAAATCTAATCCTAACCCTGTTGAAGTAAAAGAAATTGATAGATTAATATTCAAGGGAAAGATATTTTCTGTATTGAATGAAGTTTATGTATCTACTTCGTTGGATGTAGACTATGATGTATTTTCAAATTCTGACAGATATGTCAACTTCCTTAGTACCTCAATATTACTGTTATATCAATCACATTCAGATATCAAGTTGATAACTTCATTTGTCACATCGTTAATCGGTTTCAATTCCAATAGTGTTGCTGTATTCTTTGGCGTCATGTTCAATCATCAAAATTGGCAATATTTCATGTTATCATTTAATGTCATGAAAAGTTATCAAAAGAAAGAGATACTTATAAAGTTCTTTACCATCTATTTAAAACCTCAATTTTCAAATAAAGTCAATATTAAAAAAATATCATCTTTATTCACCATACTTGAGTTTACAGGCGAATACTTTGACGAGAATAATATTGAAAAAGTTATTCTATCATTAAACTATTCATTAAACATTCTTGTATCCAAAATAGTATCTGCAATCCCAGAAGTTAAATTGAATGCGTTAACTTTGAGATTGATAAACAACTGGTCTGACCAGACTAAACTCAAATCAGAACCTATAATCCAACAAGAGTTCCGAACTCATTTTTTGGTAAATTTATTAAGAGCCAGAAAAGGTTCAAAATTCATTCAGGATTTAATGCAAAATAGAATATTTCTCGATGCTATAACCCATAGATTAGAGTCATTCTCTGGAAATGTCAAAACATTGGGGGTCATCTTTGCTAATAAAGTTTGTGAATATGATGGAAAACCAAAGATATTCGATGAGGAAAGTTCAATGTATACTCACTTATTGGATGAACCTGAACCTTTCGTAAATATGAGATACGAAGAAGCATGGTCAAATTTGTCTGCTCCTCGAGTCGAAGAACCCGTAAATGTTTCAACTTCGGTTCAATTGGAAAAGGCTAAGGTTAATGATATCTCGCAAGTCGATAGTGATGATGATGATGATGATGAAATGAATGGTAGAGCAAACATTCCTACTCCACTATACATCAAAGACCTTTTGAAATACTTAACTATAGATGAAAAGGCAAAACAAGCATATGAAATGAGAAGAGTGGCATTAACAACAGGTCCTAGTTTGATGCGACAGAAAATGCAATTTGGAAATGAAGTTGATTTTTATGCAGAAGACTTGATTGTTCAATTATTAGGATTGGGGAATCATTTCGATGAAAAGGATTTTGATACTTTAAAATTGAATTGTCTTGTTTCTGTATTAGTGGCTTCTCCTGATAGTGCACTTCATATATGTAAGTTGCTATTAACAGGTGACTATTCATTACAACAAAGAATGATGATTTTGTCTACTATTTCACTCGCAACTAGAGAATTGAGAGGTCTTACAGATGATGTCATTTCCAAATCGTTTAATCAAACCAACTTCCCCACCAAATTGTTACCACCAAAGTCTCATGAAGCGTTTATATCTATGGATGATGAATCAACCAATGTTATCAAATATCTCAATCACTCATTACAAGATGATTTGATGCTTGGAGTTACAGAAAATGAAGAAAACAAATTAAGCAATAATGGACAAATTCTTAAAATTTCTAAAGGTTTTAAAAACCGTAATGAAAACAAGATGTTTGAACAACCAAGACGAAAGGATTTCTACAAGATTATAGGACCAAGATTTTTCTACCCATTAGTTAATGTTTGGTATGAAGCTGGGGAGATTGATATTGGGCATTACTCCACTGTCTTCATTGGTCATTATATCAATACCTTGACTCTTGTTGTTCATTGTGCTTATCCGTCGTCTAACGATTTAAGAGATATGGTTAAGGAGTTCATTCAATTAACAACTCCTTTGATTCATAAGGTTAAGCTGGATGAAATCCAAGTGATTGAAAGTATTGTAACGGGTATTTTTTTAATTTGTGATATAGTTGAAGAAGATTATATTATTCAAGAATTTCATAATAGTATCTTACAGTATCAAAGTTGGCTTTCACAAATTTGGGAGACTTTAATAGATTCAAAACTTAAAAGTCTATGTGCTGGTTTATTACTTAGATTAAATAATTTGCTACAACAATTTGAAAGAACTCTTTTAATAGGTGTAAATAGTATGTATTAAATCTAAGAAGTAGCAAACATTAAAGTTGCCGCTTCCTCGGCTGACTCTACCATTATTAAATCGGCAACATTATGCTTTTTGGCTTTTGATTTCTTTGATTTTAAAGAAACATCATGCATGAGTGGAACGATTCCTTCTTTGTTTATATCCAATGGTTTCATCACATCAAGTGAAAACAGTCGTCTACATTGTGGATCACAAAGTCGCATCACCAATAGTAATGTATAATAAGCATCATTTCCGGCATTATGAAGGAATGCGTATGGCACTTGAACTCGAGTAAGGGCATTCTTTAAACTATTACCATTTTTACCTTGTGTTAATGCAAACAACTTGTGAGAGTCGATAATTGGTACATTTTCAGGGAACTTGACGCCCAAAGTATTTAACCATTTGATATCTCCTTTAACATCGTGACCAATTAAACATGTCCTTATATCGTTATTCCTTGTTTCGAAGAAGTAATAATTGATAAGACTCTGCGTAAGGGTAGCAGCTTGTGTTATAGGCATCACGAAGGATGTACCGCCATTGAAATTAACAGTATGATTAGGAACAAAACGACCATTGAATTTATCAAAGTGTTCATTTATTTTGATATGGATTTGATTGATGGTAGGCATCATGGCGGTGAGTTGATCTCTTGGATCGTATATACAGATACCGATTTCTGTTATTATGTTTGTGTTCATTTCATATGCCTCTACATCAATGCAAAATAAGATTGATTTTCTTCCATAAACTTGCGATATACAAGATCTTAAATAATTGAGTTGATGAGCATTCAGCAAGCTAGGATGATGCTTGAAATTATTATTAACAAAGTAGTCGTCTATTATTGATTGAAATATTGGATTAGTATTATCTGAAAGAGTATCTAGATGCTTTAAACGTGGAATGTTTGAAATATGAGTTTGTACCTGTTTGATATCTTGAGGTGGAATAACTATCCCAGTGAACGATTTAGGACGAGGTTTGAATCCACTATGAGGTCTAGCCAGCCTTTCTTGCTCATTTCTATTACTTGAACCATTGCCAGTCATCCTTGGATCCGATGCTGAACCTTCTATAATAGTCATTAGCTACTGTTACATTATACTCATTTGTAAAAATTTCGCGCTATAAATAATTTTGATGTTTATTTTTTTTTTTTTTTCTTCCTGGCGATCTCTAAACGTTTCTAATTTGTTTTATATACAGAAAGTATGAAACATGGTACTTACAAAAGACTAACAACAGATCCAGCAGCTATGGCACCTCCAATGATCATGAGATCTTTCATACTCATGTTTTTACTGACCAATCCATAGCTTATTTTGTTGGCAGACGAAGTTTTATTACCTTTTATGGAATGTGTAGTTTGTGAATTTGATGATGATTGAGAGCCAGAAACTGAGTTGGAATTGGAGTTGGAATTGGAATTTGTAGCAGTTGTCAAAGTGTCTGGTTCCCATACTGATTGGGATCCAGTAAACCCATATTGGTTATATGTGACCCCAGTTTCTGTTCCTGTTGTTTGGGTATTTCCAGTAGTAGCTGTATCAGTATTAGTATTGGTGTTAGTGTTGGTGTTGGTGTTGGTGTTAGTGTTGGTATTGGTATTGGTATTGGTTTGGGTTTCAGTGGCTGTTTGTAAAGTAGTAGTATCTTGGGCTGTGGTGGTGGCAGCAGTTGTTGCAGTTGTGGTAGGATTTCCGTCTAATCCACCATTGTCAGCTGAACTAAGTGAAAGTTGACAAACTAATAACGCAACAAGTGTGATTAAGCCTTTAGAATGAATATGAGTTGACATATTTTTTATATAGATATATATTATTTATAATTCAGAATAAATTACACTTGACTACAAAAAATATACCACATCTTGGAAAACTTCTATTTATTTATATATGATTTCATTACAATAGACATCGTTAACCGAACCAGCTCTATGATATTATTAATTTTTTTTGTTCTCTCACATCATATTTTTTTTTGCAATAATACGCTCATAATAACGTTTCCTAATTAGGAAGTTTGTAAACATTCCCCCTTTTTATCATGACATCATTTAGGTAAGAAAATATATAAGATCTTTGCAACGAGTATATGCCAAAGTTGCATCTTCGTCAAAGAGGTGACTGATGTGGGTGATCTCCTCTTCTAGGTTTTGAATGTCATAACCACTCCGCCCTTTGGTGGCTTGGAATATGTTTCGCAATTGTGTCGAATTTATTTTTCCTTTATCATTGGTTAAACTTATCATAGCATACATCAATGATATAGAATTGAGTAAGAGATCTTGGCATTGTTTCGGATTAAATGCATTGGTAGAATTTAAAGCTTCAATCACTGAAAGCTCAGCTTGTCTTTGAGCAAGAGCTGGTTCTCTTGTTGATGATAATGGTGGAAGTAAAGGAATATTTAGAAATTGAATTGTAGGATTGTCACTGGAATTAGTTAACGTGTGAAGGGTACTGGTTGATTGCTCTAATCTATAAGGAAGTTGACTTTTAGAAAGACTAAGTGATACAGCATTATTGTTACTTGTATGCTTTAAATAGGAATAGTTATATGTTAAGATCTTAAAGTCATCAAAATGTAAATTCTGATACATATCAGAAGATACTTCTAATTTGATTTTGAAAGCAATGTTTCTTTCTGATAATGGAAGCATATCATGGACTAGGATTGTTGCCTTTTTAAAGGCCGAAATCTTAGTTAATACGCCATTAACTTCAACTTCGGCAAACAGAAGACTGTCTTCAAACTCTTTGGTTACTGCTAAATCAATAGCAATGGTTGGAATACAGATAGATTGCATATTTGAAAAGGTTCCACTCCATCCTTGAATAAATGTCTCAAATGAATTATATCTTATGATGGCACATGAAAAGTTAAGTTTCAAATGATTTTGATCATTCTGATTCATGGCTAGAAGTTTACTTATTGATTCTATGACATCTGTATATCCAGAACCAATTCTTGCAAAACTAATAGACACTTTTTCAGTTAGCAAATCAAGATTCTTCTGTAAAGAACTGGTATCATACGAACTGACATCTGGATCATAGTCGTTGAAATTTAGAACCAACATCTTGGTTACGTTCTTTTCCAGTTCATTTCTAAGGGCAAACAAGTCTAAGCATTTTTCAAACGCTAACAGCATCTCATCCCACTCTGATTTAAACATGTTAGATTTCCGGGGGATGATTTCAATATCGTCTAACACTAAACTCCAATCTCTCCAAGTTGGATCCAAAAACCCAATGTAAGTCCCTTTATCTTTCGGATTTCTATTTCTATAAGATCCCACAAATATTAATGATAATGTGTCTATAGGTCTCAATCCATCTTTTATTGTATGGAGGGTTATCTGTATCTTCAGTTGTAAGTCTTCGTCAGACATGGTAGTTCTGTTAAATAAGGGTACCGCTATCACTAAATTGAGTGGTAGCGGTTGAGCTTTTGGTAGCGCTTGGACTAAATATGAAGAAGGAATATCATCTCCATCAATAGTTAAATTTGAATAGTGTTTTAAATCTTTGGGTAATTCAATATCAGATCCTTGTAATAATCCCCAAGCATTGGTAGTAAATTGTATGATATTTGGATTTTCGATTTGGACTTTGTTGTTCATGTCAATAAGTATGGACTCCCATTTCATCAAAATTAACTTATTATCACTCTTTAAATGCAACTCAGGAAGTAATTCATTCCTCAAGTTTATCGTTATTAATCCCGTTTGTTCGAATACATTAACTCCTGAAATATCTCTTGTGATCGATACCTGGCCAATTAAAGTATCTTCAATGATTAAAATAAGCACATCTTCGAACAAAAAGCAACACATCCAATCCCAATCCACTGCATTTGTACTTAGGTTCATATAATCAAAGAGTAACAACTCTCCTAAATTTTCAATATCAACTACCTCTTCCTCTATATTAATGATTTTAGATAGCACATGCAGCTTCAAATATTTTATCAAACGACTTTTAAGTTTTATTTCAGCTGGACTTGGTTCTTGTTTATTGTAAACTAATGGGCTCCGCACGGTAAGAACTTGATCTAAAATATGAGTGGAGTTCTTTGTGATTTTTAGTTTGTCTATATCACTATAACATTGAACTCTTGGTTTTAAGATTTCTTCTATAAGATCGTCATAATAAGAGTCTTTGGCTGAGATATCAACTGACAACGATAAGGATTTTTCGAGTACATCAATTTGTTGAATCTCATTAATTTGGATTTCATCTGTATTTTCAAGTAGGAGCTGTTGAATGATTTGAGAATGAGTCTTTTCATCGAGACATCTTGTTGGCTGCTTGCATTGACCACAAATTGGTAAGTAATCTAAATTGTTGACATCCAAGCTAGCTGTTAAGCAATCCTGATGGCATTGATCATTGCACATTAAAAGTATAATGACTTCGCCTGGAAGGTTTAATGCTAAATACTCACCGCAAAATGCACACTTCTCATTGTTTGCTTTCTTAGTTGTTATTCGAGTAAAATCAGTATCGCTATCAGACAGACGCGGAGTATGTGCAAGATCTAATTTTGAAAATTCAGGAAATGGTGAATCTTCAACAGATGGTGGTGTCTCTGGTTTTCCAGACTTTCGAAGCAGAGATAAGGAAAATCTCTTGAGCGAAAAACTCTTTGACTTCTTCATTGTATTAACAGATTATTCGTAACTTTCAACAGGGTCGAAATAAGCTCATGGATAATAAACCATGGGACAAAACCAATGCAGATTAACTAATTTAAGTATGATCGTCGTCCATCTAAAGTATTGGGTGCAGTCACTAGTTAATTTTTTATATCTGATGACGATTATCGATCGTAGAAACGATGTGGCCCCCCGAAGAAATGTCCTAAATATTTTGTAATCAATATTTTTTAGCCTTCTGGAACTAAATTAAAATTATTTTTTAAGAGTACAATTCTTGTCATAAACAAAATCTATTTATTCTTTTACGAGGAGATTGTCGTTTTTTGCGCTTTCTATGCAAGAACCAAAAATGAAATGAAATAAAAAAGAAAAAAAAAGAAATAAAACCTGAAAAATAACCTACTTAGGGGGGTGAGTTGCCTGAGATCTTTTTGATGGGCTACAAATTTAAAAAGAAATTAGACAACATAAATATATTATATTTTCTTCGTAAGGAGAATATTATCTAAATGGATAACTTAACAGAAAGTCTTTTAATAGTCTTGGAAACTATACCTAACCATTCAACAAATCTTTCGAAATCGCCATCTTCAATAGCTTCCTTTAATCCAGGGAAGGTTTGACCTTCATAACCAGTAAATCTACCACTAGCATAGATAATATGTTTAAACCATGGTCTTTCATATAATCCCTTGTGGTATAAAAAGTTTCTTTCGAAGTATTGAATCAACTTGTTGTGGTGTTTGATTTGGAAATGTAACTTGATCTTTTGCCAGAATGATAAGCCATCTTTGTTATCAAATTTAGTTTGAAGGATAAATGATTCAACATCAAAATTACTGGTGATATTGTCTAATTTCAAAAGATCTTTATATGTCTTATGAATAAGACGACCTAAGGTGAAGTTTTTATGATGATGAGTATCCATCATGGTAATAACCTTGTTATGTTTACATTGTCTTTGAGTTAATAATTCTGGGAATGGGTAATATGCAACAGGACTATAATAACCATCAGTAGCATCAATAATGTATTGTTCTTCTTCCAAATCATAATTCAAGTATTGTTGCATTATTTCGTCTTTGATTTCCTTTCCTTTAAACCAACTCTTTGGAACAGTGGCAATGGTTTGATTATAATAAGTAATTAAATCTTTAGAATAATCTTGTAATTTAAAGTTAATGACTTCCTTTTCACTCAAGTTGAAAATAATTAATGATAAGTACTTAGCAGCTAAATTATGGTAAACAAATCCTTTATCGGCGAATTCAGACATCCAGTAGAAAGAATCATAATTGGAATGGTAATGATAAATTGGATCTCCCTTACCTTGACCAAACCCTAAATCAGCAGATGGGATACCTAAATGTTCTAAGAAAACAGTGTAATCAGATCCTGAACCAAGGTTTCTAATCTTATCACCCTTCTCCTTAACAAAATGATCATATAAACTACCAACACCTTCTTCTGGGTATTCTAATTCTTTAGCAGATTCTCTTAAAACATGGTTTAAGACTGGGGAAGCACTTAAACCTAAGTATTTACCAGTGGTAGAAGAATCCAAGTTCAAGTAGGCAACGACCTTACGCTTGTATTTATCAGCAAAGTATTCACCTTGTTCAGTAGAACCAAGAAGACCATATTCTTCACCATCATAACTTTGAAGAACAATGGTTCTCTTGAACTTATAACCAGAAGCTTTTAAAGCACCAAGAGCTCTGGCGATTTCTAAAAGAGTGGCACTACCAGAGTTTGGATCACCAGCACCACCTTTAATCCAAGCATCTCTGTGGTTACCAATAATAATGATTTCATCCTTCTTTTCACCTTCAATTTCACCATAGACATTCCATAAAGTGGAAATATTGAAGATTTGATCATTGTACAAGTTCAAAGTGTATTCTTCACTTGGACCAGTAGAATAATCGAAACCTTCTAATTCACCTTTCCAACTCTTATCTTCTAATTTAATACCTTGACCGTTCAATTTTTCTAAGATTGGCAAAACTTCACGGTATGAAATTGGTAAGGCTGGAATACGACCAATACTAACATATGGATCTTGTCTTTCAACACCTGGTTTAGATGCATAACCTGGAGTGGTTGGATCACCTGGTGCACTACCGATACCACCAAGGAATTGAACACTACCTCTTTGAACAGCACTTTCTTGTCTAGCTGGACCATGAGGATATTGTTTGAAACCATTAGCAACAGTGATACCATGATCATCACCTGGATCTGAATAGATCAAAATACCAACGGCACCATTATCTTGAGCAAATTTAACTTTTAAACCTCTGAAAATACCACCGTATCTAACAATGGCAATCTTACCTTTAACATCAACACCTAAAGCAGCTAATTTTTCAAAATCTTCCTTCCTACCATAGTTTGCATAAACGTAATGAGCAGTAACATTACCATTTGCAGCATAAGCTAAGAAAGTTGGAATACGATCGTCACCTTTAGAAGTTTCATCTTCTTCAAGTTCATCTTCCTTTAATGGAGCCTTATAGATGATTTCTTCGGTTGAAGCCTTAAGCAAGTTTAAATCATGATCATTTGGATAACTGACAAAGATTTCATAGGCATCAATTGTGGCTTCGAAACCATATTCTTCAAACTTCTCTTTAGTCCATTCAACAAGACCATAATTAGTACCAGCTAAATGAGGTTCGGCAGTATACTTCTTAGACCATTCTCCAGCTAAATTAAGCTTAAGAGTATCCAAGATAATTGATTTGCCTTCTGCCTGAGTGGTAAATCTTGAATTACTAAGATAATTGGTGAAAATAAAATAACATGAGATAACGGAAGCAAGCAAGTAGCCCAATTTACGATATTGGCATTTTGCTTTGACTCTTGCAGTCTCAATTGGAATATAACCTTCCTTTTCGTTCATAGTGAAAGTCAATTGATCGAATATCAGTTAATAAAAGGTTAAATGAATAATTTAAATCTGATGGTAATGAAAGGAACTGATTATGCTTATATATGTATTTTGAAAAAAGTGTGGTTATCGCAACAATAGCCCCTAGAGCCGTAGCTCGATTTTATGTCCCAAAACGGTTTTCGGTGTCGGATAAAAAAATATTAGAATTGATAAGGACACACATACTCGGCTGCAACTTAAAATCCACATTATCTCATATCCACAACTACAACTTTATATGGTTGGCCAAATAGTTAACGAGTTTAAGTAGCAATTGAACAGCCGAATGTTGTGATTTATATAACTTCTTAACTTGTCCAATTTCTGTATACTATTTGAAAACATTCCTTTCCTCTCATTTCAAGTAAATTTGGCTCTAATTTTCTACTTTCTACTTATTTCAAGTGCCATTTCTACATTTCTATTTAAATATTGGGAAAAATATACATTAAAAAACCCCAAAGAGATAAACTATTTACGTGGCATGGCTAACTACATGCAACACTACTCTCTAAAACTCTCCGAAATGAAGATTCAAGCCATGAACATTTTAATGAAAAATGTTGCAAAAAGAAATATTTAGCAAATGGTTTGGCTTGATTATAATTTATCATAATATTCAGTATAAGCTGGAACTTCAGACTTTAACCCAGCTTTTTCTCTTTTTTCCTTGACAATGGCTCCAACTTTAGTATTTGCATCAGTGACATCACCTGGTAAAACTTTCCAATGACTAAAGATCATTTGTGGGAATGCTTGACCACCAGTAGCTTGTCTTAATTCACCACTAAATCCAAAAGATTCATTTACTGGCAAGAAGGCCTTAATATTGAATAATGGAGTACCAATTTTTTGTTCTTCAGAAATAACTTCACCTCTCTTTTTATTTAAAACAGAATAAATACCACCAATGGCATTCTCTGGACATTGGATTTCAACTAAGAAAATTGGTTCTTGAACTGCAGGTTTGGCTAATAACATAGAAGCATAAGTTACTCTTCTCATGGTTGGAATGATTTGACCACCACCTCTGTGAATTGCATCAGCATGTAAGGTAACATCCAAGATATTAACTCTTAACGATCTAACAAATTCACCTAATACTGGACCTTCTTTTGTAGCCCATTGGAATGCAGCAACCACAGAATCCTTAATTTCAGATAAATATTGAACAGCTTTGGTTTGATCAACAACAACATTTGGGCCCTTACCATCTGGACCGAAACACCAAATCTTTCTTGCATCAACAACATCCCATTCGAAATTTTGAGACATTTCTTTAGCTCTCTCCTTAACATCTAGTTTTAGAATATCTCCTTGTTCAATAGAGACCGAAAATTCTTCACTTAATGGTTCCGCTTTAACATAAATTCTATTATGTTTATTTGGTGATTTAGATAAAGCAACCATTGAAGATTCTCCTTCAACAGTTTCCCTATAAGCAACAATCGGTGGAGAAATCTTTAATGGAACACCGGCATGATCATTTTCTAAATCTTGTAAACAAATTTCTAAATGTAATTCACCTGTACCAGCTACAATATGTTCACCAGAATCAGACATAGTACACTGCACACATGGATCTGATTTAGATAATCTCTTTAAACCTTCAACTAATTTTGGTAAATCATTAGCATTCTTAACTTCTACAGCAACTTGCACAACGGGAGAAACAGAGAATTTCATAACTTTCATATTAGCCGAATTTTCATTGGTAGTAATTGTACCTGATTTTAATAAGAATTGATCAATACCAACTAAACCAACGATATTACCAGCTGGACAATCATCAATTTGTTCAACATATCTTCCCATCATTAAAACAGTTCTTTGAACAGATTTGAGGAATAAATCTTCCTTTTTGCCAACGGTATAGTTTGGACCTTGAATTCTAACTTTTTGACCAGATTTGACTGTACCAGCAAAAACACGACCGAATGCATAGAATCTCCCTTTATCTGAAGTTGGAACCATCTTAGAAACATATAACATCAAATCAGCATTAGGATCACAATTCTTAATGGCAATGCATGAAGCATCATCAGATGGACCTTCATATAAAGTATCAGCTCTGTAGAATTGAGCAGTTACTGGAGATGGTAAATGAACAATAATCATTTCTAATAAAGCATCAGCAGCAGGTAAGAACTTTTTCATAACAACTTTTAATAAGGCCTTACCTTCTAAATCTTTTTCATCACCTTTCAATTGAATTCCTAATTTTTCTAATAAAGTTGGAATTTCATCTTTCTTGAAATTCATAACAGCTGCAAATATTTTAAAAATTGGATCTAATACAAACATATTGAAAGCTCTTTCTAAAGCATTACCATCAGCATCAGTAGATTTATTAGTCCATTTTCTTGTAGTTGGATTGAAGTAAGAGTCACCCCATAATCTTTCCATCATTCTACTTTTATCCACACCGAATTTCTTAGAATATTTGGTTGCGAATTGTCTGACAGTAAAAGCCCAACCATGTAATCCAGAACCAAAAGCAACAGTACCCTTGTAAGGGTAAACTTGAACATCACCTAAAATATCATCAACATAAGTAGCAATAACAACGTTAACAGATTCAACAGTTCTAGAGAAAGTTTGATATAAATCTTCTTTAGTTAACTGTAATTCTAATAAAGCTCTATCAACCTTGTTGACAATAACAACAGGTTTGATTCTTTCCGCTAAAGCTTGTCTAAGGACAGTTTCAGTTTGAACACATACACCTTCAATACAATCAACTACAACTAAAGCACCATCAGTAACTCTTAAAGCTGCGGTAACTTCAGAAGAGAAATCAACGTGACCTGGGGAATCAATTAAATTTATTAAGAATTCATTACCATCCGTCTTTTGTTTAATTTCTTTAACTTCTTCATCACTCATGGAAGCATATAAAGAGATAGCAGTTGATTTAATGGTGATACCTCTTTCTTGTTCATCTTTTCTGGTATCAGTGAATCTAGCTTCACCTGCTTTGGCAGCAGAAATAATACCTGCTCTCTGCACTAAGGAGTCGGTTAAAGTAGACTTTCCATGATCTACATGGGCAATGACAGACATATTACGAACATTGTTAACTTTGTCCATCAAGGCACGGATTTGTTCAGTAGTAAAGGCAACCATGATTGATTGATTCAATCGATCTTTATAATATTGTATAATTCATAGAGAAATTAAAAAAAATTTGAGGTCACTCTCCCCTTTATATATAAGCGGCTGAAAAAATTTGCGGTTAAGTTTAGGGAGGAGATCACTTTTTTTTCAAAAAGACTTTTATGCCATATGCTAAATGATTATTATGACTTAAACTTTCCTTACTGTCTAGTCTTTGTTAAGTATAAGTAGTAGTTTCCTCTAACAACGTGCGTGCTTATGTTTAAAGTATTATCGATCAGTCAGGTTCAAGAGCTAACCAAGGAGTGTATATCTCCCCTCCCTTTTCTATGCTATTTATAGATAAGGGATGGAATGTGAGATTAGTTACACACAAAACGAAGTCAAAATAAGATCTACAAAAAGGTCTAGTCTTTCGTTGTATAACAACACAATAATAAACGTATATATAATGGTATTACTTACATGTATGAAAAACTCCTAGAATAGTGTTGGTATGATCGTAATGAATTGACGTTTAGTTAAGTGCAACAAAATTAACATACAATTTAGCTATCATCACTGCTGCCATAAAGGTTTAATAACACATTTGAATATCAAAGATTAATGTAAAATTCATGAAAGATCGCTTATGTCCCTGAAGATAAGTATTCAGAATCTATAATTGTTAGTAAAGCATTCCTATACATTAACTTGTTCTATCTTAAGATACATTCAGAAGTAATGTAACACCTGTATATCTAACAAGATATGATTATATTCAAGAAGAACAAGTTGTGGTGATCTATAACTTTTTAAATGTGTTAAACATGATTTGCGTCAACCCTTTTTTTTCATATTCGCAAAGTGAAAATTTATTTTAGGCAGCCATTTTGGTAGCGCAGAAAAATTTAATTATAGTTAAACCCTAGCTTAAACACACAAATTTCTTTAATAAATATAAGATGAAATCAAGTGAACTTGGTTTAATATCATTAGATATTAGATCAATGACCAATTTAGCATATTTGAAATTCAGGTCATGCATTTTTAAGTTTTTTAAAGTTTTTTTCAAAAATTTCTATGAGTCATCCACAGCTTAAAAACACTACTAAATTTTTTTTTCAGAAAATCACTCCCGGTGGCCAAGCTGGCTAAGGCGCGAGACTGTAATGAGTTCTCCTCGAAGAAATCTTGAGATCGGGTGTTCGACTCACCCCCGGGAGATTTTCTATTTTTTTTAAATTTATCACTTATTTTTTTTGCACTCTTTTTTTTAAGCTCTTTATTTTTTTTAATCTAGAAAAAAAAATTTGAGATGGATCTGTAAAAGATATATGAACTATAGAGTGAAAGTGAATTAAATATCAAAATGGCTTCCAAAAACTCCATCAATAAACCAAAGAATAAGATAAATGCTTTCAGTCATGCTAAGTCATTAGCCAAGAAGAGAGCTGCTCGTGCTAAGTCTTTACCAAGTACCAGATCATCTCTTCAAGCAAGATATGCTGATAAAGCCACTACAGCTATTAGACCAACTGATTCTAAAGCTGTTGCCTTATATACTGGAGAATCTGCTCAACCTATTGCTAAAATGACTAATACCACCTTATCCAATAAAAGAGCCAAAAAGATTGCTAGAAATCAAAAATATATAGCCCAAAGAAAGCAAGCTGAAAGTGGAGATTCTACAATGGAAGTTGAATCTATACAACTGGTAGAAGTTAAACAATCCAATTTAGATAAAGTCAAAGTACTTTTATGGTCTGTGATTGAAACCAATTCAAATGGTGAATATAAAGCTAAAGCAGATGGTGAAGGTACTACTTTAGGTATTCAAGCATTTTAAATAAAGGCATTTCATTTTCATTTTTTGTACATTAGAATATTGGTAAATAACTATTATCGAAAATAATAAACAATTTAACTTCCTAAGGAAGTGAAAAAATATCTATAATGAACTTACTCCTAATCTTTTTAAATTGGAGTTGACAGTAGTCTTTAAATGATCTATAACTTCTTTTGGAACTTCTGCTTTAAAAACAGAAGTACCAGCAACAATGACATTAGCACCCGCAGTTGCAGCAGCATCAATGGTTTCTTTACCTAAACCACCATCAACTTGAATGTTTAATTTTGGATATTTTTCTCTTAAAAGTTTAACTTTTGGCATCATTTCAGGCATGAATTTTTGACCTCCAAATCCTGGTTCAACAGTCATAACAAGACCTAAATCAATTTCATCAATGATTGGGAATAAGGATTCAACAGGAGTAGCTGGTTTAACGGCAACACCAACTTTTAAACCAAATTTCTTAATAGTCTTGATTAATTTTAATGGATCATCAGTAGCTTCAAAATGGAAAGTATAACCATCACCTCCAGCCTTAGCAATATCTTCAACCCATCTTTCTGGATCAGCAACCATCATATGACAATCGAAAAACACTGGATTTGGAGCATCCTTAGGAAATACTTTTCTTAAACTAGTAATAATTGGAGCTCCAAATGAAATATTTGGAACAAAATGACCATCCATGACATCAATATGTAACCATTGAGCACCATCATCGACTACTTTTTTACATTGACATCCTAAATTAGCGAAATCAGAAGCTAAGATAGAAGGGGAGATAATTGGTTGAACCATTGTTATTACTGTAAACGATCAAATGATATAATAATTGGCAATGGAAGCAACGGTTTACATATGTCAAAAATGATTACCCAAAAAGATTTTTGAACTATTCGCGCCAATTGATTCCGGGCCTTAATAATCACTTAATACAATATATATATTTAAATTATAGCTAAATCTCGTACATTTTATTAAATCTTACTAATATTGATAATTGATTTGGAAACTGAGATCATTGAAGAATCCCCGAATATACCAATTGAGTTATTTAAGTTATTCATGCATAAGTTGTAGCTTGCTATGTATGTCAAGACGTCGTGTGTTTTATGTCAAATTTTGATTTCGCAAATTTGAGCACTAACGGTAAATACGCTATCAAAGGTGGCAGTACAATAGGGGGAAAGGAAGAAGGTTCAATTTTGATACGTATTAATTATAACCATGACTGAAGTAGAACCACAACATACTACTGACGGTGCATCAGTAGCTGAAAGGATTTTGGAAGCAGCTAGAAGAGATAATACTGAATTACTTTTAGCCATAAAGGTGGAACTTCAAAATGATCATGAAAAACTATCCTCGTTAATAAATAATACTCATGAAGTCATAACGGGAAACACTCCATTACACTTAGCATGCCAATTAGGAAATTGGGAATTTATAGATATCGTATTGGACATAGAAGGGGTTGAGATTGATCCTTACAATAGAGAACAAGATACCCCGTTGCATTTGGCTGTTAAATACGCCATTGATGAAGCTGATCATGGCTATTTTATCATTGATAACTTATTAGACGCAGGATCTGATCCAAGAATTAAAGATGTTCATAAATTAAGACCAATTGACTATGTGAGTAAGGATAATGCTAAACTTAGAGAATTATTAGAAAGTGCTGAATATGCAATTTCAATGGAAGCTACAGAAGTTTACGCTGAAGGTGAAACTAACGTGGAAGAAGCAGACGAAGAAGGAGATGAAGATGATGTTGCATCAGCTTCTGATTCTGATTAAAACATATGATATATATTTCTATATTTACAGAAATTGAAAGTTGTCTTCTGACGTATGAATCCAATTCCCTAAAAGTTGCTTAGATTGTTGTTTAAGTTTCTCTCTTTGCTTATTTGATTTCTTGAATTCAATATAAGATTTATAAGGTAAATTTTGAAAGCTGGCCATTTTGATATATAAACCATAGTTAGAAATAAAGCTTTCTCCACCCTTTTTAGGTGGTTTATTTTTAATATATGAACCATTTTTTACACCATTATTTAAAACCTGGGTAGATTTTGATTGAGGAAGATATAGTAAGGATAAAGGGGAGGGTAGTTTATCGTTATCTTTTGCATACTTGAAATCTGAAATATCATACTCTATAACTTTTAATGAATGTATTGATTCATCCCATGACTTTATTCGAGTTTTAAAGCATCTATCTATATCTTCTGTAGTATAATTATCTTTCTTGAGAATTAAATTATCCAAATAAACTCCATTAGGAAATAAATCAAACGTAAATGGATTAGTCAAACCTGTTATTTGCTTTAAACATAGCTTATCTGAACATGACTTGCTTAAGGTAGGTATACTATCTGATCTTCCCGGTTTTGTTCTCACTATTCCTAATTTCCCAAAATCACTTCTGCCTCTCATAGTATCTAATTTTATCCTCTTGTTTGGCTGGATATCGGACCATATCTCTGAGTTTTCTGATTCATTGATCAATTTAACCATAGAAGCATCTCCACAAGGAGGTTCTGTTATTAGTAGACTCAAACAAACACTTTCTTTCAACTTGAACTTATTGTCATCAGATGTCTCCACTAACTTTGATATATAACTTTCATCTTGTTTCAATTTAGAACATTCCTCAAGTAGATACCAATTGAATAGCCTGATAGATAGTATCTCTGCATGCAGATCATGTACAATTCTTCCTTGTGAGTAATTTCGTACACTGTCAGGTAAAGCTTTCACTCCTGTTGTTATAGTAATGGGGAGTATCTCATCTTCTATCTCAGCAATTATACTAGCTAAAACAGTCCACTCTGCGATACCATTAGACCGTATAATTGGTTTTCCTGACTTGATATGCAAAGAATCAAAACCATCGAATACCTTCTTCGCTATTCGATTTCCTCTCTCAATTTGAGTCATTGTTGCAAAACATCATCGATATCAATATTGTTTTTTTTTCTTTAATCAGTTTGTACAATCACACATTTTTACAACGGCAAAAAAAGGTCTTTAAAAAAAAATTGTATGTACACATAAATGAATATATATATGGGTTATATAAATAGTACTAAATCAACTAGTTGTATTCAATGTCTCTTCTTTCTTAAAAGAGCTCCAACCAAACCTACACCTAAAGCCAACACACCACCTACTATACCAATACCAATCAAACCTTCTGTAGTGATTTTATCATCAATTGATTCCTTTAAGGCTATGGCTTGAGTATTATCTGGTTCACCATGTATTAAAGTTTCCACATAACGTTTTGCATTTGAGTAATCTCCTATCTTGTAAGAACCAAGACTCAAGTAGTATAAACATTCTCTTCTCATGGATGGATCATCTCGGAATACATTGGTTAATATTTCCACTCCTTCTTGTTGGTCTTTATAATGGGGTGATTTGATAAGACCCCACGCATAATTAAAAAGGGATTGCGATGATACGTTTGGTTTTTCTGATTCTAATTGATTCTTTAAAATCTCTAATTGTTTTGGTGAAAGAGGTTGTTTCAACTCTTCTAAAGCTGGATATATGGCTGATTTTCCAAACATTGTTTATATAGATATATGGTTGTTAAAAGAACAATGATAACTTAAATCAAGTAGCTCATTTAGATTTCAGAAAAAACTAAAGAGCAGACAGAAAATAGCAAATAGTTATATACAGGAATGACACCAAAAATGAGTGAGAGGTCAGATCAGGTATAGCCAAACAAATATCAACGCGTTTCTTGTCAATATTTTCATTTATTTGGATTTGATTACCAAGCATAGAGATTGACTGTTAGATAAGACAAAGATGTCTGATGAGGTCATAAAGTTAATCATTGATCAAAACAGCAGCGACAACAATGTCAGAACTCTAGCTGAATTGGAGTTTAATAAACTTCTGGCCGAGAATCCATCGCAGATTTTGTTCTATTGTATTCAAATTGCTGGTAATGAGAATCTCCCAATTGATATTCGTCAAGCAACCTTATTACATATCAAGAGATTAGTGCCAAAGTATTGGTCCCTTGGATTTCAATCATTCGTGGGTCCACCTGTGAATCAAGACATCAAAGCCACCATTCGTAAGGACTTATTAACCATTGCTACTTCATCACCCAATTCCAAATTAAGAAGTGGTAGTGCTTATTCAATAGTTCAAATTGCATCTGTTGAATATCCAGATGAATGGCCTGATTTATTGACTTATATCTATGGAGCTGCTTCTAACTTTGACAATGAAATTTCAATGTTAGGTGGTTTAACTGTGTTGAATGATTTATTCGATGATTTAATTACAGAAGAACAATTTTGGGGTGGGGTTGGTACTGAAGTATCCAATTATATTTTCTCAGTACTTGAAAAGGATAGCATTTCACTGGAGACCAAATCTATGGCAGTTAAATTATATCAAAGTGTGGTTACTACTTTATTAGGACTTGAAGGAACCAGTAACAACGATAGAAAACAATACACTATCAATCATATTAAAACTAGTATTCCAATTCTTTTAAAGTCTCTTAAATCTTCATTTGATTTATCCATTAAAAGTTCAAACGTCATATCTTTACAAGAGCTTTATTTAAGATCAAATATTTATTTATCCTTGACAACTATATTAAGTAGTCTCAGTTCTAAAATTCAAATAGATCTCAGAAAATCAATATTGGAAGTTGCCTTAAATGATGTAACTTATATCAGCGAAGTGTTTCAAAAAGTGGTGGTTCTTGAACAAGCCGAGGTACAAGTTCAAGCAACTTCTGAATTAAATGATCCAGAGAATCTCATAAGCATTGTCATATCCGAATTATTGCGTACGATCTCAGTGTTACAAGTTAAACTTCCAGTAATCGAAGGTGACTCTAATCGCTTTTCTACTGACTTGATTAACTTATCCATACTACCATCCTCAACAACTAATGAATACGACGATGATTTAAATCTTTACATCACTGAAATCACCGGTCTTAGTATTAATGCTTCCCCTAGGGAGTCAATTTACGAATTAGTTTCAGAGATTAACGATGCGGATGCAGCTAAATTATTCATTCATACCTTTCAATCTCTTGGTCAAACTGATTCATGGATTGTGAAAGAGGCTTCTTTATACATTCTCGAAGCATTATTCTCTAATGAAGATTCTGAAATTATAAATAACAACGAATCTTTATTAGAGTTACTCAATAGATTAAGTGGATTTATTTCAGATACCAATTTCCTTGTCAGTTCAAGAGCTATATTATTATTACCCAAGTTTTTTGAAAAATTCGAATCAAGACTTTCTGTCTCAACTATAGGTATAAAGACATTCACCGATACTATATCCGTCGCAGCTCAAGATTCATCATCAAAGTTCATCAAAGTAAGTACTTTAGTAAGTCTTACCTACTACAATCAGTTTATAAACTTTAATGAAAACTTGCCAAATGAAGTCAAAGAAGACATTCAATTGGCTATTTTCCGCATAGTATTTTCATTAATAGATGATTGCGAAGAAGATGGGTTAGCTCCATTATTGGAAGCAATTACAGTTGCTATTGATATTGATCCACATAGTGCCTCCTCATTCCAAGTTGTTGAGAATGTCACTGTTGCAGATCTTATATTTAGAATTGCCTTCAAGGATCCAGCTAATGTCCAACTTAATGTTGATTCTTCTGATGGATTAAGTACTCTTTTAAAGAATATTTCTGAACCAGATTATATCAGAAGTTGTGAAAAATCATTACCTTTCATACTTGATTTATTAAAAGAAAAGATTAGTCAAACTTCCACTGAATATTCTCCAGAGTTATACTTATCTTTAGAGTTACTTAGTGTAATCATTGATGCTCCAAGTTTTGATTTACCATCTCAATTATTCTACTATACTTTCCCACTTTTAAGAAGATTGATTTTACAAACTAGTGATAATCAAATTCTTCAAAATGCAGGTGAGGTTCTTATCAATCTTTTAAAAAGAGCATCTAAGTTATTCTTGGATTATAAAGAAGATGATCAATCTGGAATGGATTATTTATTAAACATTTTAAGTAAATTTTTATCTCCAGAATTAGGTGATAGTGCGGCTAGTAATTGTGGTACAATTATCTTTACTTTTATTAATGAATTCCAAACTAGTCTTAGTAGTGAATTTATATTTCAAATTCTTGAAGCTACAGTCAATCGTTTGATCGTGGCTAAAGAGCCAATCACTATTGAGAATTTAATCATGGTATTCTGTAAGTTGGTTTTAAATTCACCAGAAGGTATGATTGATTTCTTATACAATATGAAAATAGAAAGCAAGAATCAGAATGGTCTTGAAGTGATCCTACCAATTTGGTTTGAATCATTTGAAGTTACTAGAGGTTATGAGAAGATTTTACAAAATTCGTTAGCATTAGCTAAAATCTTTACACTTCAAGACAAACGAGTGGAATCATTAGTGGTTAATGGTGATATCATTCCATATGAAGGAGATCTTATTATCACTAGATCAAGAGCTCTTTCAATGCCAGAAAGATATACTCAAATTCCAGCTTCTCTCAAGATTTTGAAATTACTTGTTAGTGAATTAACCTTCCAAAACCAACAACCCAATGCCAGTGATTACTTACCTGAAGAAGATCAATTCAATGATGACGACGGCGATGAAGAAGGTTGGGAAGATATGGATGATATTGGAGTTCCAAACTATGAAAAGTTAAAGTCATATGTAGATTCTGATAATGACGAACCAGATGCAGAGGATAATAATAGTGGAGATTTGAAGGCTGCTCTTGTTTCATTCTTCAAAGAATGTACATCCAAGAACTTGGGTGACTTCCAAAAGTATTACAATAGTTTAGATGAAGATGAAAAGAAAACCATTACTGAAAATATATTATTTTAGAGTATATAGAATCATAAATAGGCATTAAAATATATTTTCCAGACCGTATACATAATTACTAAGGCCGCGCATCTTTTGATATTTTGATATGACAATTTTTTTTTTTGGTTCCTCCGTTTAGAGATGAGATTTAATTGCAAACTGCTTTAATCTATATATATAAATAAAGTCAGTTTGTGTTTGATTTTGTTTTGGTTGTTTAGCATACCTACATGAGGTGTCCCTTAATACTTCGATATCCATTACGACTTATTCCAAAGACCATGATCTCACCTTCATTTTCACCAGAGCCTATACAGGCACAATTCCAAACTAAAGTACTCCAAGTGAGAAAAGATAGCATTATATTTGGTAAGAATGATCTACTACCAGTCATTACCGATAAGGAAACGGAAGATAATTTAAACATAGCTGCTGCAGAGTTAGTGAATACTGATAATGTGGTGGCATTTCCTACCGAGACTGTGTATGGATTAGGAGGATCTGGTTTAAGAGATGAATCAGTTAAAGCTATTTATAAAGCCAAAAATAGACCATCAGATAATCCATTAATTATTCATGTTTCATCTATAGATCAATTAAAGAGAAAATTATTACCTGAAGATGTGGATATACCTATTGTTTATAAAGATATATTAGAAAGATTTTGGCCTGGACCATTAACTATTCTTTTGCCAATTTATCCTGGATCACCAGTTTCTAAATTAGTCACAGCCAATCAAAACACCTTTGCAGTTAGACTTCCTAGTCATCCAGTAGCCAGAGCATTAATCGCCATGAGTGATACTCCCTTAGCAGCACCATCTGCCAATGCATCAACTCGTCCTAGTCCAACATTAGCTAGTCATGTATATCATGATTTACAAGGAAAATTACCCTACATTTTAGATGGAGGAGCATGTGAAGTAGGAGTTGAATCTACCGTAATTGATGGTCTTGTTAAACCTCCTATGATTTTAAGACCAGGAGGTGTTTCAGTAGAAGATATTAAATTAGCTGGTGGAGAAGCATGGAAAGATGTAATATTAGCCAAAAAGACAGCAGGAAAACTTGAACCAGTTCGAACTCCAGGTATGAAATATAGACATTATTCACCTACTGCCAAAGTTGTATTATTCATTAATTGTAAAGATGGAGTGGATGCTATTCATAAATATTTACAAACAGAAAATATCAATAGTAAAGAAACTAAAATCGCATTATTAAGATCAATCAATTTTTCAACTAAAGACGTTATCGATAGTAATATCTATTTACAACGAGATTTAGGTTCAACTGGTCAACAAGTTTCTCATAATTTATTTGCATTATTAAGAGAAGTTGATGAATTAGGAGTTGATTTAATTCTTGCAGAAGGAATTGATGAAACCGATGAAGGCTTAGCTGTGATGAACAGATTAAGTAAAGCAGCCATCCAAGTTATAGATGGGATAGATATATAGATAATGTAATAATAATAATGAACGTAATTGTAATCAAATAGAGATAGGATTTAGGAGTCGGGCCTCTCACTCAACTTCTCTGTCTGCCTCGTTACCGTATAGGGTAAAAGAGCCGCCTAACATGTAAAAAGCCATATCTTCAGGGATAAACTGTAAACTGCACAGAAACACACACGTATTTTTTATTTTTCTTCCTTTTGTTTGCTGAGAGGTAATTCTTCATAAATGAATCCAAAAAAAGCCAGGTCAAAGGTCAGCGCAAGGCTATACCAAAACAATTTGACGTGTATTGCATTTGGTGTATGATACATAATTGCTGGAACATCGTGTTTTAGTATAAGAGATCTTATATCGTAAGTGGTCGATCCAGAAATATGAGTGAGAATCCGTTTGAATCGACATTACCTATTGCTCGTGCCAGCTCTCCGTCGGTCAAGTTTTCTCAGAAATCAATTGATGAAACAGTATCGGAGTTACAAACCAATGCCATTACAGGTTTAAGTAATAATCAAGATATATTGAATCGAAGGTCATTACATGGTATTAATGAATTATCTAATGATGAAGAAGAAAGTATCATATTGAAGTTTTTATCTAAATTTTATGAAGATCCATTGATTTTATTATTGATTGGATCAGCCGTCATAAGTTTTTGGATGGGAAATGTAGATGATGCCGTATCAATTACTTTGGCCATCACTATAGTGGTGACTGTTGGGTTTGTTCAAGAATATAGATCAGAAAAATCATTAGAAGCTTTAAATAAATTGGTTCCTGCTGAAGCTAAATTAACTAGAAATGGAAGCACGTCAACCGTACTCGCATCAACATTGGTTCCAGGTGATTTGGTTCATTTTACTCAAGGTGATAGAATCCCAGCTGATATAAGATTAACAGAAGCTGTTCATTTAACCATTGATGAAAGTAATTTAACCGGAGAGAATAGACCCGTTAAAAAGACAACTGATTCACTTACTAGTGAATTTAAAGAAGTACCCCGTGTTACTACAAGAACTTCAATTGCATTCATGGGAACTTTAGTAAGAGATGGTCATGGTACAGGGCTTGTTGTTGCTACTGGGGCCAAGACTGAATTCGGTGCAGTATTTGAAATGATGTCTGAAATTGAAAAACCAAAAACTCCTTTACAACAAGCTATGGATAAATTAGGTAAAGATTTATCAGTTTTCAGTTTTGCCGTCATTGGTGTCATTTGTTTAATCGGTATACTTCAAGGTCGTTCATGGTTAGATATGTTTCAAATCTCTGTTTCATTAGCCGTGGCTGCTATTCCAGAAGGTTTACCCATCATTGTTACTGTAACTTTAGCCTTAGGAGTTTTAAGAATGGCTCGTCATAAAGCAATCGTTAGAAGATTACCAAGTGTTGAAACTTTAGGAAGTGTCAATGTTATTTGTTCTGATAAAACTGGTACTTTAACTCAAAATCATATGACTATTACAAAAATTTGGGCTACTGATTTTAAAGGTAGTTTTAATAGTCCATTTTTAGTGGTTGAAAAATTAGATGATAATACTTTACATCATCAATTAACTAAAAATATGCATAAAATTTTAGAAACGGGTAATATTTGTAATAATGCTAGATATTCATCTGAAAATGAAAAATATGTGGGTAACCCAAGTGATATTGCTATTGTGGAATGTTTACCTCATTTTGGATTAGAAGATATTAGAGGTACAAAACAAAGAGTTTATGAATTACCATTTTCATCTAATAGAAAATTCATGGCCATTTGTGCTCATTCGGGTGATTTAAGTAAAAGTGAAACCTTTGTTAAAGGTGCAGCTGAAAGAGTTTTGGATATTTGTAATAGATATTTGGATGAAAATAGTGAACCAAAACCATTAACTGATGAAAAACGTAAAGAAATTCTTCAAAAAACACATGTTTTGGCTGATGATGGTTTAAGAGTTTTAGGATTTGCCAGAAATAATAAAAAGTTTATATCTGAAAAAGAGGATGAACTTCCTGACGAATTAATATTTTGTGGTTTAGTAGGAATGAAAGATCCTCCAAGACCAAATGTGGGTAAATCAATTGCTCTTTTAATGAAAGGTGGAGTTCATGTTATTATGATTACTGGTGATTCTCCAACCACTGCTATAAATATTGCTAAACAAATTGGTATGCCAATTATAGGAGAAAAATCAGTTATGACAGGTGATCAAATTGAAAATTTAAGTGAAGAAAGATTAGCTGAAGCTATTCATAATGTTTCAGTTTTCGCTAGAACTACTCCAGAACATAAAGTTACTATTGTTAAAGCTCTTCAAAGAAGAGGAGATATTGTAGCCATGACAGGTGATGGTGTTAATGATGCTCCTGCTTTAAAATTAGCTGATATTGGTATTGCCATGGGTAAAAATGGTACTGATGTTGCCAAGGAAGCTGCTGATATGGTTTTAACTGATGATGATTTTTCAACTATTTTAAATGCTATTGAAGAAGGTAAAGGTATATTTTTTAATATTCAAAATTTCATTACATTTCAATTATCAACTTCAATTGCAGCATTAACATTAATTGCATTAGCTACATTTTTTGGATTACCAAATCCATTAAACGCCATGCAAATCTTGTGGATTAATATTTTAATGGATGGGCCACCAGCTCAATCATTAGGAGTTGAACCAGTTGATCATGAAGTTATGAATAAACCACCAAGAAAACGTAATGATAAAATTTTAACTGAACAAGTTATTAAAAGAGTTTTACAATCTGCTGCTATGATTATTATTGGAACTTTATATGTATTCATTAGAGAAATGACAGATAATGAAATTACTGCTAGAGATACAACTATGACATTTACATGTTTTGTTATGTTTGATATGTTTAATGCTTTAGCATGTCGTCATTATTCAAAATCAATATTTGAAATTGGATTAACTAATCAAATGTTTAATTTTGCCGTGGTTGGATCCTTAATTGGTCAATTCTGTGCTATTTATGTACCATTTTTCCAATCAATTTTCCAAACTGAAGCATTATATTTCAGTGATATTGTTCATTTATTCTTTTTAACAAGTACAGTTTTCATTGGTGATGAAATTAGAAAATATTTGTTCAGAAGTAAGAATGCAGCTATGAATCCATTTAATTTAAATGTATGATCAATTCATGGAATATCCCCCCCAACTAATTAACTCATTTCCCCAAGTATAATAGATAAGACGGACGAGAAGGAAAGAAAAGAAGGTAGTTGACAGGTGATGTGTTTAGAGAAACGATACAATTGTATAATAATAATAAGATATATAACATAATATAATATACACTATAGTTTAACTAGTTATTATTTTAAAAATCAGTATTATTATGAGCCTGAAACAGATTTAAAGGTAACTCGTAAATGAAGTAAACAGTTCTGAGAAGAGGAGAGAGGGAGAGTGGGGTGGTAACGGTTAGACCATCTCTAGTCTGAACAAAATCTTTCAAAAGTGGAGAGATTTTTATAGGAAGTAACGGATGGGAGGGTGTATATACCAATTCACTCCTATTGTTTCCATTTATCATTTGCATAATTACATTGTAATTCATAGAATAATTATCTCGTTACCCTCTGACAGGGATTGATACTATATATGGCAGAAAAAGAAAAGCTGCGAAATAAACTAGTCAGCCGTATATTGAACAGAAAATATGAATGATACTTTTTTATCAACCAATAGTAATCGAGAGCTACAAATGAGGAGATTTAATGTTATATACTATTTACAATATTATATCTATGGTTGCTTTTTATTCGCTCATAATATCGGACGTTTGCACGGTGTTTCAGCCCAGTTACTCTTTTCTCTGTATTTGTCATAGTCATGAGTTTACAATTTTGACTTCGCAGTTCTGTGTCTGGCAAACCCCGCATTACTGACTCTGAGCGCACCAAACGGTCTTTGGGTATGAGTGATATTTGTTCCGGAATAATAAATTTGACACCGATTTTCTATGTCAAAGAAGTCATTGTTGTGTATAACTGATTTCAACTCAACGGTTTCACAGTCAAGTCAAGTCAAGTCAAAGTCAAAGTCTACCACATCCTCATCCTTTATTGATCTTATCATGAAGATTGTATAAATAGACTAAAAATTCGTTCTATTTTATATTTTTTAATTTGCATCTTTTTACCCCATCTTATTCAAAAACATTATAATAATCACACTTTGAGTTACAATGGTTTTCAAATTCACTATTGATAACGTTGTGAATAAATACATTCCTCCTAATCATTTAGATAGGTTACCTAAAGTTATAGGTAGATTTCTTGGAGCTCATACTACAACTCCCAAACATGATTATTTAATCTGGTTAGAAATCTTTATTGGTAGTTTTGCTGGTATAGCTTTAATTGAAGGGGTATTTAAAAGTCATACTGTTTTCACTCATCATTCCGCTCCATTGATCATTGCCAGTTATGGAGCAACTGCCATTCTTTGTTTTAATGCAACTCAAGCTCCTTTGGCTCAACCTAGAAATGTCCTAATTGGTCATTTTATATCTGCTTTAATTGGAATTTGTATTCAAAAGCTTTTCCTGTTAAGTGAAGCTGGTAGAGCTCATTATTGGGCTAGTGGTGCTCTCAGTGTTGCTCTTTCTTCTGTTGCAATGTCAATTTGTAATTGTGTTCATCCACCCGCTGGAGCTTCGGCCCTTTTACCTTCTGCTGATGACACTATTAGAGATATGAGTTGGTGGTATTTACCTGCCCATCTTATTTCATCATGTTTAATTCTTTCTGTGGCTTTAATCACAGGAAATATCATTAGGAAATATCCTGTTTATTGGTGGTCTCCAGGCCCAGTTGGTAAACCAAAACCAGAACCAGTTGAAGCACCACCTCCAATGCTTAACAATCCACCCTCATTTTCAAGAACCAAAGAAGAATCAGATAACTCATCAAGAGAAGAAACTAAAGAAGGAGTTACTTTCGTACCTGGTTTAGACAGTATTCAAATCAATCTGCGTGAAATCTTAGTTCCTGCTGAAATGGATTTAGATGAACTTGCCATTGAATGGTTAGATACATTAAAGATCAAATTACTGGAATCTGCCACTAGAAATGATAGTGCAGTTTGAAAGACATTCGTCTTATCATTACATTAGAGATTTTATTTATTAATTTCTTAGATTTCGATCTAAAAGGATGGTATTATGTGAAAGTTATTCAATCATATCTTCTATTAATACTTTCAAAATGTCTTTGATACATTTGGAATGGCTACTTTTAAAGTAGTCATAGTGATTCGTGTTAGGGGTGCTTAATTCCTACACGGTTAATGATTTGGTGGTATTTTACTTTTTTTTTATTAATGACCAATTTTAATTTTAATGCTATTAACATAAATGTGTTGCTTTTGTTCTAGCTTTCCAAACTTTACATTCAACTTTTATAAATTTCATCCAATGTGATAATTCCCTTGAAAGTTGAATCTTCAATCTTTTCATAAATACTCTTAGCCACCTTTTCTGTTGACACAACTGGCCTAACCAATTGATTCAACATTGGTATACTATTACCAAGAATATATTGTTTACTATTATATCCACATTTTAAAAATGTAGTTACGAAATCTCCAGGAGTAACTCCTCCTCTGCATGTCCAAGTCTGCCTGGCAGAAATCGATTACTTTGTTTCAGCCAACAGAAAAACACACTCACGATTGAGGAGATTTACTGTTATATGATATTTATGCTTTCTTCTAACTCATTCATGGTAGCTTATGTTTCAGCCCTGGTGATCTTCGTTGATATTTGTCATTTTTTTAATTTCGCAGTATCTAAGACCCCGCTTAACTGACTCTGAAAACCAAAACGGCTTTCGGTATGAGTGATTTTTGTACCGGAATAATAAATTTCACACCGATTTTTCACGTCAAACAAGTCATTGTTGTGTAACCGACTTCACTTCAACGGTTTCGAGTCAAAGACAAAGTTAAAGTCATATTCATCGTCATTATCAATCATAGGTCTTATCATCAACATTCGCATACCTAGACTTAAGATTTCTTCTACTTTATTTTCATTATATATTTTTCATTTGCATATTTTTACTCCATTTTAGTCATAATCATCAATAATCATAAACACATTTTTAATTGCAATGGTTTTCAAATTCACTATTGATGACGTTCTTAATAGATACATTCCTCCTAATCGTTTAGATAGGTTACCTAAGATAATAGGTAGATTTCTTGGAGCTCACACACCAACACCTAAAGACGATTATTTAATTTGGTTAGAAATCTTTATTTCTAGTTTTGTCGGTATAGCTTTAATTGAAGGAGTATTTAAAAGTCATACTGTTTTCACTCATCATGCCGCTCCATTGATTTTTGCAAGTTATGGAGCAACTGCCATTCTTTGTTTTAACTCGAGTCTGGCACCTTTAGCACAACCTAGAAATGTCCTAGTTGGTCATTTTATATCTGCTGTAATAGGACTTTGTATTCAAAAACTCTTCCTGTTAAGTGAAGCTGGTAGAGCTAATTATTGGGCTAGTGGTGCTCTTAGTGTAGCCGTTTCTTCAGTGGCAATGTCGATTGGTAATTGTATACACCCACCTGCTGGAGCCTCAGCCCTTTTACCTTCTGCTGATTATACTGTTAGGGCCATGGGTTGGTGGTATTTACCTGCCCATCTTGTGTCTTCATGCTTAATTCTTGCTGTAGCTTTAATTACAGGAAATATCATTAGGAAATATCCTGTTTATTGGTGGACTCCTGGTCCAGTCGGTAAGCCAAAGCCTGCACCTATTGAAGCACCAGCTCCAATGCATAATAAATTATCCACATTACCAATAGTTAAAGCAGAATCAGACGGCTCATGGGTAGAAAAAACCAAAGAAGGGGTTACGTTCGTACCTGGGTTAGACAGTATTCAAATCAATCTGCGTGAAGTCTTAGTCCCTGCTGGATTGGATTTAGATGAACTTGCTATTGAATGGTTAGATACATTCAAGATCAAATTAATGGAGTCTGAATCTAGCAATGATAGTGCAGTCTAAAATAACACTAATTTCAGCTTTACATCTTATTTATTAATTTCTTAGATTTCGAGAAGAGATCTAAAAGGATGGTATTATGTGAAAGATATTCAATCATATCTTTTATTAATACTTTTCAAAATGTCTTCGATACATTTGGAATGACTACTTCTAAAGTGGTCATAGTGATTTGCGTTAGGTATTTACTTCTACACGGTTGATCATTTGGCGATATTTTATTCTTTTTATTAATGCCCAATTTAATTTAATGGTAATAACGTAATGTGTTGCTTTTGATTTTATTTATCTATTTACAAGGACTTTTATTTTTCATTTCAATCGTTAAAACATGTGTTTCCCAACCTTTACATTCAACTTTTATAAATTTCATCCAACGTGACAATTCCCTTGAAAGTTGAATCTTCAATCTTTTCATAAATACTCTTAGCCACCTTATCTGTTGACACAACTGGCCTAACCAATTGATTCAACATTGGTATACTATTACCAAGAATGTATTGTTTACTATTATATCCACATTTTAAAAATGTAGTTATATAATCCCTTGCGGTTGCTCCTCCTTCGGCATGTTTCTCTTCATACATTATTCCAGGTCTGACCGAAATCGATCTTAACCCTTCTTTACAAGATAACTCGAATTCAGCTTCTCTTTTAGTGGTGATATATCCTGAAGGCACCATAGGGACTTGTTGATCAGCGGAGATATAGATAAATGTAGGATTGGCATCAGGTACTTCTTTCTGTTCAGTTATAAAGGTATCAGCCAATAACACAGCCGAATCACGTTGAATGGCCTCGTATGAATTATGATCTTCTTCTCCCTTTTTCATGGGATTTGACCCTTTTAAACTATTAGCGAAATTTTGAATATCACTAAGGAAGTTTATATTTGAATTCATTGCTTTCTTATATGATTGATTTTCAAATAAAATCCCAACCGAATGAACTATAGTACCGAATTTGGATAATTTAGATTGATAACTCGAAGCATCGAATAAGTCAGCACTTTCCCATTCAACTTGTTTAATCCAAGGTTGATGGATTATAGCTTGAGGAGGTTCACCTGATCTTGAGAATGAAGTTACTTGATATCCTTTTTGAACCCCAATTTCACAGATTTTACGACCAAGGAAGCCATTACCTCCAAACACAGCAATTGACTTAGCTAATGACATAATGAGAGTATATATACTAAGACAATTTGAAACAATTGAATGAATGGAGATTGATGATTGGTATATGGGTTCATTTTTTTTAACATTTCAATTCTAGATTTTGTGGATGTCACCAGCTTCACTCGCAAAATTTAAAGTTGTCACTGAAAAATATTATGACAGATATCTACTACGACTACAAATATGATAAGATGATTCTATCGTAAAAGACTTTTATGCATTAATGACAGGATTAATATAAAGGTATAAACTAGAGAACTAAAATTAAAACTTAAAAAGTAAAACAAACAAAATAAATAAATGTCAAACTATGAATAAACTAATTATTCGATATCATGATGGAATTTCTTATTGAATAAGACATATTCTTCATCATTAAGTTCACCTAATACAGGCGATCTTCTAGCGTTTCTCTTTTCAGTAGATGATGATGGAGATAATGAGACAGGAGCAATAACAGGACTTGAATCTGGAGTTGAATTTTCACTTTCAACATCGGATGATGGAGGAGTTTCAACTGTTGGTTGTCTCTTTTCTGATGATGATTGTTGTGATTGTTCTTCTTGTTGTTGTCTTGAAATTGGTCTTATAAATTGGAATGGACTTTGTTCATGATATAAATTATTATCGAAGAATTGATTAAAGAAAGCTTGTTGTTGTTGTAAATATTGTTCATAAGCTTCCTTTTGTTTTTGTTCCTTTAATTTTTGTTCCTTTTTAGCTTTGATTAAGGCTTCTTTTTTAGCTTTTATTTGAGCTTCTCTTTCTTTCTTTGCATTTAATTCAGCTTCTTTTCTAGCCTTTTCAGCAGCAGCAAGTTGAGCTTCTCTTTCTCTTTTAGCTTTTAGCTCAGCTTCTTTTCTTAACTTTTCAGCAATAGCTAAAGCTTCCTTTCTAGCTTTATATTCAGCTTCTTGTCTAGCTTTAAGATCAGCAGCTTCTTGTCTAAGTTTCAATTCAGCTTCACGTCTAGCCTTTAATTCAGCTTCATGTCTAGCTTTTAACTCAGCTTCTTGTCTTGCTCTGGATTCAAATTGGCTCCTACGTAGTTGATCATAGTCAACTTCTGGACCAGCTTGTTGTTGTTGTTGTTGTTGTTGGAGTTGAGCAATTGGGAAACCAAAAGCATTAAATAAATTTTCAAAACTATCAGTATGACAAACTTTAACTCTCTTTGGGATATTAAGAATTAAGATATTTTCCGATTTATATAATTCCCAATTAATTTGATCGTATAAAATATCATCTAATTTGAATTGGAAAACTTTTTTGAATTGATCTTGTTTCAGTTGTAAGATAACATTAATGATAGATTGATTATAACTTGGGATTTTGACAACTTTAACTTCGTAATTATTGAAATTACCATAAGGTTTAAAGATTTGGATTTGATAACCGTCTTCATTTTCTATCTTCTTGACAACTCTTGGTTTGGCTTGTTGAGCTCTTAATTGTTGTTGTTTTTCTTGTTCTTGTCTTTGAGCTTCTTGAAGGAAATTAAAGAATGAATTTAAGTCATTTGGAGTAACTTGATTAGGTGAAGAACCTTGTAAGAATGGATTAATGGAGAACATTTGAAAGTAGTAGTAATAGGATTTGTTGTAGTTATAGATGTAACTGGAATGATAAGAATGATAAAATAAAATAGTAAGATTATAATTAGCCATCGATATCCTTTTATAGTATTAAAATCTCATGTTTCTATATTTGCCATCATCTATTTTCGCACCCACTAACAAATTTTCTAGAAAAGTATAGAACTGCGCAGAATTTGATCGAAGTTTAAATTTGCGACTTGAAGACAAAAATAGAATTGCATGGAACGGTAGAGAACACCTTTAAAACTATGACAAATTATGGTGACAATCTAAGATGAAATTAGTGATCGCCATCCTGTAATTCCATCATATCGCTTATAGCCTATAACCTTATAATCGGAAATACGAACTTGGCTTTGTCGTAAACTTATTCCATATTTGTAATCGCTTCTTCATATTTATTAGAAGTGATTAGATGTTGGATGTCCTGCATACAAAACCCATATGACCTGTTCCAGATTTATGGTCAGTAATAACTTTATAACCATTCAAGTTATGATTAAATATATCATATTAATCACACTTGGAATGACTTGAACTATACTTATCCAGTATTATAATTAGAATAAGTCAAAATTACTAATGTAAGACCCCTGGACTTCGTGATCCTAAATTTATTATTTCCTCGTAAATATATTGCAAACAACAGATCGTATATTCACTACTAGTGGGCGTATGAATAAAATATACGAGACACACTATCAACTTGTATACTATTTCACTAAAGGTGATCACTAAGCTCAAATAGATATTCAATCTAATATTATTTATAGAGTTATATTCCGTAAATGGAAATAAAAATGGTTAATTTTAAATCCCATAGTACTTTGTCCAAAAAAAGATTTCTAAATTTAAATGCAAAAAGCTATATTTAGATTTGGTTATTGAGATGATGATTTAATATATAAAGAAGTGATTAAATTGCATACAAATTTAGATTTATAGTTCAGTTTTATTTGAGCTTTTACATGGATAAGCCTTTTCAACCTATTCTGTTATTTCAACTATTCAATCAATTCACTGGTGAATTGACTGACAAATCTAATATACTCTGTCCCAACTTTTGCATCATTTTTACAAATCACACATAATGACGGATATAAAAATTGATGAAAAGAAACCAAGTATTAATCACAATGGGATTCAAAAAAGATTAATTATTTCAATCTTGGGAACTGTTTTATTATTAATTAGTTTCCTTGCATTACCACATCTTAAATCAAATTATATTAATACCTTAATAAATAGATTCCATGGAAATTGTCAAAACGATTATTTAGTAATTGGAGGAAGTACCATTCCATTAATACAACCTACAACCACCGAATTAGCAGATGAGATGGTTAGAAGAGACGTTTTGGCTGTTAATGGAACCATTGGAAATTCTACAAATTCATCCTATGGTGGAGTACCTTTAACAACTGCGTTAGATAATCCAGCTACAACTTCATTTAATGGTGGTGGAGGTGGGACTTTAGTTCTAACTGCCACTTCATATACAACGACTTTTGATACCACTCATGTTTCTGCTAGTAGTGGAGGATTATCAACAGGTGCAAAAGCAGGTATTGGAGCTGGGATTGGGGTGGCTGCCTTAGTAGCTTTAGGATTTGTATTATTCTACTACAGAAGATGGAATAAAAAATCAAAATCAGAAGTAAAACCTAAATCTTCTACTTATAACTATGCTCATATGAAAAATAATGATAATAATACTAGTACTGATTCTAATATTAAAGATAGTCATCAACATATAGAGGAGCAACATAATAACATTGAAATTCATGATGAAGATGGAAATGTCATTATTGAATGAATGAATAAGTAAATAATAATTTAAACCTTGTAGACTATTTATCTTATTAACTAATTGAATACACATATATTGAATTAATATTGCAATCTATCCTAATTCGGTAACAGTTTTGTCATGGGGTCGCGATCACACTTTTTTTTAGCGTAAGCATTTTTTTTAGCGTAAGCAGGGAAATTAAAAAAAAGGGGGGCCGGGGCACAGGGGACAGTTTAGCTCAGCTCAGCTCAGCGTAAGTCAGTGAAACAAAGACGAGACGAGAGTTAAGCACTTGACAACAACTCTAATACTTCAATCGTCTGTTTAATTTAGAACGACTCCTTTCAAACTATAATTATTTGAATGATATATGTTTTCTATCGATCAATATGTAATGTAAATATGGCTATATTAACAATAGAAATTCGTCTAACTGTAAATCAGTTTCTACTATATTGTTACTAAAAATAGAATGTCACTAAATCAAAAAAAAATTTTATTACTAACTCTAAAACAAAGAAACAAAACACGTTAAAACTCTTACTACTGATTGTATTCACCTCACTAAATATGAAGTTTAACGATCTTTTTATTTGAGGAGAATGTGGTATAGTAGATAAATAATAAGTAAACATTACTTTTTTTAAATATAAGTGGAATGATATGGCTTTATAAAACCTAATCTTCTTGTCACTTTATTCTAATCTGCTATTCTACATTAGTGATATATCCCTTTTATATATCCTACTTGATACTACATCTAATCAAACTTTGTGTGTTAATATTACCTACATACCATTTCCCATTCATTTCCGTTAGGCTAAGCCAATTTTTAAGAACTAAAACAAAAAAAATTTTTTTTTTTCCTCGTAACTTTTTCAACTCAAAATCAAAATTATTTATTACTGTTCAAGACATATTATCAATCGTTCTTTTTATCTTAATCCTGTTTAGATCTCGTTATCATCACATTCATTTATTCATCGATTCATCATGAAGGAAGGAATCTTAACCCATTCGAATGGTAATCCTACCAAACTTCAAAATCCAATTTCAAAATGGTCTTCATATCGTACTATAATATTCGTACCTATAATAATCATAGGTTTATTTTCAACATTCATCTATTCTTATCATAATTCAAATCCAATCCATTTATGTTATCTTCATAGTGAATTAGAAACTACTTCCACTTCTGAAAGTTCATATATATCTAATAATAGTTCAGTATCTTCTTTATCTCAACCTCTGATAACTTCTATATTAGAAAAAGTGGATGACAAAGTGGCCATTGAAAAGAGGTATACTTTTACTTCCTATTATTATAGTGATAATCAATTATTCACTACTGTTGTTACTAATAATACTTCTAATGGAAATGGTAACGGTAATGGAAATGGTAACGGTAATGGAAATGGTAATGGAAACGGAAATGGCAATGGAAACGGAAATGGGAACAGTTCACTGAGTTCATCACTAGTCAGCTCCCTGTCCTCTTTAACTTCAAGTTCAAGTTCTTCTGTCTATTCATCCCCATCATCAAGCTCGGTTTTCTCATCACCTGAAACCTCATCTTCATCTTCAACCGAACATAGCACTTCTTATGATATTCCATCATCAACTACTTCATCAACTACTTCCTCTTCTTCTTCATCCTCCTCCTCCTCATCTACAGAACAAGCTTCCTCCACTGATACTACTTCTTCAAGTTCCTCCGATTCAGATGTATCCACTTCTCATTCAACCACCGAATTCAGTTCAACTATAAGTGGTAGAGTCGTGGTTGTAACCAGTACTTCCATTGTCACCACCACTCCAACTCCATCAGCTGCTAGTAACTCTGATAGTCATAGTAGTTCAGGTGGTTTATCAAGCACCAACAGAATCGTTGTCGGTGTAGTTGTCGGTGTTGGTGGTTGTATTTTAATTGGTATAATCAGTCTTTTATATTATATCAAAAAGAAGTCAAACAGTCAATATCAAGGTGGTTGGACATTTTGGAAAAAGAGTGAAAAAGATGAATTATTTAACGGTGAATTGGGAGTTAGAGATAGAAATATTAATCAAGGTTCTAATTTTTAGTTCTCCCTTCAAAATAATCTAACAAAATAATCTTACAAAGTATGAATAAAAATAAAAATTTTACAATCCATAAAACTTCGAGTTACCTAATAAAATAACAAAAACCGGAATCCTACTAACATTCCAAACTATCAAATCTCAAGTTTAAAATGATACCCTCTAACTTTCTCCCACCTTGTTTCTTTTACGTTCAATCAAAAATAACTTTCTTTTCTTTTCTTTTCTCCCAACCCTTGTTTTTTTGTACTTTTAATTTACCCTTTTTTTATCGATTAGTGTTAATAGTCTATATAGATCTATAAATGAATATTATTCAATGTTTTCAAGCTAGTCAAACATGTTGTAGATGTCGTTATTGGAATATTTGTTATAGGAATTCAAAATTCAACTCACGTGAAAATCTTTAATACGCGTCTAACGAAATTTTATTTTTCAATCATACTAGAAAGATCATATTTCATCATTTCAACAGTAAGATATAATTTCCATAGACTTATAAACAGAGGGGCATAATATGGTGCTGTATTCAGTATATCAACAGATCACTAACGATCCAGAACATACCTACAAACTAATGCAATTACCGCCTGATTTATTGGAATATATAACTAACAACGACAAAGAAGAATTAGTTCTCAAATCATCAATAACTTCAGATAATTTAGTAGTTTGTTCAAATTCAAAGACGTGGAGATTAAGACAGATGAATCATTCCAATACGGCTTTGATATGTGATAATTTGAATATCAACGTTAATAATAAATTTACCGATCCATTGGTTGAAACTGGAGATCAACAACAACAATTTGATAATAAATTAGTGGGATTCAGTCAATGTTCTTATGAGTATGAGTTGTCGAGTACGGAGGGAATCATTGATATAACTGATTTACCAAGACATTCAGGAGATCAATTGAGCGATGATACGCTTAATGTTGATACGTTGGATTGGTCATTACAACAATTGATTGATAATTCACCTATATCTTCCCAAGAGTTCTTTACTAAATGGTATGAATATGGAGGATGTATCATAAATGACAAAGTTCATATTCTTACTAATGAATTCATTACCGAGATATTGTATGGTTGTATTACTATTCTAATCCTGGAGAATATTAATTATAATGATGATATTGAGATATTGAATTTTATTCAATTAATCCTAATGCAAGATGAAACAATGAATCAATCTATAATGGAGACTATAATCCATAAATTCGGACATGAAATCAAAGAAGATACATTTAAATTAGATCATGCCAAGATATCGAAATGGTTCGGAATCCAACAATTAGCAAAATCGCTGGGAAATCTTATAAATAAGAAAGAATTCCTTTTACATTGGAAATCATCCTTACCATCATTCTACAACGTATCATTAGATATCCAAGATCTTCGAGGGAATTACTGTTCTCCCATCGAGGATAAGATCTTATACGTCAATGCTTCAGATTTAGCCACATCAAATCTTTCGGTAAGGTTTGTTCAATTATTTCAGTTGGATAAGAATTGGAATTATGATGATTTTATTCCATTCATAGCTGATTTCGTACCGAATGGGAAGAAAGTTGATTCTGTAATTTTGAAATATGCCAGAAAGAAGAAAATCACCAAGGATAAATATTTAATCGTACCTCGTTAAAACTGTTTATAGTCTTGTGCAAGTAGTGTAAATAAATGAGTAAAGATGATTCTGAATCATAATTTTTGATTTTTGCGACTCGCAACCGAATTCGATTCGAAAAATTTTGATAAAGTTTAAACTATATGTAATTACAAAGTAAACTTCAACTCATTATAGAAGTGGGATTACCTTTCAGTATGGATAATCTGACCTTCATAGTATCATTGATAGTAAGTATCTTTTAATTCAACCGAATTCTTCTTTAACAAACAAAAACACGACTAACACATTTAAAAGAGTGGAGCTTGCGCTGGGACTTCAACTGATCTTGCATTCTTCCCTATTGATACTTTAAAAACAAGATTACAAGCCAAAGGAGGATTTTTCCAGAATGGAGGATGGCATGGGATATATAAAGGGTTAGGATCTTGTGTAGTTGCATCAGCTCCTTCTGCTTCATTATTTTTCATCACTTATGATTCTATGAAAATTTATACCAAACAATCAAATTATTTCCTGCCTGCTCAATGTCATATGATAAGTGCTTCATGTGGTGAAATAGCAGCTTGTTTGGTAAGAGTGCCTGCTGAAGTCATTAAACAAAGAACTCAAACTGGTATTTTAGGTATCAATGGTAAATCAACTTCATTATCTAATTTTCTTTATATTTTACAAAATAAATCGGGTGAAGGGGTTATAAAAGGATTATATCGAGGATGGAATACTACTATCATGAGAGAAATACCATTTACCGTCATTCAATTCCCCTTATATGAATATTTAAAAGTAAGATGGTCAGAAACCACGGCCAATAAAGATATATCATTACTTAGAGGAGCTATATGTGGATCGATAGCAGGAGGAATAGCTGCAGCAGCCACTACTCCATTAGATGTGATTAAAACAAGAATTATGTTGAATAAAGAAAGAATCAGTTTGGGTAATTTGGTCAAGACTATGATTAAAGAAGAAGGATATAAATCATTCTTGAATGGAATTGGACCTCGAACTTGTTGGATTAGTGCTGGTGGAGCTATATTTTTAGGATGTTATGAATTAGTGCATACAAATTTAACGGCTTATAACCAAACCAAAGTTAAAGCTACCCTTTCAGCATAAATAGAATAGAACATAGAGTCATATATACATACATACAGTTTATAGACATAATAATTATTAATCAAAAATTTAAACTTATCAGATTATCGGGTATAGAATCGGAATCGGAGACGTAAGTCCTTCTCACGACATTATCTGATGGAGAAAAGAGAAAAAGTCTCGATGTCGTTCATGATGATTAATTCAAAGGGGAGAACAGACAAACAGTGAGAAAATAGAAAAAACGAAGTCAAACTTAAAAATCTATCAGAAACGGGATTTGATTTGAATTCGATTTTAAGTTCATTTCATTATTGCTATATTTGTTTTGCTGTCGATCGTGGTTTATATAGTGTATCCCACATAGCTGAGTCAATCAATCAATCAAATATCTGATTCAAAATGTTAGGAAATCAACTTAAATCTTTGAGTTTCCAAGTTGCAAAGCATGGATCTTTATTCAAAGTTGGCAGCAATAATGCCATACGTCAATTCTCAAAGATATCTAGAACTTCATTAGCTACTAATACCACTACTGGAGAACTTCATGTTTCAACTCCTATTGATCCACCTTCTCTTCATCCTCCTGAAGGTTCATCTGTATCTTTAAAAAACTCATCTAGAGATGATTCTCAATTTGGTACTAGACCCATCTATTTAGATGTTCAAGCTACTACCCCAACTGATCCAAGAGTATTGGATAAAATGTTGGAATTCTATACTGGATTATATGGTAATCCTCATTCAGCAACCCATGCTTATGGTTGGGAAACTGATAAAGAAGTTGAAAAAGCTCGTGGATATATTGCTGATGTTATCGGAGCCGATCCAAAAGAAATCATTTTTACATCTGGTGCCACTGAATCAAATAATATGGTGGTTAAGGGTATACCAAGATTTTATAAAAAGACCAAAAAACATATCATTACTACTCAAACTGAACATAAATGTGTTTTAGATTCAGCTAGACATATGCAAGATGAAGGGTTTGATGTCACTTATTTACCAGTTAATGAACAAGGTTTAATCAGTTTAGATGATTTAACAAATGCTATAAGAAAAGATACTATCTTAGTTTCCATTATGGCTGTTAATAATGAAATTGGAGTTATTCAACCTTTAAAAGAAATTGGTAAAATTTGTCGTGAAAATAAAATCTTTTTCCATGCTGATGGTGCTCAAGCCTTTGGTAAAATTAAACTTGATGTTAATGAAATGAATATTGATTGTTTATCAATCTCATCTCATAAAATTTATGGTCCAATGGGTATTGGTGCTTGTTATATTAGAAGACGTCCAAGAGTAAGATTAGATCCAATCATTTCTGGTGGTGGTCAAGAAAGAGGTTTAAGATCAGGTACTTTAGCTCCTCCATTAGTTTGTGGTTTTGGTGAAGCCGCAAGACTTGTTAAAGAAGAAATGGAATATGATCAAGCCCATATTCATAAACTTTCTGAAAAATTAAAGAATGGTTTATTATCAATTCCTTCTACTCAATTAAATGGTTCTCCTGATCCAGCTTCTCAATATGCTGGTTGTGTTAATATTTCTTTCGCTTATATTGAAGGTGAATCTTTATTAATGGCCTTAAAAGATATTGCTTTATCTTCCGGTTCAGCCTGTACATCTGCTTCATTAGAACCTTCATATGTTTTACATGCTTTAGGGGCTGATGATGCTTTAGCTCATTCTTCTATTAGATTCGGTATTGGAAGATTTACCACTGAAGAAGAAATCGATTATGTCATCAAAGCTATTCACGAAAGAGTTGATTTCTTAAGAAAAATGTCCCCATTATGGGAAATGGTTCAAGAAGGTATTGATTTAGATTCCATAGAATGGAGTGGTCATTAAAGCTGGCTGGTGTTAAGTAGAGTATGAGGTTTGTTTTTTTAGCGACACTTATGTTTTTTTTATTATCATTATCATTATTATTATGGGTAATCTCTCTCTATTATTGTTATAGTTTTAGCCTTTTTATTTTCTTCTGTAAGTAGTTTTAAAATACATTTTTATCCAAAAATTAATCGTATAATTCAATTAATCTTGGCAAGTAAGTGAATAATGAATAGGGTTCAGTCTAATTTTGTGTTTATCATCGCTATGCCGTTACCGGATTTTTCTGGGACTGAGCAAAAAAACGTCACCAAACCTTTTGAGGACTGAAAAATTTCGAATCAGTAAATTATGACTCTATCAACTTCTTCATCCTTTTCCTTTCCTTTTCAATTCGTTAGACTTATAATATATATCTCATCATGTCTGTAACTACTAAGACTATTACAATTCTTCCAGGTGACCATGTTGGTACCGAAATCTGTAATGAAGCCATCAAGGTTTTAAAAGCCATTGAAGAACATACCCCACATCAAAACATAAAATTCGAATTCAAGCATCATTTAATTGGAGGTGCTGCCATTGATGCCACTGGAGTTCCATTACCTGACGATTCCTTAGCTGCCGCCAAGCAATCTGATGCTGTTTTATTAGGAGCTGTCGGTGGTCCAAAATGGGGTACTGGTGCTGTTAGACCTGAACAAGGTTTATTAAAAATCAGAAAAGAATTAAACTTATATGCTAATTTAAGACCATGTAATTTTGCTTCTGATGCTTTATTAGAATTATCTCCATTAAAATCTGAAGTTGTGAAAGGTACTAATTTCACTGTTGTTCGTGAATTAGTTGGTGGTATATATTTTGGTGAAAGACAAGAACAAGATGAATCAGAAGATAATGAAACTGCTTGGGATACTGAACAATATACCGTGGCTGAAGTATCTAGAATCACTAGAATGGCTGCATTTATGGCTTTACAACATAATCCACCTTTACCAATCTGGTCATTGGATAAAGCAAATGTTTTAGCTTCATCAAGATTATGGAGAAGAACTGTCGATAAAGTTATTACTGAAGAATTCCCAACTTTAAAAGTTCAACATCAATTAATTGACTCAGCTGCTATGATCTTAGTTCAATCTCCAAGTAAATTAAATGGTATTGTTATAACTTCAAATATGTTTGGTGATATTATATCCGATGAAGCTTCCGTCATTCCTGGTTCTTTGGGTCTTTTACCTTCAGCTTCCTTATCTTCGTTACCAGATACCAACAAAGCTTTTGGTTTATATGAACCATGTCACGGTTCTGCTCCAGATTTACCTGAAAATAAAGTAAATCCAGTCGCTACCATCTTATCTGTGGCTATGATGTTAAGATTATCATTAGATTCACTTAAAGAAGCTGCTGCTTTAGAAGAAGCTGTTCGTCAAGTTTTAGATTCAGGAATTAGAACTGCCGATTTAAGAGGTACAAGCTCTACTAAAGAAGTTGGTGAAGCTATTGTAGAAGCTTTGATCAAAATTTTAAAATCTTCTGCTTAATAATGTTTATAGTTTTTTATTTAATTCGACTTTTATATATATATGCTTGGTTTGTGTTAAACTTACAAAAATGAAAATGAATAAATTAATGATCTTATTTAGGCATGCGACTAGACCTATATATGCTACTACTATAACCATATTACTGTAAAGAGAAGTCTCCAAAATCCAAGGTTTGGTTTAAATATTCTGACAAGTAGGCTACTGAATCGTCTCTCGTTATAAAACTAGGTATTGAGATATCTCTAGACACTTCTCCAAATCCAGATCTTGGTGGTTGAGGTTGAAAATCATGGATGATAATGGTACCTTCACTAGATGAAGATGTCATGGTTTGAATTGAAGTTATTTTGTTTTGAAAACCAGCGGCATTGTTATTATTGGAATTGGTGTTGCTATTATTGTTATTGTGATGTTCAATGATTGAATTCATAGAATTATTAAATTCGTCCGGTGAAAAGAATTCATCTTCTGAACTAGTTAAAGTTATTTGACTAAAGTTATGTTTAGGAATATTTTGAATACTGTTCGATAAAGTTGATGGTTTATAAACAAAGCTAGGCACTCTTCCAGAACTAGAGAATTTAGCATCTATTTGTTTGCTTAATGCAGTTGCATATTCAGATGGCGTCAATGATTGCTGAGATATATCTCTCAATTGTGGTTTAAAAAACTTTTCAACAGGAGCCACAAACTCCTGTTGCTTAATGACAGCTGTGGGTTGTGGCACTGGATCAGATTTAACTTCTGGAATATCTTGGACGGTGATATAAGCTTCAAAGCTTTTATCTTCTGGGGTTGGAGGAGGAGAAGGTTCCTTTATGTTTTGAATAGCATTCATGTGAATGACATCATCAATGGAAGTTGGTGGTTTAATTGGATCAACTCCAGAGTCTTCACGACTAAATGAAATAGGTACCCAATTGGTTTCTCCATCCGCATAGAAGTCTTCTTCTTTAAAATTTCCAACTGGAATCTGTGAAAGCCTGTGAAATTGATTACTTGAAGTTGATTTAATAGAATTGGAATGACTCCCAAAAGCTTTCTCTTTAGCTGGTACTTCTTTCGTCAATACAACTGCTGATTGTAATAATTTAGTACTTGCTGGTTCCTGGGTTACAATTTTCTTTGGAGCTTCTGGAGCAACATAAGCCTTATTGATGACCACTGGCTCAAGCTTCAATGGTTCTTTTACCTGAGAAGGTACTTCTTTTGCAACCTTTGTGACTTTGACTGAACTGGCTTTCTGTAATTCTGGATTTGGTTTATAAATCTTTTTGTATTCCTTCTTTTCACCTTGGGGGATATAACCATTTTCTTTGACTTGACTAACATCAGGGGATACTTTACCAGTATTTTTTCGTTTAAATGCTTGGAATATCGTCTGAACAAAAGATCTTCTTCTTTTGGCCTTTTGAGTTTTAGATAATGGTTCCTCTTTCATTTCTTTCTTCTCTATTGTTAACTTCTTCTCTTCGGGTTGAACGTTAGTTGTAACGTTTGTTACTTTCTTGGTTAAATAACTTTCTGGAATTGAAAGAGCTTCACTGAGAGTTTTCTTATGAGTCTTTCTCTCTATTAAAGGTATTGGCTTTACTCGATCTTGCTTTTCTCTTAATTCTTCTTTCAATTTTTCAATGTCAGAATTCATAAATGTATCTAATACATATTTGATATCTTGTCCAGTAGCTTCAATAGCATGATTAGATATAGAATTTGATGATTTGAAAACACAAGCGTAGAAATTACCGACAAACTCTTTAATAACTTTCTGAAAATCTTGAATCTCACAAGTCAGTCTAGATTTGAATATTCCAAATTTATCGACCGCTTTGATTCTAACCAAGCCATCAGTCACGAGATTAGCATGAATTATCAAATCTAAATAAGGATGATCTGTGAAATAGACCTCAGTATCTTTGATTTTCATATTCAAAAATAACGCAATTGGAGATTTGCATGTTTCAGCTTCATAAACTGAGACATCATGAGCAGTAGAGTATAGACTCAAATTAGGAGTATCACTTCTAAACAAATGGAATGGCTGACTTTTCAATAATACTCTAGCTTTATTAATCAATTTAAGTATGGAAGTACTATTGTGCAATTCACTTCTCTTGGTATTTATGACTTCAAAATTCTTGGAAAACTTTCTCTCTTCTTGATTTGTACTATTAAAACCATTCTGATGTTTACTGAGGAAACGAAGCAAGTCAGACTCTGTTCCATCAGAGCCAACTGCTTTATATGAAGTGACCAAAACATCATTTATATCACACCAATTTGTAACTTGCATATCTGGGAACAAAGAAAGATTTGGAAGAGGTTTTTCATTAATTAATGAATGCATTAAGATGTCTGGTATCGAAAGGTTCTTACTAGAGCCATCCCTTAAATAGTAAGAATTATCAACGATAGTTATGAATAATAAATGATCGGAAAAGATAATCAAAATTTCGATATCATGTATACCTTCTGATTTAACATTTTTCAATTTAAAGATACCAACAACTTTTCTAGATAACCAACCATACTGTAACTCGCTGGGCCATTTACTGGCTAATTCTGTTAGTATTTTACCAGTTGGTGTAAATATTCTTTGTCTTGGATCAATGGATAATTGATTTTCTTCACCTCCAAAGGCATCAATGACTTCAATAGATCTACTGAAATATGTTTGGAAGAGTTTAGCTTCTTCGTCACTTTCACTATTTACCCCAAGTATGACTTTTTCAGATCGTATTGTTTCTTGTAATCTTTTTAAAATTAACTTGAATCTAGGTAATTCCATTAATGAACCAGAAACTATAGACTCTACCCCTCTGTAACTATAACCACCTTGATTAATGGAATCATTCTCAAACACATTGGAACGATTCTTTTTATTGAATCTATCAATCTTGGATGAGAAATTTCTTAAATTTGCTTCATGTCTAATGAATGGTTTATAAAAATATGGCAATATCATATTCATAACTTTCATGACTTCCATATAACCGTAGCTATGAGCTTTGCTCAAAGCATCATGCAAAATACAATTGATTCTTGTTATTTCGTCAATTGTGGGTGGGAAAACTTGATTAAGCTTGGCTATACCTGTATTAGCAGTCGATGACAAGACACTAATCCTTAGAGGGATTATGAAGTTTTGTAATAAATTAACTAATCCCATAGTGAAGTTAGCCTGAACTGTGATTAACTCGGTGACAACAGAATCTATTAAATGACTATTAACTTTAGTTGGAGCATAGTTTGCAGTAGTAGGAACAATATATTCAATTTGCATTGCTTCTGGTGAATATTCAAGTAATGGATCAAACAATTGTTCCAACTGTTCACCAATTAGGAACACGAGTCTGTTATTGTTATTTATGGCTCTTTGATCAGAGTTATCGTAGACAATATCTAATAAGACAGAATCCAATTGATGCAGCTGTAATAAACCAATTTGTGTAAGCTTGAGACCAACTTCTTCTGGAGTCTTGTTCTCTAACAAGATCATGGATTCAGCTAAAGAGCCTGCATTAGTCTCATCCCACGATCTATTTAATTCTATGGATCCACTATGGTTAGAAAGTCTGTTATAATTCTTTAAATTGGTTATGGCTAAAGCTCTTTTCACTGGTGATTGTTGTGATTGTTCAGATAAATTTTCACAACTAGGCCAGAATCTTGAGTTGGGATCTAATTTCATATTGTCATAGGAAGTTAAACCGAATTTTGTTAATGCTTTGGTACTTATTTTATTAGTCTTCAAATGGTTGTAAACCATGACTATTACATCTTCAAATAATTCCTTATCATGGCCAACATAGAAAGCAGCCAGAGGGAACATTCTCACATAGTCGTTTATAGTGGTTATATGGGAGTTATCTTTATGTTCAGCATCATATTGACCAGATAAGGGAGGTATATCTATTGAAGTAAGGTCTGTAGATTTAGGAATTGACTGTGAAACATTGGTTGAATTATTGATCGATTGGTCACGTTTTGAACTATTGAAAAATGCTTCATCATGCTCTCTAGAAGCATACCTTTGGTATATTCCCATTGGAGCTCTTCGTTATCTAGTATTAAAGTGGAAAAGATCGTAGATAGCAATTGGTTATATTAAAATTGATATAGTCTAACAATTATTTTTCAACCAATTCCCCAAAATGTAAACATAAACAAAAGTCACGTGCCGCTGCAATCATTTCCTAATTAGGCAAGAGGCATAATAGAAGCTTATTTAACAATAAAGATGTACTCTTACGGCTGATAGAAAGAAGTAATTTGGATTATCATATGAATGCCCATCTGTAAGAGATTGATTGCAAAAGTTTAAAAAGTTATTACGTGCTAAATTGAAATAATTTGGTACATTATATACATTTTAAGATGTAATTCAAACAAAACATTCAACAGACAACAACCAGCTATAAAATATTCTGTACAATACTATAGCAACGTCTAGTAACCAGTTATTGACGTACAGTCTTCCTACACTGCAGTAGCTAAACTTGTGAACCAAACTTCGGTGATGTGTATTCTTTCAACACACTAAACTATCCAGTTGATTACACTCATTTGAAGAGAACTGACCATTATCCTATCTACTACATAGTAATCATTGAGTGATACTATATGGTCCTTCTCTATATCTGACAAATACCATATTCATTAATTCATAAAACTACTTTGCATACATAAACACCTAAAAAGTAACTAATTTTGGATCTTTGGGCATACCATTACTATCGATGTTATTTTCATTCAATTGACTTCTTGTATATTGGAGTCTAGCTTCATCAAATGATATTCCCTGATTATCCATAATAGTTTTGATTTCTGCCTTTGCTTCAGTCAGTAATCCTTTTCTTTGATCTCCACTGTTCACATTAGCTTCTAGATCAAAATTACTACTGCTCAATCCATCAGCTATTTCTTGTTCAAATGGATTCAATCTATCATAGAACCCATTTCTGGCCCTTTGTCGAGTTCGATATCTATCGTGTGCTTCAGCAATCTTATGTCTAAAATGAAACAACAAACCAGCCGCTACGATTAATGCAAATATTAAAACATGATGAGACTTTATTTCAGCAGTATTGAAACCATAGAAATAGCTTGGTTCACCTGATTCGACACCTTCTAATTCACTTGACATCGTGATGATTCTTGCTAAACCTATGAATGTAATTGATGAAGTATTGCAAGTGGCAATGGCAAGTTTAAATATAGATTTAAGGGTGGCTCAGTAAACAAAAATTAAAATTACAGAAACGTGATGGTGCACTACACACAAAAAAGAGTCTATCACTGCTTGACCCTTTTCACAGCCAAACTAGAATAAATTACATGTAATCTTACACTTAATAAACGTTAAATGAAATTGGAAATTTATATTATTAATCGAAATTTGCTTGTGTTATGAGAAATAGTTTTAATTGACATACTTTTTTTTTACTTTTTATTTTAAACTATATAAAAATTTTTGAAAAACATTATGTATGTTTATGGCTTCTTAGCATAAGTAATCCTAAGATTTCTGTCACCATAATTATAGTTATTTAAGGATTGGATGGCACTTTCAGCAACATCCGCCAATTCAAATTGAACCACAGCGTTTCCTGAAGCTTTACCTTGATCGTTATATTGGATTTCAGCTTTGGTAGTTCTACCAACAGTTTCAAATAATTCATATAAATCTTCATTACTGGTTACAAATGGTAAATTGGCAACATAAATAGTATCAGATTTTTCTCCATCACCTTCAACACCAGTAGTGAATTCTGAATTTGTATGTACTGGAGCAGGAGCTTCGTGTCTTTCTCTTCCAGTATAAGTATCACGTCCTCCATTAGATTCAGCTCCTAGTTCTGGTGCACCAGCAATCTTACCTGGACGTGTATTAAGTTGTCTACCTTCGATTTCATAACCTTGAAACATTTCAATGGCTTTATCAGCTTCAGCAACACTACTGAATACAACAGTACCAAATCCTTTTGATTTTCCTGACCAATCTAATTTAACATCGGCTCTCACAACTTCACCAGCTTGTCTCATTAAATCCTTTAATGCTTGCCAGTTAATTGAAAATGGTAAATTACCAATGAAAACTTCAGTACCAGGTGGAGGAGGTTCTCTTCTTTCTCTAGGAGCTCTAAAGTCATCTCTACCTCCAAAATCATCTCTTCTACCTCCACTTCTATAATCATCTCTTCCTCCTCTGTAATCGTCTGTTCTTCCTCCACTTCTATATTCATCTCTTCTTGGTGGATATTCTTTCTTTTCTGGTGGTGGGTAATCTTGTCTTATATATAAGGGCCTACCATTGTAATCAAATTTATCGAATTTTTCAATAGCTTTATGAACATCTTCTTTGGTAGAAAATTCAACTGTAGCCATACCTCTTGATCTACCTCTGTTGGTTACAATATCGGCTCTTTTAACTGTGAATTGATCTTTGAAAATGGCTTCGATATCTCTTTCAGTACTATCGAATGGAACATTACTTATAAAAATGGAATTGTCATAATTTCTTTCAGATTTTGAACGATAGTCTCCATCAGAAGGTCTTGATGAGGATGATCCATAATCTCTTCTACCATAGCCACCATCTCTACTACCATAACCTCCATCCCTACCTCCTCTTCCACCGTAACCACCATCTCTACCTCCTCTTCCACCATAACCACCATCTCTTCCACCTCTTCCACCACGATATCCACCTCTTCTATCGTCGTAACTTCTATTGGTCCCATAATCTCTGCTATTACCTCCATGATAGTCACGACCACTACTACCTCTGTAGTCTCTACTATTGGATGTTGAATTTGTGTCTTTTCTTTCACGAGAACGTGATCTGTCTCTTACTGGTGAACGAGAACGATCCTAGAAATATGATTAGCATTTGAACTTAAGAACATCTTAAATAGAAAAGAAAAGAAGTAGCTCCACTCATTGGTAGAAATAGAATAACAAAGCAAGCTTAAATATAAAATACAAACAAATACTTACCATCCTCAAATGAATGAATTTCATGGAAGAGGGGTAACGTAAAGTTGGAAGCAGCATGATTAACGGGAACAGATGAGAAGAAAGTAGACCACCACCACCATCATCATCAATCACCACCACGTAACTACCACCAACAACCAGTACCACCACCAAGCTTACATTCAATTGAAGTAGCAACCCATGAAGGATGAGCAATTCATTGCGTTGTATTGTTTCTGTTTATACTCATATTAACTCTAACCTCATCTTTTATTTCTATACTTTATGAGTTGTCCCTCCTTTCCAACATGAATAAAAAAAAAATATCAACATACTCTTGAGTAATCATCAATGTCCATTTCTTCCATTTTTCTAGTTTATATAATTATATTTGAATGTATGGTTTATGATATATGTCTGTTTTTGTAAATATGGGAAATGAATGTTGAATTGAATAACAAAAATTGGTAATAATAATACAGGCTGAAAAACAAAATCAATCAATTACTTATAAATGGATACAAACTTGGATCTTACCACTGAATACAAGATTATAATCGAATGAAATTATATACTTTAACTAGGTTATAGAAATCATTCTCAGGGTTATCGTTGTTCGAATTTGGAAGAAAAAGAGTGAAAAATTGTGAGATAATTTTCGTTGTCATGATATTTGAGCTTATTCACACGACCGCCACCAAATGGTAAGCAGTATATATATTTACCTTCTTTATAATTTATACACTAAAATACAGAGATTAATTAAATTTACTTCTCAGGAAATGGTACTACCAATCTTCTCTCAACTTCAGTCTCTTTATTTACTTCTTCTTCACCATCGAATTTTAATCTTACATTACCATCTTTTCTTGATCCAACTACAATGGCAGGATAAAATGTAGTAGTTTCAGGATATCTGGCTAATACTTTAGTACCATAAGGATAATTTGATAACTCTTTAACTTCAGCAATAGGGGGTATTAATAAAACTTCTTTGTAATTGGCTTTGAAAGTTTGACCAGGATTGTTATTTTCATCAGGTTCAGGATCTCGAATCTCAAATTTAATACCATCACCAATTACCTTCATAACCTCACATTGAATCCATTCTTCAAAATGACGATTCTTTAATTTATAAGCCACTTCGGATCCCACAAGTATAGGTTCCAGAGGATTGAATTTAGATGTGTAGAACAGTCTACCCACTTTTTTAACGTTACCCTTTTTAGAATCCTTAGTAATCTTTGAATCATTAGTAGCAGCAGATGCTTTTGAAGATTTAGTTGCAATGGTTGTACTTGAAGCAGCTGAAGATGGAGTAGCACCTCTCTTTTTGGCCGCCGTACCCTTTCTAGTAGATACACCTTCTCTAACTGGTACGGGTGGTTCTGAAGTTTCTTTACTTTCAACTTCTTCTTCTTCCTCTTCAACTTCTTCTTCTTCTTCCTCTTCATCAATCTCCATATTATCAGCTCCAGTATCATTCTCGGCATCTTCTTCAGGTGACACACTACCTTTGACATCATTGAGTACAGCTAAAGCTTCCTTCGAAGCAGCAGCTTTCTTCTCTTGTTCTTTTTGTAAATATTCTATTAATGTTTGTAATTTTTCTTGGGATGTATCAATTAATCGTTTTGCAGTACCTATATTTGATTTATGATCTATTATCTCTTCCTTTAATTTGTTTAATTCTTCTTCCTCTTCTTTGTCAATTTTTGTCCGTTTAGCACGTTTTATATCATTATCATCGTCATTGTCATCATTATCATTACCATTCTCTTTTGCATCCTTTAATCGATTGGTGAAATCTTCAAGATACTTGTTATAAATATTATCAAAACTTAATGATTCATTTGAGTTACAGATATCTTGTAAGGATGTTATCACTATATCCCAATTACCTTCTATTTCCAGTGATAGTACCATGTTAATTGTTCTAATAACACTGTTATATATGTTAAGACCCTCTTGTTGTGCTTGATTAAGTTTCTGATATTTTTGTTTTTGTTGACGGTTAAACAATTTTGGAAAATTATAGTCACATGATGATTTGTCGCAAATTTATGTCGAAAAAGTATTTCTAGAAAAATGACAGATCTATGACGAAAACTAAAATTGCAAAAGGGATCTTGACACAAACCTCACAAAACCGTTTGTTCCTTCTATTCCGATAAGGCTAATTACCTAAGTACAATAGCTTTATTGGTATACAAAGAAGCAATTGACAGCATTGACAAGATAATAATATGAATAGTGGTGATTATTTAGTTTTTGCATCTCAAATAGTGCAGCTATCGAACCAATTGTATCAAATTAAGTACAATAAGGCTAAAAAATCAATCTATGGGATATCTTACGATTATTATGTATTAAATACCATAAACAAACTTTTGGCATTGATAGTTAGTTTGAACTACACTTACAATTCCACCATCATAATGCAATATAAAGCACGGTACCCTGTCCATTCCTTGGCCGTCATATCACCTATAATCATTATTATCGACTGTGGCTTACTCCTTACTAATGGGTTGATATTATCTCAATTGTTTATCATATATGCTCGAACAAAGAATGTAAATCAGAATGTAAGCGGGTTTAATATGTTATTCTTATCGTTTTTATTAGGTGGATTCCTCATAGTGTCAAAATACTATTGGTTTGCTGAATTAACGTTTAATTATCTTGATTTAATAAACTATTTATGGCTAGTTAGTTGGTTAATAGCGATTGTGGAGTTGTGTCCTCAACTAGTGATGAATTGGTTTGATGATTGTTGTGTTGGATTACATCCTCAATGGTTAAGCTTTGAAATAATATCTCTTATATTGAATCTCACGGGTTGGCTGATGATTAATCTCCATTTTAATGTACCATGGTATCAACTTCCTATAAATTATCATGGGTGGTGCTACCTTGTCATGAGATCCATACTTTTGATTATTTTCTCATTACAGCAATTCAAATGTTATAAAGGAAAAAGACCAACTTTAGAATTATATTATTATAGAGGAGTATCGTCTATAGAAGGTGTAGAAGAAGAAGACGAGATAGAGCAGATGATGGTTGAAGATCATCATGTGCAAGTTTGAATTTGATATTTTTCTTTTATTGTCTATATATGTATGTAAAATATGTATTATTAATAGCGAACTCTAAACTTTTTTATGATAAATTCATTTGGGTATTTTTTTCAGAAATTTGTTTTGCATTGATTGGTATAACATAAATGATTACATTTTACCTCCTAATAATCTTACTAATAAATGAACACCGTAACTGATTTTTTTATCTTCATCAATTTGATACACAGTAGGAGTAGTCTCTCTTTCTTCAGCTTCCGCTTGCGCCTTGCCTTCTGTATCTTCTAATTGAGGAGATGGAGATTGTCTTTTCAGAGGATGATCAGAATTATCTCCAATGGCAGCTACTGTATCTATTATTTCACCCATATTAGCACTGATTTGTTCAACTTTCTCAGGAATAGGTTGATCATTATTAATTGGTTTTGGATTGAAATCAGCTAAACGTAAAGGCTTAGCATGAATTAACAAATTATCAATCTCATGTTTCATTTGTTTTTTTAATTCAGGGTTCTTAGTTATGATTACGGCATTACTTTCTAAATCTAATGAATAAGCTCTCTTGGTATAATTTGATGAACCAATTATAGTCATAGAAGGTTCATCATCATCAGGAGTAGTTATCCAAATCCCCTTAGCATGATATGACCAACCATTTGGAGTATTCACCACCCCATTTTCCCATTCAAATACTTTTATAAAATCTTGCTTATTTAATTTTTGAATTTGTTCTAAAAATCGTTTGGCAAATAAAAGATAAGCTTGAGGTAAATAATATGATACACCTGAAGATTTATAAAATGAATTAGCTTTAGGTGAAGCAGTTATCACTGTTCCGGATGAATGTTTTGAATTTAATAATTTATCTTGATATTGAGGTAACATATTAAAATAACCAGCGGTAAACCACCATTTAATATTTGAACTTGAATCAAGATATGCTAATAATCTTAAGATAGCAGGTTTTTCAGTTGATCTATCATTTTGATCAGGGAATAAAGGAGTGAATTGACTTATAGGGTATACGACCGTATCAAAATCAGTAGGTTCTTCTTCATTAGGTTTGGTATTATGTTGTTTTAAAATCGGATCTAATAAATAACTTGAATCTTGAATAAAACGATGTAAATTTAAATGAGGTTCACAAGATTTATTTGAAGTAGGCCAAGATAATTTAAACCCACTTGGTAATTTTGATGATGGTAATAATTGATAACTTAAAGAATTAATGATTGCTTGAATATTATAATAATAATCAGTTAAAGGTTGATCTTTGAAGATATAATAACGATCTTGTCTATCATTGAAATAATCATTGGATAAATTGGCCCCACTTAACATGATTTCATTATCAAATCCATATAATTTCATATGTTGTAAACCCCAACCTTCATTAATTCTTCTTGGCGTGATTGATTTTATTAAACCTGATAAATGAGGAGTATGATAGAATCTGATATTAATTCTATGTTGACCGAATTTTTCAACCAAGGGTAATAAAAGGGTTGCTGAAGAAGCCGCTTCTGGAGATTCTCTAGTACCTCTTAAAGCATCGGTTAAAATATCAATTTTTAAATCTTCGTTATCAGATAAAGCCTTATCCAAGACTTCAATTAATTCATATTGAGTTTTACCCATATAAAGACTGGTCAAGAATACTCTTGACTTTGCGGTTGAGATCTTGGTGATTAAAGTTTTATAGAATACTTTAGGATCATTTAAGATGGTTATATTCTCAGGGTTTATGATGAATCTTGGACTTATGGAATCTAATTGTTGAAAGACCGGTTTCAAATTTGGATGAAATGATGAATAATTTAAGGGTTTATTATTAGTTGACAAAGATCTAGTTTGATTTATGGAAGTTTGATTTGGATCGGAATTGGGGTTGGCTGGTGATCTTGAAAATAAGTAATTATAAACTGATGAAATCATAGTGATATTTTTATAAGGTGAGTATGATGTGATAGTATTAAAATGAGTCCTTGTTGATAAAATATTGGAGAGATGCTTTGATATCATGAAAGGGAAGGAAGGGGGATGAGAAAGAGGTAAATCGAGTTGGGATGATGAAGACGATGACGACGACGTTGTGTGTAGATGAAATAGTCTAGATATGAAGGAAGGTAATTTATGGGTTAAAAAGGGTAAAATGAAAGGTAAAGAATGAATAAGTTTGAATTGGAACTTGACTTTAGAATCCTATTTACTCAATGAGAAGATGGAGTAGACCAATGAAGATACAAGTTGTAGATATTCCAAATGATGATTTCAGATAAATACTCAAAGCGAGACACTCAAACCAAAACAGTATTGGAAAAAGCTATACGATAAAGTAAGTGATAGATAACTCTTGGAGGAGGAAACACTAGTGATACGTTTTAGAACTAGTAAAGGAAATGGCTGTTATTTTGACACTTGAAGGAACTCAGACACAAATAACACAAATCACACACACTCAAATATCAAATCAGTTAATTAGTTCTAGGTTGTCAATCAAATTTCGTTCTGCCTGTTTTTTTTTTTTTAATTTTTTTTTTGATGATTTCTTTTTTTTTTTTGGGTGTGAATTTTGATTTTGGTGTCTATCTCTGTCTATCTCTGTCTATGTCTGTACCTATTTCTCTCAGTTTAAAGGTGTGGTTGTAGTGGTTGTAGAAGTAATCTCTGTAGGGGAGTACACTTACTCCTAAAAATAGTAATAATACAACTTTAATAATACCACGTCTGGAACTTTAATTGGTTCATGGCTTTGGCTAATTTATTCGAAATCGTGGTCAACTTATATATGTTTTTACTATGTAATTCTTCATATGAAATATTTATTTACCAACGTTTACTTCTACTTCTAGAACTTACTAAAACTACAACCTTAACTTCCACGCTTCCAACATACCACCGTCATTGATATTTCATTTCATTCCATTCATGTTCAATTTCGTACTTACTTCTTCCCCTTACTCCCCTCAATCAGTATGTCAAGTTAAAAAATTTCTTTTTTAACCGTTCTCTAAACGAACACAATCAGTAATTTCTTGTCTTAACTATTTTATCTAATTCGGGGTCTATCCCTTATATAGTAACCCTACGATCGTGTGATATCTATTACTCATCCTTATTTATTATTATCCTAACTCGAACCAACACTAACTAGCATACATAATGGTGCACATCTCTTTCATTCAAAGATATCCGCTTTCTTTCCGCACTTTGTTCCACTCCGTCGCTCTCTTATCTTTCGTTGCACCCATTTTGAGCTGAGGTACCCCTAATCTCTTATCAGCTACATTCCCCATCCCATTCCACTTTTATTTATCTGTTCTACATTCATTATTCTAACTTAACCTACTACTCCCATTCACGTTTCTTTATTTAGGAGTTATTCGGAAATTAAATGCTACCATCCGTCGTTTACTATATAAAAAATAGTATGGTCCTGTATACAAACATCCAGAAAACTGCTTTCTTTCCTAATTAGGATATTTTTATAGTATGAATTAACTTTCAAATTATGATCCCTTTAAATTAAGCTTTTTTACCAATTTCTTCAAGTTTTGAAATGTGGAGAAGGTAACTTAACTCTTTTAGTATACAAACTATACAAAATCTCATCTGTAGAAAGCCTCCTTGCATGGTTAGTTTTACTTTAAAGCCATGTTAATAAGAATAGTTGTCATTCAATTCAACTACATTTTATAAAATTTTAACTCCAAATTTGATCAAAATTCAAAACTTTTCAATTACAATTACCAAACTTTTATTTTAAACTATTTACAGTAATTTTCATTTATATACAGTTTTTCTAGAACTCTATCATATTACCTACTCTATCTCGCTTTACCACTACCAGCTTTTATAATTACAACATCACCATCTTCAACTAAATATTTCTTACCTTGTTTATATTGCTTACCTTGACTTTTGATTAAACTTTCATTGAATAAATCTAAATTTTTTAAATCAACCCATTTATAAACAATAGATGATATAAATGTCTTTTGTAAATCAGTATGAATTAATCCTGCTGCTTCTTGAACCGTATTACCTCTACGAAGATTCCATTGATGACATTCTTTTGGACCACATGTATAAAATGAAATCAAATTTAATGCTGATTTCATACTAGTAATGATTTCATTCACAATGGTTGAATTAGTTAATTCTTCTTGTTCTAATAATGATGATTCATAATTAGCACTAATCATTAATAATTTATCATGAGGACTATTCTTGGTAAGCCAATGTTGAATATCTGATAAATATTGATTGGTTTGAGTTTTATAATCATGTTCATTAACATTTAATAAATATAAAGTAGGTTTTGCCGTTAAGAAATGATATTTATTAATAATGGTAATTTCATCAGGATTATCCCATTCAACTTGATTTATCTTTAATCCATCATATAATAAATCTTGTAATTTTTCAAAAACTTTAAATTCATTTTCTAATTCAATTTTATTAACATTATGACCATGGACAGGCTTTTTCTTTAATTTGTTTAATCGATCAAGATTATTCTCAATCACTTCTAAATCTTTCAAGATTAATTCATCATTCACAATGGTTAAATCTCGAATTGGATCAACTTCATTATTTTCAATATGAATAATCTCTTCATCTTGGAATCCTCGTAACACATGCATAATTCCATCTACATTTCGAATATCATTTAAAAATTGATTTCCTAACCCTTCCCCACTAGATGCATTTCTGGTCAAACCAGCAATATCCCAAATCATCAAATTCGATTCGATCTTCTTTTCAGATTGGAAAATAGTTTGATAATGATCTAATATTGGCAGTTTAATATTAATGATCGATTTTATGGCATCAATGGTAGCGAATGGATAATTGGCGGGATTTCCAATTTGAGTCTGTTGGGTTAAGATTTGGAATATTGTAGATTTACCAACATTGGCCAATCCAACCAACCCAACTGATAAATTATTCGAATCTCTACCGAGGAATGTATTAGGTCCAGCACTGGTTGTGGGGCCAGCAACTTGTTTGAAAGGTATATGAGATGAACTAAAGTATCGTACCGATGGTCTAGTTAGAAAATATGTCGGTATAGGAAGAACACCACCACTAATACCACGTTCAACCCACCTTATCATTATGAAATTGGAATGGTATGCCGAGGAAATATGTAGACAACAGTTGTTTGGTGAGTTAGGTGATTTCAGAATTGAAATTTTTTATTCTTTATTTTTCAAGCGATCGGCTTGTAATGCGTAATTTTTTTTTAAATTTCCATAAGCAACCAATTTCGCACCCTAATTTGAGTAAAAGTTTTTCTAAATTACATTGAGCCATTAAATTAGACTTTGGTATATGCCGTTTAGAACTTTTACTAGGCCGTTTCTATATAAATAAGGTAAAATCCCTATTTTTGTCTGCTCTGTTCTCGCTTTTATATTTACTGTCCATCAGTTATTATGAATCACCTTATCATATAGAACTTTCAATCTACAACTTACTTAAGATTTTATTATGTTATGATTTTTATTATAATTAAATAAAGAGATTATATTTATTAGACTAGTTTATTGTTTCTTCTGCTATCAGATAAAATCGTATATGGTATGAAAGAATGAATAATATTAATGGTTTGAGACACGAAGAAAGGAATTAATTATAAATTATTTGTGTATGCATTTAAAAATGAATTGATGATGCTTATTTTCTATAAAATGAATGAATGAATGAATGATCATGATGTATGATTGTTTTTAAGGATGATCTATAAAACGAAAGCAAACTTTGATTTGTCTCTTAATCCACGACCATATTTATAAAATAAGAATGGAACAGGAATCATAGCAATAGCCACACAACCTAATAAAGTACTTGCCCACTTAATTGTCATAGCATCAAACATTTGTCTGGCAAATAATGGGAAAACAGCACCAAAAGCAGATCTTAAAAAGGTATTACCAGCTAAAGCAGAGGCAGCAAAGAATAAATAACAATCAATGATATAATTAAGACATGGTAAAAAGATTAAAATTAATCCATAACCAATGAAACCAGCTCCAAGAGTTGGAACAATCCAATGTACTTTATCAGCATAATCACCAGCCCAACCTAACCAGAAAATACCGGCAGCAAAGAAAAATGAACCAACCATCATAGGAGGTAATCTTTCTTCTGGAACTGGTTTACCACCATTATTATCCATAGCTAAATTATATCTCTTTTCAAAATAGATAATGGTAAAACCACCAAATGAAATACCAATTAACATTGATAAATAAGGTAATTCACCTACACCTTGACTGAAATGATAATTACCAATGAAAATTAATGGAATAGCAGTTAAGAAAAGATAAAGCATACCATAGATAAAAGCATTATAAATGGTAATTAATAACAAGATAGGTTCAGTTATTAACATAACTAAAGGTCTTGAAATATTTTTTTCAACAATTTCTTTAAATGAAAGACTAACTTCTTCATGAGGAGCAAAAATACCCCAATTTCCAGTTCTTCTTCTTAAATTTTCAGCTTTTTGAACCAAGATAATAGAATGATGAGTTTCTTCTAAAATAAAAGTATTCATTAAAAATGATAATACCCCAATTAATCCACAAAAATATGAAGTCCATCTCCAACCCAATGAAGAATTCTTTACAGTGAAACCACCTAAGATAGGAGCTAACATTGGACCACCAAATAATACCATAGCAAATACAGCCACAGCAGTACCTCTAGCTTTTGCGGAATATAAATCAGCCATAACAGCAGGAGCAACCACAATAGCAGCGGCACCAATAAAACCAGCAAAGAAACGACAAATCATAATAGTTTGAATATCTTTGGCAGTAGCAACTGCAAATGAAAAACAAACATAACCAAAAGTTGAAGGAACCATAACTACTTTTCTACCGAATAATTCAGATAATGGACCCCAAATAACAGGACCTGAAGCAAATCCAAATACGAATAAAGAAGTACCTAAAGTAGCAGTGGTTGAACCAATATGATAAATTTCCATTAATTGTTCTTGACCTTCAGCGAAAAATGCGGAACCCATTGATACAGATAAAGCAGCTAAACCAACTGAAGCAGTAAATAAGATTTTTTTCCAAAGAGGATAATTATGAGGATGAAGAGGATCCAAAGGACCATCAAATTGGACAGCATAAGGAGATCTATCAGGTAAAGCAGGAGGATAAGGACGATCACCACCCATTTTAGGTAATGGTTCATCCGTATTATTAGCTTCTTCTATTAATTTATCAGCACCAGTTAATTTTCTTGATAAACTTCTTGATAATTGAGCATTTGATTCATATCTTGATAATTCATCACCACCTTCTGGTATTGGATCATATTGTTCGATATCATTTTTTTCTAAATCTTCATCATCAGTACCAGTTCTATGAGTACTACTATTACCAACAAAAGTATCTGGATTAGTGGTAGTAAGTTCATCTGATGAATCATCATCTTTTTGGGATGAATTAGTATGATCAAAATGTTGTTCTTGTTGTTCATCATGAACGTCGGCTACATTATCCGCAACGGCTGCGACTGTGCTATTTTCTTGTTCATGAGACATGATGAATTATGGGGTATATATGATTTTGGATGATATGAAAGTGTGATGATCTATAAGTGATGTATAATAGGAAGTGTATTCGTTTGTCTTTATAAACAAACTAGGGGTTATTAATGGGATGAAAAACAGTTAATTAATTTTATATATCCGGAATGAAAAATAATAAAATCACGGTGCCAGGGAAAGATTATAGGCAATTGACTATATTCAAGGGAAGTGGATGATAATGTGGCAGTTGAAGTTATACCGATACGATGGAGAAAGGTAAGCGTCGGATAAGTTTGAATAAATAATAATTGAAGTTTATAATAACTATTATATATCCTATAAAATTATGAAAAAGGCAGAAATGGTTTTATATTTATAACAAAGGGAAATGGCCCTAATTAAAAGAGAAAAAAAGAATAAAAAATAAAAAAAAAAAAAAATTTTAAAATTTCATAACAAACCACAAAAAAAAAGAAAAGAAAAAAGAGTGGAAACGACAGCCACTTTGTGAATCGGGATTATTGAAATGGTATCCATGGTGGATATGGATGGGTAGGTTTAGTTGGGGGGTTTATTACTCATAGTGGATCAAGGAGGGTTGGACACAGTGTAGGCCATATCCAATGTATACTCCGAGTTAGTTATTCTGTAATAGGGTTATTTCCATTAAGCTGTTTAGTAATTTCTTACCTCCTATATAACTTCGGCATTAAAAATATGATTTAAGCCGTTAGCCCACCAATTGATGATCACGAGAATTAGAATACAATAGCTTAATGCTTATTAATAATTGGCTATGTTATTCAAATTACTAAGACGGTGATACGAGGGACAACTCGGATTATAACTTTATATATGTGATATCTAAACCAGGGTAATGGTTATTTTTTTATATGAAGTAGATTGAAAGTTTCTGTTAAGGTTATAGTTTAATTATATCATCGTTTATGATTGCTATAACCAGGTTAGTTACTATTAACTTTTACTTTTCATCTTGAGAATCTTAGGATCTCATCTCATTGTTATACTAGAACCTCTTCTACTCATTGATAAGCTTTTCCCACCTTATAATTCGTACATACTTATAATACGATCTTATCTTGTTCGTCTATAAAAATAGACGGATTGTGTCAACACAGTCCGAGACAAACCAAAAAAAAAAAAATAAAAGAAAATGATGAATCACGGCTTGACCAAAGCCATCTCAATCATTTATGAACCGATCAATACCAACTAGAGCACAACATAAAGAGTAACCGTCTTCTAAGCTAGCATAGATTGGTCTTTAATACCACAGCCACCGTTAATTAATTCCTTATCATACGGATCGGAAATTTGACTAGGGGTTCCCTTGGATTTCAATTTTTCTATTATTGTCCGATTTTTATAGTTATAAAATAATTGTGTGCCGACTTTAAATTTTGGCCGACGTCGTGCGAAATGGTTAATTACATACACTAACTTTAAAATATGATACTAAATAAATAATTAATAATGAGAGATGAGATATTAGTTATGTTACTGGTAGGGACAATCACAATTGCATTCAATTTTGGGCGCAAATAATATTCATCAGATAAACTGGAATAATACTCATTTCCAATACCATCTAGAATGATCTCTCCAGCTTTTATTGTTTAAAAGTCTTTTGGTAAAATTTCGGTTTTAATGATTGGCGGTCATCAATTTTTGTGTTAATTTATGGAGTTTGACCCTCTTTTTTATCATTTATATCCGAATTTTTAGTAATGAGAAATAAAGATGAGGGGACTACCAAGTTCAACCAAATTAACAGTGGTAATTATCAACTTAAATAAAATATTCTAGACTATTAAATTCTGCCTTCCACACCCTTACATACCAATTCCATCCTAACTTTCTCGACTTCTTTTGCTTATGCATTGTTCATCATACATACAGTTTAAAATTGGATTGAATTTTTTCCTAATTCGATTTTATTCTGGTTTATTTTTTTCCGTGTTCATCATCGGTTAAACCTGTTCATTTTCTATAGTAGTTTATTTTTGTACCAGTAAAGCAATGGTTAAACTAAATTTTAGTTAATATCATCATTAGCCAAGATTAGTCCACGATGTATGTAGTATATGATACGATTTTGTTAAACCTTCCTTTGCAAACAGTCGAAGACGTGTTTTAAAGTAATAAGTTTCACTACAAGTGTCATCCCACGCCATACGGCTGAGATACTGTTCTTAAAGTTGTTGTATTGAAATCATTTGTTATTGAAAGTTGTTTAGATTTTCTCTAATGCTAAGATTTTGTATTGATAGCACGTTTTAGGATAATCATTATTACATTTTCTAGGCGATCCCAATGGTCAATCAATCCTTCTACGGCTTCTTCAAAAGTATTGAGAATTTATTTCTTCCAAATTGTTGTTGTTATTTATGAAAAAGATATACAGAAGAAGCGGAATTGTTTTTTTGCTTTAACCATCCATTTTATATACAGGGATACAACGTTGTTACAACGTTGTATAAAAACTTCGGTATAGATGCCAAAAAAATAAAAAATAAAATAAAAATTCCGCCTTTTTATTACACAAAATAGGCGAATAAAAGCGGGATTCAATTATAAAAATAAAGGGAAACCTCAAATGGTTTGCAAACAAGTTTTTATCTAACCATGAATTTAATTTTAAAATTATATCATGTAAATGTTAATGTGAACGTATATGTAAATGTTGAACTAAATGTTTGGTTTAAAATGTTATTATTTATATATTTGCCCAGAAAAAAAACATATAAGGCCCTTCTATAAATAACAACTGGTTATTATCATATGCATAGAAAAAGTTAGTTATCTTTATATTGAATGCAAGTTTGAAATATATTCAGATGCATCGAATAGCAAGCATACGAACTCTCCACCTCAAAAAGTAAAAATCACACCCTTTATCCTCATTAATTTTCTTTTGGCCTCCTCCAACTTACAAACCATTATTTCTTAACGTTATAACCATCTTTTTTTAATGAAATCATAACGCATAAACCAAGAAATTGAATCCAAAATTATTATTTGAATTACATGTAAGGAATTAGTACATATAATTAGAAAATAATGGATGAGAATTTGTAAATCGCATGTTTTGTTTAGGTTATCCTAAACTCTTAAAGTTTCCCTTTATTTGAATATCAACAATAACTCACTATAATCATCAACTCAAAATTTTAAATTCAAAACTTATTTTGTTTGTTTTATTTGTTTACGGTGGTTTTTTAATTTTTGCGAAAAAATGCATAGTTTTTAACAATCAAAATAAGGACTGCCTTTAAACAAAACAGGGGCCCAAAGAAACAAACCTGCAACATGTACAATCAATGAGTAACTTTCGGAAGGGTTAGTGGTTAATCAACAAGGTTTCAACAATAACCTTATCAGACGGAGTTCGTTGGGGGTCATTTTATATTAACCAACAATGAAAACCAAAAAAAAAATAAGAAAAGCAAGTAGGCAAGCAAGTAGATAGTCACAGGTTTGACTTTAAAGTGAATTCTGCAATATCTACAATTGAGTTCAGAAATGAGACCACCATCGCTTTATCAGTTGCAGTTCAGTCTTTTTAAATCAATTTACTAAAAAGATTAAACTTAATCTACAGTCAGAGTTAATCAAATGTGTTAAGAATTATGTTATCATATTCTTAAAACAGTAGACATTAGAACCAAAACGAATACATCAAAACATTAAAGTAGAAGTTTAGAGAAATCAAATGCCAGACCACAAAACTTAAACCTTTCGCAACAATAACCTCGCCTTCGTGTTAAGACTAAAAAGGTAAATTATGACAATAGATAGATTACTATATATCAATATGTACATGTTGCATTATCTCTTTTACCTTGTTTTAGTTCATCCTTTCCTTATTTTTATGTAGAACGCCGAAATCATGAATATTGTATTGTATAACCTGGATAAGGTAAAAATTTAAGAATTAGCGCAAATCTAAACTCAATGTAAATAAGTAAACTATAAGTAAATATATTCATATATATTTATAAATAAAGTAATATGTAGAATAAAAAACAATTAATAAACACATAACCATAGTTCGTTTAATCTTAAACTATATTTAGCAAATTTTCATGAATTAGCTTGTTAGCCTTCGAAGATCCGTAACCTATCACGAATAAGCATTAATTTAGGAGTATTAATTACCAGTAATATATATTAAATGAGACGCGTTAAAAGTAAACAACATATTCAATTCAAAATCAAATTCAAACCAAGCTAATAGTTACTGTTTTTAAGAAAAAACAAACATATGTAAACTTGAAAATATCAGAATCCTATTCTAAAACCCTGTTCAGGCATATTTGCAAGCTTCTGACTGCAAGCGAACATCGCTTAAGAAATTATGAAAATATGCCGAAACAAAAAATAAACAAAAAACAAAAAATAAAAAATAAAAAATAAATTCATAAAGTTGTAAAAAGCACAATGGAACTGAAATTAAAATTGTAAAGCTTAAAGTTTAATTATGTAATAGGTATAAATCAGAAAATTATGCACGAAAGACTACTATTTTTCGATGGGATGGATAAATATTTATCTGTAGTCCAGAAATAAAACATTCTTTGAGGTAGTAAGCTTTTCTATTCCAAACTGAAAGGAAAAAGTTTAGATATACAGTAAAAGGGGAATTAGTTTTTTTTGGGACCTGTTGATGATCTTTATTTTATGTTACATTGACTTTATTTATGAGGCAGAAATCTATCTTAAGACATGAATATAACTATAATGGTTATAATTTTATATCGATGATCTAATGCCATGCCAATTGTAAGTCCAACTTTAAAGTATTCAGCTTAGACTTTACTTAAGTCTAAAGTTAATGACTACTTACATTGCAGTAATAAAAATAGTTTTGACAAGCAATATGTACGTAATTTATTTTTGGCTATTATTTTTTAATAACTGAATTATAACAATGAATTCCATTTTCTTGAAATTTTTATAAAAAAATCAAATTAGTTTCGATATAAAGAATCTCAATACGCTGAATGGTTACATAAATCAATGACATAACAAGAAATCATCAAAGAAAAATTTACTTGATTTGAAATAAACACTGCAAATATTTGCCTCAAAACGAGCCATGTAGAATACGACTTCGAACGTATAAACAAATCAATAATTATAATATAGAGAAATTAGGTGCTTTAAAAATAAATCTTTTAGGCAACTACGGAACCTCGGTTCGTTAGACCTACATATATATCCAGTTTAACCACCTATAACCGGTTAATTACCCCCTTTACCCCCTTCTCTCATTTCATGAAATACGTATATATTCATTTCAAGTATTTCCTAGTCATTAAAAAAGCTTTCCCTATTTATTGTAATATGTTATGTTTCGGTTGATTTGGTGAAAGCCTTTTCTGATTGTTCATGACTTCACACAAAAAGTTAAATAGTTTCATCAATCATAAAAACACAAATAGCCTCTCACAAACTTTATACTTTATTTTCATTGGCCACGGCGGGCAAATTGATGATATTCTTACTTAGAAAACGAGCGAGGCTCCAAGTTTTGGACCGATAACCTATAAATAAATTTTGTTGATGATCGTTATAGAACTTTCCATTGTTCAGGCTTATATTTTTATTTCTTCTAGAATAGGGAGGGTAAAAAATATTTCCTGAAACAAAAAAAATATTTGTAAAATTAGATTTGCATTCGTATTAAGAACCCCCAATTGGCAAAATACGCGTTGACTCGCATATAATTTAAGTTGATTGCTAATTTACATTGAAGGTTTGTCTTAGTTCGAAGAGCTAATTTAATGACATTAGTTAGTTGCTGTTATAATGAACACAAATTGGTATAATAAGGTAACTTTGAAGTATATTTAGTGTAAATGACATGATTACCCAGTTACTGGTGCGAGAACAAGCCCAATGACGCAAAGTAAAGCGTTTTCAATTACAGTAAACTACGAGGCAACCAATATAAAATAGAATGTTAAGGGTTTCCCCGTTTCAGTTCCCGTAATGTAACATAATGTGAATTATGTCAAGTGCATGCCCTAGCTGTGAATAAAACTTATGATTTACTTCTATTATAAAGTACATGATATTATATTACAACATAACCTTTAAATAATGATGTCGTAACGGTGAAATTGTTACTTTGAATGCAAGTCAATTTGCTCTCAACTGAAACTGAAGGGGGGCTGGGGTCCTCAACTGCGGATCAGGCCTTCTTTAAGAAGGGGTTACTTCTTACATAAACTCGACGCAAATTAACAATGCTGTGCATTATGCTGGACCATTTGAATTTACTTAATTGAAACCATATGTGAAGTTCCTGGTAGTAATGTTGTGCCTAGTAACTTCAATCCCGAGTTACCTATTTTTTTGAGGTCGTGTTGGTTATACTAAAGCCTTCGTAAAATATTAGTGTCTATAATACGGTACTGCATATACCGAATATACACAAAAAAAATAATATGACAAGATAAAAAAAATTAGACACGTGATTTTTAAATTTTGGGTAATATATGAAAAACTCCATTTAACCACTCTGTTAAAGTTTATATCTAGATCTATTTCTAAGGTTAGGACCAAGTATGGTTGGTTTGATTGATATTCCACTTTCTATCAAAAGAGAGATTATCCAATATTTGCCCCAACAATCATTATTGAACTTGTCGCTTACCAATTATGAGTTTTATGAACCATGTATCCAACAGTTATATAAACATATTTTGATTCAATATGATCCGATTGTCAAAAGTAATGTCAATGAAAGATTAACTGATTTTGTTGATTCTAATCAAAGTGTTATCTATGCGTTAAATCATGATTTGGATGATGGTAAAGTGTTTGAAGATCATGAAACTAGATTGAAATTGATAAATCTAAGATTATCAATTTTAATTGAATCATTAAAATTCAATACGAAATTGATTGAGAATATCCAAGAGGTAAGTATAATAGGGAATAAATTTGCTGATAATATCGTATTTCTTAATCATATACAAGAATTAGTTTATTTGTTTGAAGAAAATCAAATCAGTTTAGATAAATTCTTTATTTCAGACCATAATTTAAGATCAAGTTTTGACTTGTCTAAGCTCAACTTAAAGACAAGAGTTATCGATAGTTCAACCGTCGTACAAGATATAATAGACGTCGAGCTAACTGAAGAGTTGGTAGTAGAATCAGTCCCAGATGGACCCTATACAAGCATTCCCTTATATGCCTCATCCCAGTTAACTTCCTTAATCTTACCAAATGATTACGAACTGTATTGGACATTTGTGGAGAAGGTAATATATCCTAATCCACAGTTATTGAGCTCTTTAAAGTCATTCAAATTTTATTTCAACTACCAGGATATAACACAAAACATTAAATTGATAACTCTTGTTAATTGGACGAAAATAGAATGTCTAGAAGTTTGGATTGGTGGACCAAATAATGATGAAGATGTGTTATCATTCATAAAGCTAATCCCTGCCGATAGGTGTCAAAAGATTAGAAAATTATCAATGGTACAAAGTTTTGATTATTCAACCCATAAATCAAACGAGGTATTCGATTTAGCTATATTTAGCTTCATAAAAAGCGTGGTGTCAAATTTACATTACTTATCAATTGAACATTCTATTCCATTATTTGGAGACTTTGAGGATGGATTTGAAGGCAATCATTTAAGAATTTTAAAGTTATATGATTCAATTTTACCAGGAATATTATCATCATCGAAATATAAGGTTGATTTATATTTGACTAATTTCTTTACATCTTTAGCAAGTTATGAACAATCAATGAATACTTTGTTATGGAATGGATGTAAATGCTCACAATGTCATGTCACTCTTGGTTTAATTGATGATTTCTTAATGTATCATAAATATTACAGCATTCCTTTAAAGAGATATAGGGATTTGAATAGTTCTAATATTTTTAATATAGTGGCTACCAAATTAAGTTCTAGAATGATAGGAAAAGATGAAGTATTTTCAAATTTGAATTTAGGACATTATCCATTAAGACAAGTTAGTTGGGATTTCCATAATCTTAGTGGACTTCATGAAATACCTATAAAATGTTATTCAACAAAATTAGTTGATCATGGAGAATTTGATGGTGAAGATGCTATTAATGATCAAAGTGATTCATACAGGTGTAAAATAAATTCATATCACTATTTAAAAGGTGTACCAATTTCAATTTCACATTCTTTAGATAGTTTGATTGGTACCATATTAAATCTTAATAGAGGGAATGCCGAAAAGAGGTTCGATGAAGATTTAAATGAACACAAAACGACAAATTACGAGGCAGAAGGATACGAGGCATATATCCTTAACGATGGTGGGGATTCAGAGTTAATGCGGTTAAACATCAATAGAATATCCATTAACGGAATAATCTATACCTTAGATAAGGAATTAAATGGAACTCACTACTTTGAGAAATGTGTTTAAAAAAATATCTAGAAACATGCATTGATAGACCAAACAATTTCATCGAGAAGATTCAACGAGAATTTTAATATCTTCATTTGCGTTACTATTCATTAGTTTAGGAACTAAAGTTGAATAATGTGGGCCCATTTCAATGTGGTTTAGAATTATTTTTAATGCAAAATCCATTAAATAGTGACTAAATATTATCAAGATGAAGATATTTAATGAAAATAATATCCTTAATAAAGCCAGAAAATAACTACATGTATATAACACAAACTAATAGGTAAATAATAAAATGAATATTAATAATCATTGCAATTGCAATTGCAATTAGTATTCGTATAATAACGAACAATTATATAATAATCTTGATGAACGACACTTGTTCGTATCTAGATAATCTACTTTTTAAAATTTTAATTTACCCTTAAGCCTTTTTCAATCACCAATAACGCAAAGATGTAATTAATTTTACACACAAAATATTACACAATGTTTATGTGTTCCTTCTACAGCTAAATATATAATGCCGACTAAAAAATAACACACTAAATTTAGAGAAGTTTAAAAAGGAAGTGACACACACATACACATCACACACACATTCCACAGTGATAGATGAACACATTTCAGTCTGAACTGGCCCTTTAAGCAAAAAAGAAAGCAAAAAAAAAACACCGCAATGTGGGAGTTTAAGAAAGGGTTAGAAAATATTTTTCATAACTGCAGGACTAGATTCTTAGTGAAGATTATACTAGATCAAAATCGCCTAGAAACTCCTGTCTATAAAAGTTCGTATGTTTTATTTTTCAAGTTGTCAGAATCTAGGCTTTCCTTTGAATCGAATGTAACTACAAATTTTATACTATAGCCCCTTAGTGTTAACCCACCACTGGTTATAATAATATTTTATTATTGTTACCATTTCTAACTGGTAGTAAATATAAAGTTACGAAATTTTCTATTATGGTCTGGTTATCTTAAGCAGGATAGTCTAATTCGCATAACCGACGATCATTTACCCTTTTCTCTGTAATAGTGATGATTGTGCCTGTGGTATGGATGAGCTTATCATTATTAAACAGTATTCTTTACATTTGTTTTCTTTGCCTCAGCAACTTAGGTGTTGTTTTCGTTTTACATATTCATGACAAAGGTGGTTGTTGTGTGAGATGCTTAGTACTTTAGTTAACTATTATAAAATAATTTGCTCTGCGCTACTTGAATCTGCCCCTCAAGAAACATAAAATCGTAAAGGAATTATTTTATTTGCTTAATAAAAAATTGTGGTTTTAGTATCTTCGAACTACAGGGTCTTTTGACCATTTTTGTTTTGGTTATTTTATTTGTTTCAAGGTTTGATCCTATTATTTTTTACCCTTAACTGATAAAGTTTTTATTATCTAGTTGAATATTCCCATAATCCCTCAATATTATAACTTAATTGAAACAGGGGCAACTGAAGTAAGATATCGGAATGCGGAAGTTAAAATGTAATCTTAAAAAATATTTGGTAAAAAAGTACCAGAGCAACTAAGACAAGAGAAACCGAAATATTGGTATTATAATAAAAAAGCTTTTTCAATAAAAAATATTCCACATATAGCTTTAAAATTTCTGTAAGTAACATTACAAAGTTTCGTCACAGTGTGAATAATATCCCACGGATCAAGACAACCATTCCGTCGTTAGCAACCAATTTTATAATAATACAATTAAGATAAGGCTATTCTTGTAATGGATATTTATTTAAAATTTTATTGAACAAAGACTAATCGTCTCTCTCTATAATAGAAGATCAACACAATCAAGCCTACAAGGGGGAGAATCGCTACAAACGCATTTTCATTGAACACTCCATCATATTTTTTAAGGGGATCAGATGTAACATGCACAAATTAATTATATACAGGCTGGGGTTCTGTCATTAACGAAAATAACAAAAAACAATTTTAAATGACAAAAAAAAGATGATGATGTAAAGATGGCAAAAAGCACAGAAATACAGGGCGAGAATGATATAGGAATTCCAGGACTCAAATTGATGATGGCTAATCATCGAAAGTCATTTTTACATGACTTCAAATTAAGCATATCCCTTGTTGATTTGACAATTGATTGATAATCGTTTGATAATTAGTAGAATTGGTTCGTTTTAAGGGACTCAAAAAATATAAGAGAACAATAAGAGAGCGCCAACAATAGCAGAGAACAATTAAACCAACAATTAAAAACCGTCTATCAACCCCTCAAGTTATATTAGTATAGCAAGACATTTCCTTCTTCTACATTTAACTTTTACTAGGATTCTATTATATTCTATTACTATGAAGTTGTCATGCATATTCTGGAAATTAGGGATAAAAGTTTAAGTCATTAAAGCAAAAAGTCTAAATCGATTCAAATCAAATCGAATCAAATCGAATTCAAATTAATTCAATTCAATTCAAATTCAATTCTAATTCAAATAATTATTAGGAGATGGTATATAACTCTTGTTATGACGATACCGTATCGTGTGGACATTACCATACGAGACGATGGCATAAACTAAGAATGCTAATGAAGTTTAGAAATTCTCATACACCAATGCACAGTTAAGAAATTTTTTTTTTTAAATAAAAGCAAGCAGATTATCGTAAACGTATAGATATAGAATAACAAGTTTTGATCCGCACAAACAAAATGTGCCTTTTTTTCACCTCCATTCTCTATGGTTAGGTATGCTTAATCGAACCTCATTCCACGTATTGAAAGGTCAACCCCAAAACGAATGGCTCACAAAAAATATAAAATTTTTCTGTCCCTTTTTTTTTTATTTTTTTTTATCTTTTTTTTTTTTTAATTTTCATTATTTTTTTTAGAATCAATGATATCCTTTATTGGGGCATATCGCATTGAGTTTGTATGGAAATTTCGAAATTTTTAAATTTCTTTTTTTTTGTCTTTATCTCTTTTTTTTTATTGGGCTTTTTTTTTGATTCGGCTTCCCAAGGGTCCCTGTTCTTTTCCCTTCCTTTTTTTTTGGTTTTCAGGACGATAGCCACAAAACTTCATTACATCAGATAAATTTCTGCTCAATTCAGTTTTTTTTGAATGACTTCGTTTGTTGAAGTAGCCTACGCCTGTAAGGCATGCCGATCTTTATACTTGGTTTGAAACAAGTTTCCCAGGCATCATTGTCTTCATTTATTTGATTTGGTGTGAATATTGCTGTTTAACACATTCTTCCCTTAAACGTGAAATAATTTTTTCTACACAATGAATGCAAACACTGCTAGCTGAAAAAGGTCAAAAACTGCTTTTTTAAAAAAATTTAGCTTACGAGTTCACAGGGTTCACACATTTACCTCAATTTTAAATTCAGTTTCAGTTTTTTATGTTCCTTCCACCTTACAGCAGTAATTGAAAGAAGGGTGGATTTCTCAACGCTGTGTTCCTGCTCGTTTCTTCTTTATTATGCGACGCCCTCTCCGTGTGTGCTCACCACTCAGTATATGCTCTTGTCGAGTCGTTAAGAAGTGGTTGCAGTAGATTACATTAGAGAGACCAAAATAACTTGAAATTGTTCTTAGTAATGAAACAATAAGATGAAAAGTACCTCGCATGAAATTGAGAAATTTTGTTAACCAAAAAAAAATTATTTAATAGAGAGTGAAATTTGGTAGGAGTTAGAATACAAGTTGTTCATATTTTTAACTGAAACTATTTACAATAGTAAGTATGTGAGATGTTTTTATATGTAAGACACAGGAACCCATGAAAACCAAAACAATGAGATGAAAACGACGAAAACTCTTTTCAACTCATCGTATCGTAGTTTTGGGTTTGACGATGTCAACTAATCTTATGGGGTAGTCGTTTCAAAATCTACTAAATACTTCAACTGAGATTCATTTTCTTTTGTGTACTTATTGTTCATTACACAATTACTAACGATAGGTTTAACTCGAATTCAATTACCTCTACAAACAGTCTTGCCCGAAGGTAGTAAGAGATGATCCTACATAAGTGCGAAAAAAAAGTAGTTTGAAAATCAAGTCTTGACGACGAAACAGATCATGGCGATGAGATACATAACGATGATGTGCGATTAAACTCTTTGTGTATTTTCAATGAATTATCTATTTTTATCTATCTACTACCTTGATACTTCACCACCTTAACCTCCTTTTATAACTACACTATTAAAATGAGAGGAAAACATTAATTCAACGTATATATATTATTTGGATTTTGCATTTTGTGGTTAAAATTTGGTAGTAATATGTACATCTTACAGTGACAAAAAAAGATAAGATTAAAAATAAAATAAATAAAATATTTAGATTCAAAAATGTCGTCTGCAGATTCCGACATTTTATAAGGTAAAAAATATTGATTGAAAATTTCTTTTTTTATGTTCAACTAAAGTATCTTTATTTATACATAATAATAAATTATTTTTAATTTAGTGAGGACATTTATGTTGCGGATAAATAAGGTTGATTGGGCTCAAAAGTGGAAATATGCAGAAGTTGAGCTGTTTTCTATACTGAGTTTTGTATTCTTTTAGACCTTTCATCTACGTCAATTCAGTATTAAGGATCGTTTTCATCGTATGTAAGATGTAAATAACACAAGGATGAACATTTGAAATTAGTTAATTAGATATTAAAGATGTTAAATATAGAAAAAGAAATCAACAAATTAAGTATAATCGTAAATTCGAATTAGGGGTTTCCGTTTAGTGTCAACGAATAAAATTATTAAACTTGGCGGGTAGCAAGGAAATTTGTTATTATGGAATATACCTCTCATATTTTCGTCGATCAAAGTGTACTTTATAGTTATTTTCAACGCGCTGTTCTTGCAAATCTTTCTTCTTCCTTCACTGTATCGCTGCATATACTAGCTAATTTATTCGTATCGATTCTAAAACTTTGTCAAACACCATTGGGTATCGTGGGACAGCCGTTAATTTGGAACGGAGTTGGATTATATCAAAAATTAATTGTCTTCGACTCTTCTCATTTGACTAATTTAAATATCTTTTGGTCAATAAAAGGGGATGGACTTTTTTTCGACATCATTTTTATTTCTTTTTGGAGCGCAGTGGTGACAGGATCTATTCGTAAAAAAAAGTTTAATTTTTATTGACCGAAAACAAAAGAATCTGATTTTCATTGCATAATTAAATCTACAATAATAGATTCCTTTGACTGGTAATCTTTGATAGTATAATTGGGATCTGCTTAATGAGATTGACAAACAACGTATATCAATACAAAAACTTAAAAGGAGTTAGTTGCGGCAAACAAAACGTTGACTAAAGCAAACTTTAAAGGAAAATACTCATTGCAGCATTGTATTAGTTGGGAAATTTCGGTTTAAGATGAAGCATTTTATGACTTATCTCCTAGTCCACTTTAGCTTGGTTGAAGTTATTATGTAACCCTTTTCATAGATGTAGTTGCATAAAAGTAACGTGAATATTCTCTGCACATTATTTAATTGGGAATAAATACCCGCATTAGATATCTTGCTTCTGGTCGATCCGATCAAAAAATCTTCCGGTACAAAATTGTACGAAAATGGTAAATAAATGTTCATTTATTTCCTAAGCCAAAGAAATATTTTGCAAAAGAAAACTAAAGAACAACAATAGTCAATCTTTAATATATTTTCAGTGTACGACCATTGTATTCGGTGTGTAAGTGGAAAAATAAAACCGAAAGCACCTTCTTAGACATATTTTGTACCAATCATTAATCTATTATTTGATACAGAGACCGAGAATTATAATTAGCATTGAACTTGAAGAATTGCAGAAAGTACTGTAGGAGAAATAAAAAGGAAAAGCTTTTTAAATAGTTGAGGGTATGCATAGTAGGCAAAACAATCGAAACGAACCGAAATCATAACAAAGGAAAGAGGCAAAGCGTGAATAATGCTGACAAAACTAAAACGGTCTTCTAAACTCAAAACATTTACGTAAAGGGAACCATTTACGTGTTATACAATATGCTGGCAATGGGAATGCATGATCATCTTGCTTTTAAAATGGTTCGTGTCATTGTTCGTGTTGTTGTAGTTGTTTATGCTGAACCCTCCTCCCTTTTCGAATAGACATTTAACATGAAAACTGGCCAAAAAAATATTTTATACCGCACACTAAAAAATAAGATTATTTTGCTTTGAATGCATATGCAATGCTGTATTTCTTCTCTTTTAGTCTTCTAAGTGATATTAATTTAGTTAAATTTTTATTTGTATTCAAAATTTTCATGCACCCTGTTTGAGATATAAAGTTCGAATCCTTGATTACGCTGATCCTGTATAGTTGAAGGAAATAAATGGCTCAAATATGTTCTTGCTTTAGAAATAACCAGGATTTTTTTATAATGGCAATTTTATACGAGGTGGAAGTCCGATCTTTAAACTGACCATATTAATGGTATTATCATAAATCAATTGCCTGGTACTTGAGCCAAGATTGTCGAAAATTAGCTGACAATAGTGAATTAACAAAATGATATATAAACTTTATTTCCAATACGACTTAATTGGAGCCAAGGTAGATAGATTTACACCTTGGCTTAAGATAAGAGTGTACATTACGAGGTCTTGGCTTCGGACTCGCAGTATAATAATTGGACTGATCAGATGATCTATACCACTTAACACTCTAGTTTGTCATGTTATCATTGTTCATTTTACTACTTAAAGCTAGACATATAATTGCGGTAATTATTCTCCATGAAAAGACTACTACAGTGATCAAGGCGTACTAAGAAGTACAATCAACAAAGACTTTATTTTTATTATTTAAGAATTTGAGGTGTCTATTTTTTTAACATTGACGTAGGCATTAAAAAAAATTGTTTAATTCTAAAAAATAATCTTATGAGCGTTTTGAACCCAAGCATATACGTTACTCAAAACTAAAGGCTGTCAGTGTCAGACATTTGTAGGATTGGCTACTCCATCGTAAAAAGGAATTCCCCGTACGAATGTTTATTAGATGCTTTTTATCTAGAGGCGGTCATGTAATTAGTAGCCTTCTAAATAAGCTATATTGATTTACAAGTTTACCTTTTAGGTTGCGCTTTCATTGATTGGTTGTAGATGTTTAGAAAAATATTATTTCGATCTCGAAGGACAACTTTGTTTATGCTTCAGAAAATGGTCATATTAGCCCTGTGCATAGGAAATTTGAAGTAAGGATATAGGCCACCAATAAACACTCTAGTACTCTCCATACGCGTCGTGCAGACAGAGCCATAACATTGAAATATTTTTTAAAGTCCACATGATGTACAGTTTCTAGTAAGTTTGTGGAATAATTATCCCCATTAGAAGTTATATAGCGGTAATTATTCAATAGTAGATAGAAGAACAAACAAGGATTTTGGCGCCTCCGAAGAATAAAAAATATTAATGTTTGCCCATTTTTTAGATTTAATTAACAAATAAAAAAATAATTGGTCCAAAGGCCCTGTTAGGCTCACGCTCATGATAACTATGATTCATCTCCAATATGTATGCAATATTAATGTCGGCAGTGTAAACCAAATATTGCTTAGACCGTAGAGGGGAACTACTATTCTACTCTTACAACGTAAAGTTACAATTATAGAAAGTAAATCTTAACATTTTAGATTGTAGGGGTCCGAAGTAAACAATTAGGCTAAAAGTAAGAGAAAGGCAGTTAGCAGTTCTGCACTAGACTAAGAGGATATCCTAAACTCTAAATCATTTTCTAAAATAATAATGACTAAGTTTAAGAGTATATTTTTCTTTATACTATACTCATATGTATAATGCACATAGTATAAGGGTGTAGTTATTTTAAAATAAGAATATCTGAATTAGCACTATACTTCTTCTCTTTATAGAACCCAAAACCAAGATAAATATTATAACTATTGAGTCTGGTTGAGAAACGTTTATCTTAATTCGTAATTCCCTACTGATATGTAAACAAACAAGAGTAACAAGTTGTTCAATGAAAAATTATAGTTCGAATAGCAGACTGCAGGAATACCTGTCTTTGTTTTGGTGATTTACCCGTCGGTAAAACAATACTATAGAACTATCATGCATGCTCTGGCGACTCATAGAATAGAGCAAGTAGAAGCTAGCTATCCTAAAGTTCAAAGCAAAATATTTTTCCTATTTCTCCAACCGAAAAATGATACTTTTTACAACTTAAAATTAAACCATACCATTCCATGCTGAACTTAACTGTGACATGGTTACCAGCACTGTTTGGACAACATTTAGATTTAGACGTGACCAAGAATCGAATCATTTGCAAAAGGAAGTTATTCGTCTTCCATAGAAGCTTATTAAGAGATTACGTAAATAGATCTTATATTTCCGGATTAGGAAAGATAAAGAATTTATTTTTAAAAGATGCATTTCCAAAAAATATATTGAATATTATTTAGCGTGTTTATTTTGAATAAGCTATAGATCTTTAAAAGATTAAACTCACCTCAGAGAAATTTAACACCAAACTCCTTATAATTGTTTAAAAATAACCAATTTGATAGTTTAGTGCTACATCATCATCAAAACCGATATTAATTCTGACACCCATAATTATTATTAAGCTTTTGAAGTATATCTCTGTTTATTTTTTTTGTTTGAATGTTGGCACTATTAATTACAGATGATAACACCACTTCAATGCGTCTAATTAGTCCCGTTTGATTATTAATTGTTTTGTTGGTTCACTTAGGCCTTAGTTTAACTTCTTTTAACATCGTTAAATATATCACCAATAGCTTCTTTGATCTTTTTATTATAGTAATAAAAATATTCTTGTTAGATAGATTTCCTTATTCGTCAGTCGATGTTTTGTTCGTCTATCTACTTTTGTGACTTTTCTATAGTCTATGTTATTTATTCCCTCTCTCCCTTCCTCCTCCCTGTCGAAAACAGAATCCTTGATAATATTTTTTGATGTTATTGTTTTTTGTTATTTAATTTGTCGATATTTTTTTTTGTTTTTATTTTTCTTCCATTTAGACAACGTAAATTAAAGTAATTACAAAAACAAAAAATAATTCTGAATCCTAAAAAATAATTATTTAAATCTCTTAAATTAAATAATTATTTTTTTTTGACAAAAATGTCGTTTTCAAAAAGCAAGCCCTGTATGCAGTATTTGCAATCAACGTAATGCGAATAATATTATACAAGCAGATTGGTTAGGTGAAGCAGCCGGCAACAGTGATTACCATTCCTTGGAGCTGTTATAAGGGAACATCATGTATTCCCCTTTACTTACTACGTGTACATTATCATAGAGTATTTAATCCCTCGGACAAATACGTAGCACCTGTCAGTTATTATAGATGATCAGTCTATGCAAATGCATATATGAAATATGTAAAGCTGTTGAGCGTATTGGTTCTCGCATATTACAAGCAGGGCAGACAGAGCCTAATTTAGCATCGATCTCATTACACAGTTTCTTCAAAGAGGCGATCCATTTGGTTGAAAAGGGTAGATGATGGTATTACGGTTCTACAGTCTGTCTATTCAAAGCCTAATATTTATGGTTTTAATATTTGTTGGCCTTGTCTAATTTCCATTTTGGGAAGAATAAAAAGATAATTACGCAGATCTTAATACATCTGTATCATTTGCAACATCTGTGAAGAATTGTTTTCATCGCCCACTTTTGCCAAAAACTCATAACTTAGAAGCTAATGTTATGAGGGACATGCTGTACAACTACTGATGATAATAGAGGAGTTCTAACAATAGACGTCGAAGAACGCTATTACAAAGAAAACTCCATGCTAGTATCGGTATAAAAGCTACAAACCATATACAGCAAAGCCAGGGAACAAAACAGTAGGAGTAAGAATCTGTAATTTCATATTCTATTACGTGAATAGCTAATTTATGCTCTTGTGTATTAGAACTAATCTTTGAAGAAACATTGTGCCTGTTTCTCTTTGCACAATACGTATAACGTATAATTATGAAACCAGAAATGTATTCTTCTAAACCTCTCTTGAACGTAAGTTTGATAACCAAAAATACTTTTACACGTTCTTAAGAAAAAAATAGAACTATAACATTAGTGTATTTTTGGAATCTACAATGATAGAACATACTTTCATTAAAAGTAATTATATTTCGTTAAATACACATTAAGTAGAAGTGAAAGTTAAACCAAACCAAAAAAATTCAGAAAAATATAGAAGAAGGAAGTATATAAATGATTAATTTGCTATTTAAAAGCTCATCAATGGCTTCTTAACACCTTTGGCACGCTTGTTTTTACCATTAGTATGTGTTTTATAATGTTGCATACAATTATCCTGTCTAGCAAAACGAGCTTCACATGTAGGCCATGGACAAACATGTTTTCTTTCCCCGGTATGAATTCTGTTATGACGTGCCAAATGACCTGAAGTTGTAAATGATCTGGAACAGACTTTACAAATATGCTTTCTCTTTAAATCTTTGCTAACAGATGTTGGTGAAGACATTCCATCACTATCGATACTATTCATAGAATTTGATCGCACCATTGATCTATGTGAGTTGCTTGAAGATGGAGGAGTTGGTAAAGTTAATGGAACAGATGATGGCGAACTTAATGCGGTTGAAGTGGCAGTATTTATTGACATTGGTTTTGGTTGTTGCTGTTGTTGTGTAAAATGTTGTTGAGGTTGGACATATTGATATGCCATTAATTGTTGTTGAGAGCTTTGTCTTTGTAAAAATTGGTATTGATATGGGTTAGGATTATATTGATATGTTGGAGGGTTAACAACTGCTACCATGGTTGCCGATATTGGGAGTGGTTGTATAATGACAGATGATGGTTGCGATGTAGTTTGTGGTAGTGGTTGTGGTTGTGGTTGTGAAGTGGTTGATTGACTACCATTTGGAATTGGTGGAGTACTGTTTGAGTATCTACGGTGATCAAGTGGACTTGAAATACCATTATACTGTATATAAGGTGAACCAGAAGCTGAACTTGTAGTTGAATTATTTCTGAACTCAGTTGGTAAAGGTATGGAAGTTAATAATTCATTAAACGAAGGCAATGATGATGAACCTTGTCTTGAAGATACATTTGAGGATGCTTCTTGATATTGATGATTCGATTGCTTAACAACAAACATTGCTTTTATTATGTATTGAAAATATAGGTATTATGAGAATGAATAGATCTATAACCGCAACCTATATATGAATCACTTATATATGTATGGGTATAATAATGTACAGATCAAATCAATTAAAATCTAGCAGGATTTGAATATTTATAGGTAGTAGACTTAACAAGTGGATTGATAATTATAAAACATAAATTAAATGCTTCCAAAAAAAGTATGAAACAAAGGGATCTTTAAAATACTTATATAGTTAGTTTTGCAAAAGGAAGCACAATGGAGTATCTCTTCCAAAAGTCCCACTTCGCTATTATTTTATATTGACAGTCCAAAAAAAAATGAATTTAAAAATCAATTAAAAAATAAATGTAAATATTAAATTAAAAAAAAAATAAAAAATAAAATAAAATGATTTTTATTTTAAAAATAAATACAAAAAAAAAGAAATCACACATAATGTAAAAATTTAAATCAATTGTACATAATTTGAGAACTAAAAAATAATTTGCAATATGTTAAAAAATAATGTACAAGTGAAATATGCATTTGAATTGTTAATTTGTAGCAAAATAACAACAAAAAAAATAAAAATTCTTGTACCTGAATTATATTTGTCCAAGGACACTACCTTTTCTCAAAAATAAAATTTACTTTCTTATTTTATGATTTAAACTTTTATGGTTGTGTGCATGGTCAGAGACAATTAAAAAGAAATTCTAATGCATTACAGCGATTTCCCGTTTTAAACTAAAATATAGTGCATGATGCATATGCCAATAATGGTTGATATGTTATATGCAGTATTATTTTTGTTTACCGACGCACTGTACTTATTTGTTTGCACCTTCCATTTTGCTGATATCTAGTACCCCCGTGACTATCTCGTTTTGTATTTTTTTCTCTTTTTGTCTCACTTAATCTCCTAAGCTAAAAGCATTTTCTTATATTTGCATCAAAATAACTGTAGAATTCAGCATTAATTATGTCGAAAAAAATTATTATCTGAAAATTAACTAAATGTCTAAAAAGAGAAGGTTTGCCATTGTCATATTCTGTAGTATAAGCTTTGTGTTTTGATCATATGAATTTAGCCGCCAATACGTAGTCTACAAAAGTTATATTATTTTAATTCCAGACATAGCAGGCAATTGGCAAGAAACCTAATTAGATACATGAAGCATTTCTTATTTTCTTCCAACTTACGGAAATCAAATTTATAATTCTTATGTAAAATTATTCAGTAGCATCTCAAATGTTCTAATTTTATGTTGCAAGACAAGATTGTTTTGTTTATGTTGTTGTTCGTCCAGTTTGGTCAAATTTGTAACCTTAACAAGAAAGCTACACAGTTATGCTACCCTTATGAGGTAGTGCATTATGTACTCTGATAAACCATATTTTGAATATTAATGGTTAACTTCAAGACAAAGGTAACAAAATAGGCGACCAGTAGAAAAGGTTGATAATAGGAAGATTAACATGATATTGCGCTGGCAACATACATAATCTGCTTCTACTGGAATTTTTTTCCAGAACTAGCCATTTACTGTATAGTTGTAAAGTAATGGTGGTATCCATAACCAATTCCCAACATAAAAGCAATAAACCAGTCTGTTAGCGAAGAGTACTTCGTATAAACTTTCATATTCCTATTGACGCACATTTAAGAGAGTAATAGCCTTTACGGCTTGACAGAGGTTTAACCTAATGTCTAGAACAACTTAGTTTTGGTTACATCACGTCTTCCCTTCCTGTTGTTTTGATTTTTATTTTTTGCCTGTGCTCTTTATGTTCTGTTTTATTACAACCTTTGACTTCTCTGCCATATCTAAAATACTCTTATTCGCTATAATTCTGCGTTATATGCCTGTCTAACTTTATACGAAAACTTTCTCGCCGATGGTAATAAGAAAATCACCCTCTACTACATAAAAAGATCAACACTTATCGCCATATCTTACTGCAAACTTCTAACATGCATCCTTCTTTTCTTTAATTTTGCTTGTTTTCCATTGTTCGCTAGGACGTAGCTTCAATTAAATATTTCTTTGTACGCTTGTTTTGCAGCTCATTTTGGCCTTTTCTAAGAACTTAAACTTTTGATAGCTACATGCAGAAGGAAGACAATACAAGTGTTTGTGCAGAAGGAAAGAGAAAATCCATAGAGTAGTAAATGATGTAACCTACAAAATGCGCTTATAAGAAGTAAATTTTCTCTCAGGGATACATGAAGTTACCTGAGGACACAAAGATAATCTATTCCTTTAAATTTCAGAATACATTGAGATTGAGATTTTATCATAATCTTATGAAAATGTTATGATATGAAATTATGCAGCGATAAAGTATTTCATGATCATCTTAATCTAGTTATGGTCCTCAAGTATGAAGCTTGAATCTCTATGCAATTAAAAATAGAACCCAAGAATTTAATTGCGCGAACATTTTTTAGAAATATAATACTACTTATAACTATTATTAGTAATTCGGGCTCGGCAACTACTATCAAAAACCCATTACGTCTAGACTAAAATAGATAAACTAACTTTGAGATGCCCTGAGCTTGTGACTTTTTTTATTTCCTTTTCAATCTAGGGAACTACATAGATAGAGTGTCACATATTTCATATTCTACTTCAATCATCTCATGCAAACATCAACATCACCAATTGTAAATAAATTCGCTAGCGTAGTAAAAAAAATATGTTAAACCGAGGGTTCCTAATCGATGTTGTATTATTATGGTTTGAAGGGCGCATTTCTGTTGTTCCAACTCATAATATATACCCAATGCCCTTTAACAAAAGCTTGTTTTAAATAAAACTCTTCATATATCTTGAAAGAAATCTAAACAACAGTACTTTAATATAGACACATTAAAAATTCTACGAACAAATGGCAGAGAGATACATAAATGAGCGGGAAGTCTTTATGCCCAATTATAATTAAAAAGTTGAATTCAAAATAAAATCTGCACGCAAAAAAAAATCAAAAGGTATGCACCAGGCGAAACCAAGACAAAAAGCACAAATAATGTGGCCTTTGATTCCCTTATTATTTCTTTTCTTTACCTGTTTGGCACATTACATTGATGAGCCATCTCTTTTAGGATATCTATTATCTAACATTCTTTCAACTGTTGAGGGGTAGGTGATCCTTTCATACCTCAGTTTCTAAATTCTCCAACAAAATGCTACGTTGTAATTTTTTTTCTACGCGTATGTTAATGCGTTAAAAGGGTCGTGCGTGTGATATATTCTATGCTTACAGCGCAAAATACGGTAGGTTAAACTATAAAGTGATATATCTTCATAGTTTAACCATAACTCTGATTATAATCCATCTCAAATGGAATTATTTAAATCATTTTTATATCATGCCCCCTTTACAAGTCATGTAAGTGATGCTTTAATTCTCTATGCTGCAAATAGCATTTTTAAGTTTTTATATTATTCCTGCTGAAAGGCCTTTTTTTGAGTCGCCTGTTTTGTGCAACTTTGTGCTTTAAGCATAGATTTAAACACTATGCTCTATTTTGCCTCAAAGAATTTTAATCGCCATTATAAATCATTTTCAGGAGGGTATTGTATTCTACTGTGGTATGGCCCGGATTTTTGCCTTTGACAGGTTATTCTTACTACAAATATTTGATCTAATAGATATCTAGGAGCCATATACTTGTTTTTTTATTTCTTTCTTTTCAAGCTTGTTATCAGTTCAAAAAGATAAATGTAACAATTTTGTCGCGAAATTAAATGAAAATTGAAGTGTTACACAGCCAAGAATTATAAAATATCATTTGAATTACATCTATCATTACCCATAAGAAAGAAGAAATTAGTATTATCTCAGGGAACAGAGATGGGGGTGATAGTTATAAGCAGGGATGATAGTAGAATATCAATTTTTTGGGGGGAAGTAGAGAGAAACCTTATCGTCGTGATATAAAGTTTAACGCTGATCATTGTTCGCAGCAGGATGGTACATTTTGAGGCGTTTTCTTTTAATGATAATTAAAAAAATCGTGCAATGTTATCCGAATACAGATGACATGGTAAATAATATTTAAGCATCTCTCAACGGAGGAGAAGAAGGGATGCTCCTTTGTTTGTTTTATCCGAAGGGTATTCATAATGGGGGTTTTCTTTTTGTATTGTATGGTTTTAAGTGCAATGATATCACTATAGTTGAACAAATTTGTTGAGTTTTGAGTTATTGAATTGTAGTTTTGATAATAATTGCTTTTAGACTTTGTAAGGCGTGTTGGGTTAATACCGAAGTCCGTTCATGGGAGAGCTTTGTAGTCAAAAATTCTGTTTAAATCCTTCTTTCTAACCATATTATTTGATCAAGCCCATCGATGAGCTGGACTTTATCGTTCGTCGTTCTAAGGGAAGGCTTAGAACGTCATGGAAGAATGAAATTCACATTTCCATCCATCAAAAAAATATTATCAATTGCCGGGGAATGATTTAATGCAATATAAAAATAAAAAGGACCCATTACAGATTAATACTTGTCTCATCTCCAACTGTAACAAAGCGGTATTCGGTATACAGCACCAATACAAAAATCGAGTTCTAATAGTAATTTATGCATAATTATTTCTACATCTAGGAAATCAATTAATTTTTGACTTTTGTTGAACTCCGCACTATAATTCAAAATATTTTTTAAAATAGACATCGACTGTATATAACTCATGCATGGAAGTTTGAGAATTTGTTCGATTTTATCTTTCAAATTTCCCCAGGCTTTTCTAGACTAGCGATGACATGGAATAGGTGGGTTAGGAACTAGGGATTAGTGGTATGATTTAATGCGATAAGATACCGCACGACTATCGGATTGAGCATGTCATCAACCGGCACGAACGAACAATTACATAACCCTAAACGGGATACCGAACAAACAGAAGTCTATATTTGAATGATGCAGAAGGAAACAAAGATAAGAGACAGAACAGACGGCATTGACAAGGAAAAAGATTTGAACAAGAGCTCCTCCATCCATGTAGTATGTGCATGTAAGGACTCAAACCTCATTATTTATGGGCCCGTACCTTTATCTATTTCTTAGGCGCGAGTTTACCTCGATATTTGCATGTATGCAAATAAAATGAAAATCCTATTAAAGACTCTGCCCGGTTGATTTATAATCGCTTACATTATTGACACGTTAGGCATATTTTCCTCATCACAAACTTGGTACCGATCTCGTGAAGCATTTAACTTGTTCGCATCTTATGGTTTGTAGGAGTTAAAGCACATAAAGTACATTTCTTCAACCACTAACCTTTAATAATTATCCAAACCATTAGGACTAAACCATGGCAATGAGTGAATTTGAATAATTAACGCGGAATCGGTTTTTTTATAATTTCTCCATACTTGAGTTAGACTCTTCTATAAGTATTTGTATATACAATTTGGTCTGAAAGAGGAAAAAGAGCTGGACACAAAAAAATAAATACATACACACAAAATGTGAGGAACAATGAAACTCACAGTTTCATGTCATATTAACGAGAGGCTCTAGTTTTAAACCCCTATAGAATGAGCCAACCTACAGAAAGAACCAGGCTCTACCTTCTTTGTAATCACTTTCCCCTTTCGTTATAACAGCATTTACGACTAGTTGTGATGTCAGTTCTCACGGTTTAAATAATTCCATAATCCCGTAGCTTCTTTTGAAATAATCATCAGGCCAGTAAAAAAAATAATATATACATAAGCTTGCATCTTCCTTTACTATTGATTTAAGATGAAAATCTCTCTTAGAAGCACATAAATCCAATGCTTGTATTACTTTAGTAAACTGATATTTTCACTAATAAGCGCAATAAGCAAATAGACTTGGAATATTCACAAAGCAAATTATGTCAGAGTTATATACAGGATCGACTTATCACGTGAAATGTTTGAATTTTGAAAAACTCCAAAAAAAACGAGAGGCCCCTAATACAGAAACGAATTATTGAAATTAATAATAAAGATTGATTTACAGTATTCGAATACCAATTGATAATGTTGAGTAGAGTTTCAAAGAGATTCATCTCTATAACACTTAACCAACCAGTGAAACCACCTTTTATCCCATTGGTATCAGAAAATGGATTTCCAGATGCCATTGGTAATACTCCGTTATTAAAATTACCCAGAATCTCGAGTTCGATTGGAAGAAATATTTATGCCAAAGCTGAATTTATGAACCCAGGTGGATCCATAAAGGATAGAGCTGCTATTTATATCATAAATGATGCTGAAAAGAAGGGATTAATAAAACCAGGAGGTACCATTGTGGAAGGTACTGCTGGAAATACCGGTATTGGGTTGGCTCATGTCTGTAGAGCCAAAGGATATAAATGTGTTATTTATATGCCAAATACTCAATCTAAAACTAAAATTGAAACTTTAAGATTGCTAGGTGCTGAAGTTCATCCAGTTCCAGCTGTGGCTTTTACTGATCCTCAAAATTATAATCATCAAGCTAAACGTCATGCTGAAGGTTTAGAAAATGCTGTCTGGACTAATCAATTCGATAATATTGCCAATAGACAAGCACACATCGAAACCACAGGACCTGAAATCTGGGCTCAATTAGATGGTAATGTTGATGCATTTACTTGTTCAACCGGTACTGGGGGGACATTTGCCGGTACTTCAAGATATCTTAAAACCATATCCAATGGTAAAGTTAAGGCAGTGTTAGCCGATCCACCAGGAAGTGTTTTATATTCTTATATCAAGTCTAATGGTAAAGAAATTGTAAGAGGTGGATCATCCTTCACTGAAGGTATTGGTCAAGGTAGAGTCACTGATAATTTAAAACCAGATTTAGATATTATTGATGAAGCCATTCAAATCCCAGATGAAGATTCGATTGTTATGGTATATAGGTTATTAGACGAAGAAGGATTATTTCTTGGTGGTACTGGTGCTTTAAATGTTGCTGCTGCTGTTAAAGTTGCTGAATCCTTACCAGAAGGTAGTAATGTTGTCACTATCTTAGCTGATTCTGCTCATAAATACGCAGATAGAATTTTTTCTAAGGAATGGTTAAAGACCAAGGGATTATACGACGCCATCCCAGAACATTTAAAGAAGTATGCCACTTTAGATTAATCAATTTATATATTGTAAATAGTATGATATCCTAATTATGATCAATGTTTACTAGCCGTATATAGCTATTTACACACAAAATCAGATCTCTCTATCGGTTGTTTGTCGTGTGAGCGTCCAAAAAGTGATTTTTTTTTGTGGTTGGCAAAAAAAAAAATGAAAACAGAGTATGAAAAAGATTTTCAGTATAGGATAGGAGCATTTGAAGTTGATATACTACACCCATCCAACTGAATACAGCTATATATGTATCTCTAACAGCCGATAGATCAGATTCCTTACCTACCTAATACATAACCCAAAGTAATTTTTTGTGAAATACTGCCATTCATTTCCATCATTTTAGGTTCACAAAATCACATCAAAATTTTTCAGATCTAAAATAAGGCAGCACAGCATTCACCACCACATAGTTAGAAAGGGGATACATCCATTATAGGCTCGTAGCGTTCAAGACTCCCGGACGATACAGTCATTATACATATAGCCATTCAAAGTCCATGGAGCAACAAATCCAACTGGCTGTTGATATTGCGCTTAGCGGTACAGCAAATCCAAATTTGAAGACCCAAGCATTTGAATTCATCAATCAAATAAAAAGCACAGAAGAAGGATACAAATCATGTGTGGAAATATTGTTGAAGTCAACCACTTCGTCCATCAATGAAGGATTAAAATTCTTTGTTTACCAAGTCATCGATGAAAATATAGAAAAATTAAGTAGCGATCAACTATTCACATTAAATACTCACCTTTTCGAAATATTAGCCAAGTATATCTCCAATAATGTCAGTGATCCAATATATTTGAAAAATAAATTATCTCAAATATTTGCCAAGTTATTCTGTTATGTTTATGTCAACGTTTATCCTAGTTTTATCAAAGACTTACATTCCATCATATCTTCCAATGATCAATACGCTCTTGATTACTATACAAGAATCATTATTGGTATTCATTACGAAATAGGGGATAAATTAACAAATAAAAGTCAAGAAATACTTGACAGAAATACTATCTTGAAAGATACTGTAAGAGTAAATGATATGAATGCATTAGTAAGTGTTTGGGCTAAGATTTTAACTAACACTTCCAATTCATCTCAAATTTTAAACAATACCCTTGCTATAGTTGGACAGTATATTAGTTGGATGGAAATTGGATTATTTATTTCAAATGATTTCATTAATAGTATTTTCCAATTTTTAAATAAAAAAGATCAAAGAAACGAAACTTGTGGAACTTTAATCGAAATCATTTCTAAAAAGATGAAACCAAGTAATAAATTAGAGTTGATTTCCCTTTTAAATCTTACTTCAGTTATTAACTCCATAGACGCTAGTGAGGATGATATTGATTTCGATATTAGTATCTCTAAATTAGTCAACCAAGTAGGTATAGAATTACTCATTGTTTTAGAAAATGACCAAACATTGTTTACTCCAGTTCAAGATCAATTCTTTAAACTCTGGCCCTTAGCTTTCAACTTTCTCAGTCATGAATATGATGACGTTTCACAAGAAATATTTTCCTTCATTCAACAATACTTATTATTAGGAAAGAAAATAAGTGGATTAGTTTCAATAGAGTTAATGTCCACATTACTTAATAAAGTCATTCTTAAAATGAAGTATGATGAAAACTCTGATGGTATTGATGATGACGAAGACGAACAATTTCTTGAAATAAGAGCCAAATTAAAGACTTTCCAAGATACTATTGCCGTCTTAAAACCAGATTTATATTTGGAAGCTATTCCTGTTGTTATTAATGAATCAGTATTCAAGACCACCAATGACTGGAGAAGAATAGAGTTAGGATTATTTGAATTAAACAATTTTTCAGATAGTTTAAGAAATAATTTGATTAATGTTCCTAAAAATGAAATCAATCAAAGTAAACCATATTCTATCTTTCAAGAATTTTTAATAAAATTAATCAATTCAAATATAATCATTGAAAATAATCATCCTAAAGTTCAAATTGAATTTTTTGAAATTATCGTCAAGCATTATATCTTTTTGACATCTCAATCTAATCAACATGAATTAGTGGTGAGAATATTGGAAATCTTTACTAGTCCATTTGGGTTAACTAATGAAAACGAAAGAGTAAGATTAAGAAGTTGGTACTTATTCTTTAGATTTATTAAATTAACTAAACCATCATCCAACAGTGTTGCATTTGTTGAGAATATTATTAGTAAATTAAGACCATTAATGGTGGTTAAAGCTGAATTGCCAACAACTGATGAAGATGGTAATGTTGTCGATAATGGAAATTTCAATAATCAATTAAATTTGTTTGAAAGTATCGGTTTGTTAATTGCACTTTTAAATAATGAAAATCTAGATCAAAAACTTAGATTTATTGATATGGTGTTCGAACCTTTATTCAATGATTTAGACCAATGTATTAGAACTTCTGATGCTGCAACTCAACCATTAGTAGCTCTTCAAGCTCATCATTCATTAATGGCAATTGGAACTTTTGCAAAAGGATATGATCATGATCAAATAAAAGTTTCACCTCAAGTCACAACCAAAATCAGTAATGCTGCTGAAGTAGAATTGATTACTTTGGAAAACTTTTCAAAGCATGAAATAATCAGAGATGCTGCAAGATTTTCATTTGCTAGATTTATTCCTATCTTAAAAAGTCAAATCAATGTTCATTTGACTAAATTGGTTAGTTTATTCTTAGCTGCTAATAATTTAAGAATAGTTGAATTATCTGAATTCTTAAGTTTTGTTGGACAAATTGTTCATAATTATAAAAATGATGAGAACATGTATCAATTATTGAATAATCTTTTAACTCCATTGGTTAATAAGATATTTGAAATTTTATCAACAACTGTAACCGATAATCAACATACTGCATCAGAAAAGAATCAACTTAAACGTGCATTTATGAATTTCCTTAGTTCCATTGTCATTAATAATTCATCTAGTTTGTTGGTTACTGAAACCAATAAGCAAAAATTCCCTGATATTGTCAACAGTCTTTTTGATTTTGCATATGATTTAGGTGATGCAACAACTTCAAAGTTAGCCATTACTCAACTTATCAATATAGTTAATATATTTGGTGATAAAGGTAAAATAAGTGATAAGGATGACAAATATGGTAATACATTACCAGCCATCGAAGGTATAGAGGAATTTTTAATGAGTAAAGTTTGTCAAGTTTCATTTGAATTACCATTCCAAAAGCAAGAATTTGATTTGAAAGATGCCCAATATAGATTGATGGGACAAGAAATTGCGTTATTGTTGAAGAGTTATCAACAACGTAAGCCCGATGAATTCACAACTTATTTATCTGGTTATTTAACCAACATGGGATTATCCCAAGAATTAATGAGTGAATTCTGTTCCAATTTAGTCTCATCAGATATCAAGCAATTCAAAAAGTATTTCATTGGGTTCGTAACAAAGATAAAAGGGAAATGATCCAATAAGATCCATTGAAAAGCAAATCAAAACGAATTATAAACAAAAACATATCAAAAGCATAGATAAAAATACAAAAACTAGAGATGATAAAAATTACCATGAAATTTATCTTCTCCAATCCCTGCATAATCCCCATGGTTTTATAGACCAAGTGTCAAGATCCAATGCATTACATGTTCTTGGCTCTCAAGTGCTATAATAATAGTGTAAATAAATAGCTAAATAACAGCCTAATTAAAATATATAGATCTATCCATATATTGACTATAAAAATGTTGCAAATAAATTATTTTTTGTATTTTTTATATACCGGAATTTTTTTTCTATGAGCGATGAGAGCAAAAAAAATTCCAAGCTGCTTTTAATGATTTAAGATTATAGGTGAAAATAATTCAAGTAAAGTCATTTATAGAACAATAATCAATATGGCTAAGAACAAGGACGGCGAGGAAGTTGAAGTCCCACCTAAGGACGAAGAAGAAATTCTTTTAGAAAAGTTAGTGTTTGGGGACTTGGAAGGATTTGAAGCCAATTTGAAGAAGGTTGATAATTTATACGATTATTCATCTGATGAACAAGACGATGGTAATAGTGATAAATTTTTCAATGATTCTTCTGATGAGGAGTCTGATGATGAAGGAGAGTTGTCAGATAATGTTCAAGATGAAGATTTATTCTTTATTGATGATGGTGAAGCCAAGTCAGCTCATATTAATGAAGAAAATGATGAAGATGCCATGGACATCGATGATGAAGAAGTAGAAGAGGAGGTGGAAGACGAAGAAGAAGAAGACGACGACGACGAAGCAGCATGGCATGATAGTGATGATGAAAGAGTCAACATATCCTTACTTTCATCTGATAAATTGAAAAAATTAAGAAAAACTGAAAATGATGTAACTATATCGGGAAGAGCTTATGTAGCGAGATTGAAAAATCAATTTGAAAAGATATATCCAAGACCAGAATGGATAGATAAATTAGAAGAAGAGAACGATGAAGATGATGATAATGAAACTGCATCTCAAGATGAACTCGATGAAGACAATTCAATCAAAACCAACAATGATACTAATGCCATTTTAAATATTTTATCCAATACTCAACAATTCATTATAACCAAACAATTGAAATTAATATCCCCTAGTAAGATATCTATAACCAGATTAAAGGATGCCAACTATCAAAGAATGTCCAAATCTGCCATTCAATCCTTATCATTCCATCATAGTCATCCACTTTTAATGACGGGTGGATTTGATAAAACCATCAGAATATATCATATCGATGGTAAAGTCAATAATCTCGTCACATCTTTACATTTACGTAATTCTCCTATTTACAGTTGTCAATTCTCACCATTAGGTTCGAATCAAAAAGATAATGAAAAGAATTTAGTATTTGCTGCTGGTAGAAGAAGATATATGAATAAATGGGATTTAAATAGTGGAGAGGTTGAAAAGATTTCCAGAATGTATGGTCATGAACAATATCAAAAATCATTTGAATATTTTAAAATATCACCAAAGGGTACTTTTATAGGATTAACTGGTAATAGTGGATGGTGTAATTTATTAAATGGTAGTACTGGACAATGGATTAAAGGATTTAAAATCGAAGGTACTATAGTTGATTTTGATTTTGCTCGTGATGAATCATTCATAGTGATAATAAATTCTGCAGGTACAGTTTGGGAATATGAATTAAATCCAACAGCTGATATAAAACAAACTCAATCTGACAATAATAATAATAATAAACCTAAATTTTTAAATAAAATCATCAGAAAATGGAATGATGATGGTGGAATAGGTATAACCAAGATACAATTAGGAGGTCCAAAGAATCGTTGGTTAGCAATCGGGACAAACAATGGTATTGTAAACATTTATGATCGTAATGCCATTAATGAAACCGTTAATCCAAAACCAGTCAAGACAATTGAAAACTTAGTCACATCAATCTCATCATTAGTATTCAGTCCTGATGGTCAAATCTTATCCATTGCTTCTCGTGCCAAGAGAGATGCTTTTAGATTAGTTCATGTTGCAACTGGTACAGTTTATTCTAATTGGCCAACCAGTGGTACACCATTAGGTAAAGTTACATCTGTTGCCTTTTCTCCAAATAATGAAATGTTGGCGGTAGGTAATGAAAGTGGTAAAGTCACATTATGGAGATTAAACCATTATTAGTTCATACGTTGATCCACCACTCTAACTTATTGTAAATAAATAGACTAATATAGACAAATTCATATTGCAAAAACTTTTGAATTGTAGTTTTATATAGGTGTACTTGTATGCAGGAATTTTCTTATAAACATCCCACAAATGTAAAAATGAAAACGACCAAAGAAAAACATGAGAGTAGCTTGACCAATTCAATCATCAAGACATATTGAACATAATAATATAAAGACTATCATGTTTGCCTCAGTTGTTAGAATGGGTAAAGTCGTCGGAGCTCCGTAAGTATGATATCAGTCCGTATTGTGAAATAACAAGTACTAACAGTTAACATTATAGAAAGGGTCATGATCGTTACAGAGATCCAAGAACACATCAAATAACACCAGCCTTATACAGAGTGAGAGCCCCATTCTTCTGGAGAAATACCGCTGCGTTATTCTTAGTCAGTGCTGTACCATTAGGTGTTTATATATATACGTGGAAATTTTTAACTAAGGATGATTTTGGGGATATTCCAATTCCACCTATTGATGAAGAAGAATTAAAACAATTAAAGAAAGAATATGAAGCTAAGAAGAATAGCGAAGCTTGAACATTCCCCGGCACCTTCACTCATATATTTCCTACACTTATTATCTTGTACATAGTTAGTCCTTTAAAAAAATGTGTTCTATTAGATTAAACATATAAAAATACACACACATATATATATAACGATCTATATTGTTTATTTATCGTATTGTGATTTAACTTGGTCATAATTGTAATAATCGTAAATGGAGACTCCTCTCGCAGGGTAAGGAGTATTCAGATCTTCATCTTCTTCATCGTTTATTTCCTGTAAGGGATAAGGTGCAGCAGAAGGTTGATGTGTAAGCAGTGATTTTGAATTTGAATCATTGAATTCATCATCATTTTCTTTTGAAAGGGATGATTCACTCAGTAGGAGTGACTCTCGTGAAGGTGGACTTTGACTTTGATCGTGAGTATTGAAATTGAATTCATTACTGTTATAAGAATGAGAGGTTGACATGAATGGATTATGAGATTGTGGTTGATATGCAGCATCTAATGATTGTAAAGTATGAGAAGTTTGTAATGGTTGATAATGATTGGAAGGTATATTATTTGCTTGGGAATATAAGTTTGGTTCAGTTTGAGTATGCACAAGTCTTCGAGGTGGGAAATTGGTTTGTTTAGTTGTGTTAAGACTGTCAGCTGAAAGTTTTCTTGTTTGTAATGGTTGTTGTTGAGGTTGTGATTGATTATATTGATATTGGTTGGTTGGTACAGATGCATTTCTAGGTGGCATATAACGAGAAGACATATTTGTGACATCAAGTGGTTTAGGTGGTTTCCTAGGCGGTAAAGCATTACTAGTGTTATTATTATTATTGTTAAGGGTTGTGAGTGATGATTGGGAATTATTGTTATAAGCATTTTGAAATACTGGAGGAGGACGTTTTCTTTGTTGATCGAAGATAGTTGATGAAGAATCATTAAAGGGATCGGTAAAACTATCTTTTCTCATATTGGATAATTCATAAGTTGAAGTGGTAACAGGAGGAGGTTTCAATATGGATGTAGATGATTTTGAATTTAATTTTTGGGATGGAGGTGGGGGTGGAACGAATAAATTTTCTAAATCAGTGGATGAATTATTTAATAATGGATTAGTGATAATATCATGTTTATCAAGAATACCTTTATCTAATAATTCACGTTTTGATTTATGATGTTTCAATACTAATAAACGGACATTTGCATTAACCAAACTACAACAATATTTCTTTAATGAGGAATTTGCTGTTCTTGATTTAACTTTAAATGCAACAGGAAGATATAAAATCATTCCAAAGGCGAATTTAAAAAAGAAAATACACCAAATAACCACTGAAACACACATTAATGATAAAATTATGGATAAAGTTAAATTTGTAGTGGCGATTGATTTTATATTTTCCAAGATATTATTATTTGATTCACCATCAGTAGCATAATACCGTAAAGTCAAGATATTAATTACTTGTCTTGGAGTATCCGCTACTAAGATTTGTAAAGCATTATCGATTTCACCATAACAAAAGAAAGTTGACCAATCAAAGAAATTATCTTGTTGAATTTGATTAAAAAGACAAAAATAATTATAAGATTTGATACTGTATAATAATCTGGCGATATTATTAACATAAACTAAAGCGATATTTTTAGTTTTATAAGTATGAATAGCCCAAATCCAATGATACAATAAAAGGAGGAATTCAAAGATGATACAACCAGTGAAGATCCATTTAGCGATGGAATAAGCATAAGGTTTATAATCATTACTTGACCATCTATGAAATACTAAGATATTTAAACAAGTATAGATATCAGCACCAAGAAGGACCCAAGAAAGTAAAACAATGATCCACATAAGGAAATAAGCAAAGATGGTGGAAGCCTTTGTATTATGGAAGCCTTGAATATCAACCAAATCAAAGGTTGATTCATCAAGTTTATACTTGTTAATTTGAGATTTGGCATTAAAGTGTTCTTTTGCCATGATTGAATGATTATTGGATTAGTATATTTGCATGATATGATGATGATGATCTGATATGAGACAGAAGGAAGAAGTTGATATTGATGATATGTTACTTGTAACGTAAGGTAAAAAGAAAAAAGCTAAAGGGGGTGATGTGGTGGTAACAAAATCAAACGAGAATAAAGTAGTAGTAATAGTTAACAGTTAAAGACACTGAAAGATTGAACAGATAATAGTGAAACTAATAATGAATGAAAAGTGAAAGCTACAGTAGTTAAGACAAGTTAGGGATATTTGGTCTAGATTTTAAAGATATCTGTTTGACTCCCTCCTTAATCCCTTAATGCTTATAGTTTAATCGTTATAAGATCTCTTTCTGTGCCAAATTTCCCTTTTCGTAAAATTCGTTTTTTTTTAAATTTTTTTTTTATTTACATTTTTTTTTTAACGCGCGTTATGGTGCTGGTCCTGACCTGGTCCTTATAACCAGTAGTTAAGAGATCTAAATAGAGTACTGGTTGATACATATATGATTTATAGTAGCTTGCTATTACCATAACCAATGACTAAATCAAGTTGAGTTCGAAGGTTAAGGGTTAAACTTACCATCATCCATCCCATCCCATCCCTTAATCTGTAATTTGTAACCGTTTGATGTGAAAATTGTTTCAGAATTGTTTGTGTTTGTTTGTGTTTACTGTTTGAAGGAGGCACTGCTCATAAAAATATCTAAAAATAACTTAACCTGTAAAAATGTAAATGATAACTTGTAAACATATTTTAAACTGTAAAATCTGTTCTTATTAAAACATGTAAAAAACATGAAATCCGGGTAACCAGTCACGATACTTTAATCACCTGACTTCATTTTACCACTTTCCTTCCAACGAAAACAGCAGAAGAAAAAAAAAAACTGACAGTCAAAATTTAAAATTATCTTCGTCAACCACTTGTTTATCCTTAACGTTTACCAGTTAATCGCTATCTCTACTATTTCACGCTTCAAGCAATATTGAATAACGCTGATTGATCTATTGTCGTGATAGATTGGTCTTTAATTTTGCTTTTATTCTAATTCTTTTGATTGATTGATTGATTGATTGATTCGCTGTACTTTCTTTACTATTTGCTTCTTTACTTTTACTTCGTGATCTATATCTATACCAGTAGTGATCAACTGTCTGACATCCATCCATCGTCAGATTCACTATTTAGAAAAGAGCAACAAACTATACCAAGTAATAAAGATACATCTTAATCATCATTCATTACCTCCCTCATTCGATAGTTCCATTATCAATTTCCAACCATCAGCGATTGTCTTTTATATACGTTTTAAGTGTGTTCGTCGTTTCAAACTAACTCTATTACTACATTAAGACATCCTCATTTTCCTTACGATTCCTTCATATCATCCTACATCCCCAATACCTTTACAAATCATAGTTTTTGTTATTTACTTCCCCGTTTTTATCATTTTACTATCAATTTACTCCTACAGACTTAACTTGACTTAGTAGTTTTCTTATTCTTATTTTTTAATCGTTTTCTTATTACTTTTAATCGTCTTTTAAATTTGCATCTTATCGTTAACACTTATACCTATTTGATCTAATAACCAATATGTCAAGTGCAGCTCAAATCAAACCAGAAGATATAATAAAACATTTAGATCAAGCTCGTGAAGTTGCATTTTCAAATCCAGAAAGTTATCCTGCTATCTTTAGACAAGTTTTATTATTCACTAATAATCCAAATAATTCAATTCAATTATGGTGTGTTAAATTCATTTATGATTCATTTATAAATAATACTATATTAAATCATTCTGATAAAGTAGATTTAGCCATTGATTCATTAGATGCATTATTTACTTTATCAAATATTAAAGATTTACCGTTATTTTTACAAATTATTGATATATCTTGTATTATATTTAAATTAGTATTTAATTATGTGGCAGAAAATGATGGTTGTAATCAAGTTTGGAGTAAATTAACTGAATTAAAAAATTCTTTAGTTAATAAATTTCAATCAAATTTCCCTTTAGATCCATCTGATAATCAAGAACATGATTTATCAAGAAATATTATAACAAAAATTGAATTAATTAAATTTATTTTTATTGTTATTGATTATCAATCAAAATCAACTTTAATAAATACAAATAATGGAACTCCTCCTCCAGCAACTACATTTTCATTAAATTCAGTTAGTCCAACTCATTCATTAATAAAATATAATAATATGGAATATGAATCAACAGTTTTATTAGATATGATTTTAAAAACTTTTAATTATGATATTTTAATACCTCAATTAATTTCATCTATATTAAATCATTCTATAATTATAATGAGAAGAAAACCTCAATATAGTTCAAAAATTTTAAATATTATTGAAAATTATGATTCAATTTCAAAATATCAATCAAATTATCAATCTCTTGAACAATTTAAATTATCCAAGAAATATGTTGATAGAATATTTAGAATTTTTATTCATCATTGTTTAAGAAATAATTTAATTCCTAATAATTATCAGAATTCATTAACTAAAAAAGCTCAAACTTTACAAGACAGAGGTAATGAAATTAGAAAAAAGAATATATTTGCCATTGAAGAACCCAATCTTAAAAAGAGAAAATTCGAAGGATTTTATAATCCAACTAAAAGATTAAAAGTGGTGGATTATTCCAATTTATATAGTTTAAATGAAACTAATAATCCTTTGAATACGTTTAATATTTCAACTGTTCCTCAATTTATTTTAAATAATATGGTGGTGAATGCTTTACAAAAATCATCAGTAAGTAAATTATCTAAAGCTTTGGAAATTATTTCTGATCGTTATATTAATGCTTTGAATACTGCGGGGACAAATATTAATTCACAATCTGCTACTCCTACATTCAGACCTCCAATACCGAATAATAATATTAATAATAATAATAATAATAATGGATATCAACCAACACAACAATATCAAGGTCAATTACCACCTCCTCAGAATCAACAACAACTTAAACCATATGAACCTCCTGGTGGTTATGATTATACTACAAATGGAAATGGTAATGGGTTTGGTAAAGGTGGTGATGAATATGGTGACGAAGAAGGTGAAGAAGAAGATGAAGAAGATACTTACGATCCTGAAACCATATATACTTTACCACCACCAAAGGATCTTTCGTTCCAAGATAAAAAAGATCAAATTAATATTATAATTCAGAATTTCTTTAGATTAGCGAAGAATCCAACATTAGCTAATAAAGTTGATGTTGATGATGATGAAGAATTAAAAATTAAACCTGATGATGATGAAAATGTTAAAGTTAATAAAGAATTAACTAAGATTGCCATTAAATCATGGAAAAAGGATAGTTGGATTATTTTATTAACTAGATTAGCTACAAGAGGGATGAGAAGTTTAACTGGAAGTTCAAGTGATGAAGATAAAATATCACCTGATGATAAAATTAATCAAGAATTAAGTGATATGATTAGAAATTCTATATTTGAATATTTCCTTGAAAATATTCATGGTAGAATTGATATTATAATTAAATGGTTAAGTGAAGAATGGTATAGTGAAAAAGTATTTAATGAAGAACTTGAGATTAAAAAAGCGGTTAAATTAAATCAAGGTAAATCTGTCAAACTGTTACCACCGATTAAAACTCCAATTTATAATAAATGGGCTGGAAAAGTTTTAGATGCTATGATTCCATTTTTAGAACCAAGTGATAGAAAGATTTTCATTCGTTTATTAAGTGATTTACCTTATTTAAATGAAGAGTTAGTAGGTGGGATAAAATCCTTATGTTATGATCCCGTTAGAATTAAGATTGGATTTCTTTCCTTACAATTCTTAATTATGTATAGACCACCCGTCAAACAAGCATGTCTTAATATCTTAAAGGAGTTAAGTGAAAGTGATCAAGAAGATTTAAAGGAAGAAGCTAAAAAATTATTGGATAAATATAATTAAAAAAAGTTTGAAGTTAGTGAGATAGTTATCTTATCTCTAATTTCATTATTTATTAGTAATTAATTGTAATAATATAGTAATAATATAATAATAATAATAATAATATGTAATATCATAAACGAAATTGTAACAGTATATAGTTAAACACATAAATTTTTCTCTCCCCTCGAACTTACAAGTGATTGCAAAATAATTTATCCGAACTACATCCATGCCGCACCACATTCCCGGTTATGATCAGACCCTATCCCAATTTACTATTTGGAACTTTGTAAATCATTTAGGAAATTTTAAGCAAAAATCAGATTATATTCCATTATATCCCCTCCTACTTAAATATTATGGATAAATTCTATCAATCATTGATTTGAAATCGGTAAGTTCTGGTTTAACAAATGATTCAGGTTTAAACTATTTATATCGTTTCAAACGACACATAATTCATTTTTGTCGTTTCTTTAATCGACCCATTTTGGTTTCAAAACGGTTTTGCTTGGTTCGATTTGTATACGATTTTTCATATTGATTGCATTTCATTAATAAGTTGAGGTCATTTTTTTCTTATAGATTAATATGCATATTGATTCTAACTTGGATATTTCAATCGAGTCCGACGTTAATATGGTGAATAATTTATATGATACCGTTTATAATGGCTTAATATGGTTGATTTCATTGAATATGTATGTTTGGTTGGGGATAATCTTTATCATTGCTGTGGTGATGGGTTTTGCGTTCATTAGGGAGGAATTGGGGTATGGTCATCCCCTTTTCAATACCGTCATTCCCCAGATTGATAATACTAAACAAAGTAAATTCAAATTTAGATATAGAACTTCAATTGCAACTATTTGTTTACCAGGGACAATCAAACAGAAATTATTAGCCATCCATAACAGTGGATTTGATGGTGTTGAACTTATGTTTAATGATTTGAATGAGATTGATCCTCATGAATTAAAACAATATGCTGATTCATTAAATTTGAAAATCGTATTGCTTCAACCGATTCGTAATCTTGAAGGATGGGATGATGAAGTGATTTTCGAACAAAAATTACATGAACTAGAACAGGTTTTTCAAACTATGCAAATTTTAAATACGAATGTCTTATTGATTTGTTCCAATGTTGATACTCAATCCAGTGGTGATTTCCCATTAATTATTCGTCAATTGAAACAAGCTAGTAAACTAGCCCAAAAGTATGGTATTAAATTAGCCTTTGAGAATTTAAGTTGGGGGATTTACATCAAGACATTTGATGAATTGATTAACACAGTATGTAAAGTTGATGAGGATAATTTTGGGATTTGTATTGATTCATTTCATATCAATATGTATCAATCAAAGATTAATCAACATAATCTTACCAATAAGATATTTATTGTTCAATTTTGTGATGGAGGAAGTAATATATCTCAGTTACCCACCACTTCAGATAAAGATCGATATGAGTTAGTGGAGTATGCTAGAAGGTTTCGATATTTCCCGGGTCAAGGCGGATTCACTGATTTATTAGAACAATATCGTCATTTACAAACTTCAAATTATACAGGATATATCAGTTTAGAAGTTTTCAATCACGACTTTCATCAATTCAAAGGAGATATACAGTATATTTCCGACGATGGCTTTAGAAGTTTAATATGGTTAGAAATTGAAGATTTATTACAAAACAAACCATTTAAGATTAAAGGTATTGAGGTGAACAATAGAAGTTGGAAACCTAAATTACTGACGCGTCCTATTTTTAATCACGAAGAAGAAGCTGAAGGTATATGTTCTGGTTTGCAATTGAATTGTTTAAAAGATATAACCATCATTGCAGAAGATGCAGATTATTTGAATTTACGATTAAAATATTTGAAGTATGATAATTTTTTAATTGCAAATAATATTATAATTAAAAATGATGCAGGCGGCGCAAACGAAATTTTTAGCCACCACCAAATAAGACAAGAACAAGGTGAACCAGAACTTCAAGTTACGAAAAATCAACTGATAATGCCCATTGTTTTAAAAGTTTTAAATCGCACAGAATACAATAGGCTAATGTTGTTTTGTTCTGTTGGATTAAAATTACAAAAATTACATGAAGAATTCCGCCAAGATTATTCTTTTAATTTACCAGTAAATACATCTTTTGGTTATAAAAGACATGGTTTGAAGTCTATCACAAAATTCGATAAAGGCGGTAATTACGAATTGATTGGCAACAACGACACCATCAACAATCTTGACGACATTAATTATACAATCATAACAATCTCAATTACGTGATGTACAGAATGATTGATTCTCTTTTTGGAGGAGGGGTTGGGGGGTTGACGGATTTTTATTTTTCTCTTACCTTTCAATTACGTTGATTAAAGTTATTGCTTTTCTTTTTTCTTCTAATTATTATTTTATATTGACGTAGTTAATTTGCATTAGATTGTTTAAAGTTGAAGTTTTTATATTTATTTTTTATAAATTTGTAGCAATTATTATCAATATCTGATCATTATCGTATCCCTGAATTATAACTTTTATTTTTCAATTATAAATTTATTATTTAATGCACTATGCAACAGGGAAAGTTTAAAAGATTTTTTTTTTTTTATTTTGATGATTTTTCTTTTTCGGTTTTATTTTTTTTTAATTTTTTTTTTTGGTTTATTTTATTTTCTGAACAGCCTTTTCCCCACATACAGATTCTAGAAGGCAAAAACATTTATCCTAAATGAAAGTATAAGCGTGTATGTACTTATTTAGTTTATAGTCGAAATCAAAGGCGACTTCACATAGACATTGACCCTACATTAAGAAAATGAAGTGAGGGGTGAGGTGAAGCAAGAAGGGAAAGTTGAGGTGGACTTACCAGGAATTATGAGTAAAGAGTCCGACAATAGAATTGCTGGGGTCATCATTTAAGCTTTGGATGGGTATAAATCTTTGCGGTTCTCCGCAAATTTGCGGATGTCGCCGATAATCATTTTTCATTGACCATTTATAGCTTTAGCGTAGAGGTATTAATGGTTACTGGGTAGTGTAGTGGTGGTTCAGCGTAATTGATGGTTGGTGTAGGATTGTGTAAGATTGTGTAACGTATACCGTGTAGATTATCTAAATTTAGGTTAAACCTTTCAAGAGTCATCATTATTTGACACAGTTACACTTATATCTTTTACACTTACTCCAGATTTCATGTTCATCTCAAAAATAGAAACTATTCATTAATCATATATTCACCTTCTCTTTTCTTAGAGTAACCCTTGTTTAACTCTAATTACACTAATATGTTACAATCAGATACAGTTAATATAGATGATTTTGATCTTAAACAGATTCATGATTTTGCCGTTGATTTAGCAAGACAAGCCGGTCAAATATTAATTAATGATTCATTAACTAGAAATCATAATATTCAACTTAAAAAGAATGCAGTGGATATAGTTACGGAAACTGATTTAAAAATTGAAAATTTTATTAAATTAAATATTCAAAAATCTTATCCTGATCATAAATTCATTGGTGAAGAATCTTATAGTACTAAAAATGCTAATGAAAAGACTTATCTTGTTGATAATAGTCCAACTTGGATTGTTGATCCCTTAGATGGGACGGTTAATTTCGTTCATTTATTTCCAATGACTTGTATATCAATTGGGTTCACTATCAATGGTAAAGCAGTAGCGGGAGCTATATTTGCTCCCTTTATAAATCAAATGTATTCAGCTCATAAAAATGGAGGGGCATGGTTAAATGAAACTACAAAATTACCCTTACAACAAACTCCAATATCAATTGATGCTCCCAAAGGATGTATATTTCTGTGTGAATGGGGGAAACAACGAGGTTATACTGAAAATCTGAATTTATATAAAAAGGTGAATTCATTCATTAATATGGCAGCTGAAATAGGAGGTAGAGATGGTAAAGGAGGAATGGTTCATGGAGTTCGAAGTTTAGGTAGTGCTTCATTAGATCTTTGTTTTGTGGCTACTGGAGCATTTGATATATGGTGGGAAGCAGGATGTTGGGAATGGGATGTATGTGCTGGATTTATCATTGTAGAAGAAGCAGGAGGTATTATCACCACCGCTAACCCACCAACAGATTATGAAAATGTAGGTATTCCACCGGCTCAATTGGGTTCCAGATTATATCTTGCTATCAGAGGATGTACTGATAATACTGATGCTAAAGAAACCAGTAAACAAAGTCAAGAACGAGTAATTAGGCAAGTATGGAAACGAGTTGATCATTTAGATTATACTCGACCTGGCGTGTAACCCATATGTTATACTTTTTATAGCACTCTTTATATAAACCATATAGTATACAATAACACAGTTCATTTCTTATCAGATTGATAGCGCACAAAAATAAAAAGCTGTGACAGAATTTGGTGATAATAATAACAACAAAAAAAAAGAGACGATTCAAATCTGAAATCAGAATTATAGCCACTGCTCCTGACAACCAATCAGAAGTATCATTGGAACTTTAACTTATACAATCCAATCCAATCAATCAATCGCATAAACATACACATACACATATAGAAGTCAGCATCATGAGTAATAGCATATTCCAATCATCTGATGATCCATGGGAGAATGGATGGGCCACAAATGATAATGGCAATAATAATTCTACCAGTGCCAATAGCAACAATTTAGGTTCATCACCTTCAATTCCAATTTATGGAAGTGGAAGTACATATATCACATCATCGCAATTACTAAACACCAATGATGACTTGGATGACGAATTGGAACATTCACAACAGATTACCAATATCCCTGAATCATATTTGAAAGTTCATTCAGCATTATCCGAAAGGATATTATCTGTCAATGATTTAGAGACATTGATATTTGATAAACTTATTGCTCATGAATATTTCAATAATTTACAAAAATTACGAATCTTGGATATAATCTATGATAATAATTTATTACCTTTATCCATTGCTAATAACTTTTATCAAATTTTAGGTTTAATAGGTTTGGAAATTGATTCTCCTGGTACAGGTGATTTCGTAACTTTGAGATTTAAATTGAATAAATTACCTGAATTTTCATCTGCCATGGTTGATCTTTTGATTGAATTCAATGATTCATCCAATAATAATGATTTCATTGATCCATTAAATGTCAATAGTCCTAGTGAAAAGGGATTAGATCCAATTTTAAAAGTTCATTCATCAACAGCAGGAGGTTTATTAGGTGGAACTAATAATCCTAATGGAGATCCATCATCATCAGATAATTATGTCGATAATTCATATATGAATAAATACGTAACTGAGATTAGAGATAAATTCAAACCATTAATCACTGCTTTTGATCTTGTTAAGATTAAAGAAGTTCCAGAGAAAGAGGGATTATTATTCAAGCATATCAATTATATCATAACTCATGATTTAAAACTTAATACAACCACTCCAGCTGGAACGAAGAAAGTAATAAGAAGATATTCCGATTTTGTATGGTATGTATTTTTATGATAACAATTTATTATATTAACTGGGACTTAATTACTAACTATTATTATAGGTTATTAGAGTTTTTACTTGAAAAATATCCATTCAGAGTAATCCCGGGATTACCACCCAAAAAATTCACTGGTATGTTTAATTTTAACTTTTTTTTAATATTCATCTTTTTGAATTAATACTAATATAATTTCAGTAGGTTCATCACCCGATTCTCAATTTCTTCAAAGAAGACGCAGGGGATTACATCGGTTTCTTAATCAATTAGTGAAACATCCTATTTTGAGAGAAGAACCCGTTGTAGTGACCTTTTTAACGGTACCAACCGATATATCAACATGGAGAAAACAAGCCAAGATTGATTCATCTATTGAATTTAAAGGAGAAAAGATTCTGACTAATTTTATAAATGTGATTTGGCCAAAGATTGGAGTTGAATTCTTAAAGAATTGGTCCTCGGCAGAACATTCCATTACCAAATTAATTGAAGTTTGGACTAAGATTGTCTTATTAGTAGAAAGATATGAAAAGAGACAACAACAAATAAGTTATGATAATGGGAAATTTGTGGAAATGTTGAATCAATTCAAGACTCTTAATACCAGGATATATCCTAATGAAAATGAAGTTTTATTAGGTGAAAATGCTAATAAAGATGATATTAATCTTATTAATGATTCATTAGGATTTATTGGAGAATTTTTTAATAAATCATGTCAATCATTAATTGATGAAAGTTATTCGATTAATACTATTATACTTGAGAAATTTAAAAATTATCTTGATTATTTATATTCTTTACAAGAATTATTTGAAAGAACTAAGAAATTATCGATAAATAATATTGATTTATTAGAAAAGAGAATTAAAGAAAATGAATTAAGATATAATAAATTAAGTACAGAAGATGCTGAAGTTAAAGGGACTGATTTAGCTAAATTACGTCAAATTATTATAAATGATAAGCAAGAGATATTTCAACAATTAAATCGAGATTGGTTAATTAAGAATTGTTGTTTTGAAGAATTTTTAATGTTTCAAGAGACTCAATACTTAATAAGTGAAGTTTGGGTTGATTGGTCTAAAGGTAGATTTAAATTCCTGGAAAAGTTTATGGGATTACAAGAGAATTTAAATAATGAAATAAGCAATGACATGCCATTATCAAGATAAGATAAGATAATATCTCTCATTTTTGTTTGCCTATTAACCGATCCATAAAAACATAACAAATTATATAGATTATATACATTCCAAACGTCCTTTTCCTTAATCATAAGTTAATTAATCATTCGTTAAATTATTAGTGTGTGCGTCTTTTATTGTAGAGCTTGAGTTAAATTCTGCCATTTTTGAATCACTTCATGATTGGAAGTAACATTCAAATCCTCGCTAAAGTATTTCTTATCTAATACTTTGACAATATTAAGTTCCTTTTTAGCTTGATTGAATAAATCTTCATCTTTAAAAATTTTCAATTCAGCAAGTAATTTACCTACAGTTAATCCCAACAATGCACCATTAGGGAACCCTTCATCGAAACCTTGTTGTAGACTTTCTTCTTTGGCACTCGATAATCCATCTAAATATCCTTGTTTTTGATGATTTCGTTGTATATCAGCATTGGCATTCACTCTTAGTAAGCCATCACCATAATTCTCATCATCTTCATCACCCCAGATATCATCCATGTCATTGCTATTTGATTCCTGTTCATGTTGTCGTACTGTTAATGAATGGGTATGCTCATCATGTGAGCATGAACCATTACAACTCATCTTATTATATCACTCGTAAGAAAGATGATCTAATCATTAATCATAGTTTAGCAGCAATTTTTACCATATAATTAAAATTAAAATTAACAAGGGAGACATTATGTCGTAGTATAATGTCGCCCTAAAAAATGGGTCGTGTACGATGACTCAAAATAGCAAAAAAAAAATTCCGAAAAAAGTTTTGAGGGAAAAGCCATTTGAGAAAAAGGGAGACAGTTTATCTCGTCTTCAAAATCTGAATTATAAAGCAGCGGTTAATTAATTTTATCTATTCCTTTCCATCAAGTTCTTCCTTTATTCATCTAGTATCAACAAGGAGAAAACTCATATACCATTGACTGACTGACTGACTGACTGACTACTTAGAGGCACCTCATTCGTTCATCATCCTATCTTTTATTTCTTTTGTTCATTCATTGATAGAAATTATTCACGGTGCTGGTAACCAATAGTTTTATAATTCAATTTTGATACACAAATTTACGTCAAGTCTAGTTGTCATCCATCAGAGATAGATAAGAAGACGTGTATACACCATACAGAAGAAACATACTATCCATAGATAATAGAAAAATACAACCAACACATCATGACAGATAATATCATTACTCAGGTCCAACCGGAAGCTTATGCTCCAACCACACCAGCTCATTATGAAGATAACAATAATGATGTTGATTATAATTCTAAGATCCATTTAAATATAAGAGGTAGTGAATTCACTATTACAAGAGATGAATTGATGAGTTTACCTGAAAGTATATTATTATGTTTATTTCCAAATGGTGTATTTTTAGATGTTAATAGTCAAATCATAACTAATTTAACTGAAGATGATATTGTATATGTTAATTTCGATCCATCATGTTTCCGATATATTATTGATTCATTTACTGAAGCTCAAAGACAAATTCCAGAAATGGCAACTCTTTCTCCAACCGTTAGTATACCAAGTCGTCATAGTCAAGATAATGTTTTACAACATAAACCGGCTATAATAGTTTTAAGAGAAGATTTGGATTATTATGTTATACCTCCTATTGCGGGATTAAATGCTGATCATATAAGGCGTCTTAAATTAGGGGTATCTAAACAATTGATTGAAAATAAATCCATTTTTAGTGGTTTAGGTTATGATGTTGAAACAACTTCAACTGAACATCAAAAATTAGGTCCTGCTGAACAACATTTATTTGATATGTTATGTTCATCTGGTTTTAGTGCTAAAGGTTTATGGGGAAGTAGATCAATTGAACCATCAAAATGTGTTATACTGTCATTACTGTTGGTTAGATTAAAATCAACTAGTCCAACTCCTCCTGAATCACCAAATTTAGCTCCAGTACTTTCAAATGCTTCAGGTAGATCAAGATCTCGTATAGCATCATTAGCCAATAGTGCATCAAGAGCAGCATCAAGATCAATGACTCGAAAAAAACCAGTTGATGCTAATCAAACTAAATTATTATTATTTTGGAGAAAACCAGCAAGAAAATGTTGGTGGTCAAATCAAACTTTAGAAATTCCAATTGATTCAAGTTTTAAATTAAAAGAAAAAGATATGAAAGTTAAAGTTCATATTAGAAGAGTTTGGACTTTAGAATTATCAGTTATTGGTGTACAATAAGGTATAATAGGTAATTAATATGCTAAATTTGAATCTGTATAACATCTATATAATAATTTGTAATAATATATATCATAACTTAATCATTTGAATATGACAGACTTGTAATGTAGCTCATCCTTGTTAAGGTCGTCTCAATAGTTAATGAACGAATCTATGGTAATAAGAATTTGTGTAGTAATTTCCAATGCTCAGAAAACAAACGCGTATTAATTTTTCAGAGAGTTTTTGAAATTTATTTTGGTATCATCATAGATATCATTATACTATCACACTCCAATAATCATACCACAACAAGCATGACTTCAATCTTACTTGGTAACAAAGGTGGCAAACATCTAGATCAATATGAACAAGAAAGATTAGATCATACCCCCTGGGTTGAGAAATATAGACCTCGTAAATTAGATGAAGTTGCGTCTCAAGATCATGCTGTTAAAGTCTTACAAAAGACGATAGAATCAGCCAATTTACCTCATATGTTATTCTATGGACCTCCTGGGACCGGTAAGACCAGTACTATATTGGCCTTAAGTAAGCAATTATACGGTCCTAATTTATATAAGACTCGTGTGTTGGAATTGAATGCATCTGATGAAAGAGGGATTTCGATTGTTAGAGAGAAGATTAAGAATTTTGCTCGATTAACGGTATCTAATCCTACTGCTGATGATTTGGAAAAGTATCCTTGTCCTCCTTATAAGATCATTATCCTTGATGAAGCTGATTCGATGACTAATGATGCTCAATCTGCATTAAGAAGAACGATGGAGACTTATTCTGGAGTTACTCGATTTTGTTTGATTTGTAATTATATCACGAGGATTATTGATCCTTTAGCATCGAGATGTTCAAAGTTTAGATTCAAGTCACTTAATAATGATAATGCTTTGAATCGTTTGAAATATGTTGCTGATCAAGAACACATTCAATTAAATAAAGATGAAGATGTCTTACAGGAAGTATTAAAGATTTCCAATGGGGATTTAAGAAAAGCTATTACAATCTTACAATCAGCTACCAAGTTAAGTAATTCATTATTGGAAATAGTTGATGTTGATATGGATAGTGGTGAAAGTGAATCGGTGAAAGGGGGAGAGATCACCATTGGATCAATTCAAGAAATCGCTGGGGTTATACCAGAAGAAATAATTTCAAAATTAAGTGAAATCATTAAATCTAAAAATACAAAATTAATAATTTCTCAAATCAATGAATTAATATTGAATGGTAGAAGTGGTCAACAAGTGATTGATCAATTACATGATCAATTCATATTGGATGATACGCTTAATGCTCATGAAAAGAATCAAATTTCAAAGATTCTTTTCGAAATTGATAAACGTTTAAATAATGGTACTGATGAACATATTCAATTATTAAATGTTTGTCTCCAAATATCAAAAGTAGTTTAACACTGTATAAAACACGTATATTATATATAATACTAAATGAATGACATAAATTAGAATTACAAACTCAACTCTATACTGATTGTTGAACTCTTGAATAAGCTAATTCAGTAGATGTAGTATCATCATGAAGTCCATCAAGATCTTCATCTTCGTCTTCATCATTAATGGATTGATCTTGTTTGATGATGATCTTTGGATAATAACTTCTGGAACTATATAAACTTGGAAATAATCTAAAGTATGACCATGAAGCAATCACTAACCCAATTAGACTTCCAATACAAACATCAACGAAATGATGTCTATAATCTTCCGTTCTACTTAATGCAATCAAAGAAGCTCCTAAAGTTGGAATGAAACTTAAAATAGTTCTCCAATTACCGACTAATTCATTAGTAGCAACTAATTGACCTAATAAATAAAGGGTTGTATAAAATAATCCAGCAAAACTAAGGGAAGAATGACCTGAAGGAGTGGTTCTGAATCCATCCATTAATCTTGAAACATTGGTGGTAGTACATACATCCTTGGCATATACCAATACATCTAATGGAGTACCTTCCTTAGGAATACATCTTGCTAAGAAATCAGGACGATGTCTTCCAATAAAGTTCTTTAAAATATCAGTTAAAACTGATGTAGTGAAACATGATAAAAATAAACCTAATAAAGCAATATAAGTATTATAAATTTTATATTTTGGTTTGGTGAAGATTAAACTTGATGCTAGAATAACGGTAAATGGAGTCCAAATAGCATAAAGGAATAATTCAGCACCATTAACTCTTTCACGTTCAGCAAAAGGGTGACTAATGGATAAATCACCTACATAAAATTGACGTTGGAAAGGTTGAACATTATACATAGCAAGGTAAGAACCAACTAAGACAGCTACTAATATCACATCAGTTAATCTCCATTTTATTAAGAATGGTAAGTTGGTATATGATGAAGAGGATGAATATGATGAAGATGTTAAACCAAAGGTGATTCTATTGAATCGATTATCCTTATGGAAATAATTGATGATATTGAATAAAAATTCTTTCACTGACATTTCGAACTGTAGTGTAAAGTAATGATAGTTTTTCCTCTACTAATAATCCTTATTGTTATCAGAGGAATTACTCAGTTATATAACCACAACTATTGGTATGGTAAAGCCCAGTCCTCTATGGCTCTGAAATTTTTGTTGTAAAGGAGAACTGTGAGGAGATTTGTGTCGCAAACCTTTTTTTATGTCACTTTCACTTTTTTTGACATTATCAATTTTTCGACAAAAGTTTCCATTTTATACGCTACCAGAAGATAAAATATATTTAAATAGAAAACTATAATTAATAAAAAATTATATATAAAAGTAAAAAGAAAATTTCATTGAAATAATTGCGCCAGTAAAGGATCTCTGCGTATATTAACCTCCACACTATTAGCCAATAAAAAATATGGCCGTATAGCGTTTTGGAAGTTAATGATATCAAGACCAAAAATTTGGTCCATTTGGTCTTGATTCGCATGAATGGATAGTTTGTATAAATGATAATATCTACAACGTGAGTTAAATGATCCAGGAACCAGCTTAATTATTAATTACCTAATTCAAAAATAGCTATACATAGAAATAAAAGTTATGACACACTTTCCTCACTCTATACCATTTTGTTATTTTTCTTTTAGATTTTGAAAGCCTTTGAATCATTCTTCTCAAAGCCAAATTTTTTGCACAAATCTGCATTATTGCTTCTAAAACTAAACTTCAGTCTAACTTCGTTAATCACAAATTTGGAAAGAAGAATAATGATCTCAACAAAATGTCCTGCTGCTTCGGTGATGCAGTTGGTTGTTGAACATTTACTTCTTCCTAAGACTTTGATTCAGTACTTCAGTTTGCACAAAAAACAAAATATTAAATACGTTTTCCATAATGATACTCATAAAGCATAAGTTCAAGTGTTCCTTAGTAATTACTTAAAAGGGCGTCCACGTTACCCTTAAAAGCTATAAAATCATCTTGAAATTCAGGAAGTGAAATATCGTTTTCAAACTGTGATGCAACGTTCAATAAATTCCTTAAATGTGAATATAACAGAAAATTTGATATTGATACCTCTGCATAGTCTATAGAAGAATTGGTTAAATAATAATTCAATTTGATGATTAATTTGATCAACTCTGTGATGAAATATTTGGGATTTCTAGGAAAAGCTAATAATATCCTAAATAGCAACAAATGTCTTATAATCTCAAATAATTGAAATTTCGAATGGTCGTCATCTTGCGGAATCTTGCTTATTTCAGTATAGAACTTATAATAATGAATAACTTCGTCATCATAATCGAAGTCTGTGTCAAAGTTAATGAATTCAGTAAGTCTCATTAAGCTACCCTTATTTTTCCAAACTCCATCCCCGATGCTTTTACCAACCTTCTCGACTCTAACGAACAATTCAAATATTTTCTTTGAGTTAACATCAATCACGGTATTCCTATAATCTATACTTGGCACCATATCAGATGCCTTGTTAATAATTGGAACATTGCCCTCTCGGTAGTCACAAAAATTAAGTTTGTCTGAGGGGAACAATAGGAAGAATCTTTCCAACATAAACAACTTATCAAACAATTCCGATACCTTCGAGTTTGAGGCAGCATAAGCACCACTGATTTCCCTAAGGTTTGATAAACTGTCACGCAAATGTAATTTGGACTTTTGTATATTAATATAAGTAGTTCCATATTCATTTGCAGTAGCTGAGTTCCTTATATAGTAATAGCTGCATAAATGTAAATAACTCATTGCTAAATTGTAATAATTATAATCGTCATTCTCTTCTTCTTCTTCTTCTTCATCCTCATGTTCATTATGAAATTTATTGTACATTAAATAATGTAACTTACTGGAAGCATTCGACAAAATCTCAAAAACAGCATAAATACATATATGGTTGAAGTCATTGTATTTGTCGTACTTCACTTCTGGATCGCCTGCAAGACTTTTATGATTATTGAGACGATCTAATTTCATTAAGTTTTGCGAAATTATCAAACTAAGACTTATAACAATTAATAATTCGTACATATAACCAGTATTAAGAGCGTACTTCCGGATAATTTGTTCAATGTCTTCTTCAGAATCTATAGGTTGGTTGTCGGGTCCTACCTCTAGTTTATACATTAATGATTGCAATTCAGAAATAAGTGACGTGGTTGTGAAAGGTTGAACTAATTCCATTAAGCTCTCCAGTTTCAAAAGCTTTTCAAGATTCTCTCTCAAAGTAGCAGGAGTAGGTCTTAATTTTACTAGTTGTAAGCGAGCAAAGATAGATCTCGAAATTCTAGATGAACGTGAAGCTAATCGGTCACTGTAATACTCTTGATCAGCTGCAAAAATCTCATCAGTGTTTGTTAGTGGAACTACCTTTAACAAAGGGTCATTATCAGTATTATTAATGACTGTTTCACAGTTGATGATCTGTTCATACCTAGCTTTGAGTAAGTCATCAGTGTAGTATAATTCATTGATATTAGTACATAATGCAAAATGTCCCTTGAGAGCTATATTAAAACTTTCAATCTCTTTTCCTAGGTCATTGCTTTTATCCAATCTGTTAACTTGTAACGCCATCTTTAATATATGTACTAAATTTGGCAATACCTGAAAGTTTGAGAGCATCACCTTCGAAGTATACGTTTCAAATCGCTTCAAATTACCATTCAAGAGGTTTAATTGATATGTTAACTCTCGTCTCACGGTTACAAGAGTCATTGGAAATAACAAGAGCAACTTGACATATAAAATGCTTCGAATGATTTCAAATAGTTCAGGTTCAGGTTCTTTGTAAACTACCTCGCAATCTTCTAATTTAAGAATAACGCTATCATATGATATATAATCTTCTTCCGCATATTGTATACTTTTAACAAAACTAGTTTCATTGCAAATGTTAATGAATAATTTGTCATATGGTTTGTGGCTATCTATTTCAATTTTTCCAAATTCATCCAATGTACAAAATAAATGGAATAATACCTTAGAATTTCTTTCATCGCATTCAATGTATTCATGAATAAAAGGAACTCCTCTGTATTCTAATTTTCGGGTAATACAATTATCGTTGAATCTATTCAAATCATAGTTGAATGAAGAAAATACTAGCAAATATCTTTCCATTGTAAATATCCTTTCCAATAATTCTGTATAATAATGATTTGTTCTGTCAAAATCTAAAATTTGAAAATAGTCGATACTTCGATTTAGTTTCAGTACTGTCTCACTTCTTTGGGTTTCATTGCCAAAATACGTTCCTGTTAACCTGTCATCTGAATATGTAGTTGGCACTTCTATACTATTTGTTAAATTCAAACTATGATAATAATTACAAAGATGAAAACAAGCTAATGATAAATTATAAATCGTATTGGAAAACTTTTCACGATAGTCGTCATGAGATTCAATTTGATCACTTCCGAATAACCCAATGTATTGAAATATATTACGGCATCCTTCGAGACATAATTCATTGAAATCTGTAAAATTTTGTTTGCTTAAATCATCTTTAGTGTACCCTATTTCAACATTAGCTTCATTTGGATCAAAATCAAGTGCCTTTAATTTCATGAGATTGGATGTAACAAGTAAATTAAGGGTAAGAATGATAAGCATTTGAGATAGGTATAATGGGTCTTTATTATGTTGAGTAAGTACTGATTGTAGATCCATTGTCAATTCAGACGAAAAATTGGATTCATCTAATAACATATCACTTAATAAGTCTAAACATGATTTCTCTTCTTGATCAACTTGTTTACATATAGATTCAATGATTAGTGGTTGGACTAACTCCCTAATAATTGGTTGTTTAATCAAGGATAAGTGTCGTCTTAAAATTGCCGCAGTAGTTGCATAAGTTATATCAATACTCCTTCCAAGTTGCTCAGATGTTGCATTTGACCTCGATTTTGGTTTCCTATTATAGTACTGACATTCAATGTTCAGATCCAAACAATTGTTACAGGGTTGATCTTTAGAACATTTTATCTTTTTCACATAACAAGAATCACAGGCAGTATGAAATTTTACTCGTTTATTCGAAAGAGTATCTTCTGCATCAGGAGGAGTATGTTTCCTTAGATCCTTGCTTGCTTCCAAAGGATGTGATGATGAATCAGATTCCATTATAGCCCTGCCAAATGCTTTAGCTTATCAAATTAACAAGTTAGTAAAGTAAATAATTAAACCAAATTAGACAAGACAATCAATCTTCCTTGAAGTTATGATTTGAGGGAATTCTAATTATTTTAACACATTTGTAGCAAAATGTGATGATTAATTATTATTTTGATATTTATATGGAAATACTAGGGATTTCCAAATTTAGAATCATTTAAAAAAAAAGATCAGAAAAATGCTACCAGTTTCCAATGTACGTATTCTAAAGCAGACGATATAACGTTAACATACATATTTGAGAGAACACCAAAGCAGGAGCTATGTTTCTTAACCAAAGTTTAAACAATCAAACATTATTAGTTTTGCAAAGCGGAATCTTATTTGACCCAATCTAAATTAAACGGTTGTATAAGTTATCTCTTGTATTAGTGGTCCTTGAAATTAGTTCAACATCAGTATCAACATCAATGCTCACATTGGACTTTTCTTTGGGAGTAATTCTAACCTTATCCAGTCTTGGGGGATTGAATTTAGATATCCTTTTAATGCTATCAGACTTGTAGTTGCAAACTAAGTTCTTTGCTGTACACTGTTCGCAAGGAATATACTTAGAACATCTAATTTTTTTTGAAATACAATTTTGACTTGCGTAAAGCATTCTAACATTTTTATCCTTATTTTCGGCTGAATCAGGAGGTGTGTTAACATTTATGGCTATACTAACACGTTCATATGAATCCCATGATTGACTAGAACTACCTTCAGTAGCAGTATAAAGAGAGGAGTTACCAGCTGTAGTATCTTTAGGCGGAATCATTTGGTACTAAATAAGAATAAAAAGAAAATGACAAAAAGATGAAAAAATTATTTACTAATTGATGGATATTTATAGAAGATTTGAAAAATAATTGCTAAAATTTAAGGGGTAATAATAAATAGCATATTTAATGTTTTATATGTGGACAAATATAAAAGTTTCGGGGAATACATTATGCCTTTTTAATGCAATACCAGAATCATTTATTGTAATTCTTCAATGTATTATCTATGTATCCGTAGTATTACGAGTTGTTGACAATAGTCGTTATTACGTTTTCCAACTTGTACTATTCTTTGAAAATGTATTTCTGACAACTACATATGCGTCACGGGCAGTTAAGGGATCAAGTTCGGACTTTTACCAACTTTGTGTTTCTACTTTTTATGCCTAATTGCGGCCTCTCAAAGCTTAATAATTATTAGAATTTCCTCGATAAAAGTAAAAATTTGCTAAATTAAATACCATATGAACTACAGATTTTCCCCTATTTCAGATATATGAATCGTTATTAGGTGGTAACTAAGACAATTAACATACATACAACATTACCCATATTATAATAAAACTCTAACAATCCACCACCATTGCGGAGATTTTCACTATATATTTTTACCATATTTTTTTCCAGCATTTATTAAGTATCTAAAAAGTAGAGTAAGTATCATAGTAAATTTTACTTCATATTTGAAAAGAAGGGGTTAAATTATAATTTTTGGGCTCTTGAAGTGATCGATAAGAGATTTCTAATTTTAGCTCATAATCTAAAAATAAAAAGTTGCACAAATTCTTTTGGTTTATTATGCAGGGGCGCAGATAAGAATTAAATTAAATTATTAAGGGGCGTGTAATTTAATTCGTCATTGATAACCGGACGCTACCATGAAAGGTCACAGGATTATTTGTATTTATAAAATAATTATATTTATTTATCATTTGATCTACTATGAATTTATTTACTCTTAATAATGTACTTATTTGTTCTTTTCTCTCCATAATGAAATCAATTTTAACATTAGTATATCATAAATGAATTTCATATAGTAAAATCTTCTACAGTTATAACAGATTTGTGAAAAGTGCTATCCTGACTTGGGTTTGATAAACTAATGCAAATTTATTTCATCCAAAACGACTAAAAGAACTTAGTAATTGTGTGAACTTTGTTTAGAGGATATCTAAGATACTATTCCCAATATTGTATGCTGAAAGATGTATAGTATTCCCTCCAGTCTAATTCTTTCAATATCTCTTGAGTTAGTTCCATCATCAAGTCCTGTTTACATTAAACTTATTTGCAGTTATGATCCGTGATCTATCCCTAAATACATGTAATATAACACTCCCTAGAAAGTATTTTTGAAAAGAGTATTTCCCAATTCTTCTCTATATTCCTAGTACACTTGATCATATTATCCTTGTTGTTCTTGGTTGCGTGAAGATCTTTGTTTTCGTGCATTATTCAGATATCTTGCTTTAAGTAACTCATCAGTCGAATATAATCTTTCAATATAATTACATAAGTCAAAATGATTTGCTAGGGACTTGCTCAAAGTATTGATCAACAATTCTAAAGCTTTAGATGTAGATATCAAATTATTTGAATCTAATGCAATATGTAAAGTAGATTTCAACTGATCTAGATTTAATAAAACATTACTTATAAGTTGGAAACTTTCCGAATGTAATGAGATATTAATCGTAGATATTAATTGGTTTAAGTGTAATTCAATATTTGGTTCAAGTTCCAAACCATTTAACGTAGATACCAAATCATTTAAAAGTGGTTTGATAACTAATATAAATGTCTCTTTGTTTAAGAATCCATTTCTCAAATTATTTAAATGTGATTCAATATTTTGTGAATTTGTTGATTCATTTGAAGGTAATACACGCGTTAATGTATTTCTCAAATTATTTAAATGCGATTCAATATTTTGTGTACTTTCTGATTCATTTGAACGTAATCTTTGATTTAAAGTTGATATCAACATATTTACATGTAATTCAATATCTCGTGAGAGTTCCAGTTCTTGTGAGTGAAATGTAATATTTAGTGCAGATATCAACTGATTTAAATTTAATGAAAAACTTTGTGTAAGTATGCGTTCATTTGAATTTAACCCATCATTCAATTTCAACATCCATGTCTCTAAATTAAAATCTATGTTTGGTTGAAGTACCAACTCGTTAGAATGGAATTCTTTATTTAATGTAGACATCAACTCTTTCAAATATAAGGCAATCTTCATTATATGTACCAAATTAGGAATTAATCGATAATTTGAAAGTGATATTTTAAGGCTATTACTTTCAAAATGATTTAAATGATCAATCAAAGTAGTTAATCTTGATAATAATTCTTCCACCAGATTTTTGAATGTCATAGGATATAATAAGAGCAATTTAATATACAAGACGTGGCGAATAATTTCAAATGGATTTGGCCCTGTTTCAGCTTCATTGTTCAATTTATCATTTATTTTCCCAATTATTTCGTTATAGATTTGATTATCTTCAAAAAGCAAAATATATTTTGTGAAACTAGTTTCGTGGCAAAGGGTATTCAAAAAAGTATTTTGATTCACACCACTCATTTCTCGATCAATTTCATCCAATATACAGAATAATCTGAATAACATTTTAGAATGATCATCTACGTTATTATTAGGAACTTCTTTAGATTGAAGTTTGAATGTGACACAACAATCGTTCTTCTTATAATTAAATGGTGAAATTATTAATATGCATCTTTCAATAGTAAATATTCTTTCAAATAATTCTGAAAAATACTTATTTTTGTCTGTTAATTGACTGAAATTGGAGATACTCATATCCAAGTACGTCCGAATTAGTTTATTATTTTCTCGATGGCCAAATCGTAATACATTTCCATTTCGTTCGATTTTATTGTTTGGATCGAAACTATGAAAATACATGCAAAGATGCAAAGCGCCTAATGCGAAATTGTAATCAACGTTGCTTAAAACTGGATGGTCATCATTGGATTGAATCTCACTTACGGTTTTGGATTGAACCATTCCATATTTCAGCAATATTGTAGTACACCCATCAAGACACCAAAAATTAAAGTCTTCAAGTTCGCCACTACTTTTTTCTAAATTAATATCGGCTGGTAACTTTACCTTTTGTAATTTAATTAGATTAACAGTAACAAGTAAATTAAGTGAAATAATGACTAATACCCTAGATAAAATTAATATATCTACTTCATGCTTTTTGATTACATCTTCTAGTTTTCTTTCCATATCATTTGCTAAATTTTCAAATATTTTATCAGTAAAAGAAATACTATTTTCAATAGGTAGTATAGATTTAACAGTTAACGGTTGAACCAAAGTTCTTATAGTTGATTTCTTAATTAATTCAATATGAGTTTTGAGAATTTCTAAGGATGGTTTAAATTTTGAATCGTTAAGAATTTCTCTATTTCTTTTCCTATTGCCCGGCTGTCTGTGTTCTGTTGTAAAGAGGCATTGCTGATCCTTACATTTGGTACAACTTTTTCCTATCATCTCACATTTTGTTTTTTTATCTCGACATCGGTCGCAGGCTTTCTTGTTCTTCTTAATAGGTACTTCATTTACAGTATTCGGACTACTTTGTTTAACAAGATTATCATTCCTGCTAATTACAGAAGAAGTTGATGGAGTTAAGTCCATCGATGAATGAACATCGCCGTTGGTACTATCTGAAACAGTTGTTCCATCGTTACCTCCATATCCTGAAGCCAACACATTTGGATCTGTGGGTGTTAAGTAGTCATCTTGGTATTCCATTATTATTTGGTTCAAATTAAAATGATTGTTTAAAATCAAGTTAAAATAAGTAAAAGGAAATGTCCAAACTTAATATATATTGAAAATTTTGTATATATACTACAATTTGAGGGATTTACTGTTATCTATTATCGAATATTATTTATTAATCTAATTCGTAAGCTATCATGAAAACTTATAAACTTATCGAATGTCGCAGTTTCAAAGTCGTCTCATATAAGGGGTATATTTAAAGCTTTTATTATTTTACTTTAACATTTATTTTTGATTTCTAAAGTTAGAAACAGAACGAATAAACAGATTTATATTTAGAAATATAAGTGAAATATTAGACTAAAATTGTTTTCTATAAAAAGAATTATTTCAAAGACAATATTATCTTTGCCTTTTCGACTAAATCTAGGACATCTTATTTAAATCAAGCTTATAAAGTATATTAGTAACCCATTGACTTCACACAGTTCAATTTTAATTCTCATAATATTGAAAATAATTTTAATTTCTACCATCAAGATAACAGGAAACAGCCGTAACAAATTCTTTTCCTGTCAGCTCCATATCAAGATTTAGATCCAGTCCCTCTACATCTCTATTTACTACATCTTGTACCGCCTTTAAATACCCCTGAAGCTGAAAATTTGATATCGCCACTATTATAACCTCATGTTTCTTGTCTTTTAATTGGGAATTCAAACCTTCAACTATTTTATAAATTTCTACATCGTAAGTTTCTCTATCCAACCCAAAATAGGATAATAATTTAAATAACAATAATTGCCTTACAATACCCATAAACATGAAGCTTGAGTTGAAATCATGATTGGAAATTTGGTTTACTCTATCTCGGAATGCACTATATTTCAGGCTACTCCCAGTTTCAAACCGATTTGCTAAGTCGTTTACCTTTAAATTGCAAAATCCTTCGAAAAAGCCTATATTTACTTCAGATGTATCGTGTATCAAAACTTTTTCAAACTCAACAAACAACCGAAACAATTCTTCTGATTCATAAGAAGTCTCTCTCCTATGTGAGTCTTTTGGGAGATCTAAATAAGCTATTGGTCCGTTTACCCTAAATTCATACAAATCATAATGATTTGATGGTAGTAAAAGGAAAAGTCTTTCACATATGAACAACTTCTCGAATAATTCCAGAATCTTGGGAGAGAAAGCGTTATCATGACATTCAATTAAATTGAAATTAGATATACTCCTATTCAAATTAAAAACTTTGAGACCTTTCAGCTCGCTATTGCACGAACGTTCTCCTTCTGGTATTGAATAGTCTGGCACATCGTTGTCATCAAGAGCATGAAAATAGTTACATAAATGTAACGAACTCAATGATAGATTGTAAAATATTTCATAGTCACTCGACAGATTATCCAGACATTCATCGTTTAAAGCTCTATGATGGAAATATACTTCATTATCATCAATGCTTTCAATATCATCATCTTCTTCTTCTTCCTCTTCGTTTCTCAAGTCAAGGAAGGAATTTATTGATATAAATGAAAATATATCGCTGCATTCAACAAGACATGATGCATTAAATTTTTTTAACTCATCAAGTGAACGACGCTTACTACAATGAATTCTATTTGTCTTTTTTTTTATCTCACATATTATGATAATCATATTGAAAGTTAGGACTAACAAGACTTGAGATAAATATAACGAGTCATAACGATACCGAATAAGCAAATCTTTTAGATGTTCATCTCCTTTAATTTTCACACTATCTGGGCCAACACTTAACACTTGCTTTAATTTATCCTTCTCTTTAAGAAGTGAACTAACAGTTAATGACTGAACGAAGTCATCGGAAATTGGGTCAATATTTTCTCTAAGAAATTCTGGAGTCGGTAGATACTCCTTTATATTCAGAGCACTGGAACTGCTATTTATTGATGATTTGATATTAACGGGATCTGCAATATGAAGTGTTCTATTTAATGCATGATGAAGTGTTGCATCATGTACACTATTTATTATTCGTTCCAGTAAACCATCAACTATTCCATCCAATGCATTTAACATATACGAACGTAAACTCATTTTATGGAATCTAACAACAAAACAATAATAATATGAAAAAAGTGAATTTATTTATTTATTTAAATTTAGTTTTTTAAGAAATTTATCGTTATATACCAAATCCATTTGAGGTTTTTTTTTGCTATTATGTCACTTAGCACGACATTCTTGTTGGGGGGAAATGGGCAAATAAATTTACGAAAGAAATGTTGCAACTGCGCACTACAGATTATAATTAGACCAGATGCTCCGGCTAAAGAACATCCGATATTTGTTAATAAATATTTTTAGCATTCACATCGAAATAGGGGATCTTATCCCTTTGATTAAAAATAATATTTGTACAATTCAACATCTTGTTTGTAATAAAATTGATTTGGATGATTTCGAAATGGGGTTTCATCTACCACACAAAAGATAAGAATTATTAGTTTTAAAGATGTAATCAATCACTTTCTTCTTGAAATTAATTACACTTTAAATGGTTAAAAATATCTTATGTGCAATATTTCGTAAATTTGGAAAATTTCAAAGTATTAGTCTATATGGCATTAGTAAATTCTAAAACTATATACCCCCGTTTTATTATTCTCTTAAACGTAGACAGAACAAGAATAAAATCTTTAGTTTCAAAATGTACTCTCCAAGATACTCATGGAGGTTAATTTGAAATAATAAGTTTGAAGATAATGGAGAGAGTCCTTTCTCCTACATCAATCCACAAGAACTAAAACCACGTCTTAGATTACCTAAAGACAAAACTTCAGAATATCTATTACAATAGCCGAAGTAAATTATTATGATATCAGCAGACACTAAAATCCCCAAATTCCAATTATTTGAAATTGTCAGAGATTTATTTTTGATTAAAATATTTATGATTTTTCGAGAAGAACCTATAAATGAACAACTATCTGCATTAGTTAAGAATTTAAATTATTATTTAGAGTTAAGTCACAGTGACGTTGCTAAAGTGTTGATTTCAAGTTTTCAATTATTTCCTCATCTATTGATGGTAGTTCAGTTTGTAGAGGTAGGATATGTGAGAATAAATGAATTTGATAATGACTTTTCAAAAACTAGAATCATGATATTAAATTTTAGAGAATGACCGCCAAGAGTATGACTGGTATAAAGAATTAAGTCCTATAATTTCAATTAATACCAGTACAATTCAATTGAATTTACGGTTTCAGTTCTAAAGTAAGTTAGCCAATGGACATTAGACCGTTTATGGGCCCTTTTGACAAATAGATTCCTAAGTCAACGCTACTAAATAATCAATAAACCACTGATTTGGTAGCCAGTTGAACATAGTTAATCATTAAATGATTTTGAAAATAAAGTTCAGAGAGTTGATACAAACACTTTTACAAAGTTAAAGACAGGTCTATTTTTGTAGTGATAATATAGGGTATATTAACAATACACTAGATACAAGTTAATGTGTTATGTTTATTTAGAGTCTGGGAACTAATATGGTCTGTTCAATCAAATATCTAAATTAATTAGATTTCGATTTAGTTTTAATTTCAAGTTCTCTCTACGTTTTAGTCATATAGCTGTCTATAAATAGTTTAATTTTGTTTTTATGGTAGAGTAGAGAATATTTAAAGAAACATATTTTAAGAAAGAGAAAGCAAACATTGAATATCTAAAGGATACTGTCATAATTCTTAATAATCGTTTTATTCAATAATTTGTTGACAACCGTAGCTTTCAGAGAATTAACATAAACCAAAACTCTAAAATTCTCAATTTTAAAGATTCTTTAGTATCCTTAGAGCTGTATCTAGGTAATTAAATATCCGAAATGAATCAAAATACATATATTTATGAACATTCTTATCAGGAAAAGCAATTTTTCATTTGTAGAGATGGAAAATCAGTATACTTACAAAACTTAATTTATCTTGCGAAGGATATCGAACTTGATATGGTATATAACTTTAACCATTTAAACCAAAAAGGCTTCCAAAAACATCTAATAGAAATATAAATTTCAAGGTACTGGTAAATTATTCTGTCTGTTCTAACCTTTTACCTTTCTCTTCTTTTTGAACTTCCAGGTTCGTGCCCTGTATTATTTTCGTTATTGGGTCTCTTTTTCGGATTCCTTGCATTCATTAATTTTTCATAAGCTTGTTTGAGCAATTCATCAGAATTATACAATTGTTGGATATTATCAAACGATGGAAAGTGAGGTTTTAGAGATTTATTAAATGTTTCAATTTCACTTGTTAGATAAGGATCTAAATTATCATTGTTAGCATGTAATGCAATTTTTAAAATGTGCACTAATTGAGGCAATAATTGATAATTTGAAATCATGACTCTAGAAACATAATCGTTTGGGGAACCTAAATGAATATTTAAATCATGTAATCTGGATGACAATACTTCTCTTGTAGTTTCGATAGTCTTGGGATATAGTAAGAGAAACTTAACTTGTAAAATGTTTGATAAAATTTCGAATACTTGAAACTTCTCTGCATTTATTCCATTAGTAGGTTTCCATAATTCTAAATGCTTGATTAATTCTTTATATAGTTGGTCATCTTCACTTTTGTATGCTAAAACTTTGTCAAATCTGGTATTATAAAGAAGTTTGTTAAAAAAGTCTTCAAATTTAAAATTCCCTCTTTCATGATGATAACCAAATTGATCGAATAGACAGAATAAACGCAACAATTTCTCTTCAGTGTTAGCATCACAATATTCGAAATTCAATTTAGGTGTAAACAGATAGAAGGACATTTTTAAACTATTACTGAAAGATGAAAATATCAATAAATATCTTTCTTTAGAATACAAGCTTTTTAATAGTTCTTTTAAGAAAATGTCAGAATCATTATTCTCTAACAAGTGGAAAAAATTAATACTTTTATTCAAATTTAAAATCGCTTGATTTATTTCAGCTTTACTTTCCCAATAGATTCCATCTTGATTTATTATCTTGGTTAAATTCAAGCTATGATAATAGTTACAAAGATGTAATGATGCTAATGATAAGTTATAATATTGATTAAAGTAGATTGGATGTTTGCCTTTGACTGTTATTGATGATAATGAATTCAACTCCAAAAAGGAAAATATTTCATTGCATTCAACTATACATAGTTCCATAAATTGAGTGAAATTCTGCTTTTGGAGTTCATCCTTAGTATATCCTATATTAATACCAGCTTGTTCCTGATCGAAACACAATTGTTTTAATTTGATAAGTATTTGAATAACAATTACGTTTATAGTGATAATAATTAACATTTGGGATAAAAATAATGAATCGTTACCGTGATTATTAAGGGCTCTTTTCAACTCGATTGTCATACTGGACTCATCTTTAAACATATCGTCACTTAATGAAAACAACCACGAAAGATTATTATCATTTACTTCAAATAGTGATCTGATTGTTAAAGGTTGAACCAAATCTCTTATAATTGGCACGTTGATTAATTCAATGTTCTTTTTAAGGTTTTCAAGAGTTGGTTTGTAAGTAACCTCATTTCCAATGTTAATTTGATCAGTTGTTGTAGTTTTCTTTCGCCCTGATTTCTTTTTGTCCTCGTAGATGCATATTAAAGTTTTCTTAGCACAATACAGGCAGGGATCTTCTTTTGAACACTTTATCCTTCGCTTACGGCACATGGTACAAGCAACTTCAAGAGGTTTTTTGACAACAGGCTGATTTGTGTTGAAGGTTAGTTGGTCAATTGGAACTTGTTCAAGTAAGTTGTTAATATTGTAGGTAGGCATGTATGTAGGTGTAATAACACCACTTAAAGCATTTTCAAGATTGGAATAATCTTCAAATGCCATATTCATCAACCACTCAACATAGTTTTGATCGTTATTAGAATCAAAATTAGACATTCTTTTTTTCTATTACCAGGAATAATTTATTATGTTTCAAGTTTAAATATTGAAACATGAAAATAATTGAATCAAGGAGTGTTGAGATCTAAGTTTAGCTTATTTATATATCGAGTAAAAATTTTAAGGGGTGGCTAATATACACTACTAACTTTTACAATTTGGAAATATAATAATTTAGATAAAAAATTGTATTTCTGTTAATCATTAAAATATTGTGTATAGATATGGTTTGACATTTCAAGTTAATAAACATATATATTTAAGATATAAAAGTATTTACATAAAATCAAAAATGTACATTCATACTATTAATTTATTCTTCTTGTGATGATATTTGGGTTTTATGCTTCAATTTATCATACCTATCTTTAAATTTACTATGAGCCAATTGGATGAAGTCTCCTGCATGGAAATACTCATATAAAGCATCAAAAAGTAAATGAAATTCATTTGAATCAGAAAACAATGAACTTGCATCATAAAATCTCTCTAGGTAAGTGTAAATTTGAAAATTTACAAACATTAACTTTGTATTACCACTTGGCGATGATTTGATATAACGTAGTAAATGAGCATTCAACCGTATATATTCTTCTTCAACAATGTCTTCTTCATCTATTCTGTATAAGGACATTAATATCCTGAAAAGCAATAGATTCTTCACGATGTCAAACACCATAAGTTTTGAATTAGTTGGTCCACTTGTAATATTTTGGAATTTAAGAAAACATTCTTTATAAAAACTCAAATCATCATCATAATCATCATCAGAATCTATTAGGCGAATTTCATTGCATACTAAAGTGAAGCATTGAAATGGTCTCTTTGTTCCATCTTCATAAAAATTATCAATTCTTTCGAACATGAGAAATAATTGAAATAATTTTTGTGAAACATTATCTGTAGCAGTAGGATTTAGATTAGATGTATAATCTGAACCATTCAATTCCAAATGAGTTATATTTCCATGATGTCTAAAATTAGAAAATCTATAAAGGACTGAAGAAAATAGAAGGAAATATCTTTCAAATGTGAATAATTGCTTAAACAATTCTAACACCTTAGGTTTTAAAGACTCATTATTATGACTAATTAACTGAAAATTGTCTACACTCTTATTGAAATAAAGAGCCTTTTGAGCTTCATCCTTGCTATGTTTATAACCGGGATCAGGTTTATTTAACTTTTTCCAATTATCAATGTTTAAACCATGGTAATGAATACATAAATGTAATGAACTCAAAGATATATTGTAATATATAATATCACCCTTGCCATTGTTCATAAAATTACCACCATCACTATTTTTATCATCAGAATTAGATAATCTAGTTGAATTATAGGAAATATGAAAAAATATCCTACTACATCCAACAAGACACAAATAGTTAAAGTCCCTCAAATGCTCCTTTGAAAGTCCCTCTTTAGCAAACTCGAGTACCGTTCCAAATTCTTTAACCATATCAAAAGATCTAAACGTTAAAGACTTAAATTGATTCTCGGACACGATCAAGTTAAGGGTTAGAATGAGTAATAGCTCAGATAAATACAGTGAATTGTAACGATACTCTTCAATTAATTCTAGAATATCCATTTTCGAATCAATATCCTTATCATTTGGCCCTTTCTCTAGACGCTCTAATAACGCAGGTAATTCTGAAATAAGTGATGGAACGGTAAATGGTTCTACTAATTCTCTTATGTTTGGATTAGTAGAAATTAAACTAATATTCCTTTTGAGATTAGTAAATGTTGGTCTGTATTTGATATCATTTATCTGTTTAAGATACTTAATTCTCAGTTCGTTTCTTTCATTGGTCAGGGGTTGATCTTCTTCTAAATCATTGTCCAGAAAACTGTCTTCCATGCTTTCTATATCACTCATTTTCAAGGTGATTCTTGTATGTAAATATTTCAGGATAACATAAAAATGATTCTAATATAGTTTTAAAATAGTCATTTCTTATCTAAATGAGGGTAGTAAAATTAGAAACTTTAAATCTAAATTTAGATAATTTGTGCGACATTTCAATTAAGGGGGTGGGGCACAAATTAATTAATGAGGACCAATATTTTACCCTTACCCCTCTTACGCTACCAGTAAGCTCTTGTATATTTTCAGATTTTCTAATCTAGACTACTATACAAACTTTAAAAGACAGGAGTTTCTGAAATCTGAATATAATTTTACCACTAAAACTAGTTAAATTTCAATTTCAGCATATGTATATATTCTTATTGTAACAGAAGTGACTGATATTTTAAAAAGAATAATAGAAAACAATCTTTATAAGGTCCAAGATGATAATTCATTGATTCTAATAAACCTTTATTTTTAAAGTCGCTATCATTCTCACTTCTCAATAACATAACTTTAAATACACATCTTATAAATTCTAATTGTTTTACTTTTGGCTTACAGGTGGGTCTTGATATTTTGCGCGTGTTTTTATTTCCTGGTTTTATTTCCTATATAAAAAACTAGCACTAAAGGTTATTCAATACTCAATATCATTATTAGACCATAGCGTTTGTAAAACCCACTTGGTGATTATTGTTGACTGTGACAACTCCATTTTGGACGTTACTTAGATGTTTAACAAGAACTGCATCTTTGGGGTTCACATATTGCACATACAATGGGAAAAATGTCATATCTTTGTATAAATTTATAACGTTATTAGAAAACGTTTTATGCCTCTCTATATTCTTTTCAAACTTTATAATTTGATCAATTAACTCCGGAAAATGATTAATATGGTGAAGTATTAACGCATTCTTCTCTAAATGCACTAAATGAGGTACTAATTGAAAATTAGATATCATGATTTTGGAAATTTCGGTTTTGAAGTTCTCTAAAAGTTCATTCAAACTTGAAACTAAGTAATATGCTAATGACCATAAATTGGAAACATGAGGCGGAGTAGCTAATGATATCTTGAAAAGAAGCAAGCAACGTACAATTTCAAAAACTGGAAATTCTGATTCGTCTTTTGGAATCTCATTTATTTCAAGAAATAAAGGCCAGAATGGCCGGTGATCAGAATATTCTCCAAACATTTTTTCTTTCGGCAATTGTATTTGAGCAACGTAATCTTCTAAATCTTCTAAACTCATTTGATTAAAGTCAAGATTATTTAACTTTTCTACTTCCATTTGATTAGAGTCAAAATAGTTTAGCTCTTCTAATTGTATTTGATTAAAATCAAGATTGTTTAACTCATTTAATTTCCAATCATCTATGAAACTTGTATGTCCACAAAGTTTAACCAAATCAGAATTGACCAACATGCCAAACATTTGAAATAACCTTCCTGAATTTGCACTACCCAGATATCCAGTTAATCGTAACTGGGCTATAATATCATTATTTTGAAATAGATGTAAATTGTAATTAAAAGACGAAAATGTCACGTAATAACTTTCAAACATATATATATGTTCATATAGTGCTGATAATTTGTCTGAAGATTGATTATAATCCACTAATCTAAAATAGGAAATGCTTTTACTTAAATACAATACCTTCTGATACCCTTGAGCTTCGTTACCAAAATGAGATCCTTTCAACCCGTTAGCTTTATTCAATTCAGCTTCAGCTGATTTGAAAATTGAAAAAGAAACTTTCACAGTTCTCAATAAGTTTTTACTTGTAATTGCCTTAGTATCTAAATTCAAAATGTGAAAATAATTACAAAGTTGTAATGAACTCAATGAAAGATTATAATTAAGCTTATTGTGATCTGGATTATAAATGTCTGAATTCGGTCCTTTAATTACAGAGGGGACAAGCAAATCAATATCAATATAATGAAATATCTTTGAACACGCAATAAGACATAACGATTTGAAATTCTTTAATGCGGGAGGTCCCTTAACATTTGTGATATAGTTAATTTCGTTTTTCCATTCGAGATTATTATCATCCAGTGATTTTCGTGCCTTTTGTTTTAGTTGTGCTTCATTATTCTGTTCAGCATTCTGTTCAGCATCAGTTCCATTTCTAGACTTCGCTACAAATTTTTCCAGATGTAATTTTTTAAGCTTGATAAGAATTTCTGTAACGATTAAACTTAGACTTAATAGGACTAATAGTTTTGATAAATATTCTGAATAATAGCGATAATCTTCAATTGTATCTTCTAATTCAACATTGGCATCAATAGATTCCCCATCTGGTCCGTTCTCTAAATTTTCCATTAATGTATTCAATTCCTCAATAGCTGATGGAACTGTCCATGATTCAATCAATAATCTTATGTTCTGTTTATCTAAAATTAGGCGTAAGTTCTCTGTAATACTGTTTCTAGTTGGCCTATATGTAGTTTGCTTTTTGTCGTTGAGTTCATCGATATTAAGACTTGTTTGAGTTTTTCGACCACTACGGCCAATGGGAAGGTATACACAATCAATTTTGAGATGGGCACATCTTTCACAGGGTACTGCTCTATCACACCCTAGTTTAGACTTTTTACAATTCAGACATACTCCATAATTTGCTAGTTCTGTTTTTTCTATTTCTGTGTATTCTATTTCTGGATTCATATTAAAGATTCTTTCAAGATATGTAAGTGAATAATTGGTGATACCTGTGAAAAACCGATTTGATGATTCTATTTTTGATCCTTTTTATAGCCAATTTTAATTTTAGAAGTTTAATGGAAACAGGACTATATATTTGTCACAGGAAACCAATTTTTTAACCCAAATTGATTTTGTGGCTAATTCTCCTTAACCACTTCTCTGATAACGAATGATTTTAAAAATAATTAATAATCAAACATGTGTGTGGGGGGAATGAAATTAATTTCTAATCCTTTTCGTATCTTCAATTTATTTATTTATTGTTTAATTTTTCGTAAATTGAAATTGAGGGATGTTCGTAAATTAGGGGAAACAAAATCTGATCTGACCTTAAATTTGGAATGTCGCACAAAATATGATTTGTCTTTATCAGGAACGAAAAGAGACAATTTATTACATAAGCAAATGACAAATCGTCATTTATCAAAAGTCGTGTGCTCGTCACCGAAAAAAATATGATTCTCCGTTTTTCGACTGATAAGAAATCAAAAAATAAAAATAACGTAGATGATGAAGAGAAGAATAAGGAGGAGGTATACAAATTTTTTCATTTTACTTATCACTTTCCTTCTTTCTCTTGTTGATTACATTTGATCTTGTTACTGTTATAAAGAATAATTACGAATTAGAACTAATCTGTTCCTATAGACTTGCTTAGAACCATCCTATTCACCTTATATCAATTGAGTTCAAATTTGACTTTTGTCTGAATCTAATTAGCCATTATCAATTTCAATTTAAAACTGACTGATTGTGGGTGAGAATCGGTCAGACAGACAAAAATAGATAAAAGACAAAAAAAAAATCAGTTTTAGAAAAATTGTCGCTTTTTTTGAGTCTAACCCGCAAAATCTTAAACTAAAACTAAATAGTAACACAGATAAAAAAAATAGTAACAGAAAAAAAGTCTGTCAGTGTCATCAAAAAAATAAAATAAGACAAAAACGAATAAAGACGAAAAAAAGAAAAAAAAAGAGGTCTCAAAACTGTGTGTGAAATAAATGACAACAGCAGCCGTTAGTTCAACAGCTTCTACGTCTACCAGTCCATCTACATCATCCAATTCATCTACCGTTGCTACCACAGGTGATATCACTAGTACTGAGACTACTTCAAAATCAGGTGTAACTACATCGATCAATCCCATTTCTTCTATCACCAGTACAATATCTTCAACAGGTCAAGGTGATACTAGAACGGATTCATTAGTATCTCAAATTCAACATCCGACTCCATCATCATCATTACTGCCATTGTCATCTACAGCATCAACTTCAACAGCAGCCACGCCTCCAGATCTTATCGGTATATTTCCTAATAAACCGTCTACCCCAAGATCAATTGCTCCGTTATCAGAATTATCTTCAACTCTTCCATCCCCTCCCCCACTATCTATTGCAACATCATCTGGTGGAAATTCTCCAGTTTATCATAAATCCATAACTTTATCTGACATAAACATCACTAATATCAATAATACAATTCATATCTTACCTCCCATTAATACCCCTCATGATTTATTAAGTTTCCAAACAAATCTTAGAATCAATAGTAATAGTAACAATAGTAATAATAACTTTAATAATAATAGAATCCATCAATCATTATCAACTAACCTTAGAACCAAATTAATGAATCATAATCACAACCATAGCATAAACCATCATAATAATTCAAATAATGGTGCTACTGCTGTTGCTGTTTCTGTTACCAATCCAAATACCAATACAGGTACAACAACAACTTTAGTTAAATCTCCTTCTTTAACATCCACAACTTCCCTCTCATCAACCAATTCAACATCATCAAACTCATCATTCATATCACCCATGTTAAAATCTTCAAAACGATCTTCTTCGACTTCAAATGATTTATTATACGAAAGAGATAGATTTAGAGCTAGATTACAATCTTTCAATAATGCATTAGGAATAAAAGAAGATACTGCCAATACCATGATAACTAATATAGAAGGTGATATACCCAAATCTCAAGATGATCCTGATTGTGATGTATGTGATGGAATTGGTTCAAAAACTACAAAATTGAATATCAGAAGTAATCATAATCATACTAATCATACAACCAATGGTGATGCCATCAGTATTGCATCTAATATCATAAATTTAGAAATGTCTCCTTTAAGTCATAAATCATCATTTTATAAAAATCAACTATTATTTCATCCTCTATCAATCTCATCACCTTTCACCATAAAATTATTAAACTTAACTCAATTGAAATATATCTTTAATTGGTACTTTAATGAACCATTACCCAAAACCAACGAGATGTTTCCATGGTTACATGGATTAAACAAAGATAACTTTGCTCAAAAGCAATTCTTCTTACATCAACAACAACAAATGCAACGAAAATTATTATCGCTTAATCCCGATCAAGTCTCTGAAGATCATGATTTAGTTGATTTTAATGAATATAAATTAGATAAACCAAAAGGTATTAGATTTCTTATGTGTATAAATAGTTCAAGTCTTGATAATAGTGATTTTCTAGAAAATGAGAATGATGGTGAAGATGATATAATCTTGAAAAATACCATTAAATTGAATGAAATCTTGCAAAAGATTGAAGTTTCAAAATTGGAAGTTAAGAATATTTTAGTGGAAATCTTAACTAATATCCAAATGATTAATGATATTGATTTATCGGTCATATTGCAGGATTGTATTACTTTGAATTGTTTACCAATCTTTTTGAATCTTGATCCTGATAGAGGTATATCGTTGAGAAATTTCCATATTCAAGTATCGAAATTATCTACCTGTTCTGATTTTATAATTTACAGTTCATCATTATTGAATTCTCCAAATTTAAAATTACAACAAAGTATTTCACGAATCTTATGGATATCTCAACGGTATGAACATTATTTAAACAATGATAGTGATGGGATTGAACCACCAGAATATAATGTGTTCATTCTTAATGAAACTAAAGAGAATATGAAAGATCAACTTTTACCATTCAAGAATTATCATCATCAACATCATGTTAAACCTACCATTTCAAACTTTTCCAAAATAGAATCTAAGTTTTTATGGGAGAAATATAAACGTTATAAAAAACAGCAACAACAACAATTGGCCGAAACTGATACAAGTACTATAACACCTTCATCTGCATCCAGGTTGATATGGGATAACGATTATCAAATTAAAGAAAAGATAGAAACTACGAGAATGTCTTCCGCTACAAAGTTAGACCGTAATGTGTGGTGTGGGAATTATTGGGATTATCAAATCCTGTTAACATTTATATTGGAAAAGGATAATACCTTGACTAATTTACCTAACCCTAAAGATTTACTTGACTTTTATTGTCAACCTAAAAATTCAATTGTTTATAATCATCAAGATACTAATCCTAACTTACTTGATTATTTATCATTACCAAGATCTAATTGGAGATTATTCATTTATTGTCATAATGATGCCACTTTCCCTGATTTATCGAGTTTGTCCAATCTTTTATTCAAATCCGCCATTCAATCTCATAATCCTCAAGATTTAGATATAGAGCAATTATTTGAATATCATTTATTGGAATTCCCTCCTCTGGGTTCTATTGGAATCGGCGATTGTAAACGAGAAAATCTCATGTCAATCATAAACACATGTAAATTGATTTATGTGTATTCCTCATCATCATCCAAGAATTTGAATTCATTTGGTAGTTTGATATACTGTTCTGATGGATATACTGAACTGTCATTGTTGGTGTTATGTTACTTGATGTATTCTAAAAACATTGGCTTGGATGACGCTATGCTTCAATTGCATTTACAGTTTGGTCGTCCGTTTTATATCTTCAATAGTGATGTTATTATACTAAAGAAGTTGGAAGGATTATTGAATAAAATCAGTCCTGAAAATCCTGAATATAAAGATAAGATCATTTGGAATCAATTAGAACAATTATCATCAATCCAAGTGAATGAATTATTATTAGGCCGTCCATCACCAAGCAAGATTAATAAATCCTATAGATTGGGATTTATTGAAAATGATGATGAAGATGAGGACGAGGAAGAAGAAGAAGAAGTTGATATTGTCAAGCATGACGATGAAGAAGAAGAAGACGATAGTGGTTTATCAGCTGATTCAGTTTATTCTTCAAGTTCGAATTCTTTACATAATGATTTATCAGATTATTTACTTGATCATTCTTCCATAGACTGGGTTAAAGAAGTTGAAGGATCTATACCATCAAAGATATTGCCTTATTTATATCTTGGATCATTAAAACATGCCAATTGTTTACCATTATTGAATAAACTTGGAATCAAGAAAATCATCTCCGTAGGGGAAGTATTAGATTGGTTGAATGGTCATGAATTCAAGAAATTCAATGATATTGATGTGGAACAAATCGATGATGGAAATATTGAAATGTATAATATATCACCTTCAGCCAAGAGGAAAGCTCATTTATCCCAACAAAAGAAGAATAAACATAAAGGATCATCATCTCACCATCAATTCCAACATCATTTGGATTGTTCTATCGATTCGGTGATGAAAGTGAACAACTTGGAAGATGATGGAATTGATGAATTGACTCGATCATTGCCCACCATACTTGAATACATCAATAATGAATATTTGAAATCAAATGGTAATACCAAAATATTCATTCATTGTCGAGTTGGTGTTAGTCGGTCTGCTACGGTTGTTATAGCTGAAGTTATGAGACGGTTAAATATCAATCTTTCAACGGCATATTTATATGTCAGAGTTAGAAGGTTGAATATTATCATCCAACCCAATTTAAGATTCATGTATGAATTATTTAAATGGGAAGAGTTGCAGAAATTGAAAGCACGACAAGAAGGTGAAGACGATGGTAGTTATTTGCGAGAGATTGATTGGTTCATGATGTGTCGAGAAATCATGAAATTGAATATTCCCTATCTTTCTAATTAATTAACTCTTCCTTACATACCCTCTACCCACCCCTTACATTTTAGTTCTTTGTTGCATTAAGACATTTTTTATTTCTGGATTGAACAAATTCAATCCACTTTTTCTTATTTTTATATTCGTTATATATGTTAGAGGTCATTCAATCAGGATAATTATATTATTACCACTATTAGTGTAGATTAAATTTAGTACGCAGGACAAATCCAGTATCTTTAAATTTTGTGTGAGTTTGTCCGTCAAAAAACGAGCAAGGAAAAATTTTTGAATTTTTATACTGCTAAAGGCTACATATCGCCAATCTCCTTTATATCTAGACACCATCATTAATCAAGTTAGCTAAGCAATCAGGAGATCAGTCGTAGTGATAGAACAGAACTGAGAGCTGCAAGAGAAATACACCTATACAATGGCTTCTAATCAAACAACAAATCACTTGTTTGATGATCCGTCCATCATTCAATTAAGTAGTGGTGGTGGAAGTACCATTAATCAAACTTCATCCACGACTAATATTCATAATTTAGAACCAGGGTCTGCGTTATCCAAGTTATTAGACTCTGCTATGGCTAATGCTGCCAAGGAATCAACTCCAGATTTGATTCCAAAATCAAGATCAAGTACCCCACCTGCCAATAACTTCAACAACAATACGACTGAATATAGTTCGAATGAAAAGGCAGGTTCATCATTAATTTATTCAGTAGAGTTTCTTCTTTTCCTTAAGGATTCACCTTTGATTGAGGAATATAAAGATTCGATTGAATTGCCCGATAAAAGTTTCTGGAGATTTAAACCAAAGGGGGTATCAAGTACACCATCCTCATCATCAATCAATGACTTTTCTAATGGTAACAATAAGAATAAAAAGTCAAATTCATTCAATAGAAGACATCAAAATGAAACTTGGGAAAGAAAATCTTCCAATAATACTGGATTTGTCAAAGGTGGAGATTTAGAAAATTTCTCAAGTGATAAAATATCTCAATTATTGGGTGAACCATTAGATGAACTTGAGCCAGAATGGGATGCAGCTGATTCCAATACTGCAAATTCAGATTCATTGGGTATGATGGGTCAATCGGTTCAAGATTATGAAAAATGGAAACTTCAAATGAAACTTGATGAAAGAAAAAGAAAAGGTGAGAATATTACAGAAGAAGATTTATTAAGAGAACAACAACCAGTAGAAGAAAAGGGTAATGATGTTGATAATTTCTTTTCATTTGTAAAGACAGCCAAGGAAGAAAATTTGGAATCACAACCAGCAGCATCTGATAATTCAAGAAGTTCAAAGTTTTCTTCATTTTTTGATGCTGCTCCAACATCTGCTTCAACCATTCTTCCTCCTGGATTATCAAAACAGAATCAACCAACACCTCAAAGTCAACTGCAACAACGTCAAGATTTGATACACTCTCAACAGCAACAACAACAAGCTTCAGGAGCTTCAAGATTCTTCTCTCAAGATCAAGCTTCTAGTGGTCCACTTCCACCCCAACAACACCAAGTTCCACCTCAACAACAACAGCAACAACAACAACATCAGCAACATCAGCAACAACAGCAACAACAGCAACAGCAACAACAGCAACAGCAACAACAGCAACAGCAACAGCAACAACAGCAACAACGCCAACATTATCAGCAGCAACAGCAACAACAGCAACAACAGCAACAACAGCAACAATCCCAATCTCAACAATCCCAACCTCAACAACAGCAACAAATTCCACCTATGTCTATTCATATACCACCTCATTCCAATATTCCTCCTATGAACAACGGACCCAACTTAGGTCTTGGTACTCTACATGGTTCAAATAATAATGATTCTTTCTTTATGGCTTTATTAAACAAAAAAGAACCATCTGCATCCGGCACCCCTACTTCAGGTGGTGGTCTTGCTGCATTATTTGCTAGCCAACAAGAGAGTTCTGCATCTAAAAATCAAGAAATAATAAATCATTCCCCTGATCAATCTAAGGTAAATCCTGCTTCTCCTCAAGTACTTATGTCTCACCAAAGCCTTAATGCTCCTCAATCTCGTCAATTACCACCTCAAGGACCAAGCCAAAACCAAAACCAAAACCAAAACCAAGGTCAAAATCAAAATCAACAACATAGACAGCAACAAATACCACCTTGGATGAAACAACAGTTCCAGAATAGAATGCCACCAGGTGGATTTCCACCAAACATGCAATTCCCACCTCCACCACCAAATATGCAAGTAGGTCCCGGTGGTCCAGGTCCAAGAGGTCCAGGTGGTCCTCCACCACCAGGAATGTTCCCGGGTGGAATGATGCCTCCTCCTCCTGGTGGAATCCCACCTCAATTCCTCAACGGTAATCCAAATTTCATTCCTCCTCAATTTATGGGTCCACCACCTCCAGGTATGCCATTACCACCTCACTTACAACACCATCAACAACAACAACATCATCAACCACCACATACCCAACAACAGAAGGGAAATTGATTTCATTTAATGAGAAACTTATGATGAGAATTGTACAATGGTAATAATGTTGAAGTTTTCTTTTTACCCATTTTATTTATTTATTTATTTTATTTTTATTTTTATACTTAGTGTTATATGTCTATAACGAAGAAACTTAAAGGAACAACAACCTATTGCGTTCAATAAGCATGTGTCTTACAACTGTAAATATATCGATTAAATAAATAGATTTTATTAAATAAATAATGTTTGCATATAAATATGCTACTATGTATCATTACATTAAAGTGGTTCTTCCTCCAATTTCATTACTTGCGCTGCCGTCTGGCATATTACCATCACGACCAGAAACAAATTGATTATAGATTCTTTGTAATTTTACTTTCTCGGAAAGTGAGATAGATGGTTTGGTCTCCTTTAATGATTCAGCGAAATTATCATGAGTGATGTAAACTTTTGAGTCGTTTTCGTCTTCATTGTTAAGTTTATCCTTTGTCGATGAATCGTCTTGATTGGTATCTAACAACAGTTGGATTTGGTGTAATAATTTGATTCTTTCAGTTGGTCTTAACTTCTTGTTATTCAATTTTTCACTGTTAACTTGGTAGAATTCAATCACATTAGAGTTGGTTGATTTCACTTCACTACTCTCTTCCTTTTCTAATTTAGATAATTTAACATGAACAGCTTTCAAATATGCATTATATCCAAGCCCTTGCATATCAGCACCACTAAATCCTTTAGTCAAAGTAGCAATCTCTTCTAAGTTAACATCATCCCGTAAGTCCATCTTTAAAGTAATACTCTTCAAGATATCTAAACGATCTTCATAACTTGGCATATCACAAATGACACTCTTATCCAATCTACCAGGTCTAAGTAAGGCCGAATCGATCAAATCAGGTCTGGAAGTGGCAGCTAAGACATACACACCATCTAATCCTTCAGCCCCATCCATTTGAGTCAACATTTGATTAACAACTCTATCGGTGACCCCAGTTGAATCATGACCTCTTTTAGGAGCGATAGAATCAAATTCATCAAAGAATAAAATACATGGTTTAGCAGCTTGGGCACGTTCAAACAATTCACGAACAGATTGTTCTGAAGCACCAATATATTTATTTAAAATTTCAGGACCTTTGATACTGATGAAGTTTAATCCACATTGACCTGCAATAGCACTGGCTAATAAGGTCTTACCACAACCAGGATATCCATAAAGTAAAATACCAGATCTAAGTCTTAATGGACAATTTTCAAAGATTGGAGCATATTTGGTTGGCCATTCTAAAGTTTCTAGTAAGATGTTTTTAGCTTCTTTCAAACCACCAATATCACTCCATTGAATAGATGACTTTTGTAATTTGACTCCTCTCAAATTAGAAGGAACGTAACCCTCTAATGACTTTTCGAAATTCTCTTTCTTCACAGTGTTTCCATTACCATTGAATAAAATTTCATGATATATTCTATCACTAAGGATTTTAAGATCATTAGGTAAATAACCTTCAGTTTCACTAACTAAATCCATCAAATCGAATTTCAACTCACAACCTAAGTTCTTCACTAAGTAATCTTGTAAAATATCAAATCTCAATTGTTTGTCAGGTGCTGTTAAATGAGTAAAGTTTTCAATGAGATGACTTTGAAATAATAATTTGTTTAATGATTCCTTTGAGTTGGATGAGATTAAAATGGATAAGTTTGAATTAGGTTGATTGTGGATCTTTTCTAAGCTTGAGATAAAGAATTCTGTTAATTGATTTGATTTGGTGGAATCAAGATGTTCCATTTCAACATTTAAGATTTTATCAAGATTATCCAAGATTAACAAAGATGGTTTATTCCAAGAACACTGCTGTAACCATTTAGCCATATGAGTTTTGGATAAATTATTGAAGTTCTCATTCATTAATGTTTCACATGAGATATATTTAGTATAAAATCCATGTTTCGATGATATAGCTTTTGCCACAAGTCTTAAAACAAGTGATTTTCCACTTCCTGAATTTCCATAAAGTAAAGTACCAGTGTTTTTTGACGTGATGAATGAATCGACTATATCTTCCACAGTATCATCTAACCCAATGGCTTGAACTTCTTCTTTTTCAAGTTCATCTTGAACTTCAATGAATGAAGATGCACGTACCAACTCATCACCAATTTCAACTTTAATCGCCTTTTTGGAATCGATATTATATGGCTTTATCCAGCCATTTACTTCATCATTCTTCTTGAATCTTAATAAACCTCCATATGGTAATACATTAGGAATGATTGGAAGCTTGACAAAGTTGGTGAGTGGATTATTATAGAATGCTTGGTCTTTGTATAAATAATTTGTTAAGTCATTGATCAAGTTCACAGCCTGTTCTTTCTTTTCACTTGAATTTATGTTAATTTGATTAACTCTCTTCGATTGAATGATATAAGGATGTATTATTAATGATGATGGACGTTTTGGAAGGTTCTTGATGGCAGGTTTTAAAACAACAATATTACCAACTTGTAATTCTACGTTTAATGCAATGGCTAATTTGCATGAAAGACCAATACTATTAGGTGGACTATCAGGATAATTGATTAACTTGGCAATGATTCGTTTATTTTCCTTGTAACTTTGAACTTTAGATGATTCATCTGAAGTATCTTCAGGAACGGTATTTTTCTGTTGTTTGTCATTAGGTCCCGGAACAATTGATACAGCTACATAGCTGCTTATGACATCTTGCGGTAAGTCTTTGATGTTGGCATAAACTTCATAACCTGTGGTATTCGATTCTTTAGGTAAATTTGAATATAATTCATTGGGTAAGGAAATACCTCTCTTTAAAACAGTCGGAAAGGTTGAATAATCTTCAATCACACGATTAGATGAACTAATAGTTTCAGATTTGGCAGTATCTTCCTTCTTAGCTCTTACTTTTGGAGCGATGGCAATTTCACCAAATGGAGAAATCAAACCATAATTCGATTCTTTAGTCCCAATATCCGTGACTAATAATTTTGCCGTAGTAGAAGGACTTGGATAAACCACCAATACTTGATTCAATGCCACACATTTAGTTTGTTCTAAAAGCTTATCTTCGATGTTTTGAGCATGTAACTCTACTAACTCCCAATCAGAACTCGTCAAAGGTTCCAAACTGATATTTGCAGCTTCATAGTTCTGAGTCTTTATGTTGATGATAACCTTATCATTCTCTCTTAAGGATATAGCTTGAGCGAAAGATGGATCAATCTCAACACTGTCTCTACTCGAGTTAGAAGAAAAGCCTGACCAACCAGCATAATACTTTGATTTGGATGATGATGCAACTATTTCTATAATCACTTTTTGAGGGGGAATATTAGCTGAACCCAAAAGCTGATTTAGATAAGGAGGCAAATTCACTGAGTTTGACCTTACGGCCTTATATTTGATAGTGGCTTTATTATTCTCCATCCTTTATATCTATAGAATAGCCACTTTGAAGAAGTAAAATAAGTATAAACTGAAAAATTTCAAATTTGGAGATTTACTCCAGCTTTTTTACTTTTTTAAGCTCAAGTGGTGGTGGTGGTGGTGGTGGTCGTTCACTGTCAGAAATTTTGTTGCCGCGGATGAAAAAAAATTTGGTGGTGGTTAAATTTTGCGGAGTTGAGATCGATCACTAAATGTTAAGCTGAATTACTGGAACTACACTCTAGATGGGTATAACTTTACTGAGTCTATTTATTAAATTATGGGGGACAGAATATTATTATATTTCACTATTATTGTCAATAATTTGAATGGATACTATATACAAGTGGCAATCATTATTTTTGTGGATGTCATATCTCTTTAGAGTTTGGTTGACCTAAGGTAATGAAGAACTTCAGGCTGGTGTTGTTTATTTATACAGGTCAATCACTTTTTATTATTGAATTCTTTAAACTTTTCATATTGATCATCACCTTCCTTTTGTTGTTGTTCAATCTTCTTTCTATTTCTTTCATCTTTCTCTTGTCTAGCCTTTTCAACCATTTGGAATGATCTTCTTCTAAGTGAACGACATTGTTCCCATCCTACCAAGTTACCTAAGAAGAAACCACACATTGACCAATGTAATGATCTTGTAGGATTCTTATGTATTAAAAATGTAACGGTACCTAACACACCCATAGCTTGGAATCCAGTTATCATCGCTTCTCGAAAACATGGCATCCCTATAAATCTCTCTACTGTGAAATCGGATAACATAACTTGACCAGCAGCATCCATCAATGATGCTTGTTGTTCTGAATGTGATTGTTGTCTTGGACTACCTGATGTATTTGGTGCAACATCTTCAAACTTTGGTGGTAAATCCTCTAGAAATTGAGGGGTCGCTCTAGGATTCTCTTTTAACTCGGACACTGTAGATACTTTGGCTGGCACTCCGCCTCCAAACCAACCCATTGTATAGATATTCCTTCTTCTTGTCTTGAAAGATCGTTGATATAATAGAATTAACTATTAGCTGTGGTGGTACGTTTAAAAAAATTTGTGTGAGATTGCACAAAAAAAATGAAAGTCGTTGAAATATCAAGCAAAGGACCCACACTAAGTTGTTTAAAGGTTTCTTTCATCAATTGATATTCCACCAGACTTAATCATACGATATGTCGACTCCAGACTTGCTATTAGATCCACAATTGAAGTATTGGGTATTGTTACCCATCTCATTTGTGATGGTGTTGGTTGGTTTACTTAGATCAAACGCAACATACCTTCTTCAACCTGGTCCAAAGTTGGAAGAGTTTAAAGCTTTAAGAGAAAAGTAAGTTACTAAAAATGCAAATCAATCAATATCCCTAACTTAAATACTAACTAACTTTAATTCTAGACAATTCTTAAAAAGAGCAGCTTGCTTTAGACAGAATAATGGTGTATTGACTAAAGAAGAATTTGAAAATAGAAAGCAATACTTCACCGCCACCTTAGAATCAAATGAATTCTACGCCATAGTTGAGGATCCAAATGCAGACCCAGCCAACCCTTTGACTGATCCAGGTATGAATGATGCATTGATGAATATGGCCAAGGGTAACGTCATGAATTATATCCCTCAAACTATTATCATGGCATGGGTCAATTATTTCTTTGCTGGATTTGTGATCATGAAACTACCATTCCCATTAACTGATGGATTCAAACAAATGTTACAAACCGGTATAGAAACTCCTGATTTAAACGTTCGTTACGTTTCTTCGATCTCATGGTATTTTGTTAATTTATTCGGGTTAAGACCAGTGTACTCTTTATTAATGGGTGATCTCGCTGCTGCTGAATTAATGAATCAACAACAACAGCAACAAGCTCTTCCTAACATTGGGGGCCCAGGTGGTCCAAAGGCCGATAAACTTTTCAAAGCTGAAGCTGAAAATATTCAAATCTTAACTCATAAATCAATCTTTGATGGTATAACAGAAAGAGTTTTAGAAAAGTATGCCGATGAATTAAAAGCTTTATAGACACATATGTGGACCACTACTACTACTCCACTAACCTTACATAGTTAAAATATCAATAATACATCAATAGTAAAAGGATAAACTATGAATTGTAGACAAATTTGAAAATTCCTGTATACAATGTTTTTTAGTGCCTCTCTGATTATAAAAATATTTATAATCCCCCATCGCTATTGAATTTTAGATTGATTTCACTTCTTTAACCATATACAACTTTAAATACAGATAAAATGGCTCCTTCAACTGTGATCTGTATCGGTATGGCCGGGTCAGGTAAGACTACCTTCATGCAAAGATTAAACTCACATTTACATTCTAAAAAGACTCCTCCTTATGTTATAAATTTGGATCCAGCAGTGTTGAAAGTTCCATTCGGAGCCAATATTGATATCAGAGATTCTGTCAAATATAAAAAGGTGATGGAAGAATATAACTTAGGTCCTAATGGTGCCATTGTGACGTCGTTGAATTTATTCGCTACTAAAATAGATCAAGTTATAAAATTAGTAGAAAAGAGATCAGATAAAGTTCAAAATGTCATCATTGATACTCCAGGTCAAATCGAATGTTTTATTTGGTCCGCCAGTGGATCCATCATAACTGAAGCTTTTGCTTCTACTTTCCCAACTGTTATTGCTTATATCGTTGATACCCCAAGAAATTCATCACCAACTACTTTTATTTCAAATATGTTATATGCTTGTTCCATCTTATATAAAACTAAATTACCTATGATTGTAGTGTTTAATAAGACTGATGTTAAAAAAGCTGACTTTGCTAAAGAATGGATGCAAGATTTTGAAGCATTTCAAGCTGCTTTAAAAGCTGATCAAGAATTAAATGGTGAAGATGGTACTTCATCGGGTTATATGAGTTCATTAGTCAATTCAATGTCTTTAATGTTAGAAGAATTCTATTCTCAATTAGATGTTGTTGGTGTGAGTGCTTATACTGGTGAAGGTTTTGATGAATTCCTTGACGCCGTTGATAATAAGGTTGACGAATTTAATGAATACTATAAAGCAGAAAGAGAAAGAATCTTAAAGAAAAAGGAAGATGATGAAAAGAGACGTCAAGCTAAATCATTAAACCATTTAATGAAAGATTTAGATATAGATGGAAAGAAACCAAGTAAGGATAGTGATGTGTTATCCGATTATGAAGATGAACCAGAAGATGAAGATAATGGTGAAGTGTTAAGAGATGAAGATGAACCAGAAAGAGAATACACATTCCCAGAAGATCGAAATTCAGAAGTAAATAGTAAAAATGATGCCGATTTACAGGCTAGATATCAAGCAGCTTTCGAAGCAACTTCAAAAGTGGCTTCAAACAAAACTATGGAACAAATGGTTGATTATATAAAGCGTTGAATAATCTTGTATTATAGTATAATATATATATGTATAAATTCTATTAATTTTCAACTAGTGAAGCTAGTACCGATTCAATATTGTAGGGAGTTTGAGCAAACTCCTCTTTAAAAACAAGATGTGGTTTATGTTTTGCCAAATGAATTATGGTCTTTCCGAATTCAGAATTACTCCAAGCAAACCATGGTCTGGTGTAATCCCTACCTCCCCTTGAATTAACATTAACACTTTCATGGATTAAACCTAATCCAGCAGTAGTTTCCATTACTAATTTCAAGTTCTTCTTTATTTCCTCATCATCATCAGTGGTTCTGATCATAACTAAAAGTGACATTGGCCAAGCATTATTGATTCCAATATGAGGACCTCCAATACCTTGGAAACTATTTCCTTGTAAATAATATGGATTACCTGATTTCTGAAGAAGCATTTTTCTAGTGTTTTGATAGATTGGATCATCCACACTGGTGAACCCCATATCAGGAATAGATAATAATGAAGGAATATTAGCATCATCCATAAATATAGCACTACCGTAACCATCGACTTCATATGCATAAACTTTACCATGGATTGGATGGTTTACGATACCGTACTTTTCAATACCATTGGTTAAACCACTGATAAATTCATCAGTAACTGTAGTTAATAACGAAATATCAATATCGGTAATAATATCATCCCTCAAGAAATTCTTACGAGTTCTCTTTAATTCAGTTAAGGCGTGAATATTACCAGGAACGAAAAATTGAAGAATAGTAGCATCATCACTAGGTCTGAATGCACTTCTAATAAGTCCAGTTCCAAAATTGACAGGGTTTCCCACACCACCTAATGGTAAAGTCTCCGAACCTATATCAGTTTGTCTTTTGAAAGAATAATGGAAGTTCATAGCTTGACCTGTTTCTTCATTGAACGATGCTTTTGATTCTCTTCTCAAGACAATTAATAACTTCTCATATGCGTTCAACCAATCTCCATTGATGAATGATATATCACCATCAGAGTTTTCAAAATAATCATTACTTAATGTCAAAAACGATGCTAGGGAGTCGATTTCATACTTACATTCAAAAACTTGTCTCCAATCTGGTCTTGGAAAGACTTGATCCACGGCTGTACTACCTCTCTTTACACCTGAACCTGGTGGAGGGTGGAATGCATTACAATATGGAGAAGTGACCACGTAATATGCTTGAGTGCTGATAGCACCTTTAATTAATTCCTTCAAATCGGGATCATATTTGATTAAGGGTTGATATACTGATAATTGTCTTGCAGCATCTCTTAACCATTCAGCATGAATGTCTCCAGTGACCACGAACGTCTGGGGATGAGGAATTGACTTATCTTTTAAAGATGATTTGTGCCATAAGATTGTGGTATCTAATGTATTTGGCAATGTATTCTCAATCAAACGAGCAAGATCGTCATCAATGGCTTTGGATTTCAAATCATTAATCAATGCCTCAACAGCTTTGGAAGTGAATGTCCTACATTTAGGAGGAGGTCGCATGAATGGGTATTTATATGGACCTGATGAATATGGTGGATGTCTTTTTTGGGAGTAATCAACATAATCAGGACACTTACCCACTGCTTTATTCATAGCATGCATAAAATCTTGTTCAGATCCTGGACGAATCACTGCCTCATTCTTCTTGGTATCTTTTTTTGAAATCACTTGTAAGCTTCCATCCTGATTGAATTGAAGAAGATCAGTTACGTCATCCACAGGTCCAAGAGATGTATCGGATTTTAACGAAGAATTCCTTATGGCAGCATATAGAAGAGTTAGCACCACAATCCCAGCTATTAGTCTTGGTAGCCTTGATCTCCTAGAGGTTAGCAAATATGACATTGTCGTCTCTTGATCTATGATATCTTACTTACTTTCACACTAATTTCACTTGAATTAAGCTCTATTTTGAACACTGAAAAAGTTGATCTTCAATGCGCGGAGAAATCAAATTTGCATATATACACTTTTTTTTATTTCTATTAACCTTTTATATACAATTATTCTATGTACATTTCGTTCATTCATTACAGTGATGGGTTTTTGGGAGGGAGGAAGTATACTGATGATTCATTGTTGTTTAGCTCAACTGTAACAAGATTGGTTTGGCCAATGAATGAGAATAAGCTTTTTATACTTGGTTCTTTGGTTCTATCAGTTTTGGCCTTTTGTAATAATGTATCGTAGCCAGTAGTATTTTCAGCTGCTTCTATAGTTCTAGGTATATTTTCTAGTATGACACGGTTATCTAATGATAATCTAGCTCCAATGATTTCGAAATCAGAAGATTTGATGGTTTGAAGTATCCTGGAATAATCACCATCAATTACTGAATCTTCGATACATAACATGTAAGTTGTGGAATATATTAAATCATAAGGAAGAGCACTGATTGCTCTTTTGTTGATAAATGCTCTTTTTAACCTTTCAAATTTATTTTGATTAAGATAATAATCTAATGTTTCCTGTGACACTGGTTTGAATTTACTATCTATAATTTCGTATAATTTATGAGACATTAACAGTTCACACAATCCATCATCTTCACAATCCTGCCAATTTATAGTAGATAAAATTTCATCAAAATCATTTATGTTTTGTTTGTAGAATTTATCTTGATGTTTCACTGCTAAGTTAAAGATATCTATTAATCCCAACTTTGTAAAATGATAAGATCTATCAACATTCTTTCCTAAGTCATTCGCTATCTCAGTAATCTCATACTCCAAATCTAAATATGCTTTGTCTATCTTGGACAATGAAGTATTTGAAAATAATCTATGTTTCTGACTAAGGAAGAAAATTATTGGAGTATTATTTAAAAGCTTGGTATACCATTTAAATGAATTCTGTAACGATGTTATATTTGGAACTTCAGTTCGAGGCGATAATGTGGACGAAAATAATGAGATTAAACTGGCAAAGTAATCGGAAGATTGAGTTACGGTTCTTGAATACATGGTATGGATCGAATCATCTGAGTCAAGCATATCATTCTTGGGGATATTAAATAATTCCTTTGTCGGTATATCATCAATTGAATTGAATTTTAACTTATCATCAAAGTATGGCTTGATACTTTCAGCCATTATGGGAGGGAATGCACTATTATCAAATTCATTTGATCGTATCAACTTATATCTTTGGAAGAACTTATACTCTTGTGAGTTTCTTTGTAGGAATGTTCTCACATCTTGATTTGAATAGACTGATAGGGAGTTGGAAGCCGTTTCGTATAGCCTTAGCATATACTGCAACGTTCTTGGTATCCTCTTCCAGCTCTGACTTGACATAATGAGCTATCTTCCCCCTTACTTCTTCCTAAAAGTATTTACAAACTCATCTACCAAAGATGTTCCAAAAAAATTTATTTTGAATCGCAACCTTTTTTTTTTTCAAAAAAATTTATAATCAAATCTTATTGATATAGCCTTCTTATCGTCTAATTACGATATAGAATATTAAAGAAGAAGTTCATGATGTATAGATACATGTTAAGAACAGTGCCAGCAATGGTGAGGCGTGTTCCTGTTTACCAAAGATTCATAATGCCAAAATTAACCAATTTCCAAAGAGTTCAATTTAACTCCACCAAACTGACTGATGCTAGTTTCAAAGTAGATAATCCCCAATTAATGATAGCATTCACATGTAAGAAGTGTGATACTCGTTCATCGCATACATTCTCAAGACAAGCTTATTACAAAGGTTCGGTGTTGATTCAATGCCCTGGGTGTAAGGGTCGCCACTTGATAGCTGATAATTTAAAGATATTTAAAGATAACAAATTCAATATAGAAGATGTGTTAAAGGCAAAGGGTGAATCTGTTGCTACAGGTACAGAAGATTTAGCCTTTGAAGATATACCAGAAAGCTTGCAATCTACTTTAGGACATTATGCTAAAGATGCTCCAGAAGAATTTAAGAAAGAGGAAAGTACAGCTGAAGAAGATGTTCAAGGTTTACCTTCTGTGGATGGAAGTAAAGATCCAAAAGCTTAAATTGTTAATAACACATTGTATATAGATAAGTAATGTGCATTCTTGTATATAGATAATGATAATAGATATAGACCATACACTATAGTATCACTTTGCAATCAAAATTAATTTGTGTGTAATAACGGTTCAATGCGGCAATCAAAGTTGGGTGAAAAATTTAAAAATGAAAAGTTGAAAGTTCATGATTTAGAAGAACATCTACAAGGAATAACCATTAACCATGATTCGTTTGGGATTAACCAATAGATCTATTGCTGTGGCAGTTGCTTCTAGAAGATCACTTGTCAATGTCTTCAGAAGATGTTATTCATCTCCTACCGATTTAGCTGAGAAATATAAAGCAAAATTAGAACAAAGAGCTAAAGAATTAGGTTTAAATGATGTTGATGAACTTAAAACCAAATTAAAAGACGATATAGCAAAGGCCAAGAAAGCTTTCAATGCAGTTGATCCTTTAACTGAATTAGAAGAATATGAAAAGAAATTGGCTGCTGAAAGGAAAGACTCCAAAGTCATCAAAGTCAGATCTCCAATTGATGCAAAGGCACCTCAAAGTCCTTATAAACGTTTGGAATCATATGTTGATGTGGACAAGATACGAGACCTTCCTGCTAAGGAAGTTGAATTGATCTGGAAAGCAAGATTCCAAAATATAGAAAGATCTCTTCATGCTGTATTGACTGATTTACAATTCAGTGAAATCTACGCTAATGCCTTTAAGCACCCAAGTTTCATTTTACCATTACCAAAAGAAGGAGAAGGTTATGAAATGCATTTTGTTCAATGGTCATTCATCGGTCCATCGACCACTCATTGCATGCTCACTACTGTTGCTGAATACAAGCTTCATAAAGAATATGCTAAACCTCATACTACTTTAATGTTCCATCAAGAACTCACTGATAAAGGTATTGTGTTGATGAATGGTCTGTGTGAAGTTGAAAGTTCTTTATCCATGGATGAAGCTCAATTGTTGGTGTTAAATGTTCAACGATTCTACGGTGCTCAAATGTTAAAGGGGTCTCCTGAGAAGAAATTGGCTCTTTTAAAGAGTTTTACAGTTGGTGATGAATCATTTAATATTGATGATCTTGTAAAAGAAGCTACTACTTTTGAATAAATAGACTATTTAAATACCACTCATTCCTTGTATATACAATATTAAATCCGCATAATACTATCTTTGAGATTTGATTTCCTTTTTGTAGACTTTGCTGCTTTTGCAGTAGTTTGTCTCCCTCTAGTTTTCTTTGGTATCACTTCCTCTTCACTATCAACAGATACGATTTCTTCATCATCGTCATCGTTGCCATCACTCATCAAAAAATTATCATCATCTTCACTATCATCATCAACAACAATTTCGGTACTCTTGGCTTTTGATGATCTTGCTGGAGTTTTCCTGGCCCTGGTTGTCTTCTTGGCTGGAACTTCTTCTTCTTCTTCCATTTCACTATCTGATTCAAGTTGTTTTCTTCTGTTATTCTTCTTAGCTTTTGTAGTATTTAAAGTGTCAGTGTTGTTCTTATCCTCTTCATCATCAACAGCTACAGGTTTGTCGGTTTTGATTTGAGCAAGTAATTGTTTGAAAACCTTGGCTGAATGTTTTTCATCCAGACCATGAAACTCTTGATCATCAATATCAATATTAAGCAACATTTTCGTCTCCTTCTTTAATTCACTCTTAATGTAATGATTTAAAGTATTCTTATCCTCGCTCTCGATGTACTTATTAACTGCATTATTTATTCCTGCTTCTGGGATTAACGATAAATCTGCTTGTCTTAAGAATTCATTAATAAGATCTTGCAATTTAAGCTCAGTAGCCTTCTTGGAGCTTAATCCAGATTCAAACAAATCTTTATCCACGAATTTGGTCTTCTTAGTGGGTTCGAATGTTCTTTTCTTGTAAAATTGTATAACATCAACATTAGCAACCTTGCCCACAAATCTATTGGAAAATCTTCTTGGGTTTTCAATTTCATATCCACCAGAATATTCAACCTTCAATCTTACTAATGGCAACGGTATCTTCTTTGCTTCACTTTCTGTATCATCATCTTCATCAAACAAATCAGGATTCTTTTCTTTAAACATTACCTTGGCTTGTTCGATTATTTTTTCAACTTCAGTGATCAAATAAGCTATCACGTCTGATTTTGAAGCTGTTCCAGTCATAAGATCCGTTTTCAGTAATGCAATATCTTTCATTATGAAGGGCCTTACAGTTTTTAACTTGATAGGTTCAATCGAATAGTTCTTTCCCTTTATGGTCATTATAAATGCAAACTTCTCTGCTTCTTCTCCTTCAGTTAAAGAAGTCGCCACTGATGATCCAGCTTGTAAAACATCAAATTTGGTATCTGGATTGAAAATTGGATGAGGTTTACATTCATGTTCATGACCCCATAATATGAAATCTAGGAAACTAGGAAGAAACCTCTCTGGAATACTGGACGTTATAGAATGTTGTGCGTGATTCTGATGGATGCAGAATAAATTAAACCACAGATCAGTTTGAATATTTGGTCTTTGAAACTTAACTATCCCATTTCTAAATGCTCTATGTAGTCTTTCATCTCTCACATTCGCCATACCGTATAATGCTAACTTTGTATTACCCTTTTGCAACAATAAAGGTGACACTGTGATGGATTCACTATCTGGTACTTTACCAAAATGATTTATTAAACCTGTGACTGAAAGAACATCCAATGGCAGTAAATTTCCATCTCCGGTTGCATCATCATGATTACCACTAATAGCAAACACTGGTATTGATATATTTAAATTTGGGTCTTCATAATTGACGGTATTGAAAGCGTTAGAAAGACCAACACTTGGATCACTTAACAATTCCAATTCACATGGTTTATCACCCATACAATTCAATCTCAACGATTTCATCACATGGAATAATGACTTCTTCGATGGCTTATTGATATGGAATAAGTCACCACCTTGAACAAGAAGGTCTACCTCATGTTCTTTCGCTAACTTGGTGATTTCATTGAATGTCTTCCACGCGTCATCTCCTCTTATTGGATCGTTTTCATTATAACCAACGTGATTATCGGTAGTCAATAGAATCTTGATTGTATCTTCATCCTCTTCAATGTCATCAATTAATGGCATGTTGGTGTGTTTGAACAACTTTGATAAACCAAAGTATGACTATTCAATTTGATGCAAAACTAAATTTCCAAAGTATCGATCGTATCTCAAAATCCAAAAAAAAAGATGATACTGTCACAATAAATGATGTCAACCCATTTCATTATAACATCTCTTAACAATATAGAACAATTGTTCCTTAATTACATATATCAATTGATGGTTATACTATGAGTAACGACGTGTCAGTATCTCTGGAATTAGAGATACGGCAACAGGAAGAAGTAGCCAGTGTTATTTCAATTTATGGAGACATCATCAAAGATATAACTCCTACTAAATTGATCTGGAATAAAAAGGCAAGTCCTCATTTCCAAGCATTCTTAGAATCATGTGAGAATGAAGATCGTCCAACGTTGTCCCTTATATTAGACATTGAGTTCACTCCTACATATCCCCTATCGCCTGCTAAAATCAAAATATTACTGCCAAAGGGATTACTTAAAGCAAGAGTGCTGCAAATAGAACAAAAAGTTAAAGATTTAATCAAACAATTCCCTGAAGAAGAGATCTCATTCACTGTCATATCTGAGGTTAAGATATTGTTAGATGAGTTCCAACTGACAACTGAGAAAGTATTGTCCTTAGAAGAAGAAAGAGAGTTACGTTTAAAGAATGAGCGACTAGCTATGGAGAAGGAGGAGGAGCGTAAGAGTCATCAAAGAGAACTTGCGAAAAAGAAACAAGATGAAGAATTGAACAAGCAAATCTTAAAGATAAGAGATGAATATGATGAAGATAGTGTTAATGAGGTTGATTTCACATTGAATGATGCTGAGTTGATACCAAAAGATCCAAGTCAGTACTTTATCTTTGAAAATCCTATTGTTGATGAATTACCTAAGTCAAGAATAAAAGTCAAATTCAGAGCAATCCTGGGTTTTATCAAATATTTCAAAAGAGATTTATTATCTGGATTAGGTCGTCAATACATTGTGAAACCTTACTTACCTCCTTTATTACAAGATACCCTTGATCAACGAGATATTGAATTATCATATTTATTGACAGAGATAGATTTTATCAATTCGCACTGGCATACAGAAGCAGGAAAGAGAGAGATCCAAGATCTTGAAAGAGAACTTCAAATGGTAATTGGTCTTAAGAATGATAACATTGTCAAATTACTTGGTTTCCAAGTTGATAAAGTCGAAGGAGTTAATGGTAGTTGGAAAGTAAGATTATTAAATGAATTCTCATCAACTTCTGAATCAATTGATGAAGTATTACGTACGGCAGAGTTCATAAGTTGGCCATTATCTCGGGCTTGGTTGATTCAATTACTTCCAACACTTGAGTATTTACATAACTCAGGTTTTATTCATAAATTGATATGTCCATCAACAGTTTTCATTTATCAGTCAAATAATTTTTACATTGGAGATTCTGCAAACAGTGATTCTGAAAGTGCAAATTCTAGTTCAAGTAAGATTTTAAAATTAGGACATCCTTCTTATGGTTACAAATTATTGAAAATGTTAGAAAAGCATAAGAATATAAACGCGTCTTCAAAGGCTTCATTCTACTCCAATTACATACCCGATAACTGGATGGCTCCTGAGTTAAAAGCAAATCATGCACACACCCAGAAGACTGATGTTTGGGATTTAGGTGTTTTGTTCATCCGTATTATGATTAATTATAATGCTGTGAGATCTATATTCACATCTCCTGAAGAATTCACTAACAAATTCCGCCTGCTGGAGTATGCAGGTGAAGAGCCATATTCGAGTCTTGTGTACGATTTACTTTCAAAGATGTTACAATCTAAGATTTCTAGACGCTCCACTCCATTGGAATTAAATGCAGTTAAGTTTTTGAGAGATGGTCCAATGTTAGTGAACCAACATATAGGTATGAGACATCAGCTTGCTGTTGGTGATAATTCTGTACATAAACCAAGCAATGTTCATAGTCTTCGTGTCCCTGATACTGCAAGACAAGATAAATTAGGATTAAGCAGACATGCAAAGGATTTGACTTCTCAAATGTCCGTTCGTAAGACAAGTTTGGCCCCAAATTATGTTGGTGAAAGTGATAACTTGATGGCAGGAAACCAAAGAAACTTGGGAAGATATGAAAGGGATTTTGAAGAAATAGGAAGATTAGGAAAAGGAGGTTTCGGTGAAGTGGTAAAAGCTAGAAGTCGTATGGAAGGTACGTTCTATGCAATTAAAAAAATCAAACATCGGTCTGATAAGTTAGACTCATTATTAAGTGAAGTTCTTTCCTTGGCTAGGCTCAACCATCAGTATATTGTCCGTTATTATGGTACTTGGGTGGAAGAAGTTCCTGAACAAATTCAACAACAAGTAGAATCTGAAGAGGAGACTGAGACAGAAACTGGTACCGAAAATGATGATGCATTTGGAAGCCCAATACAAGCTAGGTCTTCTTCATTTTTGGTTAGTCATGATAACTCTTTCCAAGTAGACTTCATGTCTAACTCATTTGATCCACGTATTGAATTCGATGATAGTAGTGAAGAAGAGGATGATTTGGATGATATTTTAGAATTTGCTAACTCGACTAGTGATCAGGATGGATTAACTGAAAAGGCTGAATCAATAGCTGAGACCAAATCTGAAGATGAATCTGATAATCATTATGAAAAGGCAGTTTCTCCAAAGCCATTACCAGTACAGAAATCCATTTTATATATTCAGATGGAGTTCTGTGAAAATAATACATTGCTGAACTTGATTGAACAAGGCTTACCAGGTAATTCCAGCGAGTATTGGAGGTTATTCAGGCAATTGTTAGAAGCAGTTCTGTATATTCATGGAGAAGGATTTATTCATAGAGATTTAAAACCTATAAATATTTTCATAGATAAAGCCAACAATGTTAAAGTTGGTGACTTTGGTCTTGCAAAGAATTCACAATTCACTTCAGTTATTCTGCAAAATAATCAAGTTTCATCTAGTGCTAATAAGGAATTATCTACAATTGTTGGTACTTTGTTCTATACTGCTAATGAAGTATCCACAGGTTCATATGATGAGAAGGTTGATATGTATTCATTGGGTATTATATTTTTCGAGATGTGTTACTCCTTGGCAACAGGGATGGAACGTGCAAGAACCTTGAATGATTTAAGATTGAAATCAATGGAATTCCCTTCTAATTTCACGGAATCAAAGTATAAAACAGAGAAAAAGATTATTACATCGTTATTGGATCATGATCCAAAGAAACGTCCTGGGGCATTGGAGTTATTGCAAAGTGGTTGGTTACCTGTAGAACATCAAGATCAAGTGATTAAAGAAGCTTTGAAATCGTTGGCTGATCCAGCGTCTCCTTGGCAACAACAAGTCAGAGAAGCTCTTTTCACTCAACCGTATCTGTTGGCTAAGGATCTAATGTTTGATATCAATCAAAATAAAAATTCAAACTTAAATCATCTTGATCCATCTAGTAAGGATTATTTATTATTCAGTCGGATTCTTCTGGAAGTTTTCCGAATTTTTAACAATCACGGTGCTATTGAAGATTTTAATTCCAATATTTTACTTCCAAAAGCACCAGCCCAATACCGAGAATCAGTGTATGAAGTATTAGATAGGAGTGGTTCAGTGTTGACTTTACCTTATGATTTAACATTACCAACTGCTAGATTTCTAAGTAGATCCAATGTGACATTGTCGAAGTTATATAGACATGAGTTTGTGTACAGACCTAATTTAAGAGGATCAGGTATTCCTAATAAGTACAGTTCCATTACCTTTGATATTGTGGGGCATGATGTATCTCATAAGCCATTAAGTGATGCCGAGTGTCTTAAGGCAGTTGATGAGATCATTCAAGCATTACCTTGCTTCAAGATCAAGAATTCATCTGCTGTAATCATTATCAATCATTTTGCTATTTTAGATGCTGTATTATCATTTTCCTTTGAAAATTATGGCGTTGATGAAAATAAACGACATGAGATATTTGGGGTGTTATCGCAATTGAATATTGATAAGAGTCCTGAAGAAGTTAAACGATACCTTCGAGAAGAATTCAAGGTTCCTCATACAGTTACAAAGGATTTAATTGATCAATTTGATTTCACAGTTGATGTTGAAAAGGCCACTCATAAATTTCAAAAATTGATGGTTGATTCAACTTATTTACTTCGAATTGAACGTGCTTTGGCATATATTTATCGAGTTAAGGACATATTAAAGACATTAGGAATTCATACTCCGATTTATTTGAGTCCTTTAAGTAATTATAATAGTAAATATTATAGTCATGGAATTATGTTTCAAGCATTGTTTAGGGTTGATAAAAATCGTCGACTTACTAGAATTGCTACAGGAGGAAGATATGATGCATTAATCAGTTCATTTTCAAATAAAGATGTAACTAAATCGATCACACCTTATGGTGTTGGATTTTCGTTGAATTCAACATTCATTTTCTTATTGATGAAGAATATGTTGAATCGAAAGATGAAAGTAGTAGATGTTGATTTGGATCGTTGGAAAGGTAGGAGGTGTGATGTATTAGTCACATGTTTAGACGATGCTCAATTGATACAATCAACTTATCTAATTGCTCAAGACTTATGGGCCCATAACATTAGTTGTGATATCGTATTATCAGATCCTCAAGAAGATACAGTATCGCAGGCTCGAGCTGATGGTGCTGATTGGTTAGTTATAATTAGACAAGCTAAAACACATAGTAAGAAGAAAGTGAAGAATAATACTTTCAAACCATTAAGAGTTAGAACTACTACTTCAACTAAGGAAGTTGATTTAGAATATGAAGATTTACAAGAATATTTAGAAGCAGAGATTGAAGAACGAAAGGTATTGTTTGAATCAAACCAATCTGAATCAAATGAACAAAGACTCAATGCCAGTACCAGTAATAATAATAATGGAGAATTAAATGATATGCATAAAGCAGAAGATCTCGGACCATCATATTCAATGGAAATAGATCAACGAGCCATTGTTGTCCCTAATGATGCTCCTAGGGGACGTAAGAATAATAAACGTGAGAAATGGGAATTAGAGAATGATTCTAAAATTGCCTCTGCTGGGTTCTTAAAGGATATCTCAGCATCGCCAGTTATAACAGTTGATGTTCGAGATGAAGTCTTGGATATGATCGCCATTACATCGATTCAACAACAAGAAGAATGGGTTAGGAAAGTTGTCTATTCGACTAATAATTTACCGAAGAGTTTTGCTATGAATATTTATAATACCTTAATGAAAGAGAGTGCCAAAGGACAAAAATTTGCTGTATTATATTCACCAAAGAGTGAAAAAACGGCCTTAATAGATTTACAAAGATGACGAACCGACATATGTATATATAAATAGAAACATAGTACGGAAAATAATAATAATAATAATATAATAGTACGATAAATAATTTAATTACTCTATTAAAAAACCAAATGTAAACGAGAAAGGGGAGGAAAGGATTATTAAAAGCAAAAGAAATGAAAAACAAAAACTATATGCATATATAAAAATATATAATAAAATGTCAAAGTATGGGAAAAGACAAACTAACGAGCAATTAAAAAGATGTAAAATTTTATAAAATCTGGTATTAATAAAAGTATAGTATAGTTATGAGGGAAGAATTATTTTTGTTGTTGTTGTTGTTGTTGTTTTTTTAAATAATGACCTTTCCAAACCCAATATTCTTCCAATCTTAATTTTCCATAATTGGAATAATTAAAATCGATATTTGAAAGTTCACTTTGGATCATAGCCCAAATTCCCCAATAAAAACCAGGTAATCCGTAAAAAGTAGCAATTTCTTCAATCAAATCTTCCACTTGATCCATTGGGGCGTTGAGATCTCCCAAGTATCCCTTAACCCATTTCACCAAGGTTAAGTTTGATTTATGTGGAGTTGGGATGGCACTTCTATCACAATTGAATCCTTGCCATTCCGCAAAATGATTAGCAATATCAAAAGCTCGAGGAGCAGGTAACATATATTCATAATCAATGAATCTGATAGGGTTCTCTTCGATTGGGGGTAATTCCGTGATTGGTTTATCCATATCGAAATCATCAGGGATAATAACGTTACCTGATAATAAATCACAATGAGACGACACGACGGGAGAATTTGATTTGATAAGGTTATCTTTCAACCAATAGAATTCTTCTTTGATGATTGATTTCAAATTATCTTTGGTAACTTCATGCGGTAAGTTACCATCGAATGAAGATATAAGGTCAGGATTTATAGGAACGATATCAATCCAATCTTCAAGTAATTCCCATACATTCGATATGAATTTTTTCTTGAATTTTTTAGTTTTAGTATGAGATGAAGTATTAGATGAAGTTGAAGTTGTACTTGTTGTGGTTGTTGGATTACTGGCTTTTAATTTTAATTTTAAATTCATTGAGAAAGTTCTTAATTTCTCTACACCATTTTCAATTAATTTATAATCTAAACGATTATGCCAATTACCTAAATTTTGAGCAATCAACGGGAACAAGTTCTCATTGGATAATTCATTAGGTTCCAATGATCTACCTGATAAGTAACCATATACCAAACCATTTTTAAATCTGGAATAAATAGGTGGTGCTAATCCAATAGAATTAAGGATAAGATGCAGGATGAATTCACGATGACGATCAATGATTAAATTTGTACCATGACCATAAACTCTTATTAAGACTGTAACATTCAATTGATGATTAGTACAGGATAATAACATATTGGTTATACCTCCAGTCAATTGTTTTAAAGTTATATTATCATCAGGAGACCAAGTTGGGAAAATCTTAATTAATAAAGCTTTTAATTCTTTAAATTCAGTGGTCAAGTTTTCTGATAAGTTGACGATTAATCGAGGTAAATAGATAGCATGGGTGGAGTAGTTATTGATTATAGCAGGTAAGTTGATATCATTAGATGGTTTCGTAATAGTAGTTAGAGGAGTTTGTTGAAAATGACTGTTACCATTTACAATCGATGAAGTTGATAAATGATGAATTGGAGTTGGAGGTGATCCAGTATTAAGTTGAGCATTAACTAAAGTTGGAGATTCTAATTCTAAATCAGATAACGATGGATTATTCAAACTGTATAATAAATTTTTATTTTTAAGATATAATTTATCGGGAGTATAATCTGCTTCATCATTTTGTTTAGCAGTATTATCTAATGCTAAAAAGTTATCCGAAAATGAATTGAATGAGTTGATAGGAACACAATGAACATCTTTATCAGAGATGAAACAATAAGCTGAGGATGATGGTGGAGCTGGAGGAGGAGTTATTGGATGACCATTACTGGTATTACCATTAATGTTGATATTATTCGAGGTGGTGTATCTAGGAGGAGTTGTACCACTACTTGAAATAGGAGGGATATTATTTTGAGATGACATTATCGGTGAAGTGGATGTAGTGGAATAATCTAATGCCATGATATGATATGTGTGTTGTAAAGATGTAATTATAGACTATGGGGTGTAGCCGTACGGAAGTACAAAAAAAAGGGGGGGAAAGGAACGAAGACTATGAAGTGAATAAAAGTTCCAATGAGTTAAGGGAACATATAAGAGTAGGATAGGGAAGGTATAGTAATACGGTACCTATATGTTGGAGTGAAGTGAAATGAAATGAACGGGGTATAGGTTTAAGTAAACTAAGGGGTCTTGGTGAAGTTAGGTGGGGTGGTGTTGTGTTTATCTTTCGTTTAAATCTGGTAGATGAGATCGTTTTTGTTTTTGCCAGATGGAGGATAAGGATAGTATGAGATAATATAAGGGGTATGAATGGATTCAGATGATTTGATTTCCACTGATGGATGATATCGATGTCTGACTAACTAATAGTTGGGGATCAAACGGTATAAAGAACAGTTTGGTTGTAAATGTTCAAAATTGATTTTGATAAAAAAAGAAAAAAAATGTCTCTCCTATTTTTTACAGTTACTTACCACAACAACAACAGAAGTGAACACATGCATTCTTTAAGTGTCGCACGACTTTTAACCTTTTTTTCTTCAAACTTTCCAAATACAGTAATTTTAATTTAATTAAAAATTAGTTATCCCAGATATATATGATATTGATAAATGGTTGTTTGGGGTTGATAAGGGGTATCAGATTAAATTAGATTAAGTTAATTGAAATTAGAAAAGTGTTGGGTAATTGGAAATTTATTAATTATATCAATTAGAAGTAAACAATGAACTTTTGTATGTATTTTAGTGTAAATTGACCAAAACTTAAATCAAATATATAATCTTGTAAGCATTTGTAGTAAAATTATTATTTATAGTGTAGATTCCAATATGATTTCAGCTTGAATATGTATATGTATACAAAAAGACAATGAGTAAAATTATATGGATCTAATTCACGTTTAACTAATAGTTAGAATTAGCCACAGTACATGTTACTTACAACTTCATTTAAAAATGGTACGAATAGATGATTCATTCGTCTTACTCATGTTATGTTAAACTGGTTATTCAACTCTTCTTATGTGGTTTAATAGTAGTAAGGGGATACTCTATGGTTTTGCAGTTGATCTCCCATTTTTTGCATTTTAATTTGTGGTTTGTTATGGTGATTCACCAAAATACAAATTTTGATACGCGCTAAAAATATTTACAGTTCAAAATTTCAAATCATAATATCAAAACTCAAACATCAATCAAAGCATTACATCAAACGAGCTATTATCACCACAACTACAACTACAGACCAATGTATGGGGATATAGCGAATAAACTAATCTTGGACGCCAAGCGTACCCTGAACTTATCAGAACTACCACTCTACCAAACAGATCTAGTCAAAGATATCCTTAAAGAAATTCAAGATTTAAATAATGATTCGGAATATTTATCAAGTGAAAAGGAATTACAACAAGATAATCTTTCTGAAGAACAATTAAAAATAAACCAATGTCAATTATTCGTCACTCTTTTATCCATGAGGCGGAATAAACGTTGTTTATTAGCTTATCAACGTCTTCGAGCTGAGAAAATCGTTGAATTCTCTTGGTTAAATATTGATCCTATATTAGAATCATCCACCAATAATGGTACTACCTCCAATGGAAGTACTGCTAACACAGCTAAACCAAAATCAACCATCCATGACTCAAACTCAATTTATAATAACTATACCACCCAATTATCTCTTGATAATTTAAATCATGCCGAACAAGAATATCTCAAAAGTTATCAAGATTTAATCTTGAATTATAAATCAAAATTCTACGATATAGACTTATCAGGAGATCTTGAACCTCCAACTAATATATTCATCGATGTAAGAGTTTTGAAAGATGGTGGTGAAGTCCAGACTGAATATGGATCGTTTAATTTAATTAAAGATTCTCAATTCTACGTTAGAAAATCAGATGTGGATAGATTAATTCAACAAGGGTATTTAGAAGAGTTATAAAGGGGTTTTATAGTTATTTATTCATTTATTTATTCTATTTTGCATTATTAATACTATTTATACATCTTCAAATAAATCATCATCATCATCAGCTTCAGCTTCCTCTGGTTTATCCTCTACAATAGTTCCAGTAGGGATATCAGTCGTAATAGCAGTAGCCTCTTCCTCTTTAACTTCATCCTTAGTCTCTTCAACGGCAATTTCAGGTACCACCTCTTTGATCTCCACAGTAGGTTCCTCTTCCTTGGGTATATCGTCAGTAGGTACAACTGCCTCAACTTCTTCCATTTCAACATCAACATCTCCATCTTTATCATTCACTTCTGGTTTAGGTTCTTCCTTAGGAACCACCTCCTCTTCCACTACCTCCTCCTCTTCAGTTATACCCAATAACCCATCTAACTCCTTCAATGATTCATTCAATTTCTTTTTACCTAAACTTGAATTCTTTTGTTCAACCCCAATAGGTAAAATCATAACTCCATCTTTATTCTTATCATACACTCCAATATTCCCATCCATAGCTTTAACCTCCTTACGTAAATCAATAGCCACTTTACTCAATATATCATATACATTCTCGGTCTGATCTGATAATTGTTCTTTTAATTGATGAGTATTGGTGTTGTTTTTGGTGGTGGAGTAAGTTTGAAATAAGGTCGATATCCCATCTAATAAGGATACGATCTTACAATCTATTTCGTATAAGGCATCTAGTCTTTCTTGAACATATGTGTCGGCCTTTTCTTCTATCAATGACATGGTTAAGTTGTGTTTGTGTGTTGGTAAATTGGTTATTAGAAGTTGATTGTATGGAGAATCTTAAGTTGTAGATACTTCCCTCACAAATATTTTTTGAACTTCACTTTTTTTTTTTTGCAAAAGTCTCTACCAGGTGCTCTTCAGAAACAAACCAGACTAACATAACCACACCACATCATGCCAATTGATCTAGGCTTATCGAGAATAACGAGTTTATTGAAACATCTTAACAATCCTCATATCAATGCCTTCAAATCAATTCATATAGCAGGGACAAACGGTAAAGGCTCAACCATAGCCTATCTTTCATCCATATTGACTCATTCAAAAATACGAAATGGAAGATTCACCTCCCCTCATATGTTATATTATAATGATTGTATATCGATCAATAATGAAGTCTATCCTCGAGATAAATTCAATAAAATAAATGATTTCATATTGGAACAGAATAAAATCTTACAATTGGGATGTACCGAATTTGAATTATTAACGGTAACGGCATTTAAGATTTTTGAATTGGAAAAGATTGAAATTGCGATCATTGAAGTAGGATTAGGTGGAAGATTGGATGCTACGAATGTATTAGAACCATTTGATCCTAAAGCAGAGTATAATGGTGGGGTGATTGCTACTGGTATAACTAAGATTGGTTTTGATCATGAGAATTTATTAGGAAATACCTTATCTGCCATTGCATTTGAAAAAGCAGGGATTATTAAAGCAAATATACCTTGTGTAGTGGATAGATCTAATGACGATGAAGTTTTGCAAGTAATCAAGAAGAAGGCTCAACTGGAAAGTTCTCAAGTTCATTTAGTGGATGGTGCAAGTGAGTCGATTCCTCCTCCTCAATTACCTCAATTCCAATATGAAATTGGATCTGAAGTAATCAAATCTTCACCACTAAGAGGGGAATATCAATTACAAAACTTAAGTATCGCTTTAAAGATCATTGAATTGTTAAATATATCCAAATACGTCAATATTTCAATCGATCAAATTAAACAAGGTATATCGCAAACATCATGGCCTGGAAGATTACAAGAGATCAATATCCCAAAATTAAACCTTTCTGTCTTATTAGATGGTGCTCATAATGAAAGTGCAGCCATTGAACTTGGAAAGTACTTGGATTTACAAAGATCACAGAATAAAGATAATGAAACTGGAATCATTTTCATTATTGCCATGACGTCAGGTAAGAAAATCGATACTGTATTAAGTCCAATAGTACATAAAGAGAAAGATACGATTATAGTGACTACTTTCACTCAACCTGAACAAATGCCATGGATTCATAGTTATGATATTAAATATTTACAAAATGAAGCATCACAATTCGTTAATGATGTTGATCCAATTATAGAAAATGACATTTCAAATATCTTAACCCATATCGTATCGAAGTATAGAGATAATGGCGATAAGAGACCGGTGGTTATTTGTGGTAGTTTATACTTATGTGGAGATGTGCTTCGATATGTGGATTCTCCTCCTTCGTAATTTAGCAGGGAAAACCGAATATACGACGCGCGATAAATTTGTGTGAAAATAAAAAAAATTTGAAAAATAGAATAGAGATCAGGGGATCAGTGTAGACAGGTAATACATATTAAGTCACAATGGCTCCAACTGTGTCAGAATTCGAAAGACAGAGACAGGAGAATATTCAAAGGAATCGGGAACTTTTGAAACAATTAAATTTGGATTCATTAAGTCAATCAATTACAAATGAAGTACCTAAGAAGAAAGATACCAAACGAAGAAAAGTTACTAAAACTTATACCCCACGAGAAGTTGCTGAACCATCAAGAAGATCTCGTCGTATAGCTGGGATCAAATCTGAACTTGAGAATCCCGAGGAATTCGCTAAGATCAAAGAAGAAGAGGATGAAAAGGATAGAAAGAAACAAGAGTTGGAAAGACTTAGGAGGACGCGTTTATTTGGTGATTTCAGTTTAATGGATCTTGTCACTGATAAGAAACTGGGATCTCTTAAAAATGAAGATAAAGTGATTAAGTTGGAAGATGGTCAAGTCAAACAAGAAACTACTGATGAGCTTCCTGAGGATAATAAAGTACTTAGTTTATTAAGTAGTCTTGGTAATAAATTTTCAGCAGGTGATTTCTATGAAGAAATCAGAAAGGCACCAGTTTATGATGACAAAGTATTAGAAGACAAGAGAAAGGAATTTGACAATTTAAAGATATATGAAAAATTTGATCCATTAGATATTAAAGTGGCTCATTATAGAATCACTGCTATTAATTTCCATCCATCCACAACTGATAGAGTGGTAATGGCTGGTGATACCAATGGTAATATAGGTATCTGGGCAGTAGACTCTCCAAATGAAAACGAAGATGAACCATTAGTTTCAATCTTAAGACCTCATGGGAAATCAATTTCAAAAATATTAACTCCAGTAAAAGCTCCTTCAAAGATTTATTCCGCTTCATATGATGGTTCAGTACGACAATTGGATTTAAATAAACTTGAATCGAGTGAATTAGCTTACTTGAGCGATCCAGTAATGACAGGTGATAATGCTCTCGGTGTGTCTGATATCAACCAATGTCGTGATGATCCTCATGTATTATATATGACTACATTGTCAGGAAATTTCTACAGTTATGACACTAGAACTAAATTCAAACGTCCAACCATGAAGAGCTTATTAAGATTACACGATAAAAAGATTGGTGCATTTTCAATTAATCCAAATAAATCATATCAAATTGCTACTGCTTCATTAGATAGATCATTAAGAATTTGGGATTTAAGAAATACTTCAAAAAGTAATGCTGAATGGTCCGAATATGAAGATCAAACATCTCCTCATTTATATGGGAAGTATATTTCCAGACTTTCTGTTTCAACCGTAGATTGGAATAGTGATAATAGATTAGTCTGTAATGGTTATGATGATTCAGTTAATATTTTTGATTTTAGTGGTTCAGATGGTAGCTCCACGCCTATTGTTGAATGGGATTCAAAACATTTAATTACTAAAAAGCCAGAGATTGATACTGCTGATTTCAGACCATTTAATAAAATCAAACATAATTGTCAAACAGGTAGATGGGTTTCAATCCTTAAAGCTAGATGGCAGTATGCACCTGAAGATGGAATTCAAAAATTCATTATAGCGAATATGAATAGAGGTTTAGATGTTTATGATCAAAAGGGTCAAATCATAGCTCATTTATCTGAATCAGTTGGAGCTGTTCCAGCTGTTGCTACTATGCATCCAACTCAGAATTGGGCTGTTGGTGGAAGTGCCAGTGGTAAACTTTACTTATTTAATTGAAGTTAATTTTTTTAATAATATACAGTATATTGATTAAATATATATTTGAATTTTTGTTTTCCTACTTAAAAAGTTGTTTGTCTATAAAAAACCTAAACCATTTAAGAAGTCATGACTTGCCAGACTCTGATGACGTTATCAGTGTAACCAGCGAATAAGTTTTGACCATCAGCAGACCAAGCTAAAGAGATAGCTTCTGGGGCTTTACCGTCAGATTCTGGTTTTAATTCATCTAATAAATCTCTTTCTTGTAATTTGAAGATCTTAATACCAGTGGAGGTGGCAGCAGCTAACCAATATCTGTTTGGAGAGAAAGCTAAAGCATGAACTTCAGCGTTAGCGTTTAAGGTGTATAAGGTTTCGTTTGAGTTTAAATCCCATAATAAGATAGAACCATCTTTACCAGCAGATGAACATAATGAACCATCTGGGGATAAGGTGATACATGAAACGTAACCGGTGTGACCAATAAAGTCAGCATTGACAGAGTAGTCAATTAAATCCCAGGACTAAAAATTAAAACATTAGTTAGTAAATTGAATTCAATTGAATTGAAAAAAACTTTACAATTTGTTCATGATCTTTTTGATATCAGAGATCTTGGTGATAAATAATATGTCTCATTCGAAGCTGGCGAGCCCCGTCCGAAGTAGCAAATATAATAATACATCATCTAGGATCATGAACAATTATAAAACAGTGATAATAAAAATTATCAATTAAAAAAATTAAAACATACCTTAACGGTTTTATCCCATGAAGCAGAGATAACAGTGGATGATTTTTCAGCTGGAGAAATTCTGACAGCGGAAACCCAATCATTGTGACCAGTTAAAGTGGCCATACATTCACCGATGGTGTTCCAGACTTTGACGGTCTTATCTCTTGAAGCAGAGACAATTTGTCTTAAGTTTTTGGAGATAGAAACGGATAAGACATCACTGGTGTGACCAACAAATCTCTTGGTACTTTCACCTGATTCTAAATCCCATAATCTTAAAGTTTTATCCCATGAAGCAGATAAAGCGTAAGCACCATCAGCAGAGATAGTAACATCTTGGACAATGTGGGAGTGACCTTTGAAGGATTTCTTTGGGACACCGTATTGGGTTCCACCAGTTAATTGCCATCTGATCAAGGTTTTATCTCTTGAACCGGATAATAATAAATCTGGGTGAGCTGGGGTGGTGGCTAATGAGGTAACCCATCCATTGTGGCCTTCTAAAGAACCAACTAAAGCTAAAACTTCGTCAGACATTGTAATGATTATAGTTTTTGAATACTTAAAAAAGAAGAACTTAAACTATGGTTGATCCAATACTAAATAATTTTTTCCAAAATTTTTCACTACACCGTTTTGGCAAATTTTTTTTTCCTTTACCAAAAGTTGGTCATGTGACCAAATCCATCTGAGAAAATTCGAAGATGAGAGACCGTGCTGAAATTAACTACGACAGCGTTCTCGGTATTACACATCTTAGCAGTGACTGTTTTTTAACCGAGTTATATGCAGTAAACTAGATCGGATCCACACCGCAGTATACTCCAGATTTTCCTGTATATTACGGGGCTTTAAGGTTACAAGAGTCAAAAGAGGCTGGAACCCCAAAGATAAACATCACTCCACATTACGATTCATACGACGAAGCTGGCCTTCTATAGAGATAATGACAAGTGAAGAGAACTTTAAGCTAGTAGTACTTAGCGGTGGTACTGCTACAAATGAATTAGTATCCGTGTTTAAATCAATCGCTCCAACAGTATCATATATTCTTCCCATTCTGGATAATGGAGGTTCAACATCTGAGATCATTAGAGTCATCGGCGGACCTGCCATCGGTGATATAAGATCAAGATTAACCAGATTGATTCCACCTCATAAGGAATCATTACGAGTATTGCTAAGCTTTCGGTTATCCTCCGATCCTGCTATAGCGAAAGATGAGTGGAATTCAATCGTTGATGGTACGCACAAACTTTGGTCTGATATCAACACGTCAACCAAAGAGATCTTTCGGGCATTTTTCATTCATATCCATGTTGAATTATTGAAACGGTCCAAATATCAATATTCTCAAAGTTCCTCGAAGAAACAATTCAGATATGAGCTTGCTAATATAGGAAATTTGTTTTTAACTGGTGTTCGATTGTTTGTTGGTTCGCTTGACTCAGCCATTGAATTATTTTGTAAGTTAGCAGAGATTGATTCTCTGATAGAAGTCTTACCATGCATCAATACCAATTTCACATATCATATAAGTGCTTTACTTGAAAATGGATTAATCATAACGGGTCAATCACAAATTTCACATCCATCTCATAGAGAAATAGTCATAGACGTGTATCCACCACCGATTGATAGAACTAGACCATCATCTCCTACCGAAGATATGATAAGAACAAGTTATTTCGGAACACCTGCTTTGGATGGTATTAACATTGATGTGCCGATTAATGAAGTAGCTCTTTCTAGAAACTCTTATTTGGTGCCTGAGCTGGTTGATGAAGAAGATGACGATGAAGAAGAATTAGGTAATGTACCTCAATACACTCATCCAGAGTTAAAGAAATCACAATTACATTTCAACAAGACAGATATAGAGCCATTGCTTTCCCCAATAAAACGTATATTTTACGTTTCTCCTTATGGACAAGAAATACGGCCTACTGCTCCTCATACAGTTACATCATGCATAGCCAATACAAACGTGTTGATTTATTCCATTGGATCACTTATGACAAGTATAGTACCCATAGTGATTCTTAAAGGTGTTGGTAAAGCTATTGCTGAAAATAAAACCACGAAAAAGAAAATCTTACTTTTGAATGGTTGCTTTGATAGAGAAACTTTTGGAATGGCCGCTGTTGATTTCCTTAATGTTATCATTCAACTGGCAAGGTACTCTGAACAATCTGACGATGCAGATACTGTTGATTGGAGTAATTATATCAGTCATCTTGTGTTCATGAATGACTCTAACATTCACGTTGATAAAGAGTATTTAGAGAGTACCAAAAATATTAAGTGTGTAGAGGTGAAGAGACAAGGGGAGAGTGATTTCTTCGATACAAATAGTCTACAAGAAGCATTGAAACATATTGTATATAATGGTTTAGATTAGTAAAATATATACAGTTAATCGTACCAAACTTTAATTAATTCTTCTGAGACTGCTGATGGAGTTAAAACTCCTAAATCAGTAATCAATGCAGTGATATATTCATGAGGTGTGAAATCAATTAAATGAGTTTTTAAAAGATCTCTATCTTGTTCTTGACTATTACTCTTTTCAATTATTTTAGCAATATCATCAGGTAAATCATTTGGAGCCAATGGGAAAAGTCTAACGAATTTATGTGATTCGGTAACAACGTAAAATGGTTTATTATTAGTTTTGGCTAAACAACCAATTTGATAAGACCCTATATGATTTATTATACCACCACTTTCAGCCACACCTTCAGCACCAACCAATATCTTATCAACTTTATGAATAACGTAACCAACAGCATTATCAACAATCACTTCCACTGGAATATCTGCTTCTCGTAATAATTTAGCCATATGATAACCTTTTTCAGTTGGTCTTGATTCGGTGACTATCACTCTGAAACGAATTAATTTTTCAGTTCTAGCCTTTAATAATAAATGATATACCACACGAGAAAATGAATGGACTAAGATTGTATCATCATCTTTTATAAATGGTACCCCCAAATTCAGCCAGTCTTTCTCTTGATGCTTTGGCTCTTTGTACGAATAATTCACCATTTTCAACTAAATTCTTCTTACATGATTCCCAATCAGAATATAAATTGGTATTTCTTAACACAAATCTCATGAATAAATCACAACCAGCAGAAAGTGAAATGGCATTAGGAATGGATGTCTTTAATGTATCTATGTTTGATTTGACCAACTTGATCAATTCTGATGATGTGGATGGTTGCTTAACTCTTAACATGGTAACCAAGGATTCAATAGCCGCAATCGGCATGGTTAAATCGGAATCTTCTTCCAAGAACCTAAGATAAGTCTTTGTTATATCGAATGATTGTTCCTTATCTGTCATTGTTATGTTCTACACTCTATCTTGTATTCAAAACTCCTGCTGCCAAACTTCAAATCTGATAGTTCGTTAAATAAATTTTATTTCGCAGAGTCATAACAAATTCCGAGAATTTTAACAGTGCAAAAACGTGATGAGTTCTGAGTTCCGGTTATGAGTGTGCCAAATTTTTTTAAAGGAACTATAAACCATCAAATCAATATGATATTTTTCAATTCATCATCTTCAAACAGTAAACCATCAACCATGTCCAAACGTCTGGGTAAACACAATCTGTTGTTTATAGAGGAAGAAGAAGAGGATGTCCATTCCCAACTTCAATATGCACCAGAAACCATAGAAGAAGATGACGATCCAATCGTTGATTCAATCCCTTTAGTGCTAAATGATCTACCATCTACTAATGTCAATAAATTCCACGTCATACAATATCCAGGTCGTTCTAAGAATAGACCACTCGAGGGAACCTATTACAAATCCAACATCAAGAAAGAAACGAATTTCTTAGAAGTCAAGTTGCCATTAGATACATCTCGATTTTTCAATGCTGGTAAAGCAGATGAATGGGGTGAAGATGTTGGCCAACAAACCTTGAATGGTGTTTTAAATAGAACTGAAGGTGGATTATACGTTGGTAAAATAGTTACAGAAGGAAATAATAAAAAAGTTGTGCTTGTGCCAGTTGAAAGTACTACTCAACTTCGTACTTCATTCAAATATATTGATGATATAGATGCATCAAACCAAGCTCAAAGAAAAGCAGAAGCTGCAGAAAATAATAAACCAAACAATATTCAAATCCTTCAATCAGCCTCTAAATCAGGTGCTCAAATCACTCATGGTGATGGATTCGGTAATGCTTTGGGAGAATCCTTAAAACAAATTAAGAAATTTGAAGATGAAGAATGGGTCGCATTAAGATGGGAAACTGCCGATGGAACTACTGCTTCTACTATTAAACAGGAGGTTTTCGCCAATGCTCCAGACCAAGAATTGTCTACCGAATCAAGTTTAATGAATTATATAGATGACTTAACTAGTTCTTAAGTAGATATGTAAAATAATGTATGTGTATATTAGTATTTTGAAATTTTTCAGATATTAGACCTCGCACGTGACTGCATCATGCGGCTCAGAAAATTTAAGTATCAAAATTAAATTTATTATAGGTCTAAACATATACTGATTGATCTTTAGATAGGAGCCATTGAAAGAATCATTTATAATGGACGAAGATGATGGCATGTTGTTAAATTTCGCTGCTCCTGATAGTGGGAGTAGTGTGAGAAGTAGTAAACCAGCTACCAAAGTTTCAGGTGGAAAATGGAAAGATCGTCGTAAGCTTCAATTGACATTACAAGGTAGAGGTAGAGTTATTAAAAAGGCCAATGGTGAAGCATCTGGAGTTAATAGTACCAAGATAGCGAAATCAAGAATAAATCCTGATAGAGAGGCTGCTATACATTCAAATGATTCAAAGGGCCCACCAGCCAAAAGAACTAAGTTCTCAGAATCAAATGGTGAATTTGGTGGTAAGAACAGTTCATACGTTTCCTCATTATTCACATCTAATGAAAAGAGTACATTGAAAAGTGAACCAGTAAAAGAAACTGTTACATATTTGGCTTCTAATGCTCCTTTAAAAGATGCTACTTCATTTGGTGGATTAGGTCTTAATGATAAATTAACCAAACATTTAGAAGAAACATTGAGATTCAAACATCCTACCAGTGTTCAAAAGTCAGTTATACCAAGCATGCTTACAAATGATAGAGATTTATTCATCAAGTCACAGACTGGTTCTGGTAAAACTTTATCGTTTGTATTACCTATAATTCATAAATTAATGATGGAAAATGAATCTAAAATCGTAAGAGAATCAGGATTGTTTGCTATCATTCTTACTCCAACAAGAGAATTGGCTACTCAAATCTATGGTGTTTTAGAATCTATTAGTCATTGTTGTCATACCATTGTCCCTGGTATTGTTATTGGTGGGGAAAAGAAAAAGTCAGAAAAAGCTAGAATTAGAAAAGGTGTTAATATATTAGTTGCTACTCCAGGTAGATTAGCTGATCATTTCGAAAATACAACTTCATTAAATATCGGACAATTAAGATGGATGATTTTAGATGAAGGTGATAAATTAGTCGAATTAGGTTTCCAAGAAACTATTACCAAAATTACAGATCAAATATCAAAGAGTTCTCAAATTATGGACACTTTAAATAAATGGCAAGGATTACCTTCCAAGAGAGTCAATATTTTATGTTCAGCCACCATGCAAGATAGCGTTAAAGAATTTGGTAACACTGTCTTAAATAATCCAGAAATGATCAATTTAGAAAGTAAAGGATTGGCTACTGAATTTTCAACCGATGAAGGTTCTAACACCACTGCACCAGATCAATTAATTCAAAGTATAATAGTCATACCGCCTAAGTTAAGATTGGTTGCATTAACTTCAATGTTGAAAAAATTCACCAAATCCCAAGATGAAGAACCTAAAAGATCAATTGTTTTCTTTTCATGTTCAGATTCAGTCAATTATCATTTCGAAGTATTTACTCGTCATGGTTATAACCCAACCAAAAAGAATAAAACTCAAGATGGAGAAGATAAAGAAGACATAGAAGAAGAAACTGATTCCAGTATAGCAACTGCTCCATTGATTAGCAAAGGAGCCACTGTCTATAAATTGCATGGTTCAATGACTCAACAATCAAGAACAAGCACATTAAATGCATTCATTAAAGATAAAACTTCCAAACATTGTATATTATTCTGTACCGATGTGGCTTCTCGTGGTCTTGATATGCCAAAGATTTCAAATGTTATAGAATATGATCCACCCTTTACAGTTGAAGATCATTTGCATAGAATTGGTAGATCTGCCAGAGTGGGTAATGAAGGTAATGCTGCCTTATTTTTACTCCCAGGTACCGAAGAAGGTTATGTTGATGGTAAACTTCAAGTTGTACATCCAAAAGAAGGATCATTAAAAATTGTTCCATACGAAAGAATCTTAGAAGAAGGTTTCGCTGAAGATGAAGAAACTGGAGAAGAAGGTGAAACCACTAAAAAGACTAAAAAGGTTGATCCAAAACATAAACAAGGTAAATGGGATATTCATGCTACCACTTGGCATTTAGATGTTGAAAGATGGTTATTAGAAGATACCGGAGCTCATGATAGAGCCGTTCAAGCTTTCACATCTCATATTAGAGCATATGCTACACATTTATCATCAGAAAGAAATTTCTTTAATGTTAAATTATTACATTTTGGTCATTTAGCTAAAAGTTTTGGATTAAGAGAAACCCCAAAGAGATTAGGTAAATCCGTAGGTACTAACATTGGTATTCAAGAAGGATCCAAAAAGTTCAAGAAGGAAGATCCAAGAAAGAAAATGTTAAGATTAGCCAAAATGGCAGTCAGATCTACAAGTTCAGAATTTAACTATTAGTCATGTATATATATTTATATTTTAAACTTCTTTTTTAATGTAACGCTTATGATGCAGTATTTCTATACCCTTCGATTTGCCATAATCCATGGTTTTCACCCAATAAATAACCAATATTTCTTCTTTGGTAATAATCACCTACTAACTCAATGTTTTCAATAACATCGTCTAATAAAATAGCCTTACCAATCGCTATCCCATCACCTAATCCAGGATGGCTGACATTGACTATATGTAAATGGAAATGATAGTATGATGGTTGATAATGAATGAATATTCTTACTTGATCTTTCTTTAATGGATATTTTTGTTCAATAATGGAAAGAATCGTTGATCTTAAATGCTTAAGGAAGCTAATGTCCAGTTTAGTTAAATCTCTGACCGATGATATATCTTTACGATTGACAATGGCACATAAATACAATGATTCCATATTTAACGTATCCCATTTCATATCAGGTAATAATACAAATCCAGATTCGGGATCTTTATCATGGTGGATGAAAGTTTCTGATTCTTTACCTTCAAATAAGATGTTGTAGACCCATTTTATTCTTGATCCTTTCATGGTTTCAATATATGGTACAACATACTTTTGATACATTTCTGGAGTTTCAATAATATAATGAAGCTTTTGAGTGCTATATTTCTTGATATGAGTTTCTGTGGCAGGATGGATTATATTCAACTTTGCAGCGGGGGATTGTTCTAAAGTCTGTTTCAATAACGCATTGGACCAGTAGTATACGTCATTCTGATTGATGATTTCAGCATCATTCACAAGATCTGTTAGTTTGAAATCATGGTCAGGAATGATGAAATGGGATTTTTCAATGTTGATGATTGCATCTTGATTATCAATTTTACCTAACAATACAATCGATTTGGTTTGCGGATTACCGGCCAATACCTTTTCAAATTGGAATTGTTTTATAAGATCCTGTACCGACATGATTGTATGGTGATTGAGTTAAACTGTCTGGATACCATCATAGAAAGGTTATATTCGTGAAGCACATCGATGTACTTGGTCGCAAAATGAGAGGGTAGTGCACTACTTCAAATCTGGGATCTATCTTTTTACAACCATATCCTTGCTTGATTTACATTTCAAAGGATAAGATTATTCTTATATTAGAGTTACATTGGTATGTTTTGTTCTATATACATGATAAATAAGGGGATCAATTATCTCCTTCCCCATTGGTCTCACCGTCATTATTATGATCCTCATCATGATCATCATGTTTTTCATCTTCATCATCCTCTTCATCATCATCATTCAAATCGATACAGACCCAACTAGGCCATGCGATTTCATCTCTTATGATTCTTCTTATTTGTTCAACTAAGAATTTCTCAACTTTACCTACATTTCTTAATACATTTTGTTCCAATTGACCGATTTCCGATTCAATTTTAATCTTTTTTATAATATCAATTCTTTCATTCATATTCTGATCAGAAACATAATCGACGAAATTCCCTCCACTAGTGGGATGAGCTGATAAAGGAGTTTCAACAGCTGGTGTGGTTTGATGGGGTGTAGAAGTACCAACCACATCTGCCGGTGTGGTGGCCGTAGTAGCAGTATTTGTTGAAGCTGAACTATTCGTACTGGTGAAGTAATCTGAAACAGAATCATTTATATCACAAAGGAATGAGAAATAAACACTTTTCTTTAAATATGCAATGGTGGCTAAGGCATGAATGACTAAATCTGTGATATGTAATTTAACTGGAAGTGAGATGAAATTAGGTGATGGATAATTCACTAATAAATTAGCAGTCAAGTCTAAGTATGCATTCCCATGATAATTGAATTCGACAATTAATTGAATATCATCGACATTTTTCATGGTTGCTTTCTTTAAACTTTGAATTCTTAAATTGTTTTTTAATACGTTCTGATTTAATATATTTGTTGGAGTTTCAGTTCCACCTGTTGATGTACCTAGACCAATTCCATTATAATTATGAAGATAAGTTTCTCGAGCTCTACCTAGGAAAGGAGGTGGTGTAAGTACTGGTTCTGGAGGAGGTTGTGGTGGGTTTGAACTTCCAAAAGTTGATAAGTCATCATGGTCATTAGTATAGTCATCATCTTCTTCATCGTCATCGTCGTCATCATCATCGTCATAATCATCGTAATCTCCATCATCTTCATACTTGGGTTTGGAATGTTCGAAATTATTGTAGATGTGATTATTAGGATTGAATTTCACATCTTGATTAGTATCAGTTTCAGTGCCTTCATCTTCATCTTCTTCGTCTTTATAGAACTCATCAAATGGATCACCAATATGTCTGATATTAACCTCAGGCAGAATATCTCCAAGACTGAAGTTATTAACGGATAGATCTGATATGTAAGATGGTAATGATATGCTTCTGAATTGATGATCTAGGAATTCCTTGATGGCATTGTTTATAGAATCATCAAGATTTAGTCTATCCCAATTTATATCAAATGACATGATTATATTTTATGTAAATGATATAGACAAATAGATATGTGATGGTGTGGAGCAATTATAGTTTGGGTTTAAGTTCGTATTATAGACATATATGAGTTGATAACGGATAATTTGGTTAATGATTGTAGTGGTTTAATATAAAGGGTTGATATTAGCATGTCATTTTTCATAAGGTAAACAAAATGCATGGATGTTTTTAACTGGGAAGATTTATGGATGTTTTGGATCTTGTCTTAATTTTTTGAATTGTCGCAATTGAATTCATGACATGACATAAATTATGTATGTGTTACAATTATATAAATCGAGACTCTTTCCAAAGGCCTATTTAGATCAATGATCATTTAAATAGCAAATAATAATTGCAAACCATGACCCGAAAAAGAAAAGAAACGACCATAAACGAGAAGTTTTAGACAAAGCAGGTCCAACAATTGAGGTAAAATGTTAATCCTAAACGTTTTACATACATTAGAGGGGTATAAACTATGGTATTATTCCAACCGATCGCAAACAAGTGAATGATTATAATGATGTTTAAAAAAAGGTATGGCTTGCGGACCCCCGCAAAGTTATAGTTCGTTAACTATATAAATCTCGAGACAGTGTTTATAACAATTAGAGATTAATTACTCCACTGGGACAACCATGACTGAAAATAAAAAATTACTCCGTGATTTCCTCCATTCGATATATAGCACAGATATTTCAAATATCCAATGGATGACTTTACCTTTAACCGTTAAAATGGGTATACATTATCACCAAGTAAACATACCGACGGACTAAACCAGATAACATCGTGTCAAATATTAAAATATTAAACATGAATCGTGGTACACTATGATTTATTATTATTATATAGCCTAAATGGATTAAAATAATATCAGCTCCCCCATCTCTTCCTGTATAGAATAAAAAGACTCATAAAAATAATACGAGTGAGAAGTCTCGCCTTTAAGACTCCATAGTTAAGAGAGGTGTTTTAATTCAATCGACCGGTTTTCAGTTGCGCCGTTTCCGGTTAAATTCAAACTCAAACTGTAACAAATAAAAAAAAAAAAGAAATTTAAAATAAAAAAAAAAAAAAATAAAAATTTTTCACAGCATACTTCTTCTGGGGTAATTATAGTACACACCTTACATAGTAAAGAGTATGAATCATATCATACACAGTTTTACATTACATTAATTTTTTATAGTAAAAATTTTAATTTGTATCATCATTTCTTTTTCATTAAGTTGATATTTGTTTTCTTTTTTCCTATTAGTTATACCTTGAATCAGTTATAAAATTAACTATTATCCTATAAGTTTTATAATTGAACTGGTACCCACTGTTTCAGAAGTCGTGAGCTTTTTCCTGTGTTTTTGTTTTTTTTGTGTGTTTAGTCATTATCACTTGATTGTGTCAAATTTATACTTTAGCCAGTTACTATTATCCTCCTCCTATCCTTAGATAGTTATCACTACACCTTACATTCCATTGCATCCTCCAAACTTATTCATTTTATCTATGGACAATACTTTATCATAATCATTTTAAATATCTTTTCATTTAAATCCATTTTTGCATTAATATAAATACATCTTCATTTGTACGTTATATTTCAAAAGATCATTTCGTTGTTGTTTTACCCTTATCATTCAAACAAGTATTCTATTCCCTTCGTTTGTCCTCAAAAAATCCCATTGTTCCTATTTCATTTTTAATCCTGTTTCATGATGATTGCTATTAATCCCATTCATATAATCGTGGTTGGTGCCGGTTTAATAGGCCCAAGACATGCTGAACATGTCATTAAAAATTCTCAAACTGAATTATTCGGAATTGTGGATCCATCCCCATCTGCCAAAGAAGTTGCTTCAAGATTAAATACTCTTTATTTCAAATGTATTAAAGATGTCATAGATTATTGTGAAGAAAATTCAATCCCTATACCAGATGGAGCTATTGTTGCTACTCCGAATCATACTCATGTGAAAGTAGCGGCTGAATTAGCATACTTTGGTATTCATCTTTTGGTTGAAAAACCATTAGGTTCAAACCCACAAGAAGCAAAAGCCTTGAAGGATTTTGCTAATTCTAAAAATGTTAAATTATTAGTGGGACATCATAGAAGATTTAATCCATTTATAATTGAAACCAAAAACCAACTACATAAAATTGGTAATATCATTGCTGTGCAGGGTACATGGACATTACGTAAACCACAATCATATTTCGATCAAAGTCCATGGAGAACAAATCATGAAACTGGTGGAGGTCCATTATTGATTAATTTAGTTCATGATTTAGATGTATTACAATTTTTATTTGGACCTATTGAAAAGATTTACGCTGAATTATTAAAAAAGCAAAGATTGGAATATTCCGATAATGTCGATGAAGGGGCTGCATTAACTATAAGATTTAAAAATGGTATAACTGGTACGTTTATATGTTCAGATAATGTTACATCACCATTTAATTTCGAATGTGGTACTGGTGAAAATCCAACTATCCCATTACATGAAGATTTACAAGGGTTTTATAGAATTTTTGGTTCAAAGGGGACATTATCTGTACCCGATTTGAACTTATTTCATCAAGCTGACGATAAAGAAGAAGAACAATCCACCACTACTGGTGATAAATCATGGTTACATCCTATTGAAAAGAAGTCACTTATCGATATCAATGAACTCCGCACATTACAACCCTTTGATTTACAATTGAATCATTTCGTTGATATCATAAGAGGTAAAGCTGAACCATTATGTACAGCCGATGATGGAATCTCAGCTTCATTATGTATTGAAGCCGTTTTAAAATCAATCGAAACTGATATCCCTCAATATATTGCTGATATGAAATCTATCTCACCAGATTATCATGCTTTGGGTTATGTTCATGATAAAACTGTTCAAGCTACCGTTACTACTAATACTAACACTAAGTAATGGATTCGCATGTTGATATATATACTTTATAAATATTCAATCTAAAAATTATACGTACGTTTATGAAATAAAGCTTATCTACAATTGTAATGATTTATAAAAAGTAACCGACATGTATTAAAGAAGTAAAAGTCATAAATTTTATGGCATACACTATAGATAATTCGCCCAAAACATAAAAAATAGATGTATAAAAAAGAAGAGAGACGTATAAAAAACGTTAGAAATAGACACTAAAACCTAAAAAAACTAATAAAAGACAGACAAGATCAAGGGTAAGACCTAACTAAAATGGATGACCGTTAATAACTTCAACACTCTTCTTGTATCCATTATTTTCATATTTGATATTGGTGATTGGAACACCGTCATCTCTCTTAATGACACTTTCTTGAACTTTAATTGAATCGACAACTTCACCATTTAATTTTTGTTCATGTTTAGATTCGAAACTAGCTTTGATACTATCTTTATCTGGTTTATCGGCGATTTCAGATTTTGTTTCAGATAAATTGATTGGGAATCCAGTTGAAGAAGATACTTTTAAAGCAGAAAGTTTAGTCTTGTTATCAATGAAATCAAATTTATCATCTTTAGTTGAGATGTAGACCAAGTTTAATTCTGATGATTTCACTTGACCAATTGGACCACCTGGTCTAGTTGAAGTTCTTTCTGATTTAGTTAAGATGGTGAAAAGCTCAGATTTTGATTCAACAGTATAAGAAACAGTTGAATTATCCTTCAAGGTGAATTGGAATTGAGTGGTGGTATTTGATTTAACTCTATTTTTAGCAATTTCATTCTTAGTAGCTGGAGACCATGGAGAATATTGAGGTGGGTTCTTGAAGATACCAGAGTTGGTTTGTTCAGTAGTTGGGATAGAAACAATACCAGTTGAATTTGAGATTAAATCAGATTGATTCCATAAGAATAAATTACCACTAACAAACCATGAATCAGCTAAGATTTGATTTTCACCTTTAGTGATTGGAGATGGAATACCATTGAAGATTGGAGTAGTGGTTAAACCATTGATTGGAGAAGTAACAAAGATTTCTAAAGTTGATTCATCAGCCCATAAAGTTGGTAAAACATTAATTAAATCAATTTCAAAAGTTAAACCAACAAAATTACCAAAATCAACGACAGGATCGAAATTTTGAGAAGTTAAGGAGTCAGAATGGTATAAAGTTGGTTTTGGAATGATGGAGTTAACATAAACATCATTAATGAAAATGTTTAAGTGTCTTAATGGATCATCATCATTCTTGAAATAACCAATTTCTTCTTTGGAAACAGAAACGAATAAGTTTAATTTAGCAATGGTGGTTGAAGATGAAACTTTTGGTAAAGTAACTTTAAATTGATCAACATTAGGTAAATTGAATGGTTTGTTGTTTTCAGTTACTAATGGATAAATCTTAGTTGGAGGTTTTGAAGAAACGAACAAATCTTCAGCGGAAACTAAAGATGATTTTTTGTTATCTTCAGCTTGAGCAATGGATTTGGTTAAAGTTAAACTTAAGGATACATCAACTAATTCAACTGAACCTTCTAACACGGTAATAGAGAATTTTCTATTTTTGTTTAATAAGGAGATGAAATCAGTGATATTGGAATAAGTAGAACTGAAAGTGAAGGAATCAGATTTACCATATGGAGTTGAAGTTCTCCATACTGGGAATTCATCAATAGAGATTTCAATAACAGCAAATGAATCAATTAAATCTAAAGTGATGACATTTTTATTAGTGAAATTTAAAGTTAAATAAGCACCATCGAAATTAGATTCATTTTTAGCAGGATGATGGAATTTAGAAGTTAAACCATCAGCTAATTCTTCATCATCAAAGATAACAGTGGTATTATAAGATTCGAAATTGGTTAAAGCAATTGGAGGTTGGATTTCATAAATAATGGAAGTTGCAACTGATGGAGTATTAACAGAATCTTGTGGTTTTGAAGGGATTAAGAAATCAGGAATTGGGAAACCAAAGATAATCAATTCAGTCTTTGGAGTAGCAATACTTGAAAGGAAATAGAAGTAACCTAACACGAATAAACCAACCACCGAAATAATTTGAAAAATAACTCTGGTACGATTTTGCTTTCTTGATTTATTACTTAAAATAGGAACGGTTTCACCACCATCTCTTTCTAAATCTTGAAGCACTTTAAGATCTTTGCCAACGAATTCTTCTGACATTGTAAGTATGAATTGTATATGATGATACTATTGATAATTGATTCAAATAAGTAATTAAATGAAAAAATTTAAGGATAGTTCTATATTTTATATGAAAAGTGAAAATTACTTTAAATTACGAAAGTGGTTGTGGACCAACCGGTGCTCCGATTTAAAATTGCTGCGTTTTCACACATCGTAAATTTTTAGCTGTGAAAAGTTTTTTTTAGTTAGTGCGAACCGGTAATTTACGGTAAACCGGTCAATCAATCAAATTTAGGGAGAAACAAAAAGCGCATCCACCACAGTCCAGGGACAAATTTAGTGACAGTGTACCTTTGGAACAAATAACAAATTAGTGACTGACTAAAAAAGTCGGTATTCTCCGTTTGTGGTGAAATTTAAAGTCTAATTTGAAATTTGTAATGAATGAATTTGCAACAATTAATATCTAATCACAACTTATCAATATGTAGTTTCAAAATTGACATCATACCTTGTTGAATAAAAGGATCTGTGCTGTAAAAATTATGCACTGACGATTCTTTACAGTGATGGATAATTAGCGACCAAAATTTTAAAATGTTTCACATTTCCATATTAGTGATGAGGAGTAAAATTCTAATGATAGATCATATTTTATTCAAAACTGATGGAAATATATTCTGAAACGTTCCATAGAGGTAAGTAGAGAAGGGTTGTATTAACCAACATAGGATTGATAATATGAAAATCAATGAATCAACTACAAACCATAATTGGTGATGTATAACATTTATAATGTACATTAAATAGATACCAAGGTTAGATACAAGAAATAAAGAATATACAAGATCAATTTAACAAAAAAGACCACATGACAGAATCATGCTAAGTCTCCTATATAGGTTAGTAGATCTAAAAGGGAGGTTAGTACAAATAATGACCTAAATAAATATCATAAGTTAGTTTTCTAAGGATGTAAAGCAACAAAAATATGATTAAATTTTTCCTGCAAAAATTTCACCAAACACTACTCTTAAAGGTCTAGTTTCATAAAGAAGACTCAAGATGAAATATAAATTTAATTTAAAGGATTGGTGAAAGTCCAAGGGGTAATTACACATTTTGATCTCCAAAGTTAAGTCACATGACTAAATCTTTGTTTGTTTTACATGGAGGAATCTATCGTTTATAATATGTGTTACAAATGCATTTGAATAATCATTTTAATAGTACATCTATTGGTAGTAACTTCAGTCCCCTATGTGGTGGAGTAGTTAATGATAGGATATGTCCTAGATTAGATTAGTTGTTACATAACTACCTTGATATATGGTAGCTTTATAGTGAAAAATCGATCAATCCTGTATATAAGTTCAAGCCAGTAAAAATTATTTAAATTTTTATGACCAAACCGAATTGAGAAATAATCAAAAGTCAACATATACCATTGATCATATCATATCAAATCATATACTATCATATCCGTCATATCATGTCTAAGTTCGTGTTACCTACTGCTTTGAAGGAATTAAGATTCCATTTATCTCAAACTGGAGATGCTTCAATTCCATTAAGAAAATTCTTGGTTAATAATTATAGTTCATTAAAAACAAGTCTGAATAATCAATTACCAATTTTAATTAGAGAAAGTTTTGGTGTTCCTCCAAGTATCATTGCTAGATTTGAAAAGGGTAAAGAAATCAAGTATAACTTGGAAGGTTTAGATGAAAAAGGTATTTCTAAAGCTTTACAAGATTTATTAAAAAATTAGATGAAAACAAGTCCTTATTTAGCTCATCATATATACACATTCACTTCATTTCATTCAGCATATATTCCATTCCCACCCCCGTTCACTTTGTACTATAGAGTCTCCTTTTATTACATTTATTTATATAGTTTATATTAAATATATTGCATTTACATATAATTTACTTTTACTTTCTCAAATATTACTCTTTACATAATCATTACCAAATTGATAAACTCCCCATCCTAAACTAAGCATTTCATCATTATACAATTCTTTAATTGGTTGTTTATTATCATTAACACCACTAGCAACAACTACAGGTACGAAATGTTCTAATGTTGGATGAGATGAGAATAATAATTGTCTAGCTTTAGCATCTGTTTTTAAATGATTTAAAGCAGTTAATAAATCCGTTGAGGAATTAGTTAAAGTCTTGGTTAATAATTGATTGAATGGTTTGGCATATGGCATGGTTTGACCTGGTTGATTGAATGATTTCCCTAAGTCGCGTAGATTATGAACTGACATACCTGAAGTAACAATCAAACCAGTTAAATATTTATCCTTCTCAGAATCATATAATAATTGATCAGAAAATTTACTCAACACTTGACCTAATTTATAACTAGCTTCAAAGTCATGATCATCTGCAGGTAATGAAACTTGAATAATAGCAGTATCAGGTAAATCCAATGCATCTTCGTCGAAATCTTCTGCTTTTTGAAATGTTTTAGTTAACAAATTATATGGGCTAAAAGCAACTTTAAATGGAACCCAAACTCCATGATCGATACCACCACGTTTAGTCAATTTACTTTTTATTCCATTAGCAATCAACTCGTTTTTGATTTGTTCACTAACATACTTCGAATTCAATGTTGGAAATTTCTCTTTATACATATAATCAGGGAATCCATAAAAATCATAAATTAATTGATTAATATTCTGATCTTTTTCTTCAGGAACGGAGATTTCAATAAGATCAGATTGGGAAGCTTGCCAATGAGCTGATACCACAATGATATAATCTGGTTTCCATTTGGTTTTAATAGTTGTACCTAATTTTTTAATCATATTATAAGCACCTTTATTTCCAAAATCATCATTTTCATACATAAATGTAGGACCTCCATGACTGAAAAAGTAAGTTGGGAATGGATTTGGATTCTTAATAAACTTGGCTACAGTTGAAGTTGTTGATGAAACAGCAGTTGCACTCATATTATCTGTAATTGTGGATGTGGATGTAGTTGTGGATGTGGTCGTGGTATAGTAATAATAACTTACTATAGATAACAATACAGGTAAAAAGAAGTATAAATTCATCTAAACATAGAGCAAGTGAATAACAACAAGTTTGAATAATGTAATGATGGTGAAATCTACTTCAATTTATACTATCGTATCATTATGACAATCATCACCTTTATGATTCAATCCTCTTCAAGTCTAGTCCCAGACGTTTATGGCAGCCAACCAAAAGATTTGGATGGTTTTGTGATTTTAGTAATTTTACCAATTTGCTTATAAATGAAAAAAAACAGATCATGTGACTTAACATGTGATTTCGTTTTTGCAATTATATTTAAGAAATGGAAGTCTCTTATTCCCAGGTATGACACCACTAGTACTAGTATCGAAACCAATGTCATAAACATTGGCAGGTAAATAAAAATCTGTTGGAATTCCTCTAAAGTAACACTCAGAAGCATCAATAGTTAATAAGTTATTAGTATATGATTCCAGTGATTGTTTGAATATAGCTATATCCATTGCAAAAAACTTATTGACTAATATCTAGATATTTGACGTTGGGAGGTGGTAACCAATCGACGATTCCTTCATGGGGAATGCAGTTTGTATCTAATTCCAATGTTGTCAAGTTGATTAATTGGTTCCAATGTTTGTTGAATTGAGAATCATTGTATTCCTCTAAACTTTGAATACTATTATTATTCAAAATTAAGGTTGTTAATGAGGGAGGGAATAGACACTGCTTTATGGAATGTAAGCAATTAGAAAGAGTTAAATCTGATAACATTTGGGGAAATATAATCTTACTTTCAGTCAGATTATATAATTTAACCGAAGTTAACATTATGGTTTCTAATGATTCAGGAAACGTAATTTCTGGAATTGATTGTTCATTCAAACTAATATCATATGGAACTTTCCCTATAATTTCAAGACATTCTAAACTTGAAGGTAAATTGGTTATTAATAGGTCATGTTTGAAATTGTTATATTTCAATTTTAAATCTGTTAGATGGATAGGCCAATTTGATAATTCAATTTGACTGATATCACTTGATTCATAACCTGAACACATTTTCAAATTAATATACTTTCCCCTTTCAGGCCATGAAAAATGTTGAACAATATCTTTGAATTTACATGACTCAAAGAACATTCTTTCTAACGAAATTGGTATCTTTATGGGAGAATCAAATTCCCCATGTTTAATAGTTAAACTTTGCAAATTCCTAAAATGGTGAAACTGTTTCAATTCCGGTAGATGCTCAACTATCAAATAATCCACTAGAGTAGATTCTAACTGTTCCAAAACATATTTAAAATTTTGCGTTTTAGCTAATGTTTTTGGTAATTGTTCTTTAGCTTTGGGTTTTTCAATATTGAATTGAGCAAATATCATTTGTTTAGTTGACCTGTTATAAAACTTCATTTCTAGCCTTGTCAAATTTGAAAGATGAAGTATATCATTTGGTATACTAATCTGCGCCCCGTAAACGCTCAAGTCATAACGTAATCGGATTTTAATATATTTGATGATTTTTAAAATCTTAGCATCATCATGCAATACCTGTTTTATAGCATGTTGACTGGTACTGATAAGAATACTTTGAGGAACATAATTGGGAGGTAAACGTCTCACATAAATTGATTCAGTTAATGTATTTATTGTAGAAGTCATATACCTATTTAAATTAGGATGGTTTGTGCTCAAGATGATATCATCTATGAATTCATCATAAACTGGTGGTTCAAATAAGGATGTATTCATTAGAAATTGAATTCTTGAAGTCGGTAAGTCGTCAATTATATCAATTATTATATCATTAGGAAATGCTAAGAAATATCTACTTAGGAATTGACCATTATAATCCATCTTAACGGTTGATTTATTGAACTAGCTGTTTAAAAAAATTATCAAATGATCGATTCTATACACACATCATTTATCTGCAAAATATAATGCGCCCTTATGCATTTGCTACAAAATTTACTGAAACTCGAGTTGGACTACAATATATTCAATTTTTGGTTTAATTTGATTTTATTAGTTAAAAGGGCAAAAATAACAACTAAATTAACTACAACATCGATTGACTAAAATAAATCTAAAGTATATTGATTCAGATTACAAATTATAGTTATACTCTTAAGTTAGCCTTTCTTTGAGAGTAAATTAAATTATCTATCTTCTTCTGTAAGTTATTAAAATCAGCACACTGACATTTGACATAGATAGATTTAATATTATCAGGTAAATAAAAATCTCTCAGTAAAGAACCAATGTCACAATGACTTATATCAATGTGTTCTAGTTCCTTGGTATAGTGTTTTGCAATTGGTTTAAACAAATTAATACTCAACTGACGTATTCCATTGTAACTTAAATCTAAATACTGAACATTAGGAGGTGGCAACCATCCTTCTATTCCATTATAGCCAATAGAATTGTTGGACAATATCAATTGTTTCAAGTTGATTAATTGATACCAATCTTTATTCATTTTCTCATTTTCATAAATGGCTAAATCAATTATACCATCAGAATCCAATTTTAAATACTCTAATGTCGGAGGGAATATACTGTAACACAAGGAAAATACACTTCGGGAAACAGTCAAGTGTATTAGTTTTGGAGGAAATTGAACGAATCCTTCATTATAAAGTATAACATTTTCAAGTTTTAAAGTGGTTAACGATTCAGGGAACTCTATCTGTAGGTTCAGTGAATCTGACAAAACGACTCTTTTTCCACCCATCTCATTTATTTCAAGATGTACTAAGCAAGAAGGTAAAGCACCCACCGGTAATTTTTCCAACCCACTCTTGATTATAATTAACTTTTGTAAATTAACTGGCCATTCGTATATGCTAACATTTTGTTTCCATGAAATATTTGAACATTCTTCAATATGGATAGTTTTTAGACCCGCTGGCCAATGAGGTATTCTTGCATCATCATGATAAAAGTTGCATCTTATGAAGGATACATCTTCTAAAGTGCTTGGAAAAGTCACTAGAGAAGTGAATGATTCCAAGTTAATATGTAAAGACTTCAAATTGGTGAAATGGTTAAATTTAGTTAATTGGAACACTTTCGAAAACTTCAAGCCGTAGATTGATAAAGGTAAATTTTCACATATATGATTTAAATTTTGTGGTTTACCTAAAGTTTGGGAAAACTTTTGTAGATCGTTACAGTTAGAAAACGTTGGTGAGATATATTGTAAATCCTCGAGTAAATAAAACTTAATGGTTACCAGTGTTAAATTTGAAAGTTGAGTAAGTTTCTTAGATATTGTGATGTTTGGTGGATCCTTTAAATCAACAGTCAAAACAAGTCTAATATCGTTTAACAATTTGAAATAATCGAAATTATCAATGATATATTTTGATACATCATGAGTTGTTCCCTCAATATTAACAACTCTAGGCAGATAATTATCAGAGATATGATCCAAAAGAATCCATGTGTTATTCACTTTTGCACTCACATATGCATTTTGATCACCGCATCTTAATATTTGGATACAACCTATGAATTCATCATAAACAGGTGGTTCAAATAAATTTGAATTCATAAAGAACTCAATAGCTTTAGGCGGTAAACCTTTAATAATTTCAATTATGATATCATTGGGTAATAGTAAGAAGTACTTACTTAAGAATTTTTCACCGTAATCCATCAAATCTTGTAAATTGATAATTTCCAACATAAAGAATCAAGTATCATAATCCTGGTTAGAATTTAAATATTCATGACAATTGTGCAGGTAAAGATTTTGCAGACAATTTTAAGCATAACAAAATTCTGTAGAATGTCGTGAATGGAATGATTGTACAAACTGCTCATAACTCATTGTACAGGAATTGCTATGGTCTACTGTTAAGAATTAAAGAATGATTATATTGTTAATGTAGCAAAAAGACTTCATTCATTGGACTTGTAAATTATTTAAGTTAGTTTAAACTACAATGTATGCCAGTAAGATCTTTTTCTTCTAGATTTACCAGTGGGTTCTATCTGAGAATCAATTATGGCGTTTACCTTCTTTTGCAAAGCATTCTCTGTACGATAAAACCCCAATATGTCAATAAATTCAACATTGTCAGGTATGTAAAGATCTTCGGGCAAAGAATCAATGGGCGATGTTGTATACGACCTTAAATTAATATACTTCAAATTATTTGTAAATTCTTTCAGAGAAAATTTAAACAATGCTATATCCATAGAAGTTATATCATTTCCACTTGCATCAAAATATTCTAAGTTAGGAGGTGGTATCCAATATACCACACCTTCATGGCATAGACTATTACTATTTAATTTCAAGGTCTTCAAGTTGATTAATTTATGCCAGTGTGTACCCCTTTCAAGATTGTTGTATTCGGTTAAGCTTTCGATGGTATTGAGATTAAAGTTTAAATATTCTAATGATGTAGGAAATATGCATTGATTCAAGGATTTTAAACTATTAGCTATAGTCAAACGTTTTAAATTGGGTGGAAATTCAATGATTTCAACATGAGAAAGATAAATTGAAGAAATTCTTATAATCGCTAATGATTCAGGAAAAATTATGTGTTTATCAATTGTATGAGAGATTAAGCTGAGATAATCTTCGGCTTGATCAGTAATTTCAAGATATTCTAAGAAAGGAGGTAATTCACACACTATAGAACCTCTGACATCATTATTTTGTAGGTATATCTCTTTTAATTTTAAAGGCCAAACGCCTAAATTAATGTGACGAGGGTCATGGAAACAGTCATGAGAACAATCTTTAATACAAATACTCTTTAAATTTTCAGACCATTCAGGAAAACTTTCTTCGTATTCAAACTCACATTTTAAAAAGAATACCTCTTCTAAACTATTGGGTAAAATTACTGGATTTTCAAAAGTTTGTAGACTAATGCATAATGATTTTAAATTAGTAAACTGGTCGTACTCTAATATTTCTATCGGGGTTGAAACTTGCAACCAATGAACTGATATGGGTAAATTTTTATAAACATTCTTAAAGTTTTGTGGTTCACTCAAAAGTTGAGGAAGTTCTTGTAACATTAATAAATCATCACTATTAGTAATGTTGACTGATGATGAGATATTTTCCTTAGAGTCTTGTAAATTAAACTGAATTGTTAATTTTGTTAAATTTTGAAGCTGGATTATCTCTTTAGAAGTTTCTATGCTCGGTGGATTGTTTAAATCAACAATTAAGGAAATTCTAATATCTTTAACCAATTTTATGAATTGAGAGTCAAGTACCATACATTCTGCCATTTGTTGAGAATTTATTTGTATACGAATACTTTTAGGAATATAATTATAAGGGAGACTTTCCAATGAAAGTTCAGTGTCTTTTACAGTAAAAGTCATAGATCTTGGTATACCAATTTGAGTAGTGGATATGTTGATACGACTTATGAATACGTCATAAATGGGAGGTTCAAATAGTTTTATATTCATAAAAAATTGAATGTGTCGAGGTGGTAATAATTTGAAGATTTCAATTAAGATATCATTAGGAAGTAATAGGAAGTAATTCCTTAGGAATTGTTCAGTTTTCATATTGATAAGTCAAATGAATATAATGATGAAAGTTGATTATTGAATCGTACATTTGATACTTATATATAAGTTTATAATTAAGCATATATATGTCTGCAAAATCAATTACATACGTTTATATGCTTATACTTACCTAATTTTCTGCTTATGTAATCGTCATAGAAAGTTGCAATTATAATTAGATACAATTGATAAGGCTTTATGAATAACAGTCATTGAAGCAACGAAAAGATGTATGGGTCACTGAATCAATGAATGAATGACTGGCATGATCTACAAAGGGTTCATTCATAATAGTTGTAGAATATATGGTTAATTGAACCATCGGTTAGTAATTGAGTTAATATTAAATTATCACAAGAGTATATAAATAAATAACTAGTAAATCCAATTTAATTGACTCATTTTGAATCATCAATCAGCCGTGATCATCAATCAATAGAATAAATCAAAATAGATAGTAGTAACCCTAGTTATACCCTAATAAACGATCCGATGATCATTAATTAAATTGATCACCAAATATGACTCCACAGTTTTCCACTATTAAAAGAAATTCTCAACCCTCGATCCGAGAAACGTGACATACGCGTGACTGACACATAATAAATCATCCGGAACAGTTTAGCCGTTTCTGGATTCCAATGGACGTTCCTGTATACAGTCTGATTAAGTGATACGATCCGAAACTTAAAAGAAATAAAATAAAATAAAAAATAAATTTATGACAGGCATAACAAAAAAGCAATAAAACCGGTATAAGGGACGAGATGAATTGATAAGTTAAAATTGGCTAATTACTATTTAAACCTTTTACATTTTCCATTTATTGATCTTTATACTATATCGTCATACTATTTACTTATTATTTTATCATTATATAACAATCAATCCATTGCATATCATATCATATCTTATCACTTAATATGCCTGATTTCACATCAATAAAGGAATCAAAACCTTATAAAATCATAAAAACTGTAATAGACTTCCTCATCAAACAATGGTTTTTTGTGGTATTGGGGTGTTTGGTCGCTATAGCTCACTCTTATCCCAACTTTGCCAGACAAGGGGGGTTAATTAGAGCAGAATATACCATTGGTTATGGTGCAGTGGCTGTTATTTTCTTAATTAGTGGATTATCAATGTCAACTAAAGATTTAGCTAAAAATACCCTTAATTGGAGAGCTCATTTCACCGTGTTATCCACATCATTCCTTATCACTAGTTCAATCATTTATGGTTTAGCTACTGCCATTAGAGCCAGTAATGATGCTGAAATTAATGATTGGTTATTAGTTGGATTAATCGTTACTCATGCTTGTCCAACCACTGTTTCTTCAAATGTGGTGATGACAAAACAAGCTCATGGTAATGATATCTTAACTTTGTGTGAAGTCTTCATTGGTAATATCTTGGGAGCATTCGTAACTCCAGCTCTTTTACAATTATATATGACAGGAGGCTGGGAATTTGGTAATCCAAGTCATCAAGCAGGTGGTGATCATACTATTACAGATTTATATAAATCAACTATGAAACAATTAGGTTTATCAGTGTTCGTACCTCTTTTTGTGGGTCAAGTGATTCAAAATTTATTCAATAAACAAACTAAGTGGTGTTTATCAACTTTCAAATTAGCTAAAGTTGGTTCATTCATGTTGATCTTAATTATGTTCCAATCATTCTCCACTGCCTTTTATCAAGATGCTTTCACTAAAGTAAGTCATGTCTCAATCATATTCTTAGTATTCTTCAATATCGGTATTTACTTATTCTTCACCGTTTTAACTTTCTTTTATGCTAGACCAATCTTTATCAAAAGAATATTTAATCATCCTCCAGATGAAAATTCAACTAGATTATATACCATCACTTATAAGATCTTCAGACCATTCTACTATAGTAGAAAAGATACTGTCGCTATCATGTTATGTGGACCTGCTAAAACTGCAGCTTTAGGTGTATCATTAGTATCATCTCAATATGGTTCTGATAATCCAAATTTAGGTATTATTTTAGTCCCATTAGTGTTATATCAATCTGAACAAGTTATTTCTGCTCAAGTGTTGACTAATTTCATGAAAAAATGGATTCACGCTGAAGAACTTAAAGAAGATGCTGAAAATAATCTCCCACCAAAGAATATCGATGGTAATGGGAATGAAGTAGATGATAGTGCCGATGTTAATGACGAAGATGATGATAGTTCCGATCATGTGTTAAGACATGAAACTTCCATTTCAAACGATTCAAACGACCATAAATCAAGAGATATAGCTATAGTTCGTGAGTGATAATTTTACATTCTCTTTTCCTAAATATTTATTAAACGCATTCTTCTTCCTTCTATATAATACCTTCCTCTACATTTTTTAGATTTCATATAGACCAACCTTTTATCCCCTTAATATATTAATAGACTTAATTTATTTCAAAATCCAAATTCACCTAATTTAATTTCTAAATCATTGATAACATTCTCAAGATCCTTTTTATTATCAATTAATGCTTGCAATTCGTCAAATCTACGAGATTTCGTATATTCTTTAATCATAGATTCAATTAAGAATTTTTGTTCGTTCATAACCATCAATTGTTCTCGTAATTCTCGAATTTGTTTCTTTGTAAGTTTAACCTGTGGAGAATCATCAAGTTCGACGTCAGTAGTCAGATTGGTCGATGAGTTGTTTGATTGTTGTTGTTGACGCTTTTGTAATTGGATGGACCGCAATTTCGATTCTTGTCTCTCTTTAAAACTCTCATTCAATAACTTATACTTTAATAAACTATCTTGAAGGAAGATAATTAACATTTGATAAATATTATTAATCAATCGTTTATAAGCTTGATATTCGGATGAAACGACATAAATCTCTTGTTGGGGCATGAAAAACATATTTCGGAATTGAGCTGTCAGATTCTCAAATTCTTTAAGTTGGTTGATTAGTTTATTTCCAATTTTCATTTCTTCTTCTTCATCTGTAATAGTTTGAGGTTCAACTTTTTGAAATTGTTCATATTTATTTAGTAACACCTCAATCTGATGCTTTTGAATCAATTTAGATTCATAAGCTTTAAAAATCTTATGCTGTTTCTTTTCATCGCCATCTTCAACTTCTTCTGCTTCACCCTTGTGATGATGATGACTTAACTTCCAATCATATAATAATGCATTCTTACAATCAACACAGCATCGAAATTTAATCGAATCATCTTTAACAACCTCATCCCAATTCAACTTCACATACTGAGAATAATTCAAATTAGTTAATCTCTCAAGCAACTTCGATATAGGAACCACTATTGAACAACTTTTACGATACCCATAAGGATCATCACAAACAATCTTTCCACATAATCGACAATGATGTTTTCTCAATAATAAACTAAACTTGATATAACATATGGAACAATTACTTATCCCTTGATCATCTTGCCAATTATCTAATCCCGGAATCTCTTTCTCTGCTTCATCTATAGCCCACCAATCTGAAAGAATTGATATAGCAGCTCCACCACCAGAGACTTGATTTTTCTTCTTATGTTTCTTTTCTTGAGATTCCACTTCAGTTAAATAATTCGTCAATTTAATAAACCTCTTTTGAATCTTATTCCTATTCAATTGATTCTCATCGGTCCGAGTTTGACGTTTTCGATTGAATTCAGCCGTAAGATCTTTACTCCATGCCATGGTACCTTCTTTAAGATCAGGTTTATCGTTATAACATCGTTGACAACATTTACACCATACGCCTTCTGATGTACTATCATAAACAGGTAACTTCTCTGATCCCATTTTTAATTTAATCTTGTATTCGGTATGTTCATTACAATATAATAATCCACATTTTCGACAATTAGTCAATCCATTCTTGATATTCAAAGTCTTATTACAACCAGTCAATGAGCATATCGTGGATGATTGAGATTGATGCTGCCAATGACTTCTTGATATACGCGGTTTATGAGGATGATGTGATTGATTAGGATGCGGACTGGTAGGACGATGCGAAGATGAAGATGCTGGCGGAGTGACTGATCGTTCAGATACATCACTTAAACTGAATCCAATATTATTATCCAATAAATCAAGATTGATTTTCTTCTTCTTGGGACTAATGATGGTATTTCGTTTAGGAGGTGATTCAATTGATGTATTTGAATCATTAGAATGCATATCGTCAATATGTTGATTTAATTGATGTAGATTAACCATTTCCTCATTACATATAGGACAAGCTATCGAATGTTTGGGATTATCAAATGCAGTTGACGTAGGTAGTACATTTGTTGTACTGGTGGCTGATGTATCTGGTACACTAGATGATTCTGAATCAGTAGTATTAACTCGAGTTGGACTAGTCACGATAGGTAGGATATCTTTATCATTACTAATCTGATGATTGGATTCACTTGAATCTAATTGCAATTCTTCTGGTTTTGAAACAGAGCCCAATACCCGTTTCAGCTTTGGATTCAGTGGTATATCGGAACTCATCGTGGTTTAATTCATCCTTTTATACCTTTGGCTGCCTAATATTTACTCCAGATAATTTTGGCTAGCCGGTTTATTTTTATTTTTCGTGATACTGCGAATTAATTTGATTACTGCTAAAAAATTATTTATATTTATCATTACTGTTGCTACTATTACTACTGCACTTTAACTAATACTATCGTTATATCATCAGCTTTACCACCCAAGTATTTCTGACCTGTTAATCTTGATAATTCTTGTGCGAAAGCACTTGGGAAATTAGGATCTTTGGATACTTTAACTACTTCCTTAACAAATGTTTTTGCAATGGTATCAAGATTATTCTTCTTACCTTCTATTTGATCTTTTAAAAAGAGTTCTATATCTTTAGGAATAATATTGTCAGTGACACCATCAGTGGCAAACATTATAATATCATCACTTTTCAAATCCCAAGTATATTCATCAGCTACAGCTGGTGAATCTATTATATATCTTCTACCTTCTAATTCTGCTTGTTTTATTATTTGAGGAGGAATCTTTGCTAATTGATATGGAGTATTGAAATTATGAGTTTGGAATTTGGTTTCATTTATTAATTGATAATTTCTAAATAATCCACACCATGAATCACCTAAATTCGCTACTTTTAAAGTTTTATCAGGTGAAATTATACCGAAACATGCCGTAGTACCACCAATCTCCACTTTTGGAGAAGTTGATATATCATCAAATGCAAGGGATAACAATTGTTTAGGAGTTATTTGACTTCTATCATTCAAGGATTCAAATTTCAATTTCATTGAGGCACATAATTCTCTTGATATAGCTGATGAATCATAACCTGCTTCTGACCAACCACCAACTCCATCAGCTACTCCCAATGTGATATATCCATCTTCGAATTGTTTAGACACAAAAAGGTTATCTTCTCCACTTGGTGATTGTAGAGCTGGACTTGGTTTATTATGCTTCTTTTTAAATAAATTTGATTCTTCACGATCTTTAGGTTGATAAGCCACAGCTACATCATAATTCTTTAAAGTATGGATTGAATTGTCATAGTTAGATGCAGCTGCTGATGAAGTTGAAGTACTAGCAGAATTAGAAGCTGAAGTACTGAAATTCTTAGAGCTTCCACTGCCACTTGATTTAGCTGAAGTTGATGAAAAACTAAATGATCTAGTAGTTCTTAAAGCTGTTCTAGGACCAAAAGTACGACCAATTGGTATACTACTTCTCTTTGCTATATATGACAACAGCATTGATACGATAACTATTAAAAAGCAAACAATAACAATATGAAATCGTCTTATATTAACCATTTACCCCAATGTTCTTCATAGTTTGAACTTTTTCTGTTTGTCTGTCTGTCTAAATTAATATATCACTGTTGTTATATACAGTCCTGGTTCTATCCAATCAAAATTATCAACAACCAAAAAAAAAAATTAGTTCGAAAATTGAAAAAAAAAAATATTGAACTAAGCTGAACTGAAGTTAACTCAATTGATACTATTGAAGCTTTCATTCAAAAACTACATATATATATATATTCAACACATATCCATATAAGATGTCTACCTTCAATGTTTTAAGATACTCCGCTTTAGGTGCTGGTATTTTCTACGGTGCTTTACATAGATATAGCTTAGAATCAACTCATGCTGAACAATCAGCTGCTGAACAATGGAAAAAGGAAGAGAAATTAATCAAAGCTGCTAAAGCTGAATATGCTAAATTGAATCCTCCAAAGGTTGTTGCTTCCACCACTAAAGGTTCCATCAATTGGGAAGATCCAAACTTGGATATAGGTTCTGCTTTAGAATCTTTAGTTCAAAAATTAGATTAAACGTTTATATTGAATCTTGTTAGGATTTGTTGTAATGGTTAATTATGACTTGATTCATTGTCATTATCATCATCTTTCAATCATTATCAACTACAACTAGCTAAAATAATTGTATTAATTTAAGCCAGAAACTAAAAAAACAAAAATCCACCATAATTATTTGCATATACCTTTATATTATATTATTTATCACAGGAGGGAGAGGATTATTATTTAAGATTTATAGATCATCATGAAAAGTTAAACAATAATGATTCAATACCCTTCTTCTTCACCGAATTGATCAAATTCGTCACATTATTACTACAAAAAACCAAAACTCAACCTTCCAAAAACTCCTATACACTACATCTGATTGTTTCCCTTTAAAGGTAAATAGTCAAAATCAATTCATTTATTTCTCTACATTTACATTAGACTTGAATACTTAAGTATTTAATTTATAGCCTACTTTTAAAAAAACATATTATATTATATTACATCTTATTGTATTCCATTGTATTAGAGACACTAAGGCGTGTTCCCATATAATTCATAGACGAATCATTATTCAATCCATTCGTATATTTGACTCACTTGATTGTCGTTTGAGTTGAAGATCTTTACCATCTATGACGCTATCATTACCAATATCCAACCAATAATGAGCAAACAAGATGTAATTGATACTAAACCATCATGTACTGCTCAACCCGGGTGTTGGAAATCTTCAACAATATCAATCCAAAGGTTTCAAAATGTCATATAACCCTATAGTCATCCATTATATCAAATTCAAAATATGGATAGTAGACTAATATATTCATACACGGCTTTACAAAACCGTTTCCTGTATACAAAATGGAATTGCAAAAATATATTTTGGGTGTTTACCTTTATATATTTTAGCCGCCAAATCAATAATAAATATTTCTATAACTCTTCTATTCATTCTTCATCATCATACCACATCATATCATCTTGAGTAATTCTGGAAAGATGGATATGGAACTCAATCGTATTCAAGTACGTGAGGTTAACGATTGTATTACCACCTTCAGTTTAGAGTTAGGCTTAGCAAGATCTTCAACCACCTTCTCACGTTCATTAATAGAAAGATATAGATTAAAACCAGATAAAGAGTTTAAAGCACTGGTGGTAGCTGCTACTGCCATAGCATCAACTATTAGAAAAGAGAATCTCCCAGAAAGCATAATTAACTACTTATGTGATGAATTTAAAATTTCAATTGAAGAATTAAATGACGCCCTTGTCTATTTAAAATAGGTATGATGTCATAAGAATAAATTTAAGATAGGTTTAAAAGGGTCTCTTTTTATTGAATCAATAACTATGTGCTAATAAAATACAATTATCAACTTCAACTTTTTCATACGATGTTGAATATTTTTCCCATTTGAATTAAAAGTCCATCTTGATTATAAACATCAATCAATATAATTCAATATTCATCAGCTTCAATTGTTTGATTTATTATAAAGCTATTTCATCTAAAAGTTTTAATGTATGGAAAATTCTATAATTTTTATCATAAAATTGGATTATTGCTATCATGATATTCATTTTCAAATATTTATTCATTCCTCATTCAGTTGTTGTTTAAAAAATTATTATTTATAACTATCAATATCATCATTACTTTTTTTAGAATCTTATAATCTTAATAGATTAACCTTTGATTTTAAGTTGGGCAATTAAGTCATCTAGAAGTTCTCATTAAGATCGCTGTTTTACTTGTTAAACTAAAACTAATATTTCAAATCTTCAACCATAGTTAGATAATTTCAACAGTAAGAATTCTCAATATTTACCATTACGTAAAAGTAAATATTTATATATTTATAGGAATTCTTTATAATCGTTCATTTAGATTATTAAGGGTTCAGAAAATAACTGCATTTTTTAAAATAATCTAGAGGTTCTTTATCCGTTTAAGATTATGATGAGCATATTATCAATAATACAAACTTTATTAAAACATAAATAAAATTATTTAATAAAAAGTTACAAACATGTTTATTCTCAAAATTTATACGTCATACTATGTTTTGTTATGTGTATGTGTTAAGCTCTGGTGAAATTAAAAGAAATTTGAATTGCTATTAAGTAAACGTCAAATATAAGTAACGCCACCTATATACACGTTTCACGATCTTCTTTTGAAACACAATTTCAATTTTGTCATAGAATTCATCTAATCCAGCTTTATCTTGTGTCAATCGATCCTCTAAATTTAAATCCATTGTGTGGATGTTTGATTTAGTCTTTCTAGTGGTACTGATAAAATCATCAAACATATCAAATGAAGTTAACAGATTTCTCAAATTGAAATATGTCAAAGAATTATGTCTGAGGATACTCTCAAGAAGGCGTTTAGTCTGATAATGTGGAATAGCTAAAGTTCTTAGGTTTATTGGTAGATTAATCCTAGGAGATATGTAGTCTATGTCACAGCTATAAAAAGTTAAATAGTGTAAATTTGGATACCTCCATGAATCACTGAATATGGGACATGTATGATCTATTAAAGCAAAATGGTTGTTATGAAATTCTAAATTATTTAAGCATGGTGGTAACATGAAGTGATGCAAACTTGATATGTTGCAACCCATTAAAGTAATAGATGTTAATTCTGAGAATTCACTGAAGTCTAAGCTTGAGAATTCAAATTCATATTTATCTATTTTGAGAACCAAATATTTTAATGATGATTTTGCTTTATCTAAAATAATGTTATCTAATGAAAATAAGCATTCTCTAATCCAAATGGTTAACTTTTGCAAACCATGTAAAACATGTATTTGATTTTTTGATTCATTTAAAAGAATTAAGGAATATATTTTAAGCGTTTCAAGTCCAGAAGAAAAGATTTGTTTAGGGTCTAAGAACACGCTTAAATTCGGATCTTCCAAAACCTTTGGCAGGTATCTAAGCTCTAAATCATTCAATGCAAAAGGTAAATCTGGTATTGACTTTTCTATTGTTGACAAGTAGCTAATTTTTAGACTTTTCAATTGTAATGGTAGTTTGTTTCTCACTTGATCAAGGGAACTATCTGATATTTCTAACGACAACGATCTTAAATCTTCGGGCCAGTCACTACTTGAATTTATAATTATTTCACTGATTTCATATAGAGGTTTTAGTTCTAACGTGACTATACTTCGGGGTAATTTTTTAATTTTTAAATTCTTTTGAAATCTAAGAGATAGATTTTTTAAATTGATAAAGCTTGCTAGATAGTCTTCATGAAACTTGTCAAGTGTTGATAAATCTGTCAAGGTCTCAAAACTAGAATCTAATTTTATGCTTCTTACATTAGTTAATCTATTAACTTTAAATGTCCTTAAATTCACATAACTTGAAAAATCCAAATCAATATTATTGGGATATTTTCTATCAATAAATTGTATTGAATAGATAAGTAATTCAGTGACATAAGAAGATTTTCTGTATCTTTCTAACTTCTTATATTGAGGATAATTCAAGTCACAAAATTGAAAAGCAATGTCAAAATTATCATAACAATCTATGGATTCATTTATCATCTTCAGCCGAAATATTTCTAAAAACCAGAATCTAACTGGGATCAAATTATTAGGAATTGAATTTGCTGCTTGAACCAAAATTTTAAAGTTCTCTTTTTGAATTATATTGTCGTCGACGACTGATTGTTTATCTTCGCCAAAGGAACAGTCACTATCTATAGCGATAAATCTTTTCTTCGTGATTTGATCTATTTTAATTGAACTAATATAATCATCTTTAATTAATGATTGTAGAAGAAGAAATTCTGGAATAGTTAGAAACTGAAATGTTTGAATTATCAAGTCATAAGCAAAATTGGGGAAAGTAGATTTAAAAAACTTTGCAATGTAAGCATCAGTATAAAATGGACCTGGTTTCAAGCTTGTTCTATCATGCGCAAACATAACTAATGTGGACTGAAAGAATAAGTTTAGTTTGTTTAATTCTAATTGTTTTTGACTGGTTGGCTTTTTTCTATGCCTAAGAAAGTTATATATTTACTATTCTTTCCATATTCGGAAAATGCTCCAACTATACAACGTTTAAAGAATACAAAAAAATCAAAACAAAATGGACGATTGACAAATATACTGAGACACTATGAATTGACCCCCTGGATAATACAAGTTAAATTGTATTTAACCTAAGTTAACAACTAATACATTAGCATTTTGCAACCATTTGTTATTTACCCTGAATTTTAAAAAACCAAAATACACGTGACGTCAACAACACGGAAAAAATTGCCAACGCACACGCATCTTTTTTTTCTTCCTTTTTGGTTTGGACCATTTTGTTAAAAAAAAGCCATTTCACTCTAACGGTTACAGATCAATCTATCACCAGGAAAGATCTAACTTCAATTGATAATACTAAACGATTGAATATCTATTCGTTTGAAGGATTAACTAGGTGATGAGTACTAATCAAAGGTTTTCGTTACCTTATTCAAAGGGTAAGTTGGACGATTTAAATGATGTTGAATCTCATTCCGAAGAATATAATAACACATATAAACCAATTAAACATCAATCCATTATTTCACGAATCAGATCATACATAAATCAAATCATATCCCGAACTACCAACTTTGCATTAACTTATAAGAAAATAAGTTTATTATTGGTAACCTTGATTTGTTTATCATTATTTACATCAACTCCTTTCATACCACATTTTGCTCCTACTAGTCCAAAAGTGGTTATAATATTGGCTGCTAATGAAGGTGGTGGCGTATTAAAATGGAAATCTCCTCAAGAATGGTCAGTGGAAAGATCAAGTATTGCCAATAAGAAACAATATGCCAAACTTCATGGTTATGGAATTACTATAAAAGATATGACTATTAAGAAGAGATACTCCCATGAATGGAGGGAATCTTGGGTTAAAGTTGATATTATGAAACAAGCCATGAGAGAATTCCCCGATTCAGAATGGTTTTGGTGGTTGGATTTACATACCTATATTATGGAACCTCAAATTTCGTTAGAACAACATTTTTTAAATAATTTAGAAAATGCTACTTATAGAACATTAGATGGATTCAATCCATTAAACTTGCCTACAACTATTCCTTATGTTGATTATTCTCAACCTATTGATATGGTCATCACTCAAGATTGTGGTGGTTTCAATTTAGGTTCATTTTTAATGAGAAGGTCAAGTTGGTCTGAATTATTGTTAGATATTTGGTGGGATCCTGCCATGTATGAACAAATGCATATGCAATGGGAACATAACGAACAGGATGCTTTGGAAACCTTATATTCCACTAATGCATGGATTAGAGAAAGAGTTGGTTTCTTACCACTTCGACTCATAAATGCTTTCCCTCCTGGTGCATGTAATGATCAAGCTGATGATCCTCAATATTTCTTTAAAAATCATGATTTTGTAATTAATATGGCAGGTTGTGAATGGGGTAGAGATTGTTGGGGTGAAATGGAACATTATAAAGCCTTATCAAAGAACCTTCACAAGAGCTGGTGGCATTTCTGGTAGTCTCTTCATATGTCTACCTTATCATTTATATATATATATACTCTTACATACTCCACAAATTTATAAATTGTCTTTTTTTTGCCTAGTGTAAAGCCGCAAAGTGCCGATCAGAATCCCTACTTTAACTGAGAATGCTTGAGAGGGGTTAGCTAACCATTATCTAAATAGTTATTCGAGTCCTTGTATTGATGTATACACTATATTTACTTGGTGTATCAGTATTGGAAAATGGGATTAATAGCGGGTACTGATAGTAGTTATGATATCGGCAAAAAAGAGAGAGAGAGAGAAAATGTATAGTCAATTATCGCTTAAATAAAAACATAGTCTAAATCATCGACTTAAATGAATCGGTACATTCCAATACCAATCAGGGTAAAATATTGACACATTAGTTCTTTAATGGACATCGGTGTAATAAATCTCCTGATCGAAAGGGCAACTTTACGGCGGCACTAGATAACCAAATCATTGGCTATCAATAAAACAAGAATAAAAACAACAACAACAACAACAACAACAATTTAAAGCCTGAAATCAGGAACAGGGTCAGAAATAAATAAATAATAAAATAGATGGAATTACTACTCTAAATCGGAAAAATACCACTTGTCAGTAAATTGATCGTAAGATGTTTTGAAGTAATCTTTAAAATGATAGTGGTAATATTGACAGAATAGGAAATCAAACAGCTTCTTAGAACTTAAATTTGACTACGCTTTCAATTGTCAAATTCGATCTTATCAAAACCTAATCATAATTCAACCCCTTTACTCTTGCATTCTCCATTTTAGTTAATGTTTAATTGTATAATTACTATTAAAGGAGTTGAAATCCTTCATTGTTATCAGAAGAGGACCGCGTTTCCAAATTGGGCATTATTTTCCATTTTGTGTTACCAACTGATAAGAAACAAAATGTCCGCCAAAGTTGCAAATATAATTCAAATTTATCATTTGATATATAAATATACGAATATCATGATTCGAAAGGTTTTAGTTTATACATATTGAATCCCTAACTGCAGTGACAACTATTTACTACAACTTCCACTGCAAAAACCCTTGTTAAAACTCGTTATAATGGCCTCTGCTTCTGTCGCTAAAACTCCAGCTCCTCCTCCAGCTGATTTCAAAAATGACCCCCTCTTAGCCGGTGAACATACTTTACCAGCAAGTTGGTGGACTTCAGAAAAGATTTATGATCTTGAAAAGAGAGCCATCTTCAACCAATCATGGTTATTCTGTACTCATTCTTCCAGATTCGCTAAAGCTGGTGATTACTTTTCTTATACTATTGCGGGAATCAATTTCTTTATCATTAAATCCAAAGTTGATGGTTCTTTAAAAGCTTTCCATAATGTTTGCCGTCATAGAGCTTATCCTGTGATTAGAAAAGAAGAAGGCTCATCCATTGTGGTTGGTTGTAAATATCATGGTTGGAGTTATAATACTGATGGAAAATTAACCAAAGCTCCACATTTTGATAATGTTGAAGGATTTGATAAAGATGAAAATTCTCTTTATCCAGTTAAGCTTCATGTTACTCCTCAAGGTCTTGTTTTTGTTAACTTTAGTAATGAACCAGATTGTGTTGAATTTGATGATTGGTATCAAGGTTTATCTGCTGAAATGGAAGAATTTGATTTCAGTGATTATGAATATCATATGTCTTATGAATTAGATGGTCAATTCAATTGGAAAACTTTAATGGATGGTTATCAAGAATGTTATCATTGTCCAACTGCTCATCCAGGTTTAAGTACTGCCTTTAAAATGGAAACTTATCAAGTGATTCCAAAAGGTAGATATTGTCGTCATTATGCTGAAATTGTTAGAGAAAAAGTTGAAATTCCAGAAGATGATAAAGATGCCGATGAAGAATCTTCATGGTTTGGATTAGGTAAGAAGAAGAAGGTTGAAAAACCGGTTGAAAAACCAGTTGAAAAAAAGGTTAACCCAGGTGGTGACTTTAATGGTTTATGGGTTTACCTTTTCCCAAATAGTGGTGTTAATTGTTATTCTCCAGCATGGTACTCAATTAGAGTTTTACCAATAACTGCCACTCATACCATCTTACATTATGATATCTATACCAAAAAGGGATTACCAGAAACTGAAAAGAAGGAATTTGTTGATTTCTTACAATTGGTTGAATTAGAAGATTTCAACTTGTGTCAATTAACTCAAAAGAATTTAAATGAAGGTATTTATTCCACTGGTTACTTACATCCAAATAAAGAACGTGGTGTGGTATTTTATCAAAATTTAGTCGCTGATATGGTTAAAACACATTTTGCCAAAGAACAAGCTGCTGGTAAGCCAATTAATCCTGCTTTTGTAGGTCATGCTGCTAAGAATCCAAATGTAATGGAATTAGAAGGTATTTGTTCAACTCTTGAATGTGGTAGTGGAAGTGGTGAAAAGACTTTAGACTGGTAATTCATATATTTACGAAGTGAAGAAATAATTAAAGTAAAGTAATAATATATTGTATATCTACTGGTTTATATATACATTTTAAAATAAAAATATAAGTTTCTATTGTTTATACAAAGTTAAGTTGTTTTTTTAAAGTAATCCTAATTTCTCCATTCTAACATTGACAGCGTTTCTATGAGCTTCTAAACCTTCAACTTCAGCTAAGGTCATAACAGCTTTACCAATACTTTCCAATCCTTGCTTGGTGACTTCTTGTGAAGTTATGAATTTTTGGAAAGTAGCAGTATTCACACCGGAATATTGTTTAGCATATCCATAAGTTGGTAAAGTATGATTTGTACCACTTGAATAATCACCACATGATTCAGGTGATAAAGCTCCAACGAAAACTGAACTGGCATTTTGAACATAATCTGGGACGTAACTTGAGGCATTTTCAATTTGAAGAATTAAATGTTCAGGAGCATATTTATTAGATAAGTCAAATGCTTGTTCAATAGTATCCACAAGTAAGATATATGAATGTGATAAACATTTGGAAACAATTTCCTTTCTAGGTAATACTTTAGCTTGGTTTTCAACAGCTTGCTCAAATTCAATTAATTTTTGTTTACTTAAATTAACCCCAATTAAAATAACTTGAGAATCAACACCATGTTCAGCTTGAGATAATAAATCACTAGCGACGAAATCAGCATCAGCATTTTCATCAGCAACCACTAAAACTTCAGATGGACCAGCTGGCATATCAATTGAACATAAAGCTTGAGTATCATTTTGAATGTGCATCTTGGCAGCTGTAACGAATTGATTACCTGGTCCTAAAATCTTATCACATTTTAATACACTTTCAGTACCATAAGCCATAGCAGCAACTGCTTGAGCACCACCAGCCATAACTATACATTTAGCACCAATCTTATGAGCCACATAAACAACTTCCGGAGTTAATTTTCCAGTAGCCCTAGCTGGTGGAGATGCAAGGATGATATTGTTACATCCAGCAACTTTAGCTGGAACACCTAACATCATAGCAGTAGATGGTAAAACAGCAGTACCACCTGGAACATATAAACCAACAGTTTCAATAGGTTTAGCGAATCTTGAACAATACACACCTGGAGCAGTTTCAACAGTCATGAATGGATCTTTAGGTAATTGAGCAGCATGGAATTTTTCAATATTTGAAATAGATAAATCAATAGCTTCTTTCATATCTTTTGAAATGTTCATTAATTCAGGTGGGAATGGAGCACTTAAAATTGGAGTTTCTAAGGTGACACCATCGAATTTAGCAGTTAATTCAATTAAAGCATTATCCCCTTCTTTTTGAACTTTTTGAATGATAGGTAATACTAATTTCATAATATCAGAAGTCTTTTGAACTGGTCTAGATAAAGCTTTTTGAAGACCTTCTTCATTAGTATGAGCTGATTCAACGATATGTAATTTATAATCTGGTTCAGATACAACTTCAGCTTCCTTTGGTTTTTCTTGATAAGCAGGTTTGGCATCACCTTTTCTTCTAGTAACTTTTTTAGATTTTATATCTAAATTCTTTTCGATATCAGCTAATCTAACACCGTGTTTTATAGCCCAAGCCAAGGTGAAATATAATAAATCAGCACTTTCCCAAGCAACTTCATTGGTATCATTCTTTTGACCAGCTTCAATAAGTTCATCTAATTCTTCTTTTAATTTAGCAATAAGTAATTTTTCATCATTGAATAATCTCTTAGTGTATGAACCTTCTGGAGCAGATTCTATTCTTTTAGCTAAGGTTGAATCTAATTTAGCTAACCCTTTACCATAGCCTTCGTCTTTATTTTCCAATTGTCCATCGTAGAAGCATGAAAAGTTATTTTCTAAGTGACAGAAACCAAATCCGTCCTTTGGTTCAACGATGAATTTGATTAAATCGGCATCGCAATCTTTTTCAAGCTTAACTAATGATTGAGTAGCACCGCTGGTCTTACCTTTATACCATAATTCTTCAGGACGCTTTCTAGATTGATAAACACCAACTTTTTCAGCAATAGCAGCTTTAATAGAGGCTTTGGATGAATATACGACACCTAAAGCAGTATAAGCTGGAGCTGGGGTAGTTATTAAAGTAGTGTAAAGCCCATCATGACGATCAGTAGTTAAAGTACTTACAAATACTTCTGAAACAGAGATCTTAGTAGAGTCAGTTCCAGTGGTTAATTTTTCAGCAGCGATGATTGGGATATAACCTTCACCAGCTAATTTGATAGCCAATGTTTCATCATCAACAGATGATGATGAGTAATAAATGGATCTATTGCCTCCATTACTTAATGATTTGAAATCTTGGACTGGGGAGTTAACCACGATTGAAGCTTGAGATTGTAAAATTTGGTCAGATATTTTAGTAGTAGTGCTTTGTAATTTAACTGCAAATCTAGAACTTGGTAAACCACTATTGACAATAACTTCTTCCACATCAGATTCGTTAATGAACACAGTTTTAATACCATTGTTCAATAATTTGACGATCTCATCCACATCAACTTTATCAGTTTCATCAACATCGACGTTAATTTCAACATCATGGGGAAATTGACTGGTGAAATACTTTGAAATTTGCACTGATTTAAAAGGGAACAAAAGCTCACCGACAAAGGAAAGATCTTGGATTGATTCCTTGTCTGATGGTGAACTAATCAATGGTAACACTGGGAATGACATTATACCTGCCGTACTTCTATTATGAGATATAATCTAGTCTGGTTATCACTATCTATCAGTATTGTTTCAGCTATCATGATGATTGAAAATTGTCATAATTTTTTTTTTTTGGACCTGATAATTTTTTCCAGGACTGTATATAAAAACAAATTAAGATTGACTCATTTTCACTATCAGTCATGAGATGAATGCGGCAAATCAAACGATTGCAAAATCAAATATTAAGTGGGATAAATATATTATTAGATTGTTTTATTAGAGGAAACCTATATAAGCAAGAGCATTGATTGAATAAATAATTAAATACATAATGAGAAAGACTAACACACTCACTAAAAGTTGAATTCACCTCTGAATTGATTTAAATCCATACCAGGTTTAACCAATTCTAATAAATCTCTTCTATCCATTGCAATAAAGGCTCTTTTTAAAGTTTCTGTTAATGCAGTTGATTGATTATGATTCAACGTACTTCCATTCTCCACTCCTTCGACTTGATGCATAGATAATCCACTTAAAAGATGTTCAGCGGCTTCTTTATAACATTTGATATTAATACATGATACCCCTAAATTATATCTTGCTCTTACAAAAGTTGGTTTCAATTGTAAGGCTTTGAAATAAGCATCAACAGCTTGTTCGGAACGGTTTGAATTGGCTAATGATGCGCCTAATCTATTCCATAATACTGGATCATTAGGTCTGATAGTTAAAGCAGCTTTGAAACAATCAACGGTTTTGGTGAATTCTTCATTAGCATAGAATAATACCCCTAATCCAACTTGAACATCAGCATCCATATTAGCTTGATTGGGAGATAATCTAGCTGCACTCATAAATAATTCTGAAACTCTATTATATAAGGAAAATCTATCTTCATCAGTAATACTTGGATTTTCTTGTCTTGCCTTATCAGAAATTTGAGGATATTTTGTTGAAATCCATCTTTCTAAAGTAGCAAATGCAGCATTATCATAACCTTCATTGATATAAGAAATAGCCAACATCATTAATGCTTCTGAATTTTCAGGATGTAATTCAATACATTTTTCTAAAGCAGTTACACCCGCAATTTCCTTTTCATTTTGAGTTTGAACTTCACCTAATTTTAACCATGCATCAATATGATTCTCATTTTTTTGAATGGCAGCTTCAAATGCTAATGCTGCTTCAGATAATTTAGCTCCATTTTCCATTAATTGTAATCCAATTTCATAAGGATCAGCATCAGCAGGTAAATCCAAAAATTGATTATTTGATTTTTCTTCAAATTGATAATCCCCAAAATGAGCTCTAGTAGAAACATATCTAGCGAAATCTTTTTCCCATTGTGACATATCAGCATTAAAGGTATCCTTTTGAGTATTTTTAAAATCTTCATATTGTTGAGTTATGAAATCTTCTTCAAGAGCTTCGGAATTTAATCCATCCCAAACTTCTTGAAATGTAGCTTGATATTTATCATCTATAACAAATTCAGGGGATCCTTCTCTTTGAATAGTTTCCACTTCACCTTCTTTAGTATCTGGCTCGGCTTCCTTCGTTTCATTGGTTAATTGTTCAATTTGTTGAAATTGATTATCCCAATCAACTTGAGGTTCTTGTTGTATAGGTTGTTGAGCTTGGGGCTGTTGTAATGCAGCATTGGCGACTAATGGCATAGCCATCATAGGACGATATCCACCTACACCACCTATACCTCTCATATTTGACATTTGTTGAGGTTGTTGTTGTTGTTGTCTTGGATCCGCGGAATGATGGAATTCTCCGGCCCAATTACCATTTATAGGACTATTTGGTTTCACGATATTGACAGGAGTAGGCTGATGTTGAATAGGAGATGGAGAATGAGTCTTGAATTCGTTTGACCAGTTGGATAATTGAGGATTTGGATTTGATTGTTGAATGACATTAAGTTCATGTCTCATAGGTTGAAATTGGAATGAATTTTGGGCACCACCATTATTCATGAAATTATCCATTTGTTGTCTATCTCTCAAGTTCATGGCATTATCTTGTTTGAAGCCATTGGCTTGAACAAAGCCTGGCAGACCAGCTGTTTGTCTTTGTAACGATCTATCTTGTTGGGTATGTTTATTGAATTGAGAAACAGCATTTCCGTTAACTGAGCATTCAGCTCCACCACCAACAAATGACATAGTTGAATCTCGTTCTTTTTCTTGGTTTTCTTCTTTTGTATTACTTTGATGAATGAATTAGACTCAACACAGTGTATATCCTACGCCTTGATGATTCCAAAGATGATAAATGAGAGAAAACTGATCAATTTATAAACACTTTTTCAAAAATCAGTCAGTCATTATTAATCATCAGAAAATTTATGATCCTCCTCTGATCAACCTTTTTTGAACCCCACCAAATTAAGTAAATCTGTGCGACTTAAAACATTTTACTCAAAAAAAAATCATATGCTTTAACCGAGGGTCAGGAGCAGTACTGTATATAATTCCAGGATAAATTTCCATCAGTTTTGAACCCACCATCTGAATCATAACCAAATTATGGTATGGCTGCAAATTTACCATCAACTACTTTAATGTATATACTACAACTTATATGATAGATTAGTTTTGTATATTTATAACTATTCAATAATAGCATTCTTTTTTTTGAGTACCTAATTTTAAATCCCAGTATACATATAGTTAGTCACATACATATATATAATTAATAAATTCACTATGAACAAGTTTCAGTTTTCTAATGCTTTGCAATTGGAGCAGTTGGTAAATCAGCTAATGATTTCTTAATAGCATCAACTCCCTTTAATAAATCTTCTTCAGAAATAACTAATGGTGGAGCCAATCTAATAATATGATCATGAGTTGGTTTAGCTAATACCCCATAATCTTTCATAACAAGACATAAATCCCATGCTGATCTACCATTAGTTTTGGATGAATCAATCACAATGGCACTTAATAACCCTTTACCTCTAACTTCAGAAATAATACCTCCTGATTCAGCTTGTAATTTCTTTAATTCAGATTTTAAAAATTCTCCTAATCTTTCTGATCTTTCCACTAAATTTTCATCTTTAACAACTTGTAAAGCAGCAATAGCAACTCTACAAGCTAATGGATTACCACCATAAGTTGAACCATGAGATCCTGGTTCTAAAGTTAACATGATTTCTTTGGATGATAATACAGCTGATACTGGGAAAACACCACCTGAAATAGCTTTACCTAATAAAATAATATCAGGTCTAACATTTGGATAATGTTCATAACATAACATTTTACCAGTTCTTGCAATACCAGTTTGAATTTCATCACAGATTAATAAGACATTATATTCTTTACATAATTGTTGAACTCTAGTGAAATAACCTTCTGGTGGAACCACAATACCAGCTTCACCTTGAATTGGTTCTAATAAAATAGCAGCGATTTTATCACCGGCATTTTTAAAAGCTAATTCAACATCTTCAATATTACCATATCTTAATAAAGTACCTTTTGGAGCACCTGGAATTTGAGGACCAACCCCACTTAAATAAGGACCAAAATTGGTTTTAGCATCAGGATCAGTTGACATAGAAATAACTCCTAAAGTTCTACCATGGAAATTATCAACAGCAGATAAAATAATAGCTTCACCAGCTGGAATTCCCTTTTTGACATAACCCCATCTACGAGCTAATTTTAATCCAGTTTCAACGGCTTCAGCCCCAGTATTCATTGGTAAAACCATTTCATAATTGAAATATTCGGTAATATATTTCGCATAAACTCCAAATACATCAGATGAAAAAGCACGAGAACATAAGGTTAATTTAGAAGCTTGATCAACCAAAGCTTCAATGATCTTTGGATGACAATGACCTTGATTGACAGCAGAATAGGCAGAAAGGAAATCTAAATATTCTTTACCTTCTGGATCCCAAACGTGAGCACCTTGAGCTTTGGTGAATACCACTGGTAATGGATGATAATTGTGAGCGGAATATTGAGTTTCAAATTGTTGAGTTTCAGTTGATGAAATATTAAAAGTTGGACCAGTCATGATGAATTGAAAGTTATTTAGTTAATTAGTTAATTGAAGAAGAAGAAGAAGAAGAACAAGAAAAGAGAAATTATCAAAAATTGACGTGTTGAATTGGAATATGAATGATATTTATTTATATGAACAATATTTGACCATCATCGCTCTTAATTACCTATAGGTGTTCTCTCCCCACCATCGTAAATAATTGAAAAATTATCCTGCGCTTAACGGAATGTAACTCCGGAGGTAGTGTCCCTCCATAATTGGATTAAGTTTGTTAAAGGTAATTAACAGAGAGAAAGTGATCACGTGTGAATTATTCCTAAATAGGAAATTTACCAAACAATTTGTCACCTCATGACCAGCAGCAGCTTTAAAGAGAAAAATTTAATTAGGATTAAACAGAGTTAACAGGAAGTTGCATTAACTTGATTCCAACTAAGGTATAAATAGTTGACTATAGTCCACTACGGAATCTAATCCATCAAATTCATACAAAACACTACATCCATCATGAGTTCAGGGGGTGTTAAAAGGCAAATGCAAACTGCCATTGTTCCACAAACAGAAACTAATCAAGATATTGCTTCATTATCAACCATTGGAATGAGAATTAGAAAAGCAGTATCAGATGGGTATAATAATCCCAATTCAGATGTTAATCAATATAGTTATCAAAGTCAATTCACTGCAGGCAGTTATATTCAAAGAGTACCCTTGCCCAGTCATATGATGGATCAACCTCCTTCATTAACTAATATGGGATCAACTCTTGATTCTTCAGCTTCAAATTTAGCGGAATGGGATAGTAAATATCAAATTAATAATGCTCCAATCCAAACCATTGATCAAGGCATAAATTATAATAAACGTAAATTGGATGATCATGATACTGGTGATGATCAAAGAAATGATGTTAACCTTTATACATCAAAATATGGAGAATTGAAGTTTAATGAAGAGTTTTAAACTTTATCTTGTTTCCTTCCCCCTTTGTACTATATAAAAAAAAAATCCTTCTTTACATTAAGGAGTAACTATTTACTTTCACTTTCATTCTTTGAGTTGATCTTTTGTACATTTTGCATTCATAGTGTATATATTCTATATAATTACACGTTATTATCATATTTATTATCATCATTATTAATTGTAGATTGCTCTGTCTGTTTCAGTTTATGGAATGTTTGATCCCTGACGCTTTAACCCACTTTAGCGTACCTACCTCTCCAAGATTTGTGGGTGCGGCAAAAAAAAAAGAAAAGAAGAAAAAAACGTACAAGCAAAAACCATAAAACGTAAATATGTCAATTTGAAATCAAATCTATTTCAATACCCAAAGAAAGACTATGGAATACTATTAGCTATGGTGCTTAAAATGGTAGACAGATTGATAACGAGTTATTTCAATACTCTATCAGCTGAACAGACTACTTTACTAATACTACGGTTATTGACATCATGTGTTGCGTTTGTTTGTCTTTTATCAGCTTTAATATCACCCCTTCTGAATAATGAAAGTTATATGATAAGAATCGATTGTGCTCGACTAAATATTGAAGCTGGACTTTCAGCAACATTGAAAAATAACTTATTATTCAATTCAGATTCCTTCTATGATGGTAGTCCCTTTGCTGCTACTTTAACCACCTCAGATCTTAATATCATTGCTGAATATTCTCAAGATCAAGTTAAAGATGCTCCTCAATATATAACAGTATCATTATGGAAATGGTGTAGAGGGGATTATAATGAAACTGAAGCAGGTGATTCCAAATATTTAGAACAACATGAACTGTTAACTTGTTATGATTCAAATTCAGATGTATTATATGATTATGTTGATCTTTTCAATCTGGTAGGATTAACTTTCATCGAACTTTATGCTTATAATGATAGTGAAAATGAAACTCATTCTTATGCTGAGACCGTGCTTAGAAGACAAAGAACTTATAAATTCGTCCCCTTTGGGATCATCGTATCTACAGTCTTACTGTTCACAACATTCATCCTCACTATATTCATCTATGCCAAAGATAAACATTCAAGTTCTTCTTCATTCATCTTATTAAATCCAAAAGTAGTACGAACCAAAAAGACTAGTTTCACATCATTGGCATTTTTAAATTTCACCGCCATAGTGTCAACCGTATCATTCGTCAGTATAATGACAGCTGTTGCCTTACTTTCAGCTGTCCTTAATCAACTTGAACGTGAAATCAATCGTCAATTAGCATCATTTGGAATCGCATTACATTTAGGTAAGATCTGGTTTATCTTACTTTATGTCGGTTGTGTATCCTCATTATTATGTACTCTTTTATGGATGTTTCCCTTATGGTGTGGGAATCCAAGTCGAGCACCGGAAATATCCGTCCATGATGATGATATTGAACCTGCTAGACTTAGTAGTCCCGAAGAATTACCGGAAGATCCCAAGGATAGTGATAGTGATGGTAATGGTAATAACGATCATAATGAGAATGGTAATGACATGAATAGTCCTGATGAAAATGAAAATGAACAGCAAAATAATGATGAGGAGAGTGAATGGGAGATAAGATTAGTAGGCAATCAACCTACTGAACATCAATTACGTAAATTGGGTCATATGTTAACGAAATCAGCAAGAAAGACCGATTTTAATATCATGACGAGGAGTTCCCTTTATTCCAATGATTCAGAAAGTATTCATTATCAAGAAAGTATTTATAATGGGTATACTGATGAAAATCCATTCACCAGTACTGCATTGCTGAGAGGAGGGAATAGCTCGTCAGGGAATCAATATAATTCAACATCAAAGAATGAAACTTTAGAACTTGATGATTTGGATCGTAATAATAGCAGTGGTGGAACTAATACCAACAGTAAACGAACGAAAAAAATGACAAAATCAACTACGATGTCACTTGATGGACCCATTACATCGATCATGGATGTCCTTACTGACAGATTCGATTCAGGCCGGATAAATCATAACAGATAAACTTTGCATATTTACATTTTAAACATTTTGGAGGAAGGTTGGTCAAATAGTTTTGACCAAAGTGCATTTATATATTATTTTACATAGACAATAAATATTATTTTTTTTTGGCTCTGTGTATGAGATTTTAAATTTGTAGATATCTATTTTGAAAATTAGCCGCCAATAATAAAACTTATCAATTGATGATTTCTGGTACGATGGATAGGTTTCGGAATATCAACTTTATCAAAGGGTTGGGATTGGAGAGGATTGATGAAGAACCAGAGGATGAATGGTATCAATTGAATGATGATGATGAAAATGATATTGATATTGAAATTGAAATTGAAGATTATGATGATGAACTTAGTCAACTTCAAAAACAAACTCCCATTCCTCATGCTCCCAAAGTTAGAAGACTAGAAATCACCCTCCCAAAGAATTTACCCATCAACATATGTCTCATATTATCCTTCGTTATCCTCATTCTTAATATATTTTGTTTATTTTCATGTACTTCAGATCGAAATCTTGGATGTCAACCTCAATTCACATTTGAAATAACTGATAAAACCCAAAAGGCTAAGGATACATTATCTGGATTAAGAGAAGGATTGAAAACTATTTCTTATGTGGCTAAAGATTTAAGTATCGCCAGTTATACCAATGTTACTTCTTATGATTATCTTAATATCGATACGTTATCAGATGTTAATTTGTTTAAACATAATTATAATGGATTTTGTCGATTTAACAAGGAAACTTTGTTAGAAACATGTTTAAATTCGAATGGAATGGATGTGTTTTCAAGTTTGGTGCTGGATATTGGTTATCAATTAGGACAAATTTCAAATTCTGAAAATCTGTTTAATATAGGTTCAAGTCTTGCTGAAACTTATTCCAATGCTTTAAATCTTTTAGATATAATTTATTATAAAGCACTTAATAACGAAGAAGGATATTGGGATTTAGATATGGATACTCTTACTATGATTCATAATGTTCGTCAAATGGAAACCTTTTCAATAGCTTTAAGCATATTTTCAATTATAATTATGATTTGTTCATCATTCATGTGTTTAAATTTCTTGTTGATCAATCTACATTTACTATTTACTATATTTAAAAAGTCAGATATGCAATTATTGATAACATGTGCCATTTATTCTAATATAATTCATATTATATTTCATTCTGTTCTATTATTAATAAGAATAACCCTTTATGTGAGATTAAAAAATAATCTTGAACAATTAGAATTTGCCATTTTACGTACCGGAAGTGGAACATATTTATTATTTAGTATTACTTTCATATCAGCATTATTACTGATTATTTTATATTTCTGTGATAGGAATGTTAATTAATTTAAATATCAGTATATATATAAAATTCGATTTTTCGCATTAATTTTAGTTGCAAAAAATAAAATCACTTATAAAATTTAAAATAGATATTTGTATTAGTCTAGCATATACATTTAAATAATAACAATAATAATAAAAAGAAAACAACTTAGAGCATTAGGAAAGGAAACCAAAGCAATCACGGTTTATTAAATCTATTGATAAACTTTTTTAAATGATTGTTCGAAATCAGCAATAATATCATCGATATGTTCAGTACCAACTGAAAGTCTAACTAAATCTTTAGATACACCTGAAGTGATTTTTTCTTCATCTGATAATTGTTGATGAGTAGTGAACCATGGAGCAATGACTAAAGTTTTTGAATCACCTACATTAGCTAAATTTGAAGCGATTTCTAAAGCATCAACCACTTTAGCTGATGCGGCATCGAAATCATCGTTAGGATTTGAGGTTGGTAATTCTTTAACACCAAATGATAAAGCACCACCGTATTGACCTTTATGGTTTAAATACTTTTGAGATAAGGTGTGACTTACATGGGATGGTAAACCCAAGTATGATACCCATTCAACGTATGGAGATTTTCCCAAGTATTGAGCTAATTTAAGAGCGTTATAAGATTGTCTTTCAACTCTTAAGGATAAAGTTTCAAGACCAGTTAATAATAAGAAAGCTCCAAATGGATTTAAAGCTGGACCTAAATCTCTTAATAATTCAACTCTAACATGAGCAATATAAGCAGCTTTACCTAAGGCTTCACTCAAGACTAAACCATGATACCCTTCAGAAGGTTTAGAGAATTGAGGGTATTTTTCAGGATATTCAGTCCATGGGAAATTACCTGAATCAATAACAACACCAGCAATAGTGTTACCATGACCACCAATCCATTTAGTAGCGGAATGAACAACAATATCAGCCCCATGTTTAATTGGATTAACTAAATAACCACCAGCACCAAAAGTATTATCAACAACTACTGGGATACCATGATCATGAGCTAATTTTACAATGGCATCGAAATCTGGAACGTTATATTTTGGATTACCAATGGTTTCAAGATAAATAGCTTTAGTCCTGGAATCGATTAATTTAGCAAATTCAGCTGGAGAATCACCTTTAACAAATCTGGCTTCAATACCTAATCTTTTAAAGGCAACTTTAAATTGATTATAAGTACCACCATATAAATAAGAAGTTGAAATGAAATTATCTCCAACATGAGCTAACCCAGTAATGGCTAATAATTGAGCAGCTTGACCCGAAGCAGTGGCCACAGCACCAATACCACCTTCTAAAGCTGCAATTCTTTGTTCAAAAACATCAACGGTTGGATTATGAATTCTTGAGTAGATGAAACCTGGAACTTCTAAACCGAACAATTGTGCTCCATGTTTGGAATCATTGAAGACATAAGAAGTTGTGGCATAAATTGGTGGAGCTCTTGCTTGATGTGGCTTTTCAACTTCTTGACCTGCGTGTAATTGAAGAGTATCGAAATGACGAGAAGACATTATTTGGTGGGTAGTGAGTTAGTTGTAAAGGTATAAACTTAAACAATTGAGTCAAGAGAAGAAAAGAGAAGAAAAGAACGAAAGAGAAAACGAAACTTACGAAATCAATAAATAAATTACAGAAATTAATTAAACTATTTATACTCCCTTTCCCCAAAAAGTGAAAAATTTCTAAAATCCATAGTTTTTCTAAAAGCGTAAATTAAAGTAGTATAAAGAAGAGAAATTGAACCAACATTTTTTAAGACACCGACCCCTAATTACAGGTCAATTGCGTAGGAGATCGTTTAACCTGTGTTGAATGATGGCATAAATGTGTGAATCACAGTAATTCACTCAATAACAATCTAATTCAATTCAATTCAATTGACATATAAATCGTTAATTGTGTGTGGGTCTCCCCATAATTCAACTCTTACTTCATTTCACGTGCCACAGTTTTTAAAAATAAAAATTATTTTTATTTTTGGTATGGTGTGTTTTATTTTTATTATTTTGACTCATACAAGTAACTACCAACTGGAGATGTTACAGTATGAGTAGATAATGAGTAGACAGTAGTATATAGTATACATGTCATGGGTTATGATACAATTGATGAAAATGATCTAATTATAATTATGAGTTAATGGTTAAGCTTTTAAACAGCGAAGGAGCGCAAACGGAGTGTACCAAAAAAAAGGTAAACAAATAATGGACTTTGGGACGAAGTGACAAACACCACAACCTTCTTTTGGATTTGAACTATACAATATGAATCAATTGATATGATTAAAGAAAGAGAGTATCATCAATGTCTTGGTGTAGCTACGAAGCACGAACAATGTAAACTAAAGACCAACTCAATTCATGGGTATTGTCATTACCATGAATATCAACAACAGAAGAATACCAACAGAACCACCATCCATGTCAGTCCTAATAAATCCACAACTACATCTATAAACAAGTCAACAATACCCACGAAATCAGGATACATCTATGTCTACACTTTAACTATGTTTATTTCAAAACATAAACTGTGGCAATTCAAAGTAAAAAATTTACCAACTACATCCAATCAAGATTGGAAAAATTTCAATGCAAAGGATTCACCATATGTATTAATTAAAATCGGTATGACTACCACTACAGTTGAAAAACGGTTAAATCAATGGAAATCAAAATGTAACCACGATATATCCATCATTGTTCCCACCATAACAACTCCTCCTCCTCTTCAGGATACTTCATCTGAGGCTCGGATCGGGAAGGTTAGTTTGGATCGACTTTCCCAATCAGGAAGTCCCCTCCTTCGACTATTTAAAAAATTTCATATTTCAAATGAACCCCCACAATCATCATTATCATTACACAGTTTTAATAAAGATGGTTTCTATTGTAAAGGTAATGTCCGACAGGTTGAAAAGAATATTCATGATAAATTACATAAAAAATATGGTAGAGGTAATTTCTACTGTCCTGGATGTTTAGATGAATCTAAAGTATCTACAAAGAACAAAGATAGTCCATTTAAATCAGATTATAATGTTCATATTGAATGGTTTTTAATACCTAAACTGGATTTAAAATCAGTCTTCACATTGATTGATTCAATTTGCTTACAGGATCGTATATAAATAACTTTTAATAATTGTACAAAATTTTTCTTGATTTGACTATACCTAAATTCCCAATTGGGAAACAGAAATGATAATTAAAAAAATACTATAAAAAACTAACTAGAAAATAATACTGGATGATTATTTTTTTTTTTCGTTTCCTTTTGAATTCCCTAAGTATTCATATAAGTAGATGGATCAACACCTTCTTCTGGGAAATCAGCAATTTTAACATCGAATCTGGATTGAATCTTTTCTAAAACTTCTTCATCTTCTTTATTAGAAACAAAAGAAATAGCTAACCCTTTAGTACCAAATCTACCAGCTCTACCAACTCTATGTAAGTATTGATCAGCTTCATTTGGTAAATCGTAATTAATAGCTAAATTGATTCTTTCAATATCAATACCTCTACCAAACACATCAGTTGAAACACAAATACGTTTGTTGAATTCTTTAAAAGATTTATATCTTTCAATTCTTTCTTCTTGAGGTAACCCAGAATGAACTGCAATAGATGGGAAATTACAAGCACATAATAATTTATTTAATTCATTAGCTCTTTGAGTTGATTTAACAAAAATAATAACTTGATTGAATTCTAAAGAATCTAATAAATCAGATAATTTACGATTCTTTTCCTTTTCATCTAATTTAATATAATATTGTTGTAAACCATGTAAAGTTAATTTAGCTTCATCATCAACATAAATTTCTAATGGATTTTGCATAAATTTCTTACAAACAGGACGAATTTCTTGAGATAAAGTAGCTGAAAACATCATAACTTGTTTTTGATGAGGAGTATTACGGAAAATATCTTGAACATCTCTTCTCATATCAATAGATTCTAAAACTTTATCACATTCATCAATAACAAATGATTTAACATTGGCTAATCTAATAGCTTTTTCATTAACTAAAGCATGTAATCTACCTGGAGTTGCAACCACAATATGAGGACAAGTATCTTTATTCTTTAATTTTTCAATATCTCTCTTGAATGGAGTTCCACCATAAAAGACTTCAGTTTTAACATCTGGCATATATTTAGAAAATCTAGCATATTCATTTCTAATTTGATAAGCTAATTCTCTAGTATGACAAATAACTAAAGTAGAGATTTCACCTGGAATTGGATCTAATTGTTGTAAAGTAGATAAAACAAACACAGCAGTTTTACCTAAACCTGATTTAGCTTGACATAAAACATCAGTACCTAAAATAGATTGAGGAATACAAACTTGTTGGACTAAAAAAATGGTTAGTTATGAGGATTTCTTAGCATAAAATAAGAAAACAAAAACAATTGTTATAATCAAAAATAATAATAATAATAATAATAAATATAATAGATGAAAAGTTTTGCTAAATGTGTTAAAATTGAGATTTAATTATTATTAAATACTATTTTGAAAAGTTGATTTAGTAAAGCTTCTTCGTCAAGAATAATATCTACTCTCCTCTTCCCAGAGTAATTCATTCTCTTCTATAGTTCCAATGTGCCAAATCATAGAATATAGGAATTAAAAAATATCACACGTCTCTTTGAATATTCATGACCAACCAAAACAAAAAAAAAATGGGAAATCTTTGCAATAAAAAAGAGATGAAAAATATTGAAGATGGTAAATATGAAATCATAAGTTATCATACAATCATTTCTGACCTCGATATGATGGAAATTTCATGAACCAATTTTAGGAAAGTAAAGTGGTGATAGGTAACAAGAATAATTCATTATTACCTTAATTCAAAGATAGTGAAATGGGGCGGGGTGAAAAAAAGAAAAGAAAAAGGAGAACGATTGATAATGACACATAAAGGTGGGACGGGATGGGGGTATGCTAATCAACTTATCTTTCCTCTTTTTAAAAGTGACATGTCGTTGGCTGGTTGGTTGGTTGACGTGTCACTGTATGGCTGGTCAGCCATGCCATATACTTGATTATTGTAGTACTTAAGTTAATAAGTCCACTTCAAGTATATCAAACACAATCATTATAAAATTGAATGAATGGTTTTTGTTTTAATTCAATATCAAATAACTTGATAAAAATTTGGTATATAATTATTTATTATTATTATTTTTGTTATATTATATTATAATTGTTTGTTGACTTGATATTGAATGATGATACGAACCTTCAGAAGGATGTTCGAAACCACAGTCACCGATGGCTCTTAATAATTCTGGTTTTAATAAGAAATCTCTGAACCCAGTAGCATGGATACCAACATAAGAACCCTTTTTGTCAGCTTCTTTTTCATTGCTAGCATCACTAGTGGTTGGAGCAGTGGTTGGAACTGCGATTTCTTCAGAATCGGAATAATCCAATAATTCTTCTTGACCTTCGTTTGACATGGTGTCTGATTGATTGATTGATTGATTGATTTGAAACTTGGGATAAATTTCAAAGATGAATAATCAAGAAAAGGAGCTTGAAACTGGCTGGTTATATTATTTCATTTTCAACAATTAATTTTTCAACACTCTGACGTGGAGCTTTTTTGTCCACCTGCGCACGACCTGTATTTTTTGGGATTTTTCCAAATTAAGACAAATCGAATCAAATGCAAATTTAAACGGTAGATCTTACAATAGGATTTGATTGAAACACGGTGGGAGAAGATAATGTTTAAAGCTAGTGTTGTGAGGTTTGCACCTTTATTCAAATATGGTAGTTCAGTACAACCTATAATTAGAAATAAAGTTTTGATTTTACTGAGTGTAAGATCAATTTCATCAAGTCATAGTTTAAAATTTTTCAATAATAAACCTTCATCAAAGGAAGTGTCAGCTGAACAAGCTGAAACCATTAAGAAATTTGGAGAGACCCTTAAGAACAATCCCGAAATATTTGGTTTAATTGAAGGATTTAAGGATTTATTAGAAAGAAAAGGCATTCAAACTGGTGGCAAACCTCCATCCATGACTCAAATGATGAGAATTATTGCTGATAAAGAATTTAGAGATCATTTATCTAAATTGAAAGATGCTTTAGAAGCAGCTAATATTAATATTAAACAAGAAGATTTGGGTACATTAACTGAATTCTTCATGTCACAAAGTAAGATTAAAAATTAGATTGACATATATTTATTTATTTTGGCATTAATCTATAGAAAAGTTTCTTGTATATATACACTCACCATGGTTAACGATATATTTATAATTATAATTACTATTTGTAATACTAAATTTGTAAGTGATTACTTCTTCTTAGCAAATGAAGCAGAAACAATAGCTGCTTCTTCAACTCCTCTTGCAATTCCACTTCTAATACCAGCATCTTCCATTTTTAATAACCCAGCAATGGTAGTACCACCTGGAGTACAAACTTTACTCTTTAATACAGCAGGATGATCATTGGTTTCAAGTACCATTCTAGCAGTACCTTCCATAACTTTAGCCGCAGATAATTTTGCAACTTCAAATGGTAACCCCATTCTAACTCCACCATCAATTAATGCTTCCATCATTAATAAACAGAAAGCAGGACCTGAACCAACTAAAGCAGTAGCAGCATCCATATTCTTTTCTGGGATTTTGAATGCTTCACCAACCGTACCAATTAATTTCATAACTAAATCTTCATATTCGGCTTCAGCTTCCTTTGAAAATGAAATAGCGGCAGTACCACAACCAAATCTTGCTGGAGTGTTTGTCATTACTTTAGCCACGTATGATGAGAAAATAGTTAATTCAGAAATAGTAGTACCAGCCAATAAAGAAATAACCAATTGTTTACCAGTTAAACCTGATTTAATTTCATCATAGATAGCTTGATACATATAAGGTTTACAACCAAGTATTATAATATCAGCTTCAGAAACAGCCTTAGTATTGGATTCAGAACCATAAGAATATTCAAAGATTTCATGTTTTAATTGTGATTTTAATAAATCATTGGTTCCAACTGAATTTGTACAACCAATAATTCTAATGGGGTATGGATCAAATTTAGCTTTAAGTATAGCTGATGCAACGGCAGTTCCCATAACTCCACATCCTAACACGGCAATCGTATAGTCTTTCATTGTAATTGTATGATATGATGTTATAATTTGATATTACTTTGATATCGAAGTAATTAGAAGATATTAACCTAGGAATTCAATATCAATTTAATAGTAGTCATAGATTTGACAGTTGGTGGTTTTTTTCACTTTCGCCAACCATTTCCATTTTGAGACATCTCTCATTCAAATTTGAACTCTTGGAGTAAAGTGGAAACAGACATTACCCAATTAGGAAGTCTACCTTTTTAATCGATTTAAATTACGTGCATAAATCTATTTTTTTATTTTATGTAAATAATATTTTGACTGCCATAAATTTCAAACGGTCAATTTTGTTTCTTCTTCATAGTAAAGGTCATTCAATCCATCAATCAAAGGTATTCAACTTCTACAAATCCAACCACAACAACCACCATCATCTTATCACTTTAAACATACAATTGATTGATTCGTGTACTCAAGAAAGTTGGATCCCTCGTGACGTTGCAAAGAAATACTTTGATGGCAGCCAAAAATAAAATTTACAATAAATAAAAAAAAAAAAAAATCTGGTGCGATCATATTTTTAAATTCCATTCCCACAAACCCAAACCGAAATTCTAAAATATTAAGTAGGAAAGGAGCGGCTCATAGTTGCCTTTAATTAATTTGTTAATTTACCCCCCTTATTGATTCGTAAGTCAATTATTATCGCTGTTTTCGTTGTCGCTCACGCTTTGGGTTTCGATCCATATCAATATCTTACTACTAAATTATACTAAAAAACGCCAATTTGTTGCAATTTCAATTGACAGTTTTTGACACCTTCATCGTTTTACTTTTTCTAGTGGGAGAAGGTTTATCAAGCTTTATATAAAGGCTATATACCCCCCGTTCGTTTCCTATCTTTTTGATACCGATTTGGTGTGTTGGTTGATTAGGAATTGAATCTATTCTCATTATGTTTAATAAGAATTCATTAACTCATTGTCCTATTCTTAGACCAAGTTTGGATGAATTTAGTGATCCCATTACTTACTTATCAAGTCATGATATTACAAAATTAGGTTCGGAGTATGGAATTGTTAAAATTATTCCTCCTGAAAATTGGAAACCAACATTTCTGATATCGGATCAATTTAAATTTCATACTAGATTACAAAAGATTAGTGATTTAGGTTTAACTACAAGATCAAGACAATTCTTTATTGATAATATTAATCGATTTCTTAAAATGCGTCGGAAACGTCAATTACAATTATATTTCAATCCTAAATCAGATCCATCTAAACAAATCTATTATTATGATATATTCATTCAAATAGAGAATTTAGGTGGAATAACTACTATGACTGCAAATAAATGGAAACAATTAAATCACCATTTTAAATTATCTATCAATACTCAAGATCTTGAACATGAATTTAATACTAATGTAAGATCTTATGCCATGTATTTACAACAAAATAATTCCAATTTTGAATTTCCCGAATCAGATTCAGAAGATGAATTTGATAATTGTTTAATCTGTGGTAAACATGATAATCCAGGATTAACTTTATTATGTGATAATTGTGATAATCCTTATCATACATATTGTCTTCCTAACCCCTTATCATCTATCCCATCATCCAATTGGTATTGTGATAAATGTTTAATTGGAACTGGAGAATATGGTTTCGAAGAAGAAGTGGATGTTAAATATTCATTATCTCAATTTTATGATATGTGTTTAAAATTTGAACTGGAATTTATAAAAAAATATAATGATAATAAACCATTAACCACCGATGATATTGAATTAAAATTTTGGAAATTTGTTGATATTCAAAAATCAGATTTACAAGTTAAATATGGTGCTGATATTCATAATTTAAAACCAGGTGAAATAAGTGGATTTCCCATGAGTAATACCCCTGGTATAAAATTAGATAATCCTAATACTCAATATTATATGAATCATCCGTTTAATCTTACCAAATTACCATTTGCCAATGGATCATTATTAAATTATATTAATAGTCCTATATCCGGTATGACGATACCTTGGATTTATATTGGATCATTATTATCGACATTTTGTTGGCATGTAGAGGATCATTATACCTTATCCGCCAATTATTGTCATTTTGGAGCTACGAAGAAATGGTATGGAATCCCATCATCTCAAGCGGATAAATTCGAACGATTAATGAAAGATTCTGCTCCTGATTTATTTAAACGTCAACCTGATTTATTACATCAATTAGTTACATTGTTATCACCTATGACATTGATTGAAAATGGCATTAAAGTCGTTTATGCCGATCAGAATCCAAATGAATTCATAATCACATACCCTCGAGTTTATCATGCTGGATTCAATTGTGGATTTAATTTCAATGAGGCGGTTAATTTCACTATGAATAATTGGTTAGAGTTTGGAGAGAAATCAATTAATGATTATAAATTAATTGGGAAAGAGAATGTATTCAATCATTATAAATTATTAGAAAATATCTTGAAATCATTTAATAAACAACGAGGAAAAATTAATGATAATGAGATTGCTTTAGTTAAAACTAGTTTAAAAAGTTTTGAAACTGAATTTAAAAAACAAAATGATTTATTATTTGATTTAGATAAATCTAAATTTAATGTTGAGTATAGACCTAGTAAAGTGAGAAAGGGGAAGAAACTTCTGAAAATGAATCCTTATGATCATGAAGAAGATCTCTATGATGAAGATGAGGAAGATGATGAACCATTATGTGATATTTGTAAGACTCATTTAGGGTATCAATATTGTATTATAAATAATAAGGATCATAAATTCAGTTATTCAAAACAATCAGGATTAACATCGATGGTTGAATCGAATCCAAGTCAATTGTTAACCCCTCATCCATCTCCTAATGAAGGTAATAATAAACCTCAAAGTATTGGAAATGATGTGGCTGAATCGATTGCCAAGAGTGAAAGTAGTCAACGATTAGGATTCATGATTGATAATGTGAAACGGGAGGAATCTAAGGATATTAATGATACTAATGACGATGCTGATGATGAGAAGGAAGAAGATGAATATGATGAAAAGTCTAGATTATGTATGATGGCTCAATTTGATAAATTGATTAATGAAGCTAAACGAAAAGCTAAACAAGAAGATGATGATGATGTTGAAAGGGAAGGTAATGTTAAGAGAAGATCAAAACGATTACAAGAGCATCCAGTGGATGTTAATAAAGGATATACCACTTTACATCCTCGAACTATAGCTTCAACCCAAGGATCAAGACATAATAAGCCGGAATCACATGTTCAACCAAGTAGTAGAATGATGATGGGAAAGATGACGATGGTACAAAAGATATCTAGTATGAAGAGATTAAATGTCAAGGATAGTATTGATTTATGTTTACAATGTTGTAATACTACCTTTAATAATAGTAATGATAGTAAGAAGAATGGTGCTACTATACCTCATGGATCTATCTTATTATATGAGACATATCCTTCCCAATTAAAGGAATTGATCAAGGAAACCAAGAGAAATCTTGAAGAGGTATCTTATCATCATAAGTAGAAGGTGTTTTAATTCTATAGTATATAGTTGTTCTATTAAAAAGAAATGTATAATTCAGGGATCATCAAGTAGTTATACATACTATGTATATATAATTTTGCAGTTAAACCAAACACCAATCCTGCATATATCCACCACCCAATCAAATATAATTTTACCCACAGACCGATTCCATCAGTTTGCAGTCAGTACATAAAGCGCGAAACAATAATCAAATTTAATTGGTCATTGGGAAATTTTAATAAATTGACCCAAAGTACACGACTAACAAAAGTACCAATTCAAACTATGAGATTTTTCAACGAAATTTTTCTTTTTTAAACCTCAAATTTAATTTATTTACTTCCTTTCCTTTCCTTTCTCTTCTTGTTCTTTAGGAAAGATTGTCTTTAGATTACCAAAGTTTAAGTAACGATGGTTGTTCCAAGATTATTTAACACTGCTACACGCAATGCATTCACTGCTGCTAAGCGTAACCTCATGTTCAACAGAGGTTTAGCTACTGCTGCTCCAGTCGGTAAAGTCAGGTATGTACTCAAACTTGTTTTATTTATGATTTCAATCAATTTATAGGAACTTTTAAGAATTGGTTGACTTTAACTGATTCAATCCAATCATATCAAATATATTTATATCAATCCAATTGATTCATTGAATCAATTGAATCATTGTTGTGTCGTCATCTAATTTATTTAATATTCGATCTGATATACTACTTTAAACTATTAATCAATCTCCAATTTCAATCTATCTAGTTCAATTAATCTTTACACTTATCAATCATACAACTATATAATCCATTTAATCATCCATTCAACCCATCAATCACTAATCATCCCTACCATGCTGCCATTTTCATCACTATTATTACTGGTGGTGGTGGTTGTAAACTCATTCACTCACTCGCACTTTTTTGGGAGTGTCCAGTAAAAAAAAACTTAACCGGCCAATAAAATTTTTCAATTTTCCCTGTCTCAATTTTGTGTTAATGAGAGAACGGTTTACCATTGATATATATCAATTAAACTTCCAGTTATGATTCAATTCTAATCCTATAAATTGATTAATCTTAAGTATCTTCCCAATTACATTTATACTAACTTAATTCCTTATAGAGCTGTTATCGGTGCCGTTGTCGATGTTCAATTCGAAGAAGGTAACTTACCAGCTATTTTAAATGCTTTAACCTTAAAAAATGGTGATAATGATTTAGTCTTAGAAGTCGCTCAACATTTAGGTGAAAGTACCGTCAGAACCATTGCTATGGATGGTACTGAAGGTTTAGTCAGAGGTGCTGTTGTTACTGATACTGGTGCTCCAATTTCTGTCCCAGTTGGTAGAGGTACTTTAGGTAGAATTATTAATGTTGTTGGTGAACCAATTGATGAAAGAGGTCCAATTGAATGTAAACAAAGAAACCCAATTCATGCTGATCCTCCAACTTTTGTTGAACAATCTACTAATGCTGAAGTTTTAGAAACTGGTATTAAAGTTGTTGATTTATTAGCTCCTTATGCTAGAGGTGGTAAAATTGGTTTATTCGGTGGTGCTGGTGTCGGTAAAACCGTTTTCATCCAAGAATTAATTAACAACATTGCTAAAGCCCATGGTGGTTTCTCTGTTTTCACCGGTGTTGGTGAAAGAACTAGAGAAGGTAATGATTTATATCGTGAAATGAAAGAAACTGGTGTTATTAATTTAGAAGGTGATTCTAAAGTCGCATTAGTTTTCGGTCAAATGAATGAACCACCTGGTGCTAGAGCTAGAGTTGCTTTAACCGGTTTAACCATTGCTGAATATTTCAGAGATGAAGAAGGTCAAGATGTCTTATTATTCGTTGATAATATTTTCAGATTTACTCAAGCTGGTTCTGAAGTTTCTGCCTTATTAGGTCGTATTCCATCTGCTGTCGGTTATCAACCAACTTTAGCCACTGATATGGGTCTTTTACAAGAACGTATTACCACCACCAAAAAAGGTTCTGTTACTTCTGTCCAAGCTGTTTATGTCCCAGCTGATGATTTAACTGATCCTGCTCCTGCCACCACTTTTGCCCATTTAGATGCTACTACTGTCTTATCAAGAGGTATTTCAGAATTAGGTATCTATCCAGCCGTCGATCCATTAGATTCTAAATCAAGATTATTAGATGTTGCTGTTGTTGGTAAAGAACATTATGATGTTGCCACTAATGTTCAACAAACTTTACAAGCTTATAAATCATTACAAGATATTATTGCTATTTTAGGTATGGATGAATTATCTGAAGCTGATAAATTAACTGTTGAAAGAGCTAGAAAAATTCAAAGATTCTTATCTCAACCATTTGCTGTTGCTGAAGTTTTCACTGGTATTTCCGGTAAATTAGTTAGATTAGAAGAAACTATTAAATCATTCAGAGATGTTTTAGCCGGTAAATACGATCACTTACCAGAAAATGCTTTCTATATGGTTGGTGGTATTGAAGATGTTGTTGCCAAGGCTGAAAAATTAGCTGCTGAATCTAAATAGATTTAAATTCACCATAGTCATTTTTACATCCCCCCCATCAAAATCTCATTCCATCCATATTAAAAAGAAGAACACTTTCTTTGATTCATAAAAAAGCTTTCATTATATGTTTTTATACAACCTCCATTTTTATATAAAGGATATATAATTTTTTATTAAAAAAGAAAATTTAACGTTATTATTTAGATACTATTTATTATGTTTATCATATGATTGTAGATAAAGTTTGTGCCTTATAATGGTTTGGCTTGAAATTTAGGTTTTAAGTTTTAAGAAACACTAGTTTGCGTTATATGAAATTTTGCGCTACCCTTTTGTCTACCTCTCTCCTCTTTGGTCGTTCAACTGAGAAAAAAACTTACACGTACAAAAATTGAAAATATAAAAATAGCAATTTGCCGTCAACACTCTTTCTTCAGTCTTGTTCAACCATTGAAAGCTATTCATCATGTTTTCATTAGCTCAGGTATGTATTCAAGTTACTCGTGTATGATTTGCGGTATCAGTTTCCGTCAATCGCGTTGTCTTACGTTTGAAAACTCAATACTAACTATTAGTTCTAGACTTTTTCATTTCTTGATAATCCAAATATCGATTGGAAATTAATCATCACAGGATTAACCATTGGTCGTTTTGCCGTTGATACTTATTTGGAATATCGTCAATATCAAGTCTTAAAGAGAACTAGTCCTCCAGCTACTTTAAAATCTGAAGTTTCTCAAGAAACCTTTGATAAATCTCAAGCTTATTCTAGATCCAAAGCTAAATTTGGATTTTTCACCGGTACTATTAGTCTTATTGAAAGTTTAATCACTATCAAGTATGATCTTTTATATAAATTCTGGGATGTTAGTGGTTCGTTATTATCTAGTGTTTCTTTCCTTTTACCTAAATTCATGAATGGTGTTATTACTCAATCAATTATCTTATTTTCTATTGCTCAACTTGTTTCAATCATTACTTCCTTACCAACTTCTTATTATTATAGTTTTGTGTTGGAAGAGAAATATGGATTTAACAAACAAACTATTAGTTTATGGATTACTGATAAAATTAAAGGTTTTGCTCTTACTCTTGTGTTAGGAGCCCCTGTTGTCGCTGCTTTCTTAAAGATTATTGATTATTTTGGTGATTCATTCATTGTTTATACTATGTTCTTTGTTTTGATTGTTCAATTAGTATTTATGACAATCTTCCCAACTTTGATTCAACCATTATTTAATAAATTCACTCCTTTAGAAGATGGTAAATTAAAAGAAGCTATTGAAGATTTAGCATCTAAACAAAAATTCCCATTAACTAATTTATATGTCATTGATGGTTCAAAGAGAAGTTCTCATTCAAATGCTTATTTCACTGGTTTACCATGGAGTAAACAAATTGTCTTGTTTGATACTTTAATTGATCATTCATCCATTGAAGAAACTGTTGCTGTTTTAGCTCATGAAATTGGTCATTGGAAATTAAATCATTTACCTAAAATGTTAAGTTTTGCTCAAATCCATTTATTCTTATTATTCTCCTCATTCTCAGCTTTTATTCATAATAAATCATTATTCACTTCCTTTGGATTTACAACTGTTCATCCATCTATGGTGGGTTTTCTTTTATTTTCTGATATTTTCGGCCCATTAGAATTCGTCTTACAATTCGCTATGAATCTTTTATCAAGAAAACATGAATATGAAGCTGATGCTTATGCTAAATCTTGTGGTTATTCCGCTGATTTAAGTACTTCCTTAATCAAATTATTAAGTAAGAATTTATCTACTATGGATGCTGATTGGTTGTATTCTTCTTATCATCATTCTCATCCAATCTTATCTGAAAGATTGGATGCTTTAGGTTATGTATCAAAGGGTAAAGTCGGTAGTGGTATTAAACCAATTAAAGAAGATTAAATTTAACAGTTGAAATTCTATAAATCTTTGTGTATATTTGTATATTGTTACATTACCATTATTTATATCCCGTATATATATATATAAATTATCATTATTAAATCATTAGTAGGAGACTTGCTGCTTCAGAGTATGACGAGGAGTATACAGCAGTACTGTATGCAGTTGTTGTGGTTGTATGGATGATCGAGAAGCATTCAATTTCTTTATCTTTGGTTTCAATTCTTCATAAGCTTGTCTCATTTGAACATATCCCATATGAATCTTTCCAATAAAATGATCTGCTAATCTTCTATCACTATCAAGACGAGATAAATATGCTCCACAACCTTCACACACTTGTAATTTCTGCTGTGATGTTTGACCTACATTTTCGGCCAACGTACGAGCATTAGCAGCCAAGACATCTCTTTCTTTACAAAGTTCATTTAACTTAACGGTTTCATATAATGATTTCTGAATTTCTCCTTCTTTTACTAAACAATCAATCTCTTGAGTCATTAACCCAATTTTAATATCAAGATTATACAATTCCTTAGTGATGGTTTCTATCTTTGATTGTTCTTCAGGAGTAGTTTGAGTTAAACGTTGTTGAGCATCAGCCATGACTTTATCTAATTTATAGATATATTCTTTAATATGATTGAAATATTCAAGTTCAAAACTGGGGAATTCTTCTTTAAGTTTCTTAGTACGATATTCAAACTCTAACTTATGTTTCTGAAGATGTAATCTACTACATCTCCCTATATCTTGTTTGGTTCCCACAAATAAATCATGAGGGCAAGTTCCAACTAAGAAACTTTTACATACTCTTGGACTTGACATATCTGGTTCTCTCCTCGTAGCAATAGGATTGATCATAGCATCTTTCCCCATGAGTTGCTCCAAGAGCCTTCTCTGTTCCTCTGCCATTTCCTGAGTCAGATTGTGATGTGGTGGTGGTTTGGTTACTTATCACTAACTATAGATGTTACTGATAATCATCATGTTGTAAATTTTCTCCCTCTATTTTTTTAAGTACAGGAATTTTTATTTCTCAATTTCAAAATTTCTGATAATTTTTACAGTCAAAAATACGAACTTAACTTAAATAATCCCATCATCACATCAACCATTCATACTTTACCATACTCATCTAGTGTTTGTCATAGCATCTACATCTTAACTCGCTCAACTCATATATCGATTAAATCATACACAGAATCTATACTCTTACCCACTTTCTCAGCCTTTGTTCTATACATTTTGACGTCTAGCCGTACCCCAATTTTGACACATTTCAAACCCCATCATCATGAAAAAGTATCAATTAATAGGTAGAAAGAAGTTATTCGTTCGATCAAGTTCAAAACTGATAAAGGTAGATTATCCTCCTCAACATATTTGTTCATTACCGTTGGAAATTCTCATGGATATATTCGAATATTGTGGGGATCCATCTGTCGTAAATTATTTGCAAACCATGTTAAATTTATCACTTACATGTAAGAAATTCCATGGTATTATTAATAGATCATTTCTTTATAATCATGTCATATTCCCTAGTCATAGAAGTTTTAAAAGTTTTGCCGTGGATCATTTGGTTATTGATAATACTAGTAATAAACTTAATTTCATTAAATTTATTGAATTCATAAATCCAATGATAAAGGGAAATTCTAATTTTGAAATTAAAATCGCTGGTAGTTATAGTATCGATGCAGAATCAAGCTTTGATAATTGGAATTTCGAAGATTATTTGTCATGTTTCAATCATTTATTATCTCATAGTTTTGGTTTGAAAGTTCTTGTCATGTCGGAAATAGCTCCCGAATTTGCATTCCCAGTAGATGGTATATCTTCACCAGTTCCAACTTCTTCGTCATCAAATACCACTTCTTCATCCCTTTCATCATTCTGGTCTAAGAAAAAAACCATAATATCAAATAATAGAACTATAGAAAAAGTCATTTTGAAAACTCAATCCGGGTGGTCAATCCCATTTAAATTATCCCACATATCAACCATCCTTGTTAATTTCGATGACATTCAAGAATTGGAATTGTCAAATTTCATAATCGATGACTTTAAAATCATTTCAGACTTATCAAATGCCATCAAACCCATCAATATTCATAAATTAACCCTTAATTCCTGTCTTTACGCCAACACTTTTAAAAAGAAATTCAAAACGAAAAAATTAACCTCCTCAATCATGTTCGATAATGTTAAGATCTTACAATTGAATCATATCTTATCCGGAAACGATCTCTCAATAATCGATTTCATAAAGTTAAATAATAAATTAGATACGTTGATCCTTGATTTAAATTCATCTATTTTTTATAATCCTGATCCAACTTTAAAATCAAAAGTATTCCATTATTCAAAATATAATAAATTCTTTAAATTATTATGTTCAGGTGTGGGAGGTTATTCAAGATTATCAAATTTAACCTTATCAAATTTTGATTTAGTTGATTGTTTTGATCATAGTAATAGTCATAAATCAAATAATCAAAATCCAGCAAATATAATGGATGATGATCAAGCTGAAAATAATCTTGAATCTTTATTAAAGTTTTTAGGTTATATAAAGAATCTAACCATTATACTTTCAAAAGAATGCTCGGTTAGAAAGGTTAAAACTTGTGTAAAGTGTGGCTTCTCAACTTCATCTACAAATGATTTAAGTGTTGAAGATTTAAATCATTCAAATTGGTCAAAACTTTTAAAACCTTTAATAACTTCAAATGAAGGTAAATGTATAGTTAAAGTATTTAACTATAAATTAGATACCTTGTTTATTCGTGATAATGATGATGATACTATTTAATTAATAAAAAGATAAAACGGAAAAAAACATGTATTAGCAACAACAAAGACACTCAATTTTTTTTGCCTAAGTAAACAAAATATATAAAGTAAAAAGTGCAACTAAGAAGGATCCAATTTTGGCAATGGTTGTACTATCTAATGAAGATGCAGCTATAATAAAATTATGTTAGTAATTCAATGATATAATGAAAAGGTAGAAAAAAACAACAAAGATAAATCAACCAAAAATAATATAAAAAGGAAACGTACAAATTTTGTTTTAAAATCCAAGACTATTATAAATTTGATGAAAAAAATTTGATACTGATTGAAACATTATTGAATTTTCTGGTTTGAATTCATCTGAATCAGAATCAGAATTAGATTCTTCTTCATTATCTTCATTATCAATATTGAAAATTGAATCAAACTTGTTTAATTTATCTTCTATTTCTTCAAGATCATTATACGTACAGTTATGGAATCCTTTAATATGATGTTTTCTTATAATATCAGATCCTGACATTATATCAACTATAGGAACAATTGATTTTTCTCCAATATGAGGAGCACCATTTGGTTCAAATATATTATATTGAGGAGTTAACATATTAGAATCTAATTCAACATATTTTCCTCTGGCAACTTCAACTCCAATTTCAATCATATCTTCAGCAATGGTTTTAGGAAGTCCCTTTGAAATATCAAGATTATCATAAGAATTATCACATTGAGGTAAAGCATATTTTTGTTTTTTTAATCTGGCTTGAATTTCTTTTGCATTTCTTCTCATTGAATTTGCAACATAATTATAATTTATTTCAGGTAATAATTCATATTGACTTTTTAACAGATTAAAATCTTTTAATAATTTAACATCACCATTTGGTAAAAGTTCAACTAAACCATAATTATTTGGTTCTTGACTAAATTCATAAACTAAACCTCCACTAAAAACATCAATCATATCAGTTGAATAAAGAGATGTTACTTCATCAAAAATTCGAGGTGAAACTTCATTACAACCATATTCTGAAAAGAAAATTGGTCTATTATAACGACTATAATCTTCCACAAGTAAATTATATCCACTAGTATAAAAAGTTTGTTCACCACACCATTGATAAGAATTTATACCATAAAAATCAACTGATTCTGCTGGATTTGAATCAACACATTCAAGATATTCAGCTAAAGGAATTCTATATTTTAAATCATCAGCAGCAGAATAACCAACTGGTATTGGTCTTGGAGAATTATATTCAATATACATTTTCAAATCTCTAATGATAGATTTGACATAGACAGGTGAATTCTAGATAGATTTAGTTAGTAATTATTATTTCTTTATTAAAAATAGATAATCATAGAATTTTTGTAAAGATAAACTTACTTTAGCAGATTGATAATCATTAACAATTTCATTCCCAGCAAAGAAACCTAAAGTATTATTATAGTAGGCAAATTGTTCAACTACTTTAAATATATTTTCCAAATAATCCACATTATATGAATTCCAAGGTTCATATCTATGTAAATGATGATTTGGTAAAGGAGAATTAACATCTAAAACTAAATAAATTCCTGCTGCTGCCAAAAGAGACATACAAACATCATGATTAAGTTCAGAATTGATTGAATAAATACGAATAGTCTAGTAGAGTTATGAAAGAGATTAGTAAATGATGAACTTGAATCAATTGATTAGATTAGAGGTAATACAAACGTTGATTCCTAACTCTTGAAAAAGTAAGATATCTCTAGCACATTCTTGAGGATCACTTAAGGGATCCTTTGCACCAGATACACCTGAAGAACCACCTGGTTGGTAATCCACTCCCTTGATAAAGAACTAGATAATAGAAGTTAGTAAAAATGATTTGATTGATTGATTGATTGATTGATTAGAGATAAAAGATACATACTGGTTCTTTAGTAACGCTATCAACAAAATAATGACCATGAATAGTTATAGGATGAATGTAGGCGTTAACTAGCCCTAAGAAAAGGAAACTTAATCCAATGGATGAAAACTGTTTCTTCATTGATTGATGATTGATTGTACCCCTATGGTTTGATGGAAGAGATAAGTAGATAAAGAATGGCGGTTAAAATGATAGTGTTGTAAAAAAAATGGCAGCACAACTTTTTGTAAGAGCTGTTTGGTTAAACTGAAAATGACTGACAGACTCAAAGTCCCAAAAATGCGAAAATTCAAAAAAACAAAATTCTGTTGCAAAAATCTTTCTCAGTAACACGGAAATGCTAACGAGGAGTAATGTGTAAATGGTTATCCATCCATACAACCACATTCAATATATTATTAAGGTTAACTACAATCAAGATACTTATTAGAAAAGAATAGCTTGTGAGTTGGTTGAAACTTTCCCTAAATGGTTATAATTATAACTTTAACTATCATAACTATGGTAATTTCCCATACAATTAAACTTTTTTAGCGGGAAACAATTTAGTGACGAAGCCCATTTCACATGCTCGGTAAATTTTTTTTTGTGGGGAATCAATCAACTTTAAACTAATTCCGATGGTGGACAAAGTATAAAAACTTCCAGTTTATGACTTCAACTTAAGACAGCTGTAACATCTAAGAAGAACCTATCACTATATAACGATACTGAGATATCATGTCATCATCAACTTTGAAATCATCTTTATCGAAAGAAATAGATCCATTCATTAAACAATTAACTGTGAAAAAAGATGGTGAAAAAACTCCTCCCATAAATAGTTTAATTGCTGGTATCACTACTGATAAAGAAACATTATATCTTAATGGATATGGAACAAGAAATATTAAAACTGAAGAACCATTAGATATAGATGATAGATTTTGTTTCTTTTCTTGTTCAAAATCAATCACTGCCATGGCAGTTTTGACATTATATGAACAAGGTAAATTTGATCTTGATACCCCTGTTAAAAATTATTTACCCTTGATTGGGACCATTGGATTAATTGAACCTGATCTGGTGGATGATGATGATGGTTCATTTGTCATTCCTCCCAAGGAACCTAAAAATCCCGTCACAGCCAGACAATTATTACTTCATACAGCAGGATTTTCCTATGTTTTCCTTAATTATGATTATTTCAAATTACATACATTAAAGAATAGTCATATTAATGCTATAAATGTAACTAAAGAATATTTTTCAACGGAAAAGACTCCATTAGTTCATGAACCAGGTACAGAATGGATGTATGGTCATAATATAGATTGGTTAGGATTAGTGGTTGAAGAAATTACTGGTAAGAAATTAGGGGAATATATCGAAGAAGTTATATTTAAACCAATTGGTATGACTTCATGTACATTTCATGTTAAGGATGATTCAAATTTGATTAAATTACATATGCGTAGATCCGATAAAAGTCTTAAATTAACTCCTTTACGAGTTGAATTAGATCCTGAAATTGATATGGGAGGTCAAGGTGTATTTGGTAATGTTAGAGATTATCTTAAATTCATGAGAGTATGGTTAAATTATGGTAAATCTCCTGATACAGGAGCTCAAATATTAAAGGAAGAAACAGTTAAATTTGCTATTAAAAATCATTTACCAGATGAAGTAGAAATGGAATTCCCTGCATTATCAACTAAATTATTAGAATCTGATTCTGACTTTATTCCAGAAGGGTTTACATTAAGTGGAAACGCATATGTTAGTAATGATTTACCAACGGGTAGATCCAAAGAATCAATTTATTGGAGTGGAATGGCCAATTTATATTATTGGATTGATTTTAAGAACAAACTAGCTGGTTTTTATGCATGTCAAATCTTCCCCTTTTTAGATCCTATCTGTTATGATAATTATATCAAATTTGAAACATTAGCTTATAAATTATTAAAGAATCCAAACTCTAAGTTATAATTAGTTGTGTATATTTATTATATTTATTTATTTATTATACTTTATTTTTCGCACCCTTATTAAACTTAATCTCTGGTTAAGACAGATGTTTTGATAAGACAGATGTCTTTTCTTACCAGGACGACACCCTCCAAAAAAAAATGTGATTTAAAAAAAAAAAGAAATAAGAAATTTTAGTGTGGTGGTAATCGTTTAAATATATCTTGTCAATACAGCACCAGCTTCAGCAACAACAACATCAACATCTTCAACACCTTGTTCATCAACCTCATCATATCACATATCACGTACAGACACCTATGCCTAGCAACAATCATCTGTATCAGGCAGTGAGTTCTGCTGCTTCAGGTGGTGTACTACCTTCCTTTCCCCCTAATTATGAGGATTCAGAATCTCACCTCGCCTCTGAAGTTGGTAACAGCTCAACTCCAGCTATTGAACAATTTGAAATAGAAGATGACTATATTGAAGGTGGGATAGAGGAAACACCAAAGGGTTTCCTCAAACGAGCTTCTTTAATCACTAAAAACTTTGCCTATAATTTCAATAATAAGATTATTCATCCTGTCACACGCATAATAGATCCTATATACGAAGGGTATAAATTCCTTCAAGTTAAATATGAACAATCATTACTTAAACTTGGTAATCCATTAGTGGTCAAACGGTTATTGTATGTGTTTTTCATCATGCTGTTCATCTATTTAATGACAAAATATAATGATAATGATAGTATTAATGGTGCTAGTGGTGGAACATTTACTACTGGGAAATTTTATGATATTGATAAATTAGGACTTTCAATACGAGATTTTATTGATCCAAAATCAATGGAAGAAAATGTGGAATATTTTTCTTCTATGCCTCATTTAGCAGGTTCAATGGGGGATTTAACTTTAGCAAAATATATTGAAGCTTATATGACAAATAATGGGATGAAAGTTATAGATTTTAATGAATTACAAAGTAATTTAAATTATCCTGTTTTTAATGAAAAATCAACTTATGTTAAACTTTCAGATGATTCATTTAAAGCCACTCTTAATGAATTTTCAAATCAAAATATGGAATTTTTATCATTCAATCCAAATGCTTTAAATACAAATGAACCAATTGAAGCAACTTATATTTATGGAAATTATGGTTCAGATGATGATTTTCAAAAATTAATGGACAATCATATCAATTTAAAAGATTGTATACTATTATTAAATTATGGAGGTTCAACTCCTGAATCAAATAAAGTTAGAATCGCTCAACAATTACAAGTTAAAGCTATTATATTCATATCTCCTCAATTTGAACATGACATAAATGGTCAAAAGATAACGTATGATGATTTCATCTTAAAAGAAAATGTAGGATTAACTAGGATGAGTCCTGGTGATGTCTTAACTCCTGGTTGGTCCTCAGAAGATGGTTATGTAACTAGATTACCTTGGTTCAGATCAGATACTACTCCAAAGATACCCACTATTCCAATTTCCCATAAAGATGGTCATCAATTCTTAATTAAATTACAAGATAAAGGGTTCAAATTTGATGATGGACATTTTTCCGGTACTTCTCAAGATGATACTAATAACAGTCCAAAGATTAAATTAGAAATTCAAAATGAACAAAGACCAACTCATCAACTTTGGAATGTAGTTGGATCTATACAAGGTAGAGAACAAGCAGAAAAAGGGATTATAATAGGTGCTGCTAGAGATTCTCTTTGTTATGGAACTATCTCATCCAACACTGGATCTGCCATTTTAATTGAATTAGTTAAAGTGTTTGCATCTTTACAACGGAAATATAATTGGACCCCAGCTAGGTCCATTTATTTTGTTTCATTTGATGCTACCGAATATAATTTTGCTGGATCTGCGGAATGGATTGAAAATAGAAAAGATTATATCAAAAAGCAAGGATATGCATATATTGATCTTAGTGATGCCGTTAGTGGTGATCTATTATCCATTAAATCTCATCCATTTTTCCATAAACTTATTAAAAAGACACTTAAAAAAATCCAAACTGATGATCCAAATAATAAAGTTGATTTATATGAACTTTATAAACAACAACATAATGGTAAAGATGACATTTCTAATAATTTAATAGAACAAAAGAATTATATCCCATTCATTAATTTAGTTAATGTTCCAGCTTTAGAAATAAAATTCACCGGAAAGAAATATCCAAAGAATTCATGTTATGATAATTTTGAAAATTTTAAAGCTATGGAAATCGATCCAACCATGACAAAACATAAACATATACTTGAAATCATATCACTTTTAACTTTAGAATTAGCCGAATCTCCACTTATACCGTATGATTTCATGGGATTAGCTGATTCTATTACTAAATATCAGTCTGATTTAGAAAGATATTTCAATGATATTGTTAAAAAGATGAATAAACCAAATGTACCTCAAATGCATTATGATGCCATCACAAGAGCCAATAATGCCTTAAAGACAACCGCGAGAAGATATGAAGAATGGACCAAAAGTTGGGAACAATATATTCTTGAATCTACTGGAATTGAACCTTCATTATTAGCCATGGATAGATGGAAATGGAATGATAATATGGTTGAATTCAATCAACAATTCATTGAAAAAGATGTTAAACCAAGGCGTCCAGGATATCTCAATATGTTATTTGGAGTCCCATATGCCGCACCAGAAGTTGATGATGGTAAATATGAATGGAATACTTTCCCAAGTGTAAGAGATTATGGTTATGAAGGTGATTTTGGTAGAGCTCAACATGAAATTGATCATATATCAAGTATATTGATGAATGCAGCTGATAGGTATATCGAACTATAGAGTATAGGATATATAATTTACTTTTAGAACTAATATATATTTATTTGTAAATATTGAAAGTATTTAAGAATTTGTAGATATATTTAAATAAATTTTGCAATAATTTTGCAACAATGGGATAAAATTTTAAACATAAGAAAAATCGACTTTTCTTGATATAAACATGATTCAAAAAACGATTAACACTTCAACAAGGGTGGTAATAAATCTCTACAACTATTTATAACATCACAAGCATGTATTAGTATATAAATTATATGAATATGGTTATTAGAAGGAAAGTCCTTACCGCAATAATTAATTTTGAGACACTATTAATATTTAAAGGTGTCTTATCAGTAAACGAATCCATTTTATGACCATGAATACCAATAGTGCCGTTAAAGCTGTAATGGATATCTTAATAATCCTAAACATGTTAATTGCATCAACACCATATGAGATACCATACGCATAATATAAGGTGATCCCTGTGAGAAATAGTTGTCTTGCAACAGATATTATAAGTTGTGCACGATCCACAAAAGGTCTAACATAATCATTTTCAAGCCGATGACAAGCATGATATGCATCTAGGACTGGACTTTACCTGGCACGTAAGATACACAGATACCAAAAGCTCCCCAAGCAGCGACCTGTTTCTCCCACCGTACGTTATATGGACCATATGGCTCTTTACTTTTACTCACCTGTCTATCATTATCATACAATTTTTCAACTTGTGTGGCACTTGACACAAATGTCAAAAGACTAATAATGACTATTATCAACATTATGAACTTCGAACAGCTTTGTTGAACCATTATGTTGAGTCGTTGGACATGAAATGTATTGACAAACCTTATATTTCAGATATTCAAACCACACGAAAAATCCATACCGCAATAGTTAATTTGGGGGCAAATAGACACATTATGATAAAGTGAAAAATTTTCTTGTCAGCGAAAACCTCCCGGTGGCCAAGCTGGCTAAGGCGCGAGACTGTAATGAGTTCTCCTCGAAGAAATCTTGAGATCGGGTGTTCGACTCACCCCCGGGAGATTCGCTATTTTTTTTTTGATTCTCATTTACCCTGTATATTTAATTATTAAGCTCACGTTATAGATACTACTACAATACTGATTAATGGAATAGATGTTTTATTCATTACCCTATGTATACAATTATTGACTTGCTATACCTACTAAATCTTCAAGATAATAATCTCTTGAACGACCAGACTTATCAAGATGACGGACAGCATTAGCTAAATTTGATAAATATTCTAAATTTGGCCCACTTGGTCCTTGGGAATGTTTTATAACTTTGCCTGTATCTTCAATGGCTTCTGGACCTATGAATGATTCATTATCAATAGTACCGATATATATCATTGATTCTATAAAGTAATCACCTGTTTTGGGATCAGTTGAAGTATGTTGAAGTACATCATTTGTTTCTTGGGATTCATGATCAACATTAATGATATGAAATGGTACTTTATGAGTTGAATAACCATCTTGTTCACGAACATCAAGGTATTCTTTCATTTCTTGAACATGTTCGGGAGAAATATAATATGCCACACCCCATACTCTTAAATCATCTATATCTAATTGATTCACTTTATGCGTTATATCTTTGATTTCTAAACTTTGGGATTCATCATTATCTAATAATTCTGATTCATGATGAGTACCATTTAACTCATATAAATGAATATCATTATGGAATTTAGGATTTGATTTTAAATCATCTAGTGATACTAATGTTACTACTCTACCAGGTGATTCTGGTGTACCTCTATGATCTGAAGAACTTTGCCAAAATCTTCGTATATACCCTTTTAAATAACCTGATACTTTGAATGAATAAAGTGGGGGTGGTTTAAATATTAAGGAACCATACCCTATCACCCAAATACCTTGTGGTTTCTCTATTATACTGGTTGTCATTATGGTTATGTTGATGTAAAGGAACTATGGTTGTTTATGAGTAATTACAAATGATTTATAAAAAGCCATAGTTTTTCTCAATTTTTCATCATGACGTAAATGTCGATCAGAATTAATTGGTAGCGACAGATCAAAATTTAAAAAAGAGTCTAATGATAATTATATATTTACAGAGCTATATAACTTATAAATAACTAACTTTAAATGCCATTTTGATAGTTTCAAGTAACTTATCCTTTATTTTGATTTGCCTCAAGTTAATGAATCGATTAATTATGAATAAGAGTACCACAATCACTAATATTATAGGTGAATTCTCTTTGAAATAATTCTTAGTTAATTTATAACTATAAAATAACTTTTCCTTTAATTGATTTAATCTATTGACATCGGTATCTTTATTAAGACCAACTTTTTGTTTATCTGATGATGATGAAGAAGCTGATATAGGAGTGGCATATTCCTTTTGAATATCTTTAATTGATTTATATTGAAGATTTTGTTGTTTCTCTAATTCCTTAGCTTTCTGTAATTCTCGTTTTTGATACTCTTGTTCTCTCTTCTTTCGTTCTTCTTCCTTTTGCTTTTGTTGTTCAACAATCTGTAATTTATTCTGTTCAATCTTATTCAAGTTATCCAATTGATTTTTAACATCGCTAGCGTAAATAGCATCAGATTCAATTATAAATCTAGCATCATCAAAATTATCAAAAGTAGGTAATACTTCAAACACATATAAATCAATAAATCGTTTCACATACTTTGAATTTGAATTATTAACAATTAAACTTGAATAAATTGATTTAACCCTATTTAAAAATGAATCATCATTACCAATCAATACTTTTTTATTAGTGATCAACACCAATATATAATTATACAAGATATCCAAAGGGATATTAATCTCAGATCCACCGAATGCTTGGGTTAATTTATTCAAAAATGTGTCTTGAATGAATACATTCACAAGTCTATGATTGTCAATTTGAGATAATTTAAATGGTAAAGTTTGACCAGAGATAGTTAAACTAACTAAGGTTAAATATAAATTAATGATCTTTTTGAAAAGTACTTCTGATATGAATCCCTTACTGAACTCGTTAAAGCTCAGGTCATATAATTCATTGATTAATCGATATGATTTTTCAAAATTCTTATTGATGAATTGTTTATACGCCAATTTATATTTCTCTTCAAGTAAATGATTCGATGAAAATGAGGCAGATGAAAATGATAATGATTGATCCATGATTACTTGATTGATTAACACTTCTTCTTATGACCACTGTATTCTATAAACTGGTTGGGAAGATATGGGGAGGAATAATGTTCTAAATCTAGCTGGTTAAAAACGGCAAGTGGTTAATTTTTCTGTGAGTCGTAGAAAAAATTATGTGGGGGTGAACTTACGAGAGGTCACTAGCCTGGAAAAAAATTTGGGTGGTGATACCTCGGGACATGGAAAATTAATTTTATAATGACTGCAAAATTACTTAAATGTACAAGGTTTTCATACTTGAGCAAATTTTGTTTAGTAACTCTACAAGTTGTGTTTTATCCGACTGAAATGTTTTAGATAGGCAGCTCTTGTCAGAGTAAAGTGAAGTGGCGTCAATTAAAGTGAAGTGAAGTCTCGATTACTTTAATTGACATTGACTCACTTCCCCAACTCTCATTCATATAAATACATGTAGGAATTATCTGATATGTGTTGTTTAGACTCTTATTTCTCATTCATAGAATGTGTGAAAGCGTTACTAAACAAGAATTGAAATAGAGTCGTATGTAATTTGGTGCATTTGTCATTTTTGCATCACATTCAGCATTTACAAACGTTGGTGTTAAGTTATCAATCGTAGGAATGATTAGATCGGCTGCAGAAGTATTCAAACATTAAAGAACGCAAATCAAAATATAAGATGGGGATATTATTTTATATATTAATGATAACTAACACTTTGGTTATATAAATAGGATAAATAGGATAAATAAATAAATAAATAGGAAATAAATACGTTATTAAAGAAAGCACATTCTATTAATCTTCTTCATCATCTTCATGACGATGAGTAGTTGGAAGTTTACCAAGAGCAGCCAATCTTCTTCTTCTTTCAACTTCAGTTTCTTGAAGTATTTCATCATCATCGTCGTCATCGATATCACTAGCTTCAGAATCTTGAGATAAATCTTCATCTTCATCTTCTTCATCGTCTTCATCAAGTGATGGTTCTCTCTTTCTATTAATAGCTAAATATTCACCAGCAGCACTAGGTTTAGACTTAGGTTTAGCTGTAACCGAACTATCCTTAATTTGATGATCATCACCACTAACATGTATGGTTGGAACACCAACACCAGTGGATGAAGATTCTTGAGCAACTGAACCATCTTTATTCTTAAATCCAACATATTTCAAAGCTCTACCAACTATAGAACCTGATCTACCTCTTGGTTGTTGATTTGCCATAGTTGAATCTCCTCTCACACTATTTTCTTCCTTCATACTTTGGGTTAATCTATTACGAGTACGATGATTAACTTTATATCTTCTAATCACTTCACCTTCCATATTTTCTATAATGATTAAATTATCAATTTGATAAACATTAACTTTATGTTTTGGATCATCCTTTTTATAAAGCAGCTTCTTCTTACCAGTTAATGTTTTTGATAAAGTTCTATCAATTGATTTTTCATTTTCTGATCTTGAAATGGATGATGACGATGAAGATGATCCTTCTCTAGCATCAATTTCATCATCTATAGCAGCCACATTTTCATCGGATGAGAAGGAATATTGAGACATATGACGACGAAGTGAAGCTTCAGAATGAATACTAGCTTCATCAGGTGAAGGACTAGCACTAGAACCTCTTCTTCTACTTCTTGGTGATGCATCACGACTATTGGTTTTAAAAGTATCAACAATTTCACCATGTTGATCTTCAATTATATAAGTATTACCATCTTGAACCACTGTAGTTGGTATTGATTCTTCTTGATTTTTACTAGAGAATTTTTCCCCAAATTCTTGTAAACCAGAAGTTTTATTAGGTATTTTTAAGGTTTGAGATGTTGTACCTGATGATAAAGAATCTTCTCCACCACTTTGTTTTATTGGACTTGAATTTGGTGATTCTTGTGGAGTGGTAGTGACAGTTGCTGGTTTTTGTTGACCTAATTGTAAAACTTCAGTTTGAGGTCTTTGTCTTTCATTAGTTGGATCAGTTTGATCTTGAGTTGTAACTCTTGAAAGGGATTTTCTAATTTTTGATCCTGGTCCATTACCAGTTCTTCTTTTTCTTCTTTCTAATTTCTTCTTTCTTGTTGCTCCTCCTGCAGGTCTAACTTTTATACCTGAAGTTTCAACAGTATTAGTTCGTTGAATTGGTGCATCAGTATCAATTCTACTTAATGATATTGATTCATTCTTTTCTAAATCTGCCAATTTAAGTCTATCATTTAATCTATCAAACCATGAACCAGCATTATTATCTTCATTATTTTCAGTAATAGTAAATGATAAAGTAATGGCCATTTTATTTAATCTTCTTCCTAATGTTAATACTGCCACTGATGAACCATGAACCACAATAGATGTTATAACAATAAAACAAACCAATGGCCAAATCGTAACTAATAATTGATAATGAGGATGATCAGGATTAGGTAATTCTGCTAAGGGAGTTTCTTCAGTAGTATAAAAAGATTCTAAATCTTTTCTGGCTAAAATTGCTGCAAAGATAGCACCCACACCAATAGGACCAAAATGACCACAAAATAAAGCATCATTCCAAGTTTTAACATCAGGGGTTATAGGTTTTAACAATACTACTGCCGGAACTCTTCTTAAAAAGATTATAACAATGGCTAAAATAATTAATCTCCAAACATCTAAACCTAAAGAATGATCATTAAATTGAGGCCAAGGAATAATAGCACCAAGATAAACAAAAAAGGCTAAATTTAATAATAAATCAATAACGGTAGAAACATGAGATTCTTCAGTCTTTTTAGAAAATTCACCATTCCAACCAAATGCGGTACCAGCTGCAAATGAAACTAATAAATCATCAACTCCTAGCATTGATCCAATACCAGCAGAATTAAATGCTAAAAAGATAAAAATGGCAAGAAATGATTCTCTATCGATTAAATTTCTATTTTCAGCAAATTTAACTAATTTTCTTAATACATAACCGATTACTGCCCCTAATATACAACCAAATATACATTCCCATAAAATAGTTAAAAGAAACCAATCTTTTAAAATTGTACCTGGTTTACCAGGATGTAAAACCAAATTTAAGGAAAGGAAAATAAAGGGGAAGGCCATACCATCATTACAACCTGATTCAGCTGATAATAAATTTCTTAAATGACCTGGAACTCTTTCAGCAAATTTCCCCTTACCAACAACAGCAGCTGCTAAAACAGGATCAGTTGCTGTTACACAAGCACTTACTAAAAGGGCATCACTAAAATTGAAATGAGGAATTAAAATCCAAATGAATAAACCGACAATTAACCAACCACAAGTCATAACTGGTAATAAAAAGATAAATACTGATAACCAATGTTTTTTCATATATTTTTTAGGTAATTCGACTGCCACAGCGACAATTTGAATACATAATACAATACGACAAATTTCAAGGGTGATATAATCAGTGTTACCCCAAGTTACAGGATCAAACCATCCTAAACAATGAGGCCCTAGAATTAAACCGGCAATGGTTGCCACGGTTGCTTCACCGATATATAATCTTTCTTTAACAAATAATGATACTAATGAGAATAGAGTACTAAATATTCCTACACAAGCGTAAGCTATATGAGGAGTTTGTAGATCTAGTTGACTCCATACCATTGTTTATGTGAGTATTGTGAGAAGTATGCTGATGATGTGATATGACTAAAGGAATGCTAAAGATATTATGATTTATGATGAACTATGATTTTGTTTATTTAAATCAAAGTTTAAAAAAGGGTAAGTTCACAATGGTATCTTTTTATAGAGATAGCATGAACACAAGAATTGAATATGACTGAATTATGAAAACAAGCTAAAGATTGAACTTTAAGAAACTATAACAAGAAGAAGAAGAAGGAAGGAAGGAAGATTGAAGATGAATCAATTTATGAAAATTGGTTGTATTTTAAAAAATAGTAAGGGTCCTGTATATAACCCAATTAAATGATGGTGTTTAATAATTTGGGGAAAGAGGGAAAATGATAAGGGAAAATTAGCGTATCTTATCTATTAACGATTAGCGATTAAGTATCTACTATTACATATAATGAATATGATATAGATTGAAATGGTTGTTACCTGAACAGCCATTGAAACAAATGGCTAGACCAAATCAAATAACTAATTCATCCATCCGTCTACTTAGATGCCAAGTTCACTTCTTCTTCTTCTTCTTCTTCTTCTTCCCGTTGGGCTCTACCGTAATTTAAAATTTCTTGTTAAACTTTCTTGGCGACTTGCTTTTTAAACGAAGAAGTAATTGTTTCAACTTAAACTTTTAAAACTTTGGTGAAGTCTTGAAGGTGACACTTTTCTTGGACTTAACGTGTTGTGTATCTTTTATATAATTCAATAGGTTTCAATTACAGATTTACTATACATTCCTCTTATACATTCATGGTAAGAGTAACCGTTCCATACTTAACGCGATCGCACTTTGAAGACATTATGCTTTTGACAAGTCGTATCAATTTGTTCTATCATCATAAGTAATGAACATTCTAAATACATTACCATATCATTGTTACTCTATACAAAGCCTCCTTTTATAACAATAAGAACAAATATGTAAGTTTATAGTATATTTTATAAGAGGAGATATGGTAGCGGATGAGACCAAACCAAAACACCACGACATTATATGTCACCACAATACGACATATATCCCAACCATGCCGCAAACACGACATTTTATTCTGACGCGATTAGACAGAGTTAGTTAATTAAAGTTAGGCAGCCAAACTTGATCTATAATCCTTTAAAACTCTCTATTATCAATCAAAATCATAAGTTGTATGTATGTCTCAACTATTCGTAGCGAGTAGTCAAGAACAAGGTAGTCAAGACCATATCGAGGACGAAGACAGACTATATCAAGATCCAACCAGTCCCACCATACCGAATGATAACAATATAGCTTTAAATAATCATCATCGTGATTTATCATCACAATTGAATGATCTTGATCATAATAATACTCAATCATCATTCATCAATCCTAGAAGTCATACTTTTAAAGCATCAACCACTCAAATATCTCATTTAGCAGAGGTACTATCATCAATCACCACCATCAATTCTCAAGCTTTATTAATCATAAGTCCAAAGGGTATAACGATTTATACTGAATATAATCATGTATGTAATGTTCAATTGAATATTGATCCGACTTTATTCACTCAATATAATTTCGTCATTAATGATAATTTGAATAATGATGATGAAGATGACGAAAGTTCTGAAAATCCTGATTTAAGATTAGGAGTTGATATTAATCTTATTAGTGATTCATTTAATTCAGTTGCATCTTCATTAATAAAACCAAAATCATTTAATAAATCAGGTACTTCGAATTATAACAATGTTCAATTTGATCATAATCAAAATAATAATAGTGGGAATAGCCTCAATAACATTCCTCTTGCTGAAAATGTAACTTGTTATATCACATATAATGGACATGGTGAACCATTAATTATTGAATTTGAAGATAATGTTATGAGTGAAAAATTGGAATTTTTAACCTTTCAATTAGATATCACTTATCCTTATGATTTTATAAATAATGATAGTCAATCCCAAGATGATATTGATCAAGATTATAGATCGGATTTCTTAGTTATAAATCATAATGAATTACAATTTGAATTGATGTTGAAGAGTGATGTGTTTAGTAATCTTCTTCAAGACTTACAACAGATCAATACGGTCGATTTATACATTCATATATCGAATGAAATCAAAACATTAGGTAATAATAATAATAACCATGCACATAAACGAATTAAATTCGTAGAGAATCAATTGAATTTCATTTCAAAGGGTCCGATAGGACATCTGAAACTTATGTTCCCCAATGAACGGACTATCCTTGAACAATTGAAAATATATGATCATGAAGAACATGGTAATAAATCAAGTTTAAAACTTATAAATTCATCCATTCTATCCTGTTATAATTTCAATAATTTCATTAAAATCTTGAGAGCAAGTAAATTATCGACAAAATGTAAGATCAATAAGGATTTAAATGGGATCTTATCAATTCAATTCTTATGTAAGAATAATAATCTATTCAATTATGTAGGGACATTGATTACATTTAATCTTTTAGAATCAACCAGTTTAATCCAAGATGATAATGTCGATATACCAAAGAGTAAGAAGAATGATTCCAGAAATCTTTTACATAATATTTTTGATGATGAAAGTTATGATTTTATTAAACGGTATAATGATGTGAATAAACATAAACAAGATCAACAAATGGTATCACAAGCGGTGATTCAAGAGTATGAGGTTTTAGGTGGAGGGTTTGAAGTTGAACAAGATGATGAATCAGATGAACAACAACCTCAACGTGATATTGATAGACCACCTCCCTTATCATATGCTTCATTTAGAAATACTTCATCTTCAACAAATACCACCTCTGCATCAGATTCTACTTCCAAACCATCTAATTTCCAAGTTAACGATACTATTCATGAGAATTCTATCCTTGAACCAACTAATAATAGACCTGTTAGTAAACCTGCTAGTAGAAAGAAATCATCTTCCAAACGTAAGAAACAGAAAGAAGATGACGACGACGATGAAGAGATTCAAACTGTTGGTGGAGCAGTTGAAATTCCCTTATTTTTATGATTATAATGAGTTCTGTAAATATATGTATATAAAATGATTTATTAGGATAAAAAGAGAAGTAAAACTAACTAAATAAAGACGTAAAACTAACGTTGGTAATAGGAATGAAGAAATAAAGATTGTATACTTTTTTAGTAGACTGATATATAATTATCAATTCTATTCTTTTGATTTTGAGCAATACATTCAGCAATCCAAGTTACATTTCTAATTTCTTGTTCTTTAGATCTTAACCATGCCCAAACAGTTGATAATGTGAATTGTTGAGTGAAAGCATTTTTACAAAATTGCATTTCTAATAAATAAAACCAATCTTCTAAATTCTTAGCCCCTCCATTCGCACTATCACCTTCAGTAAATATATCTTTATATTCTGGAACATTTTCAACAATTAATTTTAATTGTTCAAAATCATCAACTTGAGATAATTCTCCATGATAAGTTGGATATAATTTTCCATAATTTGGTAATAATGAAAGTTTATTTTCAACGGTTAAATCAGGATTATTTAAAGAATTTAAAGAAATATTAATAACTCTTTTATCAGCTTCAAAATTTAATAATCTTAACATAATTTCTTGATCAGGATTAGTGAATTCAGTAGTAATGAATTCCACAAATGATTCCAAATAATTCTTATATAAACGATTTCGAATAATTTCAATATTTAAATCATCTAAATCTTCAGCTGTTAAACAATTCTTAAAAAATGGTGCTAATGGAGTATCAATTAATACTGTATTATATAAACTTTCAATATCAGTAGCAATTGAAAGAGTTGGTAAAGTATCAAACCAACCTAAAGGATGACATTTGGATAAGATTTCAGATCTATCTCTTTCATGTAAAGTACCAGTAATCATCAATGATACATTATCAATCATATAACCATAACTAATATAATCTAAGAATTTAGTTAATTTCCCACTTGAATTGGCTTTTAAATATTGAAATTGTTGATACAACTTCTTGGATAAGTTTTCTTGAATGACACTAGTACTCAACACACCAGAATAAGTTGATAAGAAGTTACCATAATCAGTTGATGATAATTGTAATTTTAAATCTTCTAAATTATCACATTGAGTAAGATTAACATATTGATTAGAACTTAATAATCCACTCTTGTAACCTCTGACAACCCCTTCTACGTAACCGTAATTGACATTGAAAAACAATCCTTCCATTATGACAACACTCAATTCAATCTGATAGTAGTAATTGTTCCAGAACTATGGACCCTGAAACTCTAAATTGGTTGATGATAATTTTAAAATTACAATCCTGTTGCCAATGCTCATTAGATTGATTGTCGCTGGTGGGTGCTCTCCTTTAAAGTCGTGCGCTGCCAAATTCTTAATTTGGCTACCAAAAGAGACAGATCAATGAAAAAGTATATCATAGTTTATATACGTGTTGTGATTGTTCAAAGGTATTGATCATACAACCATCATAACGATGTCTGATATATTGTTGGAGACATTAAAGCAAGGGTTGGATCCAGAATTGGTCAAATTCCTTGAGTCTGATCCTCAATTGAGACTAGGTTCAGAGTTATACTTACAAGAACTTCTTATAAATGATGATTTATTATCAACAGAAGTATTCACTACTACCAGTACTAATACTGCCATGACTCCTTCGATATCAACTTTATCAGCTGAATCGAATGGTGGCAATAAGAAGAAAATCACTTTAACCGAAGAAATCGCAGAATTGGATCGTCAACAACGAGAAATTAATGTCAAATTAGCATCCATTACCAATGAAAATAGAGAATTGATTATTGATATAAGTAATGATTTACATAATATAAATGATAAGATTGATAGTGATTATAATAAGGAAATCGATGCTATGTTGAAAGTACTTGATATTCAAACCAGTAATACTAATGTCAATAAATTTCAAATCAATATTAATGAAAAATTAACTAATGCTATAAAGATTAATAATTCAATCTTATCTAATATCGACTCTGTATTGGACTTATTGGAATTACCTACTTTATGTAAGTTATGTATTCTTCAAGGAAATTATCAAGAATCACTTGAAATATCAATGTTGACTCAAGCTTTAATCATTAGATTTCCAAAATTAGTCATATTTCAAAAAATTCAAAATCAAGTTGAACAAGAATTAAGAATGATGGTTAAAGGGTTGATCAAGTTATTAAATACAAACTTAAAACAGAATAATATCTTGAAGATATTTCAAATTTTAAATAAGTTGGATATCATAAATTCAACTCAATCAACATCTTCATCTTCATCTATATCACTGTCAAATTTAACATTTTCCACAAAATCAAATAATTCAATCAATAAACAACAGCAGAAGGATAAATTATTAAAAATCATCTTTCTAAATGCAAGATATAAATTTATAACTGATGAAATATCAAATTTAAAACCATTAATAAAGTTTAATAAACTCACTTATTTAAAGAGATTTATTGAAGTTTATCGTGAATTTATATTTAATTCGTTGTCAATGTACTACGCCATATTCAACTCATCATCTTCCTCCTCATCCTCATCCCATACTGCCACATCATTATCACCTAGTGTATCCCAATCATCCATAACCGGAACGTCCTCTTCCTCCACGCATTCAAACACCAACTCTGAAGAAGATAATTTACTCATAAATCAATTCATAAGAAGTTTGGCAAATCAATTATCCCAAAGTTTAATCACTTACCTCCCAGATATACTCCATTCTCATTCTGAAAATGAATATGATACAGAAATAGATGCTCAAGGTCAAAAAGATGGATTAATCTTACAAATCATATATCTTTGTAAATCATTATCCAAATTTAATGCTGATTTTGAATCAATCATACGATGGGATTTATGTTATGTTGATGATCCATTGATTACTGAAAATGATTGGGTTCGAAATTTAGCTAAAGTTAAACAATTTAGATACTAAAAAAAGATTAATAAATGGTTTATAAAATTACATATATATAGACTCGTACATACCCTAATTTAATTTAAAATACAATCATGAATTGAAACTATAAGATATACTCTTATGTTGGTTGTGGTTGTAAGGAATTTAATCCAAATAAGAATCCAAGTTCTTTGGTTCCAAGACGTGATACGGATTTCATACCTTTCTCATCAAGAGCAGCAGAAATCAATTCCTTCTTTTTGGCTTGTAATTCCATAATACGACTTTCAACAGTATTACTAATTAATAATCGATGAACATGAACTTCTCTTTCTTGTCCAATTCTATGAGCTCTATCCATAGCTTGTTCTTCCACAAATGGATTCCAAAATGGATCCATAATAACAACATGGGAAGCACAGGTTAATGTTAAACCAACACTACCAGCCTTTAATGATAATAATAACACTTGAACATTAGATTGATAAAATTGTTTAATGGTACTATTCTTACTATCAACTGACATCCCACCATCATATCTTAAATATTGAATACCTTCTTTAACTAATACTTTATCCATGATATCAAAGAGAGTAGTGAACTGAGAAAATATAATGATTTTTTCACCAGGATATTTAGTAAAGACCTCCTTTACCAATTCTATACACTTTTCAATCTTAGCTGATGGTGTTAATCCTTTATCTCTAGCAATTAAATAATTGATTCTTTGATGATTATTATCAGTTTTACTATAGTATTTAGAACAAAATTCAGTTAATTCATGTAAATTATATCCATCAATATGAAATCTCTTGAAAATGATATAATCAATCATTTGTGTTTCTTTACAAAGAGCACCACATTCTTTACATGGTGCTATTCTATTACCTTTATTATCTTCATCATTGGCCTTATCCACGAAGAAGGCATCAACACAACCTTCACATAACATATGACCACAAGTTCCCATAATGGATACGGGTTCTTCTTCAGAAAATATAGTTAAACATTGAGGACACGTTGAAGAATCTTCTTCAGCATCAGAAAAATCTTCGGCCAATTGACCTAATATATCTATTTTGCTATCATTTTCTGATTTAAGACTAGAACTTGACTCCGTCATTGATTTGGAAGTATCCTTCGATGACTTATTACTGATTTTCTTGATGCTTTCAATTGCTGCTGGACTTAAACCATTTAACATTCTAATCATATCCTGATAATTCTTTTTACCTCCTGAACCTCCATCTTTAGCTTTCATTTCTCCAATCTCAACTAAATAATTATGACAACAAGCTTGTCTAAGTCTTAATAATAAAGTTAACATACTTGAATAAAACCCAATCTTCTTCTGGATTAATAATTTTTTAGCCTTAGATTGAATACCTTGTTCTAAAGCATCATAAAAGGATTTTTCATCTTTATCCATTACCACAAAATCAGATTCAACATGCTTAGTGGGTAATTGTAAGATTGGTTTTCCATCAATTAAAGAATCCTTATTTCTTCTAAGTAAGATAGCTCTCAACACAGCTCTTAATTTACGCATACTTTTATCTTGATCAAAATCATCATAATTGTTGCTCTTTAATGGAATAGCGATATCACTACGGAACCTAGCTTCATTGCTATAGGGACGAACTTTTAAAAATCTCAAGAATGGATAAAGTTCCTCTACGTTGTTTTGAATAGGAGTACCACTTAAACAGAATCTAGTTTCAGCTTTTAAGTAAGTTACACACTTAGACGTTAAAGAAGCCTTATTTTTAATCTGTTGAGCTTCATCTAGAACAATTCTATTAAAACGTGCATCCATGGAGAAGAAAGGTGAATCATAACTCCTACCTCCACTTTTCAGATCTGGCAAATGTTTTTTACTTTCAGCATCCGCTAATGATTCTTTAAAATGCTTTTTCCATTCCGATGATAAGGTGCCATATGAAGTTAAGATGATATCATATTTTTTGAGTCTAGAAAATGAACTAAGTGCCTTTTTGTCCACGCCATGATAAACACCAACTTTAATTATCACATCTTGTTTAATTTTGGATTTGATTTCTGCATCCCATTGTCTTAAAAGTCCAACTGGCCCAACAATCAATGTTGGTGGATCATTTTCTTTTCTTTGTTTAATAAATAAAGCTATGGTTTGAATAGTTTTACCAAGACCCATATCATCAGCAAGAATACCTCCCTTGGCCTGTGATTTTTCCATTCTTATTAACCAAGTTAGACCTATTCTTTGATGTTTCATTAAGTTGATGGAAAGTTCTTCAGGAGTAGGTTCTAAACCTTCTTCTAAGAATTCATCTGGTTTAATATTATCAATTAAATTTTGAAGATCTTTATTATCACTATAAATATTAGCTTGATATCCAAAAGCGGGTAATACATCTCTTATTTCTGGATCATCCAATCTATCTTCTATTTTTGGATAATTATTGGACCCATTTATCAATTGTGTATATGAACTAAATACTCCACTAGATGCATTCCTCACATGAGGAGCAATATGACGTTTTCTAGCTGATATTTCACCCAAACTTGCTTGAAGCTCTTTGTATCTTTTAATATCAACTTGTAAGGTTCTTAATATATTCACATAATTATCTCTTGCTTGTCTAGCATCATGTTCTGACGAAGCTATTAAAGAAGTAATACTACTTAATCCATTTCTAGGAGCATTAGTTAATTGAGCTTTTAACAGATTAACAGTAATCGTGGCTTTTTTATATTTTGCATCCCAATCTTGTTTTTCAATAGCAAGCCGACCTAAAATATTCTTTTTATTGGCTAAATCTTGCTGTATGGAAATTTCACGTTCTGTTAATGATGAGTATTCTTGATGATAAAAGTTTGAATCAGATACATGAGGTACGGGAGCAGGTTGATTAAACACTGGTGGTCGAGTTGGAGATGCATTAGTGATAACACCATTTTGTATTGAAATACTAGACATAGGCGCCATATGTGGCTGTGGTGCAGGAGGTGGAGGAGCTTTGAATTCAATTTTCTTAAAGGTGGTCTTTTTCATTGCCTCTTCAGAATCAATGATCATAACGTCATCATCTGAATCTAGAGTATCTTCATTATTAAAACTGTTAGCTAGAATTTCAGTAAGCGGCCTTCCACTATTACCATTTATTGTATGATCATTTTCAACATGAATACTATTAGGCATATTAATAGAATTGATAGAATTACCATCCATCAATATATCTGAAAGGGTATTAAATTGTCTTCCATTATTATGAGTATTATCTTTAGAAGCACCATCCTTGATTAAATCTGAAAGTGTAAGAAGTCTTCCACTACTATTATCGTTGCTATTTCTGCTAGTATCAGCTGTGTTATCACGTTCATCTTCATCAGAGTCTAGGGATATAATTTCGACATCATCACTTCCAAAAGCAGAGCCCGTAGCTTTGTGGTTGTTATTGTTATGTGATCCCCAGGTTTGATTAGACAGATGGGAGGTATGACCATTAGTTGGAACACTACCTGTATACAGCACACCTATATATGGATTAGTATATCCATTATTCTGATTAGACATGGTTGAATTAGTATTTGTGAATCGAGGTACATTAGGATTGAAAGATGATTGTAAATGATCATGTACATTAGGACGATTTAAAGAATCTAATCGTTGTCGTTTGCCATTATTATTAAGTTGAGGATTCTCCACACGAGGAGGCATTATGATGTTAATACTTGATGATGAATTCGACAATGCAGGACTTGACTTACCTGAACTTAATTCTGAATTTGCAGCACTATTGATATTTGAATTATAAACATTATTCTGTTTCTTTTTAAGTATATTCATTAAAAGTCTATTTTCATCTCCACTGCCACTATCCATTTCTTCATCAGAGGAAGATAGGTATACTACACCTGCTGTAGATGTATGATCCATATTTCCTTTATACTCTCTATAAGTTGATCTATGATAAATGAAGTAAAAACATGCAACAAATGGCTCTATATATAGTAAATTTTTTGATTTGATTTGATTTTAATTTTTATCACTAAAAATAGCGCGCTCTAAAAATTAACTATGGAGACTCATACGTCTGAAATCGGGAGGGAGGTATGACGATGGGTATGAGGGACGGGATGACGGTATAGGGGTAATGGATGGTGGAAGCTCCACCATCCCTTCCGGTTTTAGACGTTGGTTAGGGTCTTAGTATCGTATATGATGAATGTACGGCACATATTTTTAGTTTAGTTTGGTTAACCTATATTTTAAACACATATTTATACATATATAGTCATATAACCACCTATATAATATGATACTACTTTTTGTAATTACTCCACCAACTGATTAAAGATAATCACCATTTTCTTCTAAGATTTTATCCAATACAATATTTAATTCAGTTTGTAATCTTTCATTATTTTCATCAAATGATAAACCTCTTTGATAATCAGCTCTAGCAGCTTCATAATTACCTAAAAAGTAATTGGAGACACCTCTTCTTAAGAAATTCTCTGGAGTATTCATCATCATTCCAATTAACATATCAGCATCATTAAAAGCCTTTAAATATTGTTTGGCTTTTAAATTAGCATCAGCTCGACTCATAAGAAACAAACTAAGTTCTTGTAAAGTACCTTGGAATGATTCAAATTTATGTCTTCTAGAAATCATTTCAATCCCAATAGAGAATTGTTTAGCTGAATCTTCAAATTTACCACTTTTAAAAGCTTGAACTCCAGTTTCATATAATTTTCTAATCATTTTACTCATATCTTTATTAAAATTTTCTGGAGTTGGAACTGGTGGAACATCTGATCCATTCGCTATTATTTCATGTGTAAGGGAATTTAATTGATCTATATCGTTTTTAACTTCAGGAGAAATGATTTCAGCATCCTTTGGAAGCAAAAGCTTTTTGGTTTTGGAATCGTAACTTATTTCTAAACTCATACTAGTAGTTATATTGGATGTGATGAATGATATTGTAATTGATGATTCTAAGAAACAGCGTTACTACTTTCTTTGCTGCTTGATTTGATTTTTCAAATTGACTGTCGTGTTGAAAATGAGATTTTTTTTTCTTTCGTTATGCTTGTCTCTCCAAACCCCTAATAAGGAAATTTTTGTTAGTGAGAGGGAGGGTCTCACACAAAAAAGTAGTATAAAGAATTGCAAAAACAATCTTTAATTATAAGGAATCATTGCCGCCCAACTAATATCAATATTATATAGTGATTCCGAAGAGTCGTGGTTAAGGATGGAAGAGGCATCATTCGATCAAGTTTCATTTGTAACTGTTTCTGATCCATGTTCTACTATTAAGGGATCTCCATTTCAAACCCATAATATTCATAGTAATAATTTTGCAGATATTACAACTACTACTACCACCATCCAAGGACATCAGTTGAGTAAGTTCAACACAACTACGAGATCAGAAAGAGAAAGGCCTACATCAAGATGGAGTAAGATCTTTGAAACGTCATCTATCAATGAACCAGAGTTGGGAGTTAAAGGAGTTCATAATTCAATGTTTTTTAATCAATTTAATACTAAAAAATCAATGGGAGCTGAATTTAATGTTATGGATCAAAAAAGTATCACTGAAACAAACTTAAATAAATCAATTGATTCAGAAATAGATCAAACAGGTCATAAAGAATTACCCCATGAAAAGTTGAGTAAACAAACTTTAAATGAATCTGTGGAAGATTTGGAAGGGGAAATACCAACTCCTAAAACATGGTCAATTATTAACTTTTTCAGTTGGTCAGCAAGAGTAAATGATACGAATAGTGATGAACCAGTTAAGAGAACAACTACAACTACATCAGCAACAGCAACTGCAACAACAACTACAACTTCAACTAGACAATCAATTAAAGATACATTATTCAAATTGAAATTAGATAAACCATTCTTACCAAAATTAAAGGAAATGGTTAAAGTTGGACCAAAAGTAACAAGACAAGCTTCATTAACTAATCTATTAGATTTATATGATTATCCAGTTACTCAAAGTGCATTACTTGAAGATAAAGTATTTTCCCCAAAATCACATCGACAAATATTTAAAGATTTAGAAAAGATTGAAGAAGTTGATCCCGGTATTAATCATAAATCTAAACGAGATATACTGACATTCAGATATTTAAAATCTTTCTTTAAAGAAGAAGTTCCTGAGGTTAAAGAGGTTGAAAAAGAACAAGTTATTCCATTATCAAAGACTGTTTCAAGACAACTGACCATAATATCAGTACCAGATAGTGATGATTCATCTCCTGATGAGCCAATAAATTCAAATGGACCAATAGTTCAACCAAAAAGATATTATAAAACTATTGAAGAAGTTATAACAGAAGGTGACCCTAATATACTTGATGAAACTATAATTAGAAAACAATCATTAGAACCAGAACCAGAAGAATGGAATCAACAAAGTCCTGGAATACCAAATCTGTCAAATTATGGTACAGGTCGATCACAGCCAACTTCACTTATTATTGAACCATGGTCACATTTCACTACTATTAGGATGAATGCTGAAAAATCAATTAAGAAGAAGGTTCCTGAATCTAAAGAAAATTTTGAAGATTCTCTTAATGAATTAGAAACATTATTACTGAATTTTCTTCAAACTGATGATCCTGCAATATATGAAGGGAAAAAGTTATATTTACTTGAAAGGATTAATGATTTAAAGATTAAACAGAGTAATAATCTGGAAAATAATGCTCTCTTGGAACGATCATCCAATAATAATAAACCATTTTTAAAAGATTCAACCCATTATAATAGTACTAATGATCCATCATTATGGAAAGATGAAACTCAAATTGAAGATATTATAGAAGAATTTTTAACTAAATCTGCCTCTATATCATCAAGTCAAAAAAAGGGTGCAAAAATTGATGCTATATTTGATGAAGATTCAAATGAAGAAAATGGTGAGGATGGTGGTTTAAGTGCCCAAGTTGATTATTTAACTCCATTTATAACTAGTAAACCTACTTTAGATAGAGAATGGTCATTATCCAGTCTGGAATTCTTTTCACCTCAATAAATAGTATATATATATAGATAGCGGTAAAAATTAATTAACTGTTGCCTAAAATGGATAATTGCGTCGCCAACGCTAATAAAAAAAACTGAAGAGTCATAAATTATAAAATTTGAGCATATCTGTAATTTTTCAGTTTGATAAAGTTATAACTACAACCACCACCATTCATTTATCATACCATCATAGTCTAATTGAACAACATGTTTGACTTAAAGCAAGTGGTTAGACCAAATATCTTATCCCTTGAACCATATAGATGTGCCAGAGATGATTTCAAAACTGGGGTGTTATTAGATGCCAATGAAAATACTTATGGACCAGCCTTAAGTAATATCAGTGAAGAAGAGAAATCCCTTGAATTGAATAGATATCCTGATCCTCATCAGATTGATTTAAAACAACAGATTATCAATTTCCGTAATTCTCGTCCTAATGTGTTTTTAAAAGATGTTATTAAGGATAAATTGACACCTCAAAATTTATGTTTAGGAGTTGGATCTGATGAAAGTATTGATTTATTATTAAGATGTATTTGTAAACCTAGTGTTGATAAAATGTTGATTTGTCCTCCTACCTATGGGATGTATTCGATTTGTGCTACTGTCAATGATGTAGAGATTGTCAAAGTTCCATTATTATATCCATCATTTCAAATTGATATACCATCTATACTTAAAACTCTTGATGAGAATGTTAAATTGGTATATTTGACATCTCCAGGTAATCCTACTGGGAAATTGATTCAAGTGAAAGATGTGATAACCTTATTAGAATCATCCATATCCCAAAATTGGCAAGGTTTAATCGTAGTAGATGAAGCTTATATTGATTTCACTGAAGATTTCACTTCTACTACCAGTGAATCAGTTTCAACTTTAGTCAATCAATATCCAAATTTAGTAGTGTTACAAACTTTATCTAAATCATTTGGATTGGCAGGTATAAGATTAGGTATCACTTATAGTTCAACTGAATTAGCCTATTATTTAAATGCCATGAAATATCCTTATAATATCAGTTCTTTAACTTCCAATGTTGCCATGAGAGCTACTAATATTGAATCAGGATTGAAAATCATGTATGAATACGTTTCCAACACTATTAAACAACGTCAAAATGTATTGGATCAATTACAAACTATAAAAGGAATTGGACGTAATATAGGTGGATTAGATTCTAATTTCATTTTAGTGGAAGTATTGGATAAACAAGGACAACCATCAAATGAAGTGGCTCAAAAATTATATAATGAATTAGCCGTAGCCAATGAAGTGGTGGTAAGATTTAGAGGTAAAGAAGTTAATTGTGAAGGTGCATTAAGAATTACGATTGGTACAGCTGATGAAAATCAAATTTTAATAGATAAACTTAAACAATGTCTTGCTGAGATTAATAAGTGAGTAATTAAATATTCATAGATGTATAGACAACATAGATATTTCTAATAAAAATAGTAAAAGTTTCCAATATTATTATTCATGAATATTTTGCATCCAAAGTAGGTGTTCACTTCAATTGTCTGTGTATATTAGAGCCCTCTCCTTACCATTAACAACGTGAGTTCCAATTTTATTCAACCTCTTCAACAACATGCTACAATCTACTTTCTATCTCTTCTAATTTAATAGTCCTTATCTATCTATAGGTTGATATAAACTACTGGTATACTCCATATATATTATTTGCTGATAAAAAGTCGTGTCCAAAAGTCCAAATTTTTACAGTCTAAAAATTTTTCAATTTTTCTTTGGAGACAGTTAACGATTTATTACTTGACTTGAACATATAAACTATAACTACCAGATCAATAAACATGGCCAGACAAAACTTTGTAGGTCTTGTGGTGTCGCAAGGGAAGATGGCTAAGACCGTTAAGGTCAGAGTTCAAGGGAAAGTTTATGATACCAAGATCCATAAAGAAGTTATTAAAAGAAAAGATTATTTAGTTCATGATGAAGGTGAATTATGTAAAGAAGGAGATATTGTTAGAATTGAATCTATACCTAAAGTCTCCAAGAGGAAAGCGTTTGCCATTGCTGAGATCAAAGTGAATCAAGGTCAACAATTTGCATTATATGAAAAATTAGCTAAACAAAAAGTTTCCCAAGATGAAAAATTAAAACAACAAGAAACCATTCAAAATAAATCCAATTTAGAAGCTACAACCAATCGAATAAATGATTTAAGAAAATTAGATGATTTTGCTAATATATATCAAACTTCAAATGTATCAGATGAAGAAAAAGCCAAACTTTTAGCTGATATAAATGCTATAAAGGAAAAATATAATATTAAATCATGGCCATCAAATGAGGCGTTATTAAATTTAAAGATTAATGAATCTGAAGTTGAACATCAAGGACTTGAAGTTAAAATTGTTGAACTTCAAAAGAGAAGATTGAATTTGGATGCTATACTTGAAAAGTTTTTATCGGATGAATTAGTGGAAACTAGAAATTCAGTATTATCAAGTTTAACCAAGAGTTCAACTGACCAATTAAAGAAGTATACTGTAAAGAATTTATTAAGAAAGTATGTTTTAAATGTTGAAAATGAAATACCATTTTCATATTAGGATAAAGAGGGGTACATTTCTACTGGAGATTTCGATCCTTATTGTATAGTATAGCATAGCATAAAGTAGAGTGCACCATCTCCTCTTCCTCCTTCTCCTTCTCCTTCTCCTTCTTCTACTCCTGTCAAATAGAATCCATGTATATAGACACACCCATATCACATCCAAATATACACTACCAAATTATACAATCTGATAATTCAATTTTAAATTAATTTCTCGTAAATTTCGTTCTGTCATCACCCGTTAAAATTAAATTTATTCTTTGTTCGCTATCAACCATCATCACAAATTTAATTTAAAATGAGGCTGCTGCTAATTACAGTTTCACATTAAATTAATTTCCCATTTTGATTTAGATTATAATTTCAATTTCAATTCCTTTCCTTTCACTTCCTATAGCATATATATTCATTTGATCGCAAGGTTATTGGAGCATGATAATCATACTATAGAAACATTGTTCATGGCCTCAACCTAATACATACCCCACATACAACAATCATATCATGAGTACAAGTTATACTAAAGATAACAACAACAATAATAATAATATCGATGGCATCGTCGACGAAAACCCTTATAACAATCCTGCCATCACTTTCAACGATGAAGAAGAAGATGATCGAAGTCCAGCAGGTATCAAATTCGATGATCAGATAAGTGTCACTGCTCTTAAGGATGCATTAAAAAAGAATAAAAAACGGAAGGGATGGGGGTTTGGAAAACTAATCACCCAAAGAATTAAATCAGTTTCAAGTTCAATAACTCCTGTCAGACAACTATCATTCAGTGTCAATAACTATGAAGATAAATTATTACCCTTGATGTTCCATGATCGAACTAAAATCGTTCAAAGAAGAGATATCGAACTTGTGGTTAAAAATACTTTAAATATCCCTTTGGCAACAGTCACTTCTATGACTATTAGACCTGGTGAACCATATTTTGTATTTTGGTTCTTCATATCATCATATTTCCCCCTTATATCCGCATGTCTTGGTCCCTTGGCCAATATGATCTCTGTAATTGGTTTAATCCAACATTGGAGAGTTAATAAAGAAACTGGTTTGGAAATCAGAGATGATGGTCCAATGACGGTTTTAAATGCATTTTCATTAGCATTTGGTCTTATTGGGAATATCTCATTATTAATGAATTTCTCCGGAACTATAAAATACTTGGTAAGTCAATCAGTATCAGTATTTTGTTTTGTGGGTGCTAGTGTGGTATTATTAATTGATGTATTAATCACCAATCATTCATTTGTAGGGCAAGATGCTCAATATGTTAGATCAGAAGGATTCTGGTTTGGTGTATTCACTTGTTTTTATTATTTCTGTTGTGCTTTAACTTTACTGATTAATTTCATTGGATATAAATTAAATAAATATCCTGCTGCTTTCAATTTAGATACCAAACAAAGAACTTTAATGATTTATACCATTTGTTTTGCCTTATGGTGTGTGGTTGGATCATGTATTATGGCTCATATGATTGATGATTTAACTTATGGTTCCGCTTTATACTACTGTACAGTTTCATTCTTAACCATTGGTCTTGGTGATATTGTCCCGAAGACTCCAGGTGCAAAAGTAATGGCCTTAGTATTATCATTAGTTGGTGTTTTAATTATGGGTTTATTAATTGCTATGATTCGTCAAGTGGTTTTAACTTCAGGTGGACCAACTATATTTTGGGATAAAATTGAAAAAAGAAGAATGAAAGAAGTTCAAGATTTAAGACATCAAGGTATTGAAATAACTCCGGAAGAATCATTCCATAGAATGAGAGTTATCAGACGAAGAGCTAAATCTCATCAATTAAATATATCATTAACTATCACTATATTAATATTTATGATTTTTTGGTTAATTGGAGCCCTTGCATTTCATTTTACCGAAGAATGGTCCTATTTCAATTCCGTTTATTTTTGTTTTCTTTGTTTAATTACCATTGGGTATGGAGATTATGCTCCTAGAACCACTTTAGGTAGAGTTTTCTTTGTATCATGGTCAGTTTCGGCAGTTCCATTAATGACAATTTTAATTTCAAATGTTGGTGATAAGTTGTTTGATATGGCCAATACTTTGAGTTATTATTTATCCAAGTTTATCTTTAGAGATGATTTAGAAGATGAAATCAAAGCCAAAAAGAAACAACAAAAGGAATTACATGATGATATTGAAAATTTCATAAGTGATGAAGAAGATAAAGAAGTTAGTGATTTAAGTTCAGATATACCGGGTAATATGGAATTCATGGATGATTTTGGTCAAATGTTAGATGCTCATAAAGAACAACATCAAAATAAAGATTGGAAAGTAGTTAGAGAAAAAATTACTAATAAAATGGTTAATCAAAAGGAAACTTATGAAAATATTTTAGATATTTTAAGTCATTTAAAACCTTTAATCACTGATTCCATTGAAAATCCATTAAAGACTTACAATCATCAAGAATGGGGTACGATCTTAGCCAATCTTGAAAAGAAGACCTTGGTCAATGAGCATGACCACGATAGAGCGTCTCGTGCATCTCGGGGTTCTGTAATTCCTGATGGACAGTTTTGGCTTTCGGAAAAATCTCCGTTGAGATTACCCTTGAAAGAACCGAATTATTTGATTATGAGAGTGTTTTTCAAGATCGAAAAGGATTTATTAGATTTAATCGATACAGAACAAGAAGATTTGAATCAATTAAGACAAATTGTTTCAAGTAGAGAAGGATCAAGAGTCTCAGAAGATATTATAGATAAACAACAAAATGATTTGGCTCATCTTCGTGAGAAATACACCCATCACCATCAGCCTAATGAAGATATAAAATTCCGATCTCCATTTACTCCCAAGTGATATCTATATCAAGTTACTCGCCCATTTATTTATTTATTTATGTTTATTATTCAGTATTATACTTTCAGTTCGCGGTCAATTTCATTTCATTTACAATTCTCTTTTTTATATGTTTATTATTATAGTTCTTTATTAGTTAGATAGGTCCGTGACATAAAAATGTACAACTTTAGTTCTGGTTTAATCAGATTATCTCGTATGTAAGTGTTTCAAGATTAATAATTGATGCAAGATCAATGCATAAATATATATACACAACATTTCATCACACCTCTCATAATGGAGCAGCATCTTGACCGTTTTTTAGATCATTCTTGCTTCCAATGAAGTTTACCGTCGGCATAGCTATCTTTAAGCTTCGCAAGTTCATCTGAGCTTCACTTGGACTTTCTTAGTTTAATCTATCTTGACCTTTTCCTGTGAATAAATTCAATGATTTGATCCATTACTCGACATTATGAATCGAGGTGTACAGAGGCATAGTTACCAACCTAAAGTTCGGAATTTGTCCTTTCTACTACCTTCTTTTAACTTTATACATTCTCATTTTCCACGCTGTATGACAATAGTTTCTTTACTACGCTCTGGTAAATGTTTATGTCCAGTGCAATCAGCCTTGGCGTGTGGGAATTTCTCTATCCCCATTTTTTCAGTGACACCCAGTGCAATATATATGACAGAACCATACATAGCTATCCTAGCAAGTGATCCATATTTCATTTGTCAGGAAATCGATATTAGTTTTGAATTCAAGAAAGTTTTCGCTATGATGATAAAATGTAGTAGAAAATTGATTGCCACTCCCCCGCGAAATAACAAAAAAGTTACTCCACTATTGTCTTCGAAAGATGCTAGTTCCTTGATATGATGTCCACGGTCATCTACTCTTTGTCTACAATATTCCTTGTCTTATTTTAATCAACTGCGTTGTATCTGTTTATGGGGTATTGACTGTTCTTCCTTGAACGTTCTATATGACTGAATACCAACTTCTATGATCGGTCCTGTGGTTAGATTCGAGGAACTGACGCTTTACTCGACTATGCTAATTGGACAGTACAACCATAATCCTCCTCTTCATCAAACAAGACAGTTTTCAGTTTTCTATTATCTCTTCTGATTTGCACCAGTTTTATTTTGCATGTTGGGTAATAATGATAATATCTTTACTACGTTTACCAAACCGTTTGTGTCCAGTACAGTCACACTTTCCTGGTGGGACCATATCTATCAACATTTTGGAAACTAATACATGGCCAACAAAAACAGTAGCAGCAGATATGGCGAGATCAGATAATTTTGTCATATTTCATTTTATTTATAAATAGATAGCAGTGTTGGGTTGAGCTAGAAGTAATGATATGGATTATAAAATGTCATTTTCATTATAACAAAATTGGTTACTTTTACCATTGGAGCCCGCACGTACTTTTATGTTAATCATTGAGTATTATAGTTTAAGTTCACAGTCAATTTCCCTTACACCTTTTTATAAGTTTATCAGCATAGCTGATTTCCATTAGTTAGATATCACTATGACATAGAATGCTTTTAGTTCTGGTCTAATCAGATTATTCCTCTAGTATTAATTGATGCAAAATCAAAACAAATGTCAAAAAAAGCGCGTTCCATTTTCAATTTCTTATCAATGACCCAAAAAATGCGAAATTTTTGAAATTCGGTTGACAGGCTCCATCTTCATTAATTAATGTCATACAATTTTACCAGATTTATAACTAGATAGTTTCTTAACAGAGTTACTTATTTAGAGTTATATTGTTTACAAGGTTGAAACACACAAGCCGTTTTGTCCAAATCTAATCCAGAAGACGAAGAAATAGGTATAGAGCTAGACACTATGCCGTCTCATCGATCTACTGATTCCAACGAGTTTGATCATGATGAACCATCAACATCTTCACCATCACAACAACATGTCGAATATGATCCTGTGGTGTTTCACATATCAAGTTATTTCAAATTAACCCTTTCTCAACTTCGTTATATCACTTTCACTATCGTTGGGATTGCGTTATTATGGCCTTGGAATGCTTTCTTATCTGCATCAGCTTATTATGGTGATAGATTCAGTCATTCTCCTAATCTTATTAAGATTTATTCATCGACTATGATGTCTGTATCAACTATAACTTCCACCTTATATAATTATTACTTATCCCAAGCTCAAGCTGGGGTAAGTTATAAATTCAGAGTGAATATTGGTCTTTGGTTAACTATCTTTGTATTTATATTCATGTCCATATCATGTATATCAGATTTATTAATCATGATGGATGACATTGCGTTTTTCAGTATTTTAATGATAATGGTATTAATGTCAGCTATGGCCACATGTTTAGCTCAAAATGGTACCATGGCTATTGTTAATGTTTTAGGTGGAATATATGCTAATGCAGTTATGGTAGGTCAAGCTGTAGCTGGTGTTTTACCTGCGTTAGCATTGATTATTTCTATCTTATTAGTGGGTGATAAAAAGTCTAATTCAACTGATGAAGATTATCATGTCGAAAAGAACTATGGTGTGTTTGTTTATTATATTACTGCCAGTTTAATTTCCATAATTTCTATATTATTGGTTTATTGGATTAATCATCATAAAGTTGAATCCGCTTATAATGCTTTAAATGAGATAGCTGAAGAAGAACAACCATTAAATTCCTCATCTGATATCATTGATGAACCAGACATTAAACAAAAACAACATGTTCCATTCTCCGTATTATGGTCTAAATTAAAGCTTATTGTTCTGACTATTTTCCTTACCTTCAGTATCACCTTAATCTTCCCAGTATTTGCATCAACTATCGAATCAGTTCATATCAATTCAACCTTTTGGTTCTATAGAAAGGAAATTTATATTCCATTTATCTACTTAATTTGGAATTTAGGTGATTTATTAGGTCGTATTTTATGTGGTTATCCAAGATTACATATGATCATAACTAATCCAAAAACATTAATACTTTATTCTATTTCCAGATTGGTCTTTATTCCATTATTTTTCACATGTAATATTCATCCATATACCGCTGCAAATCAATCAAGTGCCATTATAAATTCAGATGCTTGGTATATTTTATTACAATTATTATTTGGAATTTCAAATGGTCAATTGTGTACTTCGTGTTTCATGATTGTAGGGGACTTCTGTGATACAGATGAAGAAAAAGAAGCTGCTGGTGGATTCACCAGTGTATTCTTAAGTGTAGGATTAGCTGCAGGCAGTGTGTTAAGTTATTTACTTGTTATTGCTATAGATTAAATAGAGAAAAAATTTCATTTCGTTTCATTTACTTCTTCCCGTTTGTTATAATTGCATAATAAATTATCATCATTATATCTTTACATCTTCAATAGATTACTACGTAATGTATTTATCCCAATGTAAACAAGTTGAAATAGGTCGTATAGAATATAGTATACATAGCCTGCTGCGACGAATGTTAAAAAAGTATAGGGGTATGAGACATAATCTGAACACAAAAATTAAAATGTGTCAGTCCAAAAATATCTTAATTTTTCGCAAGGCTATTTATAAAAATCAATCGATTGATCCAGCCAGACCACGTCTTAGCTTTTATTGATCAAGTTCATTTCATTTCACAACACGTCATATTATATCAATGTCATTCTGGGATAATAATAAGGATTCCATTAAGGCAGCAGGTCTAGCTACCGCTAAGGGGATTGGTCGTGGGACCAAAGCACTTGGTAAAGGTGGTTATCAAATGTATAAGAATCGTAATGGTTCTTCAGGTGGGACTAATCCAAATCCAAACGGTGCCGATCAACCTGATGGTGAACAACAAGGTGGAGTACCTTATAATGGACCTCCTTTACAGAAACCTACAGTTGAACAATTGAAAACTTTACCTCCTCCTCCACAACGTAATGTTGGTGCTTTTCCTCCTGGTCAAGGTAATTATCCTACTCCATCCAATCAACCTCAATACAATACAAATCAACAACAGCAACAGTATCAGCAACCTCAACAACAATATCAACAACAGCCTCAACAGCAACAGCCTCAACAGCAACAGTATCAACAACAACCCCAACAACAATTTCTGCAACAACCTCAGCAATTTCAACCTCAACAGCCCCAACAGCCCCAACAACAGCAACAACAGTTCCAACAACCACCACAACAACAATTTCAACCTCAGCAACCCCAACAACAACAGTTTCAACAACAACAGGCTCCGCAGTATCAACCTCCTCAACAACAATTCCAACAACCTCAATATCAACCACCCCAACAACCGCAAACACAAGCACCACCTCAATTTCCTCAACAAATACAACCACCTCAGCAACAACAGGGATACGGTCAAACACCTCAAGCCCAAGCTCAGCCTGCTCAACAACAGCAACCTCAACAGTCATTCCAAGATCAATTGCAAAACACACTTTCAAGTGCTATTACTAAAGGTGTACTGAATGGAGTACAACAAGCTGCTCACCAAGCTGTACAACAAACGTTGCATCCCAATGGATCGCAGAATTCTCAAAATAGTTCTCAATCACAATTACAACAACCTCAACAATTCCAGGAACAGCAACAGCAGCAGCCCCAGCAATTTCAACAGCAACAACTTCCACAATTTCAACAACAATTTGCACCTCAACAGCCTCAACAGCAACAGTTTCCATCTCAACAACCACAGCAACAACAACAGTTTCAACAACAGTTTCCACCTCAAACTCAGCCAGATCGTAGTCTTCCACCCCCACCACCACGAACAAATGTAGCACCAGTAGCTACACCATTTCCTCCAGCTGGAACAGTTAGTAACGATTCGATCACTTACGATTCACCATATCATAATCCAAATACAGTTCCTCAATATGGTCAACCAGCCCAATTTCAACAAAATGATCCTGTACCAACATATTCTGCCCAGCAGCAATATCCTGCTCAAGATCAACCATTAGAGACTACTGAATCTGAAACCCGTCCCAAATATAATTTTGGAGTTCGTGTTGAACTGAATGAAGAAGAAGTCGTAAAGCCTAAAGTTCCACTTCCAGATCCTACCTCATTTGCCCCTCCTCCTGTTCATAAGAATAGAGGTTCAGCTGAACATACTCCTGTTCCGGTTACACCAAAGTATCCCGCTTTTTCAAGTTCACTGAAGGTACAACCACCAGTAGCTACTTATACACCAACTTCTGATCAAGCAAGTGACACGTCCGCAACTGAATCAGAAGTATCAACTGGTCCTGCGAAGAGTAATTTCTTAAATATTGATTTGAGTAAAGTTGGACCACCACCTCCAAAGATTTATCGTGCTCCAGGATCTGAAGTGATTCCAAAGAAGCCACTTCCACCTAGAACTGGTCCATCTGCTGTACCTGCTCCATTACCACCAAGAAGCACTATTGCTGGCGAAGTCCCAACCCCTGCAGCTGTTCCAGCTCCTACGCCAGCACCAACACCAGCACCAGTTTCAGAGACGAAACCTTTAACTTCATTCCTTCCACCACCCCAGATTTACAGAGGTCCAGGTGAACAACTTTTAGTAAAGGAAAGTAAACCAAATAGAGATACTCATAAGGGCCCACCACCAAAGCCAAAGAAGCTATCAGCTAAAGAAGAAGAGGAAGAAGAATCACCACCAGCACCAGCACCAATTAGACCAACACATGAAGATGAGGTAAGTCATGAGCCTGCCATAGCAATTACAACTACTAAGAAGGCACCACCTCCCAAGCCTGTGAAGAAATCATCATTAACTGATCGTGAAATTCCTCCACCACCTTATGCGGTTGAAGATCATCCTAAACCAGTTACTCGTACTAATTCTTCACAACAACCAAATTTCGCTTCTCAAATTGCTGCCAGGTTTGCTGAAACATCAATAGCTGATGAACCAAGTGAAATTAAACCTAAAAAAGCAGCTCCACCACCAGTTAAGAAGAAGCCAATTCAAGAGGCAGCAGAAGAAGAAATAGTTGATTTTAGACTGGTGTTGAATAAACAATTGAGACATGGTAACGTAGGTGGTCCAAAACCATTCACTCCAAAGCCAAAACCAGAGATACATCATAAACCTGTTGAAGAAGCACCGATACTAATTCCAAAAGCAAAGCCAGAGATTGCTCATAAACCTAAACCTGAAGTCAAAGCTAAGCCTGAAATCGGCCATAAACCAAAACCTGCCATACCTGTCAAACATAAGCCAGAAATCCCAGTGAAGGCAACTACCCCGGAAACTATTCCTGTACCACCTCCGCCAAGAAATTATGTTAGATCTCCAGCTGCTGTTCCACCTATCGCTGCTCTTATTGAAGCTCCAGTTCAAACTGGTCCCCCTAATTTGAATTTAGAATTACATACGGGATGGTTCGCCAATTTATCAGGTCCATTAACTTTACCAAAGGATCTCACCGGCTTAAATTATTCCACCTCATTACAGTCTTCGTCTTCTGGTTCGGTTACGAATTATGAACGTGGTGTGAGTTTAAGATTAAAAGATTTATCAATTCTCAAGTATAAGATCAAATGGGCCAGTAATAATGTCAATAATGCAACTGTTGAAATTACACAGTATGATCCATCACCAATCACAACTAAAATTCCAAGTAGAGGTGGTTTATTAACATATCATCAGAAATATGGAGAATACATTGCTGGATGGTGTGAACATCATTACGGTCAACAAGTTGGTTCAGGTGAATGTTGGGATCTTGCAAAAGATGCTTTACTCAAAGGGTGTGGAAAGCATGCGTTTGTATCTACTTACTATCATCATGGATATCCAATTCTTGAAATTGAAGGTGTGAATGGAAGTGTAGCTTTGGCACTTGGCACTTCACAATTGGATGAAGTTAGAAGAGGTGATATTTTACAATTCAAATCATGTAAATTCTTTAATGCAGCCTTGGGAAGAACCCAACATGTTGGTGCTCCAGATCATACATCAGTGGTATTAGGTAATACTGATGGTAAAATTAAAGTTGCAGAACAGAATGTTAATGGCGTAAGGACAGTTATGGATGGTGAATACATCCTTAAAGACTTAGTTGAAGGTAAACTTACCGTATATAGACCAATTGATGCAGAATGGGCAGGAGACTTTTAATTTACAAAATTTAGATTTCAATTTTTTTTAATCTTTGCAATATAAGATGTAGTTATCTTTTTAATATATTTACTATATAGTATTATTCGATGAAGAGAGATAACTAATATGGTTTGTATTTGACCGAATGTCTCACAGAAGTTCTTAACTTGGATTTATCGCGTGTTACATTACTCATAGTTACTTCTTCAAAGTATTTTGATAACAGATTGTAAAGTATTAATGAAGGGCTGCATTCCGAGAACTTTTGACAATAAATGCTACATTTAGTATTTTCAGATCGAATATGAGTCAATAGATCTAGCTTAAACTCAGGTACATCACTGTTGAATAGTTTTAAGACCATTATGGAAGTTTTATCAATTGCAAAACCGATTGTGGAATTGAAAGTGAGCATTTGGTAAATGCATTGGTTAGTTATCTCTAAAAACAGTGTGTCTCTTTCTCTAAATGAGTTAAATATTCCTGAATATTTTACTTCAATAGGTATATTAAAGATCGTATCCCTTAGTTTAACCTGGACATAATAACCAGCAAATGACAGCGATCTCTGAGGTAGTATCCCCACTGTCTTATATCGATGACTCAATAATGACAGTAAAGGCAGTAAGATGCCAACGAATACAGCAAGACTTACCATAGCTTTATTTTCAAGCATTGCAGAATTGTAATTACTAGTTGGGGGAATTATTCCAATTACGAAAGAAAGCTTAATTGACTCCATCTCATTATCATCTTCACATAACATATTAGGTTCTATCTGTCGATAACTTTTAACAAATCCTCTTCTTGTTCTGAAAGTACATGTTAAGGCCAGAGTTGCCGCGGAACGCATATTGGAAACACAAGTCTGTAATCTTTGTTCTTCAGGTGGTGGCGCTACCTCTCCTTGATAGTTTGACTTTTTATATATTGAGGCTGGAAAGGGTAAGGCAAAAAGTTGAGAGTAAATAAAGATTCTTCCCACTTTTGTAACAAGATTATTGATTTCTGTTTCATTGAACTTATAAAGCTTCAGAAAGTATTTTCTTGAAGCAGTTTCCAAATATCTTTCAAGAAATATCATTGACAAAAATGGTGATTCAAATTTCACTTGAATATATTTCCTTTCTCCTAGAACTCTATTGTTATTACCAAGAAAATGATGGAAACTGAACAAGCGGTGTGCTATCTCTTTCTGGTAGCCTTTAAATGTTTCGATATCTGAACTAGCATCATATATAATCTCAACTTCGTTCAATTCTTTGAATTTTGGAAGCTTATCACAGTTGTCTAAATAATTGTGATTTTCATCTTCTAGATTTTGTTTAATAATATCAAAACTTCTATTTATAAAAATATGATCGACATTGAATTGATAATTTGACATTTTAACCGAAATGTGTATTTGTGGTTGTTTTATAAAAATGAATTAGATAACCGATTATAAAAGCAAATATCACCAACTATGATCAGAAAATTATGATCACGAACAAATGATAATAAACTGTAAGCGCCACTTAAGGTTGAAATTCAGAGAATGATGAAAGTAGAAATTGTCTTAACTGAATTAAGTAGATATTAATTTCTCTTCTAGAATTTTGCTCTGCTATATTTTCTTTTTCAACTAAAAGTTGCAAAATAAATCGCGCGTGATCTATCATGTGACTTTTGGGATGTCTTTTTGTGTCACTATAAAAAAAGTATCATAAAGTGAAAAAGATTTTAGTAATATATCTTACTTATTATCATCTAAGGAAGTAGTAAGTTTAATATGACTGCTGAAGAAGTGATTATAGCTCCTGTGCTATCAACCTATCAAGACGATTCAACCTTTCAATTTGATAAAGTAAAATCAGAAACAAATTTAAGACCTCATTTAAATCTCATCAATCCATCAGATCAAGATGAGATAATCCAAAGGATAAATGAATACTATTCCATTGATGAATTAGTTGAATTCCTACAACAAAAGAAAGATGGAGAAGATGTGTTGAAATATAATCGAATCACTCTTCAATTTCCTGATTCTTTGGTATGTGATTCAGCCACTATAGTTCATGAATTACAAAGCAGGTTAAACATAGTTTATTCATCATCAGAAGTTTGTACTCCCAATAATGGTTGTTGTTCAGACGGAGCTTGCAAAACTACTAATCAGCCATCTGACTTAAAATCACAAACCATCTGGATTTTGGCAGATACTTCTTATTCCCCATGTTGTGTTGATGAAGTGGCAGCTGAACATGTTAATAGTGACCTTGTGATTCATTTCGGAGATGCTTGTTTAAATGTGGTTGATAAATTACCTGTAGCATATGTGCTTGGGAAACCAAGGATCAATTTAGATAGTTTAATTCAACAATTCAAACTGAGATACCCTATCGAAGATGAAAATAAAATCCTCCTCATGTCAGATTCACCTCATACATATTTATTAAGAGAAATATATAACATATTGAAGATTGAATATCCCAATTTAATCTATTCTGATTTAAGAATAGATCCATCATCAAATATCATAGGTTATGAACCAATACCATTAACTGGGAATGAGTTAAATATCCTCAATAGAAACATTATAGGACTTAATATCGATGATAAGGATAAACTTCAAGAATATGATTTATTCCATATCACTCTTCCAGAAACTCCAAGATTATTACAATTAACCACTACATTCAATTCAGTTACAACTTATGCAAATGATAAGATTGCCCAAGGTCCATATCCTAATTTAATGCGTCGTTATAGATATATGCATATGGCCCGTACATCAGGAACGATTGGATTATTGGTTAACACTTTATCATTAATGAATACTAAAAAATTGATGAATAAAATAGCTCTGAAGATAAAGGAAGCAGGTAAAAAGCATTATATATTTGTGGTGGGGAAACCAAATGTGGCTAAATTGGCTAATTTTGAAAGTATTGATATGTGGTGTATATTAGGATGCGATCATCAAGGGATCATTATAGATCAAACTAATGAATATTTCAAGCCGATCGTAACGCCGTATGAGTTGTTACTTGCTTTGAGTGATGAACTTACATGGACAGGGAAATGGATTACTGATTTCAATAGTGTTTTAGAGAATCTCGGCGAAGAAGATGATGAAGAGCAAAAGAATGAAACTGAAGATACTGAAGAGGGAGAGGATGCCCCACCTGTGTTTGATCCTGTAAGTGGTAGACTTGTGAGTACATCACAACCATTAAGACAATTGAACCATCTCAGCATTACTTCTCAGGAAGATACTGAAGAATCTTCAAACAGTCTTGTTAAACGATTTTCAAATACTGTTGCGATCAAAAATACCATATCTACTTCAGCATCCCGTTTACAAGAAAGACATTGGACCGGATTAGGTAGTGATTTCAATGAAAATTATGACGATGAAGAAGATCATGAACAAGGAGCTTTGCTTGAAGAAGGTACTGGTGGTATTGCTAGAGGGTATGATTTTGATAATAGTAATAGTAATTCAAAATCAAGTTGATTTTTTCCTGTATATACTTATATCTGCATACTAAATATATTTACGAATATTTTTTTATTCTATATAATTAATATCAAATTGTAAATTACATTGATGGTATGAATGGTAACTCCCAGAATGGTATACTTATACTTATAGCCATTCTAGTGTTTGGCTATGTTGAACCAGCATACCAAATATTTACATCGTGGTTACAAGATAAAACTACTACCAGTAATGAAAAATATTGGATCATAGTAAAGATCATTATTGCCAGTTGTCTATTTTATAATCTTAACAATTATGCCAAAAGACGACTGGGTATTTCGTGGGAGAAAGTTTCACAGGATGATATAGTGTTAATAACGGGTGGATCAAATGGATTAGGATCAGAACTTGTGGTAGAATTGGCCAAAGTTAATATTGATCAAATTATCATATTGGATAAAGTGAAACCAAAACTTTCCATTGATAAGGTGAAGTATATTGAATGTGACTTATCGAATGAAGATGACACCAAGAGTGTGGTACAAAATCTTATACATGAGTTGAATTCACAGGGCAAACATATCAGTATTTTAATCAACAATGCTGGAATCAGACATAATCAATCATTATTGAATCTTGATGACGTTAACATTCGAAAAATATTTAATGTTAATACATTTTCACCCATTCTTATCTTACGAACAGTTATCAAGAATCATATTGCATATAATGAGGATAAGAGGCTATACATCGTATCTATATCATCAATCTTAGGAGTATTGGCTCCTAAGAATTTATCAATATATTCAGCTAGTAAAGCTGCGATATATCTGATTCATGAATCACTTAGTGAAGAATTGATAGAATATCCTGAGATTCGATTGTTATTAGTCACACCAGGACAATTATCTACTGAAATGTTTCAAGATGTAGCCCCTTCCATGACATGGCTTGCCCCTATTGTATCACCTAACTGGTTAGCCAAAAAGATTATATCGAAAATTAATATGGGAGAAATTGGGGTATTAAGTGAACCATTTTATGCTAATTTCTTACCAGCAGTTCGAGCTACACCATTCATTGTTCAACGATTATGTCGATACTTTTCAGGTATGGACACTAAAATTATAGACCAATGACAATTTTTTATATTAGAGTATATGTATATTTAACAAGACGTTAATTAACTATTTATTTTTATTGAGATTTCTTGGAGATTTCATGTTTTAATAAGGTTGTAAATGCATCTCTATTGAAATAACCCACCACATCAAAGAATTCATTAAATTTTAATGATGATTCAATGGTAGTTTTATCATTTAAAGTGATTTTTATATAATAGAGTGGATCAAATTTAACTGTCCAACCAGCTATGATTATTTTTTCCCCTTTTTCAGTATAACCAATATATTTAACATTCTTATATATTCTGTTCAAGTATAATAGACCAGCACTGAATATGGAGTATAAGATAATGGATATAACCACCACATTATAAGATTCATCAAAGGAATATTTTCTATCGACAAGGAATAAAAGACCAGCAATCGCCACTGTGCTGACTCCTAAAGCCAATTTTATATCAGTGATTTTGAATGATTCATCATAACCTAATTGAGTTAAAACAGATGATAAATTATCATCAGTAGTTTGACGTAAATCAGATACAGAGCTAGAGTGATAGGGTTGGTACGTGTCTCTTTGATAATTGTATAATGAACAATATCATGTCCTAATTGGTTTCATACATACTTTAAGTTGGTTTTCTTCAATGCAGACATGATTATACTTGTTGATGACTTAAGACTATAATCCTAGTTAACTGTAAATTATAAGTATTGATCTGAACTGTGTTATTTGGTTTGTCTCTATTTTGAAAAATGGAAGCAGTTAAAAGGAAGCATACCAAAAAAAATGAGGTTTGGATGTTTACATAAACTGTAAGAAACATATAACATGTAAAACACCATTATAACCTGTAAAACACAGTCTAACCTGTAAATAAGGGTGAATTCTGCCATCATTTCTTTTTTAGCCTGTGTGATTTCATAATTTGAATTGATTGATAGATTGATACCCCAAGGATTTCATTAACCTTGAAAGTAGAGGTAAGAAGTTCATTTGAACCCCTTCCTCCTATCACGTCATCGTCTCGTCCTTGTCATTCAGGGATAGTTACTACCTTTTGAAGATCTCCTTCTCCTTGTTCATTTTCTGTTGCCATTGCGTGTTGTTTATTTGTTTATTTGTGTTGTGATTGATTATTGCTTAGAGCTATATTTAACGCTATTTCCATTTAAACCATATTAGTATCGAACTAATATGAACTTAGACTTGGTATGAGCTATACTAATTTACCAACTATGATTACCAAGAGTGATATCAACAATAATAACAACAGTATTAATACTGGGAATAACAATAACAATAACAATAATTTGACTAATTTAAAATCAAACTCATCGTCATCATTAATGAGTGATAAAGCAAGACAACAAAACTATTATCCAAGTCAAAAGCAAAGTCAAAAGCAAAAGGCAAGAATGAAACAAAAACCTTCTGGTGCTTCATCATCGGCCTCCTCTTTACCATTACCTGATTATGATGGTGGTTTTGATTATAATGATGATTTTGCTAAACTGATTGATAGTCAAATCAAACAACAATCTCTGAGAGGTAGAGGTAAAAAGATTTCCATTGATCATTTGTTTTCCTATGAATCATATCGTGATCTGGAACAATTTCATAATAGTCATCATAATAATAATATCAATAATCATAAGAATAGTAGAAGAGGTAGTGGAACCAAATCAAGAAAAGATATCATTAACAAAGTTCCCTTAAAAGGGATGACTTTCATTAATGTTAATTATAAATTCGTGGTTGATTATACTCAAGATTATAATACTCAAGCATTAGATCCTAATATTCCTGTTAATGTTAAAGATATTATTCGTATTATAGTTCCTCAAGGTAATTCATGTCCAATTTGTCTTTCCGATGAAATCATTGCTCCAAGAATGCTTTCTTCTTGTGGTCATATTGTATGTTTAAAATGTCTTTTATCATTATTAGATAGTGAAGTTCCTGAAGCTAAAAAGAAACAATCCCTGGCTATAGTTGAAAAATATAAAGAATGTCCATTATGTTCATCAATTATTCGTCAAGAACAAATAAAACCAGTGTTAATCAGTAACATTGATGGAAGGTTTGAAACTCCAAAGATTCATAATGAAGTGGTGTTAACTTTAATGTCAAGACCTTCAAATAGATTGATACCTTTACCAAAGAATTTACAACAATATCATGAAATTATTGGTAATTTCCCCTGGATTAATAATGATTCAGATATTGAATGTAATAAATATGGTAGAATCTTTAAAGGAAATTTCCAATATTTATTAGATATATTTGAATCTGAAAAAGTTCAAATTCATTTCAATTATGAAGAAGAAAAATCGTTATATAATGAAAGTTATAAGTATGTCCAAATGTCATTGGATAACATCGATAAGGATATTGAAAAGTGGTCGAATTATTTTAAAGATACCTCATCAACTCCTTCTCCTTCTATTAATAATAATGACAATAGTACCGATGTCAGACGGTTTTACTACTATCAAACTGGATTCGATACTAATGCAACATATGTATTATCACCTTTGGATATTAAAGTTCTTAAAGCATGTTATGATGATAATTATGAGAATTTACCTTCCAGTATCGTGGGTAAGATTGAAAATATTAAATTTGAAGAATTAACTGAAGAAACATCAATTTCAAAATATAAATATTTATCACATTTACCAATTGGAACTCAATTAGGATTTTTAGAATGTGATTGGAGGGGGAAATTATCAGAATCAGCATGGTTAACTTATAAAGATGAATTAAATAGAAGAAGTCATTTATCAAATAAGAAATTCAAGAGAGAAGAACGAAATAAACGAAGAGCTATAAATCAAGAAGAAATTAAAAATCGGAATTTCTTCATCACTGAAAATTCCACTTCCCCAAATCATAGTCATAATGAAGATCTTGATTATGGGATTGGAAGTTTATCTATCAATGATAATCGTCGGAATATCTATTTACCAGTATTGGAACATGAAAGTAATAGTGAGGCCGGTGGTGATGATGAATTTGAAGATCATAATGATGATTCTATAAGTAATGGATCACCAAATTTGACCGCTGCTACTACAACTATGGCTGATACTAATGATAATACCCAATATGAAACCACGGTATGGGGGACAAAAATACCAAAACGGAATGATAATAATGATACAAGTAATGAATATGATGGAGATTATGATGGATATGAAGATGATGGATGGGATGCTGAAGAAATGATACGAAAAGCTAGAGAAGAAATGCAAAGACAAGAAGAATTAGAATCACAAGCAGGATCTAATAAACTGAAAAAGAAGAAGAAGAAGAAGTTAATTCTCTTATCTTCTAACAGTGCATGGTGAAAAGGTGACGATTTTTGTGGGTCTTTCTTTTTTTTGTTTTCTATAAATCTAAACTTTGACATTATACTATACATTACACGTTATATTAGTTTTTTACTTACATACATACAGATATTTATACATACATACATACATAAACATAATTTAATTTTATACCATTAATAATATTCATCTTCATATTTAATATCGTTAACATCATGAATTGATCCAAAAATCAAATGAAAGTAAGGTCTTACATAAAAGAATACCCCACCAAGTAATAACACTCCGGTACCAATGACAGGGAAACACCAGAATGGAATGATCATAGAATCTTTATTTGGAGGAGGGACGAATGGGAATAATGCGAGGAATAAATTAGCGGTAAGGAATAAGGCTATGCATATGTATGGAGCCTTTATGATTTTTTTAGATGTGGTAGGGGATGAAGATGGAAGGAGAGCCGTTGATGATGAGATTGATAATCGAGACATACGATCTGATGTTTGAGAACGATTACGAGGGTTGAAATCTTGGACGGTATTATCTTCATCATCATTGAAGGTAGGTTCTTGTTCATCACTTTCATTTTGTTCAAGGATATAATCTATATCATCATCATTGGTTTGAGAATGATCGATTATATTATATTCATTCCAATTTTCCGTCTTTTTATTAACTTTCAAATATATTAATCCCACACTGATCAATACATTAATCCACGTACCAGGATATATATAAAGATTAACCACGAATTCATAAATCTCCGTCAGGGGTGGACCAACAAGGATCAAAACCGTTACGGCCCAATGCAATAATAAAGCATAATTTAAATTTTGGAATGTTTTGGAAAAGGGTATATAATTATTCATGGCTAATTCTTGATTGACCAATGAATGAGCATAACTTACCACAAGAACATTACCTAAATTGGATAATGAGATGAAAATAGGTAATAAATGAGATGTGATATTTGATCCAAAGATTTTATTGAAGAAAATACCGGCACATAATACACCTGAATTCAATAATTCTTGTTTGGGGATGACGATAAGGTATGAGATAATGACGAGGAAATATAATGCGGTGGTTACTAATACTGCTGATGGAGCAGCGATAGTTAAGATATGATAAGGATTTTCTACTTCATTTAAGACATAATTAACATTTTCCCATCCTTTAAAAGAATAAATGATTTCTAATAATGCTACGGACACATTATAAACTGATGCAGATGATCCAGTTGATATTGAATCTTCAAATTGCCAAATATTAGTGAAATTTGTAGTTGGTTCAATATCAATGAATCCAATAGTGACTAATCCTCCTATAGCGATGATCAATACTAAGATAAGGATTTTAAAAATTCCTAAGAAATTAAAAAGATGAGTTCCTTGATTTGGATATTTCATATGTAAGACAATACAGAATGTGATACATCCAACTCCAATCAATTTAACATAAGTTTCACTTATATTTTCATGATATGCTTCGGAAGTGAATGCAAATAAGATATATTTCCCAAATGCATAAGAATTCCCTGAACTGAATCCTAAAATAACAATCAGGAAGGAATAAATACATCCGATTAAACCCTTGGGACGATTGAAGATTCTTAATAAGTAATTCAATTCTCCACCGTTCTTAATCGGTAAATTCAAGGAAAATTCAAGATAAATAATTAATCCTGAAAATATGATAAGTCCACCAAGTAAAAAAAGAGAAAGAAACAATCCGACATTTCCATCAAGGTATTTAAAGATGATGGAAGGATTCAGAAAGATCCCAGTTCCGATGATTTTATTAACTATAAGTGATATACATGATAGGGTACCTAGTTTAGCTTGAGGAGTTGGTATGAAAGTTGATGATAATTTGGAATAAAGGGAGGATCGTGATAAAGTCGGTACTAATGGAGCCATTTCCCTATATGATTGATCTATGATGTGAATTTGGACTTTCTTAAAAGAATTTAGTTATAGTTGTATTTATAAATGGAATCGTTTAAACTGGTTTGTTTATATTATTTCAAAGTGTGGATTTAGTTGTGAAAAATTTCTTTAGTGTCACTTCATCTGCTTACAAAATTGATTTAAATTGATACAAAAAAATGACAATCGATAAAATCACGTGATATCACCAAATGCGGCATGGATGTGATCATTTTATGTCATTTTTAAATGTCATTTTTTTTTGGGAGATCAATTCGAATTATTTTTTAATATTCCAGATCGGATTAGTTACCCAATTTGGAAGTGTCTGAAATAGGCTGAAGTTTAAAAATTATTGTCATTTTTTTTTTTATTCTATTTGCAGTTCCGGAAAATAAAGATATTTTAACGAAAGGAGAAGAAGGAAAATGCAAATGAAAATGTCGTGGTTGTTAAGTGATATAAAATTATTATTATTATGAAACTTTTAATCTTGATTGTAGGGGGGTGGGGGAAGTAGGGGGTGTAACAGAAAATGTAAATTTGTTTAAAGACAACAACTTGTCCCTTTCCAGATCAAGTTATGACGGTCAATCAAATATTCTATTACAAATGATAAGAATCAACGGGGTATTACTTTTATATTAATTATCTATGTAGATAGTAGTCTAGTCTAATTCAAGTCTATAATCTCTACACTAATATTACAATCATCTAAAATTTGTAATGATTTAACATTATCCGATTTAGATTTAGTACTACCAGTAGTACTTATTGTTACACTTTCCGATTCAATTAATTGAATATCTTGATTAATCAATTTAAAATGAGGTAAATTCACATTTCTCTTTTTTAAGATTTGTAAGGTTTGATGTTGATCATTTGATTTGAATAATACTAAATTTGGATTATTTATCGATGTAGTAGTACATTTTGAAAGTTGATGATTGATGGAAGGGATTATGACATTAAAGATTGATTTTTGAGATAATGATAATGATGATAATGATGATGATGATGATGATGATTTAGTTTCCATTATATTATGGATTAATTGGGTGATTTTATGATTTATGTATTGTAAATTGGTTGTGAAAATATTTTTTTTAATTTGATGTTTTTGATGATTATTATTTTGATTATTATTTATATTAAAATATTTTTCATCTTGATAATAAATATTATGATTATCATTAGTTTGAATAAACATGATAGGAATTTCTTCATCACTTTGATTAATCAATACATTTAAAACATCATCATGTAAATTATCTGGCATTGAAGATTTTTCATTTGGACCAAATAAAATTAAATCAGGTTTAAAATGAGGGAAAAAAGTTGGTAATATAACATCAAATGATAATTTTAAAGTAATTATAGGATTGGAATTGATATACCAAATTTGATTATTTAAAGGATCATGACCAAATTGATTTGAATTTTGCACTAATTTCGATTGTTGTTTTAAAATTGATGATGATATCACATTTCTTGGAGTTTTTGGTTGATTTATTTTTAATAAATTTTTATAATAAATTTGATTTACATCTAAAAGATGACCAAATTCACCTCCATCAAGAATTGAAGTTATGGTAGTACTGGTTGTAGTAGTGAAATCTTTTAATGATAAATATTTATTATTGAAATATAAGGGAGCTATTAATATAACATTATGACCTTGATTTGTTAAAGTTGTATATAAATGTCTTGAATTTTTTGAAACCCAAGAATCAGAAGTTGATAAAAGAATGTTTAAAGCGAGGGTATAAGGTATGAGAAGTAATAGTATAATGAAAGATCTTGACATGGTTGGTTGGTTGGTTGGTTAGTTAGTTACAGTTACAGTTGTCATACGACGATATGGGAGGAGGAGGATATGGTTATGGTTATATATATATATATATAATACAATATATACAAATTAATAGTCGTGTGTAACTACCACACTTGTAAACTAAAGCACACATGGTCATATTAAAGGGGTGTTGGGTATATATTGGTACATAATAATAATTAAAACTCGTGTGTAAAAGAGGTAACTAACCAAAACAGATCCCTCCCACGTTGTCATTAAAAAAATTATTTTATTTTATTTTATTTTAGTTTAGTTTACGCTTAATCAAATAAATAAAAAACGTTTTTAATTTTACACAAACAGAAATTAAAGTAATTTTTGATTCAATGCACGACATTAAGTTAAGACAGACAGACCAGACAGACCAGACAGAATGAGATGAGATTAATTAATTAATTAACTTAACTAATAGTTAATTATCTAATTTATCGTACCCTTCCTTAATTAATCCATTTTACTGCAGTTAATTAACATTAACTACCATAACTAATCAAACATACTACTACTACTACTACTGTAAATCATCTCTTATCTAATCCATCCTATCACATCATATATTAATAGTAGATCTTAAATTACTTTGTAACATATGTTATACCTAAGATGTGATGATGTTTTAATCTGCCTCAATTATAATTTAGATCATGACATCCACACCGCAGTATTAACTTGTTTAATCCCCACACCGCAATACTAACCCTCATTCGGCTAAAAAAAAAAGGTGCCAAAGGGGCATGGCATTATGCGAAATAATTCAATTATAACTTTAAATATCATAAGTTTATAAGGATAAGTTATTTATTTATTAAAATTATGAAAAAACAATACATATTAAATATACTCCAATTTTCATAATTAATCGAATTATCTAATTCAATTTAATACCATTCTACTTTTTTATAATTAAGTTCAAAAATGTTTCAGGAGCCCAATTTTTCTTAATTTAGGTGGCCGTCACTTTTTTCCCTCCACCGTTGGAGCGGCTCCCCTCCACCCAGCCCTGAGCTTTCCCCCTCCTTTGTGTCCAGTCTCTCTTCCCCCCCCCTTCTCCACTTTTTGCAACTTACACAGACGTCAAAAAAAAAAAGTTTAACTTTAAATTTTTAAATAAGATATGCATGTAATTTATGTTATATATATATAGATATAGGTATATACGTTATAAGGACTACTTATTCATGATTAAATTTTCAAGAATTAATTTATCATTATCACTAATTTGTCCAAATATAATCGTGAACTTTTGTCCATCATTTTGATGTAAATATTGAAGATATGTCTTAACTAATAATAATATATCAATATTATCTAATGGATTCGTAACTAAGGGATCTTCCATTATTAATTCATCTCCTTCTTCATCATAATCTTCCTCTTCTTCTTCTTCATTACCTTCATCATCGTCATCTTCAGAATTATAATATTCTAAATTCTTAATTTTAGAATCTTCAGTTTGTAAAAAATCAAGATATTGATTAGTTTGACCTTCAGATTCATCCTGTATATCATTCACTTTCGGTTCAATTATTCCTCCTCCATTCAAATTCTTTCTTTTCTTATCTAAATTATTCATCGCTCTTGGTAAATTACGAATCAATATAATCAACTTATCTCCTAATTTATTTAAAATATCAATATCTCCTCCATTCATTAAATTAATTATACTGATTAAATGTAATTTAATATCATATACTCTCGTCAAAATCGGAATCATCTTAAACCAACGATCAAAGAAATTCCCAATCTCTCCTGATTCAGTTAATAATACTAATGTTTTATAATAATCAATGGTAAATCCACTAACAATGATATTAATTAAATTAACATTGATATTCGAATTTGAAATCTTTTTCCGTTCAACCGCCGCCTTGAAATATTGTTGATATAATTGAAGATAAGTCAGGATTAATTTAATCGTTAAATTTGAATTTGATTCATTAATAATTGGACTAATTTTTGTAACATCATTAATAGAAAGAATAAAAGTTTGTCCTAATTCTATACCATATAAAAATTCACTAATTTGATCAGTTGAATTCAATAATATCTCATGAATAATCTCAATCATATAGGATTTATAAACATCATTCATGATTTGAGATTCATGTCGAGCATCATTTACCCCACTATAAATAAGGAAATTTTGTAAAGTAGGAAATAATTCTTCAATATACATTAAACTTATTCCATCTTCTCCCACAAAAGATTGATATAATAATTCAAAACATTTCCACATATTTGGACTTATGAATCTTAATAAGAAAATCGAATTTTCAATTAATTCTCCTACTTCTCCAAAAAGATCATCTAATTTATTAACAATGATATATTCCACCACAGGATAAAAAGTTTCTTCTAATTTTAAACAAATCGATTGAGAATTTTCAAATGATAATAAAATCGTAATCATTGTATTCAATAATCCAATTCCAACCATGATTTTATCACTTTGAAGATTGGATTCATAATCATCATCTCCATCATTACCATCTTCTAATTCTTGATTATTCAATTCCACAATTTCACGACATAATCGTAATAATTGTTCTACTAATTTTGCCATTAAATCAATTCCAAATGGTTGTAATTGTTCACTGAAATTCTCCACACATTCTTGCATCACCACTGAAATTGAATCATTATCAATTTCATTTGAAAGTTCTAATAATTTAGACATAATAGGAACAATCATAGTTGATAAAATAGGTTTGAATTTTTCATGATTAATATAAGCTTGAATAGCCAATGAACTTTCAAAATTAAGCACAAGATTAGTAGTTTGATTGAAATTATTTAATATACCTTGATAAATGATTAATTGATTGAATTCAGTATCATCTTGAACGGTGTATTCTAAACTGGAGAATTTACATAAAATATCCAATACTCTAGCTCTGATGAATTCAAATTTGGAATTAAGATTAGGTAAAATTAATGAAAAAAGAACTAATTTCAATTGATGAATATCATTTAATTTAGGATCAATTAAATAATCAGAAATATTTCCAAACATTCTTAAAATCCCTTCCTTTTTCTTAACTACCGCCAATGTTTCTTCTCCCAAATTTTGTAAATCATTTAATTCATTATAAATAGTGGAAACAATCGTTCCTAAAGTAGTTTGAGAACGTTTATGTATCAATGTTACTAAGAACCCTAATGCAGCAATGTCAGGACTATCAAACTCATCATTAATATCAAATACAATAGAAATATATTGTTGAGGTTCGATTTCAAATAATTCTAAAGCTTCATCTGTAGGACATAAAATGGGATAAATGAAATATTTTATTAAGGTATCATAATAAGGTTTTATAAATACCCAAGTTTGTTTATGAATGATACATTGACTTAAGAATTCCAATACATAATATAATGATGAAGGGTTTAACCATTTCTTTTCATGACACCAATTTTCAATCATAGCTAAATAAAAATTAATCAAAGGACTTGAAATCTCATTATTGAAATGTTTTTGAAATTCTTTATATTTGAATTTTTTACTTAATTGATTAGCATAAGCATATCTTGAAAAAATTCGAAACATATTGGCTATAGACCATTTATAACATTTTGAAATTTGAAATGAATTCTTTTCTTGTTCCGAATATGATGATAATTGTAAAATATAATTAGGAGTAGGGATATTTGTGATTGAATTATGAAATTTAATCCAATTTTGAATGGTGATAGGATCTCTTATGGGTTCAGGTAAATCATAATAGGTAACAAATTTAAAAATCTTAAGAATCAATTTCAAACATTCCGAAATCAATTCTCCAATATTTTGTGGTATAACATTATTTCTAACGGTTAGAATTAATGAATTACCAATATTTAATAAATGAGGAAATGCTTTTATAATCATAGGATCTAATTGATGACTTCTATCACTATTCTCTACCCATTTAAACTTTCTAGTTATCTCAGCAAAACATAATAAACCCGTATATAATTTTGAATAATATTCATCATTATTTTCATGAGATTGTTGTTCTTGTAAGAGATTCCCAGTTTCATTTAATAAGTTGGGCCATTTTTCAAAATCCTGAGCTATTATCACTCTTAATGCTGGTATCAATTGTTGTTTAGTACTATAATCAATATGGATCATAACAGGTAAGATTCTATCTCTAATATAAGGTTTTTCATCATGTTGAATTTTTAATTCATTAGGGATATTTTTCTTATCACTTGAGTTCCAGAACCTAACAATCTTATTCTTGAAGTAAACAGCAGGAGCTATCTTATTATGATGATTGGCTGTATCAAGAGAAATGATATCTAAACAAGCTCCTAAGAAACCAGGTGATATGGATAATTGTTTAAGGTTCGATTCTGCTTGCATTCGAATCGACGGATCCGCCTCAAGCGTCCCCGCAAAACATTCAAGTAATAGGTTAGGATCCACCATCTATGATACACCTGTCCTTACCTTATCAATTGAATCCAATTTAATTGATCTATCAATCTATCTATATTATAGGAATGAAGTGCTGCCATTTTGAAGGCTCTTTGGATTTTTTGAGGTGTCAATTTTTTTGGTAGAAAGTGAAAGGTCCAGATCTGACATTGTGTGCAGGACGCTACTTTATATAGGATGTATTCCCGTCGGTTTCTTTCCTTGGTACGGTACCAGTTTAACTTTACAACAGTAATAACACAGTTACAAGTTCTATCGTCTAAGTTATAGATTGATGTTACATGGAGATGAAGGATTAGATCATGTACCATTACATCATCATCATCATAATCATCCTTGTATATCAAACAAAATACTTTCATGTAATTCGCTTACTATCTTAGCGTACAGTAAAAATATTTATTTAAGCCTTTAGTGTGTTCCTATTAGGAATCGAACTCAGGGAATAGATGATTATACCTTGCAACCACTAAACTATTCCTACTTAAAAATGAACAAATTAAAAATTGAATTTTGAGGTATATCTCTCACGTGATCTTCGATCAAATGACCTGTTGTTTTAGTTTAAAAAAAATTTATAAACTGAAATCAAAACAAAAATTAATTGATAACAAAGTAAGGATCATTGAATTCTTGCCTAACCGTGAAGGTTGCAATAGAAACTTTTTATCCACATAGTTTGTCATGGGTATTGTTCCCAATAACCTTGTATTACATCTTATCAATTTAAGATTTGATTCAAGAATTTTGGTATATTTAGAACTAATTTATTAATTTATCTAGGAATCGTCACCAGGTATCGTGTATACCGTCTTTATGACAATGTGAACAAGCGGCGGAAGGTAGTTCATAAATATAATATAATAAATATTTTTGTTGTCCAATCCTACATGAAGAAATCAGTGAAATTATATTTAGGTTGAACTTTTTTGATTTACTTCAATTTCAAAAAATTCAATGTGTTTGTACTAACCATAATATAGCAGGACATCATCCATGTTCGTCGCGTAGGCATAAAAGATAATAGGAAATTTTGTGTATTAATATATAAAGTTTTTATATTTATACCTTGATTATTGAATAATATCATTTGTAAGAGGTTTTATACTAAAGTTCTATTACGCGCTACCATCAATTTTTATTAAATTATGCCTAAATTTTATTGAATCTAATATACATATATATTAAGAACCGATATTTAAAGATTAATTCACAAATCATCTATTGACCTCCTCCTGCTCCTGCTGCATCTTTGGCAGCTTTTGCTTGAGCAATAGTGACCCAAACAAAAATAATAAGTCCCAACGATGCTAAGAAAAGTGTAACACCAAATGCAATTTCAAAATAATATCCACATCCTTTGACTCTTTTATGTTTAAGCTTCTTATCAATATCGGCAATATCTCTATTGATAGCATTCAATCTGTTTCTTAATTGAAGAATACTAACTGTGGTAGTACCTGTCAGTTTCGATAATTGATAAGGGGCAGGTAAATCTGGGATGGTCATAACTCCATCAATGTCTAACTTTGCGGTACTCATGGTTATGAAATGACGTTTATTCACTTATTAATTATATATGAAATGATAATACCTTAAGAGAAGAAAGAAAAAGTTTAAATTATATTTTCATTCGCAATTAAATTTGTTAAATATTTTACATTTTTTAGCATAATATAAAATCATACATTATCTACTATATACTTGGTATCAACTTAACGAAGTAAATATCATTGTTCATTTATTAATTTTCCCTAATACTTCGTTTCTCCCAACAAAGCTTAACCCAATAACGATAGCTAGCATAATACAGGCGACAATTCTATGTGTAACATTTGACAGACAATCTCCACATTCAGGATATTTAATATGAGACTTATGTGGAATAAAAAGTTTAGTTTTGACGTAAGCAAGGTCTTTAGTAATCTTTCCCATTCTTCTTGATACCTGGGATATGTCAATTAGTTTGGGGATTGTTTGTGACTCACGTCCAAGATTACCATCGGTTAAATTCTCAGAAGGCATTTCTTTCGAATGTTTTGCTATTTGTTATATTATTTCAATTAGATATATAGTAAATGACAAATTTCTCCTAAGAGATAGAAAATCATAAACGAGAAAGCTATCAGTCAGACCCCCTGAGAAAGAATAATTGGAATGTTTTATTGGGATAAAGACTTATCTTTTCAGGCAATTATAATTTATAGAGTTATAAATAAAATTCATTTCTTTGGAGAACTTTAAAAATATTTACTTATTATTATTACAATACCAATGGCTACACTTCCAACTTATGCTTCTGCGACTGGGATTCTACTGACAGCAGAAGAAGAACTTATCGAATTGGATAACATCGATCTTGATACAACATCATCAATATTATTTCAAGAGAATGATCTAGTAAAACTTGTCAGCTCAATTGATAACATAGAAACAATACTCAATAGTTTAAAAAAAGAAATCAGGAAAAGAGAGAACGCAGGACTAGAGAGTATATATGTTGCTTATACGTGTGATAGGTGTGATAGATTCTGGATTAGCACTTCGTTCATGGTTCTAAGTATGTTAATGTTGATCATTTCCATGGCAACTTCATTTATATACTCTTTAAAAGTTTAAAAATTCTTGCAAAATTTATATTAATTAAAAATATATAATATTAAAAATAACTAAATTCAACTAGGCAGACCTCTGTAGTTAATTAATTTTCTCTAAAACGATTGATCTGGCAATTAAATTGATGACAATACACGAAGCTATCCAAGCAATAACCTCAAATCTCAATTCAAAAAACATCAGACATGATTCACATTTAGGATATTTTAAGTCCCGTGGAGTATCAAATCTTGTTTTGACGTAAGCAAGTCTTTCAGTAATGTTTTGAATTCTTGCTGATACCTGAGAAATATCAATTGAATCGAGGGTTGTTTGTGCTATTTGTTCCAAATTTTGAGACATTTTAATCGATTTTGAATTAGATATAACGAAAATGAAAAACAGAAGGCACCAATTGGACTCTTAGGTAAAGTTCTGGAGATGAAAAGAATAATTAGAGATAATGTTAGCGTAAAAATTTTGTGAACTTCGCAGAATTTATTTTGCAATTGCCTTCATTTAAAAAATCCTTTATTTTCTATTTATTTCTGACTTCTTTGGACAAATATAAAGTAAATCAAATTTAATATCATTATTACTGTTCCAATGGATATACCTCCATCTTATGCTTCAGTGATTGGAAATCTGCTGGAATCCGCAGGAGTACCCATTGAAACTCAAAATATCGACCTCAATAGGGCTAGATTAATAGTACGCCAACAGGAAGATTTAATAGAGCTTGTCATGGCTATTACTTCGATAGAAAGTACACTTAACATTTTACATGATGAAATTAGGAAGAGAGATAGTGCAGCACAAGAAGGTGCAAATATAGATTATGTTTGTGATAATTGTTATAATTTCAGGTTAGGCTTCATATTCGTGGCTATAGGATATATGGCGTTGATCGTTTCCCTGATAATTACATTTATATCTTCTTTCTTTATCTAAAAAATATGGTTTGAAAAGGTTATTTAGTATAATCTTGAAAATACTTTAGTCCAATATATTTGTATATTAATTAATTATAAGCACCGGAAACAATATTTTATCTTTAATATTGTTATTAAAGGATTTAATATAAAGTAGCCTGTAACAATAAGAAATTAATGATGAAAGTCTTGATAAACCATTCTGTGATTATCTAGGCGTAGATGGTGAAACTATATTACTAGCAGTGTTAGTCATTTGAAGTTGTAAGTTATAATTGTAAATGAATAAATATACAGGTCAAAAAAGTTAAACATCCATACACTTAACAATAAACTCTATTACTTTGATTGATTGATTGATTGATTTATTAATTACATATTTTAAATCTTACATAAATTAATATGATAGTATATTTAACAAATTGGTTAGATTAAGTTTTAGTTTGTAAAATCGGAGCATCTTTATTATGGTATACTGCCAAACTTGATTTGATTTGTATATATAAATATATTGATGCGGCCACCCTTATAAAAAAGATTTAAACCTTCTTGTCCTTTTCATAAAAAGTAAACAGTTTTCTTCTTTAAGATTTCATCAAAGTACATTATCAATCATCACAATCACATCAAATGAAGTTCATCGTTGAACTTATTTGAACCATTACATTAACATTATGTATACTAACTATTGTTCAATAATGTTTTGATTTTGGTGATTAGTTCTGCATATAAACACCAATAATTTTCTCATGTGACCAATATCACATGACTAACATGTGCTACCAATTTTAAAATTAAATTCGTTAAATGAATAATCAATGAACAGAAACATTGTTAGGTGGTTTCAAGAAACCAAATACAAGTAAGTAAAATCATAAACTGGTTTTCTTTTTGTTAAGATATTATATACTAACCTAACTTTATCTGAACTATAAATGAAATGTTGAATCTTTATTTCGTTACATCCACAAAAAATGCAAATAGAGTTGCATAAGAAATGCAAAAAAAATATACAGCGCTAAATTTATTTCACAATTTGCTTCTTTTCAAGAGTGTAATCAAGTTCATTAACTATGGCCAGCTTTCAACGAGGAAGACGGTACAGTTATCCAACTTCGATACAAGTCAATAGACTTCATAGAAGAGGACATAATCCCTTCTTTAATTTTAATTCTAATTTTCAAAATATCCCAAGATCCCGATCATCTTCTGAATCAGCGGTTAACTCCAATAATCCACATGAGATATTACCTATTGCAGAGACTCCAAAGGAACCTCCAAAGACTGGTTTCAAAGCAGCAGTTGCTAAATGTTTTGATCATTCGATTTCTTTAAATGGAGGTGCTGATGGACTTAAAGTTAATACATTTTTCTTTGGTTTTTGAATGATATTTTTATTGTCCACATCTTGTTTATTTGCATATTATGTCATAAAGGGAATATACCTGGGCCTGGAGAGTCCTAAAACATATTCACTGGATGTGAGTTCAAAAATTATGAAGCAAGGATCAAATAGTACTACTACTGAACTTTCATCAGGAGTTACTTATTTAATAAACTACTTAAATACAACAACTTCAACAACTACAACTACAAATCCAGCAATCAATTCAATGTCTCAATCAGGAGAATTTATTAGCTCATTTGATGGTTATAGTTATGTTTATTTTTTGAACAATGTTTATCACTCCAGTATGCTCTTTTATTATCAATCAATAAGAAAGGAATGTGAAAAAATTCACAGTAGGCTAATCCTCAATGGACAGAGTCTTGGAACTCGTCAGCTTTTAAGAATCAGTTTTGGTATGGGCTTATGTGTTTGTTGTCTCTCCCTTAACTTGATCAGGCCAAATAAGCCAACTCCTGATATAAAATATTAATTCTGTTTGTTATTAAGTAGGATTTAAAGAGTTATAGATATTAGATATTATTAGTAATTATATATAAATGTATATTATAAAATTGTTATAGAAAGCAACTAACTAAATAAGTTAAATCTCTTTATAAGCAAGTCTTATAACTCTTCGTGTTACTGTGAGTATTTATCTCCTTCATTATCAAAGTCTACTGCAAAAATTATTCTTTACAACGCACTACAACTGAAACGCTTGTTCTTGTTCTTGTTCTTGTTCTTGTTCTTGTTCTTGTTCTTGTTCTTGTTCTTGTTCTTGTTCTTGTTCTTGTTCTTGTTCTTGTTCTTGTTCTTGTTCTTGTTCTTGTTCTTGTTCTTGTTCTTGTTCTTGCTATTCCTCCTATATATTAGCAGACATGTTTCAATACGGTAATATTCGTAAATCGAAAGCGGGAATAATTAAATCATTTACTCAGTTTCAGTCTTTGTCTTTATAGGTTCTCTTGTATTCTTTCTTCTTGGCCAAATTGAAGGTAATTTAACTACTTGAAATCTTGGTTCGATGCATCTTTCAATAAACCAACTTCTTAATTTATTTTCAATTAATGATGAGATTTTTGGTACATCTTGTAATTTTGCTCTTGATCCAATCAATGATTTAACTGTGAATTCCAATCTATAATCAGGAGAAAATGAAAACATCAAGGCTGTGCCTTCATCGTTTGAATCATCATTCTTCTTTGATGCTGATGGATATGAAGATGAACCTGTGGTGGTAGATGTTGGTTTCGATTTTTTAGGTGATGATGGTATATTTGAGTGAGAGTCCATAGATAATGATTGGCTCAAAGGTGTAGCACCTAAAGATGATCTTCCAATATTACTAGATGAAGAAGCCATTGATGAAGCTTGTGGTGGTGTATGTGGTAGTATGACAGTATCATCATTAGGTTCTGGAGTTGATGTTTCAGAAGATAATGAAGGAGTGGTAGATATTTTTAAATCAGCAAATTCTTGATCATTAGTATTTATCAAGGATACAGTTAAACAGCCTGAAAATCTAACAATTGATACTGATAATTGAACAGGCAATACTGCAGTTAACGGTCTTGGATGATTTAATAATAATTTAGTCTCAATTCCCAATGTTAAAGTATCAGCCAAATCAACATCAATCTTAGCTTCCAATCTACCTGAACCATCTTGACTATGTTTGATCCTACAATTGGAACAAATGGGGAAATCATCACCGATATCAATCTCAGTGATATTTATCTTATCCAAATATTCTGGTAAATCTGCCGTTTCCAAAAACTCAGTTAATGAATGATAAATATTATCAGATAAGATAGCTTCTGATCTGAATTGAGATATGGTTTGAGCAATTAATACATTAAACCAATCCAATGTCTCAGGGGAATGGGTATCAACATCATAATAAGTCTTTTCTAAAATAGATGATAAGTTACTATTTTTAAATTTTTCATTATCTTCACTTCCATCACCATTCCCACCATTACTGCCTCCCTCAGAATCATCATTAGCTTTCTTCTTATCTCTCCTCACTATAACCCCCGATGTATCTACTCTTGACTTAGTTTTAGAACTTGTAGGCGTTGGATCAGCAAATACGAAAAACTTAATAAACACAATGATAATAAATATAACACTAACTTGACCAATAATCAAACCCTGTGTAAAACTCCAGGGATTGCTTGATTGGAATTGACTCAGATGTGATTGAATAGGCTTATTGGCTATTAGTTTAGGTGATGCAGTAGATAATAAATTCGGTTCTTGTAATAATAATTCACGTTGTTGCTGAAATAATTCATCTTGTTGTAGTTTCAATTGTTCCTGTAATCTCTCTAGATTGAGCAAGGTATCTTTCTTAGATTGATCCTGTTTCAGACTGACCATGATGATAGTTGTATCTTTCTATATGATATGTTTCATTAATGTTTAGAATCTATGGACTTATTCCTCTTCCCCTTGTTTAATTTGTATTGCCAAATTATTATTTCTGTTTTCGCTCTGATGGCACAACTATTTTTTTTTGCCTTATTTAAATTTAAAGTGTGATAAATATTGTTACAACAACAATTACAAACAGATGCATATATAAATGTATTAATTAAATATGGGTATAGTTAGATAAAATTGTTCTTACATAATGTACTTACTTATATTAAACGTTCATTCCTTTTTGACTCTCTTAGTAGTGGAACTTCTTCTTGCCTTTTTAGGTGTGGTAGTAGCAGAGGAAGTAGTTGATTTATTACTGGCTTTAGATTCAATTTTGGTTAATTTCTTATCACTACTCTTAGTTACCATAGTCTCATTATCTTCATCATCATCATTGGAAAAATCATCATGATCATCACGAATAATCCATTCTCTAACATTAGCAAAGATTGATCTTCCATTTAAATCTTTATTGGCATTTCCCATATATTTAGCAGCAAAATCAGTTAATGGAGAACTTACTCTTGATTGATTATCTTCTGAATCACTATTAGTTTGATTTGAACTTTCTAAGAATGATTGAACATCGAATTTCTTACCTCTCATAAATTCTCTAATTTCAAAATATAAATCACGAGATACATTATTAAAATTTTCTCTATTCTTTTCCCAATAAGTTCTAAAATCACTAATATGTTTCTTTAAATCTAATTCATTCTTTTTTAACCAACTTACATTTAATTCTTTTCTTGTTGCTCCACGAGCAAAATTTCTCATTAAATATTTATCATAATCACGAATGATTTTAGTTATTATATCAGATGTAGAAATACCTTCAGTTCTTTGAGTAGTTAAAAACATTCCTTTTTCTTTTATTGGTTTATAAATATCATCAGAATCTCCTGAAGCATAAGGTAAATCATCATGAGCAACATAATCAATATTATGCTCTTTTAAAAAATCAGTAGTAACACACCATGGAGCATTTGGAATAACTTCATCAACCCAACGACAATGTTTTAAAGTATCACATCTTTGTTGATCCGATAACACAGTTAAACCTTTTCTTTTATGAGTTTCAATATCAGATGGAACACCACAAACCAATTCCACATTTTCAAATGATTTTTTGGCTTGTTCTAATTGTCTCATATGACCTAAATGAAATAAATCAAATACACCATCAGCATAAATTCTAATCGGTCTATCCTTGGGAGGTAAATTAAATTTAAACCCTGCTGGTCTATATTTTCTTAATTCTTCAGGTAATTCAGCATCTAATTTTTTTTCATTTTCTTCAAATTCTTCTTCTTCTTTAGTCTTAACTTTTCTTCTCTTAGTAGCTGGGGATTTTATATGAGTATTATTATTATTATTATGATGGTGATGATGTTTATTACTATGATAAGCTTCCGGAATAGAATCATCCTCCTCAGCGTCTGATTCACGAGGGGTATCAGCTGGAGTAGAAGTTACAGAATCATCTTCATTCAATGGTCTCTTTCTCTTTCTCTTGAACAATTGAGATATCTTAGGAGCAATTGATTCCACCGATATAGTTCTAGTTAATGATTTTCCATCAATTATACTATTGGTATCATTCTTCTTATTTTTGATTGATTTAGGAGTACCAGCCATTATCTTTCTATAAACCTAACGGGTGTACCTTTCTCTGACACCTTTTTATAATACAATCTAGAGGGACTGATTCACCCAGAATCAAATGTAATATCAATTGAAGTTATCTAATGGTTGCTTAACCTTGCTGTTCAAATTCTAAATCGCATCAACCCATTTGTTATTTTTTTTTTTTTTTAATTAGGCTCGTTCCCGCTAAATTTGTTCCTTCCGCTGAGGCATGGATTTATTTTAAATCTAAATATCAAAATGGCTTCTGGCCTTTAACTAGTAGTTGCCTTAAATCAATTGAAGTGGATAGATCATCATGACCAAGATACATACGATATCAGACTTGACATTCTTGAAACCAAGAACACTCTATAGTTGGTTTAAAGGTGGTTCACCCACTGGAAATGGGAAATTCGCTGTGGTAGATGTGAGAGATTCGGACTTTTATGGAGGTCATATCAAAGGTTGTTATCATTATCCTGCTGGGAATTTCATGTATGCCTTGCCTGATTTACAAGAGAAATTATTCACGAATCAGATTGATGATGTGGTGTTCCATTGTGCGTTGTCCCAAGTTAGAGGTCCAAGTTCTACTATTCGATTCATAAATTCTTTAAATGATATCAAAGATCCTGAAAGACAGAAATATTTTTCAAATTTAAATGTATGGGTTCTAAGAGGTGGATTCACGAAATGGCAAGAAGAATATGGTGAAGATTCAGAAGTTACTGAAGGTTATAATAAAGAATTATGGCAAGGGGAATACTAGACACGACAATTTGATATATGATATATAATATTTATTTTTAATGGCAATGATCTAATATTTTTACTTTTATTTTAGAAATGACAATGAAATATTTAATATAGATATAGAAGTAAACAAAATGATAAAGATAAGAAAAATAAAAATAATAATAGTAATATACTCTTATATGTATAAAATGCATAGAAACGAAGAAGAAAAAATGAAACCTCCTTAAATCAAACTTGGACCATCATAATGATGGACTTGTGGTTGAGCTTGAACTTGAGGTTGGAATTGCTGTTGAGGGAATGCTTGACCAAATGACTGAAATTGTTGAAATTGCTGTTGCTGTTGTGGTTGTCCTTGAACTGGAGGTGATTGTGCCGGTCTTTGATACACTTGTTGACTCGTATATTGAGGTTGAACTTGAGGTTGGAATTGACTTGTCATTTGTTGTTGTATACCAACTCTGGCATTATTCAAAAAGTATTCCTTTTGTTGATCTCTTTGAGTTTCAGGGAAAACAGCAATGGTTGGAATATGTTCTAATCCACCAGCAGTAGCTTGAGGTTTTAATTGTGGTTGAGTAGCAGCTCTTTGTTTGGCAGATGCATCAGCAGAATTAAAAAGATTAGTAGTGGTTTGAGAAAGCTTAAATGGATTATTTCCAGTAGCAGATGCTTGTATAGGTTTTGGTTTTTCATTATTTTCATTGTTATTAAATGTAAATGCAGTGGTATGACTTGAACTAGCGAATCTTGATTGAGCAAATGGATTAGTAGATTGTGGTTGTAATGGTTGTTGACCAGTTGGCATCGAAGTAACTCTTGCAAATGGATTACTACCCGTTCTTTGCATTTGAGCAAATTGTTGAGGTTGTTGTTGTTGTGGAGGAGAAAATGGTTGATATGGTTGGACTTGACTTTGGAAAGTTTGTTGTTGTTGAATTGGTTGCTGTTGTTGTTGTTGTTGAACTGGCTGTTGTTGAGCTTGTAAAAATGGATTAGTATTAGTATGCTGAGGTTGAAGTTGTTGAACATTGCCAAATCCAGTGAAAGCATTCTGAATAGGTTGTTGTACTGGAAGAGGTTGACCTTGGGCAATGGTTGGCAAGGTAGTAAATACTCCACCAGTATGAGATTGGAAAACTTGGGGTTGTTGTTGTTGAACTGGAACTTGTTGAGGTTGTACTTGAACTTGTTGTTGTGGTTGATTTTGATAACCATTCATGGCAACCACAGCTGCAAATCCTTCTGGAACAGCAATAGTTCCCCATGGATTATAAGTTGATTGTCTCACAATCAAAGTATTATTACGTTGTAATTCAGGATTAGAAGGTTGTTGATCAGGTAAGCCAGTCACGATTGGTTGTGGTTGTTGCTGTTGTTGTTGCAGTTGTGATGATTCAGGTTTACTTTCACTTCCATTACCATTCTCCTTACCTTGCTTTTCAGCCAAGTATTGTCTTCTATTAGCTTCATAATTTGGATCATCCAAATATTCTTCCAATGATGAAGTTAAAGCAGTTGGAGCATGTTTAATAGTTGGGACATGTAATTTAGTTGCATTTTCAAGATGTTTGGCTACTCTTAAATAATCAATGACATATTTAGTTTGATCAACGAATTTTTTATAAATTTTTAAAGCTCTTTCAGCATCAACTTTTGACATTTCAAAATAATGTTCTAAAATATTTATAACCCCTTCATTTAATTCTTGAAATAATGCTAATAAATCATTAACTAATAATCGGAATGCAGTTAATATGATATCATTATTAATTTCATTTTCCATAAAATTATTCTTAAGTAAAGCATCAATTTGTTTTTGAATTGATTCAGTTTCTCTTAATAAACCCTTGTCAATCGATAAAGTTCTTAATCTACCACCTTGTTGACTTGAGTTATTACTTGATCTTTCATCTCGAACATAATCAATCCCCGTAGATTCGAATTGTTTCACTCGTTGTTGTAAATATTTCGCATATTTAATAATAAATTTAACATCATTACTTAATCCACTACCTTTTGATATATTTGATTGAGATAAATTAAGCATTTGAGGATATCTTTGCACTAAATAATTCAACGTGACATCTTTATCACCTTCTCTAATCATGATATGTATAACGATTAACAGTTTATAAACTACGGACCATGCACTATCTTGAAGTCTATATTGTAAAGTTTTCATAATGGTATGAAGATTTTCGGTTTCCAAGGCCAAATCAGTCGAAGTAGCCATTAATATCGGTTCAATATACTTAGGTTTAGGAGCAGCCACCTTTACTTTGGTGGCTCCCTTAACAATCTTTTCATAAGTTGTCATTGGGGATATATAATATCTATCAATGGGTTTGGAATAATCGGGAAAATAGGGGGAAACAGTGGATGGGGTAAGTCTATGAGGAATGAATCTATTAAGGTCTACCTTTTTGGAGAATCCCGAGTTGAGTTAGATGCAATTGACTCCCTAGATATGAATCAATTGATGATAGAATTGATATAAGGACCTGATAATGAAATCCAACACAGCCTGTCAAATCTATCTAATCCTCAATATCTGACTGTCAGTGTGGTAAAATTGTTAATTCAATTTTTACTGCGAACAAATTATTTGAACATTCCCACACGACCCTCTTTCTTAACTATACAGAGTAATAACACATTATAATGTTATTTATTAATCAAATACATATATGCTATTTACAAATTATCTCTATGTAATGAATAATAATCAAGATCATGAAGTAATGATAACACTCTCTTTTGTTTTTAAAGTTCCATTGTACACTTTATTTTTTATATTTCCAATATTATTATATTCTAATAACTTAATCAATCACGTACTTATTTAGCTTTCATACCACCTCTTTTATCTAAGAAATCTTTAGCTTCATTCACTTTGGTAGCTAAGAATGCAGATCCACCTTTATCAGGATGATTAGCCATCATTAATTTTCTATGTTGTTCTTTTAATTTAGCTTTTGATAAATTAGTTTCTTTTAAATTCAATATTTGTAAAGCTTCCTTAGCAGTCATCTTTTGACCGAAAGGACCTTTAATGAAAGCTTTACCATGAACACCAGGTTGATTTGATTTAACTCTACCAGCAGCAATATAAACTACTCCTAACACTCCTATCCCAGTTAACCATGGATGATTTCCAACCCATTGACTAGCTTGATCAAAGTAGTATTCGGCTGACCCTTCTGGAGCCTTCTTACGTTGTAAATGACCAGTATAGTTGTATTGTTGTTGTTGTTGACTCATATCTATAGTTTGAGGTTGAGTTCTTTCACCCGGTATTGGTAGAGTTGGAACTTCGATATTAGCAGGAGCCATGTTGTATAAAACTCTATGTTTAAAATGATTTGATTTGAGTTGATTAGTTAATTAGTTGATTGAATACTCACACACTCACAGTATCAAGATGTATAAGGCAAATAAAAGGTATGTACAAGATGCTTAAATATGATGATATGATGATTTGATAATGGCAAACTTTAAGCTTTCAGTGAGGTTTTGAAAATTGTCATTTTTTTTTTCTTTTTTCATCATGGAACTATATACAGGACAGAGATTTTTTTTTTCTCATCTCACAAAAAATTTTAGAAATTTAAATTTATAATATGAAGATGGATTATACTCTATACTATTTTACTTGATCTTAACTGATAACTTGTATTGAAGAAGAAGACGAAGAAGAAGAAGAAGATAGATACATTGTACTACTGCTGCTACTGCCATCATACTCATATACATATTCACCACTTTGCATTTCCTATTCCACCAGTTCACTTCATATAATCTAATTTACATATATTTCTAAGATGAGAGTTTATCAATGTCATTTCTGTTCTGCTCCAGTATATCCTTTACATGGTATAATGTTTGTTAGAAACGATGCTAAGGAATTCAGATTCTGTCGTTCCAAATGTCATAAATCATTCAAACAAAGACGTAATCCAAGAAAATTAAGATGGACTAAAGCGTTTAGAAAAGCTGCTGGTAAAGAATTAGTAGTTGATTCAACTTTAACTTTTGCTGCTAGAAGAAACGTTCCTGTTAGATATAATAGAGATTTAGTGGCTACTACCCTTAAAGCCATGTCTAGAATAGAAGAAATTAGACAAAAGAGAGAAAGAGCCTTCTATAAGAATAGAATGAGAGGTAATAAAGATAAAGATTTAGCTTATGATAGAAAATTAATTGAACAACATCCTGAATTATTAAGAATGAGAGAAGTTGAATTAAGAAGAAAGGCTGAAAGATTAGCTGCTAAAGAAAACGCCATGGAAGAAGAAGAAGAAATTACTTCTGATGATATGATGAGTGAAGATGAAGATATGGAATCTGAATCTGAAGCTGAACAAGTTAAACAAAAGGTATTGTTAAAAAACAAAAGAAAGACTAGAGCTTAATCATCATCGTTTAGTTTAACCCCCATTTTTTGTATAATAGTTTAAAAAAAAGTTAATATATATTAATAACATTGAGATATACCTATGCCTATATAGTTGTAAATTCTATGATAAATCAAATCCTGCTTCAGTATTAATAGCATACAACAATTTATGTCTAATCAACTCTTTATCTCGATAATCAGGTAACTTCAATAGATTAATACAAGTTGATGCCGTTGGAAATCTATCTCTATCCAGACCAGAATTTCGAATCCCAAATTTAGGACTTAATGCTTGGAATCCCAATAACGGAGCTCGACTAACTGATGTAACAAATTTAACTAATTTAAATCGTTCTTCAGGTTTCATTTCTGCTACAACTTCCCAGAAATACTTGATGGTTAAATCATCATCGAAATAAGCCCCATATTCAACATTCTCTTTCCAATCTTGAATATTAATATCATTCTGAGCTCCCGAGATTAACATCTGTAATTCAAAACAATCAAACATACTTAACCAACTTGAAGATACAATTTGAAACAACCCTTCTAAAAATTGACGAGTTTGAATATGAAGTGAAAAATTCAATTTGAAATTCGATATTTGATGGATATAATTCAATTTATTACTGGAATTAACTTGGGTTGTCTCTCCATTCGGAGGTAAGATATCAAATGAATAATTCTTCTTATCAATTGATTCATTGATAGTGAAGTTAAGATCTAAGTCATTCAATTCTTCATCCGACATATTAATCAATTTCATCAAGTTGACAAATAATTCATGATCAAGATAATTCAAATCATCAATTGAATTCTTCATATTTTGATTACACCATTTATTTAAAAAGAATGGAGCAAACGAAATTTCCATAAGAATATTCTCATATAAACATTTCCCCATTATATTTCCTAAGAATCTTAAATATTGAAGACGTTCTTGTTGTTTAGGAACATCGATTTGTTTATTAATCTTTTTGAAAATATCATCATTAGGATAAATTTGATTCTCAGCCGCAGTCTCTTTAAATAATTCAAGTTCAAACTCAGGACTGAAAGCTTCTTTAACTACACTAGTTAAGAATTCTTTAGTAATTCCTCCTCCATCAATACCCGCTTCAGGGCCATATTGATTAAAGAATGCCACACTCAATTGATTCTTTAAACCAGCACCAGCAGTATGGAATTGATTATATGCATCATGAACAAGATTTTCACGTCTGATATTACCTGATAACTTATTACGATCATCGAATGAAAATGGATTATATACCACGTTACGTTGTTTATCTAATTCAATTAAGAACTGGAAAATCTTAACTCTATCATTAAATCCAATGAAAAATGGAACTTTTTTCAAAATCTCAAGTTTGTAAGATACATCACCTCCAATCTTTTCATAATTAGTACTTTTCCTTCTTGGTGGTTGAGGTATATCCATCCAAAGATCGCCAAATCCATCTTCTTCTTCTTGGACGGCATCCATATCACGAACTCTTTTCTCTTCATCTTCAGCTACAGCTGGTAAAAGAGCATTTATATCATATTTGATTTCATAAAGTTTCCAAAATTCAACCGGTAAGAACTTTAACCGTAAATTTTTAGAGTATAATTGATTCAATAATGAGATTGATATGTTTTTCAATCGAGTGAAATCATTAATTAAATCAACACCTTTGTTACCGAGGAATATCAAAGTTAGACTTAATGATTTTAAAAATATAAGAAAATTAGATACTTCTTCAAGACTTAATCTTTCCTTCAGAAAACTTTCAAGATCATTGGAGATGATTAACCAATATGAGTACACTTCTTCAAATGTACTGATTAAGTCCCAAAACACTCTGATATCAACTTCCTTTAAAGGTCCGTAAATTTGATTTATTTGACTGAATCGGACATAATCTTGATGTTGGAATGTATAAGAAAGGAATCCTTTGAATATAGCATGAGATTTGATAGCGGAGAACAAATTTGTAAATGCATGGGGAGTAATGGTTATTAACATACATAATTTACTTTTTGATGGGGGATGGAATGACACTAATTGGGAAATAATATGTAAGGCAGATGTCCTTAATGATTCTTTATCGTCTGATAAAAATGAAATAGCAGACTTGATGAATGAGGTGGAGTATAATGTGGCTACTACATGTTCAATTGATTTTGAGTCTTGGGTTGATGATTCCCTTATACTAATCGTTGTTAAATTTTCCAAGATAGTTCCAAGAACTTTGAAATCAAATTCATCAAATTCTGACAATGTATGAAGGGTTAAGTAATTATCAATCAATGAAATGAATGCCGAGTTATCCAATCGAGTTAATTCACTAATTGAAGAATGATCCCAGATTTGTTTGAATATAGTTAAATAATCTTCTGATTCATCACCACTAACAACACCTTCAAAGAGATTTGGTCTTGATAATAAACTGAAAATACCACTGATAGGTTGGGATTTTCCAATTTTCAAAGCTATATCTCTTGCTAATCCGTGATCTGATATGGATCCTTTGGTTAAACAGCTAGTTAACAACGTGACTAATTCGGAGTATTTCGGACTATCTATATTTGGATATTTTATAAGCAAGTCATTAATGCAACCGATAAGCATATCTCTTGACGTATGAATCCGGGAAAGTAACTCTATTAAGGAATTTAGTATAAGACCATGTTGTGAAGGTGTTGTCACGTATTGTGATTGACTTATTATATCTTCTACAATACTTATGAACTTATTAATGGAATCTTCATTTTCTTTGGGTATGATCCATTTACTTAAAAATGGCAATTGGGATAACCATACATTCCAATCCCTTTCATCATCCCATTGATTATATTTCTCCAACCATTGAGTTTCAAAAACTTGTCCTTCACTTTTTAAATCAAGATATTTTTTAATTTGCCTTTGAAGTAAAACGGCTGATTTTTCACGTTGACGAGTTTCTTCACGATGAATTCTTTGAAGTCTGGCTTGTTGTAAGTAATCTCCATTCCCCTTCGGACCAAGAGGAACAGATCGATCTCCTAAACGAACTGTACGTTTTTTGGTTTGACCTGTAAAATTAAGCATAAATGTGTTTTGTGGAGATAATCACTAATCAAATCTATAATGAATATAGGTATGTAGTAAATGCTGAGTGATGCGAATGAATGATTGGCAATGTCTAGTTGGGATGGTATAGATCAGTACAGATTACCTACTGTATATTAGCTGCTTAAGAATGATCTTGGGTATACGATTGTCTAATCAATCTGTTGTAAATTAGTAATTGATAATTTGAATTTGATCTGAAGTTCATTTGTGCTGCGCTCACAATACTCCAAAAATCAAAATTTCTGTTTAGCGGCTCGTCTTACAAATTGGTAGCAATTACGCCATTTAATCATATAATATTAAGTTTTACTATTAATCTACTATTATCTCTCTATATCTATAACCATTCTGTTAAAGTTGCCAAAGATTCAATAAAAAACAGAGGAATCAAACTTTCACCATCTTCAAATGAATGTGGATTTTGTATTAAATGATTTAAATCAGGTAATTTGGTTCCACCTGATAATACCAATAATGATCCTGAACCATCACCTAAGAGTCCATCATTACCAAATTTAATATCAGTATATAATGTATCTCCCACCATTAAAGTCTTCAGTCTGTCAAATCCATTGTGAGAAAGAATTGAATCTAAAAATACCGTGCTTGGTTTACCCACATTTAAAAATTCACGACTTGATGTATAATGCATATAATTTACCACACTTCCACCAGCTGGTAAGATTAATCCTTCAGGTCCAGGATAAGTTCTATCGATGTTAGCTCCAATGAAAGGGATTGACTTGTTGTTGTATAATAAATATTGTAGAGTCAGGGCGATTCTAGTATAATTGAATTCTTTGGTGGATCCCACAATGACCGCTTTCACTTCAGGATCCACCTTTAAAATCTCATCATTAGGATTGAAAGCGACATTTAATCTTTCATCAGTTCCACCTAATGGGATATAACCTTCTTCGATCAACTCTTGTTCGATTCCGGAGTCTCCTAAAACCCATACTTTTGCTCCAGGTTCAATTTTATAATTATCTTTAAGAGCAGCCACAGCAGCGTAACAGGTTGGATAAACTTTATCCTTAGTGATTCCCTTAAATCCCATCTTGGCAAATTTAGATACATAATCTTGACGAGATTTAGATGAGTTATTTGTGACAAATACGTATTTCTTACCCTTGGCATTCAAATATTCAATGGTTCTTAATACTCCAGGTATAGCCTTTTCATCTAACCATATGACTCCATCACAATCAAATAAAAAGTTATCGTATCTATCAATAAGTGCTTCGGCACTTTCTCTGCTATTAATTCTCACAGGAGCAGCTTTAATAGTCATAATGTCTGTAAGTTGTTATCTACTTATGAAATGAAAATGAATGAATGACAGTTGTATAAATAATCAAATGGTGTTCATGAGACGTGATGAAATATTTTGGAGGATCAGTCAGTCATAAACCGTTCCGCTTATTTTTCCGAAATTGGAAACTACAACGAAAAAAAAAAAGAAATTTGCGGAAACGATATTTTTTATACTCTTACGGTTGCAAAATAAATATACATTTTATTCAATACATAATTATACAGTTCATCTATCTATATCATCTTCATCTATCTCAGAGGAGGTATTGTAATCAAGCAGATAAGTTTGATCAAATCCCTTCATTCTTTTCTCCCACCATTTCCTCGTATCTCTTCTATTGATATCTTCCATATATAAATCATCTTCTTCCTCATGATCATCATGTTCGAATTCATGGGATTCAATATCGGTTTGATCTATAAAATCTCCATGAACACTCTTCTCTTTATTACTTGGACTTAACTTGACTTCAATTTGATCAGCTCCTTTCTTGAAAATTTGATAATAGCTACCTAAATTTAAATCTTTGGCTACGATTTCTCTGGTTCTACCTAATGATTCAATATCTGCCACTCTTTGTATAGTATCTTGTAATAATTCATCAAAATGTGGTTGGGATGCTATTTCATGAAATGCTCTCATCATAGGAACAGAATCTGCTCTAACCCTTGATTCAGAATCAATTGTAAAGATATTTAAATTATCATAAATTTGAATGTAATCTGCTCTTGTCATGATTTGTCTACTTCTCCATAATGGCAATTCCGGTAATTGATGATCACGATATTTAGCATGATTGGTTGGTTTATCTTTTTCACCTGTGATTAAAGTATTCATTCTTTCTCGATCCATTTTAACAAATTCTTGCATTAATAACATAGCACTTGTTGAAAATTTTCCTGATTCCATCACATCATCATCCATTGCTTCACCCAATAATCCACATTGATTAAGAAACCAGGTCTTCTCTCGATCAATGATTTCATGACAAGCTCGGATTATATCTTTATGACGAGCCACTTGAGTTATATGTTGAGGTCTTCCCCCTATTAAATCATAAATTTGATGACAATGTTCATCTGTGACTTGATATTTAGTATCATTTCGGAAATATTTATTTCTGATATATTTCAATGCATTAACAGTTTCATGACGTTTGAAATCTCGCACATTAATTAATTCTAATCTTGTTCCTAATTTCTTTAATTTTTCATAAACCCAATAATCATCACTATTGAAAATAATAGTGACTAATCCTGATCCACTTAAACTTTCTGCTTTTTGTTGTAATAATTCTAATAATTTTATCCCTTCTTCATTTTCTTTGATTAAATGAGCATTGTTAATAATCACTATCAATGGCTTGGTAATTTTTTGAACTCTTTTAATAGCTAATTCTTCTAACTTACTAAAAGCTCTTTCGATATCTAATAAGGCAGTGGTATCTCTTGGACCTCTGATGGAAAACAAGGATCCGATATAATCTTCATTATAAGTGAAATTAAGAGCTTTACCTAATCGAATTCTAAAGATTTCAGGATCAGCATGAGCATCAAATATAGTTACATTATATCCTCCTACTTTTTTCATAGACTCTAAGATTAAAGAAGTCTTACCTGTTCCCTTTTCACCCACCATTAAGAAATATCGGCCAATAATAGACCCATTAATAATATCATCCAATAATCTCTGTTGATGTCTTTCAACCCAATATTGATTTAATTCAGCATTATCTTCATGAGTACGTTTATGAATCGCCAATTGTGCGGCAGGATCTCCCATTTCAAAAGCATCGTTCATTTTATCGAGGACATGAATGTTGTAGAATTTATGGTATAGGAAACCAGCTACACCTAAGATAGATATGGAACTGAATGTTATACCGATTGTTTCTAGACATTTGATTAAGAATGATTTCAATTTCTTAAATGGTTCCCTCTGACCTTGATCTTGGTGCTCTTTCTTTCCTTGATTCTTCTTCTTGTTGTCGTCATTCTCTTCAGTTTTCAAGTCTTCAATAAAGTTATCAAATATAGGATTAACGAAAGATCGTCTTGAACTTTGTAAGAACCGAGTCTGTCGAATCGGTATCACTTTGACATTGAAACGATGGATATGATGTAATGATCTCGATCGTAGTATGATAGATAGCATGGTTTATATGGATGTAGTAATGTCTTCTTGATACTAATTGAATAGTTCAATGGTTTTGCAGTATAAACTTCTCCAGAGGGTTCTTTTGAAATTTATTTTCAGATTCTACGCCGCTTTTTTTCATGGTCGCGATACTTAACTTTATGACATTCAATATCTAATTCTATTTCACACAATTGTTCTATATTATAATACATATATATACAAGTAGGGTATCGAAGTAAATCTAAATAACTGATGATTGTAGCCATGACCAGCATTCTACTTTCAAGAATAGTGAACGTTGATTCATTTCTGTAAATGATTCGTATGACCTACGGCTTGACCTTATTAACTTGTGGCCAGAATGGTTTTTGATAATACTGTGACTCGCTCTCAATATCCTGTCCTTCCACTTCTTCACTCGATGGTTGGTCTTGAGGTCGTTCTTGTGGATGGTGATATAATTGTTTCAGAGATTCAACTAGCACATTAATACTATGATAATGTAATTCTGAATGAATCTGATATCGTTGAAGTTTTTTAAAATCTTGAGACGATGATGAGGATGAATTAGGATCTATTTCACTATATGATGAGTTGTAGTCTGATTCCTCTTCATCTTCCATAGATCGTTTTCTGTTTGAATTGGTTGATATCGAATCTTGTGATGATGATGATGAATAAAACATCCTTCGCGACGCGTTTTATATGTGATGATTGAACTGATTTAAATTGTGATATGAGGAAATAGGTCTGAATATAGGAAAGATTGAGTGATTGGCTAGCTGTGATGTCGTCAGACAAATCCTTATGTCAATGCTAAATTGTGGTTAAAGTTGATAATATATGGTTAATTAAAATGAAGGTTGATTCACGCTTTCTATTTTTGGTGCAGTTTAAAACTAAAAATAAAAATAAAAAAAAAAAATCAATTTGAGAATTTTCAAACCTTTAACATTATATACTTAAGAGACCATAATCACATTATGACAGACCATAAAATAACCAAGAAAGGGAGAATACCGGGCAGACATATCAAGCATACATCAAATATACGGATCCAACCCGTTATAGAGAGAGAAACTACATTTTTAGTAAAGAGTTCTACCCCATTTATATCAGCCGTTAAAAAGATTCAAAAATTATTAGATAAATTTGATAAATCATTAATATCATCCAATTCTCGAACTAGAGCTAAAACGAAATATCAGAATGGTGAATATAAGAACATAAATTATATAGTAGTGAAGGGAATGGGGAAAACGATTGAAAAGACTCTTAGTTTGGGATTACATTTCGATAAAGAATTACATTACCAAGTAGATATCATAACGGGAAGTGTCCAAGTATTGGATGAGTTTAAAGAACAAAATGAAGAACAAGATGAAGAAGAAGAAGGAGATGAGTTTAATGATAGTATATATAAGAAGCGTATGGTGAGTAATATTGAATTAAGAATTTGGTTGAAGCGTTAAAATTAAAAGATATCGTAAATTCATTATATTCTATATACATATAGAGAAGATTATAGACATAATATACAGTTGGATTGCATAAGAGAGATCATAAGGATTCTTGTTGACTTTGATGTAACTTTTCAGTACATTTCGATTTGATATAAACAATCAGTTGATAATCTTTATCAATCTTTTTGATAGTAGTTTTATCTCCTTCATCATTAGTATTGATCCCATACATTGATTCAGCATACGTTTCAATGAAATTCAAACATTTTTCAAACTCCTTTCTAAAATAAAGTAATTCAACACTATTCAATATAAATTTCCTATCAATCTTTTGATCTTTCTGTAGATTATGTAAAGTTTCATCATTTAAGAACCAATCTTGAGTATTTATAACGGGTCCAATACTTTCAAAATTGGCCTTTTGAGCTTGGAATTCTTCTTCAGTTTGAGGTTTCCTCTGTTTTATCTTTCCTTTAGTTGTGTTCTCTGTATTTGTCATGGTAAAGCTTACTTAATTAATCATATGCTTGATTTGCTTATTAGGGTTCAGATGATGCTAAAAAAAATTTAAACTCCAGAAGAAAATAAAAATAAAAATAACGAAAAATAGTCACGCGACTAGTCATGTTATATTTCTCACGTGTTTGTAAAAATATCAGTCATCGTAAATTCTAGGGCAAATTACATATTATTATGGCAAATATAGTATGGTGTATTGTGTTATAAATAAAAGATCCGAATGGGATTTATATAATTTTACGGAATGTGTTCTTTCCGGTTAATGTTTCCATTTCGAAAAATATTGTACGACGTGAGTAATTATAAAAATCCAAAACGTATAGAACCGCCCGCCTGTATAAAGATTATTTTTTTAATTTGGGATTTCTATCTAACTAGGGGACTTTTCTGATCGCCAGAGTGGGTATATTGCAAAGTACGATCGTATCATTCATATCATTAGTAAATCATTTGATAAGAAATTTGTTTCTTAAAACTTTGGAGGAAGAGCAAGCTAAATGAATAAGAATTAATTAGTAGCAAACAGACACTGAATCAGTTGACAATTTTTGTTAAAAATAAGACAGATACCAGACAAAATAAGACAAGACAAAAAAACAATTTGAGAAGACAAATTTTATTTAAAAATACGACGACATTATTCCGCTTTCCAAAGCGAGAGCATCTCATTATTAAAAAAAATTAATTAAATTAATTAAATTAATTAATTAAATTATTTTTTTTTTTTTATTTTAATTTTAATTTTTTCTAGAGGTTGTTCTTTTTTTTGTCTTGATGTTGCAATGGATTTTCTAGAACTTAAAACTAATAATAACCTAACTTTTATTTTATTAAGGGTGTCGGGTCGTTGATTCAAGACTTTTAGTACCATAATATGAGAAGGAAAAAGGTTTTATTTAATAAAAAAAAGCTTAATTCATTAATGGATCGTGATCCCGTATTTTCCTTTTTCCTTATAATTGCTACAGTAATGTATTTGTTGTTATTATTGTTGTTATATCTTCGTGTTCTTTCTCTACAAAAATAAGTAAACACATACGACGAAAACTGTTATGTATATAAATAAAAAAACACGTATGTCTGTGTGTGTTGGCCTATTAATCGTATTCAAGATATAAAATATAATTCAATTATAGTCATCAATATATGATGAAATAAATTACTACCCATTCGAGATGGTCATGCTAATGAGTAATGATGCTAATCTAATGTAAGTAGGACTCCGAGATGAACTAAATTGATCGCATAAACAACATACGACGACGAAGATGGTGATCAAAACAGTGTCTGACTGTTTCTCGGGAGAATATGTATAAATAAGACAAGAAAAATACAAGTTAGTTAAACGGGAAGTTACGAGCCAAAAATTAAAAAATAAATACCAAAAAAAAAAATTCGATTTAAGAAAAGAAAAAAACCCCCCAATGACAAAAATAAAAAAAGAGGAAGACTTAGTATACATCATTACTAATGGGAGAATAAGCCTAGATAATCGTATTACAAGTGGTAAGTTGATCCAGAGTCAGATATGATTTAAATAAGGAGCTTATCTAATATGTGTTAATTTATCAGTGAGGCTGAAGCTTATAAAAAAACGACAATTCTTACTTAAGACGATATAATAAATAAATAATTAAGGATCAGATATAAGGATTAATATTATATAAGCGTATAAAGTAAATTAAAAGTTTACAATATCTATAAAATATTGAATCCCCGAATAGGAGTATGGATATATATATTTAGTAGTCTTACTAAAAACATATATTACTTATTAGGGGTAAAAATAGATAAACTTATATATAGATTTTCGGCATTCAAACCGTGTAAAAAGGATAGAAGGTTATATACGACGAACAGATTTAAGAGAGAATCAAACATAAAAATTTATGCACGACAAAAATAAAATTTAAATAAAAAAATAAAATCAGACAAAAAAGAAAGATCGACCATAAAAATAAATAAAAAGTAAAAAAATTAAAAATAAAATTTTTAGATGAAATATCTGGTATGAAACACACGACCCCTTTAACGCGTAATGGCATCATCATTGATCGTACATTTTTAGAATTTTTTAATGGGTAAAAAAACAGAGATTTGATGATTGAATGATGATGTAATGGCAACTTTTAGCTTTTAGATATTATACGACTTTACCTTTTAAGTGTATAGATATGGTGGAGAAGGATAGAACATATTAATGCATATAAAGTTAAAGTTGCTAATTTACTATTGCTACTTAATTAGTTAAGCTTAATTGAACGAACGAACGAAATTTACCGTTTCGTCATATGATATATTTACGATGATCATATACAAAAACAAAAAAAAAAATTGTGTATTTAAAACATCAAAATAATAGAACATTAATTTTAGTCTTAACAGAGTTAAAGCTAACAAATTTCGGGTTAGGAATGTTGACTACCGTTCATTTCATGTATTGTTGTTGACCTTCTTTGTACCCGCTTTTCTTAAGTATTAAAGAAGGTTATGATGAAGAGATTCATTATTAGATATATTGGAAAATAAGATGAGATGAAATCCTGTAAAACAAAACAAATCATCTCACTGTCTCTATTGTATCTTATTCAATTAAACAAATCAAACATGAAATGAAATTACATTGACTCACTCATTCAATTTTTATATAAGAATCCATCAATGGATCATAATCTATTGTTGTAATATAAATTAAACAATGTTACACAGATTTTATGATTGAATTGAATAGCCCTTTATGGTAAAAAAACAATATAATGAACCAGAAAATAAAAAAAAAAAGTCCAAAATTATTTTTTCTGTTTTGTCATGTCTATTATTTTTGTAATGCTCGCAAAAAAAAGGTACGGATTTTTTGTCCATTTTTATTTTGGGATTATTTTTTAACATTTTGTGCTGACAATCCCAGACAAACAAAGACAATTTGAGTGTGTAAAAGTGAAGAATAACAATGGGGACCTGAAATATATACGTGGAAGAGACGACAATTTAAATTAAATTAGATTAAATTAAAATTTTTCTCTTACTGTGCCTCAACTTTGTTATGAATATTCAATAAGTTTTCTCGCCTAATAGATGTTCAATATCTCCGGCTCAAGATATCATAAGGTATTACGTGGTCGTAATGTGCTTTCCGAGTTATATGCTGGGCCTGGAACTCGTCATAATTATATAATTACAACTTGGTCGCCCTCTAAACCGCAGCAGTTACTATAATAACAATATACCCTTTACAAAGCAGACACTTTTATATTTTTTTATACGGCATAATAATAAAAGTCGTACTTTTTGTTTAACTTTTTTTCATTTTTGTCTTTTGTCTTTTGTCTTTTTGTATTTGTCGTCTTGCACATTATGCACCACGGCACAAAAAATAATCATCCTAAAAATAAAAGTAAATGTGATTTGAAATATACGGCATCAGAAAATACGACGACATTATAAATATTTTTATGGGTTTAATATTTAAGAAACAAAACTGTTTATTTGATGATGATCTGATATGGTTGTTGTCGTTGTAGTTGCAGAGGAGCTTTGATATGTAACGACATGGTTCAACAGATTGTCGAAGTTGACACGTAGATTATATACAAAGATTGTCCCGAATTGAACCATGCTGATTTTTCTTATATTTTATGGGGCCATAACTTTTTTTATTCCAAGTTGCCAATATTCAATTCAGTTTTCAGATCGTTGCTATTTTTTCTTTTTTTGAATTTTTTGAATTCTTTTTTTTTTTTTTTTTTTTTTGGAGTGGGTCTTTCTTTTTTTTTCTGTTTCCGCTGTTTGGTCGTAAAAGTACATCATTCCGGCTATTCAAAGGGCAAAGCACAATCCCCAAATTCAAAGATCGAATCAAAATAAAAAAAAATAAGATATACTCTACGGTGAATTCATGTAAGAACTAAAAAAGACAAAACTCAAGGAAGGGAGGAGACTTCATTGGTACATGGAATTAACTTCCAAATCCATAGACAAGATAGATAGATAGAGATATAACTTGTGGATAAGCAATTATAATGACATGTTTATGTCGTCGTATTTTCAACCAACCAACGTATATTCTGGAGTTAACATTCTTATTCGAATCTATTGATTTTTTTTTTATTTTAATTATCCTAATTAGTTTAAATTAAATACTTTGTATTATTATATTGATATTCACATAGAGATGATATTGATTGATAGTAATATTTTTGTTAACTTTGGTGTGGTAGTGTTAAATCCTTTAAATAATAATTTCATCAAAAATAAAAATAATCATAAAAATAACATAAAACAGAGCCGTTCCAATTGGTTTTAGGGTTTGAAACGTATTTTAAACTATTTATTTCTATAAATACTTAATTGGGTTGTGTGTATAGTAAGTCACTCTTAAAACTACTGCAAATTATAGGACAGGTCATATATATATATATATGTACACGAATATTGAAGTATATATATAGTAACATTTGTTGTGTAATCGTTTTAGTCTTGTCTCCTCCGTAGTTGACCTTTACTTTTTTTTTCTTGAATAACCCACACTGGAATAGTAATCAGCTGCAATATTTATCTAATCTTATACTTTCTTATCTTATATCTCCACCTCCAGTTCATTCTGGTCTGATTTAATTTCTTGTCTATATAGTTGCGCGTTGCACCTTAAATTCAATTACCCTCTTGTAAGTATTAATCCCCAAACTCTTTTTTCTTTTTTTTGGGGGATCTTTGTCTTTTTTTATTTGTCTGGTTTAATTCCGTAGGAAAATCACTTAGATCATCAAATTAAAAATTATTCTTAACTAAAAGCATTGATGGAGTAACAAATAGTAAATGGTACTCATTACATAGTTATAAACCTTTTGATGATCTACATTGTTAAATACCACTATAATATCTCTTTCGTCATATCCTTGAGATGATTGTTCTTACTCGAGTCTACTACACCCGTTTATACTAATCAGAAATAAATAAAAAAAAATAAATAAAAAAAAAATCAGACAGACAAAAATTGAGAAATAAAAAATAAGTCGTGAAAAAATAAAAAAGAATAAAAATAATAAAAATTAAAAAATAAAATAAAACATAAAAAATAATTTATTAAAAATACCGAGAGAGACGACAAAAAAGCATTTATTTTTTTTTTTTTTTTTTTTTAATTTATGTGCTTACAGTAATTTTATTTATACTGATGATTATAGTAACCAGAGACGGCAACAATAAATAAAATCTTACAAATTGTTTTTATAATTTTACTATCATCACTTCTCTTTTTTATGAGTCTAATTTAATCTGGACGTCCTTTATATCTAAACTGAAAAGAATCAATCCTCTATCGATCTTCCCTCCACAGAAATGGATATGTTTGATGCTGCTGTGAAGAATCCGGCCCCTCCTAATAAAAATCGAGTAGTTTCAAATACGTTACCTCCTGTCAATTCATCTCAACCTTCAAATTCAAACCCTACTTCATCCAATCCATCCATCCCTTCATCTAATATGACTACTTTACCTCCATTATCAAATTTAACCCAATCGGTCACATACGTGCCTCATTATATTAATCATCAAGATAACCAACCTCAACCGCAACCACAATCTCAACCACAGCCCCAACAACCACAGCTACAACCATCGCAAAGAATCTCAATTTCATCTATGTCCATCCCAATCCCACAACTAGAACAATCCCATCAAAAAATACTACCTCCTAATCCCAGTGTTGAACAGTCCATCAAGGCAAGTATAAACGCCGCCAATAAAAAGAAAAATTCAAGAAGAAAACATCGTAATTCCCATCTTGGTTGTGGAACTTGTAAAAAGAGAAGAATAAAATGTGATGAAAACTTACCATCTTGTTTGAATTGTTTAAAGGGGAAATTACATTGTGCTTATCTTACTCTTGATACTAATGCAAGAAATGCTTTAAGAATGGCTCAATATAATCAAACTTTAAGACAAGAAAAATCAGATGTTCCGGAAGGTTCAAATTCTTCAACTAATAATAATAGTGATAATGGTGAAAGTCCAAGTAAAAGAGAATCATCTCTTGAAAATAATAATGATGAAAAGGATTTAAATAGTCCTCCCGATGGTCTTGATCGTCGTTCTTTACCTCCACATATAGTACAACATCAACAACAACATCAACAACAACATCAACAACAACATCAACAGCAACAACAACAACAACAACAACAGCAGCAGCAGCAGCAGCAACAACAACAACATCCTCAACATCCTCCACCTACTATGATAAATCAACCTGTATTAAGTAGTCCTTACCAAACCATATTACCTCCTCCTCCTAATAGTCAAATTGGTGCTACAACCATTGTACCTCAAGTTGCACCTGGTGCGCCTGTTATAATACGAGGCTATGGACAATATGATGCGGTTATGGTTGATAATAAAACATATTATTTGGCCACAGCAGCTTTACATGCCAATACTCCTCAACCTCAACCACCAGCTCAACAGCCTCATCCTCAACAACCTATAGCATATCAATTAGTTCCAGTAATGGGCCAACCTCAAACTGTTCATCTTGGAACTCATATGAATACCACCAATACATATGTATCAGGACCTTCAGTTCATAGTATGCCTCAAACCATTTCACTTTCATCAGTTCCACCACCACAACCACCATCACTTCCAATTCCTTCATCAATTCCATTAAAGAGTACTACTGCAAGTTACACTGATTTAAATTCTATTTCCAATCCTAATCAAAAATCTCCATTATTATCCAATTCAAGATATCAATCCAATCTCAATACATCTGATTATAAACCATCAAGTTTATTAAAACAAGAAGTTGTATTACCTGGTATAAAATCATTATCTGGAGAATATACCACCAATGCCAATTCAAGAATCCCTTCAGTGAATTCCACCATTCATGACGAAAATAAAGATGATAAAGTTCCAACTATTTCCAAATTATTATCCTAGTTAAATTATTAACAACCACACACATGCACAATAGTCTTTTTATATGGTCCGATAGATCCCAAATATTATTATTATTATTAAAAAAATTAGAAAATGAAAAAAGTCCATTGTACATATATCTTACATTATAGAAGTTTTATTGTATTATATCATTTCATTTGAGATTAGTTCTTTTCATGTTATGATAGGTCATGATTATTGTTATTATATTACACTACTATTTTTACTATTACTATATTACACTATTATCTTATTACTATTATTTATGCAAACCAAAAAAAAAAGAATCAATCACACCTATGTAAACTTCAGGAATGATAACTAACTATCATGTTGTATCTTATCATAACTTTCCTGTGTTATTCTATTATTGTTATTATTATTATTAACGTACAAGATTTATTCATTTTCAAATCGTTCATTCATTCAATCACTCACTCACTTATCATATATAAACGCTAAAGTTCTTGGGATATTATATCATCACCAAAACTGCTTATTTATCGTCTTTATATTTGATAGCTAATGTTAAACCCCCTTTCTTCGCTTTTCAAGTATTATTAGTCTTTTTTATTATTAAATATATTTATTTATGTTAGATATATATTATGGAATATTATGGAATAATCCCTAGTCTTTTGTAGCTGGTGCACCTGGTGTAGTTGGAGCGGGTGTCTTCTTATTCTTTTTATCATCAATTTGTTCAATTTCAATTCCTTCTAAACCCTTGTCAGTTAAAATCTTTTCAATTTCTTTTTTGGCTTCATCACTTACATCACCTTGAATTAAAATTTCTTCCTTCTTTTCAGCATTTTTACTTACAGTGGCCCCAGTAGCAAACTTAGAGGCAAATTGTTTAGCTAACTTCTTTAAATCAACATCAAGTAATTCTAACCCAGTAATGGTTATAACATGTTTCCTTCTATTTCTTTCAATTCTCTTAATGGTGATCTTTGACTGTAATTTTCTTTGTAATTCTCTTTCTTGTTTGGCTTCTTCTTTCAATTGTTTCTTAGCTAACTCAGCATGAATCTTCTCTTGTTTCTCTAATGATAATGTATTAGAAAACTTATGACTTAAAGCTTCTTCACTATATAATTGATCATATAATTCTTTATTGGCATCTTCCAACCATTCTTGACATTTCTTTAATGATACACCGAATTCACAGTATTCAGGAGGGAATGAACATACTTTACAGTACAACACTTCTTTAGCAACGACTTCAGCCATGATCTATCCTTGTTTTCTACTTGAACTTGGTTATGGAATATTACACCAAATTCATACTATAAAAAATTCCAGTTTTGATAATTTTTCTTTTACGTGATATTTCCCCATTTCTGAAAAATGTCGCAAATGTATTTTTTTTGGTATTAAAATAAATATATACACATATATAAAAGTACTATTAATAGTGGTAACTGTCACATACGCTAAAACTTCTAACTGGTCGAGTATCCTCTAATTCGACACTCTTCCATAAACTCTTTCTTAAAAGGAGTTTATCATCGATGGTTTCGTAGATTTTGGATAAATAATACCATACTTCGACATTATTATATCCATATGGCCAACTTAATTGGAATTTCTCTAAAAGATTCTTTAATCTGATTTTACCAGCATCGGCATCTTTACTGGATATGAATAATGAATTAGTGAGCTTATCATCAATAAGGAAAAGTTTACATAATCCTAAGAGGGTATCACCATAATCTGGTTTATTATAAGGGAATTTGGTAGTTAAGATTTCTAATGATCTTTCATATTCTTGTAATGATAAGAATTTTCTATTCTTGGAAGTTAAATGTCCTAAACTACTGAATGTCTTATGATTTGGTTCATAAATGGTTTCAGCTTCCACGATACATTGTTCAGCTTCGGTTAACAATCCAATCTTTAAGAATATCTTGGCAGTCCACAACCATAAATCTTGTAAAATCTTACGTTCAATGACATTATCTATGGCAACTGGAGATTTGGCAGCAGTTGGATTAGCTCTTCTTTGAATAACACTAGGAATACTAGGTTTAGGAACAGGATTGCTAATTGTGTTGGTACTACTACTAGTACGAGGAGTATCAATTGATTCCTTACGAGTAGTATTCAAAACTGACATTCTTTTTATCTTATCCACTCCTGAAGTCAATTTTTCTTTATTCTTATCAATTAAAGCAGAAGCAATGCCACTAACTCCACTACTTCCATTACTACCTCCATTGGAATTGGAACTAACTGAAACTAAAGTAGATGGACTAGGACTAATACTACCACTAGTAGCAGCAGTAGTACCATTACTAACGTTGGTAGTGGCACTACTTGGAACGGCACTTGGAGATGGATCAATGAAACTTGGTCTATGAGACCATTTTGATTGAGTAGATAATATCTTTTCATTATTATGAGAATTTGAAGTTGGAATTGGAGTTGGTTCAATTTCGATATTATCAAATAATTCATGATAAGTAATGAAAATCTCAGGTAAATAATCTAAAATATATTGAACACCATGAACTGATTCCCATACTGCCAATTGAGTTAATTTCAATTGTAAAATTTCATATCTTGCTTCGATACTTAATTTCGTGTCTCGTTGTTGATATCTTAATATCACAAGACCAGCAATATTTAAAGCATTATTGGCGAATTTTTCCAGTTCAGTTAATTTTGGTTTGAGTTCTAATTCCTTCTTGTTAACTTCACTTAATTGATTATCATCTTCTTCTTCAATAACTGTGGTTCCCTTGTTATTATTATTAAATTTAAATCCATTACCATGAGTATCTTCTTCTTCATCGGCATCAGTGAAACTTCTCAGTGGGATAGCTTCTCTATGAGAATCTGGATCACTAACTTCTAATGCTGATTGTAATAATACTAATAAATTCCACGTCTTGAATGATTCAGGAAATTTCTTTAAGATAAACTTACATAATTTGATTGCTGGTTTCAATTGATTAAAATTACTAAGGGCCAATGCATAATCAAATAAGTAATGACCATTCCCAGTAGAATTAATAATTAAGGCATTCTTATAATTGGCTAAGACATTGGAAATGTTACTGTCTAATATAACTTCAGTAGCTGATCCATATACTGATAAATAGTAGTAATAATAACCAATGGAATACCATGCTCTAGATACTAATTCCACAAATTGACTGTTATCAGATAATAAGATGTTGACATTGTATTTACGATAAAGGAAAGATAATGGATTCAGATCAGTTTCACCTTCAGGATCATAATTTATTTCACAGTATTCGGTTAATTTATTCAAGTATTTTTTAAGTGATTCTATGAATTCTGGTAAAGCAGTTACAATTCGATCTTCAGTAGTATGTTTAAACTTTCTAATTTTGGAATTTGGAATGATTGATTTCAAAGGATTGAAACTTAAAATACATTTAGAATAAATATCAATGATTAATAAAACGTTAGTGATGTGACCTTCATGTTGTTCTTGTTCAGCTTCTAAGTAACTGATATAAGTTCTGAATGCAGCAAAGGCTTCATCATATTCATTCAAGTCAATTAAAGTTTTGATCAAGTTGGATAACACGGTTTGTGATTGATAAGTTTTGGAAATGGAATTAGTTAAGAATTTCTTTGATAAAGTTGGTTTTAATACAACTTGATGATTAGATACTCTACTTAATGATTCGTATAAGTTTGCCACATAATCATCTAATTCTTTATTTGAACTTGAAGCGTTTGGGAATGCACTTTTATTTGAAATTCTTCCTTCTAATTGCTCTAAAAGAAATTGATTATATCCAGTTCTAAATGTATCATTGATTAATCCTGAATTTTCTGGTCTTAATAAGAATTGACTGAAACAAATAGTGGCAAGGGAATTAGCATAAAACTTGATCAGTTTAACATTCTTAGTGAAAGATAATGGTTCTAACCCATTTTGACTTAATTTATTAGCTAATTTCAAGAATAAAAGATCTAACCAATAATTGGCTAATACATTTGATTTACTCAATGGTAATGAAAAATGAAGTAAATAATCAAGCCAAATCTTATAAGCACTATCAACATTGGTTAATCCTAATAAGACATGATAACGACAATTTAAATATTGAACAAATTCATTTTGATTTAAAGTTGCATTAGGATCAAATGTGAAGTTGACAGGAACGGTAACTGAATTCAAAATTTGATTCATTTCACTGATTTGAGAATTTAAATAGTATAAATGGGCCATTAAGACGGAATAGTATAACTTCTCATCATATGAATTGGTTGAATTACCATAATTCAAAGTTATAGAATGAACATAATCTATCAATTGGGTCAATTTCTCACGAACCGTGGTATTCCCTTGATATTCCATTTGTTTAGCGGTTTTGAATTCGTTTTTACCGAACTCATTCTGAAGTAATAATTGTAATTGATAATCAATGAAGATCAACTGTTGAAAGAAGTCTTGAGACTCTTGGAATTGTAAAACATCTCCTGGAAAACTTCCAATATTCAATGTCCTGAGATACCTTTCATTGGTAGATGTTTCAATACGCATTGTGAATAAACGATGATGATGATGATAACACAATCAAGAACAGTAAGACACAGGCACACACTCTTGATATCTCACGATACGTATGATAGAACTGAAGTATGGAAAAGATAGCTTGATCAATTAGAATCAAACCCATGGGGGGTGGGTGGTGTTCTCCAGATATATTTTCACGATCTTCTTTCTCCTTCTGGCAAAACACTACCACCAAAAAAAAATAATGGGTGTGCTTTTCAAAATTACCCGATTAGGATATTTAGCATGAAATCAAAAGATAATACAATTGTTTACTGCTTCCATATGATAAATTGATATAAACTTCACATGAGATCTATATATGTATGTACATAGGGTGTTAACACCTTTCAAAAACTCTATATAACCCTGGTAAGTCGGCTATCTGGACTACATCTCTAACGAGGTTCTTTGTGGCAAGGAACCGCTTTTTAATATCAGGAAACAATGAATGTTCAAGTAATTTATCTAAATCACTTCTTTTGTTATTATCTCCATCCATGATAGGTTCTGGGATATATAGAAATGCAATCTGTCTCATTATTCCTTGGAGACAATCCTTTTCTGTATCATAATTGACCCTTTCTCCTAATCTATAAAAGAAATAAGGTAATTTGGTAAGCGGGGGAAGAATTTCTTTATGTATCATAGGCAATGCCAGTAATATTGGTTTACCTTCATTATCTTCATCTATATTTATTTTAAAATATTCCTTAAACATATCTTTCATGCCATGAATCTTGGTGATTACTTCATCCATATTTGTCAATGATTTTACCTTATCTGAATCATCTTCATATAATGGTTTCAAGATATCTTCCAAAAGGATTGGTTCTGAAAGTACAATTTCTCCATAGTTGCAAAATTCTGATAACGCAAGTTGGAAATAAAATTCCGATAATAAAGCTGCATAATCACATAAAAATAATTTAACATCATATTGAAAGCAACAAAGACGTTTGGTTTCATCCACAATTCCCACATAAACTGCATTGTTGAATACATTAGTAAGTGGTTTATGTACCCATTCATTAACTTCTGCTTTGATATCTTGAATACTTTTGAGATTTACTTTTACCCTCTTACTCTGTTGAGTGGGTGTGTTAACTGGTTCCTCCAATATATCCTCATCGATTTCTTCATTATTCTCTGCTAGTTCGTCTTCTTCCTCTTCAGCCTCATCTTCATCTTCTGCATCTTCGTCGTCTTGTTCATCTTCTTCAACTTCGTCCTCCTCCACTGGCTCTATAACTTCTATGTTTACTCTCTCCTTCCTACGATCATTATTCACATTTTGAGAAGCTTGACCCACCTTGAAACTTTGTAAACGATCCTTACGATCGTCATCTGATGAATTATTAAGATAATGACTTATCTTACTCTGTTGTGCATCAACTCTTACCAACTTATTTTCTTGTCTATACTTCTTCTGAACTTGACTAGAACTTTCCTCTGTTGTTCTTTTACTTAGAATAGATTGAGTTTTAAATTTTCTTGATGTATCAACATTGGATAGTATTAAATGAACTTTATCAACTATAAGTTCAATAATCTCATCTTCATTCAAAAACCTCACTTCTCTTTTAGTGGGATGGATATTCACATCTAAATTCTTTGGATCAATTTCTAATGCAAGATACATGAATGGATGATTTCCCTTTGGTAAAAAGAATTGAAATACAGCATTTACTGCTCTCTTTAATGGATCACATGAAACCAATCTATGGTTGATAAAGAAAATCGGTTGAATTTTCTTCTTATTATTATAATTTGCATTAGTGATTACTCCTGAGACAGATACCAAACCAAGACTCTCTTTCACATTAACTTCTTCTTTGGTTTTGGAAGTAGCTCCATCAATGGCAATATCAAGCAATTCATTAGCAACCACAGATCCATAAACAGTTCGTATTCTTTCCTTTACAGGAAGATTTGGTCTGGTTGATAGCACATATACTGGCTCTCCAAATCTTTTACAACTGAATCCAACATGTCCCGTATGGATAGCATATCTTCCAATCACATCCAATATCTTGGCAAATTCGTCACTTTTGTTTCTTAATGCTTTGATTCTAGATGGAATATTGTAAAATAAATCTTCTACTAATATTTGAGTACCATCTTTTCCAGCTATCGGTTTTGGTTCAGCTTGAACACCTGAGTCTTTAAAATTTGGTCCAGTCAACTTCCCATTAAGATAAAATGCCTTATATGCTAGTTGTGAATCGGCTGTCTTTGTCACGACTGATAAACGAGCGATATGGGATATACTAGCTAATGCTTCTCCTCTAAACCCATAGGTAGCAACACTTTCTAAATCTTCAAATTTAGAAATCTTAGAAGTGGCAAATCTTTCACATAAAAGTCCAAGATCCAACTTGTTGATCCCTCGTCCATTATCTGTAATCTGTAATAATTTGATCCCACCTTCTTTGACTAGAATCTCTATCATAGTCGCGTGTGCATCAATCGAATTTTCAAGCATCTCCTTCAATGCATTGGCTGGTTGAATGATGATTTCTCCAGCTGCGATCTTGTTGATCACCGCATCATCAAGCTTTCGTATTCTGGTATGGCCTATTTCCTCCTCCTCTTGTGACATTGTGGTTAATTAACTTGTTGTAACTATATCCTTGTATGTGGAGTCAGTTTAAACACTTTGATTTAAACGCGTACTAAAAAAAAAGTTTGGCTGCATCAAATTTGACTACCACAATAGTTAGCAATTATCATAATGATCTGTGGTCACTATATGGACAGATAGTATATCTACAAGTTTATACGTATAAAATGTTTTCTATGTTACATAACTATAACTAACCTGAACTATCCTATTTCCAAACTAATATTTGTCGCTAGTATAGAATTTTATCGTCTGTCTTAACTCTTAGGCTGCAAATATGATGTATCTAAAGTTGGTACTATTCATCTCAAACTTTTAAAAACAAAGTAAGCTATTTAAGATGTATTCTCATATCTCTGACAATGGTTTCTCTTTAATTTCATATTCAAATTCATCTTCGTACTTGACATTGACCCAAATCATCCAAAATACTAATAAATGAAAATAATTGTAAACAACATATAGATCAAGGTCTTGAACAGAGTTAAATACATTAATTAGTTCACTCACGTTTCGAATTTTAATTAAATCTGATCTTAGCTTGAAATTGCAACAATTTATGACATCAAGTAAAGGACCAATAAAGAAAAATAAACAACATGCTTTAAATTTCTTCATAATGCCCATGCCCAATTTCCCTTGTCTTTTTAAGGATCCGTAAGTTGAAATAGAATAACCCAATGCTAAGATAAAATATATAATCGGAAACAAAATCTTGGTTAAATCTAAAAATAGACTGAGGAAATAATCATATTCATCATAAAAGATATAGTATGTCATATTCCTAAGCATTGGGATGCATTCATCGGCTACTATTCTAGGACCATAAAAGAACGCTAATCCACCAAACGTAACTTCGGAACTATCAAATGAAAGTTTCGGAAAATTGGTTAATAACTGTAAAATGACTGCTATTGTTGATTTAAGTAGCACAAATGAAGGCATTGTAGATCTATATAGTGAACCTTGCCCCATAAACGTTATAGTATGAATCCATCCAATATATAGGTTGATAAGTGATGAACTAAGATTTATAAAATAGGAAATTATTTCTTGACGTATGGTTTTAGAGCTATCAAAAGGAGTTGTTGTTTCGATTAATGCTAAAATAGATTTCCTTAAAGCTGTTGCAAGATAAAAGTAAAGAACTAGCTTAGTAAATTTTGAATATTGAGCAAAAGTTTCACCTTTAACAATTGAGCAATAGTATATTATTATAACAATACAAAGTATCATCCACGAAAACAATATATGGAATCCTTCGTTGACAATTGAGATATCAATTTCAAAATAACCTGGCATTATAGAGGCGCCCTGACCTACCCAAGGGAAATAAATACAATAATATCCATCTCTTGGAATTGAAATTATCGTATCAGATTCAATAAACCCATAATGTGCTGTGTCACTTTCAGCATGTGGAGCGGATTCATTCAATTGTAACCTTATTTCAAGTCGACCATATTCATCCAAAAATAAAAAATCTGATTCTTCTATACTGATATTTCTTTCTATACTAAAATTTCTTTCTAAAAAGTCAAATATCGTTGGTATATTGATATATTTGTTCATATCATCTAATTCAAAAATACAATATGGAATTGCTGGAGATTCTGATCTTAAATTTTGTATTTTAATAGCTGCGTTCAGTTTGGCATGTTGAATTTGAAAGCAGGCTGCACTTTTGGTTAGTTCCAATGTAAAAGTTCTTCCTCCATAGACAAGAGTTATGGAAAGAATCCATATGATTAGATATCTAAACATATAGCAATTGAAATACATAACAACATTAGAAACATAATTATCTTAGAAAATGGATCAAGCGTTGATTTTATATCAACCTTAAAATCAAATTGCATGATGTTTTTTGAAAATTTTGCGTCACAATTTGGATTAACTAATATGAAGCATATGAAAGTTCTATGAAATAAAACAAAATATATATAATTGAATCACACTGTCCATCAATTTTTCTTCGAATAGCTTATTTCTTTACTTCATTTCATATTAATTGATACCAATGTATATTGTATAGTTTTATTAATGTAAACTATATACTAAAATTAGTTTAGCAGCCAAGAAAATTTTAAATAACCAAAGCGCGTAATACAAACAAACCTTTATCCATATTGAAATCAACAGGAATCACAATGACCACAAACTTTCAAAGTGAGGATTCCGATATTACATCTAGAGTGAAATTTCAACGTTGACAAAATTGAAATTCCTTATTCTCTATGTGTTTTATCGAGATAGTTGAACTTTATTTTCTGTCTTAATTCTTAGGCTGCAAATTCTACGGGTGACTATATTACATTTCTAAGCACTATTCAAACTCATGTAAAGCCTATATTCATATTTCTGATAATTCAATGTCATTATTTTCAGACTCAACTTCATATTTATCATTTGCCCAAATCATCCAGAAGAATAATAAATGGAAATAATGATAAACAATAAGTGCATCTTCATGGGATGCAGATTCTAATTCATTAATTAAATCGGATATATTTTGAACTTTACTTACATCTGCTCCTATACCGACGAAATATTCATAAGTTATCAAAACTAGTGGCAGACCGATAAAGTAAAATAAAGAACAGACTTTGAATCTCTTCAGAATAGCCAATTTTCCTTGTTTCTTTAAAATTCGATAGGTTGAAATTGAATAATGTACTGTTAGCATAAATTGTGCAATTTCAAATAAAAATTCAATTGATAGTAAAAAGCCACTAAGATAATATAAATATTTACCAAAGGAAGATATATATCTTTCACTATCAGCAATAACAAAATCTTTACCAACTAATATCCTAGGAATAAAAAGGTATGCTAATTCAAATGTAAGAATATTATCACTTAGAATGGATGAAAATCCTGGAAAGTTGGTTAATAAGTCTAAAATAGATACTATAAATGATTTGCGGAGCACAAATGAAGGCATTTTAAACCTATAGAGTGAACCATATCCCATGAATATTACAATATTAATCCATCCCATATATAGCTTGATGAGTGTTGTACTGAGATTATTAAAATAGGTGATTATTTCTTGACGAATGAATTGAGTTCCATCAAAATGGGGTATTGAATCAACTAATAGTATGATAACCTCTTTTAAAACCGTTGCGCTATAAAAGTAAAGTACTAGCTTAGTACATTTTGAATAATGAGCAAATGTTTCTCCTTTAACATATGAGGAATAGAATATAATTATACCCATACAAAAAATTAACCACCAAAACAATATGGGGAAGCTTACTCTTTCATTGATAATGGTAATATCAATTTGGAATTCCTCTGGTACTTTGACATTATCATGATATGCCCAAGGGAAATAAATACAATAATGTCCATCTCTTGGAATTGGAATTGTTGTATCAGATTCAATCAAACCATAATGGGCTGTATCACTCTCTTCGTCATGAGATGTTTCATTCAATTGTAACTTCACTTCAAGTCTACCATATTCATCCAAAAATAAAAAGTCTGATTCTTCTACTGTAGTACTTAAATTCAAAAACTTATGTAACTCGGGTATATTGGTATATTTATTGGGATCATCAAATTCAAAAACACTATATGGAATTGATAATGATTCTGACCTTAAGTTTTGGATTTTAATAGCTGTATTCAGGTCGTAATGTTTGATTTGAAAGCAAGCTACGTTATTGTCTCTTTGTAATGTGAAGGCTCTTTCTCCACACACAAGGGTTATGGAAAGTATCCATAAGATTAAATATCTAAACATACTTAATGAGTTAGTGGTTCATCTTAGCAGAAGAGTTATAAAATATTGATCAAAAGGATATGTATTGACATTTAACGACAACTACAACTACTGGAAGTAGGATTTGCCATCAAGAATTGTAATTGCCTTGAAGAAGTTAATATATTATGCTACTGTCAAAAATTAAGGTTCTAAAACACGGCTGGCCTGGCATTTAAATTTTTTATTTACCCCAGAAATTGCTTTCGTTATGTTAAATACCGTTACATTCTTGAAGTAATCTTCTGAAGTAAGGTTGGACTTGCTCTTCAATTCCAAGTAAGCATATAATATATGTTTAAAGGGCCACAAATGGAAAAAGTAAAGAATTATCAATTATATTATTGAAGGGTATTGTATTACGAAGAAACACGGTAAGCAATCAAAATAAGACTTTACAATCCATTCAGTTCCAATATTTCTTAGACATTGATTGGTGGCAAATACATGAAATTTAAGCTTTGAAACTAACTCACTGCTTATACTACTTTAAAAGCTTATCCGAAACATTAATTTATATCAGCCAACTACATTAATGAATCACCCAAACTCGATTGGTATCTTAACTTGTTTAATTCTATAGTAGCTAAATATTCAACTCATAAACTAATAGCTTATTTTCCTATTTTCAATAATGATTCGACTAAGGTTTATCGTTGCATGGATTCATCCGTGCCAATATAACCTTCTAGCGCATTGTTTAATCAATTGCTCGGTTTAGTGATTGACCTACCCATTTGAATACAATAAAATCATTCTAATATCATCAATTCTACTCTAAGTTTATGTTAAGCTCATACTATCTACTTGATGTAACTATATGTAATATTTTTGATAGCGTAAATTTAGAATAACCAAAACGCGTAATATAAAATTTTATGTGAATCAAAATTGATTTAATGCGTTATCAATCTAACCTTTATCCCATATTTAGACCCAAAAGAATCAACCATAATGACGACAAACTATCAAGGTGAAGACTCAGATAGTGGATCAGGAGAAAGTTCAGATGGCTATGAAAGTCAACGTCCAAGAAAAGCTCCTAAATTAGATAAACAACAATATATTCAAGATTATGAAAAATTTATGCTGGAACTTGCCAATAGTCGAGCTAAGGCTAAAAAGGGTGAAGCATCTGAATTAACCATTCTGCATCTTAAGGAATTGGAGAATCTTTTCCAGAATATTCAACTGAAGAATGTAAGAGATACAAAGATTCAATTAAAGGATTCCGAAGCATTCAAAGAGACAGCTGATTTTGCTGCTTTTAATGCCAGGAATTTAAAATTTGAAGAAGTTGGTGTATCCGTAGCAGAAAATGAATTTTCATCACTTATAAGGAAGTTTGCTGCTAAGAAGACTACTGGGTTTAAAAGTGAGTTTAGTGAAGAATATGTAAGGAATGATTCTGAATCAGAAGAAGAAGTTGAGGATGAAGATGATGATTATGATATGATTACTGGGGAAGAGAAGTTTAATTCATTTAATTGGTTGAAGTTAGGAGCTTTATATTATCAAATAAGTAGAAGATCGATAAAGAATGATTTCTTAAATGGACCATTGGCTACTGAAAGACGACGAGCAGCACCAAGAACTAGAAATGTTGATGATACAAAATCAGGTATATCCACCACAGCAAAGACTGTTCTTGCAAGTGATATTGCAAATAATGAAGAAAAGAATACTGCTTATATGATACGAACGATTTATGAAACTATTATGTCAAAAGATGTTGATGACGGATTGAACTTCTTTAAACTATTTATAAATCCCCATTCATTTTCCCAATCAGTGGAGAATTTATTTTTCACTAGTTTTCTAATAAAAGATGCTAGATTGAAATTATATACTGATGAACATGGGATTCCCATGGTGAAAAGAGTATTACCTGGTGAAAGAGAATATAATGCAGCCGGTCCTAAAGAGCAAAATTCAAGACATAATATAGCTACTTTAAATTACAACACATGGCAAAATTTGATAGAGAGATTTAATATAACTGAAGCATTCTTGGGGAATAGGGATGAAGAAGAAGATTTCCTTCCTGAAGACCATATAGATTAATAAATTACATAGAAAAATATATGACAAATTTTTTTAAATGTTCATTAAAAATATATTTATTTATATATACAAGTTTCATGTCTTAATATTTACAAACCTTATTATACTCTTCATCATCAACTTTATCCCAACTATTTACATCCAATATTTGATTCATAGGCCATTTTCTAATTGGGATGAAACTTAAATTTGATTTTAATCTTAATTTTTCAAATATTTCTATACCAGCCACCCCAATCATAATAGCATTATCCGTACATAAATCCAAATCAGGGAAATGGAAATTGATCTCATCATCATTATTCAACCCTAACGATTGTTTGAAATGTAAATCCGTGTTTAATTTCTGTCTTAATCGTTTATTAGCAGCCACTCCACCTGAACATATGAAATCCCTTACTCCTTCAAATTTCCCATCGGCATTTCTATAAAAACTACGATTCACCCCATGTTTGGCGAAGGCAGCATTGATTCGATCGATCATATGATCAAATACGAGTTCTTGAGTTTTGAACGCAATCATCTGATTCGTCTTTTCATCGAATGGTTTACCATCACAATAAAATTTCCGATGAGATTGAATGGCACTTAAAAATTGTGCAAATGAAAATTGGATCACTTTAGGAACTCTACCAGTCCCAGGTCCTTTGAATGGTAATTTCAATTTGAATGAATAAGGATTAGATCTTGATTCAACGTCAGTATCTTTGAATTCTTGTTTAAGTTCGAGTGGAAAGCTTTCTATATATGCTTCTAATTCTTTCCCTAACATATTCCCATATAATCCTAATTCTCGAGCACATTTATCTAATGAATCACCCACGGCAATATCATTAACATCAATGATGATTTCATGTTCAACCAATGATTTCAGATGAATTAATAATGTATGACCTCCACTACATAATAAACTAACAAATGGGAATTTAGGAGGGGCCAAATCAGGTTGTTCCTTCTTGGGGAGATGAGATACGAGTAAATGACCTAACATATGATGAACACCCACTACAGGTACATCCCAAGCTATGGCTAATCCTTTTGCTAATTGAGTACTGGAACTTAAAGATCCTGTCATTCCTGGACCTCTTGTGACACAAATTAATGATGGAGGATTTTTTGCATTCAAGTTATGTTTTTTACAGAACTCAGATAATAATGATCCAGTAGTAGATAAATGGAAATCATAAGCTGCAGTAGGTAATATCCCTCCTAAATCTGCTGAATTTAAAGTTCGTTTGAATTGATCTATAATTTTAGGTGGTTCATGAGGCAGAAATTTATCCAAAAGAGCCACACAAGAGTCATCACACGAACTTTCTATAGCTAAGACTTTATAATTTCGTGTCGGTATAGTCTGTAGATGACCTCCACTCCTTCGTATAGATGTACGTAGTATCATATCATGTTCTTAACCAGTGATCTGGGGGTGTTTGATTAGCAGCTATTCCATACTGAAAATTTTAATTTTTCAAATACGCTGCTGCTTATTTTTTTTAGTGATGGTAATTATCTATGGATATCGGAAATGCTTTTGCAACCGAGTTGATTGAACCAGATTAGCAGAGAAAGGTCAGTTTATAAAGATTCTCAATACCAACTACATATCCATAAACTAATCCCTAACTAATCTTATCCATTATAACTATACTATAGTTGTTATCAGTGGTTATAGTTAAGCTCTATCCATTTCCTGTATATAAACAGAGGCCGTTTTATTCCTTTTTTTGGGTGCTACCCATCGACGAGTGAGAAAGTGTAAAGCAAAACTGAAAGAAAAATCTGTTAACAATTGTTATGATAGATCTTAACTATTGTAATCCCATAACTTATCAATTATAGAAGAACTAAGATAGTCCATATCGTGACTTGTTCAATTCACCCCATCATTAAGAATCTCATCTATTCATATATCACATACTTATGAGTTTTAGAATACTATAGAGTTTACAATCGTGTTGCTTTTTTCATTTTTTTTATTACTGTTTACCATTCGCCATTCTATATAGTTTCTATAGCCAACTTGGTTTATTCAATCAACCATCATACATCCCCATCTAATAGATAGTTCATGTCATGTCAACGGTGTTTACTTCATCCACCATACCGTTGAGTTTCCGTCCCAGTCATGATCAACCCCATACCCATACTCATACTCATAATAAACCAGAGTCCATATCGCCATCTGAACCTCCTATATCCAATAATGAAGATTCTTTATCTCCCATAATAAATTGTATGTTGGCAGGAGGATTCGGTGGAATGGTAGGTGATACATCAATGCATTCCTTGGATACCGTAAAGACTCGACAACAAGGTTTGGTTCATCATTTAAAATATAAAAATATGATCCCTGCTTATATAACCATATTTAAAGAAGAAGGATTCTTTCGTGGTTTATATGGAGGTTATACATCAGCCATATTAGGATCATTTCCTTCTACAGCTGCATTTTTCGGAACTTATGAATATACCAAGAGAAAAATGATTAATGATTATAAATTAAATGAAACTTTTTCATACTTTATAGCTGGGATCCTTGGAGATTTAGCTTCAAGTATATTTTATGTTCCTTCAGAAGTATTAAAAACAAGACTTCAATTGCAAGGAAGATATAATAATCCTCATACCATTGGATGTGGTTATAATTATAAAGGTTTAATCGATGCTATAGTTTCAATATCAAAAACTGAAGGTGGTAAAACATTCTTTTTTGGTTATAAAGAAACTTTATTCAGAGATTTACCATTTAGTGCTTTGCAATTTGCATTTTATGAAAGATTTAGACAATTGGCTATAAATTATAATGGTTCAAATGATTTACCTGTATCCATGGAATTAGCCACTGGTGCCGCTGCAGGTGGATTAGCAGGAACTTTAACCACTCCATTGGATGTTATTAAAACAAGAATTCAAACATCCACTGGTACGGAATCATCATCATCATCCTCCTCCTCCTCCTCCTCCTCCTCTTCCCTTAAAAAAACATCTCCTCGTCCATTATCATCCACATTTCAAGCCTTAACATCGATATATAAAAATGAAGGTATATTAGGAGCATTTTCCGGGGTGGGACCAAGATTCATATGGACAGGTATTCAAAGTTCTATCATGTTATTATTATATCAAATATCATTAAAGCAATTAGATTCAATGCTTGATTCTCATGATAAGAACACATTCGCATAGATCATTATCACAAACAGAGAAACTTATATAGAAACTCATCCATCCTTGTAAATATATAGAATTTAACTTATCATCATAGTTAAATAGACACAAAGAAAAAGAACTGCATGAATGAGTGATTCATTCTTCATGTAGCCACATATATATACTATATACTATATTATTATTCATTAGCCCTATAGTAATAAAACATTAATTTAACCTAATCGAATCATCCTCCTTAAAGCACATGAATTGCAAAAATTAAATTTTCTGCCATATTAATTTTTTTTAGTTTGTAAATTTTCCTCGGCTTCAAGCCATTTTCACCCCCGCAATTTTATATGGACCATTCCCTTATAAAGACAATTCAATTTCTTCATAATTAAAATTTCGTTCAACTCCTAGATTATCCTATTTATCCTATTTATCCTATTTATTATTATAATACTTATTCATACACACATATACACACAAGATGTCAACCTTAGATCAATCATACGTCGACAATGGTTCTTTCAAACCAGACCTTTTCAAAGGTAAAGTTGCTTTTGTAACTGGTGGAGCTGGTACTATTTGTAGAGTTCAAGTTGAAGCTTTAGTGTTATTAGGTGCTAATGCTGTTATTCTTGGTAGAAATGTGGAAAAGACTGAAAAAGCTGCTGCTGAAATCCAACAATTAAGAAAAGGTTCTAAAGTTTTAGGTCTTGGTGGAGTTGATGTTCGTGATGTTCATTCTCTTAAAAAAGCGGTTGATACTACTGTTAGTGTCTTGGGTAGAATTGATTTCGTCATTGCCGGTGCTGCCGGTAACTTTTTATCTGATTTCAATCATTTATCATCCAATGCTTTTAAATCAGTTGTTTCTATTGATTTATTAGGTTCATTTAATACTGCCAAAGCAACTTTTGAAGCAGTTAGAAAATCAAAAGGTGCTTATTTATTTGTTAGTGCTACTTTACATTATTATGGTGTTCCAATGCAAGCCCATGTTGGTGCTGCCAAAGCTGGAGTGGATGCTTTATCAAATGCTTTAGCCGTTGAATTAGGTCCAATTGGTATTCGTTCAAATTGTATTGCTCCTGGTATAATTGGTGGAACTGAAGGGTTTGATAGATTAGCTTCTGGTGAAGCTAATTTACATGAAAGAATCCCATTACAAAGATTCGGTGCTACTAAAGATATCGCTGATGCCACTGTTTATTTATTCTCTCCTGCTGCCAGTTATGTTTCAGGTACTATTGAAGTTGTTGATGGTGCTGCTTGGCATTTAGGTGCCTTTGGTGCCAGTGTTTATCCAAAACTTTTGATCCAACAAAATAGTTCTGAAGATGTCAAATTATAAGCAAAGAGTATTTTATGATATAATAGATTTGTTTTTATATTATATAGGTAACTTTCATTAAACACCATTAGTTTATATAAAAGAGAAATTGGAAAATTCCATATAGAACAATTGAATTTTCCTGCATGTAGCCGCATGGGGTTTCTTTAGAGTTTAAATATAGAGACGAATTTCATAATTTCATCAATTAATTAATTTGACTATCAATTACATTTCAATAACGATTAAATCATGTTTCCAGGATCAGGTAATAATAGTTATAAGAACTATGGTCCTCCACCAGGTCCTCCTCAAGGATATGACAATTATGGTCCACCTCAGGGCCCACCACCTCAACAACAATATGGCTATGCTTCTCAACAACAAGATTATGGTCCACCCCCAGGAGCTCCACCACCAAGAAATTATGATCGTGGACAAGCAGGTTATGGAGCTCCACCTACTGCTCCTCAAAGTTTTGGACAAAATACTCATTTCACTTATCAATATTCCAATTGTTCCGGTAGAAAGAAGGCTTTATTGGTTGGATGCAATTATTTTGGAACCAAAAATGAATTAAGAGGATGTATTAATGATGTTAAAAATATGAGTAATTTCTTAGTTCAACGTTGGGGGTATAAATGGGAAGATATGGTTATTTTAACTGATGATCAACAAGATAGAGCCAGAGTTCCCTTGAAAGAAAATATTTATCGAGCTATGCAATGGTTAGTTAAAGATGCTAGACCTAATGATTCATTAGTTTTCCATTATTCAGGTCATGGAGGTACTACTCCAGATTTAGATGGGGATGAAGAAAGTGGGTTTGATGATGTGATTTATCCTGTTGATTTCGAACAAGCTGGTCATATTGTTGATGATGATATGCATGATATTATGGTTAAACCTTTACCACCTGGTTGTAGATTAACTGCATTATATGATTCATGTCATTCTGGTACTGCTCTTGATTTACCTTATGTTTATTCTACTAAAGGGGTAGTTAAAGAACCAAATTTATTAAAAGATGCCGGTTTAGGAGCTCTTACTGCTATTATGGATTATGAAACTGGTAATATTGGTGGAGCCATTACTGCTGTTAGTGGACTTTTTAAAAAAGTGACTAATCTGGCTGGAGGTAATGCTGATGCCATCAGACGTGTCAAAGCTTCCGCTGCAGATTGTATATCTATTTCAGGTTGTAAAGATGATCAAACCAGTGCTGATGCTAGTGAAAATGGTCAAGCCACGGGTGCTATGTCATGGTCATTCATTAAAGTATTAACCGAACTGCCAAATCAATCATATTTATCGTTATTGAATAACATGAGATCCTTATTGAGTCAAAAGTATTCTCAAAAGCCTCAATTGAGTTGTTCTCATCCTCAAGATATGAACATTCAATTCATTATGTAGACCATTTGGTATTGTTGCCATATTTAGATCATTCTCACTCGAATTTTTTTTGGTTGACAGGGTTCGTGTTTTGATCCACAAAAAAAATAAGTGATCTCTAAAACTTTCTTCTAAATATATATACAAAACATCAAAATATACAACTATAAATTAACTTTACAGTACCATATCGATGTCGCTTCCAACAAGACTAAGGTCTCAGAGGTGGGAAAGAGATGAGATCGATTATGGAGGAGATTGGGAACCCATGAATGATCATGTTGAAGAAGAAGAACCAGAAGAAGTTATACCCAGTGAAGAATTAAAACCTGAACGATTTGAAATCCCAGAACCCCATACATCTTCATCGCCTACCAATGATTCAGATTTAGATTTGGGAGTGGATAGACTAGAGTTAGAAAGTTTAGAAGAATTTCAATTAAACGTTCAGATTGGTGAAGATGGTGAGTTAATATTGGAAGATCTTAATCCACCTACTCCGCCCTTACAGACTATAGATCATTTTCCTACCAATAATTCTTCACCCCAACAATCAGAAGCCATTTCAGTTTTAAGTGATAAACATTCCATATCAAACCATTCCGTACCTGAACTACCAACAACACCAGTTGGCCATATTAAGGATGATACGGTGACGAATCATACTCCAATCTCACATAAAGAAGAGTTTCAACCCATAGAAGAAGATAATGAATCGTTAATATTTCAACTGAAATCAAATACTAATCATAATGATCATCTCAATTCATTCACGTTTGCTAATAATAATACCAATGATAATCATCCAACTAAATCGGTGGTTGAAGATACTCCTAAGAGATATTCAGGTGCTGTTTCATTGGAGAATGGTCATAATAGAAATGTATCAGCAGGGGTACTTACGTTAGAATCATTGATTCATGATGTACAATCCGATATTGTAAGTGGTGGAGGATATGATAACTTGGATGAAGTGGCTAGTAATCATAGTGATTATGATTATGATTATGATGATTATCAAGATGTTGATGATGAAGAACATGAAGATCGTCTGATTCGTCCGTTATCAACTGTACAATCAGGGTTATCCACTCCTAAACCTCCACCAACTCCTGAAAATGAATTACATCCCGTTGGATCATCAGGATCACTTTCTACTGGTAATTTTTCATTTGAGACTGCAAGTAAAACAGATCTTACCAGTGATAAAGAACCAACAAGAAGAAGTTCTACAAATACGTTTGATATGGGTGGTTGGAAGCCAAATACTGATGCATACAGAGGTAACTTTGTGAATCAAAACTTTGCCAACAGGAGCCAACATCATGATGATGTTATAAGTATTCCTGCTACTATTGATGTAACTTTACCTAGTGTTAGTGAAATACCTGATGAAGAAGAAGAATATGCCACTAATCAAAGAAAAATATCCGCTACATCCGAAAATAATAATAATAATAATAATAATAGTAATTCAAGAATATCATCTAGTGGATCAACTCTTGATAAGATAAAATCTCGTGAATTAGATTCGGCCAACACAAGTACTACTATAGTTTCTTCTCATCCAGTTACGCAAAAGTATCCTACTTCAAATTGGGGAAAGATTATGTCTTTACCTCAAAGAGGAGATAGAATCCAAGAATTAACCAAGGCATTATCAGCAGGTAGTGATTATGAAACAGGGTTGACTGATTGGTTAACCACTACTTTAAAGCTGAATGATAGTTCAGAATTCATTAATATTGGGAATTTGGCGACAAAGATCTTTCAAGAATCAGATAAGAATCCAAGAAGACCTTCAACTCGTACTAGAGTTTTACATGTTAAGGATAAAGTTCATGTTGCGTCTGATTTAGGAAAGAGGTTCCTTAACAGAGGAAAGAAGATCTTAAAGTAGTATATATTTATCTATACATACATATCTAGTTTAACCATATAATCATATCATAATCATAATAATATACAGTTCATCTTTTTCATTTTTTGCAACTTGAATATTTTCACGTGAAAGTTTTTTCTTGTTTGTTGTGGGGTCAGGCCAGTGCAAAATAGAGATATAATTTAACATAACATGATAAACATAACCAGACCAGACCAACTGTGATTTACTTAGACTTGGAGGGAAAGGATGATACTAGAATCGTATGTGCTACCGATAGTCACATTCCTCATCAATCATACTCCTAGTTTCATCTGGGCCATTATTGATTTCATAATGGATATTTGTTTCTTCTGGGTGAAACGATTATATCATTTCTATAAGAGTAAAGATCCACTCAAGGATTACTTAAAGTATCTTCAGAATGTTAAGAGTTACAATGAATGGAAAGAAACTGTCACTGAGATAGATAGACTTACCAATATGGACTTGTGGCGACAAAACTTCATTTCAAAACATTATGATTATATTCTCATTAATGATCGAATTAAATTATTACGAGATGCCAGATTAAGGCATGATTCTCCTTTGATTATGTCGTTATTAAGATCAGGATTAATCAGAAACTTTGGCGGTATAGCTCAAAAGAGATTATATGTCAAATCATATATTGGAACTAAGTTCAAAATTGAAGAATATATCACTGAAGTATTGAATTGTTTAAATTATCTTAATGATTCTATAAATAGTGAGAAAGAATTCATTATGAATAGTAAACAGTTAAAACTTGATTTCTTCCATGATGCAAGACAATCATTTGGATGTACTGCTTTATTATTACAAGGGGGTTCGTTGTTTGGGTTATGTCATTTAGGAGTGGTTAAAGCATTATATTTCAAAGGATTATTACCGAGGATAATTGGTGGTAGTGCGGTAGGTGCTGCTGTTGCATCTTTAGTATGTACTTTAACTGATCATGAATTAATCCCTATTTTGGTATCGATTGCTGATGTTATGAAGAATATTGATCGGTTAAATCATGATGTCGATGAAAGATATGGTAATGTGATTGAAAATGTGGTTAAAAAGGGTTATTCTCAAGATATTCTTATCTTCTTGAAATTTGTTAGAGATACAATTGGTGATCTTACATTTGAAGAAGCGTATTTAAAAACAGAAAAGATTCTTAATATAGTAGTTCATCCAACTCATCAATCCATCCCATCATTATTAAATTATATCACGGCCCCAAATGTCATTATTTGGACTGCCATATATGCATCCATTGGTACAGGTGTTCTTTCCGATAACGTTCAAATATACGTTAAGGATTTCAACAATAACATTGTTCCTCAAACTCCTGAACTTGATATCACCTATTTAAAACCTCAAGATGTGAATTATCTGCAACAATATTTCAAAAGAAAGGATGAAGGGATTAGATATCTGATTGATAGTTCTCCATATACGAGATTAACCGAATTATTCAATGTCAATCATTTCGTCATCAGTCTTGCCCGTCCTTATCTTGCCCCCTTAATCAGTAATGATTTACAACATTTACATTCTTATGGAAGTGTAAGATACAAGGATAAAGTTAAAGATAAATCGAATAATACTTCTATAATTGAAAAGAGTAAGACTTCAATTGATGATATGGAAAAAATCACTCGTGATACAGGGTATAATCTTAAAAAACATGTCAAGAATTTAATCAGTATGGAGATCCAACATCGATTAGTGGTAATGAATAAACTTGGATTATTGACTGATTTCATGAAGAGATTCTTCATTGATGAAAAACCATCCTCATTACAATCCTTATCAAGCATAAGAGAGATTACCATCGTTCCTGAATTAAGATATCTTGTACGGGATTTTGGAAGAGTGTTTGACGTACATAAAACGATGGAAAACATTCCTTATTGGGTATTGGTTGGTGAACGATCGATATGGCCATTGTTCCCTCTTTTGTGGACTAGATGTGCGATAGAATTTGCATTAGATGATTTATATAATATACATAGAAAGAAAGGTTAAAGTTAGTTAGGGTTAGTTAGGGTTTTGTTAGTTGGTAGGTATTTATTTTCTTATCTAAAAAAAAGTTTAATATTTGAATCTTTAGTAATATTAAATATATATTCTTTTTCACTAACATTGATTGATTTGTAAGAAATTGGACCTTTAGAAACGATTAAACTTCCGGTAATATCATTTGCTCTTCCAGTTAAAAGGGGTTGAATACTAATATGTAAACTTGATCTATGTAAAAGTTTAACAAAGTAATCAGTTACTTTGAAGACAGGATCTTCAGGCATGGCGGCATCCAAATCAGGATAATCTTTGGCACTGATGATAAATAATTGTCGACATGTTTTATTTAATTGAAGTAAATGATTCAATAATTCATTACTGGTGATATTAGTAGCTCTTAAGAGTATTTCAGGTGCTTCGATAAACACAACTTTTCTTGAACCAGTTTGACTCGATATAACTTCATTCAACTCTTGAAAGAGACTAGTAACTTGAGATGATGCCTTGGATGGATCTTTTATTCTCTTTGTAAATAAATCAGTAAAACAATCAATATAGGTGAAATCTGTCACTGTATTAAGATCAATGCCGTTCTTTTTACAGCCTTTGGAGTAATAGTCTTTATTATTGATGAATGAGATGAATATAGTCTTGGATCGACCTGTTTGCTTAACTGTTAAGTCATTATTGACTAATGTGGCTGTATTTTGAATTGAGTTTTCAATTAATGAATTGATTAACCATGTTGGAGAAGTTCCTTGGAGATGCGATATTATAGCTGAATATGATTCTTCACCACTTATGATTGATTCAGGTATCAATGAATGATCCTCAAATAGTATGAGATCTTGGTTATGAGTTGTTGTCATGGTTGACCTCTAATAGCCTGCAAAGAGATAGTTCATGGAATCAACTTCTTCTGCGATGGTTTTCAGAACTTTACGATTTTTACATAGTGCGAAATTATTTTCAAAATTATCATTAGGATGCAAATTTTTTATTTCTATGTACAGCAAAAGCTTTCTCTATATGTATTTATCAATGATACCTTTTACGTATTCCATGCAATCTTGTTTATCTTTAGTTGGGTTATCCAATTGCCAAATGAAAATCTCATCGGAAATCTTCTTAATCCATGGTCCTGGTCTCGTTTTAAACTCTTTACTTAATGTAGTTCCATCCAAAAGTGGTCTTAAATGATGAACATTTTCCAATGATTGTGCTTCAATGGTATGGAGTAATCTTTCGTATTTGTCAGCTGTATGCAAGATAAGACTCTTTATGGAATCATTGGTAATATCTTCAGGAATTGGACTTGGAGCTGATGCAGTTTGGGTATGATATTGTTGCAGAACTTCAATAAAAGCATTGAAAAGAATATTCAAATCAGAAAAATCAGAAAATTCTTTAAGATATAACCCCAATTCGGATCTTTTAATCGATTCAGGTTCAGTAAAGTATCGTTCCAATACATTTCTTGAAGTATCATATTGCTTATTAATGGTGGTGACGATATCCATATCGAGTTTTTTCGCTTTTAATGATTCTCTCATGATGAGTTTTATAGCATGTTCCAATTGCTTCTTAGGATTTAAGTTTAAAGACACCAGATGATATGGGAATAAAATCAACGCTAACCAAAATGGTTTTTGGTATTCTGAATTATTAGTAACATTAGTGAATAACTGTTTGAATTTACTTTCATTTGGAATATTATTTTCAATAATGGTTTTGAATACAGGATACATAGCATTGACTTTATCAAGATGTGCCTCTAATAAAGCTCCTGCAGCTTCAGATTTTTGGATTCCATTGGTATCTTTTGCTTTAGTGGCTTCCTTTATTAAAATATCGGGACCAAATAAACTATCGGTTAAGTTTGTATAGTTTATCAATTTCAAACCATAAATAGGATTATCACTTTTAAAAATCTTTTCCAACTCCACATCAAGTCTTTCTTTACTGATTTTAGATGCTAATGCAGAACGGATTTCAGGATTTTTCATTGATTCCAAAGTTTCAGTTTCAACTATAAAATCAAATCTACTAGCAAATCTTATTAATCTTAATACTCTTAATGGATCATCTAGAAATGTTTGTAATGGAGCAAGTGGAGTTCTTAAAATTCCATTTTTTAAATCATCAAACCCTTTCCCCGTGAAATCTTCTATCTTACTGTGATTCAAATTATAAAATAAGGCATTTAAAGTAGCATCTCTTCTTAATGCATCTTCTTCTGCTGTACCAAATTTAATGATTGGTACTCTACTTTCTTTAGAATATTCTTCTGATCTTAAATTGACAAAATCAATATCCATATCAAATAATCGAGCAGTACAAGTTTCCAAATGTTTTGACTTTTCAGGATTCAGTTTTATAGTATGAAGTGATTTTAAAGTAAGATCATTACGATGAGTCTTTAGATAATCAAGTAATTGCGATGCAAAATCTTCACCAGTTAAATGATTGACAGCAATATCAATATCATTACTTTCTCTTCCCAATAACTTATCTCGTACCCAACCCCCTGTGATTCTTAATTCTAGTTGTCCCTTACCATTATCCTGTGAATTATAAAAGTTACAATAGTCAACTAACACATCTCTGATCTTTGATTCTTGGTCATTAAGTATGATTTCTTCCTTAACACTTCGTTTCATTGTGCTTGATCGATTCACCACTTGCAAGAAAACCAATGACGGATGGACTACTTGGCGAAACTCTTGGAATTGAAGGGATTTAAATGCAGATTGTTTAATAAGATTAAACATCAATTCGTGTCCATATAATAATCTAATTGATCTTTACTTTTTTGCACTTCAAAAAAAATTTATTTATCATCCAGCATTAATTATTAAAGACTTAGGGTTAGTTCATACAATTAATAGAAATTACTAATCTTAAGATGATATATCACAAGCAATGACTAGTAAATTAAAAATAAACAACTTTAAATGACTTCTAACTTCGATTGACATTAAAATTATAAAGAAGAAATCAAAAAAAAAAATGAACAGTACGGGAATCGAACCCGTCTCGCTTGCTTGGAAGGCAAGTATAATGCCACTATACCAACTGTCCTTGTGTTTCTGGCAAATTTTTTTTCATTCTCTATTTAAATAGTTGGTATCACGTGAGATGAGCTACCAATTTTTGAAATTATTTTATTAAATTAATTCAACTTATTAATCTTATTAAAGGTTAAACTCAATATTAATTTTAAACTAAATAACATAAATCAGATATGTAGTCATACAAAAATTAAATCAGGGGTCTTGAATCAACTTTAAGGTGATTTAAGTTGATATTTATTAATTTGATTTTTTCTAAAATTAGCGAGATCATTTACAAAATGTTAAAGTTAATCATTATTTTTTTTACCAATTTTTGTTATTTGTTTCAGTAAGAATGGTTCTTAGTCATAAGAGGAGATAACAAAAAGAAAAAAAAGGGGAATCTCGAGGCTATGCAAACAAACACTTCTATTGTTATTGTGATGTTTGAAAGCCTCGTGGACCAATAGATCTATAGAAGATAACAAAAAATATAAATAGAAGTCATTTAGTTTAATTTCAAGCAAAAAATAAAACAAACATTGAAGCGGGGTGAGCGAATACTTTACTATAGTGTTCAATTTTCAATTTGTGTCGAAGAAATTACCAAAGGAGTAAAAATATTTATTAACAGAAAAAATGAAGAAAAACTCCGAAACAAATAGAATTTGCATTATCCCACAGCAGCTAAGCAAGAGAATTACTCCGAACCTTGGGACGAGGGGCGCGGAGGAGGGAGGAGGGAGGAGGGAGGATGGATGAGGAGATAGATATATGGAGGTACTGATTAATAATCCTCTCCGCTCAACAAACTGTTGCGTCGTACACTAGCATTTACTCCGATGCTGAGCTATTTTTTTGCAATTGATTTGAGATCGATCATTAAATTTGTCCGATAAAAACATAAAATTAAGCGTTAACTATGTATTTATATACAGGAACAGGAGTAATTAAGATGTTAAGGTATAATAACTATTTACGATGGGGTTTTCTTGAGATCAATTCTAAAAATAACAATTACTTACTTTGTTTTCATTAATGTGCCCCACCAAGTTAACGAAAATAATATAATAAAATATAAATTAAACTGAGGGGTCATTAAAAATTCCTACTGTAGAATGTATGGAAGGAGTAAAAACCCCAACTACTAAATGTTTTTTGTAAACTCAATTTTCATCTAAACATGTTTAAGAGGGGATGGGAGCGGAGTGGAGAAGAAAATATGAAGCCAGTAGTCAAAAAATTCTTTGGTGGAAGAATGGTTGGGTCTTAGAAATCATCCGCTTTACTAACATATTTTGCATCTTTGTAAACCAAAGATTTGGTAAATACTCCGTTAAAAAATAAAATTTTGGTGGCTTTTTTTTTTTTTCTAATATTTACATGTAGGACGGAGAAATTAACAATTTTTTTCTATAATAGTAACTAGTTAGATTTCCTTAACAATAAAATATTATAAATATCATTGAATTTTCCCTTTTGTTTTCGGTTTAAAATTTGATTATTGTATAATCAAATCAAATCAAATTAAATCAAATTAAATCAATAAATTATGGGACAACAAAAGCTTTGGTGGGGTTTAATTGAAAACTTATGCAAGAGGCTGGCTACTTTTAAGAAACGATTGGAAGGATTTTTCAGAAAAGCAATTCAATTAACCGTTTACACGGGTGCTGAAGTTGCGGTTATTGTGATCAATGATAATGAAGTACATTATTTTTCTAGTCATGGCATGGAACATACGTTGGAACAATACTTCGCAAATAGACTGAATCAATCGGAAACAATTAGTCAAAGAGTTTATCAAGAACTTATCAATGAAAATACAGAAACTGGGCAAGTAGAAGAACAGATTGGAGAACAAATTGAAGAGCAGATTGAAGAACTCGAAGAACACATTGAAGAAATTGTTGTGCAAGGTAGTAGTTCAAATAACCAAAACATATATTTCGATGACTTATTTCGTTTAGTTCGTTTCCTTAACATTCAGCTTGATGATGAAATTATGATATATGATGAATTTCAAGATGACGATGTAAATGCCAGAATTATTCAATTAATCAATGGTGAGATTAATCCAACAATTAATGATGATGAAAATTTAGAATATGAATTAGAAAATTATTATAGAGGGGAACCTCTTATCATCCAGGAAAATACACCACCATCTGCGTATGATAACAATACACCACCCCCAGAATATGTTAATAACAATCCAGCTCAAGATCAATTAGAAGACCTTCTTGACTTTATGGATGATGATGATGATGTATACGATTAGAATTGTGCAAAAAAAAATGCATGTATGGCTAACTTTGAAGGTTTTGGTTTTAATTATGGTTTTGTTGTTTGATTGTTTTTGGTTTGACTTTTGTTTTTAAGACGTTAATTTTTATTTATTTCTGTTTCTAGCTGGCTAGTCCTTTTGTTGTTGTTGTGATCAATAGGCATACTATGTTCTATGTATGCTTTACTAATATATCTTCTCTCATATTAGAAACAGATTGTTCTTCCTTGAGGTGTTTCAATATTTATTTCTCCTTGATTTGCTATATTAAGTGTTAGTTATATTTCTACTATAACTTTATTAAGTAATTTATCTATTAATTGCTTACTACATTCGTTTAATTCTTATTTATAGTGAATATTATATTTTAATTCAAACTCCAACCCTAGTTGTATATATAAATGTATCGTTTAAATTGCTAGGAAACATAGATTTATGGATCAAATCTGGTAGCGTTTGCTTTTTTGAAACGTGATCAGAAATCACGTGATACAACAACTCTACCATAAACCAGGTCAATTTTATTGCAGAAAAACATCCGTGATAGTTTAGTGGCTAGAATTACCGTTTGTCGCATGGTAGACCGGGGTTCAATTCCCCGTCGCGGAGCTTCTTTTTTATATTTTTTTAAATCTTACCTTCTATATTTAAAACCTGAATACTTTCTATTAAGTTATAACTTTTAATTGAAGACATACAATTGATGTTTATAAGACAGTATTCTTTTACTATTTCATTCTTTCTTAGGAGGTTGCGACTTCGCTCTGTCTAATTTTTTTTAGACGCGGCTCACGTGACGTTCCGGCTTTGAAAAATGAAAGTGAGTCAATTGACACTTCACGTTGAAAATGTGAATCAATTGATATATAATTTTTAGATTACGTTTGAAAACTTTAAGTGAAAAATCCATAGTGGTACTTTGTCAATATAGATGTCAAACATTGAGAAGTTATCCATCTTGGGTAGTGAAACCATCCATGTTGGGTATGGTATCCAAGAACATATTGTTGAGACGGTAATTACTACCAAGGCCTCTTCAACATATGTAATTATTACTGATACTAATATGGGTAGAACTGAACCCTTTAGGAAATTGAGTGAAAAATTCGATTCCAAGTTGAAAGAATTAAGACCAGATTCAAGATTACTTCAATATCAAGTTTCTCCTGGTGAAAATAATAAAAGTCGTGAAACTAAAGCTGCTGTGGAAGATTATTTATTACAACAAGGTTGTACTAGAGATACTGTTATTTTAGCAGTTGGTGGAGGTGTTATTGGAGATATGATAGGGTTTGTGGCCGCAACTTTCATGAGAGGAGTCAGATATGTCCAAGTTCCAACTACGTTATTAGCTATGGTTGATTCTTCAGTAGGTGGTAAAACTGCCATTGATACTCCATTAGGTAAAAATTTCGTTGGTGCTTTCTATCAACCTCAATATGTCTTTGCTGATGTTTCTTTCCTTAAAACTTTACCAACTAGACAATTCATAAATGGTATGGCTGAAGTTGTCAAAACAGCTGCTATTTGGAATGAAGATGAATTTACAAGATTAGAAAACTTTTCCAAAACTTTCCTTGATGTAGTAACACGTGAAAATCCAGATATCGAATCCATTAAAGAAGAATTAGTGAAAACTGTTTTAGAATCTATAAGAGTTAAAGCTTATGTCGTATCATCCGATGAAAAGGAAACTGGTTTAAGAAACTTATTAAACTTTGGTCATACTATTGGTCATGCCATTGAAGCTGTCGTTACTCCAGAAGCTTTACATGGTGAATGTGTTTCCATCGGTATGATCTTAGAAGCTGAATTATCAAGATACTTAGGTATCTTATCACCAGTGGCTGTTGCTAGATTATCCAAATGTTTAGTAGCTTATGGTTTACCTGTTTCAATCGATGATAAATTATTTTTAAAGAGAGTTGGAAATAAACGTCATTATGTTCAATTAGATATCTTATTAAAGAAAATGTCTATTGATAAGAAGAATGATGGAAGTAAAATCAGATCTGTCTTATTGGAATCTATTGGTAGATGTTATCAATTAAAAGCTCATGAAATCAGTAAACGTGATTTAGGAGTTGTATTAACTGACGAAGTCTTAGTTCATCCATTTAAATCAGCAGACATTAAACCAACTAATGTTATCATACCTCCAGGTTCAAAATCCATTTCTAATAGAGCTCTTATTTTAGCTTCATTGGGTAAAGGAACAGTCAGAATAAAAAACTTATTACATTCAGATGATACTAAACATATGTTGGATGCTGTAACCGCTTTGGGTGGGGCCGAAATAAGTACTGAAGACAATGGTGAAACTATTGTTGTTAAAGGTAATGGAGGAAAATTCGTTGCCAATACTGAACCATTATACCTTGGTAATGCAGGTACTGCTTCAAGATTTTTAACTAGTGTTGCTACTTTAGTTCAATCTAGTTCAAGTTCAACATCAATTGTTTTAACAGGAAATGCAAGAATGCAAGAAAGACCAATTGGTTCTCTTGTTGAAGCTTTACGTAATAATGGTTCCGAAATTGAATTTTTAAATAAAGAAGGTTCATTACCTTTAAATGTCAAGACTGGAAATGGATTAAAAGGGGGTAGAATTGAATTAGCTGCCACTATTTCTTCTCAATATGTTTCCTCAATCTTGATGTGTGCTCCATATGCTGAAAAAGAAGTTACTCTTTCTTTAGTTGGTGGTAAACCAATCTCAGTTTTATATATTGATATGACCATTGCTATGATGAAAGCTTTCGGTATTGAAGTTACTAAATCTACTACTGAAGAACATACTTATCATATTCCAAAGGGAACTTATAAGAACCCAGAGGAATACGTTATTGAATCAGATGCTTCTTCAGCAACTTATCCATTAGCTTTTGCTGCTTTAACAGGTACATCTTGTACTGTTCCAAATATTGGTTCATCTTCCTTACAAGGAGATGCTAGATTTGCCGTCGATGTTTTAAGACCAATGGGATGTACAGTGGAACAAACCGCAACATCTACAACTGTCACTGGTCCTCCGGTTGGTCAATTGAAACCATTGAAACATGTTGATATGGAGCCAATGACCGATGCTTTCTTAACTGCCTCCGTGGTTGCCGCTGTTGCTCATGATGGTCAAACTTCAACTTCAATCACTGGTATTGCCAATCAAAGAGTTAAAGAATGTGATAGAATCGCTGCTATGGTTTCTGAATTAGCTAAATTTGGTGTCAAAGCCAATGAATTACCCGATGGAATTGAAATCCATGGTATTAAAATAGATGAATTAATCACTCCTTCTATTGAAAAAAGAGGTATTAAAACTTTTGATGATCATAGAGTCGCTATGTCATTCTCTTTATTAGCAGGATTAGCTAAAGAACCAGTATTAATTCAAGAAAGATCATGTACCGGTAAAACTTGGCCAGGATGGTGGGATACTTTACATAGTAAGTTCAATATTACTATTGATGGGTATGAATTACCTTTTGATGCTGATGATTCTTCATTATTGATTGATAAACATGCTAATGGTGATAAAAGTATTATTGTTATTGGTATGAGAGCTGCTGGTAAATCAACTTTATCTAAATGGATGGCAACTTTCCTTGGTTTTAAATTCTTAGATTTAGATGATGTATTTGAAGAAAGAGTCAATACTGATATCAGATCATTTATTAAAGAACATGGTTGGGCAGAATTCCGTAAACAAGAAGCTGCCATTGCCAAAGAAATCTTTGCTAAAAACTCTAAAGGTTACGTCATCTCTACTGGTGGTGGAATTGTTGAAGGTGAAGAAGCTAGAGATATCTTAAAGGATTACATCAAACTGGGAGGTATTGTTTTACATTTACATCGTGATTTGGATGAAACTGTTGTCTTTTTATCTTCTGATACTACTAGACCTGCTTACATCAATGAAATCAAAGATGTTTGGATTAGAAGAGAACAATGGTATCATGAATGTTCCAACTATCACTTTTATTCATCCCATTGTGGAAATGAATTAGAATTCAAACATTTAAGAAATTCATTTATAAGTTACTTAAGAACAATTACTGGTTTACAAATTTCTCCAATCCCAAGAAATAGATCAGCCGTTGTGACATTAACCTTTGATGATTTAAATAACGTTGCCGAACAATTAGAAGAAATAGCTACTGGATGTGAAGCCGTTGAATTAAGGGTTGATCTTTTAAAGAAACATGCCAAGACTTTTGTGGCTGATCAAACTGCTACTTTAAGAAAATATGTCAATTTACCAATTATTTATACTATAAGAACTGAATCTCAAGGAGGTAAATTCCCAGATCATGAACTTGAATCACTTGAAGAATTACTTTTATTAGGTATCAAACTTGGTGTTGAATACTTGGATATTCAATTAAATTTCCCAAATTCATTAATTGAAAAAATCTTAGAACGTAAGGCATTTACAAGATTAATTATTTCTCATCATGATAATACTGAAGTTTTGAAATGGTCTAATGTAGATTGGAAGAACAAGTATAATCAAGCTGTTTCGTATGGTGCTGATCTTGTTAAATTAGTCGGTACAGCTACTTCTTTTCAAGATAATCTTGATTTAGAAGTATTCAAATCTGCTAATACTTTAAAACCATTGATTGCTATTAACAGAGGCGAACAAGGTAAACTTTCAAGAGTTTTAAATACCATCTATACCCCAGTTACTCATGATTTGATTCCTAAATCAGCAACTGCAGCAGCTGGTTTACTTACTGTTAATCAAATTAATAAAGCCTTTGCTGAAATTGGTGGATTTACTAATAAGAAATTCTGGGTTGTTGGATCACCTATTGAACATTCAAGATCACCAAATCTTCATAATGCAGGTTATCAAAAATTAAATTTACCATATACATTTGATAGATTTGAATCTAGTAATGCTGATGAAGTTTATGAGAAATTAATTAAAGGAAATAAGAATTTTGGAGGTTTATCAATCACTATGCCACTTAAATTGGATATTATGAAATATGCTGATGAATTATCTGAAGCTGCTAGATTAATTGGAGCTGTCAATACTCTTATTCCATCTCCAACTGATCTGACTAAACTTTTTGGTGATAATACTGATTGGGTTGGTATTACCAATTCATTTATAAGATATGGTGTACCTAACATTGAAAATTCATCTGTTAATGGTTTAGTTGTTGGTGGAGGTGGTACTTCTAGAGCCGCTGTATTTGCATTACATGATATGGGATGTAAGAAGATTTATATGATCAATCGTACTGCATCCAAGATACATGAGATTAAAAATTCATTCCCTAAAGAATACAATATTGAAATCTTAGAAACTGTTGAAGAAGTTGAAGAAGCTGAAGCTGTATCATTAGTGGTTTCATGTGTTCCAGCTGATAAACCAATGGATGAAGCTTTACTTAATAAATTAGAAAGACTTTTATATCATGGAAGTACCCAACAATCAGGTGGATTCACACCAACTTTAATCGAAGCGACATATAAACCAAGATTAACTCCAGTTATGAGAATTGCACAAGAGAAATTCCAATGGAGTGTTATACCAGGGGTTGAAATGTTAGTGAATCAAGGTGAAAAGCAATTCCAATTACAAACTGGATCTACACCACCATATAAAGTGATTCATGATGCTGTAGTAGCAGAATAAATCATTTTAACTATACCTCTCTCTCTCTCTCGTTTAAAATGTAAATAAAATATATAGATAGATTTCAATAATAAAAATTTTCAAAGTTTCGTTTTTAAGATAAAAATAGTGGTGTTGTTTTATAAATTTTTGCAGTAAATGGGCGGTTGTCCAAAATAGGCAGGAGGGGTACGGCTAACCAACGGTGCGCCTGAGCTGGGCTGGGTCCAGAATATATGTAACGTGGTTCATAAGTAACGAATAGCCAATTACAATAGTTTACTATTTTATAATTAAATCATTCACATCTTGATCATAATAAACTAGACCTCTACCGCCCAACTAACATTTAAGAAAGTTGGGACCCCGTTTAATCAGGATTAATCTCGGACTTGTTCATTACACCCTCTACCAAAGTCCGAAGTCTCTCTTGTCAGAACAAACATAAAAAAAAAAGAAACGAAAAGACGCAAAAATTTTTTATGATTTCGAAGCCACCTGCATACAAGCAGCATAAACATTACAAAAAAATAATTCCAAATTTAAAAAGGGATTTTTCTAAATAGAATAGCCAATTAAACATACGATCTTATCTTTCAAAGCTCAACTGTTGAATATGATCTCGAATTGTTTGATATCGAGGGGGAGTACTATGTTGAAGTGCTGCAGTGGAGTGGCAACGTTGAGCTCGGTGCGGAATTATACTTCTTCAACTATGTTCAAGGGTGCTAGGAATTATTTTTTATCATTTGGTAAGACCCAAGAAGAAAGTATAGATGATGAAGATAATCCATATATTCAATATCCAATAGTAACGAAGGAACAAATGAAGAAAGTGATTAGAAATGATAAATACAAGTTTGACTTTTCTTATGCATCATTTGCTTATCATAGTGTTAGTTCTGTCCCTTTAATTCATTCTTTATCAGACTTGACAGATCCCACTCAATTAACGTCATTATTACCCAGAAGAAGACCTCATGGTTCTCCAGCTGATACATTGTCGATACGAGCAGGTGATGATACCATGTTGGTATCACCCACCGTATTGGCTGTGGCAGATGGTGTATCTGGTTGGGAAGATAAACATGATGAACATTGTTCAGCTGGGATTTGGTCTCGATCTATGGTGGAAACTTTCTCAAGATTAATGACAGAATATAAAATAAGTCATGCTCCTCATCATTTAAAAAGAAGAGATATAGATCAAATCTTGGATGATTCCTATTTACATACCTCTCATTTAATGGATCTTCAGAATTTACAAGGTTCATCAACTTTAATCCTTGGTATGCTTAGTGGTGAATATTTACAAATGGTAAGTATAGGTGATTCAAAACTTTATATCATTCGTGATGGTGAAATCATCCTTAGTAATGAAGAACAAATGGTATCTGAATTATGTCCTCAACAAATTGGTACCCAAACTTTAACAGTATTACCATCGGAAGTAGCATGGATTAAATCTTTCAAAATTCAAGAAAATGATATTATATTGGTTTGTTCAGATGGGTTATCCGATAATCTTTATGAATCAGAAATCGTGAATTATATCGATGAGTTTTTAAATGTCAAACAAGATAATTTAAAAATAGTGGCCAATAAACTCTTAATAAAGACCAAAGAAGTAGCATTTGATGATTTTGCTTATACTCCATATAATGAAAAGGTAAATTCGTTACCTAAGAAGTTTGGTAATAATTCAAGTACAGGAGGTAAGTTGGATGATATTTCTATTTGCATTGGTAAGGTCACTTTAAATAAGCTATAATTGGGTCATTGGGAAACATAATTAATATTGTAATATAGTAGGGCATAAATCTGGGTTAAAATAAAAAAAGTAAGAAAATAAATAATAAAACAAAAGAATAGAATTATGTATATATATCTATATAAATTTATAGTGTAGATTTTTTTATGTTAGTTCTGTAAGGTGACATCTTACAGGTTTTGTATTTATAATACTAATAATACATTTATTTTAAAGAATTTTAATAATCCTACTTACTTATATACAAGAGATTCATTTTCTTTATCTAGAAGATGCAAGTTCAGAGAAATATTGTCTGAGAATCAAGGCAAGCATTTCTGGAAGTTCAGTAATATCTCTAACGATAACATAATACTCAAATGGGAAACTGTCAAGATATTTATCAACTTTTAAGTTCATAGCTCCTGTATTTGGATCTTGAACATAACTAACTTGACTCATATCCATAATGGATTCATTACTATTAATACCATCCATAACGACAAACACCATCATAATCTTTTCTTCCCTGGCTTTTCTAACCATACGTTGGACAGTTTCATGATCTTCACAAACACCATCAGAAAGTATAATTTGTAATTGCCATAATTCAGAGTTAGATCCTGATCTTGAAGATTCAAATATTTCAAGTGAGCTTTGACATAATTTTCTTATGTCAGTTCTAGATTGTTGGAAATCGAACCATTGGAATACTTGAGCACCAGTTTCTTGACTAAATGGTTTATCAAATGGATGAACAACTTTAATATCTTCACCAAATCTAACAATCGACAATCCTCCACTTTCTAATTGAGTTAAAGCTTTGGAAACCAAGGCAATACTATGGAAGGCTAATTCAGTAGATTTACTTTCACTCATAGATTTGGAATCATCAACAGCAATCATGATTTGATATTCTCTCTTAGATGGTTTAGTTCTTCTTAACCAAATCTTATCTTTTCTAAAATCAGAAGCAATATATGGAATAATACGTTTCATATTCAAACGTTTACCCGTTTTATAGTCACCTCTTAATTTAGTGGCTAAGGTTGGTTCTAAGATTAATCTTAATTGTTCACATAATCCTGATGCTAATTCCAGAGTAGACATTTCACTATGTCTCCATATTTTACGAGCTTCTTCAATATCAATTGGAGCAGAATTATCAGAGTCAATTCTGTTAATAATTTCAACAGTTTCTTCTTCCATATCTTCATCTTTGATTTCATCATCGGCAAATATATCACTATCGTTGGTAAGATCTTTTCTTTCTCCAACCATAGCTCCTCTGTTCTTGGATTCCATATCAGCATCAGGGTTTGAATCACCTTGGTCATTGTTTTCATCAACATCCATTTCATTTTCATCAATAGCTTCTTCAATTTCTTCTTTAACTGGTGCTTCCATTTCCTCATTTGCTTCAAGGTCATCATCAATGGCTTTATCATCATCAATCTTTTGAATTTGATCTTTATCAGCAGCACCTAAAGCTTGAGTATCAAAGTCAGCATTTTCTCCTTCAACATGTTGGAACTCATCTGGTCTTTCGTTGGCAGATTGTTCTTGTTCAGCTTTATCTTCTTCAGCAACATCTTTGATTTCTTGTCTTCTACGATGGAATTCTTTAAGGGCGTCACCAAGTTGTTTTAATGATTCCTTGGCCGATTCACGAGCGTCATCTTTAGAAGTTGAATCTTCTTCAATTTCTTGTTGTCTAGGATCAGAAGCAGCAGATCCACTAGCACCAATGTCATTATTTTCATCGGCATCTTGATTATCTGCTCCACTACCTTTTTCACCAAACTCTTGTTTGACAGCAGACTCAATATCAACATCATTCTCGTTAACATCTTCATTAATTCCATCGGCACCATCGGCGGTTTCTTGGTCTAATTGACCATCGTTACCACCTTCTTCATCATCTTTTTCTTCCTTGTCTTCTTTAATAGTTTCCTCGGAATCATCTTCTTCTTTGCCTTCTTCATTTGGCTCTTCGTTTGGTTCCTCGTTAACTTCGTTATCTTCAACAGACTCTTCTGGAGCTTCTTCTCCTTCCTCTTCTTCAGGAGCATTGTCGTCAGGAATATTTTCTTCATCTGCAATTTCATTTTCGTCTTTGCTTTCTTCGGATGGTTTTTCTTCTTCATCAACATCCATTTTATCATCAAAGTTTGTTTCATCTTCATCATCTTCTTTTCCGTCTTCTTCATCATCACCACCATCATCTAAGTTCATATCTTCTGGTAATTCTAAAGTTTCAGTTTCAGGGACATTATCTTCCAATTTTTCGTTATCATCTTGGTTCACTTCATCATCCATTTCACCAACATCTTCTTCTTCATCTGCATTCTCATCATTTTCATTTTCTTCTTTATCTTCATTTCCTTCTTTAGAATCGTTTTTGTTATCATCCTTAGAGTTTTCAGCATCATCTTCATTGGCTTCCATTTCTTCATCATTTTTAGAGTTTTCTGGGATCTTATCAGAATCTTTTTCATTCTTATCATCTTTAGCTTCTTCATCCCACATTTTTTCATCGACCGCATTGATATCAAGATCATCAATATCATCAATCTCTTCATCTAACTCTTCTTGTTCTTCATCATTTTCATCATCACCCTCTTGGTCAGAAGCTTCTTCTAAGTCACCAGCCATATCACCTTCAATATCAACTGCATCATCATTTTCTTCTTCACCTTCATCTTTTTCTTTTTGATCTTCATTAGGCTTTTGGGCATCTTCGGTTAAATCCTCATCGTCTTCAACATCATTTGAATTATTCTGTGCACCTTCTCCATCACCTAAACCAGTACCATCTTGTAAGTTATTATCTTCCTTTTGTTCACTTGGAGGTTCTGGAGCACAGAATCCCTTAGTGGCCAAAGTTAACAAAGAAGAACTTAAAATAAAAGTAGCTTTTGAAGTCTTATAGTAATTGGATCTGGCTTTATCTAACAAATTATCCCCTAATCTAAGATAATTTTGAATTAAAGGCATAGTGAAGTTAATAAGGGCCGATGCAATATTAGATGTATCAGCATTATGTTCGACACCCTTTATAACATTTATGGATTGTTCAATTCTCTTAACAATAGTTTCAATATGAAGTGACTTGACATATTTGTTTAAACGTTGTTGTGAAGTAGCTAACCATTTATCATCATCTTCTGAGATTTCACCAGTATTTTGTTGAGATACTTGTTGAACTGATACCAAGATTGAATTAGATAAATCTCTGAGCGATTTTTCAATATCAGCAATGTTCTTAACGGCAGTTATTGAAGTAGAAGATTGAACGAAACCACTAAATCTAACATTTTCATTCCATTGAAGGAGACCATCAACTATGAAACTGTAGCCGGAATTATTTGTTTTCCATTTCTCTAATGAAGACAAAAAGCTCTCATATGTAGAAACAAAAGTGGAGATAAATAATGTACTTTCAGAAGTAGCAATTTCACCGGATATATTAGATAATTTATCATTGAAATCAATAAATTTTCTTTTGAAAGGTTCTAAAATGTCCAAAGTAAATTTACCACCAAGTTTTGCAGTTGCTTGACCAACTTCAATGGTGAAATCAATATATCTAGGCAACCATTCTAATAAGAATCTAATGTTTTCGATATTCAAATTAATTGATTCTAATTTAGATATTGGCTTGATTTCAATATTATTGTTGGTAATAGACACATTGTGAAGACTGTCATAAAGTTTATGTAACTTAGAGACACTCAGGGATAAATTACTCAATGGATGCTTGGTAAGTATCAAAGTGTGTAAAAGATTTTCAGCAGCAGCCAATCCCTTTTCAGCATCAACCTGTGGCACATCGGCAGATAAGTTACTAACAGCTACTCTAAGTCTTGGGAACATATCTAATAGACGGAAAAAGTATACATCAGAACCTTCTAATAATCCATTGAATTCAGCACAATTACCTAAAATAGCATTTACACTTGATTGAGTCTTGATAACTTCAGTTTTCATAGCAGTACTCAAACCAATTCTTCTTAATTCTTTTAATGTATCACTTAATAATTTTCTCTTCTGAGTCTTAAGATTTGCAACCAACTTTTTGTTTTTATCAGTAGCAACACTTGGAGTTTCTTTTTTAAGCATATTCATTTGTTCCACAATTTCCTTGGCATAATCGTATAAAGAAGGAATATCATCCTTTTCTATTTGACTGACATAAAGAGACATATTTTTATCTATTAAAGTAGTATCTTGAAGTCTCTTTGTTCTATCAGCAAATGATGGAACTGCAAGGCAAATATCTTTAGCATTTTCATCATAAATAGCAGCGGTATATCTTGGAAGTGAAGGTAAGGTTGAATCACATGGTTTATCAGCCGATATACCAGCTTCAATAATTTCTTTAACTGGTTGATTCAATGCTTGACGGTACTTTCTGACAATTTTATAAAGACTAGCATGTGAACGGCGAGCACTTTGTTTAAGTGCATCAACATTAACATCTTTCCAACTAGCAAGTAATATAACTTCTGTGATATCTTTTCCTAATTTTGTCTTTGAAGTTTCTAAACTTTCCTTGATAATGAAAGTAAATTGTTCATAAAATGTAATGAAATTAGAAAGTGAAGAATATATTTCACTCTTTGGAGCAATAACATTCACATGGTTTCTAAAAGCTTTCATTAAATCTAACTGGATAATGTATTCACCAAATGTAGCTTTACCCATAAAGATATTCAAAGTGGACAATAATTGATAAGTAGAGATTTCATCTCCAGATAACAATGGAATAATAATAGCTTCAAATAAATGGAACCACCATTTTCCAATCTTCTTTTGTTGTTCGAGTTCTTCGTTTTTGAATAGTTCTTTCCAAGTTGATAATTCCAACTTTCTCCAAGAAACAATCAAATTTGTCAATTCATCGAATTGTGGTTTCAAGGAGACTTGACTTGATGCATACTTTTGCCACTCAGCAACTAAAGTATAAAGTTGTTCTATCTTTTGTAACAAACGAGATACTGAATGATTAGAAGGAAACA